CCCAACCCCAACCCCAACCCCAACCCCAACCCCAACCCCAACCCCAACCCCAACCCCAACCCCAACCCCAACCCCAACCCCAACCCCAACCCCAACCCCAACCCCAACCCCAACCCCAACCCCAACCCCAACCCCAACCCCAACCCCAACCCCAACCCCAACCCCAACCCCAACCCCCAACCCCAACCCCAACCCCAACCCCAACCCCAACCCCAACCCCAACCCCAACCCCAACCCCAACCCCAACCCCAACCCCAACCCCAACCCCAACCCCAACCCCAACCCCAACCCCAACCCCAACCCCAACCCCAACCCCAACCCCAACCCCAACCCCAACCCCAACCCCAACCCCAACCCCAACCCCAACCCCAACCCCAACCCCAACCCCAACCCCAACCCCAACCCCAACCCCAACCCCAACCCCAACCCCAAGAAAAACTTCTCTATTTTATTGAAAAAAAAAAATTTTTAGAAAATAGTATTTTTTTTCACAAAAATAACAATCAATCCTAATCAAAAATAAAAGAATATATATTAGCATAATTTAATTTTGAAATGGGAAATTACAACTAGATTTGTAGGAATATATAACAGATATATTATAAGTTATATTGATAATATTAAATATTAAAAAAAAAAAAATAATTTTAAATATTTGGAAGTAGTGTAAAATGCTTAAATATTTTTTCACTTTGTATTATTATTGTTATGAAGGATGATTATTCTTACCGCGATAATTTATTAATTTATACTGAATGTATAATAAATATTTAGGTTACTGAAAACTATGGACTGACATTCGTTCTAAAGATCACTTATATAATGAAATTTTAATCAAGTTACAAAAAAAAAAAGCATGACCAATATCATTTGAATTACAAATTTATATTAAAAAAATGAATAGTTAAAAAAAACAAAATTTTTAATGAGAAATAAATTAATTTAAAGAGTATTTTAAATAATTTTTTTTGTATCAGAGTTATATTTATAATAAACATAATAAATAACACAAAATTATAATACAAATAAAATATATTTTTTAATTAATTAATTAATTATTTTCATAAATAAAAAGTAAATTATTGTAACAGTTTAAATTCATTCATAAATCATTTTAAAATCAAGCTTCAATGGGTTAGTTTTAATTGGTGTTTTCTGTTTAATTTGGAATCTTAACTTATTCATCACCTTAGTAAAACATTTTCTCTATTAATTCTCTTCCCTTGCCAGTTGTTTCTTTCATGGCAAAAACTAAATATACTATAAGAACTGCTGAGACAGCAACAAATACTATAATAGTGCTTTCAGCACCTTTGGAATCAATCATGTATGGTAAAAATTCTACAGTTGAGAGACTTGATGCCCAGTAACAAAAAGCAAAGAAACCCATACCAACAGCAGGTAAAATCTCACCTGGATAAACTAATGATTTAATAAAATATATTTTAGATAAAATATTTGAAAAGGTTTTAAATTTTAAATTAAAAAAAAATTTATTTACCCCAATGAACAGGAGCAACAGATGAAGCAAAAACGAGTTTATATAAAAGAATCATATATTTTTGTAAGGGTTTAAAATCAGCCCAGCCAGTGATGCAGAAAACAAGGAGAACTAATGTGCATCCTAAGAGACCATTAATATAAAGGTTCTTTCTACCGATTTTTTCAATTGTTAAGTAAGCAAAAATAGGTCCAATAAGATCACCAATAGGCATCAAAGTAGTAAAAAGTTAAGCTGTGTCAGCACCCTCAGAGTTTTTAATAATTTAGAAAGAATAGATATTGATTGCGTTACATCCAACATAGTTGAAAGCGATAGTGAATAACATAATAAATATAGCTCTTCCAATATATTATTTACCAAATAATTGTTTATAACCTACACTATTTGTACTACCTTACTTTGAGAATTCAACAACATCGTTAAATTCTTCTTCAGCTATCTTTTTAACAAAAATACGCTCTAAAGCTTTCTTACACTTTTCAGGGTTTTTTTCTTCCAAATAAATATAATTTGCAGTCTCATCAGTGAAAACTAAGTGGAATAAGGCATTAGAAAGAACACTGAAAGCAATAGGAAGACCAAGCATTAATCTCCAGTATCCATTTGTAGCACTGTCTTCAGGCTTAGAAGGTAAACCATAGCCTAAAAGGAAAGATAACAGAATACCAAATCCAAAGAATAAAGAGTAAGTAATACCACTAGCTCCCTTAAATTTCTTGCAAGCTAATTCAATGGAGTATAAAGGTCCAATAGAACACCAAAAACCAAAGCAAATACCAATTATAGCTCTACCTATTAATTTAAAAGAAATACATTTAAATATGAGGAAACAAACAGAAATAGCCTTATTAAAATCAGATAAATTTATATGTTATCTTTTAATAAAAGAATAATAAATTTAAACGAAAAGTAAGTTCGTCTAAGTAATCAAATTAATTAAGACAAAAGTAATTTTTTTTATTAGAATAATTACCGAATTGTAATGCAAATGTATCAGCAATGAGAGTAATACCGTTACCTAGTATAGCTAAGTAAAAAGTAAATATTAACATCTTTCTTCTGCCAAATTTAGCTGAAAGACGACCAGCAAATAGAGAAACAAATGCAGCAAAAGCTTATGGAATAGAGTTAAGAAGAGAATAATTAAGCAATTTTTCATCTTCATTCCAGCTGTAGATGTATCCAACGTGGTCAAACAAAGTATTAAAGACACCCATATTGTAAGCGATAGTGAAGCAAGTAAATGCACCATGCATAATTTTCAATGCAAAAAGCCAAGAGTTTTTTGATACTCCTTCATTTTAGTCTTCTGATGAATAGGTTTTAGCCTATGAAATAGCTGATTCATACTCGTTCTTTTGTAATTTGTTAGCTAATATTATTGTTATTAATTAATTATTTAATGTAAAATCTCTATAAAAAATCAAAATAATATTTATTTTTTTTAAAATATTATTATTTTATTGGCTTTAATAAGATTTTAAAATGATTTATCTAAACTTTTAGCATTTTTAAATTATGGAGTATATAATAAAATAAAATGATTGTTTGAGCCATCAAAATTAAAAAAATTTTTCAAAACAAAATAATAAATTAAAAACTTACTTTCTTCTTAAACTTGAGTAGCTGTGGCACAGTCTCTACCTTAATTTTCTTCAGATTTAACCATTTAATTTGAAGGTAATAAATGTATTTTGTTAAAATAAAATTTAGGAATTGTATTTAATATAAAAATTATTATAGCTGTTTAATATGCTGCTGAATACTTTTTAAAGTAAAAATAATTAATAAATTATTATACTTAATCATAATGAAAATCTAGTAAGGTAATTGATTCCAAACCCTACTTACTTACTTTTTTACAATAACTTTAAATAGAGACAACAGAAAAATTGATATTTGAAATTAAATGCGAACTTAAATATAAGTTAAGCTATATGATCTTTACACAAAGTATCTTTTTACAAAATATTGAATAATTAAGGAAGTAAGAATTTATATGATATGCTAAAATGGTATTTTAGTTCAGGGAAACAAAAGAGAAACATGTCATTTTAAAGGTTTTATTGCCTTATATCGTTATTAAATAGTACTTTTGTGTATGTCTAGAAATCTATAAATTTATCTAGGTGATCTCTTAATTTAACACAATTATAGAGGTTCTAGTAAATAGATTGACGGATTTCATTTTTAGCTAATGCCTTTATAAATTTATTAATTAATTAATTAATAAGATTGCATCATAAAATAAGTTAAAACAAAATTTAATAGAAAGGAATTACAAGTATTTATTTTTGTGGGGGTTTAAATGAATGATGCTTTATGTATTACACTTCTTTTTATTTAAAAATAGTACTTTTTTAATTTCTGCATTAAATAAATTATTACAAATTAAGAAGGGGGACTGGCTTTTTTTGAGGAACTGTTTACATTAAATGAGGTGAGCACAAATTAAAAACAAAAAATGTAAAGAAACACTCACCAAAAAATGTGTAAAAGTCAAATAATTTCATTATTATTTATTAAATATCAAAATTAGAGTCTTGGTTTGTTTCCTTTTAAAAATATTTTTAAAGAATTTTCAAAAAAAGTTTTATAATAAAATTAATATTAAAAATTTTAGAACAAATGAAACAATAAGCGATTAATTATTATCTGACCATAGCTTAACTTCAAATTTTTGACAATTAGAATTAAAAAACTTAATTATAAAAAACAGGAACAGCCATTATTGATCTTACTATTATTGAGAATTAAAAGTGGAAAGCAGATTTTTGTTTTAGAAATTACATTTGTTTAGAATCAGTCAAAATTAGTCATATATATTTTTTTAATTGGCCAAATTAAAACTAATTTTAGACATGTTATTTGAAATTAATTTTTTAATTTATTAGATTTGACTGTTTAATATATGTATGTATCTATCTATTATTCTTCTAGCTTTTTTTTATTTGCAAATTCTATTAAGTTAAGCTTAAAATGAAACACATTTCAAAGTTTTCTAGTAACTCATTTGCTTAAATCACAGTATTTAATATTTATTTTTTAAACGAAATGACGAAACAAGAATACACATTATTCCCTTAATAAAAGCAGTTCTAATATCTATTATCCTACTGTAAATGATCTGATATAATTCATTCACTTAAAACTAATTTATTTTTTAAACATTTATCTAAAAAAAAATGGTTTATTACTATGAGTTATTAAACTTTATGGGATTGAAACAATTATATTTTAGATTTAATATTCAATGCTAGGTAAAAGATTTTGTAGAACAGATTAAGATTTCATTTTTATTTTTAGAATTGGTAAAAAAAAATTTAATTAATAAATTTATAAAATACTAATACTGATAAGATATACAGCAGAAAATTATAAACAATAATTAAATAATCATTCTCTTAAAAATTTTTTATTATTGATAAAAGAAATAAAATATGCTAAAAATTTAGTCTTTCTCAACAAATTCGTTTTTTGAGAAATGTTATTTAAAATAAAAAAGAAAAACCAAAACAAAATAAATGATAAAAAGTTAATCATTTTCAATCTATTTTAATTTTCTTTTATTAATTAAAAACGATTGGATTAAGAGCGAGTGAGTGATTAAAAAGTAATTAAATAAGGTTTTTTTAATTAGGGAAATATTTTTTGAGTATTCAGTGCTATTTAATTTATCTAATACCAATCAATTATATTCAAGCTACCTAAGCATTAGTTATTTAATAAAATATCAAGCAAGTAAACTAATTAATTAATTTATGAAGAAAAATACCAAAAATTTTATATATTCATTAAAATTCTTCTAAATAATCTAATTTATTTGGGCTATTAAAGCAATAAAATGACTAAACTAATAATTTTGAATAGTTCTAAATTAAATAGGTTAAATATTCTTTCTTGGTGCTTAAAAGTTAAAAAATAGATTATTTTATTTAATTAAAAATGTATGGCCTAGAAGCATTTTGAAAATTATACAAATTATTGTTTTATATAAAACATAAAAAAATTACAAATTATCAAGAAATAATTACTAAATTTATAAAAATATTTTAAAATAAATAATTCAGAAAGAAATAAATAAGTTAATGATAATTATATAATCATATAACCATTTAATATTTTTAAGTTAAATTCTAAAAATTCTAAAAGTAGGTAATTTGTTTTTAGAGTAAGTGATTGGTTTAAAATAAACTAAAAGCATGATATAATTTTAAAATGTAAAAATGAAAATATAAGAATAAGTTTCGAGTTTAAATTATTTTAATAAAATAAAAAAACAATTATATTTTTATAAATTCGTTGAAAACATTACTCTTTTTTAATAGTTTACAGTTTTAAAATTTAATTAATTAATTTTAACAAAATCAATGATACAAAATTATAAATTAATTTTCACAAATAGAATAAAACTAAAAAATTCACTTAAAATGGCTAAAATATTTTTTTATTTGTAGTTAATTCTACAAAATAAATATTTACTTATCTTCGTTTTAAAATATAAAATTTCATTAAGTCTTAAAAGAATAAAGCACAAAAAAAAAGATGGAAAACAAATATCATAAAAACAATCGAAACCAATCTAATTAATCACAAGTTTATTCATCTGAAATTATGACAAAAACTTAAATAAATAAATAAAACACATAATAGCTTTTAACATTTATTTTTAATAATTTTTTTTAAAATAAATATTTTTAAGGGTAAAGAAAATTATTTTTTTCAATCTAAAATTGAAAAATGTTTTATAAAAAAAATTTTTAGATTTTTGAATTTGAAAATATTATTAATAAATTAGTTTTATTTTTTTTAATTAATAAAATTACACTGATTTGTAATAAATTAGTTCAATTATAAAGAAAGAAATATTACTTTATAAATAATTTTTAAATATTTATATTAATAGATTTTAGAAATTAACTTGAATTTGTAAATTGTTTGAAAATTTTTAAAGAGAAAGGTTTGGTTGATTTATTGATTAATTGCTTGTTTGTTTGTTTGATTTAATTTGAATGAGGAAGAAGAAATTTGTTTGTTATTTTTTTTTTGCTTTTAGATAAATAAAGACTTTTAATACATGATTAAATCTATTAATAAATTTTGAATTTTAAATGATGATAACAAAGTTTTAGCCGTAATAACAGTAAAAACCGCAATTAAATCAATAATAATTTTAAATATAGAAATATTTTGCGTAGAATTAGTTTTAGTAAGGGGATTATTCTATGAAGACTGTAGATTAGAAAGAAGCAAGTAAAACTTATAGAACTTAGCAAGAACCGTTTTAAGAAGTTGTTGAGTACCTGCCATAAAATTAGGTTATTTAAACTGAAAGAATAAACACTTAGCGTTAAAGATCGAAGACATCTTTCATAAAAAATTTAGATATAGAAACAGCAAAAAACATATAAACTGAAAGCATATAAAATTAGTATGATGATTTTAATAGAAATATGCATAATGATTAAGGAGGAGGGAAAACTAATTTTAATCAAGTCAATAATTCTTGTAAAAACAGCTATATCACACCTGCAACAGAATATAGCAAGTAGCAATATAACCCAAATCAAGCTTTTGTAGATGAAGAAGAGTTTAAAAGATACAGAAATTTCATAGATAATCATTCTAAATCAAGCAAAAGCTAAATCATCAAAAGAAATAATGCTGAAACTCCAAATATATAAAAAATTTCATAAGAAAGAAATCAAAATGCTAATTAAAAATAAGATAAATCTTCTTTATAAATTATTTTGCCTGATTAATCAATTGATAATGCAATGTCTTTTGGTGTAGTTAATGACTAAAAAAGTAGATCTTATTAATAGAAATAAAATAGTATTTCTTAGTTACATACAGCAAGGTCTGCTTAAAATCTATTTGAAGAAATCCCAAATAGCAAAAATCTTGAAAATTATAATTCTCAAAAAGATACTCATTAATCGAATGTTTTGAAAGTTAAATCTTAAAGAGATAATATTAAATATTAATCAATGAATTTTTAAAATGATCAAGTTGTTAATAATGAATATACGTAATAATATAGATAGTAAAATTTAGTTTCTAAGTAATCAGAAAAGTTACTCACAGAACCTGATTTATGTATCAAAAATGAAAGAGAAAAAACTAATTAAATAAAATAATTTTAAGCTCAAGAATAAGATTTTCAATATAATACTTCCAAATAATAGTAATTGTTATAATAATAATCATCTAAAATCTAAAGAAAATCTTGTATCCTAGATTAATAAAGATCTGATTAGATTTAAATGTAACAACAATACACACAGCGTTAGCATTCTAATAACTAATAGCCCAATTAGCTACAATAAAACCAAACTTTGTAATTAAATTCTCATAGGAACTATTAAAAAACACCAGAGCGCAATTATAATGATAATTTTAGCAATCTCACACATAGAAATAATACATAATTATAAAATATAAAAATCTTATCTAACGATGGCTAATAATAAAACTAGTTGGTTGCAAAAGATCAATAAATTGCAAAAGGCTTAGTAAAGTAATACTCCTCATAAAATTTAAATCAAAATTAACATAACTTAAATACTAATCGCTTCTGTGCTGATAATAAAGCATATCAAAATACTTATAATACAAATGAATAAAAAGATTAAAAGTATAATCTTTAAAATGTAAAAACTGATTATTAAATGAATTAGTAACTGTAGTAAATGTAAGCTTACCCCTAAAATTTATAGCCCTCATAATAAAGTATTGAAGAAAAATATAAAAATTAAATTAACTAATTTAAAGAATAAATATAATCTTTGCAAATACACAATAGATAATTAGTTGGATAAATAAAAATTCTTGAGAGTGATAACTAGGTGTCAATTTAAAATATAAGATAGCTGCAAGAAGAAATATTGTAACTTTAAAAAAATTTAGAATTAAGCAACCACTGTAAAGAATAAGCATAACTGTAACATTAAAATATATTGTAATAATTTTAAAAACTTGAAGAAGAAATAAAGCAAATCAGAGAGTAATCCTCGAAATTTGCATAAGAACATTATACAAATTAATAATAGTAATAATAATCAATAGAATTAAAAAACTGGAATAACTACAATAATATCTCCTTCGATGAAACATCTTCTTCTCCTTTCTCCCACAACAATTTTGCATCAGCTAAAAGCGTAGCTACAACTGCTACAGTTTTTTCATAAAAATCTTCAACAATGATTACAAAGCCTGCTTAAGGTTAGCAATAAAATCCTTAAATACAAATAGAAAAATAGCAACCACATATTTTTAATTAGGGATAAAATAATTCCTCACTTGAATTATAATAATAGTTTTACAACTACTGCAATTAATTGCAAAATAATTCAGTAAATTAATAACAACAACTTAATTAAAATTATAGAGAAGCAAACATTGTTACAGCCAGAGATGGAGCTGCTTCTGTGTTTGAGCAAACTTTCTCATAAGATGATTAGCATTAATTCCATTCCTAAGAATCCAGAAAATCATAAGCTTTAAAAAAGAATGTTAGCTAAGATAATTACTATAGCCAATAAGTAACTAATAAAAATGAAAATAATTCAGCTTTTGATATCTTATATTAAATTTATTTGAAGTTGGGAGAAGGTTAAATAGATCAAATAGAATTACTTCCAGAAAAAGTTAGCAATTTGATTAATGAAAATAAATAGAATGGAAAATTTATAAAGTCAATGAAAGAATTAACAATAAAATGTTCGCCAGCAAACTATTTTGGATCTTCTGAACCCAGTTTGAAGATAATCTGGAAATTCATTAAAAAAGTAATGGAAGAATACACAATTTTAAAAAGCAAAAGTAAATAAATAGAAAGTAAAGTAAATAATTAAAATCAATAGCAATAAGACTCATCAGCATCTCCCATTTAAGTAAAAAATATGAACAATCCATAACAATCTTTTTCTAATTTTCCAAACAATAATCAATAACAATAATTATAGTAAAACTCCAGTCAGTAAATCCATGGGTAAATTTAAAAGTAATGAAAAATAATTACAATATAAAGATAAAGGTTAGGAAATCAATAAGCTAGCTTTCTATCTATTTATCTAGCAAGATAGCTAGCTAACTAAATAACTAACTAACTAACTAATTAGCCAGACGTATGAAATGTCCAAAAAATATTTTTAAAACTTAAACTATAGTAAAAAATATTAAAGCAAAGAGCGTTTATTTAATTATAAATAATAATTTTGAATATTCTTATTAATATTAAAATATGAATTAATTATAATTCTATACTATAATTTAACAACAGAGAAAATCTTTATTTATTTACAGTCCCATTAAATATCAGACGCATATTTGCTTTTATTTAATTATCAAAAAAATAGATTCATGCTCAAAAAAAGTGAAGATTAGAAAAATTTACATTAATTAATTAATCATTAACTATAAAAAATAAAATTTAAATAATCCAATCAGAGAAAACTTTTTTGGCTAATATCACAAACAATTCGCTTTTCAAATTTACTCATAATAAAAACACACAACAAACAATATCATCCATATATTAAAAATATATACCTTCTCGTTAAAGATTTATGCTTCCTAATTTGTAGATAAAATAACAAATAAAAATAAAATAGAAAAAATGAACTAAGTCTTATTTATTTTGCATGTGAATATCATTACTATCATTTAAATTTAAACATTTCTATTATTAATTATTTATTACCCATTTAATAGAAATCCAAATCTTATTTCTTAATGTGCTTTATTGTAAATTAATTAATTTTTAAATAAGCCAATATAAAATTTACCCAATATCTTAATTCATTCAAGAAAGGAAATAAATACACTCAAAATTGTCTTTGTATCATTTATTATAATATAAATAATAAGTAGACCTTTGTCATTTTTTACAGAGTCTTTATCCAGCTTTAAATAATTCAAATTATTGTTTTTAATAATAATAAAAATAACTAAAAACAAAATATATTTCAAAAAAAACTAAATAAACTCAAAAAAAAATGAACAAATAGCCTACTGTTTTTGAAAAGCTTGGAGGATAGGCAGCTATGCATGCAGCTGTTCCCCTTTTCTACAAGAAAGTCTTAGCAGATGATAGAGTCAAACATTACTTTAAAAACACTAATATGGAACACCAAGCTAAGTAATAGGAAGATTTTCTTACTATGCTTTTAGGAGGACCCAATCATTATAAAGGAAAAAACATGGCTGAAGCTCATAAAGGTATGAACCTTTAAAACTCTCACTTTGACGCTATCATTGAGAATCTTGCCGCCACACTTAAAGAATTAGGAGTTAGCGATTAAATTATTGGTGAAGCAGCCAAGGTCATTGAACACACTCGTAAAGACTGTCTTGGAAAGTGATCATTTTGAAAAATTACCATTAATTTTGAAAATATTTTATATGATAAATCAAAATGTATTTTAACTTATTTTTAATTCTCTGTTTTATCATGTCTTAATATTTGAATGTTTTTCTAAAATAATTTTTGTCTTAGATTTAAACTTTTAAAATAACTATTCTTTTTAAATGAGAAAGTATATTAAAATATAAAAAATAAAATTTATATTTTCATTAAATAATTTATGAGTTTCAAATAAAAAATGTTCAACATTCAATTTATATCAAGCTAGAAAGATAAAAGAAAGAAAAATACAAATATTTAATAAATTTTTTTATATGAAAAAATATAATAAATAACATTTTAATTTATTATTTATTAATAAAAATATAACTCACAATTTTTTATGATATAGCAATTTCATTCATGATAAAACTATAAACTGTTTTTCGAAATATTTTGTTTATAATGACATTTTTTCATTCATAAATTTATTAGTATACTATTGTTTTTGTAACATAATCATTCAAATATTGAAAAAACAAATGATGAAAATAATGATAAGAATATCTTTTTTTCAACAATTTTTAATAAATAATTGCCAAAAAAAAAATGAGTAAATAAGTCAACTGATTAAGGTGTATTTTTAATTAAATAATTTAACTTATTAGTTTTTATTTTGTTTTGTTAGAATTTTTTCTTATTCTATTTAATACTTATTGATAATGCAAAAAAAAAAAATACAATATAAATAGATAAAAATTTTTTAGTAAATTATATAAAATTAAATGAAAACATTTATTCTAATTATTTAAACTCTTTTGAAATGGAAAATTTTTATTTGATATAATTAATATATTTAGTTCAGTAAATTTATTCTTTATATTTTGATTTAATTGTAATTATTTTTACAAAATTAACATATTATATTTAGAAATTTTTTCATAAATTAAAAAGAATTTGTCAGTTAAAAATATATTATTAATTTAATATAAAAACTATTTCCGATTATTTTAATTATTCTAGCATATTATGTAAAAAAACAAAAAATTTGGTAATAAATAGATATTAGTATCATTATTACTATGAATAAAAAGACAAATTTTGCATTCTTACTTCGTCTTTAAGACCTTTTAGACTTTTTAATCCTTCCATGAACTATATTTATTATTAATTAAAAATATAAAAAGTAGATAAAAAAAAATACTTGAAGATTAGATTGATGAGCTTTTTCTAATTCTGAAAATTCTAATTCCTAAACCAAATCTTATAACTTAACCTATTTTTTACATAAATTTTAGAAAAATTAAATTAAGATTTAAAATTTAATTTACAGTTTTTTCATAATTGTCAGCCTTTATTTCCAAATATTCTTGTTCTATGATTAATTTTTGATTAGCTTTTGACAATTTTTCTTCTTCCTTACGAAGTTTTGATAATCTTTAATCAAGTTCTGTAATTCTATTAGCAAGTTCTAAATACTCAACCTTAAATTAAAAAATTTTTTTTTGTAAATTATAAAAATATTTATAAATTAATACCTCTCTTTCATTAACTTCTTGATTTAATTAGTTACTTTGAGTCTTTAATTCTTGAACTCTTAGTTTTGATCTTTCAATCTAGTAAGCTTTCTTCATTTACTCTATTTTCAATCTCTTGTAATTAGCATCATTTTAAATGTATTTGTCTTAAATTTCTTTTGCAGTTCTTTTTATTTTATTGAGTTTCTTTTAGACCTCTGTAAGAGCTGGACATACTGCAGTATCAAACTACTTCTCTACCTTTTCTCTATTCTTTCTTTTATATTCCTCTAAGATAGTTAATTACTTATCATATTCATCTCTAAGCTTTTTTCTTTCATCAGCCTAATTTATTTGTATAAAATATTCAATGATTTATTCCTCTAACGATAGAATTTAATACTTCTTTTTCCTTTTCTTGATCTCCTAATTTAATAAGGTGGTCTAATTCATATGACTAATATCTAAATTTTTCATAATTCTCTCCTAAATCTCTTAGGGTTTCACTTAATTCTTAATTTTTTTTCTTCAGATCTTTGTACTTAAAATCGTTTTCTTAGAAATCTTTGAGTTCTTTCTATAAAACAAATTATATTATTAAATAGAGAATAAAAAGTAGTTTTTTGAGTTACAATTTTTTTTTCAACTTCTTCATGCTCTTTTCTTTTTTCAATTTCATCTTCTTCTTCTAATTATTTCTCTTGGAGGTATCTCTGATTAACCAATTCTTCATTAAATTTTTTCTCTTGAATTTCTTTCATTCTTTACTGATGATTTATTTATTTATAGTTGAAATATGTTCAATAATAAAACTAATTATACTTCATATTCTTAACAATTTTTTTCGTATTACATTCTCCACTTTTCAACTTCTTCATCCATTTCTTCTCTTCTATCTTTCTCCTTTTTGTATTTTTCCTTTATCCTGTTTCATTTTTATAATAATATAAATTCATTTATTTATTTGATAAAAGAAAACATACTCTTGAATCCTCTTTTTGTTAAATTGTTCTATTTCATTATGCTTTCTTTCTAATTCTTCAAGGAGTTATTTTATTTTTTCTTTCTTTTTCATCAGACCCAAATTTTTATTAATTGTTTTTGCCCTAACATTTTCTAAAGCCTAACATTAAAAAAAAAATGTAATATCCTTACTAATTCTAAATAAGTTATATATTATTTCACTGGAAATTATCAATTATTGTAATAAAAAATATATAATTTTTTAGCTTTTACATTAATTTATTAGATTAAAGCTTGTTTCATTTCTTTGTATTTTTGTTGAGAATCAGTTGCTAAATCTGGTAGAGGTTTGGCATCTTTACTTAGCATATCAACTAACCCATTTTTATATTCATCTTGCTTCTTTTTCCTAATATGATGATGATCATTTTATATTTATAACAACTGAAAATTATTTTGTTAAAATAACATACATTTCTTTAACAGTCTTATTCAAAAAGTTAATATGAGCATGAAGCTTTTCTATATATTAATCTTCTTTCACTTTATTCTCATCAGGTTCATTTATTTAAACCTTCCCTAAAATGTAAATTTAAAAATTTAAATTCAAAAGATTAGGTGAATTTGTTTTAATTAGAAATGAAGATTATTTAGATATAATTATTACTTGACTGAGAAGCAGCTAACTAATTTGCATTGTTGCGTTTTAAAGTAGATTAAAAATCTGTTTAGTCAAGCTTTTTAGAATTGCTTAAAATGCTTTTCATTTATTTTAAAAATAATAAAGTATTTGTCGCTTATTAATTGAATTTGATTGTTGGATTATCTATCTTATATTTTATTATTTCAGTTTAAGAGGTGTTTTATATTTTTTGAATTAAAAACTTTAATTTTCTTGATAGATATATAGATTGATAGATAGATATTGATAAATATTTATATCAATCTTTTAAATCAATATAAACAAAATTTATATTTATTATTAATCTTCGTATTTTCGTAACTTAAAATAGGTTTAGTTAGTTACTAATAAATAAAATTTATTATTTTAATTACATATTTTAAAAAAATTAAATTAAAATATGAAAATACAATTGAAATATAAACTAATATGATTTTTTGATAAGTATAAAATATATTTTTTAAAAAAAAAGTATTAAATAAATAGTTTATCTAAATAAAACTACTGATTTTATATATTAAACGATAAAATAAGATATAGTTTATTTTGATTTGCCTTTGTTATAACTTTAAAAAATATGTTTTCTTCAAAAAGAGTTTAATTTGCACTTTAGTAAAATGAGAAGCAAAAAAAAACTAATATTTATTTTTATATAAAAAATAATCTATCTATTTATACATATATGATTATCTTAAAAAGTAAATCATACATCTACCCTAACTTAAAATAAGCCAAAGTTCTAAGATATTTTTATATATAAATAGATAAAAGATTTAACAAAACATAAATCTACCCTAACTTAAAATAAACCAAAGTTCTAAGATATTTTTATATATAAATAGATAAAAGATTTAACAAAGATTTTTAATGCTGTAGCATATATATTAGCTGTTTCTAGTTTATATATAAATAAATACTCATTAAAGATCAAAACTTTAAATATTAATAGTGAAATTAAATTAATTAAATTTTATTATTTTAGTCTTCATGATATTTAAATTTTTAAATAAATTAGTTGCTCAAATTATTTAAATATCTTTATATCCAACATTACAAATTAATATATAGATTTCATATTTTTACTCTTCTAATTTCATTAAATGTTTCAACCTTAACCTCTTAGAAAAATTTTATGTTTGAATGATTATGTTTTCATTTAATTAAAACTATACAATTAAATTAAAAATTAATTGAGCTGAAAATTAAAACTTGCTTACTATTTACTTCATTTATAATTATAACTCAAAAAATTTAACCATTTGCTTACAAGTATAATTATTTAAACTTAACTGAATAAATAAATTATTTTGATAAGACTAATTGAATATGTTATGTCCAATTCAGTCAGTTATAATCTTATTAGTAATAAGTTTCTTATAAATATTAATTTAATTGAAAAATGTTAAGATATTTATAAAATATAATAAATTTAATAACAAATTTTGTTTGAAAGACAAAGAAATATTTTAAAATTCAAAAAAAAAGGTTTATTTATTAAAGATAAATTTTTTTTTAATTTAAATTCTTCTCTTAATATTGTAAAAAGTGATTTTAATGAATTATATATATTTATTTTTTATTCTTTTTTTTTTAAGTTTACAATTTCTAAATATTCTAATATTTCTAAACGCTATATTCTCTTTTATTATATGCTTATAAATATCAACGAGAATAACATTTCATTTATATAAATATCATAAAAATGTTTTTTTTTAAAAATTATTTGAAGCATAATTACAAATATTTTATATTAGTATATAATTTAAAAGATTTTGCTTACTAAGGAAAAAAGAGTGTATAATTTACCATAAAAATTGTAATTAAATATCTTAAGATTAAGGAATTACAACAATCCTAAATTTTACATCTAAAAATAATCAAAAAAGAATATTTTGATTGTATTATAAATTAAGTAGGATATTAATTATAATTTTTTATTATTTTGAAAGACAATTGTAGATAATAGGAAAAGGTAAAATAAAGAAATGGCTTTCGATCTTAAAGATGTTATCATATTAGTTTGGTGTATTTGCCAGTTTGTACTTGTAGTATTCTTTGGTTGGATATGCTATAAATAGAGAAAAGAAAAAAAGGAATTCGAAAGAAATGTAAATATGATTAAATTAAATAACAACTTTTAAAATTAGCTAATTTAAAAAAGATAACTAATTTCGAGAGGTATAACTAAAATTCATCTGTATCATAAAATAATAATTCTAATGGTAACAACGAAAGCAATTAGTCTCTTATGCAAAATTAACATTAACACTGAATCTCAAAATTAAAATTTATGTATCAAATTTGTAATATTTATTCTTTTTCTATATTTATTAAAAAATGAAGCTAGATAAGCTGCAAAAAACTACAGATTTTATCATAATCAAAACAATCAATTCTCATAGAAAATTATATATTAACATTTTATTATAAATATTTAAAACAATTAGTGTTATTTAATATGAACTATTTTCTATTTTGTACTTATTTATTTTTGTGAGATAGATTTAATAGAAAATATTCAATTATAAAAGCAATATTAGAATAGAAAAAATAAAGTTAAAAAATATTGGTTAGTATTTCATCATAATTATAATATGAACTGTTTACTAAAATTATTTAAATTTAGATGGGAAGGTTGGTGCAAAAGATGATTTATTTGGATTTTTTTTATATGCTTTTTTGATTGTATATAAAACTACCATATATGAAAATTTCATAGAATTTTTTACAACATGAATTATTTGAGTTTTATGGAAATCATCAATTAATTAATATGAAGTAAACTAATTAATAAACGTCTTAATTTCATATTTTTAAAAATTAGGATTTTCAGTAAATCAATTTAATAAATAAATTGCTCACTAAATGTTCAAGCATTTTATGAAAAGAGATTTTATTGACTGGTTTTGCATCTTTTTAACTTAATAAAGAGTAAAATTCGCTTATTAAATAAGAAAAATAGGTAGGTAAAATTTTAATTTTCTTACAAAATTTGTTTAAGATATAAGAAACTCAATAAATTTTGGTTTATTTTCACTTGAAAAAATATGTTAAGAAAGAAAAAGTTGGATAATAAATAAACAAATTTAGAACAAAAAATATTTATTAATTAATTGATTAAAAGTCAATACATAATATATCAATCAATCAATCAATCAACATAAACAAATCTCTTCAAAAATTTTGTAAGAAATGGAAGAATTTGATAAATTTAATTATGAAATAGTGTTTCATAAATTAGATATGAATTTCGCTCCTAAAAATAGTCTCCTTTCTCTCACCTTTAAAAGAGGTAAACATTTTAACAATAGGCTAAAATTTTTTGGTTTGAATATATTCTAATATGGATAGTAAAAAGATTAGTTATAATTAGGAAAACAGGAATAAAAAAATAGTCCAAATTTAATTAAATGCAGATACTAAATAATAAAAAAATATATTAGTTAAAAGCCATCAAACAGTTAAATAAAATGTTTGCATTAGCTATTTGTTTATTATGTGTAACATAAAAATTTTATAAAACAGGGACTAGTTCTTAGGAATCTAAAAGAAAGTTTTATTTAGATGATTAATCAAAGCAGGCAATAATAAATGAAGCATTTTCTTTTAAAACATAGCTACAAACAAATAGATAAAGAAATTAATATTTAGAAAAATATGTAAACATTTTAAATAAAATAAATTATTAAATATTTCCTTAGATTTCTTTAATAATTTAATAAAATGCTAACTTTTTAATAACAGGTTGAAGTGTATATAAATTAATGGAAGCAAGAAAAGAGTACAATAATTGGAGCTTTGAAGATCAATGTAGCAAATTATCCAAACAATAATATTTATGCAAGATATGAACAAGATGTTCCCTTAGAAAAGTGTAATGATCTTTCAGCTAGGATGAGTTATTAAGTCAAGTGTTCAAAGTAAATATCTATTGCTATTTAAATTTTTATTTAACGAATCTTAAATTACAACTATTTAATTAAGTTGTGCTCAATTAAAATAGATATATTAATTGGCTGACCTAAAAAAATAAATATTTTTTTCAATTTTTCCTTTGATGAAAAATAAAATAACTTTTTGGATTTTTTTGCTGTTGTTGTTGTTGTTAAAAGTTTCAACAATTTTTTTTAACAGCAAAATATCATTTCTTATATGTTTTCTTATTATTTTTCTTAATTTATAGGACCGACAGTAGAGAATCAAGTGAAAAAAGAATTTGTAATAATAACTAATAATATTTTTAAAAGTAATAAACTTCAAGTGTAACATTTGAAATTAATCTATAAATGGTAGAAAGTAAGTCACCAATCCAAGGATCGACCTCACACTAGTAGCAAGGAGTAGGAAGATTAGGAAATTCACAGTAATTTAATCAGCAGCAACAACAGCAGTAAATAGCTTATAAATCCTTTGCTTATAAGCATCATTCAGAACTCTCACCAGTTCAACCTAAAAGCAAGAACACTGACTAAGAAGAATCTTCCATGAGCCCATACAAGGAAATTCATTAATAAAGTAATACAAATCAAAGGTAAAATATAGATGAAATAAGCAATAATTAATAAGGAAACATTTCTACAACTGTATCTGCATCTAAGGCTCTTGGAGCTTCATCAACTACTAAAAAAACTCCTCTCATTACTATAAATAAAGAAAAAAAAGCTGAAAAGAAAAATTTTATCTTAATAAACTAGAAAAAATAATAGAATAGTTTCTCAGGAAATAATGATGTTATAATAAAAAATAATACTCAAGCTACAAGCTAACTCTCAAATTCTAATATTTCTGATACTACTCATGCTAATAGCGATATGAAGGAAAGAATGAGTATTAAATAAAGTTTACAGTCGTCAGCTGCTGCAACTTCTAAAACAAAAAATTATCTTAACTAAACTTCTTAAAGCAAATCCCCTGAATAATCATCTAAATTAACAAAAAATAATCTTTTAACTCCAAGAACAAAAACCCCCACTCCAACTCCTCGTCCTATAAGTGTTGTTTCATAATAAAGCTCCTCAACCAAAAATTCTTCAAAAAAAGAAATAGGATATAGAGAGAGAAGTGCAGAATAGCACGAATAAAAAATGTTATACAATTCTAAAGCAGAAAAGTAAGAAAGCTTGCAAAAGCAGTAAGTTCCTAATAAACGTAAATTTATAATAGAGGGTAAGAGGAGATAAGAAGAGAAGTAAAATGTTAAAGATATTTAAAATGCAGAGTTAGCAGAAAAGCTCTCATTTTTAACTCAGAAATTGAGAAACTAAAGTCAAGAACCTCCTAAAGGTAAATAAATAAATAAACATATCTATCGAAACTAATAATTTAAAAAATTTTAAATAGAAAAAGGTTTAGGAAATTATAGCGACTAAAGCCATAATGATTCAAATATTGATAGCAGTTTATATTAAACATAGTAATAGAAAGAATTGAGAGATTTCAAAAAAAAATAAATGAAAGAAATTTCAAATTTAGATAATATGATAAACTAAATGAAGACAGATCCTTAATTGGAAGACTTTGAGAGTGTCCATGCAGAAAGTGAAATTGCAGAAAATGGTTAAAAAAATTAAAAAAAGCTAAGAAATGACAATAGCAGCAGTACTTAGCAAGTTGACTTTGAAGATGATGAACTATTTGATAATAGTAACTACAATTCAAATAAAGTAGAAAAGTATAATAAAAATGGAAAAAGTAAATAGTTTATGTTTATTGTTCAATAATCAAACAACTTTAAATTTTATCAAGCCAAGTAACTAAACCACTCTGACTCTTAAGAGATAAATAATGATGAAGAATTTCATGAAGAACAAAGAGAACACTGCGTTATTCCTGTAGCATAAGATTTATAAATAGAAAGAAAATTTACTTTTAATAGCTAGCATGTTAATGAATAATAAATAAAATTTGAAGAGAAAGAAAAAGAACTACATGAAAAAATTTAAACTTTAGAGTAGCACATTTAAGTTTTAAATAAAACTATTGAGCAACTTAATGTTTAAAATTAAATAATTACTAACGAGCTATCTTCTAGCTAGCAGTAGCTTTAATTATCAAATTAAGAGAAATAGCTAGTAAATATTTTAAAAATATTAAATATAATTAATTTTTTCCTTTGAAAAAGCTTCTTTCTTCGAACTCAATTCTCAAGCAGTAAAATGATGATTTATAAAACTAATTAAAAGTGAATCAAGAGATATACACTCTAAAAATTGTAAACATCATTAAAAATTTATAATTATAATTGTTTCATATTTTTTAAATATTTAGAGTTAAATCCAAGAATCAGCATAATCTAATTCAGGAACTCCTAAGGAATTAGCATAATAGGTTGAAAATACTTAATACATGGTGTAGCAAATAAAGATTTTGACTACATAAAATAATGATTTGACTAATTAAGTTAAGTAGTAATAAAATACTATATTTGAATATTAATCACATTTAAGTGAATAAGAAAAAACTATTGAAGAGCTTATATTTAAGGTAAAAACACTGATTATTGATTAAAATTGATTGATATTTTTGTATGAAATAGATTAATTAAAAAGATCTCATAGTTAATGAGAAATCTAAAGACATGGAAGCATTAAAAAATGAAATAGAAGGTAAAATTAAAAATGGCGTCTAAGCTAAAAATGATGAAATAGATTAGATAAAAAGAGCATATGAATTACAAATTTAGGAGTTATAAGATAAATTAAGATTAGTCAGTGAAGAAAAGCAAAATATACTCATATAGTTTTAGGTAAAACAGTAATAATTTGATGATAAAGTATAAGAGTTGAATAGCTAATTATAGGAAGCTAACTAACGTTTAGAGTAGTTTGAATAATTTTACTAAAGCTTTTAAAGCTAAGGATAAGCTACCTCAATTGAGTATTAAAAAGCTTTAGAGTAAATAAAGGCTATGGAATAAAGTTTAGAAATTAATCAAAATGAAAAAAGAATGCTAGAAGAAGAAATTGAAACTTTAAAGCAGAACATGAACAAAAATGAAATGCAATTATCTTAATCTCATTAAAGAAAAATAGAAATCGTTGAATAAGAAAAGATTAATTTATAATAAGAAAACATGAAACTTTCTTCAAAAGTAGAATAACTAAACAAATAAATTCATGAAGCTGCCTTAAATATTCCAATCAATAAAGTTGCTACTGAAGATTTTGAGAAAATGTATTTCAACTCATAAAAATAATTAATTATAGTTCAAGATAAATATAAAGTAATTTCTTTTTTTTAAATTATTATTATATATTTAAAATAAAAATTATTTAGATTGAGCTCGAAAGATAACAAATTGAATTTAGTAAGCTTGAAAATATACTGAAAATTTATTAATAAAGATCTGAATTTTTGGAATAAACAAATGAGTATCTTGAAGCATAGCTAATTGAAACTAAAGAAGATTTATGTAATGCTATGAATGGAATATTAGGATCACAATCTAATGAAATTTATGATAATATTGAGCAATTCTTTTCATTTAGAGAAAACAGAGCATATAACTTTAATTGATAGGCATCAAATTTTTCTTTGAAAAATAATTTGAAAATGATATTTAAACTATTAATTGAATGTGATTAGCAAATAAATATGTTTAAAGAAAATTTTACTTAATTTAATTAAAATAAAAATTTACCTCAACCAATTTATAAATAAACTTAAAATAATCTTTAACATAAAATCATAATCAATATTAATAATGATAAATTTGCAAAAACTTGATAAATTATTCATTATCAATTATAAAAACAATAACTAATTATAATAAGCTTAATAAATAATAATGCATAATAGTAATAACATATTAGCATTAATTTACGTCATTTATAATAAAAAATAATTAAAGTATTTATATTTATTTTTATATATATTTCTCTTACAATCAATTAATCTCATCTTATTAATTTTTAATATAATTTTTTTAATTAATCACTTCAATTTTAACTTGGATATTCTATTTAGTTATAGTTTTTTAACAATTAGAACGCTGAATATATTAAGAAAACTTATAAAAAATTAAAATTTAAAATCATTTAAATGTTGACTGTACTTTAATAACAATTTTAAAAATGTTTCTCTCTTTTTAAATAGCATAATATAATACTAAATAATTTAAATTCTATAAAATCCTTTAGATAATATATTAATATTTTCACAAAATAAGAAGTTGAAATAAGTAATATATTTTTTCTTATAATTCTACTTGTAAATATAACGGTTAATCTAAGTTTAATTTAATTTGAGAACAAAAATTATTTAAGTATATTCTATTATTGTCACTTTATAGTTAAAGAATATATGAAAAAAATTTGATAAGATGAATTAAATTCATATCAAAACTAATATTTGTCAACAGATTTATAAATAAAATTTAAAAAATATTAATGAAAAAATAATTTTATGTTTGATTTGATTTTCTTTCTTACTATAAAATTGTTTGAAAAATTTAAAATACTTAAATTATTTAAAGATTTAACTAGTAAGTAAGAATACAAATATAAAAATATATTATGAAATATATGAATGAATATTATCAGTATTCTAAAAGTAATTTCGGATAGATAAATAAATAGATAGATAGATAGATAGATAGATAGATATATTTTTAATTTAAGATATTTAATTAAGTAAATATGTAATAGCAAAAGTTAAATGTGGTAAATACTATTTCCTTAAAGGGAGTATCTAGTCGATACATGACTTCTAGAATATATCATCCTTATAAGAAAAAATGCTATATATTTGTTGGGACAAATTAGATGATCTATTTTTTATCTATAAAGGTATGTTATTATGATTTTGATATATATTTTAAGATAAAACAATAATTTAATAGAAAGATGGAGGGGAATATCATAAAGAATAGGAGTCATAAGTGTATAAGTTGTAAGAACTAAAGAAAATAGACTAAAATGAAAACGTATTTACCTGCTTATCAACAATGATTTATAAGGATGAGGTTGTTGTTTTAACTGGATTTGTAAATAAGCAAACATTTTAATCATAAATATATGCCTATTATTTAAATTCGAATCTAGTTTATCACAATGGAAATCTTTTTAACGAATCTAAGATAAATTTGATAAATATGAGATAAGTTAATTATTCAAAAATACAGTTTCTTTTCACATCTTCATCTGATAATTCAATCCGAGTAATTTTAGTCACTTATTTTCAATATTTAAATATAATAAAGTACTAAAATAAATTTTTTTTCAATAGCCTTATGGCTAATTTATAAAATCTAATATTAAGAAATATTTTTTTAGCATTCTTAAGAGCATTTAGAAGATATTTAGATGAATTATTTTTATTTTTAATCAAATAAAAAATTTTTCTATTATTTTTTAGTATTATTAGAAATTTTAGATAAAAATAATATTAATATTTTAATATAGATATTTAGATTTGTAGAGCCAAAGTCGAAGAAGTATTAGTTCGAGTTGTAATTTATTCACATTTACAAATTCGATGAGTTTATTATTGATTTTGATATGAAATGCATTCTTTAAACAGAGATTTGTGTATTTTCACATGAGCTAGGAAATAATAAAGTGTTTTCTGACACTAATGAGGGAATTGAACATAAATTATAAGAAGATTAATAGACAGACATAGAAAATCAATTGGAAGAATCTAGTAAAACATTACAAGAATTTAAAATACAACATTAATCAAGCAGTGAGTTTGCTAACAAGACAAAAACATCTGGAGAAATATAATCATAGTAAGTTTTAGAAGATTAAAGAGCCAACAGTCACAACCATTTAAAATTTCCTTCAATTGGAGATTATAACTCTTCTAATAACTTAGACTTAAACACATAGTAAATGGAAATGAATTTACCTTAAATAGATAAACTTAAAAAAACACCTACGACTGATAGCAGAGATAATAACATTTCTGAACAATAATTAAAGTAATTCTTTTAGAAAAAGCAAAAAAGTCTAACAGTAAAGATATCTAATGAGCATCAAAAACATATCTAATTCAATTAAGAAGAAATTATAGAGGAATTCAGTGGAGAAAATAGTACTATAACTACTAAAAAACATAGTTAGGATAATATTGATGGAGAACTTAGAAAAGATGATATTAACTCTAATAATTAAATGAATAATAAACAAAAAAGAGAAATTGCTTCTACTTTTTCTTACTAAAATAAGCCATTAATGAATGAACTAAAGCTTATGCATAATCCTCTATCTATGCAAAATAGTGTTAATTTTACTTAAAACCACTTAAAATTACCAAATTTAAATTCAGCAAAGAGTGAGGCTTCTTTGGTGAACATTAAATAAGATGAAATGTATATATCATTTATTGATATTGATGGACAAGTAATTGTAAAAAAGCTTTATATTAATCCGTTTGGATTAGAACTTTCATAAAGCTTTTAAAAGTCAGTAACTTAATCATAAGCAAATTTGGGTATTGCAGGTAGTTACTGCAGATTTTTAAAGTGCATGGATAACTAATATGACAATTTTCAAGAATCTTCATCATCAGCTCAACTACTCTCTAAGAAATAGTAAAAAAAGTAAGTGAAATTTTAATAAAAGAGATAGCAGTAGTAAATGAATCAGGATAAAAATGAATTACAAAATTAATATGATGATTATGAAGATAAATAAATTAAAGATAATTAATCTATTTAAAGTTTATAAACCATTCAGTAAATTGATGAGCAAGGAAATGAAAGGTTAGATAAAGCTCTTAGAGATGTAAATTTAAATCTAATTGTAACAAATCTAATGGGAGATATTATAGAGTTCAAGAATGTGCCTCTTTAGGGTCTTGATAATCCTATTGCTTTTCCTTCGTTTGATAATTATAACTCTGGAGTGACAGGGTTATGCATAAAATCTCAAGATACACTTGAAATATTAGTTAGCTATTTTGATGGGTCAGTAATATTCTTTGATTTAAATAATGAAGATTAATGGAATCTCAAGCTATCTTAGCCTTTAAACTCTAACCATTTTGGTGTTTATTATGAAAATACTACAGAAAGTGACATCGTTTTTTTGATATCAGATGATACAATCTAAATTTATGAACTAAATAGCTACCATATAAATTGAATGATTTTCAAATAAAATATTAACCAACTGGTTTATTTAGTCTATTTAAATTCAAAAAAAAAATTATAAATCTTAACTGAGAGATTTTACCAGTGAAAATACTTTTTTTCTTAAGTTTTTAATTGAAAATATTTCTAAATTAAACAACTTAAAAATAAATAAAAAAGTTATTCATAAATCATGGAAAACTAAAAAAATATATATGATTGTTTTATATGTCTTTAACAAAGTGATTTTCAAATCCAGAATAAATATTTTTTTATTAAAATTTAAATTTTATTCATAAAAATTTGTTCAATAAAATAATCTCTTTTTTATTTGAAGGATAAAAATCATAAAATTAACAATAAGGTCTATTAATAAATAGAAATTAAATAGGATCATTAAATTTAATAGAAAATATTAATTTTTATAGTCAAATTTATTTTATTTGATGAAATATATCTATTTCAGCTATTATTTATATCTATCTTTAATAATTAATGCATTATCTACTCATTCAAGGAGTTTTATAGAATGCTTGAATAATATTGAAAGTCATTTTTTAATCATTTTGTGTGTGATTGAATATCAAATAAAAAATATCATACAAAAATAAGAATAAATATTTATAAGGAACAAATAAAAAAATGCTTTGCTTTAGCTATACTGTATTGTATTGAATATATATATATCTATCTATATCTTCGTTTATTATTGTGAATTTTTACTGAATTAAGAAATTAAATATGTTATATTAAGAAAAATTATAATTAATTAATTCATAATAAAGCTTAGCTAATATAAAATCTAAATAAAATAGATTAGACAAGGAAAGAGTTAAATAAGATTCAGTCATTATTTATTTACTTGGAATCTCAAAATTCATAGCAATTAAAATAAAATATTGAAAATATCATTAATTAAGCATTAAAATGTCAGGAAAAGTTATTGAAGATTATACATTACACGAAGCCTTAGGTTCTGGCTAATACGGAAAAGTTTATAAAGCATTGAATGTTCGTACCAACTCTTTGGTAGCTATTAAAGCAGTAAAGGTTGAAAAATTTAAAGAAGTTCCTAAATTAGAAGAATTCACTATGAATGAAATTTAAACATTAGCTAGAATTAACAATCCATATATAGTTAAGTTCATTGAAATGCTAAAGACTAAGAATCACTATTACTTCGTGTATGAGTATTGCAACGGTGGAACTTTAGAAGATATAATAAATAATTAAAAAACTCTACCAGAACACGAAGCCTTAAAAATTTTTAAATAGCTTGTTGCTGCCTTTACCTCTATAGTTAAAAATAATATCATGCATAGAGATCTAAAGCCAGCAAATATTCTCCTCCATAACGGTTAAGTCAAACTAGCTGATTTCGGTTTTTGTAAAGCTTTGTAATCTCCATAAGATCTTTCATAAACAATGGTTGGATCACCAATCTATATGGCTCCTGAGATTTTAACAGGACATGATTACACAATGAAAGCAGATATTTGGTCTTTAGGATGTGTTCTCTACGAAATGCTTTATGGAGAATGCCCCTATGAAGAGGTAATGAATAAATTTATTATTTACTAAGTATTTTTAAAGATAAGAAAATAAATATTGCATTTATATTAAGAAATAAGAAGTATTGCTAAAATAAAGGATAAAATATGTGTCCATATATAGATATGAAAGGACTAAAATATTTAAAATGTTATTATTTTTTTTTAAAGTTTAAAACATTAGAAATAATTAATATCTTAATTGAAATTTTTATAATTAACTAACATAGTCAACAATCGCTAAGCTCATATCCGCCGTAGAAGGAAGAGATATTTAATACCCTTCTAAGTATAATGTGAGTTAGAAGACTATTACTTTGTTAAAGGATATTCTTATTAAAGATGCTACTAAAAGAATAGATTGGGATGAACTTTTCAAAAGAGAATTAACTAAAACAGATTTATAGGATATCTAGGTGTACTAAATATTAGAATAAAAAGATCCTTCTAACAAAACCTAAAGTTCAGCAGAGTTAGAAAAGCAAAAGGCTTCAAAATCTTTCAAATATATTTTGAACGAACGTAACAAAATATTCTTTTTATACAAGGTCTTAGAAGAAATGCTTGAACTCAATTTTGACTAAGAAACTCCTATCTATTGCTTTTTGATGGTCAAATAAGTCTATGCAGAAGCACTTTTTATAAAGAAAAATTTAGTAAATAAAGCTCTTAAATAGTTATAAATATTCTAATTTTATTTAAATTTAAAAAAAGGTTGATACTTTCAATATTCCAGCATTCTAGCATTTGAAAAATAAGTTCGAATATTGGAATAGTATTCCACAAACATTTGAATACAAAAGTTTTTGTAAATTGATGGATAAGGAAGTTGATAACTCAAAAAAATTAGCATTAACATTTAAAGAAGAAGTAAATAATTCTGAAAATCCTTAAGAATATCTTTTAATAATTATTTATTTTAATAGGCTTATAAATTTTTCAAAAACTCCATTTACCAAAATGACTATGAAGTTTAAAAAGAAATAGATAATACATATGAAGGAAATAACCACACATTCAGAAGATTGATGCTTAGATACATAGAAGATATTAAATCAAAGCATTTTAACAAATTTTTAGATCCTACTTCCGATGACTCTACTAAGTGGTTGGTCCATATTCATAAGACTTTAGACGCTCTTTTACTTGATGAATTTTTTGAAAACTTCATTTAAATTGATATAACTGACTTTGAATAGCAACCTTATTTCAAAACCTTCCATACTTATTAAAAGAGTGACCTCTTGACTGTTGTTTCTAATAAAATAAATTACACTCGTAATAAACTTGGTTTTTGAGCTAATATCGTTAAATAAATAAATAAACAAATAAATAAAATAAAAAATTACTTCAATCTATTAATTGTATAAAAAATTAAAGAATTTTGTATTTATCTTTCTTTAATTAAATTTAATCTAATCTTATTTTCATTTATTCATTAATTTCTCTATCAATTTATTTTTAACTTTAAATTTTAAATTTGTAACTAAAATAAATAAATAAAATTGCAAAAAAGATTTTTTATTGATGAATTGAGTTGAGCTGATTTTATTTTTTATATTCCAAAGTATTTTCAAAACTTAAAGAATTATCTTTTTATAATTCTCAAGCTTAAAATTTACTAAATTAGTTAGATATGAAAGCTTAGCGAAATTTTCAGATTACCAATTCCGATAATGAATTTTTGTTAAAAATTAAAATAATTGAAGAATTTAACGATATATTCTAAATATTTTTTAATTAACTTTAACTATAACAATTCGAAGTTAAAAAGAGGTGAAATAATAGAAGTAGAATTCACATTTATATAATGTTTACAAAGAGTAACAGCAGAAGTGCATTGGCTGGCTTGAATTCAATAGTGAATTCATAAAACGATTCTCTTACTTCTCGAGCTTAACATCAAAATTATGCTAAAAAAGATTTAACAATATCAAATTCTACTTCAAACCTTTCTTAAACAATATAGTAATACTAAATGCAATTTTCTTCATCTTCATAACAAATAAATTAGAATCAGAAGCACAAATATTTTCTGAATAATAGCAATAATGGCCCTGTGTAAAACGTTAGTTCATCTTTAGAAAAAAAGCCTGGCAGTTATTTTTTTAAAAATGGAATTTAAAACTAATCAAAACAATAAAATCAATACATAAGTTAATAATTCTAACAGCTACAAAAGAGTTTTGACAGTTTATAAAGATAAAATTCAAAAAGCGAATTGAATTCAAGTACTAGTGCTGTATAAAATAGAGTTAAAACAAGCAGAAGTATTATTAATTATAATCTTCCTGAATTAACTAGGAATAAAGAGTATCCTGCATCTTCTAGGAACCTTTCTCCTATCACTCTTAATTAATTGGATTCTGAACAATCACAATTCCGAAATAATCTAAACCAATAAGAAAATCTTATCCTCAGAAATAGTTCTAAATCTCCTTCTTCTATTTTGAATTCTAACAATAACAACAATAATACAATCAGCTTAAAAAATAATATTTCTTCTTCCTCTACTTCTTAAAGTAAGATACTTGGTTCAAATATCAACATATCAAATATTTTTAAATCATCAAATTCTAATCACTTATTACTAAGTAACGCTATTAAAAAATAAAATACTAGCTGCAATTTAGCAAGCATTAATTAGCAATAAAATAATTTAAATTAATAAATTACAAGTAGTTTAAATAATGAAAACTCTATTAAACCTCTATCTTCTATGATCAGATAAGAAAAAAGTTCAAATTCTTAAAATTTGATTTAAAGAACTGAAAGATCTAATACAAACTACGAGTAATCAGACCCAAAGAAGCAAAAAATTGTCGAAAATATAATAGAAAATATTCTTAATACAGAACCTTCAATTCAGGAAAATATTAATTAAATAGGATTACATGAAGAAAATAGAAATCTATTGAGTAATTAATATTAAGAGTTTATCAAATTTTCTTTAATTAATATAAATCTTTGAAAGGACTAATATAATATTTATTTTTAAATAACATGTTAGATAATCAAAAAAAGCTAGCAATCGAGCTAGAAAGCTTAAGAAATGCTAATTAAATTTTATCAAAGGAGAATTAAGAACTTAAAGAAGCTATAAAAATAGAAAGAGATAAATTTAAAGAAGAACTTACTAAACTACTTTATGAAATAAATAATATGAAATAATTTGAGGATCTCTATGTTAGTGAAAAAAGCTTGAATGAAAAGATTCAATAAAATTTAAAAAAATTAGAAGATAGTTTCATGAATTATAAAAGCGATATTGTGTATTTTATTCATTAGGCTTAAATATTTATATTTAGGTAATCTTTTTTAAATATAGAGGACTTATTTATGATACTTTCGAGATAGTTCTATCAACAAAAGGATTTACAACACATTTAAGAAGTGTTTAACTTTCTCTAGAAGAATCACAAGAAGGTAACTAACAAATTCAATATTTAATATAAAATACTCAAATTATTTTAGTATATAGAGCATTCTTGAAGGTCATTTCAAAAAAGTCATCTGATTTAATGAACAAACTTAATCCTTTTGTCATAGACTTAGAGATTCAAAATGAATTAAAAGAAGTATTTAAAATTGTTTTAAAAAATCAAATAATTATTTCTAATTATAAAAGTTTGGCAATTAAATCAAAAACGATTAAAAAAACATGTTCTTTGAAAGTTTGTAGAGTTTCAATGAAAAAAATAAAAATTTCCTCTAAGAAAAGAGCAGCAAATAAAACAACTTAAAAATAAAGGAAGAAGGGTTATAAAAAAAGTAAGTCTCTAATGAAGAAAAAAATTACTTAGAGGTCGTTTTGAATGATTTTGAAGATGATAGATGTTAACAATCAAGCAGTTAATAACAAAAAACAGCTTTATCTTAATAAGCTTAGTCAGATTATGTGAATGGCTAGTAATAGGAGTTATCGCATTTAAAAAGCATATTGACTTCCACAATGAGTCACAACAATTTTTAGAATATTTAAGAGAATGAAAATAATAACAACAGTAATAAAAGTAATAGTAGTAATTAAATAAAAATTAAGAGTGTTTCACTTGAAACTAAGAGTAACCAAGAAATCAGTTGTTAATATTCATAGGATTAACTAGGTAGCAGTATTTAATCTTCAAGATTTCATTAAAAATCTAATTAAGTAGATAAAATTGGTATAAAGTTGCAAGACTACATATCATTTAATACAAATGATAATTACCAAGAAGGTTAGATTCAGTAATTGAACAATATACAAGAAGAAGAAACTCCTTCTAAACCTTAACAAAATCCATTAGATAATTTCCTTTTAGTAACTTCGAGCTATAAGAATGATTAATTTTAAATTAATTTTTTGAAGGAATAAGAGCTAATTTAAGGTTTAGAAGATGATGTTTAGCATGTAAAAGAAGCACCTAATATGCAATTTGAATTTTTATAAAATAAATAAAAAATAAATAATCAGTAAAAAGAATTCAAATAGATTTAAAGCTTTGATTAATCTTTATAATAAAATAACCTTAATCTTTCTAAGTAAAATTAATTTTAGCCAAAAAATTTTATGCTGCAATTAGTTTCACCTTCTTCTGAATAAAGTTACAAGAATATTTTTGATGAAAAATAAATTCAAGAAGAAGTAAAAAACGTTAAAAGCTAGTACAATAAAAATGAATAGATACATAATTAACAAGATTAATTAAATCAAAAATAGCAGCAGTAATATTAATAAGAAAACCATTTGATTAATAATATAGCTTAAGGTAATAATCAGAGTATACTTAATTCTATAAAATCATAAACAGCTAGCAATTTAAAAATAATTAGTAATGCAATTTCAAACAAAAAAAATGTAAACTAATCTGTTGGAAATCTAAGTAAGCACATGCAATAGGAGAGCATGGAATCTTAAGGAAACAGTAATGATGGATAGCTAAGTAGTGGATAAAATACAGTAATATACCATCATTCGAAGCAAGTATCGTAGCTCTCTTAATACAACTAATCAAGTCAAAAAAATATAATCTAAAATTAAAATATATAAATGAATGAGGATGTATAAACAATAAACAGCAAAAATTAAAACTCAAAAGATAAGGAAGTAGATATTTAAGAGTTATCTCCATGCTTTTCTTCATCAAGAATGCACGATTTAGGTAATTTAAAACATTTTAAAATAATTTGTAATTAAAAAAATAAAATAAAAAATTAGATAACAGCAATTCAATGAATCCTTTAGATATACATAAAAAGCAAAGTCATTTTAATAAAAGTTTGATTTAAAATAAACATTTAAATTAAAATAGCATACATTATTAGCCCTAATAAGTCTAAGCTTAACATAACTTTAATTTGAATGAAATAATGTCTGATAGTATCTAAGAATCTCCTAATAATTAAACAAATTAAAATTTTATTAATAGTAGTAATTCCTAAAAGACATATGAATAAAATCAATTATAATAATTGAATTAAAGAGGTACCTAAAAAAGAGAATTCTCTCAAATTGAATCTGTTTAAGAGAGCTAAAATAAAGGTGATGAAAACATAGATAGTACTATGTCAGGTGATGAGTTTGTCATAGCTGAATATAATTTTTAAGCACAAAAAGTAAAATATTTATTAAAAATTTATTATTTAAATTAAATTAATTTTTTTTGAATAAAAGGAAAATGATTTAGAGTTTTCCAAAGGTGATAAAATCTAGGTTTTAAAGAGAACATAAACAGGTTGGTGGATAGGTTTGTGTAGAAATCGTATCGGTTATTTTCCATATGAATGCGTTTCAGAAATAAAATTTTCTTGAAAGATTTTAAAAAAAAAAATATTATTTAATGATATAAAAAATTTATATTAAAACAATATCAAAGAAAAGAGTTAATTTTATATTATCTATAATAAGAAATAATTAAAAAATTAATATTTATAAATTATAATTTGCATTTAATTAGTAAGAAAATAAAATTTTAGTAACTTATTTAAAAAATCCATCCGAGTTTAAAAATATTTCTAAAATAAATTATTTATTTGTTTATTGTATTTACTTATTTTTTATTTATTTATGAATAAACACAAAAATAAAAAAATAAAATTCTAACTTTTTTATTGTTGAAAAACATTTTTATGTGTGAAGTTTAATTAGTTAAATTTTAAATAAATTTATTTTTTTTAGATTAAGAAAATTTAAGTAATTATTTTAAAAAAATTAAACTGAATTAATATTTTACTTTAAAAAAGATTTAACAAAGATAATAAATAATTGCTATTAATTATCAGGTAAGCATTTGAAGAATTTAAAGGAATATTAGAAATAATTCACATTATAATTTGATTGAATTTACTTTAGTGAATTAAAATCTATTTAGTAAAAAACTAACTTCTTTATTGGTAAATATAAAGCAATAATGAATGGATAGATAAAAGAAATGTCAAACTTTTTTTGCTATTATTTAATTTCAAATAATCCAAAAAATAAAATAAACACAGAAAAGTTAACTGTATGCATATCTTTGAAAGATGAAGAATTTGAAATTAAAATATTATTCTTGTCTCAATTTATTATTTTAATAGTGTATGATATTTCTTTACACATACATTTTTATTTTCTCTTCTATTTTTTTTCAATTTAAATGTTCCATCCAATCTTTAGAGTTTTTCATCCATCTTTCTTTATCGCAAGTGGTATTTAAACTATGATTTCTATACATTGTTGCGTGAAGTAAATGCTAAATTTAAAATAAAATTAAGATTAATAAAATCAATTTTTTAAGTAAAAATCAAATTTTATAACTAGCAAACATCAAAATATTAATATTTACATCTGTGAATCTACCATCATGGCCAAAATGCTTTGGGACATCAACTATTATTTTAAAATTCATTTCTTTAAAAATGATACAAAATAAAAGAAATATTCTTACTCACTTATTTTTCTCCTCCATAGGTCTTATATGTAGTCTTAAAAAAAGTATTTGCATGCTTTTTATGAAAATCTATTTATTTATTTATTAATTTCAAAAATATTAATAAAATATTTCAAAAAAAATTAAAAAAGCCAAGTAAAGCTATCCATTACCTTAGTGCTCTTCTTCTAATTTTTTAATTTACTCCTAAACCTATTCCTGTGTTAAATTGTTATAGTTCATTGATGCTATTTATATTCTACGTTATATATTTTCTGAATGTTTTTGTTTTTGATTTAAAAGTTATATTTATATAAAGGAATTAATTTTTTTAATTAACAAATTTTTTTGCTTTTGCTTTATCAAATCAAATTATGCTGATTTAATTAATTAGAAAAATTAACAAATCAATTATTAAATTTAATTTTTTTTAGTTATAAAAAGTCATTATTAAATTAGTTTATTTTTTAAAAGATATTCTAACAAAAAAATAAAGATTGAGTTTTCAAAATGTCAAACGATTAGTTTTATTTTAATTTTGAAGTTGGTGGTAATTTAAATTTAAAATTAATATAGTTAAATTATTTAAAATAATTATAGTTGATGAAGAAGTGAGTGAAAAATATGATTAGAAATCAGCATTATAGCCATTAAGTTAAAGGTTTCCATTTTTTTGTTAGTTCTGAATAGTTGGTAATTATTTTTTTTTTAGAATTGAAAAAGCACCTTAAGATAAATAGAATGAAAACAGTAACTCTCATTCTTAGTAAGTACCTAAATAAGATTAACAACATTTAGTTGAAAATGAATAAAGCAAGATTGTGTAAGATGAAAAAAAATAGAACACTAATTATTAAATTATTGAAGAATAAACTACTTAAACATAGCGAGTAATAAAAGCAAAACCTGAAATATAACAAAAGATGATATATTTAAGAAAGGCAACTAGTTTAGAAGAATTCGAAAGTACTATTTAAGAATTGATAAAGTAAAGAGAAGAGATTATGCTCATATATTTCTTGATTGAAAATGAAATCTATAATGATTAGATGCATTTGATGATGTTTTTGAAATTTACTTTTGAAAAGAAATAATAAGATATATTTAATAATATATTATGCCAAAAAGAGATTGTAAAATATATTTAAAAATGCAATGACATAAGCAAAATAAGTGATATACTATACATTGCCTTTTAAAGAAACAATAGATATGATGATTCTTTCTTTTAGTAAATTTGCAGTATTATTCAATCTAAAATTGATAATTAAAAAGACAAAGAATAATCAGATTTTTTCCTTACTAATTTTTTTAGAATTATGGTCAAATCAAAAAGGTAATTAGAATATCGTATTCAATTATATTTATTTCTTTTCTTATGTTTGATAATCATTTCAGATTTTTATTTATTTATTTATTTATTTATTATGGATAAAAAGATACAATTAGAACAGTGGCTAGTACTTATTTCCTTAAAAGTCTAAGATAAATGTCAATATCTTTTTAACAAAAATTCTGGTGGTTATACAATACGTGATTGCATATCCATTGACATGTTTTCCTAAAGGATATAATTTTTCAAATATTGAGGTTATTAAGGTGATAATTGATTATATTTTTTTGTTAAAAACTGAAGATATTATTTAAGTACATTATATTAAGTACTTATTTGATTTAATCTAACCACATATCAGTAACTTGAGTTTGGATGGCAAGTATAAAATTCTATAGTATGTTTTAGAGTGTATAATTATAAAATATGATGATAAAGACCCAGTAAAATACCCTTATTCATCTTCTGTATTGTTATCATACTTTGAAAGCATATTTTTACCAGATCACGAATCCTCAGAAACAATTACATTTTAAATTGATAAAGCCTTTGAAGATATTTATTCTTTAACATCATATGAAATCAATAATTTAATGACAAATTTGTTTTACAGTTTTCCATCAGAGTTCACATTTCTAATTATGGAATAGCTTGCTGACAGATTGTGCTAGTCAAATGATTAAGAAGTCTAAAATTGTTTGTATTAAGATATTTTTTAAAATTTAATTTTAAAAAAAGCTACTGCATGCATTAAAAAGGAAGGGAAAATAAAGCACCTCTGCAATATGATATCAACCTATTTGTATATCTTTTAAGATAAAATAAAAGAAAACTCAAAGTGGGTATTTTAAGTGCTAAAATATAATAATTTCATTTTCCACTCATTTTCAGATTTAGATTAAATTTACTAATAGCAGAGAATAAATCACTTTTGTAAACTTATAAGGCAGATCATTTTGCATAAACAACTTACTCCTGATTTCCAAAATAAAATAGAACAAGCTTATAAAAGTGTCAGCTCACTAGTAAAAAAAGAATTAGATCAAAAAGAATTTAAAAGGAAGTGTTTTGAGTATGAAAATAAAGTTAAAAAGTAGGAATCATATATTGATGGTAAATAGTTTTCAGGATTCGATAATTATGGAAACACCTGCTACTTTAATAGTTTCAATCAAATAATCTTGAGGCTTCCTATATTTAATGAATATTTAAATTCAAAAAACAAATACATTGTCACACCTTTATTTGAAAATTACAGAAAATTACTAAAAAGTTTAAATTCTCCAAATAAATATGGAGATTAAATACTAATTAAAGATATTGTTTAATTATCATCTCCTTTATTTAGATGGGGAACATAGCAAGATCCATAGGAATATTTCGTAAACTTTGTTAGGCAATTATATTTCGATGAAAAAAATATTACTCGAAAAGAAGAATAAGACAAATAAGCTATTTAGCATAACTTATTTACAATCGAAAAATTTGGCAGAAGAACATGCCATAATTGTAAGTTATATTCAAATTATAAAAAGGAATAGTCTCCTTCAATTTAAATTAACTTGGGAAGTTAAATTGATTCTACTGAATTAGATTTTTTTTAGCTTACTAAATAAACAGAGTCTTAGTATCAAAAAGCTAAACTAACGTGCTCTACATGTAACAAAAACGTTGAAATGAGCTCAGATGAGTTGTATTCTCGAATACCTCCTATCTTGGTATTTTAATTAAATAGGATAAAAGATTACTAATGTAACAAAAATTTATGCAAAGTAAAATTTCCTGAGTTCTTCAATTTTTTAGAAATATAAAATAATGGATATAATTTCCCTTACAATAAATCAAACTACAGGTTAGTTGGTATAGTAAATCATATCGGCAAATATACTAATTGTGGGCACTATGTTTGTTATCTGCGTTATAAATAAACTAACAAATGGATACTATTCAATGATAAATAAGTAGACGTTTTCTAAAATAGTCTGACACTAAGCTAAATTTTGCAAATCAATTCAAATGATAATACTCCATACTTGTTAGTATACCAAAATTTTACTGAAAATGAGCCTGTTTCCAAAGAATAAGCAATACTAGATTATTTTGATCGCTTTAGATAATATGATAAATACCATTAAAATTAAAGTTGATAAAAGTCATTTTTTTTGTCAATAAATTGAAAAATTAAAACAAAAATAAAATATAAAATTTTTATGAAAAAAAAAAATTTTAATTTCAAAAAATGTTTAATATTTTTTGTTATTCGTTGTATGAAAAATCTTTACACTTAATTTATTCTAATATTTTAAATTAGTATTTTATAAAAATAAGTTAGTACTATTGAATATGTGATTAAAAAAATATTAATTAATTTTAATTTAGATTTTAATGTATCAATCAGATATTTAATTCATTTTTCTTTGTTAAATTAAGTAAATGTATTAATTTTAATTTTTAAGATTTCTTCTTAGCTTATTGTATATAAAAACTGAAAGAAAATAAGCAAATAACATAGTTTTTATATCAATTTATTAATATGTAATACTTTTTTTACTAATTTATTAACATTTCTTATCAAATCTAGTTAAAAGAAGCAAATCGTAAGAGAAAAATAGAAAAGAAAAAAAACTAACTTTCATTTTTCTCAATAATTAAAAATAATTAAAGATCTTAAAGCTCTGATAGTTATATAATATATCCTTTAAAATGTAAGACTATGATTAAAAGCCAGGAATAATTTCTTTGCTGGTTGTTTGCTCTGCATCATTTTTATCAACTTTATATATCATAATCTACTATTTTCTTAATAGAAAGCAAATTAGATCATTTTCATTCGATTTAGTTATTATGCTTTGCATTAGCGATTTTTTTTACTCTTGTATTGGTTTATCTAGGTCTATTTGGATGCTAATTGATACAGATGCTAATCTAAGTAAAGCAGCATGCTACATTTAAGGGATTTTTGTTTAAACATTTACAATCAGCTCATTTATTTGTACTACTAGTATTTCTTATTCTCTTTACTAATCAGTAGTAAAAATGCAACCAATATACAGGAAATCTGCATTCAAATTATTTTGGAAAAATAACTTTTTATACCCTTTCTTAAGCGGTTTAAGCATTTGCTGTTTTTAATACTATGGCCCTATAAAGCCCTTTTCTAACACAATCTGCTATATAAGCGGAGATAATGATTTATAAGTTTAACTAATGATGCTTTTTTACTACTATATACCTTACTTTTTTTCCTTAACCTTTGATACTGTTCTCATATACCGCATTATTAAATATTATAGAAGTTTGTAAAATGAATATTAAGTTGTCAGTTTTAATGAAATTTTTAAATTGGCATGCTATCCACTTATACTCTTTCTGTGTTGGCTTCCTGTTATAACATTTCGTATTTTAAAATTTTTTGGAATATAGTCAGAAATGTATATTGAAATAGGTCATATAAGTGATAATATCATAGGCTGCTTAAATTCACTCTTTTATGTGATTATATCTCTTGATCCTTTTGGATGTTTTAACTATAACAGCACCGATTCTTCTCAGTCAGATATAAGTTAAAGTATCCTGAAAACTTTTACAGAAAAGCTAAGCAATTAACAATCTAATTGCGAAATATATTAACAAAAATCTGAAATATCTGAAGATTCCAAAATATATTTAAATAATAGTAATACAATAATAGATTCTATTGATATGGATTATTCAAAGTCTGAATGAAAGTTTACAAACATAAAATAATTATTCTAAAAATCTAAATAACTTTAAGTAGTAACTCAATCACAAATTTTCCAAACACAAACAAATATAATAGTTTATTCAATATAAATTATTTCTTTTATTAAATTAAATTTTATATAACTTAAAAATTCCTTGTAATTAATTAATAAACTACTAACCATTTTATCTATAATATTTCAATTAGTCTTGTAAATTTAAAATATAAAAATTTTATGTTATAATTTTCAATATAGTTAGTGATAAACTTTAAAAATTAAATTAATTTACTTACATTTAATTTTTATTATTGTATTAGTAGCCATGTTAATTCTTGTAGAATATTTTCTTATGATCTTTTCTATAACCTAATTTATCGATTCTTATGTGTCTATAATAATTTCTAAGAAAAAGGACTTCTAAATTTTAAACCAATAACCTCTCTTTATTATAAAAATCAGTTTTTACCAGTTTTTTTGTTTAAAAATACACAAAAATTAAATCTTTTTACAAATAAACAATAATTTACAATTTAAACAAAATTTAAAAAAAAAAAATCTTTTTATAATAAGAAAAGTTAATAAATAGAAGTAAAATGATGATGAATTAGGAAAGTTTATAAGTATAAAGAAGCTGCTAGACTCACCCTGATTAGGTTATTATGGGTATTTGTTTGAAAACAGATTGCACTTCTCCTAATAGATTAGTTTGCTTTAATTGCCTGATTTCTGATTCTATACATACAAGTCATTCTTAAAATGTTGTTGCACTTAATCAAATTACTAATGAAGGCAAATGTTTTGGAAACTGGCCTCAAGATGAAGAAGGTTAGGCTGTTAAGTATTTACTGCAAAGCTTATCAAAAATCAAATCTCATGAAGATATAGATAAAATTTTTAGTGATTTTAAAAAAAAGTTAAATACTTAGATTGATATTGTCTAAAGCGATGTTAAGAGAGTATATGATGAATAATATTTACATACCTCTAAGTTTGTAAATAATTTAGAAAAAGAGTACAACAACATATACACATTAGGAAGAATAATAGATTTACTGAAGGAATTAGAAAAGGGAAATTTAAACGATTAAGAGTTTTATTTAAATGTAAATAGTTTTCTTGTGAGCGATGAAAGAAAATCTTAAATGAGCACTCTTAGAGAGATAGTTAAGCAAGAAGGATCGAAGGATTTCCTATCATTTGATTAAAAACTATTCGATGGCTGTTCAGAAAAATGTATTTAATCTATTAAATAGTTTGGTGATTCCTTTAAATCTGCTTCTAGTTTTAATTCAATAGATCTTGAAATCGCCTAAGTGAAATAACCATAAACTGTAACTTTAGCTAAAGATTAAAGTGGTATTAAGTTTACATAAACCTCTCATTCAGTAGTTTATTGGTATGTTTGTTTAAATATTTTAATTTTTTGTTTAAACTTATTGAATTATTAATAGTAATAAGCCTCTTAGCTATGGCATGTATAAAATAAAAGTGAGAATGGATTCATACACTTCTGGCTGCTATGTAATAGGTTTAGAAAGAGAGGCTAATAAAATTACTTCTAACTATTGGGGTTAAGGATACCCAGCTTGCTGCATTATTTGTAAAGCACAGGATGCTATATCTATGGTAACCAATACAGTTAATGAGTACATAGGTCATCACTTAGTAGCAGGTAAAATTATGAATATAGAGATCTGTCTTAAAAAAAATATATTCACAATCGGAGTTGAGGGTACAAATGTAGCTTATCAGTTGAGTAACTTTACTTTTGCAGAAAATGAATAGTGGAGATTGTTTTTTAACAACTATAGTGGAGCACCTTGTTCGTTCACTCTTTTGTCTTCTATTTATAGTGAGTTTATCTGAGATAAATTTAAAATTAATTTGTTTTTACGAGTTTTATTTTTGTTAAAATATTTATGAAAACCAAATAAAAAATATTTTTTTTTGCTATAAGATATATTAATATGATTTTTTTACCAAACATAAGAAAATATTTCAATATTTTCTTTTCATTTATCTTTAATTATTTTTGAATGAAGGAAACATTCATTTAACAAATTTATCTTCTACTAATTGTGATATTATCTGAGAAAACTTTAAAATGGAATTTTTTTGAATTTTTTTCACTTTAAAAATTTATACATTCCAGATAAAAACACATTGATTTTTGTAATTAAAATATTTTTTTCATTTCATAACCAAAGGTAAAAAATAATATTTAGACAGGTAATATTCTTAATTTTTTTAATATTATTAAAATAAATATTCTTAATTTAACAAATTCTAACTAGGAGAATTTTTAAAGGCTGATTTTGTAAAATAAGTAAGTAAATAAATAAATAATTAATTCTATTCTTATTTTTTTAACTAATATTAAAAGAAATATTATTAAATAAATATATAACAAATTCTAACTAGGAGAATTATCAAAGGTTAGTTTTGTAAAATAATAAGTAAGTAAATAAATAAATAATTAATTCTTAAAAATCAACAATTTTGTATCAAATATAAAATTAATAGATCTAAAATGATTTTACAGCCTTTAGTTTATTTTTTAAAATATTTTAATATATTAAATTTTTATGTGGAAGCTAGCAGAAGTAATGTTTAATTAATCAAACTGAATCAGGGTCATTATTAGGTTCTTAACCTTCTTCACTAGGAGGTTTTTTATAGAGCGTTACACCTTTATTTGCTAAACTATCAGCTAATGAATTTTATTCTCTTGGGATATACTTAAAGTTTACATGTTTGAATTAAGTTCTTAGTTATTTGCACTCGCCATTATAGAGTATTAAATTTCTATCTTTTACTCTGTATAAATTGTTCATTTAATTTATAATTAGTTGAGAATCTCCATAAACATTCAGAAATTCTATTCCTAAACTCAAAGAACTCTTTAATCCATATAAAAGTGCTAAATATTCAGCTTAATTATTTGTTTTAAAACCTGTGTGAATAGCTTATTAATACAATTTTTAATCGTTGTCAAATATTGCAAACCCGATACCGCTGGGTCCTGGATTATTCTTTGAAGCTCCATCAAAAAATAAAAAGTATTGAGATGTTTTAATAATTTTTTAAGCAGCCTTTTATATCAAAGTTTCATTTTCGGTGTAATACTTATATAGATTTTTAGTTTATTTTAAAAATTACTATAAGCCTTCATCTTCTTATATTTTTTTAAATTCAGGGCTTTCCTGATCAATTTTTCCTTTTTTAAATTGCTTTAATACTTCTGATCCCTCTACAATCTATTCTTTTGTATCATGCACTTTCATGTATACTTTTTGTTTGGCCATATCTATTGGATAGTTGTTTTCTTTTATGAATTATAAGGCTAAATCTTCGCTCTAGAAGGCTTTAATTTCATGATGTGGATATAGCTTGGTGTATTTATCTAAAGTTTTTTGGGTTTTGATCAAACGGACACTTTTTACAAGCAGTCCATTTTTAATCATAAATACAAACTAAGTTTTCATCTATTGAAAAATATATTTTTATTTATTTATTTGTATTGCCTTTTAGTTTCTAGAAAATCTGAAATTTGTTTTCAAAAAATTAAGAAATTTTATTCTTTTTTATGATGAAAAAAACTTAATAAATTTAATTTTGATTTAACAATAACCTTTTAAATATTTAGAGGTATTTTTATTAAAATGTTTTAATTTTATGTTGTATTTAATGAATATTTTTCTTGAAAAGCTTTGAATTTATTGTGTGATTTTTTCAAATAACTCTAAATTTTATCAATAAGAAATTATTATAAGAAATAAATAGAATTGAGAATAGAAAATGTGTTTAAAATTTATTATAAATGTATATTTAGTAAATTGGAATTGAAGAATTAAAATGGTAAGAAAGAAGACAAGCATCCTACGATAACATATTATTAAAAATGCAAGCAAGCTTTAGGCAAGATTGGATGTAACATATTGTAATAAATTAGTAATTTTAAGAAATTTATTTTATAGAGTGATCAAATCATTCATATTCTATAGTGAAATGAATTTGAACAGCTGTTTAAATTGTTATCACATATACATAATCTTTGATTTAAGCTAATGAAATCATAAAGACTAAAGACATTTTATGATAAGGGATGCTTCGTAGTCATTCTGTTAATATTAGATTTTGATAAAGAGATTCAACATTCTCAATGTCTTCCGGCAAATTCGTTGGCAGTCTTGACAGCGAGTTCAGCAGAGTCACCGAGGTCCTATCCGACTCTAATTTTAATAGAGGGATTCTTATCGGTGAATTCTAAGAGTAATTTTCTACCAACATCAGCTTAGTTACCAGAGAGACGAACAACCAAAGGAACTCTCAAAGAAACTAATTAGGCGGCCTTGATAATACCTTCAGCAATGAGCTTGCAAGAAAGGATACCACCGAAAATATTAATAAAGACGGTTTCGACCTTAGGGTGAGCGTTCAAGATTTCGAAAGCAGTCTTAACTTATTCAACGTTAGCACCACCACCAACATCTAAGAAGTTAGCAGGAGAACCACCACATAACTTAATGATATCCATGGTACCCATAGCCAAACCAGCACCGTTAACTAAGCAACCAATGTTACCGTCAAGAGCAACGTAAGCCAAACCAGCTTGGATGGCCTTTTCTTCATGAGGATCAACATCTTCACTGGCAACGGAGTTCTTTCTTAATTGAACTAATTCTTATTGTCTGAATTTGGCATTATCATCGATGTTAATCTTAGCATCAACGCAGTAAAGCTTGTCCTTAGGATCGGTGGCCCAAGGGTTGATTTCAACTTGGGTAGCATCGAGCTTGTTGAACATTTAATAGAGGTTTTTAATTTGAGTCTTAGCATCTTCAGCGATGTGAGTTAATTATAACTTGGAAATGACAGTATTTAAGTCAGCATCAGTCAAACCAGCAGAAGGGCAGATGGGTTGAACGATGATGCTTTCAGGGTGAGTTTTAGCAACTTCTTCAATATCAACACCACCGTTAACAGAAGCAACGATAGCGGGTTTTTGAGAGTTTCTATCTAAAATGAAAGCTAAGTAGATTTGTCTGACGATGTCAACACCTTCGTGGACTAAGACAGCATCGACTCTCAAACCTAATTTAAAAAAATATTTTTTAATGAATTGAAAAAAGTTTTTTTTATTGAAAATAAACTTAAAAATTAAATAATTATTTTAAAGATAGTGTATTGTGTAAATTTGTATTGTATTGCAATGCATAGAACAACAAATAATATTTTATGACCAACTATTTTAGCTATTAATCTAAAATGTTATAATTTAAATGTTTTTGGATATTAAAACAGATAAATAAATTTTATTTGAAACTAATTAGTTTAAGAAAGGCGTTTAAAAAAAATATCTTTTGCATTTTTTGAATATTCTTTAGAATAGTAAAGAAAGTTCAAGATATTGAAGTTTTATTTGCAATCAATCGATAAAAAAGCAAATAAATAAATCAATCTTTGTCTTTAATTATCAATAAATAATTTATTTCACTTTAATAATAAGGTATTTGTTATAGAGCTTTGTTTGATCTTTCTTTTATAATCAAGAATGTTTATGTTTGAATAGAATGATATAATAGTTAGTCATCGTTCTATTATTGGCTTTGCAACAATTAGTGATAATATTTAGATTATTAGATAGATAGATACTCTGTATGTATAATTTGTAAATAAGAAAAGAGTATACAAAAAATAAATAAAGTATTCTCTGTTTCTATTTTCAAAATACAAATAGCTTCTTCTTTTTAATTCTATTTTAAATCCATTTATGTATTTAACTTATCCTAATCTTTACGCTTTCACTTACTTGTAATAATAAAAAATACACTTTTTGTCTTTTTATTTTGATTTCTTTAAAATAATTATGCATGTATGCATATCCATGTTTTCAACTGAAAATTCATATCTATATATATTTAAAACAAAATCATACCAGCCTTGGGGGTTTGGTGAGTGATGAGGTTATAACCAATCATTTACTTAGTGTAGGTTTCAACTTCTTGAGGAGTCTTAAGAACTTTAACACCACCCTTTAAACCAGAAGTCAAGTGACCTTTTAATTAATTTAATAATGATTAAGCCCATTTTTGGAAGAACAAAAATAGAATATATGAAAAAAAATCAAAGATAATGCAAATTTTCATTAGCAGATTGAAATCTTTATCACGATTTCAATAGGCAAGCTAGGAAATGTTTAAAATTTGCTTTGTAAATTAATTGCTTTTCTTTTACCTTTTCCTCTACCACCAGCATGGACTTAAGCCTTAAGAATAAGACCACCAGTTGGGTCAAGGGGTTCAGCGACTTTTCTTGCTTATTCAGGAGTCAAAGCGATATCACCCTTTTAGACTCTGATATTGAACTTTCTCATGATATCCTTAGATTAATATTCATGCAAATCAAAGAATCTTTTGCAAGTGTTTTAGAGTTGAACGGTCTTGCCGAAGTTGAACAATTTAGAGAACATTTTTGCTTTTTTATTTGTATTTTTTGCTTTTTATTTAATTAAATGATTTATTTATATATATTTAAGAAATAAGATTGTTTTATTTGATTCTTTCACATAAGATTTTATTTTCTTAATCTTTAATCTTTATTTTTTGTTTTTTCCTCTTTTCTCATCTACTTATTGATATTTATTTTTTATTTCAATTTTAATAGTTGAGATATAGCATTAATAATTGATGAGAGTAGTCACCAGCATATAAAATATAAAGATATACATTACTGCCTTAAAGTAGTCCTAATAATTCAATTCAATTCATTCATTCATAATAATAGCTCTAAGAGTTGCACAAGTAGTTAGCAGCTGGCACTCTCACCTTCAAAACTCTATATCAAAAATTTTATTCATTCATTCATAATTATTTTGAAACATATCTTTCTTTGATTATTATTTGTTTTCTAATATTTGTTTTAGGATTCAAAAATGAGTTATATTCGACGCAAATTTCCTCCTTATTATGTAAATCAAATTCTACATATCTTTAAATCTTGCAATTTTCTATTTTTCAAGGCTTTAATATTTTTAATTATTTAAAAAAAATTATTTTATCCACTTTTTAATTAACTTTATTTATTTTACTAGAAAAAATGAATATTTATTTATTTATTTGACTAAATTAAGTAGAAGTCTCTAACTAACTTTTTTAATAGATTATCTGAAGAAAATATATCACTTTTCGTTCCCCCAATAATTAGATAGAGTTATAAATAAATATAAAGAAAATTTTATTATTATATATTAAAAATCTCAAAAATGCTACTTTAATAAATTTGGTTATTTCTATACTAAACAATTCTATTTGACCATTAGTAAGTAATTGATAGAATTTATTCTAGTTCTAAAAAAACTTGAAATTTATTTTCAATTTCCTTCGAAGACTACTTTTATTTATTTTTAAATTTATAAGTGATTATATAAAATATCATCTAAAATAAGATAAAACCACAAAGTCTTAAAATAACTGAATCGTAACAGAAATAAATTATTTGGCTTTGTTTTATAATTTCATTGGAGTGGACAAATTTAAGCGATAAATAAAGGAAATCCTACATTTTGTAATCAGCTAAAAAAAAAAGATATTAAAACTCTCTCACTTTTGAAAGATAAATTTAACAAAAGATCTTAGATGAGTGTTTAAGTATTTAAATAGTTAATACATTATATTTTTTCTATGTTTTAAAAATTTTTTATTTATTATAAGTTTATTTTTAGTATTTTTTCTAGAATATAGAATATGTATCTTAAGTTTTATAAAAGCTGTTCCTTTCTTTTATTTTCCTCTGAGATATTTATAAATAGTAAATATACTAAGTCACCTATCAAATAATTATATTATAATAGCTAATTTACTGTATTTGTAGCTCTAAACTTTAGAAAACTATTCTTTTGGGTTTTAGATATTTACTTACTTACTTCATTCATTTATCTATTCTTTTATCTCATTTTTAAATAATTTTCAGGTTCCAAGCAAGAAAAAATCCCTAATAATATCTAAAAAATTTAAATACTTTCTCTTTGGTTTTTGTGATTGAGAAACGAAATAATTTAATGGATTATAAGTAGTTATTATTATAAAATTAAGAAAAATTCGAGTCTTGTTGACTCAAAAAAATAATATAAACGAGAATAATAAGTAAATAGGTTTTTTCAAAACATGAATAAATCTAATAGTAAAAGATAAAAATTATATATTTCTTTTACTGGGGAAAATAAATGATACTTTAGTTTTTGCAAATAGTTTTTTGCTTTTACATTCAAATTATAATGAGAGTGAGAGAGAGTGTGAAAAATAGCTAACTAATTAGCTTGTCAGCTGATTAATACTTTTGAGATTATTTCAAAATAGTAATCAAATAGATTATAAATTTTACACATATACAATTTCTTCGGGAAGTTTTCTATCTTGCGCGTTTGAATTGTATGTTTTAAATGAATATACTTTAAAAGAATGAAATGTATCTGTATGTATTGTATGAATGTCTATATTTTCCCCACTACCTTGAGATTGAATGAAAAAGATGTACTCACTCACATATACAAGTCTAATTAATTAATATTAATTAAATAATCTCTACTCATAATTTTTATGAATAAAATAAAAGTGTTTCTTATATTAAATGAATGAAATTGATTAATTAATTAACTAATTTATTTATTTATTTGCTAAGGAGATTTTCCTGAAAAAAAGTTAAGCTTCTTTCTAGTCAAGATAAATTAAAAAAGGTCAATGAATGCATTGATTTTTTGTTAAAAAAGTAGTAGTGAGTCCCCCAAAAATTATAATTATTTGTTTATCACAAAAATTTCTAAATTATATTTCTTCACTCAATTAAAAAAATCCCAAATCTCTAAAATTCTTAAATACGCAAATCTTAAAAATGCAAAGAAGAGAAATGACCGCTATGACTCAAAATAAATCTGAAACCCAAGAATCCGTCAAATAGTGTGGTAACTAAAAGGATATCTTGAAGTCAGAAGAAATCATGAGTCAAAATCCCATGTTGGACAATACCTCTGATGGTGAAAAAGTTGAAAAATCAATCAACTTACAAGCCATAGCCGAATATCTCGAGCAAATTGCTCGTTAATAGGATGCTGAATAAGCTGTTCCTCACCCAACATTCGCTGCTAAAAAATTGCCTCCCATCTCCATTATGGACTACTTAAAGAGACTCCAAAAATTCACCGATTGCTCAAATGCTAATTTCGTATTAGCTTTGATTTATATCGAGAGACTCCAAGAAAGTATGGGAGAGATTCTTTTGAATTCATACACCATCTTGAGGTAAAAGAGGATTCATTCTGCAAAAAATCCACATATAACTCCTATATAAAATCAATTCGTTGCAAAAAATATTTCCACACTATAAAAAAAAAATCAAAAAAATGCGCGAATTTTCCCTTCAAAATATGAAGGAGGGGGTTAAAAGTGGTAGCCAACATAATCGAATGAAAAAGAGAAATATAACGGTCCAATTCTCACTTGAAAATTGCAAAGAAACAAATTTTTTCTTAAATGCAATTCAAGATACGAAAAATAAGAGATGATGGGTAACAAAAAGCAAAGTCTTTATAAATGTTTACATCAATCACCTTCCTTATTTATTTGAGAAAGAAATGAAACTCGAAACAAAACAAAAAAAATCAAATAATGAACGAGCAGGACGTTCCTGTAATAGAAAATTACAATTTGATTTAAAACGATGTTTCAAATAAAAGGATCGCTTTCCTTCTTCATGAAGATGGATATCACGAAAACCTTTCAAAATTTTTACTTTATTTTTAAATTAATATTTTTATGGAAAGATACGAATACTTTTGAGATAAAAAGATAGATATAATATTTCCCTTCAAATTATTAATTTTGTTTTCTTTTTTATTAGATTAATTTTGGCCTCTACTATCATCGCTATCAAATACAACTACGACTAAACCTTGAAGAACGACTACTACGCCAAGATTGGAGGAGTCAAGAAGGAGGAACTTAACGAACTCGAAGCTGCTTTCTGCGAAATGATGGACTTCAGATTATACGTTAGTGACGAAACCTTTGAAAACTACGTTAACCAATTCTCTTTCTGAAAAAAGTGAGATTTCTGAATGATATGCTATTTATAGTGTTCTTTCAATTTCGATTCTTTTTACGAAAGTTAATTTGTAAAAAATACTAACCAATTTTCCTCCTTATCCTCTATATCAAGATGGTTGAATGATTTACGCTAAATAATAACGAAGCCTGACATACAAAGAGAACCTGAAAAGAAGAAAATCAAGAACCTTCTTGTGATTTTCTCACTCTTACTTACCACAACAAACTAATTAATGAGCCCTCTATTAGTTCAAGTTAGAAAGACCTAAAAGACAAATTGCCTAGTAGCTATTTTAAGGATCTGCCCTCGAATCTGCTCAAGTGAATGTTCTGCTTAATTTTTTTTAAGAATTAAATTAAAAAATGTGCACAAACCCTCTCTCTCTCACTCTCTCACTCTCATTCTTTGCATGGATTTGCGTGTTTAGCTCCATGAATACTTAACTGCCTGTTACATGAACAGTTTTATATATTGTTTGTAACTTTTTATTAATAAACCAACCATTTGAACTTTCAGCGCCTAAAGGAAGACTCGAAAATTTGCACTGGAATATTGGGTGAAAAGATTTCCATTCTACATATTCTTCTGATTTTTGAGGAAAGTAGAATCATTTCTTAGTAATCTAAGACCATTCCTTGCAAAATAAACATTTTTGAGATGAATTTTTTATTTTTAAATTTTCTTACTTCCTTGCTGTTAGTTACCCCATCCTGCTTGAAGATGAAAGATGAGAAGAGAAGGAGGAGGACGTGACAAAGAATTAAACTCATTTCATAGAGAGAAATTGTGTTGCTGCCGTATGAAGAATGTACCAAAAACATACAAACAAATTCGCTTTAGCCTGCTAGCTAGAAGAAATCTAAGTACGAGACGGATTTTGAAAGAGAAGATGAAGTCCCTTCAAAGATTTATGAAGACCCACTTATTGATAACTGTCCCACTACTGACAAAAAGTACCAGAGTTAGCTCCAAGTTAGCTGTGCTCCTTCCAAAGAGGTCTCTGTCTACATAAGCTGAGTCCAAAGCATTTACCTAGGCTTTCTTACAGGAAGCTGAAGTTTTTGTTAAAGATAAAGCCTTTGTGGATGAGCTTCCCTCCTAAGAAGGACTTGAAAAAGGGTTATATTTTTTCACTTTACTTTTAGATATTATAATTTCATTTTACTATTATTTCTTCATTCTTTTCATTTTTGAATTGGTCTGCTTCTCTTTGGTAGTTCTTTCCGGAGCGAAAGGAGACTTGCAGCTGAAATGATAGTTGAAAGTTGGTATGACTGATGTGCGCGCTTATTCTTAACCAGAGTATAGTTTGGGTCATGCACCCTCTTGCTTTGCTTCTTCCCATAGAATTTATCTTATCATTTATACCTTTCTCTTAGCAATGAATTCTCCCTGTCTCCCATCACTAAATGGGTCGTTCAGTTTTGAGAGGTAAAACATATGGTTTTACAGTAGGTCATGAAAGCCATCTCAAAGATTCTCAGTGCTTGTTCTTGCTCAATTTAACAGCTTGCCAGCCAAATACTTTCTTTATACTCCTGAAGCTTAAAGACTTTTGCAATAGATTTAAATTACTACTTCTGATTCTTTTAATGCCAATAGGTTGAAAGATATACTTTAGTTTTCCTAAGTTAAATGCTTGAAAGCATTGTAAGATCGGAAAACTTCGCTATGACTTTCTTAAAATCAAGATTTCACCATCCGCAACGCCCTAGCACCACTAACACTATAACATTACTCTTAGTCCAAATGACAGCATGGCAGCAAAATATGATTTGTGTTTTATCGAGCGCATTGATTGTTTCGAACCGTCCCGTCCCTAGCTCACGCCCCTTGAAAGGTGTAAATCCGATAGCCATTTTAAGTACAAAGATTCATTTTATCCATCTCTTTTAGAGTAATCGTAAGTTTGAGGTGAAAGCTATGAAAAAAAAACTATTCATTTGAATATACAAATTGAGCCATTTATATCAATGTTCTACAGAAGTTTATGGCCTCTGAGGTATTCTACATTTGTAGTCAACTTCAGAAGTGCTATGAGCGGATGAAAAATATTCTTGTAAATAAGGTTTCAATATTTTTTCATGGTTTGAGCTTCATAAATTCGACCTCTCTTTGAGAAATAATTTGTTTGTGAGTATGAAAATTGGTTAACTTTGGACAAATCAAAAGAGTAATAGAGTTATAGTTTAGCTGCTAGATCTGAGTGAGGTTGTATTGCGTGTTGAGATGCGAAGTAAACATCTCCCTAGTATTAAGGTGAATTAAGAAGTAAAAGATAGTCTTAGCTTGACCAATTCTTTCAAATGATTGTGGTAGTCCCTTGGTGTTTACAAAAGTATGAGGAATTTAAAGTATTCTAGATCTGCGAATTGCAATTGTGAAATAATAGTAAGGGGAAATCGAAAGTATGGCTCGTTGTTGATCTGAGTTTAACGGAATGAGTGCTGATTATTATGAACATAAAGCATTAGAGTATTGCGCTTATATATTGATGGGGATGAAGAGATGTTCCCGCATTGTTGAGAAGGTTTTACTCTACTTGGTAGGATAGTTCTGTTCAATGGGTTGGGCTTAGTAAAGAAAGGTAATTGAAACTTAAGCGTCATTATGTTACCCAATTCGAAGCTGTTGTCTTCTTATAGCTGTAACTCTAAGTAGCACTTGATTGAGCGACAAGAGTCGCATCCCAAAGGACTTAGTTCAAATTAATGAAAAGAAGCTTGTTGAAATTCTAAAGTAAATTGAATTTTCTAAAATGTAATCGAAATTGTATATCTGTGCAGCAGGGCTTTGCAGAGTTAGCTCGCTCTTCTCTTTCTAGTCAATTTTGGAAAAAGATTTCTGATCGCTAAGCAGCTTGGCTTTTGTTTCTTCTATTTCTTCGATCGTCTTCCACCAATCCTTCTACTTTGTGTTAACTTACGGCAACACATTTACTCATCTTCAAAGAAATGTGCACATTAGATGATTGAATGCATTTGAACTGACATAAAATCGCGTAAAAATTAATTACCTATTATAAAAACAAAATGACCAGCTAAAATAATAAGAAGCGATTTTATTTATGCATTCATCCAGCAGTATAATAAATGAGAGCAAATTTACAGAGAGAGTTAATCGCAAGTTTGTAAGACAGACGACATTTGGAATTTTTATAAAGTTCCACCCACTGTTTGGGTTTTTCGTCAATTTTGTCTATCATCCTTGTTTAAATTTTCAATCATGTAACTTCAATAACAACTTTCGCCATGTTCTTCTTCGTGAAATATTTGCAAATAATCTGACATCTGTCAATCTATCTATCCATCCATCTAAATTTAATTATTTAATCAAGTAATTTAACCAACTGCAAATCGTTTTAGCGAATACATTCCTTGCGTTATATCTTCCAGCGCAATCCTAACAAATCTCACCATTATTTAAATCTAATATTTTATCTATTAAAATCAATTCCATATCCATAAAATCATAACTATACCTACCTATTTATTTCAATTTAAAAAAAGAATAATTAAAAATATAAACAAAATCTTATATTTAGTATTATAACTATTAAATTATGTGATGGAAGATTTACGTTAGGAATTTGTATTTCGTTTTTACTACTTTGTATCTATTCATTAATTTCGTGTATTGTATTCACTTAAAAATTAAAAAAAATTCAAATCACTTTTCATTTTTCATTTTTTATTCTTTCTTTCTTTCTTTATTTTTTTTTTTTTTCTTTTTCTTTTTTAGTTTTTTTTGCTTTTTTCCCCACCATCTTTTTTGATTTTTGATTTATAAATTGTTCTCCTATTTGCTAATCAATTTGATTAGTAAATTTTTTGATTCTACTCAATTATTCTCCCCCCTTTTAATTTATTTTTGTTAATATTTCTTGCTCTAAACACAAATAAATAAACATTACAAATAATAATTAGTCATTTAATTTGCTATTTGTCCTCAATATCTCTTTTTCCTCATATTTATTGTGCCTTGTGGGAATAACATGTCTACTTTATTACCACCTTAATTTAGTTATAACAGACAAAAAACCTTAATTAGAATGAGATGGGAAAAAAAGACATTAACTAATTTATAATTTATGGATATTAACTTATGAGTTAATAACTCTAAAAGAGAGAGAGAGTACTTAGAGCATGGTAGAAGAAAAGAAAGGATGCGTACTTATGGATAAAAGGACTTTGGCTATTTTAGGAGATGAAATAAGGGTAAACTTACTCCCTTATAAAATTATTTTTTTATTTAAATTAAGAAAAAATACAGATTCTTAATCATCTGAATATTGATTGATTGCCCTTTTTTAGGATGATGGAGAAGAAAAAAATTGTTGTTTAATGTAACTAAAATCAGCATCGCTTGAAATGCCATTCATAGTTAAATTTAAATTTTTTCTGAACAGAACACGTTTACTATATGTAAAGGAGCTGCTGCAGAGTGAGCTAGCTAGCCAATATGTATAGCAAATAAAAGTGTTTGTTTATTTATTTTTTTCACATTTTTTTAAAAGAACTTATTTTCAATTGAATAAAAAACCAAATAATTAACGAATTGCAATTTTCGTATTGATATTTGGCTTTGATATTCAAGTTCTCGTAAAATGACATTTCTCTTTAAGTGAAAGACTCATTTTTGATAAATCACATCATTTCACAGTTATTTCTTAATTTTTTTATCATTTTATTTATTTTTTAGTCTATTTAAAAATTATTAAATAGAAAAAGGAGCAGGTTAACCTTTCATAAATAATATTTGTGAATTTTTTTATGGAGGGGGTCCTCAATCTTATATAAATTAACTTTTGGAATACAACCCAAATCAATCAATCAGTCAATCTCTGAAAATTCCTTAATAGCAAAATGAAAAATTTAACAAAAAAAATCAAACATGCAATTTAATTAAAGTCTGGCACATATTTTCAAATACACACACATATATGCGTATCAATATTAAAATTTATGATTAAAAAATAGGGTCATTCAGATTTTTATAAATAAAAGCTAATTAATAAATAGATGAATCTGATCTCTTCTAAATTAATTATAATTTTTATAATGAAATCAAAAAAATTGATTATGTCACTCTTATCTGAGCTTAACCATCGAATGATCTACTTATAATTGATTATAAATTTTACTTGAATATAAAATAGACTAATTAAAAATGCTTATTTATTAAATCAGCCAATCATAATTATGTTAATAGTAAACTATTTTGTATATTATTTATAAAAATAAATGACTAAATTTCTAAAAAGTGTCTACTGATTTTGGATTTTAAATAATAGAATTATCTTTTTATTGAATTAAATATTATAAATATTTTGGTTATTAATATATATTTATAGGGAAAATAGATTAAATGCCTTTTTGTTAAAATTCCCAAAATAAAAAAATTAGTTTCAGTTATTTGAAGAAACAAAATAATAGACAATTCAATAATTGTTAATATAATAACTTAGAATTTACTTTGGTAATTTTCAAATATTTTAAAAAAATGTTTAAAATAAAAAATAAATATAATTATTTTATGGAAATAAATATTGTACAAATAAATTATTAATTTTAACACTCTCTTTTGAATTAAATAATTACTTAAGATTATTATTTAAGAAAACCATAATTTATTGAATGGGGTAGTGTTTTCTTTTATTATTGTATACATTTTATAAATATTTAGTATTAGTTTTTAATAATTAATAAATAACCATGCATCTTTTGCGACAGACAACGTTTATATATTAAACAAATGTCTTACTATAGATGCTATAGTAAATATCTCTATCCGTATTGAACCACAAATCAATAGAAGGTTTAATTTATTTGAGATGAAATCTTTTTACTCTTTTTAGGATAATAATAATTAAATTCATTTCAATTCTTTTTTTAAAAAATAACAAATTAATTGTATTTGCTATTAATTTCAAATCTTAGATTTTGTAAAAATTTTTGACAAATAAAGCTCTTGCTCAAGATTTGAAATAAAACCTCATTTTAAAAAAATAATATCATATTATTTAAATTTGTATTAAGAATATTAGCATCAGTCCAATTAAATAAGTAAAAAATATTATTTAGTTAAAATAATCACTCTAAATTTATATTTAATAATTTAAAATAATACTTTATATAAAATGAATTAAAATTAATAAAAAGTATTAATTTTTTATGAATTTTATCTTTTTATTTAAATTCTTAAATGAATACTTAAAGAAATTTTTCCATAAATTTTTATTGTGATTTACCAAGAGAAAAATATCCATTAGTTTTTTGTTTGTATAGTTAAAGTAATCATCTTTATAAATTTTTTAACTATGGTTATATGTTAAATGAGTTATTTTTTACTTATAATATTAATTTATTTTATAAAATATTAATCAATTTTGAAAAAACTAAAAAATAACTTTACTTTAATTATTTTTTTATTTAATGTATTGATAACTTAGAAAAAATAAATTATTCTCATAGACTTTAATTTTTTGATAGTTTGATTTATTTTAAGTTTCCTTATTTTGGTTTATGCTAATATTATACTGAATTAATTGTTATCATGCTTTAGCAATAATTTAATTAAATATCTTTCTTTATCTGAAGCTATGAGTAAGTATTTTTTGAGATTTGCGAATGCATATTTTTATGTGTTATTATTTGAAGTAGTTAAATCTTAATTAGTTTCTCAATTATAAATATGCTCAAAAGGATAATATGATAACGTGAGCCCACTTTGTAATAAATGTATTTAGCCTGAGTGTGCTTAATGCGTTTAAGGAATTTGTCTTTAATGCTAAATCGGCTCATAAGTTTAAAAATAAACTTAATAATTAATTTGTTTGTCATCTATTGATTAATGTTATAAAGGATATTATTTCGATTTGTAAGCTAAACGATGTTTTAAATGCTAAATACCAGGATGTGAATCTTGTAGCAATTCTTCTTTTTGTTAAAAATGTCAAGATGGGTTTTCACTTTTTAATAATAAGTTATGCATCCTAAAACAAATACTGGAATCTAATATTGCAATCTCTAATAAGTCTAAAAATTCACTTCAAAAAGCTGTTTTAAGTGAGAACTAATCTCAAATAAAATATTTTTGCCCAAATACATATTTACAAATAAAAGAATCAAAAAATTGTATGTAAATGGAAGCTTGCTCCAGCTTATTATAAGATAATACTACTAGTTTTTAAGACGATATAGTTGATTTTATAATTAATGAATAATCCTAATAGACTATAATAATAAGTTTAAAATAGATTGGAATATATAGTTCTATTGATATGAAATTAGTAATTTGGCTATTAGATCTAAACCAAGTAGGGGAAAATAGCTCCCAGAATGATGAATTTATAATGAATGTTATATAAATTAAAAATGTTTTAAATGTCTTTACAAATTATGCTCTTTATGTATTTAGTATATTTAGCCAAATAATCATTAATAAAATTGAATTTCAACAAAATTCCTACAATTATGAACAAAAAACGAGATTTTTTATTTCGTAAGATGGCTATCTTTATTACTTATTTCATAATCAATAGTATTAAGACGGTGTACTGCTTGTAGCTTAATTTTAGATCACCTAAAAAGTTTAAGCAATAGATGGTTAATATTTTGTAGATGAAAAAAATTATAATATAAAACTACAAAATGTAATATCATTTAATTCTTTACCTTAAGGTATTTTTTCTATTAATTACTCATAATATGAAAACATTGCTTTAATTACAACATAAAATCAAATTTACACAATTTTTATAGGAGAGCTGTTTCAAAGTTTATCAGACTAAAGCACTCAAATAAATGATCAATATATTTCAAAATTTATAGTAATTTATAATTTAGCTAATGACTTTTCTTAGCAACTAGATTAAGTTTATTAAAATAAGAACCACTAATTTATAATTTATAAAGTATTGTTAAGTCAAATTCTTGTTTTAAAAGTAAACATTGACATCTAAAACATGAAAGTAAATATATAATTATATTAACTTGAATTGCCTGGTAAGTAGGAGATATAAAATTTAGTTAAAATAAAAAATTAGCTCTCAAGTTTATACGAAGATGTTGCTATCATTGGCACCAAATATAATCAAGATGATTAAAGTTATAGTGTATAGATATCTTCAATCGATCAAAATAATTCTAACAATTACAAAATTCTCAATAATTTATCTTCATTGACTTAAATATTTAGTATTGATTTAATATCTTTGGAATTTGATTAAACCTCAAATATTTTCATAATTTTACAGTCATCTTAGTAATTGCTTATTGGCATTTTAGAAAATAATTATATTAATATAATTTTGACTTATAAACTTGGACCAATGATATAATTTTAACTAAAATCTTTAAATGCTTATGTCTTTTAAAAAATAACTAACAACATAATATAATATTTTAGAAATATCTGCTTAACATAATCAAACATAATTGTTTGCTTTAGAATAGATGCATAAAATAATATTTAAGTTATACAAAATTAATATTAGCTAGGGTATGAGCAATTTAGTTTAAAAACTTAAATTAGACTAAATTAAAGCCCAGAGCAATAAAAGCTACTATTTGATAGACTCAGAAATGAATTAATCATTTTTAGCTATAAATCTGATGTAAAATTATTAACTATACATAAAATAGATATTGATAGTAACTAGATAAAGTAGGTTTAATATTTAGCAATAGAAAACGATTGCAGCATTTCTTGCATTTAATATACTTACTTAGATTTATTTTCAAATCTTTTTATATTCCTTTAAAACTTTTTGATTGTATTAAACAATTATAATCTTTAGGTAATTAACTCTATCTCATATAGCAATATAGTTCAGTTTTAATATCCTTGTTTTATTGTTATTGATAGCTAAAATAATATTGTTGTGTACCAAATAAATAAAACAAACCTACATAGTATTTATTAAACTTAAAGTCAGACTGATTAAACCAAATACTATCTCCAAAATCTTTCATAGGACTATAATAGCTAAATATTTTTAATTTAGACAGGGTATTACTACTATAATCTTTTAGTTTTTAGCTAAGGAATCTTCTTAGGTTAATTGAGCTATTCCAAACAAATATCTTTTTTAATTGTTGAAAGTGAATTAACTTTTTCGATTTTATACTATGATGATTTAAACATATTTTTTTAGAGTTACTTAGTTGATCTTGTAAATAAAAAAATTTAATTAAAAGAAGACTATTAAAATTTAGATACTACAGATATTTTAGATTCTTCTCTCACAAATTTTAATTTACTAATTAATAATAAAAATATGAGATATTTGATAATATTAAAAACTGAAGATAATAAAGTAATAATTAAGTAATTTAATTTGAATACTCAAACTTTCTAATAAACCTTAAAAACTAATAATTAACTAAAATAGCTGAGAATAGAATTTTATTAAATCTTTTATGATAGGAACTCAAATTGCTTAATAGTATATTTTAGAAATAAAGACATCGATAACTATGGATTAAGTAGTATGACTATTTATGTGTATCCATTTGATTAGGATTAAAATCAATTTAATCCTATAAATTACTAATAGGAAATTTACATCACTACTAATCTAATTTATTTTTTCTAATAATAAAGATACACATTCTTGTATAACAAACTTACAACAACTTAAGTTACTTGTGATAATCATAACAACTTAATTGTTTTGTCTTTGAATCACCCATAAAAATAGTTTCTAACTTAGCAATAATTTGACGAAAATCTAAATTTGCTGTTAATCAATAATGGTATTTCTAGTTTGATAGCTAAGAATCTACCAAACTTAAATTCTTCTAAGAATTAAATAAACAGTAATAATAATTTTATAATTAACAAAAATTGGTGGCTTTATGAATAATATGGAATTATTATAACACTTACAGCAGATGTTATCAATAATGAGTAATTAGTATAATTTTAGTATCTTGATAATTTAGAAACTTCTGTAAATCCTCTAAAATTAAAATCTAGTGACCAAGCTTTTTGGTTTAACAATTATGAAACCTTGATAGTGTGTTCTGAAAAATAAATAACATCATACCAGATCTAACAACATCAGCTTATTTTAAATTATACTTTTGAGTATGCTAATTAAATTAATAATTGCTTTTAAGTTTTTTTAAATCCATTTATTTTTTGCTAAAATTAAGGAGCCTTTAATTTCTTAAACAAATAATTCTATCTTTAGCCTGACTTGCTTAATGTTGATAATATTTTTGTAGAAAATTAAAAATATATTTTCTTCAAAACTTAAGTTCTTTTTGAAGTTAGTAAAGGAACATTTTAGCTAATATAGCTCAATAATATTGAGTTTGATGTGGAAAATATGAAATTAAGTCCTTATTTTAATGATTAAGGATTTTATGTTGTTCCTAATTAATATTGTTTTATTTTTAGTCTACCAGATTTTGATTCAATTGTATCATATGATTTAATTGGCGAAAGCAATTCTTACACATGTGATTTTAATCCTGAGCTTTCTATTTATTCTATATATTATAACGAAACACTAAGTTCCTACCAGTTTCCAGTATAATATAGTGGATAAACTTAATTAATTTTTAAATTGGAAATTCCTTTCAATTTGTAAAATTATTTCTCTTCCAAAAGCTATATATTTCGTAAATATTTTGTAAGCTACAAATATTTTACGTTTAACACTTATGATTAATATTTATATTTGCTCTTGATAGATATTTAAAATGGAGAAATCATACAAATAAATAATTTTTTACATTCAGGCTCTGCAGAATATTTTTTTGTGGATATATGGGAAGAGAAAGATGTTATTCTTTCTAACGATATTTTAATATCAATTTCTGATATATAACTAACTTTATCATTTGATAATAAATAGAAAATAGATACTCAGTAAATAAGCTATAGTAAGCTTTACAATTATATAATTTATTAAGCAAATGATTCAAAATAGCTAGTAAGTTTGGATATATCTGAAATTTTTCCCATTAACTCTTAGATTGGTCAAATATCAAGTAGATATAGTAATTATTCCATAAATTTTTATCATGTTTCCGATATTGACTAAGACCATTAATAAGTAGAATTGATATATTTTAATTAAAAATTAAGTTAACTCATAAAATGGAAATTTATTAGCTTAAATCAGGCTCTTAATCAAAATTAATATTTATAAAATACTGAAAAATAAGTTGTTCTAGATGTCACATATATATTTAATGAAATGATTAAATAGTAAAAAATTAATAAATAGGCGGCTTAAACTTAATACAAAATATACCTCCTATACAAAGATGATATATAAAAAATATTTGCTTTCTATTTCAAATGCTAAGCAGTTATATTTAATGAGGATCACTAAGTATTATAAATTATAGATTTACAGTAGTATTAATGCCAAATCATGGTATCAAGATAATATAGTTCTCCCTCATTAAGCAATTAATAGCTAGAATCATAGAAGATTTACTTAATTTCTTAAGAATAAACAATAATAAATATTTTTTACTAAAATTATAATGTCATTCTAAAAAATGTATATACTGAGCAATAATAAGATGATTATAAAATTTAAAGTTTGATAAGTATTTCATTGGAAGATATTTAAGTTAGCATTATTACCTATTAAAACTTTAAAAATACGATTACTATTCTTATGGAAAATTAAAATATTATTTTTTATAAAAAATTTACATTTGATTAAATCTAAAATATTTATTCTTATTGTTTAGAAAGTATTAGTAAAAAAGTAATATTATTGATAGGAACTGAATAGAATCTTTTAATATAGTAAATTATTTGGGATCAAATCAAAAATGAAATTTAACTTGTTGAATTAAGTCAATTTTCTCTTAATTAAAAAGGATAATCTTAGCTATTATATACTTTAAAATAAGTTACTTAAAACAGCAATTTTGAAAAAATAATGCTAATTCTAACAACTCAAAAGAGAATAATGCTATTCTAAAACAGTGAAAGCAACGCTTTGTCTTTTGACTTAATCAGAGAAAATCTAAAACATTTGAGAGGTTAACACTAAATATAAATTCATTAAAATAATTAGAATAATGAAATATAAATTCTATCTTTATTTAGCTAACTACAAGTTTCATTCTATTCTCTTCCTTCTCTTCAATTTATATCTAGAATCGAAGAAAAGAATGCCATTTAAATCACATCTGTGCATCTTGTTTTTTCAGTAGAAATCATTGTAATTGTTTGCAACTAATAAGAAATTTAAATATTTGTTCTATCAAGGTTAAATAAAGAAAAAAAATTATTGCTTTAAAATTCAATAAAGCTCTCATCAGCCACAATTTATAATGTTGCAAATATGAATTAAAATATGGTTGTTTTCCATGGAACTAACTTAAGAGGATATTTTATAATTTACTACTCTTTATCAGATAATCAGATATTCTAAAATTTGAATTAAGAATATTCTAATTTATAAAATGGAAGTTGTTTAAATATTTTTTAATTACAAAATCAAATTTAATATTAAGAGATGTAATTTAATTAAATTATTATGCAGGATAATCATCCAGATTCAACTACCATACAAATTAGTGTAGATCTCTCTGCCTCTATAGATTTATTTATTCCTAAGTATATGATATATCAAAGCAGCTTATATTAAAAAAAATATATCGATTATAGAATAAATTTAATGGGTTTTTTAGGAACTCCTAAGTAATATTCACTAAGCAATTACTAAAAAATACTTTAAAAGATATAGATAAATAATGGAATCTTATATATTGACTCAGACATTGTGTTTTAAGATTTAAATTCTTTTATTCTTGAAAATATTTCAATTAGATTTAGTTCAAAAAACTGTAAATTAACTATTTTAAATGTATAGGAAGTAATATTTGAAAATGTTTCTATCTTAGATTAGCAAATAGAAAACTCAAATAGACAAAATTAAATATCTTAAGATGGTTAGCTAATGCTGAATCCTCTTATTAAATTATAAAATTGCAGTAATGTTTTGATTTTTGGAATGTAATTATAAAAACTCTCTGTATAATAAGATTTTTTTTAGTTTGAAGATGTGCAAAATATTTAAGTTGAAAAAGTCAGATGTTAAGATTTACTTTTAATTGGTACTCTATTTTCTTTTAGAAATTAATTTAAAATTTTAAGCTAGACATCAATTGAAAATATTCTTTTGAGTAAAAGTCTTATCATATCATTATTTTAAATTCTTAATGTAAATATCTTAAACATTCACAATATCCAATTACAACAAATAAATAATATATCAAATAATCCAACTGAAATAGAAAATTAATTTTATTAAACTTACTAAAAAATTAATTACTCTTTAATTAAAATAACTTTGATACTTGATAGAGCTTTAATCACGTAGCTAATTTTAAGAAATCAAGTAAATCATTAATCACTACTTGATTATAAGAATTTCTATGACTTTAAAAATGAAACTTTTAGCTCATAAACATCAAATCTAATAATTAAAAATGTTTATATTAATCAGTGTTATTTTCAAAAATACGCATTTTACATAACAGAAAATTAAGCTCATTTATAATAAATAGTTATCAGTAATACTAATAACACTTCACTTATTTTATACTATATTGAAAAAGGACTAAAAATGATTGACATAAAATGTATTGATAACTTTTATGATGAGAATTCAATAATTGAAATTTTAAATTCTTAAGTTAAGCTGAGTAAAATTACAATCTTGAGAAATAAAGTAACATCACATTTAAATACACTTAATTCAATTTCATTAACAAATACTAATTTTTTAATTGATATATTATCTGCTGATAAAAACACATCTCCTTCTGGATTCCTTTTTATAAATGGAATTTTCAATAAAAATGTAGATTTTTTAACTTCATCTTAGCAAAATCTAGTGAATAACTGTATTATAACTCATTGCAACAATAATGCTATAATCTTAAAAAACTTATAACAAATAAATTTTATAAATTCAATATTCAGTGACAACAGCTTAGAAAAATAGGTAGATGATGGAGGTGCTCTCAAAATGAATAAGGTAGAACTTTGCTATTTGTCAAATTCTTAAATTAAGAATAATTTTGCTAAAAAATATGGTGGAGGAATAAGTATGCAAGATTCAGATTTATTTATAGTTAATAGTTAAATTTAAAATAATTAAGCAGTAATCGGAGGTGGTTTAAGATTTTTTAATTAAAATAATTAATTGCCAAAACATTTTTTTACTAGTTAGTTTAAATCTTAAATTATTAATAATAAAGCAGAGTTTTTTGGGAATAACCTAGCTTCGATTCCATTTAAAATTAAATTTCTTTCTGATTTAGATAATTTAAAAATTAGTTTAAATTAATTCAGTACTTCTTTTATATTTTAAGTTTATGGAGTTGATGGAGAGTTGATAAAATATAATAAGTACACCTAAAGACTAATGCAAGAAGGGTATGATTTTTTTAACTAATACTAGTAATTTGAGTTGATAAGTGATTAAAAGAGTGTTTAAATAGAAAATTAAGTAAGAACATATAATGTTGAAAAAAACTACTTTAATATTACATGCAATTTATTGGATTATGGGTACAATGAGCTCCTTGAAATGTAGAATAAAAATACAGATTTAAATGATTTTTATAAGAAAAGAAGGATTATTTAATTAAAAGTCTTATCAAATCCATTATATTAAATTGATTTTTCAATTTCTTTTTCATAATGCTAAGTAGGCCAATTAATTTTAGGATTATAATAAAATTTATATCAATGTTATCAATGCAACGAAAATACATACTCAATAATAAATCCATATACTAACATAAACACAAGCAAGTGTCAAGGATGTCCTGTAGGAGCTATTAGTTGCTAAGGAAGTAAGATTTAACTAGAGGAAGGGTATTGGAAATAAGAAGGAACATATTTTGTAATTTACTGTCATAATAAACCTAACAAATGCACTTAAAAGGTATAATCAAATGAATTTAATAATCAATAAAGTAATGGCTGTATAGAGGGAGGTTTTGGACCTTTATGTGAGAGCTGTGATTATAAAAATATTATTTGGGGAAGAGATTAAGACGATGCTTATGCTAAAATTAATATGTACGATTGTATTAATTGTAAAGAAGTCAACATTTTTGATTAATTCATTAAATTCATAGTGATTTTTGCTTTTATAGCCTGCCTTTCTTATCAACTGATAAATGAAACTTTAAATAGTATACTTTTTCTTCAATGCTAAATTCTTAAATGTTTAAATTTGGTTATCTTAAATAGCTCTTTTATTTTTAGATAAAAGCATTCCATCATATTAAAAATAATACTTTCCTATCTTTAAGTTATTAGTATGATTGTATTCAATCAGCAAACAGTTAATAATTCGATCAAAGATACACTTTTATTTTTTGGAAATATCCTTGAATTATTAAATTATATTTTAGATTGTGTCTTTGTTTAATCAAGTTTGCACAAGAAATTCATAAATATGGTATACTTAAGGTTAATATGGACTTTGATTTTATGCTTTTCTATCTTCATTATATTAATACTCTTAAGTTATGCTGTATGTAATGTGCTTAAAATATAAAAAAGATATAAAAATGTTAAACAGTCTCTAATAATTAAACTATATTTAGTTTTACTTCCTGGTCTTATAGTTTAACTAATGAGTACAATTTGGTGTAGATACATTAATAATGAATACTATGTTTAAAGAGATGTTCAATTTAATTGCTTTGATAATCAATATTTTATATTTAATTTTATTATATCAATACCTCTGCTAATAACTCTAATTCTATTTCCACTATACCTTTTCAAGAAACTTTACTAAAATAGATTTTAGCTAAATAAACCTCAATTTTACATGAGTTATGGTTTTGTTTACAGTGAATATAAAGAAAAGCTTTATTATTGGTAAATAATAAAAATTTATAAAAATATCTTAATATTTGTGATAGTGTAGTTATTCAACTAAATGTTTGAAACGATGTCAATTATAGTCATAATTCTTTTGATATTCTACATCAAATTTTAGCAAATTCACCTGCCATACAAAAACAGCTATTTTGGAGATTTAGATATTTTTTCTTAGCTATGCTTAATATTTACTATTTTTTGCTTAATAGTATATAACAGTGCTAATTCTATAGGATTGGTTTATACATCTATTACATTTACAATTTTGATCAATTTTGTATTATTGATGAGAATATTTTATTTGCTACTGTCCCAAAATAAATTTTCTAAATTTTTTTTAAAATGCCTTTAGTTTTTTAGCTTCAATTTTAGTAAAAAATTTTATATCTAGCAATAGAACTATTAAGCTATTGATATTTTAAGAGTAACAAAAAACTGGAAAAAAATATAAAACGTAATAAGAAAAAATAAAACTCAACATAAAAGGCTACTTAGTGCTATTAATATCCCAACACAAAGATTTATTTAAGAAATAGAGGAATAAAATGAGTAAAATTCTTTAAATGAAAGATAATCTACTTCTTTATAAAAAAAAACGCAATCTCATAGATTTTAAATTCAAAGTCTAACTAATGTACCAGAAACTGAGGTAGATTACAACATTTAGCTTGAAAACATATTTATAAATGAATAAAATATTAATTAATTGAATAGGTAAACAATCTTTTAAAAACCAATTTATAATAAACAGTAATAAATTTGATTTATTTTATAAAAATATATTTTACAGATCAAACTATGTAATTATAATTAAGTTTTATTTTAGTTAGCTTTCTAATTAAATTATTTTTTTTTAAATTAATTTTTTGTGGAAAAATACTTGATTTTATTTAATTTTGAATATCGTATTTCCTCACTTAAGATATCTGAGCCTAATGTCCAAGTGTGTTATTTTTTTCAGAAAAAATGAAGAAATCTAAATTTTTAATCAAACATTTAATTTTTAGAGTTAAACATTTTTTTATTCATTATATATGTAAAAAAAAAAAAATATTCAAGATTAAATGTTTGATAATAATTTATTTAAATTTCTTCTTTAAAAATTAAATCTTTGATTAAACATTTTTTTTATATCTATCAGGTTCGAAACTTGCTTGCTTCAAAACCTTTTTTTTATTTCTTTTAATTTTTTTTTTATTAAATAATATTTATTATTCTACTAAATCTATATTTCTTACTCAAGAAATAACTATCCGTGAATAGCTTTACTTTTAATTAATTAATTTTCAACTATTTTTTTAACATTTCACCATTCAAAATTCCTTCAAATATTTTTAAATTATTTGCTCCATACTAACACATTTTTTTTAAAATTAATTTTAAATAGGTAATTACTTCAAAAATTTTAGTATTGCTCACCTTCTTTACCGTTTATATTCAGTCTCGATATGATAATTGAATAAATACTCAGCATATAAAAATCCTTGGTTCAATAATTTATTGTTATCTTTATACTTCAAACTAAACTCTAGGATAAGTGTATTAAACTAATGATATTGTCATTTACCAAATAAATAAGTTATCTGAAAATGATAAAATTTAGATCTTAAAACTATATGACAAAGTTAGTTAAATTTAAAATGAAACATAGATTAACCATTTTGTCAATTAAATAATTAATTTTAAAGAGCAATAAATTTAATATTTAATCATTATCTAATTTGTTTTTAAAGAATAAGAAATTCATATTAAAAGTAACCCAATAAATATTTTTGGTGTATTTTATATATTTTAAAATAACAAAATAAATATCCTTTTTAATTTGTTAAAAGTATTATAATATAATGTTCAATTTTGTATCCTATTTTTTAATACTTTTACAAAAATAGCATATTTATCTTTTTTGAGAGTGTTTTTTAAGTATAATTACATTTAGATTTTTACAAAATAATAATCTAAATATTTTTTACAAGTTTAAAAGGATAATAAATGATATTGATTAATAAATTTGCTCTATTATTTTAAATATTTCTGCTCTAAGTTATTAGAAATGAAATTAATTACTAAAATTTGAGCTAGTTGTGTCTTACTGACTAATATTTTAGTTTGAAAAACGCTAAATGCGAAGATTGTAATTAGGAATGCTAGGGATGTATAGAAACAAATTGCATAGGTTGCAAATATGGTCTAAATGTAAATGGAAAATGCTTAAAGGAAAATGAAAAGTGTCCCAAAGGATATTTTCTAGATTAATTCGAAAAGATTTGCAAGCCTTGTGATGTTCCTTTTTGCTTAGAGTGCTCTCAGTCAAAGTAGTGCTAAAAATGTTCTGAAGGATTCATTTTAGATAGCTATTAATCCTAATGTATCGCAGATCAAAGTTAGTAATAATGGGAAAAGTATTATAAATATACTTGCCCAAGCTTATTCAAAGAAAGTTAAGGCGATTGTATCCAAAAAAATATTTGCTCTTCATTTAAGTTTTAAAATTAAAATCAATTTGATGGATAAATTAGCAAAGTAATTGAGCTTTAGTCTAAAAATTATATCTTAGGAATAAGCAAAACTTAAGCTATTTTATTTGAAGGAATAAATATGAATGCTATTAAGGAATTACTCAATTTATATTCAAGCCAAACTGAGCATCTAATAGAATCAATAACTTTCAAATAATATGTTTTCATTTTTTCAAATTAAAATATTTATTCCATTAATCTAGACTATGAAGGTTTAGAATCTAGATTTTAGTACACAAGCATAGGATCCAACACAGATTAAGATTATAGAAAAATGTATATAGATGAATAAAAACTACAAATTTTGTGTTTTGTATTAACAAATAATCAAAAAAATATAAGATAAATTGTAATAAATATCATACAAGGAACCAAAATATAATTTTCAATCACTTAAAGTTCTGATAGCAATGGGGGACTGCTGATCTAAAAAGAAGCTTAAGTTATATTTTATTTCTAAATATTTTAATCGCAAATGATTCTGGTTTATGTTTCAGAGTCTCAAATTAGTTTTCTTGATTTACAAAATTTGTAACTTTCATATCTCAACTTAGACTCTGGGTATAATTTATAAAAGAATATTCAAGTGATGATCAGTAAAAAATCTTAAGAAAGTCCTTCTATTTTAACATTTTTTATATTCGCTTAAGTTGAAATGGTTTATTACAAACTAAATGCTTTTAAGGTTAAGCTAGATAAACAAAATCCTCAGAGTATCACTTACAGTTAACCTTAGTACAGTTTTGAATATTTTAGATAAAATTAAGGCTAAATTAATTTCTAGAGTTTTAATTGGTTTGCATATGAAATTGAAAATGAAATATATTTTTTACTTCTTGCTTATTAAATTTAAAGCTCTTCACCTGATTAAAACATTAAATTTCTAGGAATTGCTGATGCTGATTACTTTTTTACAGGAAATAAAAACTAAATATTTGAATATACTGGAAAAATAGACTGGTTTAGCAATTAAATGCCTATGATATCTAAGACTTAATAAAGTAACAACTTGCTATTAATTATACCTTACCAAAATTAGTTATAATTTTATGAAACTTAATAAGACACTCTTATTCCAGTTTATCAAAGCATTTTTTTTGATTAAGATAATTCAAGCATAATTATTAAAGCAAGTTATTAAATACAATAAAGATTTTTGTTAATCTTTGATTAAATTCTAGGCAGCATGGAGCTAGGAAATGATAGATAAACCATATAAATTAATTTGTCTTCAAAAACTTTATTTAGTTCAAAAAATAACTAATTTTTTGGTCAAATAACAAATTCTAAGTTATTCTTACCAAGCGATATTAATTAACAACAAAATAAATACTTATTTTTGATATTTGACGTACCAGATAAATATAGAATGTAAATTGTGTAAACTCAGCTTGAAATCAATGGTAATTAAATATTTAAAGCTCAAAGCTTTATATCACACTAACAAAGAAATGAAATAATATAATAATGTGATTTATATAGTGAAAAAGAAATTATTTTAATTACAACTAATTTAGGTATATATCAAGTAGCTTATCACACTTTGAAATTGTAAAGATTTATTCCAATACTTAATAAATTAATTTAAAGCTAAAATATTATTTTTCAAACTATCTTTTAATAAAGCAGCAGCTAAATTAAACTCTAATTGATGATTGTTTAAGGAGATATTCTTAACAATTAGGATATTATCGCTGATTTAGGAGCTTATCAATAAAATGAAAATTAAAAATTAGCAAATATCAATAAATTATAGAGGTAATTTATTTACTTATTGGAATAAAATTAAAATTAAATATGCACTTCGCTTATTTTGTATTATATGGGTGCATATATTGATGCTGCAAAATAATTAGAATCTAATATTAGTATAAATTCGATTGAATTTATTGATATCGATACTATTGGTATTGTATTTCAAAATAATTAGAATACTAATAATTTCTAATTTTTAAAGATTATTACTTAAAAAATGGATGATCAAAGTTTGAAATTGATTATTACATAAGCAATCATACCACAAGGGTTTACCTGTTCTATTTATGAATAAATTTAAATTGCAAACTGTTATTAAATAGAAGTTTAAAATGTAAGCACCTAGTCTGTTTTTACATATGCCTTCAACTGGTAAAATATGTAGTTTATTTTAGACTAGAACGGAGATAAATTGAAAATAGGGCTTTTATCAATGGCAAATTATGAAATTTTTAATCTTGATTACTAAAGCATAATAAAATTAGAAAACATGTATCATATTTACTCTACTTTTAGATAAGTTATACCTGATAGTGAAACCTATACTCAAAATGAAATTTAATCATGCTATTATACTTTTGATATTCCTAATTAATAATTTAATTTCATATCATAATATTCAAATATTGCTTAAGCTTCTTCAAAATTTTACTATTTTTATGGATTGATTGATTATACAGATAAAACTTCAGGAATTCAAAGAATTTTCCCATCTGCTTAGTCTTTTTAAAAATTTAGTTTTTTAAATTATGGTTAAGTTAAGGACGATAATACGTTTGTTTTTTCATAGATAACTTCTCATTTAATGTTCAAGTAAAAAAATTCTCTGATAGCAGCTCAAAGATTTGGATAATTTGATGTATTGAAGGGGACTACTGATGCTCCTTTTTTGTTTTCAATAAGTTAATTAGGTATTATAGCTGTTCAAAATTACTAAGAACTTTAATTTCTTTCAATAGATAATCTAGAAGTTCTTTAAAAAATAAATGTTGAATAAGGTATGACAGTTTTTTATTCTAAAAAATTTAAAAAGCTAATTCTAAAAAAAGAAAGTGTAATAACAGTATACAATTAAGATAATTTATTTGAAAAGCAGAGTTATAGCTATGATCTTAAATAAAATTTATAAAAACCTAAAAATCCTATTTGCTTTATTCTCAATGAAACTTCATATTTAGTCTGCCACAAATTTGGGTTGTTTGACTTTCAAAATAGGGTTTTCATTGAAAATTAAAAATTAATAGCTTGCGATTTAAGATAAATACCTTTCATATATGAAAATTCTTACTTTGCTTTGTTTAATACTATTAGCAATTTGTTTGTATTTTCTCATTAAAAAAAGTAGTTCTTAAACAATGTAGTATTAGGTTATTCATAAAATGTTATCTCTAAAATATATCTTCATCCTGAAATTAGTGATTAAATGATTTTAATAATTAATGGTATATGCAAAATATATTAATTACCTAACTTTTATTTGCTTTATGAAGACACTGAAAAGTATTAAAACGAAGATCTATTTAGTGAATGCTTTTATAACCCTTCTTCTTCTTCACCTTCATTAATAGTTAGAACTGTTTAAAAACTTACAATACACAAACTACCATTTAGTATTACTAATGCTCCACAAATATTAAGCTTTAACAGCTCTTCTAGATCAGAAAAATATGCAGTAACTTAAAACTATCTTTATATTCTTAGTACTCAAAGGCTGTATGATTAGTCTAGAGCAATATACTTTGAGTAAATAAATTTAATTACAGGTAATTACAAAGTAACAAATATGATATTAACAGAAGCTATCAGCTCGAATATCTTTTAATATTGGGAAGAAAAAGAAATATTATTTTCAGAAGAATTTCTTATTTCAACTGGAGATATATAGTTTGGTTGGAGCTCTGAATAAAAACTTATGGATTATTTTGAGAGATTTAATTATATTTTATAAATAGAATAAAATGGGAGCAAGTATTAACTTTAAAATTTAGATTTATGTGAAATGTTTCCTTTTAATAGATAAAACTCTCAATTTATTGATATTTTAGACACTGCTAGCTCAAATTATTATTTTTTAAACCAAGGAGTTGAGCAAATAATATACTTTAATTCTCAGTAGTTTATCATTTAGCAGTCAAGCTTTGGTAATGATAATTACCAAACACTTCTAGATATTTATGATATTTTATTAAATAAAGACTACAAAGATAAATTTTAACCTTATTATGAATCTTTATACAAAATATTTCCAATAAATAGTTTAAGTGAGAACATAAACCTTTATGGATTTCACTGGAAATGTAATTTGTTTATTTTCAAGAAAGAGGTCATCATAGAAATTATTGAATTGAGTACTTACAAGTGCTAAATTTATTAATTTAATAAAGAAGTTTATTTAATTAAATAAAATTAACTCTATTAAGTAGTATATTTAAATTAAAAAATTGACATTAAATAAAAATTAATCAATGAAAATGCTTAAATCTAAGATTTTTATTCTGATTACATGAATAAATGGATGTTAATACTTTATGAAAGATAAGACTCTTGTTTCCTTTACTAAAATGATTCATAGCAAATGAAAAGTATAAATATGAATATAGATTCATAGAAAATAAGTTTAGTTAATTTTGTTAATTAAGGAATAATAGATTTGCTAGTAATAGGACAGTTTGATTCCAGTATGTAAATAATTTAATTGCTCAAACCAAGTTCGGATTAAGTTGAGATGAGTAATTTAATTCTTTTTTTTACTTTTAGATATAATTTATAAACTCTTAAATAAACCAATCTTAATTTTAGAAAAAATTTTTGGTGTTAATAAATTTATTAAAAAATCTTCAAACATTTTTATTATAAATATATCTTTTAGAGAGAACTTACAGTTAATTTTATTTTTTATATTTATTTTTTTTAATAAAATAGGTTTATTGTTTTAAACTAATTTGAAATGTGGACAAATAAAATAGATGGATTCATTAGCTATTTCTTTAAATGATATTTAATTAATTTTTTCTTTTTATGTAACTTGTACCACAAGAATTTTTTTCTTTTAAGGTACTTATGATTAAGTGAACTCAAATTTCAATATACCTTTAAAATTAATCACATATAATTTAATACATACAAGGTCTTACCATAAAGTTAAGATTTTACTAAATAATTTTGTAGCAGTATATAGTTAGAGATAAGTGACTATTTATTCAAGTTCTTTATAGTATATAGCTAGAGTAGAAGACAATTTAATATCTTAAATAACAGATGTTATATTAGCACCAAACCTTTTTAATTTAATTGTTGTTGAAGCAAATAATATTTTAATTTATAGCTTAAAAATTATAAATAAATAATAAAGATTGATACTACAAATTAACTTTCCTTATTTGATGCCAGTAATTTATTCGATAAAACAATTAGCTTCTTATAATAATATTTTGGAATTTAAGGGCATAGATGCTAAAAATATTTTATTATTTTAATATTTACCTTTTAACGGATAAAGTGATATTTAATAAAGTAATAATTGTGTTCAACAAATTGAGAGTTTGTATTCTAAAGAAGAATAATAGCAACAATACATATCATTATTACTTTCAAACAATGATTTATCTAATTCTACAATTAGTGCTTATCTAAGCGTTTAGAAAAGTTAAGAAATCTTGCTGTTAACCATAGTAAATTAAGTTATTAATTTTTAATAATAGTAAGATATTTTTTCAAATAAAATAAATATTGATGTCAACTTAAACAATTTAGTACTGCAATTGATGTAAAATGAAGATAATATAGATTATAAAAATCTATTTAATGCAATTAAAATAACTAATGGTGTAATTAAAATAAACTAAACTATTTCATTACAAGATTTTAATTAATTTATTTTATAAGATGTTTAAATTGTCATTTAAGAAAAAGGATAGATTGTTTTGAATTAAGGAGATAGTGTAGGTTTTAATAATTGTAGTTTAATATTTTAAAATAAAAATTAAAAAGAATTAAATGATATTTTTGTGATTTAAAATATTTAAAGCTCAATTTTAAATCAAATAAATATCATAAATTAAACTGTTACATCGTAATCTTTATTCAGTTTTAAAAATTGCTCAAATTCTCTCATAAAATAGCTCAAAATATTTGGCTCTCAATTTAACCTCTAATTTCCTCTTTTAAAATTTTAGTAATAAAGCTAAAATATAACTCTATAAAATTTGTAAATAATTCAATCAAATCTAGGATAGCTTCTATTTTTAACAGATACATAAAATATAATGTTAGTAGATTTTTTATTAGAAAAATTAAATTTGGAGAAGGATAAAAGGATGAGGTTTATTTAATAATAAGATCAAGAATAAACTATATCTTAGCTACCTTTAATATATTCTGAATTTGGATAAAAGGAGATAAATGCTAGTTAATTTAACATATCTGATTGTAGCTTTAATGCTTTTTTGTCAGTTTAAAATTGGAAGGAAGAAATACAAACTATAAATAATTAGTAATTAAAAACATATAACATGTCTAGCTTATCTTCCTCAAGCTTAAGGAAAATTAATATCTAAAAATCAAAATTCAACAACTACTCTATCACTATAGATGATAATCAAATTATGATAGATGATATATAATTCACTTAAGTTCAAGATGGATTAATTTAATTAAAAAATGCAAAATTAAATGTTAATAAATTTTATGTTTATGGGTTTACTTTATTCTAATTAAATAGCATATTTATTGCATCGAATTGCATAGCATAATTGTAGAATGTTTAAGTATTAAAAACATATATTGCTAAAAGATAAGGGATACTTAATTAGGATATATAGTAAACTAGTTAGGGATATTTCTATTTTAAAAATACAAGTGCTTAAGTTAGTCATTTTAAGGCCGATGATAATAATATTTAGACCTATTTTTTGCATTTTGATGGATACTTTTAACAAGTTTAAGCAGACAGTAATAATAACAAAAATCTTTTAATAGATGATTGTATTATTTAATAAACAAATAAAGGTGGAGGTATTATGATTCAAGATATACAAAATGCTCTAGTTTCCAATAGCAAAATTAATTATAACTAAGGAAGTGAATAAGGTGGAGGTATATAAATGATCAAATGCTCGAAAGTAATTTTATAAGATGTTGAAATTATAGGAAATAAAGCTTATTTGTATGGAGGAGGAATTTATCTCAAGGATACAAATTTGCAGCTAATATCTTGCAAAGTTTAGTTTAACTCTGCTATTGTTGGAGGAGGTATTAGATATTTAAATTCCATAATAGATGATAAAGTTAATCAGAATGATTAAAGTTAAGTTATAAATAATACTGCTATGGTTTATGGAAACAATTAATGTTCTTTACCAAAAGAAATGAAAATCAAATATGAATAAAATGGAATAGATAAAATAATAATTGCAACAAGCAGTTCAAACTAGTAGCTTACTAAAATTAACTTTCAGCTTATTGATGAGGAAGAAGAAGTAGTTAAACTTCCTAATAGACTGAATACCTAACTAGAAGATTTCAATTCCTTGGAAATATCAAACTATTTTAATAGATTTTAGCTAAGTTAGGAGAAGAAAAAAAATTTAATTTAAATTCTATAATAAGATTTTGATGAATTTTACTAATTCAATCTATTTTCAGACAGTGATGTTTTAGGATAAGTATAAATATAGTAGAAAAATTCTTTCAGTCAATACAATTATACTGATAAATACACACATTAACTTAGCAAATATATTTTATAATCAGGCTATTCTAATTTATTGAGTAACAACTCATAAAATTAAATCTATTAATTTTAAATTTAATCCTAAGGTAATTTATTTAATATTTAAGTTAATCTTAAATTTAGAAAATGTATTTAAGGAGAAATAATCAATAAAATTGGATAAGATTTCTATGAGTGTTATTTATGTAGCAATAATACTTATTCCCTTGCAGATCCTTATAGCAATTAATTATAAAATTCTTGCAAAGAGTGTCCTTATGGAGCTCAGAGCTGCTATGGAAGTTAAATAATACCTTAGTAAGGGTATTGGATATAAGAAAACTACCCAAATATATATTATTGCCTCAATACCTATGATAGTTGCATTTATAATACTTCTACAAATACTTCCTGCTCAGAGGGATACACAGGCCCATTGTGTGAAAGTTGCAGATATCACAAAAATAACTCTATTGGAGAGATTCAGTATTTTTCAAAAAAAGGAAAATATAAATGCGCTGTTTGCAGTAATAAAATAAGCTAAAGAGATGAAATTTTACTTACTGTCTTTTTAGGCTTAATATTTTTAGGTTACTTAACCTACTAAATATCATCAAACTATAAAAAGAAGGTAATTAAGATGAAACTACTTTACCTCAAGAGAGGTTAAATGCTTTATATTTCTAATTCATTAAACTCCAATGAGAAATCATCATTTGCTTTAAAAATACTGATCAGTTATATGCAGATTATAAGTGTAGTCTTCTAGCTAAAAATTCAAACTCCTGGTTTTACACTCCCATTTTAGTATTTTGGTAATAATTTGTAAACTACAGTTTATTCTTTAGATTGCATCTTTTTAAAAAGCTAGCTATTCACAGATATATCGATTGTGTATATAAGATTGATTTGGACATTGGTTTAGCCATTTTTATACATCATATTTTTGACCATATTTTATTTTATTGCTTCCATATGTATAAAAATAGGAACACAGAATAGAGTGAAAAATCTCTTCATATCAGGATTATTGAAAATATATTACATGTTTTATCCAGGCATTATTTAGATTGTTATAGGAACAATTTCATGTAAAGAGTTTAATGGATAAAAGTATGTGCTAAATGACCTTTAATTTAAATGCTATGATAGATAATATAACATTTTCAATTATGTTTTCGGATTACCTTTGCTCATTCTTGCGCTTATAATTCCTTCTTTAATATTTAGAAAGTTAGTTAAGAGCAAAGAGCACATATATTAGGATCCTAATATTTTTATTTCATATGGATTTTACTTCTCAGAGTATAACTATAAATACTGTTACTGGGAAATAATCAAAATCTATTAAAAGATAACTGTATTTATATTAATTGGAATCTTCAATGATAATACTTCTCTTTAAGTGATACTAGTTTCTATAATCATAATATTATATATGAGATTTTAATTACATATTTAGCCTTACACATACCTCTAATTTAACAAATTAGATCACTTGTCTCAAATAACAGCAGCTGTAACAATATTGTGCTTGAGTATATATAGTAACTCTGATAACATTTCAATCTAAATAGTATGTATACTTTTTGTTTCGATAGCTAACTTTTATTTCTTTGGTAGATTCTTAAAAAGCTTTTCATATCATTTGATAAGACAAAACAATTTTAAATTCATTTTAGATATTCTAATAAAAATTTAAAAACTTTATCCTAATTGTATACCAGAAATCGATGATGGTAGAGTTAACATTTTAAGATAAACTATGAATTGGAAAAATTTATTATTAGCTTTTTCGAAGAGAAGCTATAAAGGAGTATATTCTTACACTAATTAAATGAAATAGCAAAGCTAAACAGACTAAGCTTTTATAAATTAAGATAAAATATAGTTTTCACCAAACAAGCGCATGAAATTATCTATCTTTAAATCTTAAGATCAAAACTTAAACAATATTTAAGAATCAGAAGGAATATTAAATACAGATAGAAAACTTTTAACCTAAGACGATAATTAATTTGAGTACTGCTAAAAATAAATATAAACAGATAAAGATAGCAGTTAAATCATTGGATAGGAAATATTAAACTATAATTCTGTTAGAGCACATTATAAGTTAGTTTAACCTGGATAGCAATTAAAACTCCTTTCATCTGTATCATAAATCCCAGACGAAATACAATAAATATTTCCAAATAAAACAGGAGAAGATTAAAATAATTAAAAAGAAAAAAATTGATTAAAAAAATAATTTAAAAATTGTAATATTAAATAAATAAATTTTATAATAAAGTAATTAAATAGTATTGGTTTAATATTTTTGAAATTTAAAAAAGGTCTTGATTAACATTAAACATAAAGACTGTAAAACGAAAATAATTAAATTATTCAGCACAATTAAAATTTTTATTTCATTTCCATTTTATTCTTTTTTATATTTGTGATAATTGAGATATTTCTGGATGGTTTAGATTGAGTAATTTTAATTTAGAAATTAATTCCTTTAAAATAAAATTAGCAGTTTAAAGTTATGAAGGTTGGAGTAAAGATTGATCTATGATATTTTGTAAAATTTATTTAATTGCTATATAAAATGAATCAGATGATTCTCTGTTATCTAATTGATCGACAAAGTCTAATATTAATTCAACTTAAAAAATATTTATTAAATTATGATTTATTTTAAATTAAATTTACGTGAAAAATATTTTGATTAATAATTTTGTAAACTGAGGTAGTAAATGTACTTTTTATTTATTGTATAGCTTAAATTTTAATTTTATTTGATCTTACTTATTTGAGATAAAAGAACTAAAGAATCTGGATAATATTAATAGAAATCCTCAATTATGTAGAGACATTTTTATACATCATTTTTTAATATAGAAAAAATATATTAAAATAAGAAAAACTGATTTTTTATTTTGTCATCTATTGACTTATTAGCCACTTATTTTTCATAGCAAATAAGATTTAGACAGCTTAGTTCATATTTTTCTATTAAGTTACATAAATTATTTAGCTAAACTTCTGTCATGTTAATTTATTTTAACTAGAACTCATAAAATGCTACTTGGTATGAGAATAATAAAGTTAGGCTTTTAAAAAATTATGGATTTTTAAATAATTTAGTTTATGATTAAGTTTAAGGTTTATCCTATTAATAACACAGCAATTTCATCAAACACTAATCAAAATACTTTTATTCGAAGAAGCTAACTTAATCTTAATTATCAAATACTATTTCCAAACAAAAGTAAAGTATCATGAAATGTAGAAATTTACAACTAACACTAAGGTCAGAAGTAATTGATCTTTCATAAAAGTATATTTCCATTGTTTATATTAATTCATTTCTTTCATTTTCAAGAATAAGAATGTTTAAAGGAATATCTCTATCTTAAGTTAGGTAATACTAATAAAATCTATCTATAAGATGAGAAAGCATTTTTAAAATCTATAAAGATTCCTCAATATTCTTTGAAATGCCTTATTTTAGTTATCCTAATTTTTTTACAAATGGTGTGCATAAACTAATACCTAAACCTTTCTCAAACTAACTTTGAGTCGAATTTTAAGTAAAAAAATTAACATATTAATCAAAATTTTATCCTATAAAATTGTCATACACCTAAATAAGGTTTTTATGATTTCCAATTTGAATTATTGTGTTCTTATACAAAAATAAGTTAATAGTATTTTGATTATAAGAGTTACTACTTGTTGCTAAAAGCTATTTTAACAACTTTTCGAACTCGCTTTAACAAATTTAAAAATTTTAGTTTTGGGACTACAATAATTATGGAAGTAAATCAAATTCTTTGGTATATTATGAAAAATCAGTAATATATTTTTGATTTTTAAGTTTTGTTGCAAAAATTAAACCAATACAGCTGATTTCGCTAGCTAAAAATTTGCTTTAATCATAATCCTATTCTATATTCTTTGAGAAAGTCAAGAAAGCTTCAATAATTTTTAAAGCATTTTATATTGACTATTCTTTAAGACTATTTAAATTTAAAGCAATTTCTAATGTTAACTTTGCAAGCTTCTAACTTAAAATCTATAAATTATTAATATCATTTACTTTTATATTTATAATTTAAGAGCTAATTCCTATGATTTAAGTAATAGAGCTTGTCAACCCTTCTATAACTTCATTTATTTATTTTTTATGATCCTTATAGTTTAAAAATTCATCTATTAAAGTGCAAATCATTCCAACTGAGTCATAAAAAGGTTGCTATATTTTTTTTTATTGTGTAAAAAATCCTATATTTTATGAGATGTATTTTTAAAATAATTTAAGAGCAAAGTTAAAATAATTATTGCCTAAGCTACATATTTCTTATATTAATTATGAAAATTCATAGCTTGTAATTGATCTGTTGTTAATTGAGAAATCTTCGATATACTAAATAATCTATTACACAGATTTCTCTTCTTAGTAAATTTTCAATTTTTTAGCATTAATAATTAACAAAAAAAAATCATAAGGATCTATTTAAAATGTTTAATTAAACTCTTTTTCCAGTTATTCATATGACTCCTTATCCTTATGCTCTAAGGCATTTATAAGCCTTAATTTTTAGAAATGAATATAATAAGATATATCTATATCTTAAAATATATGAGAAATAGGATTTAACATTTGTATAATTTCTTCAACTTTTTTTGTTTCGCAATCTTAAACTTGTTTAAATAAAATAATTAAAATATTTTCTATAATATTTTATTTAGAAACATTTAACATCGGATAAATATTAAATAAGTTTAATATTTTATCTGAAAGACTAATTAAATCAGAGAATTTAGTTTTTTAGCTAAGTGATTTCATTTCTAATAAATTAACTTAATTGCATAAATATAAATTTTGTAAGTACTCACTCAGTTACAGCTCTTCAAAAAGTTAATTAAAAATAACCTAGTTATTTGTAGACAATTCATTCATTAAATTTTCATATTTTTATGCCTAGGACAAATCAATTAGCTTTCTACAATAAGTAATGTTGATTACCAATAAATCGAGCAACTATGCAATAGTGAATTTTAAGTCTGTATCTGGGCACTTTAAAGACATTTAAAAGCAAAAGTTTATTGTTTCTAAAGATATTTTACCTGTTATAAATATGGACATCAAAGTAATATCATTTGCTTCATCTTACATTTCTAAATTTTCATTTGCTGCTTAATATATTTTAAGCTCATATTCTTCCTCAAGAGTAAAGTATATTTCTAATAGTTTAGCAGATATTTTTGAAATTTGGTTTAACTAGCAAGTATCTAGAGAATCTTATTTCTTTATAAAGCTCGTTATCTGCTTGTCTAGAAGTTCTAGCTTTGTAAAGTCTCTTGTTTGAAGTTTAGTATTATTATACAGTTCTTCAACTTACTTTTCTATATTAATCATATCAAATATGTTTTTATCTATGTTTGCTAATTGTTATCCTCTAAAGTCAATATAAGTAGAAGTATTGTTTTAGCTATAATTAATATTTATTGCTAAATTTTTTGTATAATAACTTATTAAAAAATATTTAAGCTAAATCAAATTTAATTTAAATTTCTTAAACACATTTTCAGTAAAATAAATAATAAAAAACAAATTTAAAAATATTTAGTTACAATATTGAAAAATATTTTTTTTTATTAATTTTAAGCTTGATAATACATTTTCTCAAATAAAAACTAATTTTTAACAAAACTTATGATAATAAATTGTATCAAAAACTAAAAAAAAACAATTAAAATTTAAATTTGCATTTGTACCTTTAATTATTACAATTTTTATTCAAAAAATTAGATATAAAACTTCTTTCATTTAAATATAAAATTTTATTTATTTATATGCATCCTTTTATCCACATAAACATCTCTCTTTCTTCTCATTTTTACTTGCTTACTTATTTATTTATTTAGTAATAATAAACTAAGAATTAGGAATATATAATTTATTAAAATAAGGGAAAATTATCTCATTTTATAATTTAGTTAAGTAAATTAGAAATAATAAAAAAAATATCTTCGAAAAGTCAAAATATTTCATTTAAGAAACAGATATGGGAAATCAGCTATTCAAGAATTATGACGTAGAAAAAGAACCTTAGTGTGTAGGTGGGTAAAATGGAATATGGAAAATTTATAACGCTGTAAAATAAGATAGCACAAAAAGAAAGGTTAGTATTTGGTCATTTGACAAAAAGAATATAACAGATAAAGCAGCCAAAGCTGCAAAAGAAGAAATAGCTGCATTTTTAAAGAAAGAAGCTACATCTATGATGAAAATTAGACACCCAAATATTGTTAATCTTGTAGAGCCAGTGATTGAAGATAAATATTCTATGGCTTTTGTTACAGAGAGAGTTGATGATAATTTATACAATTTAATGAAGAAAGGTGATTATAAAGCAATTTGTTAATCTGAACTAGAGTTAAAACTATAAGTAGAAAATATTTTAAAAGTACTTCAGTTTTTACATAATGATGTTAAGACTGCACATTTAGGTATAGCACCAGAAAACATTTTCATAGTGAATGGATAGTGGAAAATAGCAGGTTTTACATTCTCAACACCAATTTAAAATTAAACATCTACAGATGTTTAAAATGCAGACTTCACAAAACGCCCTTTTGACCACTTTGCATAATTTTATCCTAATTTATCATTTAGTGCCCCTGAAGTTGCTGAAATACCCCCTAAATGCACTTTCGCAAGTGATATTTTTTCTTTATCACTCCTGATTTTACTTATGTATTAAATTAAATACATGCAAACTACAAATGTTACTCCTATGCTCTCCTCTAAAACTGTTGGCGAATACTCTTCTTAGCTTGGACAAATTTAGAATCATTTTAAGAGTTAAAACTACATTCAAAGAGATATGAACGAAGATTTTAAAAAGCTTGTTTCTCGCATGCTAGCAAAAAACCCTTCTACTAGGTAATAATTACTTTTCATAATTACTATAATTATTATTTTATTATTAGCCTATTTATGTATGAATGTATGTTAATTACTGATAAATAAAATTTTAAATTTCTAAATAAAATTAAAAATAGACCAACAATAGAATAGATTAAAGAATCAAGTTGGATGAATGACCCATTTGTAAAAGCAATATATATGTTAGAAAATATAGTTGAGTTAGAATAAAATAAGTAAATTAGCTTCTTAGCTGGAATGTCAAATATTTTGTTTAAATATGAAAAACCTGTCATCAAAAGGAGGATAGTTCCTCAACTTATTGATCTAGCTAAATTTGAATACTTAATTCCTCCTATTCTAAATATCGTAACTGACTGTGTAAAATAGCCAGATTTATATTCTGTCTCAGAGTTTTAAAGTGACTTACAGCCATTCGTAGTTGGATTAACTAAAAGTAAATTACAATTAATTTTATTTATTTAATATTATTAATATAATTTGTTTATCACTTAGGAAAAAGTATTCCCGGAAAGGCGCTTTATGCTCTCGTAGTGAACTGTGAGCACTACTTTAAAGTATTTGATAAAACTGAATTTTAAAATGTATATCTTGTACCTGTATTAAAGTGCTTCGATATTCCTTAGCTTCAAGGTTACGTACTTAACTAATGCGACTTTTTGATGAGTAAGCTAGATTACCAATTCACAAAATCAAAATTATTACCTCGTATTTTACTTTTATGCACATCAAATGTTCCTAAAATTATGAAACAATCAATTTTCACTTTAAAAAAAATAATACCAAGCTTAGATAAGCATATTTTAAATGATTAAGTTCTCACTACTTTAGATAAACTGAGAAAAATGACTATCTCAGACAAGTCTATTACAATGCTTATTTTAGATATTTATATCCAAATTTCCAAATCTCTTGATATTTTGGTAAATTTTCTTTTTTTTTACGACTATTAATTAAAATGTAATTTAATCTAAACTAAAAGGTTATAGCTTAGAAGATTCTACCAAGTTTGATACCATATTTGATTGATTAGTCTTTAGGAAGAAAAGAATTCGATGCCTATTTAAATGCTGTAAATGCTATGATTAAATAGATTGAAGCAGAAAGAAAAAAATAAATAAAGGATATTGAAGGTGGTGCTGAAGAAAGTGCACCAGCTCAAAATGCTAATAATAATAACAACAATAATGATGATGATTTATTTTAATTTGAACAAAAACCAAATCAAGATTAGAAAAACACATAGGGTAAAGATTTCGATTTCTTGTCAATGTTTGATCAACCTAAATAACCCTCTACAGCTCCAGCTACAGGAAATAACTAGAATTAAAATAATTAAAATTTAAATGCAAATAATTAATAACAGTAGTAACCTTAAAAGCCTGCAAGCTAAATGGATTTCAATTTTGATATGTTTGACAATATCCCTTCAGTTTAGTAAAATTAGAGTTCATAAGGTCCTTCTGAATAAGCAAACAACAATAATAATAACTTTAATTCAAATAGCTTAAGTGCCAACCCTGTTATTAATAATGAAAACAATGATTTCTTTAATAGCATAAAACCAGTTAACAACAATAACAACAACAACAATAATAATAACAATAACAATAACAATAATAATACTTATAAAGATCCATTTGCAAGTAAGATAGAATTTAAGGATCCATTTGCTAGTTAAAAACTATCAAAGAATATAGATAATATGTTTAATGACTTTTAACCAAAACAATAAACTTAATAAAATGATTTATTTGCAAACATTTAGAAAAAAGATTAAAACAATTAAAAGCAGTAATTGGATGTGGATGATTTATTCAGTGGTGCTAATAATAATTATAACCAGAATTAAAATAATGCAAATAATAAAAATACTAATGGTATGTTTGGTAATAGCTATAATAATTATAACACTAATAATTAAGTTGGAAGTGTTTAAAATTAATAATATCAATCAACTAATTCATATACTCCTGCATAGTCTGGATGGGGAGCCGATGACCCTTTCTCAGAGGTTACTGGATAGACTACCAACACTTTTGTAAATTAAAATCAAAATAATTTAGGTAGCTAGCAATAATAATAAAATAATTAAAAAGCATTCGGCACTTTTGAATTTACAGGAAATTTATTAGATATTAATACTGCTTTTGGTTCATTATAGTAGTAAAATAATAATTAAAATTAATCCAATTAGCAATCAAGTAGCCTTTTTAATAACTTAAAGAAAAATAACAACAATAATACAGCCTAAAAGAATCCTTTAGATGACTTATTTGGGCCTTCTCCAGTAAATAATAATTAAAACTAGTTCAACAATAATTACAATAATAATAACAACAACAATAATTTTGATTTGTTCTGATATATTTTAAGTATTATATTTTATTTCATGATCAAAATAACTTTCAATATATTTTGTCTATTTTAGTGTTGAATTTATTTGATTGATTCTTTTTCATTAATATAAATAAAAACTAGACTCAAATTTACGAGACTAAAAAATAAAATTTTGATAGAGATAAAATAAGGTTCCTGACCCAAAATTAAATATTAATATAATAAGTGTTGAAAATTGATTACAAACTAAAATATTAGGGAGGAAAATTAATAAGATTTTTGTTGTTTTTCCAAAAAAAGATACCTTTATATTTTACTATTTTTTTTATGCATCTTTCTTATTTGCTAATGTTTCAAATATTGTGGAAATCGATTGTAAAGATAACAATAAGGTAAATAAAACATGTTAGGCAATTAATTAATTAATTGTATGTATATAAAAGGTCAGCATTTTAATATTTATAAAAGAAAAACTCAAGAAATAAAGAAGAAGTGTAATTTAAATTAAAGGAAATAAATAAACAAGTTATTGAATAAAGTTGAAATATAAAAGTATAAGATTAAAGTATTTGAGATTGAGTGAATATGTCTGATTTAAATTAAAAACTCATAGGCAAACAGTAGGCTAACAATATGACCTTTGACCAAATGACTCTAAAAATAACTTAATAATTGAGTAGCATTACTTAGAAAAACTAAACTCTTATGAAGAAAGCAGAGTCTGAATATGATGCCTAATTCTTAAAAAATTTTGACATATTTAAAAAGCAAATTTAAAGTGAAATTAGCGACACCTAAGAAACAATTAAAATTTTAGTAAACAAGGCTAAAAATTAACCCTAGAAAATGTAAGCAAAAAAATACAGTGATCAAATATCTCAAGAATTTGACAGATATAAAAATAGTGTAAAAAAAATAGTTAACAACTCTTTTGCATAAAAGTAAGAGAATTTACGTAAATCATCAGTCTTAAACAACTCTCGCTCTATTGATAGTGACGAAGGAACTATAGACTAAAGTGGTAGAAACGATTCTAGGTTTGGAAATAAAAATTAATAACAGTAATAACAACAAGCTTAATAAAGGCAATACAATGATTTTATAGATTATGAAAATCAGTTAAATAGGGAAAGACAGGAGGAATTAAATAAGTTAGAGAAAGATACTGAAGGTATCTATAATAATTTTTAGAAGATTGCAGAATTAAATAACTAATAGGGGATAATGGTAGATGTAATTGATGATACTACCTTTTAAACTTAATAGTAGGTTAAGGCTGCTAAACAAGAAATGGTTTAAGCAGATAAGCATCAATCTTCAGCAAAACGCAAGTATATAATATTTGCTTTGATTATTTTGATTGCTTTGGGTGTTACATTGGCTATTGTTTTTACTTAGATGTGAAAACTAATAAATCAATAATTATTCCTTAAAAACATGATTGATAGTTAACTATCTAACTAGCTAACCAACAATAAATCATTTTTTAACAAATTAAATTTAATAAAATCTATTTATCAACAATTTAGAAAATAAAATAATTAGCTAATCAAAGATTAGAATGAAAGTGTATTAAGACAAAAAATTAAAATTATAATTATTATTATTAATAAAAGTCAATTAAATATTATTATTAAAGTTCATTTAGATATCTATCTCTTTATTGAATTTATAATTTTATATATTTCATAAATATTCTTCTAAATTTCATATATTATTTACAACTTTAGCTCTTTATAATTATGCTATAAAAAATAGTTATATAGCATAAAGTAATTAACTGATTTCTACTTTATCCAATTAACTAATTACTTTTAGTTCATTCCAATCAGTGTAATTCATAATTCATGTTATAGAGCAAAATCTTGGATAGCTATCAGATCATTATAAAAGACTTAAACCACTAATTAAATAAATTACATAAATATTTTACTAATTTCTTAAAAAATATCTGCCATTCAACAAACAGATAGAATTTTTTTCATATATTTATTTACTCTTTTTCTTATAAAAAAATAAAAAATGATTAAAATAGCAAATATTTTTCATAATTAATTCTCATATATTTTTTATTTAAAATACTTTTTTAAAAGATTCAATTTAAATTTTTTAATTTTTTAACATTTTAAAATAAATTATTTACTTTGTTTATTTTAAAATTTAGCAATATTATTCGATTTGCTATAGTTATTAAATTATATTTTTCGTTAATAATCAAAGATTTAAACGATCTAATTTTCAAAATTTAAACATCGAAAGGTATTAGTTTGATTAAAAATAAAATAATCCTTCAAAAAAAGTACTTAAATAAAAAATGAGACAACAGTACGATTAAATTAATTGTAAAATTTCTAAAAAAGCACCAATAAATAATTTAATATTTATTTTTTAAGAAATAGGAAATGAAAACATTTCAAGTGATACTCTTTATTTGAAAGAAAGATTTAAAAATAACGTTGAAGATTTTAATAACACTTTACAAGGTTTAAAATAATGTATGGAGTAGATTAAAAAGAATGAAAGAGATGGAAGCACTAACTAAAAGATTGATAAATTTTAGAGAGTTGAATAAATGCTTAATGAAAGAAAAAATAAGTAAAATCTTACTAATAAGAGTATAATTAGTTAAAATACTGAAAGGTTTTACAATAGCTTGTAAAGTCAAAATTATCAATCTTAACCTTAACAGGTTTCAACCATAAACACAACAGCTACTCCTAATAGCAATAATATGAGTGAATCATAAAAAAGCGATTTAAATTAAAAATTATAGCAATAAGAGGATTTCAAAATATCTTTTACAAAAAACAATCCTTAGCTTCAAAAATTTTAGCAAAAGTTTTTAAATGTGCTAGAGCCAGAAGAAAATTTATGTGAAAGCGATGGCAGTAGTTTTTTAAGAGGCGGAGGAGAAGCAGGAGTAGAGGATTTGATAAAAAAATAAACAAAAAGTTAATATGATAACTAATATAAAGATTCTTAAGATAACTTTAAAATTGATAGATAATCAATTGGCTCAGGACTTTCTTGTAGTGGAAACGAAATCTTATAGGGTATCTAACGTTTCTCAGATATTAATGAGAAAAAAGCAGAACAATTTTTGTAGGAGTTCGAAGATGAAGATTCTATAGCTCTACCAGAAAATATATGTAAACTCTTTCCTGATGCTTAATATAGAGGAAATAGACTCTCAGAAATAGAACGTGATTTTAGTAGAAAATCATATGGAAGTAGTTAAAATGATTAAAATTCATGTATACTAGCTTCCTAAAGGTAGGAAACAAATCAAAAGTCTCTTTTATCATGTTAAGATAAAGTCAATCAGACTTAGTAAGATTTGAACTCTGAATAAAGTTCTTGTATCTTGTAAGATTTAAATATATATCAATTCTACTCTAATTAATAACATGCTCTTCCTATTGAAGATAGGTTGTATGTCAAAGATTTAAGTCGTGAAGTAAATATTTTTAAAAATAAAATGAAATTTTCTAAATTCATAATCAAATATAAAATTAGATTAAGATTAAGAATCTTTAAAACTCTTAGCAGAAGAGGTTAGAAGCAGAACTTTAAAAAGTGCCCAAGATTTCAAAACAAAGTGATTAAATTGCTCGAAATTCTGCAAGATTCTAGTAGAATCCTGATCTAGTTTCAAGACTTATGAATGATAAATTGAAATAAGATATGTTAATTAAATAAAAACAAGTTTAATAGCAAATGGAAGACGAGCATAGATTCACATTTGCCCCTTAAATAAATTAAACTTCTTTGAATATGAATCGTAAAATTGAAAATTTATACCAATGGGATTAAAAGAGAAAAATAAAATAGTCATAAGTCTAGAAATAATTGGTAAAATATATTTCATGTCAAATCAATTTTTTTGATAAATCTATTGTTTGTTTATTTTAGGAAAGAGAAGAAGTAGAAAATATTCAAAAAATGAAGTAGTCTACATTTATATGTGAAGGATCTAAAAAAATTGTTGAACAGTAAGTTAGAGGATAATAAAAGATAGAAGATAGATTAATTAGAGAAGGACAATCAATTTAAGCTAGGAAAAAGCTTCAACAAGAAAAAGAAAATATGATGATTAAAGAATTAAGCAATCAAAAAAGCATAAAAAGGTCTTAGTCTCATTCAGGAGGACTAAATTCGTTTTCTCGATAGGATGAAACTATTCAGCTCAATACAACTAATTAAACAGCTAAGAAATAATAATTCAGTTAAAGTAAATAAAATTCTTATGTTTAAGAAAATATAGCAGCAACTCCTAGCTCTTATATATATTATTGCCCTAAATAATAATATTAAGAGTAAAATAATTAAAACATAATATAAGATTAGCTGCAAGATTGCTAAATAACACCTATTCATTAAGATAATTAATAGAATGTTTTAAATTAAAACTATTTAACTTAAAATGCAAAATTATAGAAAAGCTAATCAACTTAAAATTTTACAAAAAATTTTTAGTAAAACAGTTTAACAAATTAACAAGTAAATGCTATCTAATCCAATTAAAATTAATATTAAAATTCTGATGTTTCAGACTAAAATATATAAATACCTTTCCCTTATGTACTATCTTAATAAAAGAGTATTCATCAAAAAGCTTTATCTCTTCACATGGATTCTAAACCTATAACCGAGATTCAATAAAATTAATTACCCCTTCCTCTTCATGCTTACAAAAAAAGTGAATAAATCATACTTCCTAAGAATACTAGTGGAAAAATTAGCGTGGAAAGCTTAATTTAAAGTGCCTAATTTCGTAAAACTAAAATATTCGCATGTGACAATTAGAACGTATTTATACTCGATAAATGTGACACTATCCCTCTTTCTTCAAAAAATCTAAGTAAATATTTTTTTATTTAAATTTATAATAAAAAATATTAATTTTTATTAGCTGTAAAAGATGTAAATTAGCTTATTTGCTAAAAATAGAAATATGAAACAAATATTCCCAACAATAGTAAACAAATAAAATAAAGCTAAAACAGCTATAATTTAAGGTAAGGTTTATAACCCAATAATTCATAAAAAGAAAATATAGTTTAATAAGTTTTCTAATAAAAACCTTTTTCTAAACAAGCTAGCCAAAATAATTTGCTTCAGAATTAAAACACTAACAATTAATTTTTCAAACAAATAAAAAATGAAAAGAATGGTCAAAGCTACCATAGTTAATTTTAAAAAAGAAAGCAACAAAGAACCAACTCATGCTTATCAAATTAATACTTTTCATAGAACTGACTTTGATAATAAAAATCTAAAAAAATTAGAATTTAAATTACTAAAAAACAAATAAAATAATAATAACCCTGAAAATGTGAAGAATAATTATAATTATAAATATACATGTATATGTATAAAGGTGTGTGTAGACAGATGGATGAATATATAATAAATATTTACAAAATTAAAAATTATCTTTCTATTTTTTATAGTGTAATTAAGTTCTAATTATTTAGCATTTTAATTCTATTAATTTATATACAATAATAATATATGAAAAGTAAGAAAGTACTATATTTTTTATAGTTTCTATCAGAAAAATAATTTTTAAAAACCCTCATTATCAATTATAGAACTGTTGAATACCATTACCTAATTGTTATTATTAGTATTAATTATTGTAAGATCCTGCATACTCGTTTTATGGTTAATTATTTATGCTATTTGAAATTCCATTATTATTATTATATCCTCCGTAATTTTTGTCTTAATATGAGTTAGCTGGTAAAGAGGAGTTATTAGGATCATAATATTCATAGTTATTATTATTATTATTATTGTTATTGTTGACGTAATTACCTGATTATTAAAGTCTGTTGTTTTAATTATAAGCATTATTGGCAGTGTAAGAACCATTCAGATCGTTACCTCCATTTTAATATATTTACTCTTTAGTAGGTGAGTAGCTAGGATTTTTAGAAGCATATTAATTTTATAGTTAATAGTTTTAGCATTGTTGCAAAAAGTTATCATATTCTATATCTGAAGGATCAATCCATGAAATTCTTTTACCATCTTCCCAAATACCAACTTTTATGATTCCGTCTTATTAAATATACTTACCACGCCCATGCTACTTTCCATACTTCCAAAAACCTTCATATTGTCTACCATCTGCCCAGAGATATATGCCAAATCCATGTTTTTTATCAAATTAGTATTCTCCTTCATACTTTCTACCATCTTTCCAAGTATATGTGCCTCTCCCATGCATATTGTTATTCAGCCACATACCCTTTTTATTTTATAATGAAATTATATTATTATCTTAGAATTAGAATAGTTTTTTATTTATTTATTTATTACCTCATATTTTCTGCCATCAAGCCATGTATAAACACCTAAAATTTATAATATCAAAATAAATTATAAATTTTAATAATCATTATAAAGTGTATTTATATATATTTTACCGAATCCACTAATTTTGTTATCTTCCCAATTTCCTTAGTATTTAGATCCATCAGGCCAAGTATAAATTCCATTACCATGTTTCTTTCCTTCTTTGTAATATCCTTCATATTTAGATCCATCAGCCCAAGTTTCTACACCATACCCATGCTGTAAATCATCCTTCCATTACCCATCATATTTAGCACCATTAACATGAATGTATGTTCCATAACCGTTTGCTTTGTCATCTTTCCATTCTCCTTCATAGATATCACCATCAACGTGCTAAAATTTACCTTTACCATTTGCTTTATTTTAAACCCAATCACCTTCATATCTTGCCCCATCTATTACAAAAAAATTACTTTTTAATTTAAGGTAACTAACTTTGAAATATAATACCTGGCCATGTTTGTATTCCATAACCATCTCTCATAGCCCCTAGCCATTCTCCTTCATAAACTGCTCCTGACTAAAATTTGTAAGATGGACCTTTTTCTCTTTTGTTAGAGTTGATGAAATTGTGCTAATTAACCATTATTTCTCTGTTCTCATCTTAAGAAAAGTAATGTCTCGCTAAAGGCATCATATCATCTTTGCCTAAGCTATCCTTGTTTCTAAATTAATAGAAGTATTTAATTAATTAACGATAAAGTTACTATTACAATATAAATATTCAGCTGAATAAATATTATTAAATAATATGATAGTAAGAATATTTGTTGAATAGAATAGGCTTACACAGGATATGTAGATTGAGGACCAATAGCAGGTTAGTTATTACCTGCTATTGCAGTATAAGCTGATTAGTTATAACTGCCATAATTATGCGATGATGGGTTATTCTGATGACTTGCAGAGTAAAAGTTTTCTTTATTTTACTAATACTATTATTATTGCTATTAATAATTATATTATTGTTATTGCTAATAATTAGCTCCATTTTTTAACTCATACTAATTGTTATCATTTAGTAGCTGAGAGCAATTTGAACATTCTTAGCCCATTTTAATAATTACCTATTACAGATTATTTTTACTTTTTTTATAATAACTAATTAATCAAATTTTTATTATTTTTTTTCAACGCCTAAAAATAACAAACACAATTTTTAATAATGAATGAATGAATAAATAAATATATGAAAGAATTTGCTCTCAAAAATATTTAATAGCAATAACTATATTTGAATTTTTATAAGCATTTTTTCTTATTTAGGACTGACAGTAATTATAAAGTGATGATAGATAAATTGATAGATAGATAAACTTTTAATAAATGTTTAAACAGCTATTTAATTAATAACTTAAATATATAGCATAATGAATCAATTTTTTAACAATCAATTAGTTTTTTAAACATAAATTTATGCTACCTAACTTGATATCCTAAACAATTTTAATTATCAATTTTGAAAGATTAATTTTAGTTTTTATTTAAAATCATGAAAATATTTTTAAAATACAAAAAAATTATAATAAATAAGAATGACTAAACAAAAAAGTCATGAATGAATAATTCAATACAACTCTAACCATCTTCAATATTATTCAATTAAATTTATAATGACTATTATCACACTTAATTAAAAATCAGATTTTTTACAAATTAAGCAACCTTTAATTTAAAATTTTATATATAAAAAGATATAGTAAGTTAAAGTTGTATTATTAAAGTTTATGTATCACTATCTACTTCTTTTCGAAACCAAATTATTCTATATCAATAAAATAAAATTAACTCTTTAAGGCTCAGAATAAAACAATATTATTATTAATTTTATTTATCTGAAAAAATTTAAATTATTTAAACTTAATATTTATAATATTAATACTAAATGTAAATTTAATAATGTGCTAAATCTAAACTTTTATAAACAAAATAGAATGTAATTTGTATTTAAAATAAAGATTATAAAAGTTAAAGCTAAAAAATATAAATTTAAAAACAAAGCAAAATATCTATTCTAAGTTTTAGAATTAAAAAAGGATCTTATTGCACCAAAGATTTTTAATCTAAATTTAATAAATTTATAAATAGATATTTATTGGAAATACTAGAAAGTATCCAAGATGATCAGGTAGGAAAAACAGTATTAAAAAAATTGATGAATATAAAATTTTTACCAATAACTTCTTTAGCATGGGGAAGGTGGTTGATTTTGATAATGGGGATTTATAGTATGTAGATTTTTTAGAATAAATTTGAATAATTTATAATTATCATTTTATATCTATAAATCATCTTATTAATGTAAAAGATAATCAGAAAAATATTATATCAGTGCTTGCTTACAACTAATCTTAGCTATTGGTTGGACTAATTTTTATTTACTCAAAATCTCCTGATATGATTATATTTTTTGATTATCAATTAATTTTTCTAATTATAAATTAATAGAGAAAGAAGTATTTTAAAATTTTAAGGTAAATATATTTATCCAAATAATAAAAGCAGTAGTTTTGAATGTCTTCTTCTGCCTGCGAACGATTCGTATTTGATGTTTGCTCTGCTAACCCTAACATTTGCAAGACTTGTAAAAATAATAAAGCTATGCATGCTGATTGTGCTCCTGTAAAAAGAGGTTTATACATTTTGCAATTTAACACTCTTGGTAATAAAATATTTTTATAAAGAAATCAAATTTGGTGTTAAATTTTAGGCGCATGATACATTAAGCCAATATAATTCACTGCCTAGTAAAACTGAAAAGAGTAAATATATTTTTCTAAAATAGTTTTTAATAAATATATCCATTTTACAATAAGAAACTCCATTGAATTAGTAAGAAGATAAAAAATAAGAAAATTAAGAATCTTCTATCCAAAAAATATCTTAATAGCCTGCTCCTGCTAATATTACATGCGCAAAACCTAATGATACTCCTGTTTCTCCTTAGGTGCCAAGAAATGAAATAGTTCAACAGCCTACTTCTTAAGAGAACGACCTTTCAAGAAAGGTTTAGTAACTAATTAGAGATAAAGAAGATAAGATTAAATAAAGCTAATTAAATTAATATGCATCAACTCCAAAAAGAGGATCTTAAGCTTCTAACACTCCATCTCAAAGACCTAGCATAGCTTCAGCTTGCTAGTCTATCTGTTCAGGAGATTCTCCTACCTCTTAAAAATCATTACCTTCTAGCAATTTCAGCACTGCAGCTTAAAAATTACAAGACTAATAAGATACATAGTAGTAATAATAATAAGATAAAAATTCTAATTAATTACCTTAAAATGAATAAGATAAAATAAATGAGAATATTTAGAGCGAATTAAAAAGTACAAATAATGAGACCCCTAAAATAAATTAAGAAAAAAACAACCCTCCAACATAGAATGTTCAATAAAATCAAAATTAATAATAATTAGAATAATAAAATGAGAAATAAATATAATAAGATTAATTAGATTTAAAATTAAAGTAAGATAGAGAAAGGTAAGAATAGTAAAAGATCGAAAAAGAAAAATTAGCTGCTTTATTATAAAAGTAGACTCAGGAAACATAAATGCGTAATGAAGAAAAGCCAAAACCTATTTAATCAAACAAAGGTTTAACACTAGCAGAAATTTTAGCAAGATAAAAATAAAAGATTGAATAAACAGATGAAAAAAAAAATACTGCAGCTGTGAGTTCATAATAAAATTAAATACCTTAAATACCTAAATCTAATTTGACTTAAGCTATTAACAGTGAATTAAATAATGTCTCGAAATAGCCTAGTTTGAATTAAGGATCATACACATCTGTTTAAAATAAATCTAATGAAATCAACAATTAGATCAGCTAATAAGATAATGTGAATTCTCAAAAAAATATGATAAATAATTAAAACTAAGTTGAAAAAGTTAGTTTACAAAAAAAGCCTGAGAATTAAGATGACAATTAAAAAAGTAATACAATTATTTTAAAACCAGAGGAAAAAAAAGAGTAAAAACCCTTAAGCACAGTAGCTTAACGTATTTAAGAACTTTAGAAGCAATAGCAGTAATAATAATAACCTTAGATTTATTAAAACTAAAAAGTAAATCTAAATTAGAGAATTGGCCTAAACTCTTAATAAGATAATCAAAAAATGGAAGTTTAGAAAGAATTATAGTCTAAAAATAATATTGTTAATTAAGAAAAGACAGCAAAAACCCCGGAAATAATTGATTAGTAAACTGATAAAAATAATGATTTGGCTGAGAAATAAACTAAATAAGAATAAGATTAAAAAGTTACCACATAAGATATTAAAAAGCCCTCTTCCCTCGTTTAACAATTATAAAACAAATTAGGCAACTTAAACTTTGGTGTTTAACCTCAAATTTCTTAAAATAAATAATCAACTAACTAGAATGAAGAAGTTAATTAAAATGATTAATTGAATATTCCTTTCTTAAAAGAATAAAGTAGTGAATAGAGAGAACCAGAAAAAGTAATAATTTTATTTTTTAATAATAGTATAAATTAAACTAATTTTTTAAAATAGGATTTCTTAGATAGACCTGTGATGAAGAAAAACGTTAGATCTTCACGTAAAATGAATTTAAATGATTTAAAAGATTAAAGTGAATGAAACATTTTTCATCTGTCTGTTGCTCAATTAATTAAATAAAGAAATATAAAATTAAATATTATTAATAATGTTAAAATATTCTAATTAATTTTTTGTTTTTCTTAATAATGATTAAATTTTTTGTAAAGAGAGGCATATATATTTATAAATAGATATGCTTATATAAATCAAATTTAATTTATACTATTACTTTTCATATTAAACGTTTTGCTTTTATTTAGTTGAAATAAACGAATTAAATCTTTTTTAAATAATTTAACATATAATTTTTAATATTTGTTAAAAATCTAATAAAATATATCGTTCGTTTGAGTTAATTAATAATTTATATGTAATTTAATTTCTTATTGTTTGTTTATATAAAAAGTCATTATTTTTATAATAAAAATGTTTAGAGGAACTTTTTAAAGTGATTCTAAGAAAAATGGAAAGTTAGATTTTAGAGGAGATGGAATGCTTTAGTAGTCGTAAGAGATTTATTAAACTCTTAAATAATAATTTGAGATGAGAATAGATTAATATGAGCAAACGATTAAGCAAATTTGTGATAGATTATTGAATGATGAATTAATTGATACATTGAAAAAAGATAAGACGAGTGTTGATTATGTTTAAGTTAGGATTAAGGAAATTATTTAAGAATGCATGAACGATGATAAAGAAAGTGTAATTGAGAAGCTATCTATTTAATATTCGAAGATTAAAAGTGATTATTAATTACTTGATGAGGCATTTAACTAATTGTAGAGCTAATAAGAAGATTTAAAAATAAAGTACGCCTCAGATATTTAACAATATGAAAATCAGATGGTGTCTCTAAAAAATGAAATAGATAGATTGAGTAATTAATAGGGATAAATTAATTAGTCTAATAACTAAAAAGTAAAGAATTTAGAGTCAACCATTGAAAATAAAGCTGCTATTATAAACGAATTGTAAAGATAAATCATAGATAAAAATTAGTATTAGGAATAATAAATCATATTAGCTTAATAAGAAAGCAGCTTTTCAAAAAATCAATCACAATTTTTAGATCCTTAAATATTGATAATAAAAGACTAAGAAATATAAAGTATTAAGATGCAGCTTAGTGAAATGCAATCAAAGTTAAATTAGCAAATATAAGCTTTTTCAAGTTAAGAAGAAGAGAATTTTAATTAAAAGAAAGCAAACAGATTGTTATAAGAAGAAAATAAAAAGCTTAATTTGTAGGTATAGCAAATTACAAAAAACTCAAGTTAGATTGAAAGTAGGCTTAAAAGCGAGTTAGAGTCTTCTTAAAGTGTAAGATAAGTTTTTATTTTATTTTAAAACTACAATATTATTAAATTGTTTTAATTTTTTAAAAGATTTTAAAGCTGTAATTAAATGAAGTATAAGAAAAATTAAAGCAGCTAAAAAAGAAGCACAAACATAAAAAATAATTATTGAAAAATAAGATAAAAGAGTATGAAATTAAATTACAAGAGATGGAATAAGAAGCAATGATTCTAACTGAGTAGCACAGAAACGATAAAAGAAATTTGACAGAGCAAATATAAATAACAAAAGATCATTATGAATACTTGTTGTAGTAGTAATAGACTGATATGGCAAACACTCTTTAAAATATGAATGCTAATTTAGTAATATAAATATATTTTAGATTTATTCATGTTAATTATTTTTGCATAAATAGGAAGAATAGAAAATAAAATTAAGATAAGATTTAACTGAGTAATTCGAGAAATAATCGAAGGCAAATAAACAATAGTATGATTAAGAAATACAGAAATTAAAGAAAAGAGAATATGAAATTCAAAAAAAATTCGATGAATAAATGCATGATTTTGTGATATAAAATAAATAAATATAAAATAATTTCTTCTAAAACAATGATTTTGCGCTAGTTAAAATAGAAAATGAAAAACTAAAATAAGAATTAGCTTCTGTTAAAACTGAAAATTAATTTGCATTGAACTAATAAAACTATACTGTAAATAATTTAACTGAAAAAAATGATGCTTTGGAAGAATAGATTGTTAATTTGAAGAGTATGTTTTTATTAGTTTCGACTTACATCATACATATTTTTAATGTTTATTTTTAAAGAATAATTAGGTAAATAAGAAATTGAATATGAAAAAATGAAAAAACAGTTTGAAAGCTTAAAAATAGATTCAGAAAGTAATAAATATATTTAACTATAATTAATATTAAAACTTTTTTATTTAGCATTAAGTTAGAGATTTAACATTCTCCAAAGAGATAAGGATTAAGCAGTTAATGAAAAAAGATAAATTCAAAAGAATTTCGATCTCCTAGAAAAAGAAAGAAATGATATTTAAAAGAAATTAGAAATTAAAAAAGAAGAATACCAAAATTAACATATTTTGTATGAAAGAGTTTACGAAAAGCTTAACATTACCGAGTAAGAGCTATCAAATATAAAAAATGAAACAGAGCAAATTCAAACATCATTGTTTTCTTAAATTAATGATTTTAAAATATTAAATATGAAGTTAGAAAAGGAAAACGAATAAATGAAAATCTCAATTGAGTTATTTAATGATTACAAAAAAGAATCAAAAGAGCAAATTTAGTCTTTAAGAGACGAAAATAGTAAAGTAAATGAAAAACTTGTGCAATTAATTTAGCAAAATAACAGTAACACCTAAGAAAAATCTTCTGCAATAAGTTAACTGCAAATAGAATTAAAGAATTACTAAATTTAATTAGAAGATAAAGTTCAAAAAATTGAAAAGCTGAAAGAAGAGGTTTAAGACTTTAAAATTAACGAAGAAGTAAGAAAGAGACAAATCCAAAGTTTGGAAGAATAAAGTACAGATTTAAAATAAACTATAAGATAAAAAGATGAGTAAATAAATAATGCATAGCATGACCTAGAAGTTTATAAGTAAAGGTTTTAAATTTGCAAGCAAAAACTTAAGGAAGCTTTCATTTAAATTTTAGATTCTATAAGGTTAGAATAAGGTAAAATTTTATTTTAATTTTTTTTTATAGCTAATAAATAATTATTATTAAAATTATTCGAAGAGAGCCTTAAAATACAGTTTACTAGAAGTATATGTTCATTAAAGGATAATTATGAAGATTCAATATTAGCCATTTAAATGTATACCTAGGGAGTTTTATCAGATTTAAAGGCTACTTAGAATGAAAAAAGTAATTTGGTTGAGCAAATAAAATAATTAAAGTAATAAATAACTGAATAAACGAAGTAAAATACTGCTAGATAAAAATAAGAATCTGAAAATATGCAATAAATTTAAGAGAAGAGTAATTAGCTATCTAAAAATATGAAGTAAGAAATTAGTGAATTAAAAAAAAAGAATAACAGTTTGCTTTTAGAAATCTAAAAAAGTAATGAAAAAATAATCGAATATTAACTAGACTAAAAGAAAACAAAATCAGAAAAAGATAGGATGCAAGAAACAATTGATTCTCTTTGTGAGGAAATTAAACATATACAATAAGATAATAATGAAAAAACAGAAAAAATAAATCACTGGAGAAGTTAAGAATCTATGTCAAATTAACTTGAAATGGAAAGACTATAAAAACTTTGCTAATAAGAACTAAATATATATTAAGAAAAAATAATTTAAATGCAACGCAGGTAGGAAACCATGATAGAATTTTATAATTAATAGCTAAAACAATTACAAAATGATTACTCAAGTGCTGTAAAAAGAAATAATATTTATCAATGATTTTGACCTTCTATATTAATAATATTTTATAAATAAATTTATTATTTAATTTAATAATGAAAATTTCTTGTCAATACTATTTATTTATTGAAATATTTATAACTTTATTCAAAAGAAATCATGTAAAAAATATATTAATTTCCTTTATATATTTCATTTGCTTGTTTTTTTTTCAAAAATTTTTTTTAAATCATGTTTTATTAAAAGATATAAGAGAAATTATTTAACTTTTCCCTCCTAAACATATTCTAAAATAAAAAATTATTTAGTAAGATACTTTCAAATAATATATATTAAAAACTTATAAGAATGACATTATGAGGAAAAATAATATTTTATTTTTATGTAAAAAGGAAATTTATAATGAATAAGAAAATTAATTGTTGAATGAAAAGTTTTAAATTAATGGACAATATTTTTAATAATAAATGAATGAGTATTAAAAAAGGATTTAACAAAAATAAATTATTTTATTTTGTTTAAAAAATTATTATTATTTTAATGAAAGTATTAAACAAAAAAATTTACTGGATCAAAGTAATTTATAGTGGAAACATTTTTTATCTTAACAATAAATAAACAAATAAATATTAAGCATCTGTTTTATTTTTTAAATTGATTAAATGAATTAATAAATTTATTCAAAGTCAATATTTTTAAAGTAATAGATATTCGAGGTAATTTTTTTTAAAAATTCAATTTAATTTACTTAGAATACAAAAAACCACCTAAATTATCAATAATCAATAACAAGCAACCAAAAAAACAAATAAATAAGTAAATATATTAAAGAAATAAAAAATTATTAATATATAAATTGCATTTATTTATAAAAATTACTATCAACGGATAATAGATATTGAAAGCATATCTAAATTAATATAAGTTTATTTTTAAAAGTTTTAAACAAACATTAAATTAGTCTAATGTCATACTATACTCCTAGTCAAAAATTAGCATATAGCCCTTAACTTGTATATTCAGATTAAGTTTACTCAAGCTAATATAATCATCCTTCCACTCATGTTCCTGTAAATAAACAATCTATTTCTTTTTTAATTCTTTAAATAGCAAATAAATGATAAATCAATATTCTAATTTTGAAAATAGCCTAGGTATTTAGGAGATTATTAAATTACTCCTAGCAAAGTAGTATTGTATCAAAATCCAGTAAGTCTAAGATAAGAGTCTCCTGTTTTTGAATAAACTGCCCCATATACATAATAATTATCATACAGTTAAATTATACCATAAACAGTTTAAACTGGTTACTAGCCTGTATATTAAGCAGATTATGATAGAAAATTAGAAGCCAGGGACTCTTCTCCTTTATCAACACAGAATAGCTAAGTTATATATTAAGCATAGAAGCCATCTGAAAGTTATTATGTTGGTACATAATCTAAATTTTACACTCCAATTCACAAAGATTAGCATGAAAGACTGTCTGAAGAAGAGTATATTTATCAATCTGAAAAGTAAAGGGAGATAGATTATCTAAATTGGAAGGCATCTTCAATGAGAAGTAGATCACCTTAGCATTCAACAACACTAGTTTCACCTCCTCGTCCATTAGTTCCCTTAGCAAGTAGTTATGTGCTTTAACCAGGCCAATACAGTGATATCAAGCATAATATTACAAATTATGAAAATAATTTAGTAGCAAATCTTAATACAGAAGAGAAATTTAGGTAGATGAAAGAAGAAATGAATAAATGTTCTTATACTTACTCTCAGATGATTAACACTATATTATATAATTTTAAAGAGATTTTGTAATCCTTAAAAGAAATTGAAAAATGTAAAAATGATTTAATAAACAAAGAGGATTTTAGTATATAAGTATTTTATAATATTCTTAATAACGATAAAAATAATCCACTTTCTGCTGAGTAGCTTAAACTAAGTCTTACTGATCTAAACTTCTCTTCTATTGATGTTTATGATATTGAACTACTTTTTGCTAAGTATTCTAATGAAAGGTCATCTGAATATTTGACGTAAAATATTTAATTATAATAAAACCAATTTGGTTCTGATAAAATTTTTTTCACTTTATTATTATTAGGTTAAATGATTTTAAAAAGTTATTCATTCCATACTATGTGAACTCAAGAAGAAAATACGAATTTGAATCAAGACAAGAATAATAGGTTTCTCATTTTTTAAATTATTGATGGATTTATTATATGAATATTTTTAAAAATAAAATAAAGGAGGTGTCAATAGAGACTTAGAGAATAGCCGCTAGAGTAATAAAAATGCATCTTAGTCTAGAAAATAGCTAAGAATATTATAGATAGTTAATGTCTAAAAGACTTATTGATCTAGCTTACTGCTTTGATTATATAGATAGGGATAGAAAAGGAGTTTTAAACTATTCTCAGATTCAAACATTTTTGCAAGGAAATGATATTTATTTTAATTAAGAGGATGTTAATCTACTCATACAAAGATTTAATAACGCTTATCCTATAGGGCCTTAATTGGACCATATAATTAAATTAAATGAATTTATTTATGAGCTTTCCCCAAAATCGCGTATACCCTATTTAAAAGAGTGATTTATTTATACTTAATTTAACTTTGTAATTGTAATTACTGATATATAAAATATAAAAAATAAAATTTTTACATTTAATCATTATTTATTCTAAATTTTAATTGTATATTTATTTTGGGTTATTTTAATTAAAAAATAGAAATTAATTTGATAATTTTCAAATTTTATGTAATCCAAACAAAAAATAAGTTTGGTAGAGATAAAAGTAAAATTAAATTATTATTTATTTAAAATATTAATTTGAAGATAAATCTAGATTAAAAAAGTTACAAAAATAAAAATATTTTATAAGAAAACTCTTAAAATTTATTTGAAATCTTTTGAGAATTCTACCAGATTTAGATTGTGAGAAATATTAAGCCTTGTAATTTTTTTATTAAAATGATATATTTATTTTAGTAAAAATAATAGTTTATAATAAGAAAAAAATCAATTTTAAAAAAATTTAATTATAATTATTTGAAGTTTTTTTGTTAAGTTTAATAATTTAATAAAATAAAAAAGTGTGAAAGGATTTTAACATAAATGAAATAATTAAATGCAAGGTTTTTATGAAAATAATTCTTTCATAAGATTTTGTGTTTTTAAAATTAATTAATTTTATCTAAAATAAACTCTATATTTAACTAAAATAGTTATATTACTTTACTCTCATTAATATATATTTAACCTATGTAACATATAATTGCTTGTTTAAAAATTTACATAATAGTATTTTTCATTAATAAATAAATTTATATAATTTATAATTCATTTGTTAAAATTTTCAAAATTTTTTTATGCTTGTTGTAAGTAAAAGCAGTTAAATAAATCAGTTGGGTGAAATAGTTTTATACATGAAGTTATTAGTAGTAGTTCTAAATACATTTTTTTAAGTAGCTTTATTTTCTTTATAGGCTGTTGTATCAATATTAAATCGATTTTAACCATTTGAATGCTAAAAATTGTTTTAAACAGTTTCTTTATTAAGGTAATTAAATTGTTCTTGTTATTCCATAGATGGTGATCTCTTGTAATTGGTCAAAAGAAAAGATTAAATAGGGTTTGTATTATCAAAAGTACCTCCAAGTTAGACGATTTAACTGTTCGTTTAATTTATTGTTTGGTTTTTAGTCAATTAGTTTGCCCTCCTAAACTGTTAAGTGGTGTTTGTTAATTAATTAAAAGCTTTTATAGGTGTTGACCGTTTATCTTAGAATTAATTTTTTTGTCTGCTAGAATTTATTCTATTCCCTTCAGCTGCTGTGCTTTGTCTTTGCTATTTTATCTTTTTGTCTTATTACGGAGTCCTAAATACAGGATTGATAGAATCATAATTGCTACTTCTTCTACTGCTTGCTCCGATAAACATAGATGTATTTAATCTTTCCTTTGATCTATTTGTGTTTAGCTGTTATTAATTTTATCTAGAGGATGATATGACTTTATTAATAAATTAATTTTATTGCTCATTCGTGCTATGCTTTTAATATTTCAAAATAGGCAATTTATCTTGTTAGTAGTAGTAAAATATATTGTCTATTTTCTAGTTTTGATTAGCCACGTCAGTCTCAACAGATTTATTCTTTCGAGGCTTATAATTAAATTTTGTTAAAGTTTATCTAAATATCCCATTATATGATGACTAGTTGTTTCTTTAAAACTCCGCTTGAGTTAATTAATCAATTCCTTAATCTGTATTCACCTTATTGTTATTAATTGAAGTATTCATATTAGATTAGTGATCTTAATATTTAAAGTAAGATTAGACAGTAAAAAGTTTCTCTTCTTTTTAATAGCATTTAAAGTTTATATCACCTTTTTCATTTTAAGAACTCAAATTATCTAAAATAGTGCTATTAAATTGTATAGTTTGGTTTTCTTTATCTCTATTCTCTATAAACTCATTATCTATAGTAGAGTCATCTTTTTGACAGTTAGCATTTGAATTACTATTACTTTTACAATTAGATGGGCTAGAAGATTTTACAAGACTGTTTTCATTTTACTTTTTGTAATCTTAAGCTAGCCTTTAAGATAATCGAGGTTAATCTAAATTTCTTTTTAATGAATTAAATTCATTGCTTTCATTAAAATTGTTAATAATTTATTTATCTAATTTTATTTCTTATTTTATAAATTTATTTTCATTACTGTTCTTAATTTAATTTCTATATATTTATAAATTCTTTTTATGTTATCTAAATGAGTTTGTAAGATCATTACCTTCTTAGCATTGTGTTTCAAGGTCTTCCGTTGTATCTTTGATATTTTTTTCAATCTTAGATGAATTTTGAGCTTAATTAATAATTATGGAAATAGAATTTTAGCTATTCCTTTATTAGTTTGAAAGGTTCTTTTTATTTTTCAAATCTTAGGCTAATTACAAATTTGTATTTTACTTATGAAATGGTACAAATTTATCTGGTTATACTATAAGAATATTATTTGTAAGTAATACTTATTTATTACTTTCATTAACTTTATTTGGAATAAAAGTGTTCTAGTTATTTGTAGAACCATTAATTTAAGATAGTATACTAGTATCATTTTTAATAATTTAATGGTCTTTTTATATTTAACAGTTCTCACACCCTAACTCTGTTAGATTATAAGTGGAGAACTTTTTATCATTATCTAACTGCTGTGAGATTTGTATTTAATTCTATCCATAAATATATTATTAATTCTTAAATTATTTTTAATATTCATCTCCATGTTAGTAATAAATAGATTCATTCATAATATTATTTAAAAAAGTATATTAACTTTTATCATCATAATTAGTTTTGAGAATGCTTAGATTGGTGTTATTAATACTTCCTTAAGTAATATTGCTATCTATTTTGTTATTTCTATATATTTTTTCTCTTCCTTTAACAGAAGAAGCTTCTGAGCACTAACGAATAGAACTAACATTTTATCGTTTACCAATTTGGTTTACGTTGCTATTATTATTATTATAAAAATTTGATGTAGAATCTAATGACTAGTTTCGTTAGCTTTTGTCTTAAAAAACATTCTTTTTCATAAAAATTTAACTATTATCAATTTCTTAATAAGGCTAATTTTATTAAGTATAACTAATGCCTGTTTCAATAATCTCTTTATTACTATTAATTTCTGAGATACCGCTTTGAATAATCTAATGTCTATAAGGTTTAGCATTTATATTATTTTAATTAACTACAAATATCCTTCCTAATCTTTAATCTTATTCTAAATTTTCTTTTCTAAAAGAATTGATTTGGTTTTTTTTATGTCTGTAGCTTTCTTCATCAGTCAAGCAAATGTTTGTTGTTGTATTTAATTTATTAGCTTTTGGACTATTTTTAGTTGTTGTTTAATATTATTGAGAACATTTATTTGTTTTTATCTGTTATTAGAATAAATCACTAAAGCATTTAATAGCATTAGTTTAAGAGCTATCATATGAAGGAGTATCATCCCATCCATCAAACGCTTATGGGTTAATTTATCCTTCTTCCATAGTAATTCTATATTTAAATTATAATAAAAGTTTGGCTGAAGTTTTTCAAAATCTTAACTTTTCTTACTCAATTTGTTTATTATTAATCAAATACTGATCAATTTAATATAAATCACTGATATTATTTATTAGAAAATTTATTTGCTTATTTTATACCAAATAATCAAAATAGCATTTAAATAAAATAAAAATATTTACCTAAAAATTATTGATAATACAATTTCAATTTCACATTATTTAGATTTTAAACCAAAAATATTTATTTTAAATCTTTTCAATTTTTTCTTATTATTAGCTAATTAATCTCTTAATAAATTAATATTAAAAGAGTTTTTTTGAATTCTAATTTAAATAAGCAATTATTTTTTTTTGGTAAATATTATTTCATAATATTAAATTTATTACTTAAAGCTCTCTCTAAATATTATTTTTATTATCAATATATCATTTTAAATTTTTCAAAATTTAAACAATTTCTTTTAAAATTAATTTTAAGTTTGTTATATTAAAAATAATTATACAGAATCATAACTTTTATAAATTAAAGTTATTATTAAAAAGTAATGGAGAAATAGTTATTCTAAATGGTTTCTTTTTGCTTGAATAGATCATTTTAAATAATTTCCAATATATTTACCAAAATTTTAAATAAGTAAAAAATATCAATCGAAACTCTTATTATTAAATATTATTAATATTAATACCAATTAAATTTCTTAGTATATAAAGTAATGTACTGCAGGATCTCTCTTTTAAGATCCATATTGAGTAATTTAAGTTTTAGACAAACGATTCTTAGAAGGGTCTTAAATAACAAAGTGATCTTAAATATTAAAGGAGTATTAAATAATAGTTTTTATAGTACTTAAAGGAATTTTAAATGGCTTCTTTAAAAAAGATTATTTTTATTTTATAAAAACTTAAGCAGTTTCTTTAAGATTTACTAAATGTTTATTATACTTAAAAAATATCAATAATATTCTAACTATAATATGTTAATATTACTAGAATTTGGTAAGAAACAAAGCAATTAAATAATATGATTTTTTTTATTTTATATGATTAAATGTATTAAAATAATTATTATAATCTGCTAAAAATGTTTATTTAATTATATTTATTTTAAAAAATTAGATTTAAATAATTTCCTCTTTGCTGTTATTATGATAATTAAATAGTCTAAATACATTTACTTTAATATGATAAAACTGAAAAATAGAAAACAAATCTATAATATTTTAATTAATACTTTTGATAAATTTCTACTTCAAACTTATTATCAAAATTTAAGTAAAGAAATAATTTTTAATTTAAATAAATGAAAATATTTCAGATACCAAAATAAATTTAATTTACTGCTTTTATTTAAAACTAAAAGTTTAAAATTTAAATTTTATAATTTATTTTTTAAATAATATGTTAGTGTTATTTATTTATTTATTTATTTATTTATTTATTTACATTATTAGAATAATAACAATAAGCAATTAAATAAATTTTTCAATATTTTAAATTAGCGGGATATATCACATTTTTTGTCAGAATTTGAAATAAATAGAAATAGTCGTATTTCTGATTATAAGATACTAAATTGCGTGCCAAATTAAAAAATTAAAAATTGCTTTGATTATAGAGACAGAGTATTGACTCATCAATCATTTTACCTTGTTTTTATATATAAATATATAAGATAATATATCCGAATATAAATATTACATTTGTAAAGCAAGTTACTTTTGTAATAAATAGCAATATAAATTACTATTTTGGATAATGAACGATGATGAAAACAGTAAATCTTCTAATGCGTTTGAAGCAATAATGAACACTAATTAGAAGAAGATTATAAAAGAAAAAAAAACTATTTTAAAACCCAAAGATAAGAAAAAAACTAAGCAAATTCAAATGAATGATTTTATAAAAGCCAATAAATTTTATTCTGAGGAGTTCTCTAACATGTCTCTTCCCTCTTAATGTGATAAAGTTGGTAATTAAGACAGTAACAGGTTTAGTATAATGGATGAAGAAGAGGAGGAGGCTAAATAAGAGAGCAATATTGATGTTATTGATTTCTAAGGCTATTCAAATACAAAATTAAATCCTTCTCCTAATTCAGGCCTTGAACCAAATCTTGAAGTCAATCAAAATACTATTCAATATTGGGTATAGTCTTATATATTAAAATATTATCTTCTTTTAATATTGTTAAAATTTTCTTGTTATATCATCTGAATTATGCAACATCATCATATTTTCATTTGAATAAATGAGAAGATAAACTATTTCTTAGAATAATTTTTAAATTTATTTGATTTTATCTCTTGTCTTAACTTTATTTAAATTCTACTTGTTTAATAAATAATAGTATTATACACTGGGTAAAAGCTTTCGTGAGTACTAATATAGTATTGTTAAGACATGCTTGAGCAATAATACCCTTGTAGCTTTACCAACAGGTTTGGGAAAAACATTTATTGCTGCAACTGTTATTTTAAATTATTATCTTTGGTTTCCAAAAGGGAAGATTTTTTTTCTTGCTCCTACCAGACCACTTGTAAATTAATAAATGGAATGCCTCAGCCAATTTGAATTGATCAATAAAAATGATATTTTTGAAATGACAGGAAATTACCCAATACCTAAAAGAAGAGATGTATATTTAAGAAAAAGAATTTTCTTTTGCACTCCATAAACCTTAGAAAATGATTTAATTGAATAAAGATATGATGGATATAATTTAAGTCTAGTTATATTTGGTAAATATACAATTATTAAAGCAATAATTCTTACTTTAATCAGTATTATAATTTAAAATATTTTAATTTAGATGAAGCCCATAGAGGAACGGGAAAGTATGCATATGTCAATATCGTTACACACTTCGAATCATTAGGCTACGGGTATAGAATTTTAGCATTGAGCGCCACTCCAGGAAATGAATTTGAATAAATATAAGTAAAATTTAATATTTATTTTTAAGAAATATATTTTAAAGTTAATTTTAGAAATATTTAGAAATTATTTTGCTTAAAAAACTTGTGAAAAATAATTTATTTAGATGTCAAATTAGATTAAAAATAATTTACCTTGTTTATATTTTTGTTATTTTTAAAATAGGATGTTTTAAAAAACTTACGTATTTCTAAGCTAGAAATTAAAGATGAAGAAGATCCTGATATTAAGTAGTATATCCATTCAAAATAAATTATACCAGTAAAAATCTAGGGTAATGACTTAATGACCAAAATTATGAGTTACCTTGATAATCTGCTGTATTCCAGATTCAATTACTTCAAAAATCTTTAGATGGTACCCATATAGCTTTACAAAATAGTTAAAAAACCCTCTGATATACAGCGTGGTACTTCTTTCCATATTATGGAGTTTATTAAATAAAATTAGAATGATATAATTGAAAAACATCATTAAGTAGGATTGAATGATGCTTACGACTAATTACAGGTATTTATTGAATATTTTATTTTAAATGTCTTTTAGAATTTTTAATATTAGATAAAAGATTTTATTTAATTTTTTGATATGAATTACAAGCTAGATAATATTAAACAAATTATTATTAGTTAAATAAACTAATAAAAATGTATTTAATAAGTAAATATTTTAAATTAATTACTTTTTAAAAAAAAGTCTTTCTCACAATTAATTCATGGAAAAAAGCTTATTTAAGAATAAGGAATAAACTGCTTTAAGGATTGGTTATACTAATTTGAAAAAGATGTAAATAATAAGAAAGGGAAACCTTTGAGAAGCAAGCTTTAAATATTTAAATTGTAGGACTTCATTGATTTAAAAAAAGTAATGAAAATGGATTAATATGTTCCAAAATAAAAAAAACCAAAGAAAAATAAATCTGCAACTAATTCAAAATAATTAAATTACTAAGATGATGATGATGGTTATGAAGATGAAAATGCTCCATTAAAACAAAACAATAAAAGTTCAAAAGGCTCTGAAGAAAATTTTGATGAAGTCGAACTCAGTGAAGATTTAGAATCACATCCTAAGAGTGAAAAGCTTGTGGAACTCTTAACAAACTACTTCTTAGAAGAGGAGTCAATAGTAAATAGATCTAAAACAATTATTTTTACTTAAAGTAGAAACTCAGCATCTGAATTAAAAAAACTATTAAACAATATTGATGTTGTTAATCCTGCTGGAGATAAGCTTATAAGAAGTGAAATATTTATTGGATAAGCAAATTTAGACGGACAAGGAATGAATCAAAAAGCTTAGATAGAAACTATAAAATTATTTAAATAAAATGTTTACAATACTCTGATTGCTACTTGCATAGGTGAAGAAGGTCTTGATATTGGTGAAGTAGATCTAATTGTCTGCTATGATTCAGGATTTTCTCCTATAAGGTATATTTATTTAGAATTTTCTTCTATAAGGAAATGTATTTGAATTCTATTATTAAAAAAGAATGATATAGAGAATGGGTAGAACAGGCAGAAAAAGAGCTGGAAAAGTCTATGTCCTGTTAATGGAAGGAAGGGAGTACGCAAACTACAACTAAAGCTAAAAAAAACACAAAGAACTTATGATGCTATTAAAAAATAATAGCTGCAGCTAAAGTGTTACTGATTTTCAATAAAAGGGTCGGACTGGTAGATAGCCAAAAGCGACAAAAAGAACTTTTGAATTTTATGGATTCAACCCAAGGATGATACCATAAGACGTAAATCCTATTTGCAGAATAATAAAAGGTTAGAATAATGACTTTACTCCTGCTATTAGCTCTTAATCAGAAAGTGAATAAGAGGATTTTTTTGAGTTTTAGGGAAGTAAACAAAATAAAGAAAAATAATCAAATTAAATTTAAAAGAAAAAATCAATTATTTAATTGGAAGTAGAAGAGGAGGAGGAAGAGGAATAATTATTTAAAGTTGAAATAAAAAAAGATTTAGAAGATTAATATTGCTACGAAATAGACGAAGAAGATTTTGAGCCGCCATAATATCTAATGAAACCTTCATTTGAAAAGCCTAAACAAAGTTTAGAAAAAACTTAAAAATAATAGGAAATTTAGGATAGATTATTGCAATTAGCTAATAATATAAATGGGAAAAGATAATAACCTCCTCCAATAAAATAACCTTAGATACCTTAATAAAAGATCATGAGCACTCCTGAAACTATGACTCCATTCAGCAATTTCAGTAGCAACGAAAAGTTTATGAGAAACAGCTCAAATGGAAATAAAAAATAAACTTCTGTATTTGATACAAATATTAAAAGATCTTCTACTACAAATTAGTTACGAAAATCTGATCCTAAATAAATTACTAAAATACCTTTAAAGAGTAATTCTAAAAAAAATAGATTAATTATAAGTGATTCTGAAAACATGGAAAACGATGAATTAAATAGTGATTTGTGTTCGAACTTTAAATAATAATGCTCACGTCAGCTAGATTTTAACTCAAACAATCCAATTTCTAACTTAGAAAGAATTAATTTACATAATTCTTATGATAAATAGAATGATGATGAAATAGTCTTTGTTAAAAAGTTGAATCCTCTTCATGTATTTGGAAATATAGAATAAGAAAAAAAGAGTGTGATGAAAAAAAGATCAAATTCAAAAAGTTCTTCAGATTTTAATTTAAATGATTATTCTCTACTCTACTAAAATGAAGAATAAAGCAACTAATCTGAGTTAGACAGCTTACTAAAGCAAATAGAATAAAACTCTCCATAAAAAACTTAAAATCACAATTAAAATCAAATATAGAAATTTAACTTCAATTAGTTTGAATAAGATGATGATGACGACGACGATGATGATGATGATGATGATGATGAAGATGATAAGCAAATCTTAGAATTTCTTAAAAATTCAAAGAGCTAGGCTTCAAATGTAAATAACCAAATTTAAGATCAAAGACAAGAAAAAAATTTAATATAAAATATGCCATAAAAATCATTTGCTGAAGATAAATTATTTCCCTCTAATATAAAATAATAATAAAATAAATTTGAATAAAAATAATAGGAATAAGTTTAAAAATAGCAAATTTACAATTAAACATATAATATATAATTAAATTAATAACAAAATAACCTTAATATCAACAACAAAAATAGTAATAATATCAATTATAGCAACAGTATAATAAACTAATAAAAAGAAAATATTTCTCAATAAATTCCACTAAATACTTGCAAAGAAAGTTAATAATAGTTCCTTAATGTTAACAATGTCTTTTAACAAAAAGGATTAACTTTACAAAATCAATAGAAAGTTGCTGAAAGTTAAAAAAAAAATTTTTTAAATAATGATTTATCAAATGCTGTAAATTTTTCAAAAATGATAGATGAAAATGATAGTGATGATGATGACGATGATGATGAAGATATTGATTTCTTAAAAAAAATAGCTAGCACTAAAAGCAGTGTATAATAATCTGTTTAGAATAATTAGTTTACGAATCCATCGAATTCAAATAAGAGTATTGAAAAAATGGAAATAGAATAAATCTAAAACTCGAAGCCTGTCTCTTTATAAACAAATAAAGCTGAATAGAAAAATGAATTATAAAATAATTAAATATTAAATTCAAAATAATCTTAGATTAGCAATATTTTAACAAATGTTTATGATCATGATAGTGATAGTGATAGCGATAGTGATGAAGATAATGTTGAAGACTTAAAAATAATCAGCCTAAACATTTTTAACAAAAACAGTTCTAATTTAAATATTCAAACAAATAATAATTAAATATCAAAGAAAGTTGAGTTAGATTCCATTTCGTATAGTTCACTAAACTTACTGAATACATAAAATAACTCAAAAGCTCCAAATAACTAGGCAACTCTAAATAATTGTTAAGTCTAAAATAGCTTAATCGAAAAAATACCAGAAGCAAATAATTTTAAGAATAACTTCTTTAACAACTAAAAAGATATTAATGTAAATAATAATTAAATTAAATTAAATAATGACTAAAATAATTAAAAATAAATCTAACTTGCTTAAATTAATGCAAATAGACTATAAAATGCTGCAGCATCTACCAGCAATAATGAGAAATTCATTCAACCTTAAATTAACAACAATCCTTAAATGAATTAAATAAACAAACAAAATAATATAAATGCTAATAACTTAGAATAAAATAAGAATACTACGAGCAATATAAATAACAACTAAGTCAATATTTTAAAAAATTTTAGTGGTATTAAAAATGTAATACAAGACAAGACTAAATAAGTTATATAAATCAATAATTAAAATATTATTATTTCTAATGTTTAGAATTAAAATAAGTAAAACAATAATATTAGTTAAGTACAAAGCAACTTGAACTAACAAAGCAAGAATTAATTTAATAACATTCCATTTAATCAAAAAAATTAATAGGAGCAGTTATAAAATAAATAATAAATATTTGGAAACTAAAATTAAATTAATAATGTCACAAAAAATGAATTAAAAAGAAGTGATAGTGATTCATAGATAAAATAATTGCAAGAAAACTAAAAAGAGTTGCAATCCTAAAGAAAAACAGCTTGTGATTTACATCTAGAATAGATTAAGAAGAAAATGCAAGAAGATTTTGACATTGAAGAGTACAATTAAAGAAATAAAAATAAAGTTGCTGAATAACTTAAACCTAAACTTGATCCAAAAAAAGCTAGAAAAGCTAAAAAAGAAAATCAAAATAAGTAAGATTCAAATATAAATTTAAATGTGGAATAAAAAAGCTAAGATTTTAAATCAGTTTAGTAAATAGCTGAAGAGATGAGATAAAAAAATATTTAAGAATAAAATAGCTAAATAAGTAAACTTAATGATGAGAATAAGAATGGTATCTAAATAATAAATTCTTAAAGTGTTGTTAATCCTATAAATAAAAAATAAAATGAAAATATTTAACCAATTCAAGATAATCTAAAATAAGATCATTTAATGCCATTCAAAGATTTATTATCTTGCATCTATGATAGTGATGAAGATGACAATGATGCAGCAAAATAAGATGATAAAATGTAAGATTTATAAACTGAATAACATAATTCAGATTAATAAAAGAAAAAAAGAGAAAATCCTTTCCTAGATAATCCTAACTCTACATATAACTCGGTTAAAGTAGAGAAAAAATAATTCCCAAAATAGTGAATTTTTTAATTTTAAATAAAATACTGTGTTATAAATATTTTAAGGTATTTTTAATTATAAAAATTTCATATAATTTAAGTAAATTTAATGATTCATATATAGAATATTCGTTTGTTTGTTTTTTAGAGTTATAATTTGAGTGTCTTCAATTTATTTTACAACAAAAAACAAGAATCAAATTAAAAAAGGTAATTTTCATTATCAAAATTTTTTCTTTGTATTATTTTAAGCTATTTTTTCCCAAGGACAACAAAAAAACATCATCTTCTTTATTGCTAGTAAATTTATGAGAAAATTTAGCCTGGTAACCCAAAAATTTGAGGAGAAGTGTTTTTAATGAATTATATAATTTAATTTTTTTATTACTAAAATCAACTTTATTAAATAAAAATAAATTTTTTTAAATTAAAATATTTTAAAACTTGAAAGACTATTTTTATTTCAATTTAATTTATAATTTTTTCAAACCATATCAAATCACGTAAAATCAAAATTTATCTATTTTAATTCTTTTTTAAAATTTGAAAAAAATAAAAAGATTTCTTTAAAACAATTTAAATAAGTAATTACTTTCTTAACAGTAAAAAAATTACAATTAAATTTGTGCAAAGGAAGCATCATACTTATGTCCTAAATTAGCAAAATATATTAAACTTTTAATTTGACTTTGTATTGAATAAAAAAGTTTATTTGTTCAGGATTGTGTTACTTGTTAATATAAAAGAAATTTAAAACAATAAAATATATTTACTTATTTAATTTTTGATTCTAATTATGTATTTTTTGTTAGTTTTACTCATTTTAAATTTGAAGTTTTGTTCTGATTATTAAATAATTTTAAGTATAAGACCCAAAAATTGTCAAATACACTGTGTTCACCCTATACTCAGGATTTGGTAAATATATCTCTTTATTGTCAAATAAAATGAAGATCATATTATTAAAAAATAAATATGTAATAATTACAACATTATTAATAGAAGCTTTTTGATTGATAAAATATTACTTATTATCAAATAAAAAATTAGTTCATAAATTTGATTAAATTTTGGAGTTTTAACAAAGCTTGCAGTTTTCTAAGTGTAACTTCAAATATTTAAGAATACATAATAAATTAGATACAAAGTATAAAATATTTAAAAAAAAATTTCCTTCATTTTAATTTTCAAAAGAATGTATTTTAAAAAGGCTTTGTATTTGTAGACTTTAGATTAAAGAAATGCTGATTACACTTGCTTTTTTAATATTTTTTGATTAATTAATTTGTAAATTAAAAATTTTTGGGCTTATATTATCAAAAAAAAGTATCTATAAAACAAATACTTAAAAAAGTAAGAAAATCAGCAAAGAGAAAATACTTTTTTAATTCGAAGCTGGAATTTCAAATTTGTGAACGAGAACTCAAATAAATATGAAAACATTTAAAGTTGTGAATATTTTTAGAAAGTTTATATTATAATATTTATGTACAATCCTTTCTCTTATCCTCAATTAGCATCTTATTACTATCTGTATGATGCAGAGGAACCAAATTCTGTATTTGTTACGCCTAAAGCATTTTATTAATTTGTGACGTATATTCTGTATTTAGAAACAGCAATGGCAATTAAAAGAGAGAGGATAGCAATAAAAACTACTACACAGAAAATGACCAAAGCAACATTTGTGGGTTCAGATCTTTACTTGATTTCATCATCAATTTTCTATTTAAGCTCTTCATCACCCCAGTTAGATCTGTCTGTGCCTTTTTTTTAATTCTCAAGAGAAACTATATTGATTGAAGTATCAAATTTTGCTTCGTAGTAATTCTTGAAGCATTAGAAAAGATCTTTTAATTCCTAGGTTGGATTCTTAACTTTTCCAAAGCACTAAAACTTTGCATCGTAATACTACTTTTAGATTTCTTCTACATCAAAATTTTATGATGGAAGATAATCAAGTAAGGCAAGTTTATCTGTAACACATAAGAGAATTTGTTTAAATGTGTCTGTTAATTCTTCGAATGGTATCCTTTCTTAATATATAGAACAAATACCAGCCTAAGTCTATGCTACTAAAGTAGCTAAAGCAAAAACTATTAAAATTTATTTCATTTCTTGATTTTTAAAAATTACTTTTTTTCAACTTTTCTAATATTTAATAATGATTTAAATTAATTATTATCGTAAAAATAAATTATTACGCTTTTTATAAGCCAAGCATGTCAAGTATTAATCATTCAAAGAAAAAAGTTGAAAATATAACTTAGAAGAAATCTCAATTACTAGTAAGGTAAAAATTAATTAGATATTTTACGCTATTTTACATCTAACTAATTTATTTATCATGCTTTTTTCATTCTAAACTTAAATAGTTAAGCTTGATAAGTATTTAGACATATTTTTAAAAAAATAAAGAGTTTTTATTAATCTTTACTATAGGTATTAAATAAAACGAAATATTCTCAAGCTACATCAAAAATTATTTAAACTTTTTATAATCATATTTAATCAGTGCTTTTCCTGTTCAAAATTTTATCTATTTGAAGTTTAAGATATTTTAATTCATTCAGTACTTGTATCTATCTCAAATATTTTTTTTAATGTAACAAATGATATCTATCTATTTTTGGTCAATAAATTTTATTTTGTAAATTTGCTTTTAATTTATCCCCTAATTTTAACCAATCAAAATTAAATTTTTGTGAGGATGACTTTGATAACTTATTTAATTAATATTTCAACTATTACTAATAAAATTATAAGAAACAAATAAATTAAATTTTATCTAACTTTGATTTACAAATAATTTGTTCTATCAAAAAATGAGCTATTTTATCACAAAAAAAGAAAAAAGCAAAAAATTTAAATAATATTTTGAATTTTTTTTATTAATATAAATAAAACCATATTATTTCATCAAGATAAATATTAAATATCAAAATATACAGTAATTCTAAATAAACAATAATCAGTAAAAACCTAATAATTAAATCCCTTAACAAAAATAAAGATATTTTGGATCGAACGAAAAAATAAATATACAGTAAAGCTTTTAAAATTAGATAATGATAATAAGCTTTATTAATTAATTAATTAATACTAAATCTAGTTAACTCTTTCTTAATTCATATTTATTTTATTATATACCTGAATTCATTTAAAATTCCTCTTATTTCCTAAGGGAGATTACCATAAATAAGTATTTTATAATTTTTTATGAGATTTATGAAAATATACATGAAACAGTGTCTTAAAACAATAATATTTATAATATCATTTTAAATGTATTTGAATGAAAATTAAATTTTATAAAATTTTAATCATTTATATTAAGAATAAATAAACACTTAAAATTTATTAAAATAAATACAAATATTTAATCTGATTTGCTAATTAAAAATTTATAATTAAGGACGGATAATTATATCTTTAATAATATGTTAAGATAATTTTAAGGATAGATCGATTATTTGCGAAAATAAATGAAATAAAAAAACAATTAATAAGGCTTTTATCCAATTAATAAATTAAATTAGGTTTTTGTTATTTATTGATAAGCATATAATATTTGAATCTCAAACACTTTGATTTTCTTTTTCTAGGTTTTAATATTTTATTTTTCTTAAATTTCTTACCTTTTCTTCTATCTTATCTAAATCGATTTTCTTTCTTTTATAGCAAAATATTAATATAGCAATAATTAAAATGAAAAATACAGCAATTCCAACACCAATACAGATTATTAATTTTTGTTATGAACTAGTTACATAAGATTTCATTACTTTCACATCTATTGAATCTTGAACAACACATTAATAAAATAATTATTTTGATTCATCTTAATCACATTCCTAACTAAATATTCTAAGCCTATATTCATATAAACCAGTTTCTTCTCCTAATTAAAAAAATATTTAAATTGATAATTTGATTAATTATAATTATAGTAGGTAATAAATACTTGGCTTGCAAGAGAATCTAGGTGGATTGAATTATATAACATTCAATTTGAGTGATTTTTCTGTGGTAGAAAAAACAAATGCTTAATCTTTGTTGATTTTATCTTCTATCACTAAAAATTTTTTAGTGTCTTCAAGTGTAAAATTAGCTTTAAATTATTTTTAGAATAGTTAATAATGTTAAAATACTTATAAAAAATATACCTATTTCTTCTCTTTATCCTGAGACTTAATCACTAGGAATAGAATGAATAAAAATTGAAAAATGATCTTCATAAAATATAATTCCATAAACATCGTTTAAGTAAGATCCAACAGTCCTGCTTTTAACATTTATGTGGCTTAAATTCACCTATTAAATTTTATTTTCTATATCAACAAATACTTCCAAAACATGGTTTTCTAAATTTCCAAACAACCAGAATGTTTCGAAATCATTTGAAACAAAATTGTTAGAGTTAAGAGAAGCTATCATAAACTATTATATTTCACCAAACTCTCCATTAATATAAGGTATAAAGTAAATACCAAAGTCTTTTAAAAATGCTAATAATTTATATTATTCGTTATATTAGACTTTGTAAACACTATCTTTGGGAGAGTAACTCTTTACATAAATTAATTCTTTGTTTTCCCCTATCTTATAAATATTTAACCCACTTTCATAGCAAGCAATAATTAGATACTCGTTTAAAGAAAGAACTTCTTCGACCTTAGAGCAATTTTAATAATTTTTCTCAAGTACAAATGGAGTTTCTGAAAATTTATCTTGTTCATCTATTGGCCTTTTAGTTATTAAATTAAATAATAATCAAATAAAACTCATATATATTGTTTATATTTAATGTGAATACTTTGATATAATAAAGGTAGATGATGCAATATATATTCTTTTTGAAATATTATTTGAAGCAACACGGGGTATTCTCAATTTGTTAATATTATCTGGATGAAATTATGTAAAATTTGATTATCCAGTTAATTTAAATTAGTTTTAATCAAGCTTAACCTGTAAAACATTTTTATCGCTTGTAATTATGTAAACTGTTTTGTCATTATTAAAATCATGATGAGCGAAATTGATAATATCTATTTTATCATTTTAAGAATCTGTTAATTCATTCAGAGTGATATGATTTAGTTAATCTACTAGTTAGCTAACCGAATCAGTAACTAAATTACAAATTTCATCATATGACGCTTAATTTGGATCATTTTTTTAAAAATTTCTTTGCATGATACTGTAATTATAAATTCCTCTCACTAAACCAGGATATTCAATATCAAATTCTGTTTAAGAGTTTTATTCGTAGACATATTCGTTTTTTCTAATGATTCTTTCATATTATACTTTATGTTCTTGACAGTTGAAAGTTAAAAATAGCTAAACCACTAAAATAACTAATAAAATTCTTTTCATTTTTATTATTAATTTCCGCTTATTTGAAGCTTATTTAAATGAAAAGGCTAGCAAAATTTGTGATTATAATAAATTATTTAGTTAGATAATAAATATCAAAAGTTATCGATTCTATACAAGATTTATCAATATTATTAATATTAATAAGACAAATTCAAACTGAAATATTATGATTCGTGTCTTTCTTAGCTTTTATTATAATCGAAAAAGGTAATTTATTTCATTTTTATTATTTTATTTAAGTCTTAAAATCCCATTTTTAGACAAAAAAATACTTCTAAAAAAATATAAATTAAATAAAAGTTGATAGAAACTTCAAATAGCTAATGATAAACAAGAATTTGCACTAATTAATGCTTTGAATATGTGAGTGAGTTAGTTTATTAATTAATATGTATTTAAGTATTCTCATAAAGGAAATATATAAAATATAAACATAATTTATTTTTTTTTATATTTTAAAAAATAAATTTTACATTTAATTTAGTTTTTTAATGTTAATATTAGTAGCATAAAAATTTTATTATTTGCAATATGTCAGTCAATCCAAATATTAATTAAATTACCATTTCTTAAATTTTATAACTTTTTTTGCATTTTAATTAATATTTAAATTATTGTCTTCTTATCAAGGGCTTTGATTCAGATTGTTCATGCTGTAGCTTTCTTGGGAGCTTCTTAGCCAATTGGAGCTTCAGGAGGATTGTACATAGTATTCCAAACTTTGATGTAACGAGCTTCTTGAGGATCATCCTAACTCTTACCTCTCCACATGAAAATGTTCTTTTCATCTCCCTTAATAAGAAGTTTGTTTATATTTCTGTGATTGAAAGTGACATTTCCAATCCATGAAGAGTTTTCTAAGGTAGTAGTATCTTCAATATATCCACCATGAGAAAGTCTATACTCATAATATTCATCGAAGACTTCTGGAATTGGAGAGTAGTATCTATGGAAAACTTCAAAGAGACTTAAAGTTTAGTTATTTGGAATATTTTCAAGATCATTTAAGACAATAGGTTTAGCACGGTGACGGAAATAGACGAAACCTTTATATCTCATGAAAATACCAGGGCATTCAAAATAACCCTTTTCACGGACAATACGCTTGAGGTCTTCAGCCTTGATGAATATGTTTTGAAGACAACGTTCTGCTTCCAAAGAGATGGAAACCATGTGGTTTTGACGGATGCAAGTCAAGGGTTTCTTAACGATGTTTTTGTGATCCATGAAAGTAATTTCATCAATATCTCTATAGAAGTAACCAGCTTCAATAAAGTAGAATTTTAAATCACCGTAAATAGTGTAGTCAATTAATTAGTCCATGGAGTTAGAGCTCTTTTAACCAACGGGCCAACTCTTCATGGGATTTTAGCTCTAGAAGGCTTCATCAATTAGCTTCTACTTTTCTGATACACGGTAATCTAAGGCCTTTTGACGGATAGACTCGATTTTATCATTATTAAGTTTACCTTTAAAGGGGTCTTAGTTTTCGCTCATAAGGACGTAGCTGCCCATTCCAAAGACGATAAGAGAGAAAGCGCCGAGAGAGTATCTGTAAATAGGGTTCATATTTTATAGTGTTTGAGAAAAACTTTCAGACTAGGTAGATTAGGTTGTGTATTGATTCTTAAAGTAGAAATCACCACTTCCTTCATATTGTTAGTATTTCCAGAATTCTTCATCCATAAAACTACCTTATGTCTAACCTAGAAGACTTCTTAAGGCACGTTAGTACTCACCTTCAAATAGGACCCTCTTGACACTATTTTGAGGGTTAGCGATAGCTTCTTTTTCTAAAGATCCAAAGTAGTGTTAGTAAATTTCATTGTACAAATCTTTTTCAGTGCGGCTTTTCCAATTGATTGTTTTAGAATAAGACATGTTGGGATCTTATTAATCTTGCTTTTAGTCAGTCTTTAAGTTATTGGAGGCATAATATTAATCAAGAGTTTTATATGCTATATTTAATTTCTTAATCATTTCTACATTTTCTGGTGTGTTTTAATTAACATCCGGGTGATACTTTTTGAGAAGGTATTGATAGGAATCCTTGACATCGAGCCAGTGGGAATCTTTCTTCAAACGTAAGGTATGGAATGCTTCACCGAGCATCATGCAGAAGAATTTCTTAGGTTTAAATGTAAACATTTTATGAAAGTATAAATTGTATTAGAAGTCTTTGAATCTATGCTTGTAATTTAAAATCTCTACTGCCTTTTATTGATATTTGTCTTTATTTATTATTTTATTTGAAAGATATTTATTACGGATATCTGAATCAAATGCTTATCTATTGCTTTTAATTAAATTTTTGATATTGATTGAAAATATGACTTGTTTGTTATTTTATTTAGTTTTCTTTTTAATTCTTTATTAAAAAATGCATCTTCGCATTTCTACTAAAAAGTCATTTCGAAAGATGCTAGAAGGCATTGTTATCTTTAAAGAACCCTTTAAATGCCAATAATTACATTTTTTTATTAAAAATTTATAAAAAACTTAATTTAATTACTATGCAAATTATGTTACTAATGCATATTAACTCTCTTTCATTAAAAATAAATTAAAAAAGTTATTTTTATAATTAATCACCAATCTTATCGCCATTTTTTTTCGTTTCTATATATAATTAAATGGTGATGATAAATCGTTTCATAGATAAACACAAAGAACCAACTATCATCTTTGAGTTTATATACGAAACACTAAAATCATTTTTTGCTTTTTAGGAATTTCCATTTTTAGAAATTTTTACTGATTCTTAATATCAAAAAAATGCTTTTATAAAGCTCGCTCGCTCGACTAAAAAATGATAAAAATGGAAAAAAAGAATAATTTTAATTTATATAATTTATATATTTGTTATTGAAATTCACATCAAAATTTTACAAATTATTATTTATTGAAAAAAACGACCTTATTAATTGCTTTATTTTTTACTTTCTAAAATTTTTTATTTTTAAATTGCAATCAAATTATTATAAAATAAGAAAAGTAACCAAGAAACTGCTACGATATTTTCTCAACCTTTCTTACAAATTTTTTTAAAAATTTAAGATAATCCTATAAAAATTTACTCACAAATTTAATATATAAATTTTCAAACAAAATTGATTAAATTTATTTTCTTCTTAAAATTTCTAAGTAAACACTTGCTGTATTTTTCAAAAGCAAATGTTTCAATAAACTTTTACAAGGTTAGCTGCTTTTTTTAGTTTTCTTACAAATAACTACTAAGTTTCCAAGTTAATACTAGTTTTTTTAAATAGAATTCTAGTATATTTTAGCATATAAATTTAAAATTACTCTGTTATGGTGAACTAAAAATAGTATAATAGAGTGCAGTGTCTAATTTTGCTACCAAATTTCAGAATTCCATCTTACGTTATTTCGTTTCTAAAATTATTGAATTATTATTAAAGTCTAAAAAGTAAGGAATTTTACTGGTAAAACTCTAGTCTAAATAATCTAAGATTTATGCATTTGCTTATATTTTCACCTAGTGAGATAACTCCTGCAGATCCAATCTTATTATTACTAAAAAAAATTTTTTTAATTTTAATTAAATTAGATGTTTTTTTACCATCCTATCGATAAATATAAATTTTCTAAATTTAGCAAATTTTTAAATCCAAAAGCGAGACCAGTACAACCCTCATGACCAATTTCATTTCCACTATCATATTAAAAATAAATATTTATAATTTAGTTATTCTTTTAAATAAAATTTACGAAAAAATGATAAGGTGGAGATCTTTAAGATTGTGGCATTTATTTAAGCCTTTTCCTAGTTATACAGCTCCTTCACTTCCTATAGAATTACTTTTAAAAATTTTCATATTTAAAATAAAAATAAACAAAAAAATACTTTCCTATCTCCATTGATAAATTTTGAAGATTTTAGCAGCAACTTAATCCTTATCCTATACCTTGAATGCCCTCTTATAATATTTGGTTACTAATTTGAAGTTTAAATTTTTTAATGAAAAAAGAAATAAATAAATTAATAAATCAAAAGTTATTTACTTGTAAATAGTAAAAGAAAATATTTCTAGCTAGTGAAGCTTTTAAATTAGGTTTCCTATTTCTTGAGAACCTTAAGGTCCTATATTATTCATACTATTTTAAAATTTTTTATTTATTAAATTGTTAGCTGAAAATAAATTCACTTTCTAATATTGAATGACAACTCTTAGAGATACTATAAGTCCTTTAAACCTTCACAAATTCCTTTTATACCTTCATGACCAATAAAATTTCTAAATATAAAAATTTAATTAAAAATAATTAATCTAACAAATTTAATTTTTACTATCCTATCTCTATTGAAAAAGATTTTAATTTATGTAATTTCTTAAGTCCTTGTCCAATTTAAATAGCTCCTTATTCACCTAAGTCGTTTTTACTTTATAAAATTAATTTAAGAAAATTCCATTCAAATTACTGTCTTATGGATAAAAATATTCTTTCCAATTATGTAAAATTTTCCAGTGCCTATCTTAAAGCAGATGAACCTTCTTTTCTAATATGATTATACCTATACAATCATTTTTTTTAATTAAATTTTAATTAAAAATTTTAATAACCCGCCTATCTGCAAGCTAAACTCTACTAATTAAGTACAATCTTTTAAATATTTTGAGAAATAAATCATTCCATCTCTTCCTATGTTGTGAGAGCTTAATAAGATTTAATTAAAATTTAAATAATATCAGAATTTAAGTTTAAAATTACTCTGAAATCTCAATACTTAAAGTATGTAACTTTTTGCAATTACTAAACCCCTTGCCTATGTACTCCCACCCTACATTTCCTATGGGATTACTAAAATACTATGATTCTAACATATTTTAAATTATAATAATTTCAACCTACTAATTTTGAATTCTATTTTCTCAATATCTTTTTTCTCACTAATAACTTCACTCAAAATTTTAGCAGAATCTTAACCAAAATCCTTAAATCTTTAATATTATTTAGAATAAATAGATGCTAATTTATATTTTATTTTTACTCAATTTCTAGAGTTTTTGGATCTAATTAAAGAGCTCTTTTAATAACAATAATTATTATTATTTTAAAATAAGCAGTAATAAAAAATAATATTACTCATTTACAATATTTTTCCAATCAGTCATAGTAAAAATTAATTGATTTAAAAGCTAATTTAAAAGGGATATTTTTGATCTACAAAATTTGAATTCTTTAATTTAAAATATAAAACGAATTATATTCCTTTTTTTTAATAATATAAAATTTTAATCCCTAATTTTTTCTTTTAAGAAGTAATTAAAATTTTTCTAAAATTAATTATAAAAAAGTTGTTAATTTTTATTCAATTTTTCATTTGTAAAATAAAATTTATCCTTTTTATTTTTATCATTTAAAAAGAATTTAAGATTTACTCATTTTTTTTGAAATTTTTCTTTTATAAAAAATAAAATATTTTAAAATAAAATAAACATTTTGTTAACTCAATTTAATAAATTATAAATTTAAATTTTATATTTTTATTGTTAAATGTGAATAAATATGAGTTGGGGTTATAATTTTTTACGGAAATGAATTTCCTTTATTTAATAAAAGCTATTCAATATTTTATAAATAGCTGTTAAAATACCTTTATTATAAAATTTTATTTATTTTTCTAATTATTGTAAAATTGAAAATAATAATACTCATATCATTAAAAATATATTGTTAGTAAATTTTAACAACAAAATAGCTGATCACTACTAACTAAATTTACTTTTTAAAAAATTAAATATTAATTAATAAATCCAGCAAGTTTATTATCGAAATTAAAAAAATAAGCTATGAAATCTATTAACGGCTAGGATACTGGTCTATAGCAAAAGAAATAAAACATAACCAATCGTCTAAAATAAAATGGAAACACATCCTCTATAAATTTAGCCACTGGGGATTAAGTAATGAGTAGAGCATCCCTACCTAACAGCCCTCCTAAAGAAAAAATAATATCTTAGCAATAATACCATATTAGATCTTAAAAGGTATATAAATATTCTAAAATATTTTATAATATTGAGCATTCTTTAATACAAATATGTACTATTTAAATAATAATAGAAAGTAAAAAATGAAAATCTTAGAGAAGACTCTGTTAAATAGCTTCAATACGATGAAAATGATTAGTTGTGCAAAGAGATTAAAAAGGTTAATTTAAATATAATGCCATTCACAAGTAAAGTATCTAACAACATTAATGTCTCTGCCAATTCCTTAACAAGCAGCAATAATAGTAGCTCATTCAATTTATGCTAGCAATAATCCAAGTTAGTTTTTTCTTTTTTAATTATATTCAAAATTTTATCTTATTTATATTTTATTATCATTTTTATTAATTTTTGCTAAAATTCAGTTGAAAAAAAATATTTTAAAAGGCTTTTGTGTAATAATTTTATTTAAGATAAAAAAAAGAGTTAGATGAAAATTTAAAAAAGTCCTTGCCAACAGTAAATGAAAGTGCTCCTCGTATGAAAAGTGATAGAGATTATTGTTTAAAATAGGAATCTATAAAAGATATTTAAATTAGATAATAAGAAACTTTTCCAGTTGCAGACTGCAATTTAAATAGATACAGCGAATAAGATGATAATTAGAATTTGTAAGACTTAAATAAATTTCAAAGCTACAAATGCATTGAAGGTGATAAATAATAAACTTAACCTCTTAGTCTCTCAGTAAAATATCCAATTCAGTAGGGGTTTATTAATTTGTTTGAACTAAAAAAACCTGAAGAATAACAATAATAACTTTTACAAAAACCTCTTAGTAAAAGCTTGATAGGAAGTTAGAAAAATGGATAAAATCCTATCTAATCTTTAGAAAAGATAAAATAAGATCCTCATTAAATTGAAATCGAAAGTGATAAAAATAATAGCTTTTATTCAAAGCAACAGCAAAATGTCTTTTAAACAAATAACGATTAAACTGTTAAGTAGATTCATCTTTTTTAGATAAAGTCTACTAATTAAATTTAATCAAAAAATGCTCCAGAATTCTTTTAAAATAAAGAAGTTTTAACCAAAAATAATGCTGTTTAAGTTAATTCATTATTTAATCACAAAAATCCTATATAAAATCAACAGAAAATATAGCCTTAAAGTATATAGCTGAGTGATGTAAATTCATCCTTTCAAGAAGATGAGTTGACTACACAAAATAATGGAGGTGGATTTTATGGCGAATCTTCTCCGATTTCTCCATAGCCTGTTGAAATTCCTATTTTTGATTTAAAAGCATCAGCTGTTATTAATGGTAAATAAAGCCAAAAAGATCTTCATTAAAGAAAGAATTATTCATAGTAAAGAAAAATGTAAACTCCTTTAAATATTCATTAAAATGCAAAGAATAAAAATGAAAACACTAAGAGAGAAAGCAAAAAATAAAATATAGGTATACTAAATGGAGCAAAGGAATAGAGAATTGTTGTAATATGTGAAAGTAGTAGTTAGACTAGAGAGTGGGTAAATCGTTTTCTAGGAATGAGAAATATTTAGGATTTTGAAACTTTTACGTTGCCAGGAGGGCCAGGTAAAAATCTAAAAATTAGAGTAAAAATATAGTCAATTTTTTTTTAATTATTAGGGTGCCTTTGTGTAGAAGATAATTAAGAGAGAATTTGCTGGTAAAATTCTTTGAAGTAGTTTACTTAAAGCATTTCTAAGTTATATTAGCTGCAAGAAATACAAGTCTATTAAAACAGCAATTCGATTTTTAATTAAATATACAATTAAGATAGTCTTTAAGGTCGAGGTTCTTAATTACAACAAATGCAAGAAAATTTAAAATAGGCCTGTTAAATTGTAAAAGAGCAACTATAGCTCCCAGTAAAAGGGTTTTTCATAAACAACAAAGGTATTGTTGAGAAAATATTGTGAAAAGAAAAATTATATTATAAAAATGTATATTAAAAAAAATAAAATAGATTTAATTTAATTTAATAATAATTTGTTTAAAAAATTTAATAATAAAAAAAATAATCTTAAAGTTTCCTCCAAATAAAACCATTAATTAATTAATTTAGATTATTTATTTCAGTAAATTAAATAATTAGTTTTATAAGTAAAAAATTTGAGTTGTAATATTCTATTTATCATACAACTAATATAATTAATATTTGATTTTATTATTATCTCAATTCAAGTGTTTCACAAAATACAAATTCATACTATCCAAATAGCAAATATTGATTTTAAAATTGGAGTTAGGCAGACATTATGTTTTAAGGAATTAGTTCAAGCGATTTTTAAAATAAAGGCAAAAAGACGGCTGAAATGTCTTAACTTATGATTAAGCACAATTACAATATTGGAATTAAAGAATGGGAAAGACCTCTAGGAAGTGTTTATAAATATTAGTTTATTAATAGAAAACCAGATCCTAATCTTTTTAAACCAAATCATCCTTCACACTCTTAAGTTGTCATTCCTCACGAACATTAAACAAATTAAAACAAATTATAATAGCATTTCACTAGCGAAACTAATAAATCTTTTGTAAAATATATTAATCCTGAGAAAAGAAAACCACTTTTAGGAACATAAGATTTAACTTAATCAAAATTTGTAGAGGCCTCTCTAAAACATGGATTTAATTACAATAGAAGTACTAAATCAATGAGTCATTAATTACATGATTTTAAAGATCCTGCAACAGTTCCAGATGTAAAATGGAAACCCTAAAGATAAAGATTTAATCCTATAACAAATGAAGTATATGAAAGTGATAAACTAGTTAAAGCTTCTCAATTTGATTTCTACAATGACCTAAAATCCAAGAATAGATTAACTCATAATTACTCTCATATACCTTAACCTAAGGAAAGAATTGATATAATAACAGGAAGAAAGCTTCCACCTTTTTGAAATGTTAATATTTTTGTTTACATATAAGAAATCCTGTTTTTAATATTCTATAAAAAATCTAAGTTTTAGTTATAAAATTAATCATTCATTATAAATTCATTTTCTAAAGTATATAAATTAATTTGTATTATCCTTCAATTTAATTAGTGATATCATCAAGAGAGTTTCATTTAAACAAAAAAAAGAATAATTTTTTAACGGTTTGAAATAAAATAAATTTATTTATTTTTTAATATTAATTAATATAAAAGTTTTTTTAATGAAATTTCTTTTTATTATTTTATTAAAATGAATCCAAAATATAGGATACTTATGAATTTATGATGTCATAATTTTATTTTTGTTTTATCTAAAAATAAAATAAATTTATAGATAATATTTCAATCTCTCAATTTAGGGTTATTTTATAAATATTAATATTTTAATAAATTTAAAACAAATTTAATTTAATAAAGAGATTTTTTAGCTGAAAATAAACTATTTGGAAATTAAAAAAGAAATTCAATAAATATTGAATATTTATGATGTTTATGCAATCATATTTTACTTAATGAAGCTAATAGTAAAAGCAAAATTTAATAAATAGTATTTCATTATTTAAATTAAGTTTTTTATAAATATTAAAATTTTGTTAAAATTAGTAATAAATTTATTTTATTAATGAGGTTTCTTCAAAATTCCTGAATTTAGAGCTAATAATATAGATTTCACTATGTTAGTATATGTAAGTTTATGATATCATATTTTATTATTTCCTGCTAATAGAAAAGCTAAATTATTTAGTTAATATTTAATCATTTAATTTAGGAAATAAAAAATAATAATAAATTTATTTTGTTAGAAATAAAAAAATAAACTACAAAATATCATTTAAGAAATTATTTTTTTTATAAATTGTTTTTAAATTATATTTCTTATTTAACATTAATATATAGGATTTTTGTTAAAGATCTTTCTTTAGCTTTTAATCAATTAAATTTGAAATTTATCTTTATAATTAATTTTTAATTAGAAAAATAGCTCCCAATAAAACTTATTGATTAAATTCGATAGAGCTATTCCGTTAGGCAAAAAGGTGATAATGGTAGTTCATTATTCGGTTATAATAAATGATTTACTCTGTACTCTGTGTATGCTTCAGAGAAGGAGATACCATTAAATACCCTTTCGATCCCTCCAGTTTTTAATGAGATACTTTGAGGCTTATTAAAAATAAGACCAAAATTTTTTAAATAATTAGGTATCAAGTATCTCACCGAATAATACACTTTAAACCAGCTGAATTACAGTCTTCAAAAACCTTCTTTTTTGATACGGTTTTGAGTAATCATTGAGATCGTTAGTTTTTAACATATCTTAATAGTTTTTTAGTTGCCAGGCCTACAAGTTTTTAAAAGACATATCATTTTAAAGTTTTTTCATCCAAAAAAAATATAAAAAGAAGCCATGCCTCTTTTCCTCAACCAAATGATATGTACAATCCTCCTACCAGTCCTAAAAACGATCAAAAGAATACATAAAGTCATGATAGATTTAAGGGTTAAAACCCTACTTTTTCAAAATTAAACCCGAAGACTTGTAAAAGAAGCACCAATTGTTTTTTTCCCCTCATATATAAAAAGTATTGTTTAAAATTAGGTATTAGGTAATTAACTGAAGACAGAAGCGAAAATAAAAGCAAAAAAGTTTTTAAAATCAGAAACAGAAAATGTCTACTAAATGCAATCCCTTGCCCATAGAGCAATATAAACAAATCATACATTTGCTGCTAAAAAAAATATATAAAATAAAATAAAAAAAACAAAAAAATAAAAAATCATATATAAATAAATAATAAAATCAAATAAAAAAAATCAAATAATTAAAAACAAACAAATAAAAAAACATAAAAATTAAAATATAAAATTTAAAAATCTAAACAATCAAATAAATTCCTAACTGAAAAAAAAACAAATAAATAAGTAAAATAAAAATAATACAACGAAATAAATAAAATCTAAAAAAAATAGAAAATGAGTACACAACGCCGCCCATTTTCTAGTTTATTTTCATTTTTTGGCATTCTTTAATTAAATATTTATAATTTATAATTTTTAATTTTTATTAATTAATAATTCTAAATATACTTTTATGATTTTTTTAGGAGGATTAAGCTAATATAAATTTATTATTGAGGAAGATAATATTCTCCTAATAGTACTAAATTATAACTATAAATTAAATAAATTAATAATTTAAGCAATATTTTAGTTATATCTAGAATTTTTAATTTTAATTTGGATGTTTGGTAGATTTTTATACAAAGCATTTTTAAAAATATTTTAATTTTTTTTACTAAATATTTCAAAATAAACTAAAAAATTTTAAAACAATCAAAACAATAGGAATGTCTAATCCTTTAAAGCATGGAGTTTTAATAATTTTTTAAAAATAATTTTTTTCATAAAATTTATAGTTTTTAATTTTTGTTCTCTATTTAAAATTTAAAACTTTAAACTCTTCAACAATTTTTTTTTTTTAATTTTTAAAAATTTAATGTTTACAAAAAAATAAGGATTTTATGCTGTTATAACAATTTTAACCATCATTTTTTTATGATTTACATAATAATATGAATGGCCAAAAATGGAATTTATTTGTATTTATTCTATTTAAATATATAAAAAAAAAGAAACAAGCAAATATTAAATATGTTTGTTTTTGATATCATATTAAAAATTTGTTAATTAATGAATGAAGCATAATATTTGATATTATTAAACTAATCACTAATTAAAATAAATTACTTTTATTTAATTTGTAATTAGAAAATCAAATCATAATGTATAGAAAATATTACAACTCTAGTTATTATATTGCAAAAACACAAGAAAACTCACCAGTGCGCCAAGAAAATGGAAATTATATAAACTAGCCCCTGATAGATTAAACAAATTTATAATAAAGTATATTGTTTGAATTAAAGCTTCATCATTTAATTAATCCTTAAATCTTTCAATTCTTAAATAATAATTTTTTTTACAGATTAATAATTAAACAGCAATAATATAAAGGTTAGTAGGCAAGGCAGCTCGAACTAACAAATTAATCTAAAATCTTTGGTACAAAATCAAATTGCTCTATTGTAATAGTAGAATATTGGAAATATTACTGAATATGGAGTAGGAGATAAACAAAACTCTTTTATAAAAAGATATAATAGCAGTTAAAAGAGAGTAAAGACTTAAAATAACACTCCTGAAAAGTTCATTTAAATTAGAGCTCAAAGAAACAATTAAAATAATAGCCAAGAATAAAGGCAAGAGTCAAATTAACTAATTAATAATTCTTTAACTTAATCTAATTAGAGAGGATTTGATGAAAAGGAGATTAAGTAGGGTAATTTTAGTGGATTTTATCCATAGCATTTAAGAGCTAGATCTAATAACAGCATGCAAATATAAAAAATGAGTATATAAAAGCTAAATGATACATTAAAAATTCATAGAGGAGCCTAAGTTTCTTAAAATACTTAATAAACAGCTCAGGAGTAGTATTAAAATTTGAATAAATTAATCCTGAAGGATAACTAATCATTTAACTTTAACAATCATTTATTAACCGAATAAAACCAGCCTATTGCTGTTATCAATAATTAAAATATCTACATAAAAAGGAAAGAATAATAAGAATAAAAGTAGGGAGACTAAATAAGATCTTAGCACCAAAAAATTAATAGTTCTAATAAAACTATAAATTCATAAGCAAATGAATAAGAAACTGTAAACCAATAAAATACTTCTAATTAATTTGAAGAATAAATAAAGTCAACGATAGAAAAGGAGGCTAAATATTATTTATAAGATAGATTTAATGAGAATAGTAGAAAAAATACACCCTCAATTAATGAAAAATTAAGGCACCTACATCCTGATGAATCTTCACAGTATAATTTAGATAAAATAAATAAAAGAGAAGAAACTTAATAAAACAAAAGATAGAAGAGTGGTCTAAAACCACCTTAAGGTTAGGAGAGAGTTAGCAGGGTTAGTGAAAAATAATTTAATATGATAAAAAATAAAATACCAATTTATTCAAAAAATCTAGACAATATATTAAATACTAGATAAACTAATTCTTCATTATCTACCTACACACCTCATGATGGATCAACTGAAGATAAAACTATAGATATCACTAATTATAAATCAAATATGCCATAAAAAACAGAAAGTGCTTAACTTAATAATTACTTCGATATTCCTTTTAACTAATCAAGTAAAGAAAAATAAAAATAAAATGGGTTTAATAATAATAATAACTCTTCTAATCTAGAGGAGCTCTAAAATTAATTATTTGGAAATAACTATAAAATGTAAGATTAACTCAGAAGAAAATCGATTTCTCCTTTTGAAAGGAGAATCGTTAAAAAGTAGGCTGAAAATTCTATCAATAAGGTGTCTCTAAATAATAGTATAAGTTAGTTGGAAAAAAGTTGTTAAGAAGACTTTTCTGGAAACCCCATTTTATTTACAACTATTCAAAATGATTATTAATTTTATTAGAACTATAAATCTTAAGAAAACATTAATCAAGGCTAAAATATCAGCAAAGAAAAGCTGAAAAAAATGTAGCTTAGTTTTTTGAATAGCAATAACAGCAGCAACAACAATACTGATAACCCAATTAACAATATTTGTAATTTGTTAAAAAAAAATAAATAGTTAATAGCAAGGAATAATAAAAATGCAGACCCTTCAGATATATAAAATAAAAGCAACTTGCTCAAAGTTAGCAACATAAATTAGTAGCATGTTAATAATCTTATGCATAGAATTTCTAAACGTAGTCAATCATATGCTAATGCTATCCCAAATAAAATAGTAGGAACTAATAATAGGAATAATATTACTCCTGAACAAAGGAGGGCATCTCAAAACGAATTACCAACAAATAATTCCTTTAAAATGTCACTTGATTGTGCATAAGATGTGCCATCAAAAGAAGAACCTATAAAAATAAGATAAGCCATAAATGTAGTTAAACTTAAAAAAATTGATATCATTCATTCATTTAGAACAAAAAAAGGTGTTATGGCATCCAATCCTAAAAAATAAAATTAAGATTCATTTTTTATGAGCGAAAAAATGTCAAATAAGGATTATGATCAAATTTACTTCTTAGGTGTAATGGATGGACATGGAACAAATGGGCACTTGGTTAGTCAATTCATTAAGAATAATATCATTGAGGAGTATAAACAATAAGGAGATGAAATAAACTATGCATAGAAGCTAATTAATCTAACAGACTCACTGAATACAAAACTTGCTAATTCTAGTATAGATTGTATGTTTAGCGGTACAACAATGATATCACTCTTGCTCTTGATGAATTAAAATAGTCTAAAAATATTTTCTTGTAATTGTGGTGACTCTCGTGCCATTATGGGTCTTCTAAAATCTTAAACTGTTACTTAATAAACTAAAGGCAAATAAAATTCAAGTATCAACAGTTACTTTTTTGAAGTTTTAGAGCTTTCAAGAGATCATAAGCCAGAACTACCAGATGAGAAGGAAAGAATACTCTAATAAAATGGTAGAATTGATAGCTATCGAGATGAGTATGGTAATTAGCTAGGTCCTATGAGAGTTTGGCTAAAAAATGAAAATATTCCAGGACTCGCTATGAGCAGGTCTATTGGAGATGATGTAGCAACATCTGTAGGCGTTACATGGGAACCAGAAATAAAAGAGTTTGACATTCAATTTATTTCTATAAATTCTTAATCCAAATAAAATGAAAAAATAACAGAAAATTAAGATATAAGTTAAAATTAAAAAAAAGAAAACTTTGATTCTTAAGATACTAGCTCTTAAGATTGTAATTCACTTGAAAACAATCATAGATAGAATATAACAGCCGATAGTGGGTTTTTAATTATAGGTAGTGATGGAGTTTGGGAATTTTTACCTAATGAAGAAATAATTAAAGAAATTGGGAAATACTATATTTTAAAAGATATAGAAGGTGCATGCAGCTGGTTACTAAATGAAGCCTATCATAAATGGACATGTGAAGATGACTCCGTTGTAGACGATATTACTTTTATAATTATATTTTTTTAGCCTAAAGAAATAATTCAAAAAACAATTTCAACTAAATAAGCATCATAATCATTAGACTTCGATAAATGAAGATAGATAAATAAATAAACAAATAATTAAAAATAAATAAATATAAAAATAGCTTTTGCTATAAATTATAAATTAAAATTAATAAATAAAATATTTTTCTTAAGATTGTGTTTTAAACAAACAACTAAAAAACAAACTAAAAGTTATAAATAAATTAATATAAATTTTCATATAACAAAATATAAAGTATATAATTGTATAAATAAAATACTCATTTTTAAGTCTTCACTTTTATTTAATTATAAACTAAATTAAATTATTTGGCTAATCTATTATTAAACATGTATATATGGTTGAGTTTATCAGTCAAATTATCATTTTAACATATAAATAAAACAAAAAAACTCAAATATTTTAACAAAACAACAGTGTTGTTTATGATACAAAAAAGCATACAAAAATTTTATTTTGAGAAATAATTTTTTTATTATTTGATAGAAGAAAGATTAAGCATAGATTTAATAAAATAAAATAATTTTTAATTTCAGAGAGAGTTATTAATCAATAACTTTCTTTTAAATTAAGGTCTTTTTTGCTTTTTATAAATATTTTAAAGAGTTAAATTTTACTTTAAACAAAACTAGTTAAATTTTTTTTCTAAGTTAAATTTTTTAATATTAAATTAGTATAGCAAAAAATTATATTGAAAAGGTTTACTTTTTAAAGATTTTTTAAGATAAGATATAGAATTATATTATAGCAAAATGCCTCTTTACGAATTAATTGTTCTCGCAAGAGCTAATACTGCTAAGGCTACTACCAGTTTAGTTTCTAGTGTAGCTTAGAGCATTTTAGAAAAGGGTGGTAATGTAAGAAATACCACTATATTAGGTGATAGAATATTAAATAGAACAGTTAAGGGTAATGATGATAAGAAGCATCTAGTAGGTCGTTATGTCTAAATTCTTTATGATGGTAATCCTTAAATGATGGGTTAAATCGAAAAGGCTGCTCGTGAATCTAATGAAGGTATTAGAGCAAAAACCTTTAAAATCAAGGACTTTTACAGCGATGCTTAATTATTTAGAAGAGCTCTTAAACAAACTTCTCCTGTTTATCCTTCTTATCTTAATGACAAGAGTTATCTTCACTAGCTTAAATAGATTGCAAAGAAAACTAACAAGTAATGAAAGACATAGTCTACAAGATAAATATTTAAATTAGCTTGAAATTAAAAGAAAAGGAGTCTTATTAATATTTTGCGCATATAAAAAATATTTTTAGAAATTTCTGAAAATGAAAAAATTGATGATTTATTATTAGAAAGATTAAAGAAATATATATATCTAATTATAATAAAAAGAAGACTCTTTTATTTGTAAGAGAATGAGTGTTATTTAAATTGAATGAAAATATATTTATTTTAGTTAGATATAAATTAATATTGATATATTCAAGTAATTAAATATTCATTCAAAAATATTTTCATAAATAAAATTATTTTTTATAATAACAATAATAATTAATATATTTATTTATTTATTTACTTACTAAATTGCTTAATGCCAATCCTATCAAATATTATTATCTAATTTGTTTTATAATTAATTAATTAACTAACTATTCAATTACAACTTCAAAGCAAAATCTTTAATTTTTGAGATATTAATTATTACAAAAAATAAATAGAAGTAGATTATAGCTAATTTTAATACAACCAACATTTTTTATTTAAATAGAATCCATAATATTTTGGCTATTATTGTGAATATTTTCATAGCAATATTTAAGAGCAATGAATAGAGGCTAAAGAGACTAATAAGAAAAAAAATAAGAAGATACTGTTGCTTAATTTATACAAGAAAGGTTTGAAAACGATATACCAGCAAGTAATTTTAAAGTTAAAAAATCAACGTGCTTCTTTTATATTAATTCGACCTAAAAATATAGGGTCTTTAACTGATGGAGTCACTGATTATGTTTTTAGATGTATTTAAGGGCCGTTTGCAGGTAATTTTATCTACCTAAATCTCACTGAAGAAGGAGAGTTGATTGGCAGTGATCCATAAGCTGATTACACTTTGTTAATAGAAAACGCTGGTCTTTCTGCTCAGCACACGAAAATAAATTACACTATGGATGATAATTAATATGGTTATTTTATTAAGGATTTGAATTCTGAAAAAGGTAGCTATTTAATTTTACAGAGCTATGTATTTTTTATAATTAAATTATATTTAAATTAACTCTAAACGGTATTTTTAATAAAGAGATTTTTTATTTTTTGTAAAATAAAATAGGCACATGGATTAAAACGAAACCAGGACATTTAATACAGATAGAAGATGAATAAATTTTTAGAATCGAAGACTAGGTGTTTTAGTTTAGATTGATAGGTAAAATATTTATATATTAAAAGTATCTATGATTTAAAAATAATTAAAAATATAAATAGAGGATGAAAATTTTGATGTAGTTGTTGAATGGTTAGCAAGAATAGAGTTAAAGAAAGTTATTATTAAATTAAAATCCTATAACATTAAAACATTAAAAGACATTAAATAATTGCAACCTAATATAATTGATGAAATAATCGATGATGAAGATGAAAAAATTCGTTTTAAATAAGCATTTGACACAATTGATTAAGATTTTCCAGGTAAATCAAATACATTTTTTGAAAACAGAAGCAAAATACTTTTTAAAAATAGTTGATGGCAAATAAAAAACTTTACTGATTTATAGTATCACATAAGATGTAATAAAATTAACTTGAGTAAAACTAAAATTAAAAATAAATTAAAAAATGATTTTAAGGAAGTCCTTGCAAAGGTTAAATGGTCAGGAGCTGCAATAACTCGAAGCAGCGAAATGGGAGAGATTAGTGGAATTGATAAATATGGAGTTGACTGCAATCAGAAATTTGAGATGATAATTTAGTTTTACTTTAATAGATATTATTTTCATGTAACCCCAAAAGCACCTGGATAGATATATTTAAAGTTATATGGCAATTATAAGCTAAGTCCGGACGATATAGTTAACATAGGAAATTTAGATTTTCAAGTTTAAAGGTTTCATTTATTCTACTCAAAATACAATTTCATAAAATTTTATTCATTAAGATTTAATACTGGTTTGTGGAGTGATAAAGGAACAAGAATGACTATGGAAGATAGATCTGTAATTTCACAATCGATTCCTATTTCTAGATACTTTTCAGTTTCTTACTTTGCAGTATTTGATGGGTAATAAATTAAATTACTAATTCTCTATAAAAGAAACGAAATAATTATATTATAGACATGGTGGTGATTAGTGTGCTTAATTTTTATATGAAACTCTTGGCGAAAAACTAAAAGAAGAATTTATGAATTCTGAAGAATATTTAGATGATACAGAATTTTTTTACTAATATATATACGAAAAGTTAGTTTATGTAATTTTAGCATTCTTTGACTATTTCTAATTAAATAAAAAAACTTTTTATGTATTTTAGATTATAAACGATATAGACTAATAGTTCTGGTAGTATCGTATGAATGATTAAGATAATAATTCAGATAGTGGAAGTGCTGGAGTTATTATCCTTATATTTGGTACTAAACTTATATCAGTTAATGTAGGTGACTGTAGAGCAGTCTTAAGTAGATAAGGCAAACCTGTTGCTCTAACAGTCGATCACAAGCCTGTATTAACTTTTTTAATTTAAATAAAATATATAATTTTTTTAAAAATATTTACAAAATGATCAATTAAATTTTTAAAAAATCATTTTTTATTTTATGAATAGAATGAAGAAAAGGAAAGATAAAGAATTATGAAAGCAGGTGGAACAGTAGATGGAAATAGAGTAAACAAAAAACTAGCAGTAAGCAGAGCTTTTGGTGACTTTTCATTTAAAAAAGAAACAACTGGTAATATGGATATAGTTACAGTTAATCCAGATGTAAAATTTAGAAAAAATTAAATAAGATGATTTAAGTAGAAGAATTTATAAAAATTAGATTAGAGTTTGGGACATTGATTTCATGGTTGACGAATTTATAGTACTAGGATGTGATGGGTTATTTGACATGTTTAATAATTAGCAAGTAGTAGAATATGTAAGAGAAAGACTTATAGAGAATTAAATTACAGAACAGGTAAATAAATATAAAAAAAATCAAAATATTCATTATTTTCAATTTTAATCATTTTAATTAATTAGGATCCATAAAAAGTTGCAAGATAAATTTGTCTGGATGCTGTAGAAATAAGTAAATAGTAAAAAAGAGGAAGTGATAATTGCAGTGTTATCATAATACTTTTGACAAGAGGAATTATAAATACAGATAAAATTTTTTTATAATGATTTTTTATTTAAAATTAACTAAAATTATTTTTATTATTTTCAATTGTAAAATTTTCATGAAATAAATTTTATGAAGAATCTATTTATTTGTTGTATAATTATACAGTGACATTTTATATTTGTTAAAGTAGATTGTTGCATAAAAACAGTTCAGATACATATAAAAGAAGAGGATCTTTCATAAAAATAATTTAATTTGAGTAATTAACTCCTCTAAAATAAAATATTAATTTTGGTATGATGGATTTATTGATAGATTTGTTAATATTTTTTAATGGAATTTAAAATGAACATCGTTTGATATTATCTATGTTTGTATTTATTTATATTTCAAGAAACTTCAAGAAAAAAGATATAAAATTAAAAGAAAACTTTTATATTCACAAAGATTAAAGAAAAACTGATTTGATCAGTTTAGGAAAGGAGAAAAAGTAGAATTAATATAAAATTATAAAAGGGTAGAGAAAATATTTAAAATTGGAATATTTAAATGTCAACTGTCGAAGAAAGTAAGATAATTTAAGCTAACAAAGAAGAGGTATATAAGAAAATTTTAGAGCTCAGAGCCAAGCAATTGAAAGAAGATAAATAAATTTTTGAAAATTATGAACCAGGTTGGTTTGAAAATTTATTAGATTTCGATATAACTTGTTTAAAAGAGTTAGAAAAATGGATGGATAATGTAATTGAGAAAGAAAATTCTCCCGAACTTACATAGCTTTGGGTTTTTTAAAGAGATTTGATAAGATTTTCATATTATTTCTTAACATTTAGATGGGTTAAGTTAGTTAAAGAAAACTATTTTGCAATTAAAGTCGAGCATTTATATTCAGACTACATAAATTATTTAAAGGAAGATTTTTAAAAAGTAATTAACATACTTTCATTTTATTTATTAGTTTTTAGATTTAGTTAAACTTTTTTTTCAAAATTCTTAAAAATTTTAAACTTATATTTTTAAATATTTAGAACAATTTGAAATGGCTTGATGATTCATTTTCCTACTTAACTTTGAAAATATAATAAGCTTATTAGGGAGAGACATGGGATCTTGTTGAAGTAATATATTTAGTTTATATTTTATTTTAAGCTAGACTTTACTTTTAATAAAATGAAAATAGTCAACTTGTAAAGTAGCTAGAGCATTTAAAGATGCAACTATTGAATGGTATGAATACTATGTTGAATATAACAAAAAGGTTGCTCCTTAAATTAAATAATTTGCTTGTAATCATAAAAATGAAGTGAAGGATTACATTTGGAATCGCTTCTAGGGAGTTTTAAGAACTTGGATAAATTAGTTAAAAGTTACTCCCCAAGAATCTCTTGATTATTCATTTACTGTGTTAGAAAATTACTTTTTAGTAAACAAATTAGTTAGAGCTTCTTTCTTTGAAGATAGTAAGCGTTTAGTTCCACTTTAAGCTAAATAAATATCTCTTCAAACTCAACTTGGATGGAAACACATATCAAATAAATTTGGAAATATTAAGAATAGTTTATCTAATAGTATTAATTCTAGTTTGGTTTCATACTTATCTGTTGAAGAAAGTGAAGTGTTTTCTTTGCGTTAGGAAGGAATATGCTCACTTTTGAAATAAGAGTATCCTTTAAGACTTTAAAAGGGTTTAAATCTATTCACATTGGCCTTTTTCCGTATAATTGATGAAGAAAAAGAGTATGAGTCTCGTAGTAATAAATTTATAAAATTAAATTAAGATATTGAGAAGAAACTTGATGAAGTCTTCAAAAGAAAAGAATAACGTTTAGCTAGAATTAATGCTTTACAAAGTGTTGAAAAGAAATCAGATGAAACTGTAGAAAACCGTAAAAAGAAATTAGAAGTAGATTTTGAATCCAATTAAAAAACTACATAACAATAATACGAAAAAGATGTCAAGCTTTTAGAGAGTCAGATAGCAGAAGTTAGTTGGAAAAAATACTAAGTAGAAAAAGATGTTTAAGAATCTAAAAGAATTTAAAACGAAGAGTATAGACGTTAACAAGAGTAAGTAAAAGCAGACAAGCAATATAAAATTCAAAGAGAGAAAGAATTAAAACAATTAGCTTCTTAAAAAAAAGAAAGATTCGACTATTTGAAAGAATTCATAAAGAAGTTTGACAAATAGACTGAAGAAAAGTTCCAAGAAAAAATAAAAACAATTGAATAATAAAATCAAGCTCGTTTAGCAAAAGAAAAAAGAGATAATCGCAAATAGGAATTAGAAAAATTTGAAAAGGCTTACTTTGACGAATAAGAACAAATTAAATAGCTATAGTTAAAAAAAAAAAGAATTCCTAAGAAGAAACCTGAATAATTGGCTTTAGAAAAGCAAAATTTAGATGAATTAGAACAAATTCGCTAAGCTGAGGAATAAGAAAAATTGTAAGAAGAATAACATAAATTAGATTTAAAAAAAGCTGAAGAAGAAAAATAATGGCAAAATGTTATGGAAAAGAAATTTTAATCAAAGCTTGATGGAATTTAACAGTGGGTTGATAAAAAAGGTCAAAGCATTAATAATTTTGACCCCTCTAAGAAATTGAGAAATTTTTATGACAGAATCTACAATAGTTTTAGTGAATGCTTATTATGGTTTACTCCTGTTTTTAATACTGTTATTTATGGTCCTTTGGATAACTTTAAGATTACAAAATAACTTGGTGAAAAAGCAAGCTATCTTTATAAAGCTGCTCTTAGCCAAAGAGCATTCCCTTAACGCGAAACTGTATAAATTCCAAGTATACCAGAGGAAATTGATTTTCAACAAATTAAAACAAAAGTAAAAGATATGTTTAATCTTTAAAAAATAGAAGTTGATCCTATGAAAAAGGGTAACTTAATTCGTGTTTTAAAGCACAACATCATAGGATCTGATCTTATGTCAATTGCTTTCTTCAAAATTGTATAGGACAAATTAATGTAATATACATCTGGTACATACTAAAATTATAATAATATCGCTGCAGGTGCTCTTTCTGGTGCAATGATGGCCTTTTTAATGAATCCAATTGATTGTTTCAAAACTCTTTATGTTGCCACTGACTTGAAGGTCTAATTATCTATATCCAACGTTCACTATAGATTTACTAATGGCCTTAATGCAAGCATAATATCAAATTCCGTCTACAGGGGTATATAGTTCCCTCTTTACGAATATTTCAAGAGAGCTACCTACATGAAGTAATATAATATTAAAGAGAAAGATTACGAATAATAGACAGGCTACTTCAATCATAGTTATTACAATAACTTCCTTTCTTTGAAGTAAAAATATTTAGCTGCTGTCTCAGCATCTTTAATTAGCAGTGTATTCGCCTATCCTTTGGACACTGCAAGAAAAGTAATATACACTAATACTTATATCTAAGATTAATCTTAACATATCCATACTATACGTTAAGCCCTTGCAATTAATACTACAATCTATGGAGGATTTAAATATAATTGCATTAAACAAATATTCTAACCTCTTTCTCTAATTGTTTTCGATCATGCTACTTCTAAAATTAGTAATAAATCTTAAATAAACTAATATATCCATTGAAAGGAATGAACAAAAAATTTTTATTTAGAGCCAATATATCATCAAAATTTCGCAAACCATATTTGATATTCAAACAAAAATATTATTTAAATCAATCTAGAAAGAAAGAGATCTCTAATAAAAAATTTTTTATTTAAAAATAAGTTAGGGTTTAACTAACTAACTAACTAACTAACTAACTAAAAAAATAAATAGCTATTCATGTTTTTATTTTAGTTTATAAATTTGATAAAATATTCATTTTTTTTTTAAACATTGAACATACATAATGTATAGTAATTCACTTTATTTTTTGATGAAAACTCCTTTATTAATAAATCTAATTTAATATTCTTAATTTATAAGTTTTTTAATTAAAAATATACAAAATAACTATTACTTTATTTAATAATAAATTTGGATTTATTAAAACAAACAATGATAAAACATTAGATTATTTATAAGTAAAAATAATTAGATAAGTTTATAAAATATGAGAGTTAAGAAATTTATAATATTTTTAGCATAATTTAGCAAATATTTCAAATTGATGTTCCTACAATTATTGAAGAGATAAATGAGAGATAGAGAAAATTTACTCCAAGAAATATTTTATATTCAGTTTTGTTTCCATAATAATAGGATATTAATCCAGAAACTAAACAGCCAGCTGTTGCAATATTCAAAGTGCTTTATTATCTAAACTATTATCTCGGTACATTAATTTACTGTACTATTTAAGGTTTTCCATGATAAGAATTAATAGTATTCTAAATTTTTAATATTATTGCGCTGGACATTCTTAATAAACTTTTATTTTATAAAATTATTACAATTTAATCAAGCGTGTTAAAAAATACTATAAAAAAATAAATTTAAATGATGGAAATATATTAATAAAATTATTTTTACGATAAACCTGCAGTGTAAGCTAAAAAGAAAGAAGAGATACAAAAGGCATAATAAGTACCGAATCTGAATCCAACTCCAACACATTTGAAAGGATACAATAGGAAATCATACCATTTTTCACATTTTTTGATTGGATTGTAATTTTTTAAAAGCTTCAAGAATTAGAACTTTTTATAAAAGTATATCACAGGAGTATATAAAAGTAAGCATTTTGCTGCTTATTTAATACCACACGAGGCAGGGTGCTTACCATGAGGATTCAAACATAGCCAGCAAAAACCTGTTTAACATTTCCTACATGTCATATTGTTACATCCTCCATTTTTTTAAATATGTGCATTGCATGTTGGGCAATTTTTTGTGAAAAAGTATTTGTATAAGTTGCTTTTAAGCTCTTTCAAATTTTTAAAACTATTTTATGAATGCTCACTCCATTAATGCTAGCATAAACTGCATTGAAAAGGCTCAGTGCATTTTTAATTATTAACTATTCCTCTATAGCTGCAAGTGGAATTTGGACAACTAACAATATCATATTATTATCTACAGTAATGGTTTAAAAGTTATTGAGTAGTTATGGGAAATATTTTCATATTAAAAACTTATTTGAAAAGATTAAATAAAAACAATTAATTGCATGTATTAATAGGACATTTTATTTTAAGTGCATTATAATTAAGAGAGCCTTAATCTTATATTTGCTAAGACATCCACTAATCTAAACAATTAGGGCATATTTTTTTTCTAAAATGGAAACATATTTAATTTTAATAATTGCTATTTAAATCATCAAGATTGTGTTTGTATGATGAAGAACAAATCAAACATTCGAAAGCAATAGGTTCTCTTTTTTATATTTTACCTTTAATTTTTCCTTGCTTTTTCATTAATTTAATCTGATAAGATGATTAATTGTTTAAACTTATAGAGTGAAATTTGATTTTCGTTTGATTCTTCTTCAAGATTTTCTTACGAATACTCTTTTTAATTTCTACTTTGTTTGCTTTTCTATTTTGTTGTTGATGCATAATAATTTTTAAATTAATAAAGTTTCTTAATAATAACAATTTTTTGTAATAATTTAGTAGGATAACAGAGAGTATATAACACATTTTTTTATTATTAATTCCTCATTGATTGAATTTTACTTTCTGACAAGGATATTATTCTATATTAATTATCAATTTGATTAAAAATGATATCCTTTAATTTAAAATTATGATTTAGATTATTCTAATAGATGCTTCATCTTTCTATAAGAAACCTTCAAAAACTTAGTCTATTTAAAGTATGTTTCTTATCTTTTCTTATGAAATATATACAAATTTTAGTCTACCATAGACAAATTAACTATTATTTTTTCGATTATATAATTTAACCTTTTAACATTTATTAAGCTTTTCTTAAATATTTATTTTACGGTATATTTAAAATAATTCAGATGAATCAATTTTAGAATATTAACATTTAAGAAATCGATTTCTAATTTAAATATTCTAAAATATGTATTAAAGATTTATCTGAATTATTTTTAATTTGCTCATCTTATTATTTTTAATATTTAACTGTAATAAATCAATATTGCTTTTTTTTATATAATTATTTCTCTAGTAGGAAATAACATTTAAGTAGAATAATAAAAAAAGGTATCTATCGAAATAGGTCTCGGACCTGAACAAACAAAAAAATAAAAAATATTTAATCAAATATTTAGTTTTTTAATGAAGAAATCTAAATTTTTAATCAAACATTTAATTTTTAGAGTAATATTTTTTTCATTCATTTAATATGTAAAAAAAAAAAATTAATTCAAGATTAAATGTTTGATAAAAAATTAAAAATTTCTTCATCAAAAAATTAAATCTTTGATTAAACATTTTTTTTATTTTTTTTTTTTCAGATTCGAAACCTATTTCGATACCTTTTTTATTATTTTAAATTTAATTTATATTTTTAAATAATATTTATTATTCTACTTAATATTTATTTCCTATCCGAGAATAGCTATATTTTTAAATAAAATAGATTTTAATTTAAAATTATAAAATAAATAAAATTGGCACTCAAAATTAAAAGATTGTTTAGAAAATAATTTTTCATAAAACCTGCAAAAGCTTGAAAATTATTTTTTTAATTAGAAATGAGATGATAAATAAATTAATTTAACATTTTGATTTGAAACTGATAAGTTGTAATCTATAAACAAATTTATTAATAAAAATCATTAAAATAGGGTTTAAAAAATGATAAACTATTTTTATAGCTTGTTTTCTTCATTAAAATATATAATTAGAAAGTTGTGGAAATAAATTCTTTTATAAGAAATTTGTAATTAATTTCAACACTTTAGTCTTAATATATATTTATATTTCAAATATGTAATTATAATTTTCTATTAAGTGGCAAATTTCAAACTAAATTACATATTCTTTTTCTGATAAATCTAAAAATAAATTCCACTTCAATTTGATTTTTTAATCTAATTACCTTCAAGTATAATAATACCAGCCTCATCAAATAAATATTTATAATTTTAAATTTGTTGTTAAAATTATTAAATACTGAAATTTAAAAATATGAAAAAATTAACATTTTTCATTACTTTGTTGGCATTTGCATGCTTGTGTCATTCATTTGCTCAATCAGAAAATGATCAAAATTGTGAGACTGCTTATTAAAGCTTACAAAACCAAGCTAAAAAATACCTTGATAATATTAAATTCTAACCTAGAGTAGCATATTAATCTATTATTAATATGAGCTACATTGTTCCTAAATTAGTTGAAATTTGTGATTCTCCTGTTAGTGAATAATAATTACTTGATTCAAACTAAGATTGCCAATCTCATCTCGAATTGATAAATTCAGCTTCTTAATTAATCTTAGAAAACGATTATTCTATTGCTAAGAAGCATGCAGCTGAATTTTAACAAATTCTCCTCAATACAATTGCTAATTGTGATTCCTCAAAAATAAGTAAATAATTTAGTTAATACATCTACATGCATAGCTTTTACATAAATTGCTGAATACACTAATTTTAAGAAAGATACTAAAAATTTCTTCATTAGAAAATTTGATCAAAAAAATTATCAAATAGTACAAGAAATTTTTACAAAATTAAATATTAATTTGAAATAAATTTTTTCATGATTGAAAATTGAATGTTTAAGTTATTAATTCATCATAAAAAAATGTAAATTAGGTTCAGAACTTGAATAAAATGGAGATGGATCTATTAATTGTGTTGTTTGCGATATTTTAGTTACTTTGGCTACTAATGATGCTGTCTACAAAAAATAAAACATCAGTGATTATTTATCCAATCATTTTTGTAAGATTTTCCCAAATTCACTATCATCTACATGCAACTCTTTGGTAAAAGTACTTGGACCTTATATTATTGAAGGTTTTTCTAAGAAGGATAACTCTGATGTTATTTGCAGGTATTGATTGATTAATTAGTCTATATTAATATAAATCAATTTCTTTTTGTTTGTTTTACCCAAAAGCTTAGATTAGCTGCTGCCACAATTTTTAATTAATTTTTTACCACATAATAGCAGTGATTAAAATGATGATTTTTTTGTTTAACTTTTGAAATCAAAAATAAATCTATTGTGTCACATTCATCTACAAAAAATTTAACTTAACTATATATAGAAAAGCTGGAGCATGCACTGGAAAATTCTCATAATGCAACATTCACTCTTAATCTTTCCCTTAAGATTCACAAGAAACATAAGAATCAACTCCTCAGTTTGTGTAAACAATTTTAAGACAGATAAAAACAAAATTAATTGGGGAAAAATCACCTTAAGAAAATTAGTTTACTTCTTTTAATCCCATTCAATGGATAAAAGATTTAATCAATAGATTTGCTGATGCTCACTAACCCGTTGTAGATTTTGATAATGATGGATTTAGTACTATAGGTCCTTTGAGAGGTTACAATTGGAGAGGAAAGGATTGTGATGACTTTTAAAACACTATATATCCAGGTAGAAAGATATGGGAAGGTAGTAACCCTTCAATTGATTATGATTGTAACGGTATTTGGGGTGTAAATACAGTGACAGGCAAAAATTACGAAGACGAGCTTGTAATAAAAGATTTATTTTGATTATTACTTTAATTAATTTTTAAATCCTGGGAGTATCTTTTTCTCCTTTTTTCTAAATGCTCTTATAATAAAACAATTATAAACTGTAAATTTAACTCTTATTTATATTTAATTATGTTAGTGCGGTTAATCAGAGAGACTAGGTACTATTGTGATTGGAGATTCTGCTGGTGCTCACTTTTAAGTCCCTCCTAAATATTTTAATGTTACTATGTGGCAAAGTAAATAAAAATACATTTTTTTGTATTGATATTTTGAATTTTAATAATTTGTGTCATTTGAACTTAAATTACGCAATAAAAATAAAAACGAATGTTTTAGCTTTTTTAGATTCCAAATACTATTTAAAATTGGAATTATCTCTGACTTTAAGAATATTTCTATTCTATTCAATATCTTTTTTGAGGTATATGATGATTTTTGTTAATATAATCTTAATCCTTACTTTTAAATATCATGAAATAAATATTTTTCTCTTTCAATAAAACTTTAATCAATTACCATAAAATTCTTCTTATTAGATTAAATTGAATCTCTATATATTTAATAAAAGAAAATACTTTTGATGATATACTTGAAAGAGCTTCCATGGAATTTGATTTACCAAATTTCAGTGCTTCTTCAGGTTTTGAAAATACACCTTTAGTACACTCATTCTATGAAAGATTAGTAGAAATAAACAGATGTAACAGAGGTGATTACCAAAATATTGGTGTCAATGGTAAGAATACTATTTTTATTTTATTTAGTTTAAAATTTTTTTTTTAATTTTATAGGGGCTAGATCAGGTCATTTATCAGATTTCTAAGCAATTAGAAGAAATTAAACTCATGATCATCCTATGCTAGTGATTTTTGAATTAATCGGAAATGATGTTTGCAGTGGCCATAAAACTACTGATTCATTTACTACACCAGAAGAATTCAAAGTAAATATTATGAAAGCTTGGGAATATCTTGATACTGTTCTTCCTAAAGGATCTCACATAGTTGTTTGGGGTAATAAATTATTTATATATATTAGTTTATTAAATGGTAGATTAGTAAATTAATATTTTAACTTTAAATAAATAACAATAGGTGTTGCTGATGGATAAATTCTTTACAATCTTTTGGCTGAAAGAGAGCATCCTTTATTTGTTAAATATAAATACTTCTATGACTACTTGAATTGTTTAGAAATGAGCCCTTGCTGGGGTTGGATGAATTCTGATCCTGAAATCAGAGCTGCTACTTCAAAAAGAGCTGCAGAATTAAATTAGGTCTATAAAGATATTATAGAAACTGTTACTTTTAATAACTTTGACGTAGTTTATTATGATGTTCCTATTTAAGAAGCTATTAACAGAGCTACTGCTGATGGCTATTAAGCATACGAAATTATCGAACCTGTCGATGGGTTCCATCCAAGTTAATTAGCCAACTATTACTTCAGTGATATTATCTGGAATAAAATTAAATAAGATAGACCTGATTGGATACCTGTAAAAAACCCTAATAATAAAATCATAGATTAATTATTCGGAAACTCAACTATTATTGCTTTAGAAAGATTTTGAAGTATGAAAAAAATAAAAATGAAAAACAAAATTTATATTTAAAAGTTAACAATGTATTTTTTATAGAATATTACAAAATAAATTAAATAAATTCTGCTTTAATTAAAAAATTCTTTTATGAATAATTCATATTCAATTAATTACTTTTTTAATCATAAAAACTCAATAATTTTATTATATTTATGGAATTCACTAAGATTATTTTTTATGAAAAAAATATTTATTTAAACCATTTAGATTCTAATTTTAATAAATATAAAAAATTAATAATTTCCTAAGAATTGTAACCTTACACATGAATATCCTAGATAGTTTATGCAGAATTTTATTTTTAATTAAAAAGAAATTTACATAAACTTCTAGAGATTATTTATTTATTTATTTAGTAAAAGCACATAAAAATAAGATTTTTGTTTTAAGAAAGAAACATCATAGTTAGTTAGTATGTAACTTTCTTATAAATTGGTGTAAAATTGATACTTAAATAAAACAAACAATTAGATAACAATATATTAATTTGGCAACATTTTAAATTTATATTAGAACATAAAAATATTCTTACTTTTATTAAATTATTTGATCAATAAATCTAAATCAAATCTCTAAATCATCAATTTATTCTAATTTTGAATAATTTTTTGGCATGAAAGAGTCTGTTGTTTGAGGATGGAATTTTTCTTTATCATCGAATTCCTCGTTTTCATTTTCGCTCTCTGACTCTTACTGATTTTAATTAATTTCCATTTATAGAAGCGTAATCTTAGGTGTAAAGCTAGTTTCGCTTATATCTATCTACTAGGTTGAGCTTGAATTAGCATCTTCACTCAGCACAGATTCTCTCTTTTCATCTGTGATTGATTCCCCATTTTACATATTATCTTTAAATAGCTCAGAATTTTTCAAAATTCTGTTTTTGCCATTATTTCTTTTAGAAATATCAAAACTTTCATTTGATTACTAATCAGATTAATCTTGTTCATTTTTTTCAAATTACTATTTTGAAGTTACTTTACTTGAATGTCTTTTTTGCTTATGAAGGATATTTTGCTCATTGAATTGAACTTACTTTGGAGATTTAGCATTTAGAAGCTAGTAACTAATAGAATTAGCTTTCTTTTTTTCATAAATAACTTCTTCATTTTTAGATGTATACTAGGAAAGAATTTTATTTTAAGTTTAGTCATTAGTTTAATCTTAATAAAATTATTATTAGCTCAAAAGCCTTTTCCTTCTGTATGAAGGAGTAGCTGCTGATATTTTAGGCGTTTCTGTTTTATTATTTTTTTTTCTTTATTATGTATTAGATTGGGTTGGGAATGTTTAATTATCTACAACATTCATTCTTAAATAGTTTGGATTCATTATTGAAAGAAACTCTACATTTTATAAAAAATATTTTTTTAATTTAATTTATTTTAAATTAAATATTTACATAGATGATTTAAATACTATTCTGAAGGACTCACAGGAGGGATTGCTAGATTTAAATATCCTTACAGCATTCCTCTGTGATATCCAACAAAACTTTCATTGTTCTTTGGCTTTAGAATTTATTTATCAAAAATCGTAGGTATAGACCTTTTTAAAATATTTAAAAAAAAGTATTTTGCTTTATATGAATATAATTTTGCTTATAAAATTACTTCTATCTATCAACATTATCTATTAAATCAAAATAAAACTTCTCTTTTTCATCAAAAGCCTTAATTCCCTAATGATTTTATAATTTAAGATGTCCATTTAATCAGATAAAAATATAATAGTATAGAATTATAAATTACCTGCGATATCAATTTATTCTTCACTGATATTACACTTTCTTAATTTTCAAGTGAAATGATAAATGTAGTTTCTGTCTTTGTAATTTTTTTAATTTCTTTCTTTAATACAAATAAAAATATTATTCAAATATAACTAAGCAAATTATAAATACTAACATGATGATCTTTTAAGCTAATTATTGATTTCTCTTAATCAACCAACTGTTTTTGAGGAATAAATAGCTCATTTTTGTTAAATGAATAATTTAGCGCTATCACTTTTCTTTCACTTTGAAATATTATAGAAGGAACTTTGTTTAAACTCTATTTTATATTTTTATATAATCATTATACCATCATAAGATTTTTCTAATAAAATTAAAAGAATTCAGCATTTTTATTTATAAAATTTAAACTCTTTTTATATAATGCTTATTGCTTTTAACATTCTTATAAATAATTATAAATTTATTACTTCATTTATTATATTCTTATTCTAAGTTAATTTTATTATCGAAGGATCTTTGTAAACAGCATCTAGAGGAATCTCCAAAAACTTATTCATCCTATATGCATAGTATTTCGACTTTTCTATTTCAACTTTCGAAAAAATTCTAGTAAGCTATCATTTATTTTAATAATCTATGAGAATTTAATATTATTGGTATTTATGCTTGTTAAATATTACTTCTATTTTTAGAAAATCTGAAGTAATGGCTTCTCTTTTCTTAGATTAAAATGACTAAATGTCTTTTGTACTTTCTGTCATTTTCAATTTCTAAAATTAAACTAGAATTCCTTTTTAAAAAATTGAAAATTTATTTAGGTAACACTAATTTGTTGAATTAATTATTACAAATAATTTTTTATGAAAAGGATTATGAATCAATAATATAACCATTTAAAATTATAATTTAGACAATTCCTTTTAAATAAAAGTAAATAATTATTTAATTTATTAAGTGAATAAAAAATTATTATTTGCTTATTAATTTACTTATTTATTGTTGTTTAATTTTAAAATTATTTTAAATTTTCATATTTTTTTTTAAATTGATTAATCTAAGAAAAATTGTGATTTTTTATTTTTATTAATTGATTAACTTTAATAACTAACAAAAAATTTTTTCTTCTCAAAAGAAATTAATAAATCAATTTGATTATAATTAATTAAATTAACAAGAATTTTTAAAATAAAGAAAAAATAAGGAAAATGCAATTTTTTGAATTTTTTTAAGGTAGAGCAAAATATCTAATTTATTAAATAAGTTTTTAAATTTCAATAAATTTCCATACTTTTATTGCGAATATGATGATGATGATGATAATAATTTCGCTACCACGCTTAAGTTTTTTAACACTCCATAAGTTTTTTATAGGCATAAGTTTTTAATTTAAAGAAGCAATTTACCCGCTCGAATAATAAATTAGATATTTGTTCCCAAGACCTTATCTCTGGTTATGCTTCCAGAGTAAAATAATCGAAAGCATGCGATAATCAAAAAGTTAGGTCTCTTTTTAATAATCTCATTCATTTATAACAATGATGAGATGCAATTCTATATTAACGATATATAAAAAGTATTTTTTAAATCAATTAGGAACTTCTTTGAAGAATCTTGCTCGCTGCTTTAAAATCTCCAAAAATAAAAGAATAAATTTTGAAATTAAATTAAATAAAAATAAAAATTAATAAACAAAATATTAAAAATATGAAATAAAATTAATTAAAATAAATAAAAAGTAAATTAAAAACAATAAAGAAATAAAATATCAATTAAAACAAAATAAATAAAAAATTAATTAAGAATAAATAGAAAATATTTTGTATGTCATAAGCATCATTTTTTAATTTTCAAATATTCATAATTAATATTGCTTATCAAATAAATTCAGATTCCTTACCCAAATACCACAAATATTTGTATAATTACTTAAAATTAAGATAAAAATAAATTAAAATATTAATAATAGAAAAGTATATTTTTATTTTAACCAACTAAATTTATTATAAACATACAAAAGCATCAAAATCATTCATAAATTAGTATTATTAAAGTAATTATTCATTATTAGGTATTTAAATTATAACCAATTAAATAGCACTTTTTATATAATTTATGTATTTAATAATGCTTAAAATTAAATTTTATTATAAAATAATTTATTCTATTCATAATAAAGTCCAGAAAAATAATAAAATTTTTGTATTTTTGTAAAAATAGTAATCATAATATTTTATTTACTTCCTAATATAAAAATATCGATTTATTTACTTATTTTTATTTTTGGAGGGAATTAAAATTTATGGCTTAACTAAAGTAAATTTTCTCAATATATTAAATACATTAATATAATTAATTATCAATAAATTGGATAACACTTTAAGTTCGAGTTAACAAATTTAGATTCAAAACAGTAAATAATTCTATGCTGTTTTGATCATTGCAAATATATATTTTTAAAACAAAATTATGATTGATTGAGCTTTAAAAGTGAAAATAAAATTTGTTTTTTAGTTATATTTATATAAAATAGTAATAAAATATATAGTTTTTATTCAAAATCAAAAAAATTATTTTAAATGATGTGAGCAAATCAACATAATTACTAAAAGTATACCTGAAATTTTTTATGATATTCAACCACTGATTGAACAATAGAAAATACTAATCAAATATCTTATTTTAAGGTAATAAACTACTGCTCAAAAATTTAATATAGCTTTTAATGAGATATTTTTGTCTTTTTAGATAAAAAAATATTATTTATAAATGATAAAAATAAATATTTGTTTTTCTTATTAAAAATTAGCTTTTGTTTTGTGAAAATATTTTAATTTAAAATTTATCTTTCAATTAAAGTCTATTTTTAAAAAACCAAATTTATTTTTTCTCTTGAAAATTTAAGTTGAAAATTACATTCACCATTAGATAATATTTGTGTATTTCCTGTGTGAAGCAGGTAAAAAGATTTATGTCAAAGAAAAATTAATGAACATTAAACACGACCTAAGAAAAATAGCAAGTAATACTTATTTAATAATATTAATATCTTTTCAAATTTATTTTGATTAAAATAAACCCACCCTGACTTATTTATTAAAAAGCAATTTTAATTTTTGTTCATAAGAAAAGTTCGCACTATTTCTTCAGCACTCTAGTTATTTATTTATTTATATCCAAAGGTTGGTGATTTCGCTTATTTTAAAAGTATAATTAATTAAATTTTGGCATTTTCATTAATAATAGGAGTTAATAAAAAACGTATAAAAAATGTCTAAGAAAGAAAAATCAGGATTTCTTCCTCTTGAAGAAGAAAAATCTATGGATAAGAAATCTGTTTCTAAAAGCAAGGATGTTACACCAAGAAATGTTGGTTAGACTCCAAAAAGCCAAGGAATGTTTGGTGGATTTAAAAACTCTATATCTTCATATATCAAAAAGAAGATCGAAACCAAAATCATGCAATTCTTGAGAGATTAAAAGCCCAAGGTTCAAGATAAAATAAGGGATAAAGCTATGCCTTAGTGTGTTTAGAATTTTATGGATGACATTGTTGAAGAAAACTGGCCTATTCTTGAGGAAGAGGTTTAGTATTAGCTAAGAATTAGAACCGATGTACCCTTTGTAGAAGTTAAAAAACCTGACGTTTCATGCTTTTGTTGGCCTTGCTGGAAAATCAGATCTCTGTAAATTATTTTGATATATTGCAAGAATTTAGAATTTTAAATTTATTTTAGTTTACAGACTTTACATTTATTTCTATTTTAAGTTTTTCTACATTTTTATTTAAGATATTTATCATTTAATATCAAGTAGAGATTTAAAATAACTTATATTTTTATTTCCTGACTCATAAAATTTAAATTTTTTCTTAATTAGATAAAAATCTCCTCGCAAATTACAATTTGATTATAAATCTTTTTTAAATTATCAAATAGATTTTAGTATAGCTTGATGCCATATGATAAGTCTTTAGGATAAAAGATTAGAAATCCTATCTTTTTGCTTGGATTTTTAGCTATGTTATGTCCTATATACGGTGTTAGTAGCTTTTATTTTATTCTCCTTTTCTTAATAATTGATAAGAGCGATGAGTACTAATTGATTAACTTCATTTTAGAGTTTAAACGTTTACAATTCTTTTCTATCGGTGTTATTGGAGGTACTATTGGCTTTTATATGTATTTTAAATGTGTAGAAGAAAATACCCATTTAAGTCTTTCGATTTAATAAAATTGCTATTAATATGGACCTAGTATGTTGATCCATCCTCGTATAGACCTTATTGCTTTTGGTATAAATATTCTGTTAGTGTGGATAACTTTGATATTCCTTCCATTCTCAGAGCAAAAAGGTAAACTTCGTTTTAAGAATGCCGAAATAGAAGAGTAAAAAGAAAGTGAAAGAAAGGAAAAGGAAAGACAAAAAAGATTGAAAAAAAGAGAAAAACTTTAGAAAAAAATAGAAACTGAATTAGAAAAGCTTGAAAAAGAAGGTAAAGTAGCCAAATTTGAAGACTTAGCAGAGAAATATAAAATGAAACAGTTCGATGATTTGGACGAAGAAGCTAAAAAATAACAAGGATGCTGCTCATTCTAAAGAGGTGGTGGAATGAAGTGTTTAATTATTTGGGATATCTTAGCATTTGGTCTTGCGTTTTTATTTTTTTATAATGGCTTCAGGTTAGAAAACAAATAGACTTTCGAGGATGCTAAAGGTCATATCTACTTTACTAAGTGGATATATGCAATGTTGAGTTTTCCTTTCCTTTTATTCTCAGTTCCTTTAGTAAGCAGCTTACTAAGCAGAGCTCGTCCAACAGCCTATGATATGTATGGAAACACTGTTCCTGTTATCGGTTAAGTTGAGTACGATGATGATTTAATGGATGATATTGATGATGATTTAGAGGAAGAAGGAGTATTAAATGATAATGATACTCAACCTGGAACTAATACTAATAGAAATAATTGATACAAACATATTTTAATTATATATTGATAAGTTAATGATTCTTATATGTTAAAAAAAAATTTTATTAAAAAATTTACTGTTTAATTTTTAAAATTTATATGACTATTATAATAAAATATTTTTTATATTAAATAAGAAAAAATGTTTGTTAAAGTTACTTTTTAATTATTCAAAGCTAATACCAAGCAATGAACTCAAATTTATATTTTATGCATAAAATTAGCGAACAAAAAAATAACATATAATCTATGCAATTTATTTGTGAATTTGGAAGACTCAAAAAATAGAATCAATCTATTTTATATTAAATTAAAATTCTATTTACTTTTCTATAAACTTTATTAATTATTTTTTCTGCAACAAATATTAAAATTATTAGAGAATAATAAGAAATTGTTTTGTTTGTTGAAAATGGATAGTAAATAACAAAATTTAGAAGACAACTTTAACGAGCAAATAAATAAAATGCTCGAAGAAAATCACCCTACTTAACTGTTAGAGGCATTTAATCTTCTATATAAACTTTTTGATAAGTATAATTGATATTTTATTTAATTATATTTAAGAATTATATTTTTTTCAATAGTATAGCTAAGAATCCTACGGAATAAAAGTTCAGGTCAATAAAAACTACTAATGCTAAACTGAAATAAAGTTTATTTAGTTAGTAGCATATTGAAGAAGTTCTAAAGGCAGCTGGATTTACTTATGTACTTTTATTTATTAATTTGAATTGAATACTGTATAAAAATATTAATAATTTTATATTTAGGATGCTATTAATGAATGTTGGGTGTTACCTGACCAAAATTTATTTAACTTACTCCCATTGATTGGAGAGCTTAAAATGGCAATAGATTTATTGCAAGCAAATTTAGAATCACCAGAAAGTTATGAAAAATAATTAGAGCTACAAAAAAGATAGAGAGAACTTAAGAAAAGTTAACATGAAAAATAAGAAAAAGAAGATAATCTGAAAAAGTAATTTGATTATGATAAATAAGAAAGAAAGCATATGGAAAAAGCTAAAGATTCTGTAGCACAAGTAATATTTTATTGAAATATTTTATTTAATTTTATGATTAAAAATATATATTTATAAAAAGTAACGTTAATATGGATGCAACTCTAAAACGTTTAAGGATATTGGAGTTGATTTGAATGCTAAAAGAGGGTGACGTTGAGCGAGCTGGGAGCAAGTAACTAAATAAATGTCATTTATAATTTATATATGAATAAGTCTATTCAAAAAAAATAAATTGGAAATGATAATTTATTATGCTTATTTGCTTTTCCAGCTCTTTTAGTTCTATATATAAATGATGCTAAGAGATATGAGTTTCTCAAAAGACTCATTCTGAAGGATATAAGTTTAACTAAATCTAAATTTTGTTAAACTATGATTCTAAAACATTTAATTTATAAATATTTTAGGATCTTAACATGATTTGCTTCTATTAAATTTCTGATGAAAGATAGCAGCATTGAATTTTAATATCTTGTAAGAGTAGTTTCTTAGAATATTTTATTATAGATACTAAAAATAGTAGGAAGAGTTCTAAGTTTAATACAAATATTTTTTTGTATATGTATTAATTAATGTTTTTGTTTTTTAAGATCAAAATTTTTGCTTAAAAATTAGTTTATTGAAATACTTTTAAATATTTATATCATTTTTTATTTTAATTAATTAACTAATAAAAAATAATGAAAAAAATTAACAATTTAACTTCTAAAATAGTAAATTTAAAAATAGAATTTAATATAGTTTGAATAAAACTTAAAAAGATTTATTTCTATAAGAATTTTCATGCCAGTAAATTAAATAAAAATAAGTATTTAATACATTATTTATTAGCAACTTATTAAAGAATTCATTTTTTTTAAAAAACTTCAAAAGTCTTCGTTGTTATAAAATTTTTTTATTATTATTTGCATGAAAAGCATTCCACATAAATTTAGGCAATAAAATGATATTTATAAAATAAACTCATTAATTTTATTTTAAAATTTTAAAAATTGATTTGAAAAAAATTATTTTATATAAAATTGAATTATTTATAAAGATAAATAATTTAGATATATTTAAATTTTTTATTTGAAATTTTACAGAAATTATAAAAATGAAAAAATGCTATTAAAATAATTCAATAGTAAAATTATAGTAAAATATTAAATAATTAATTTTCTGAAAGAAACTTAAAAAATCTTCAAAGTTATAAAACTTTTTATTTATTATTTACATGTAAAACATTCAAATTCAATTTATTATTTTTTAAATATAATTTAATTATTTTTAAAAGATAGTTTTGCTTCTATAGAAATTTATAGGTTTTAATTTTACAGAAATAAATAAAAATGAGAACATATTATTTAAATTATAATTAGAATAATGAAAATTTTTAAAACTTTCAAATTGAACGTTTAAGCCAATCTTCAAGTTGTTCTGTGAATTTTACTAAATCAGGATTTGTGTAGAACTCTAATTTGACAAGATGACATAACTATTACATTCCTGACTAATCATAGGTAAATTAATATTCGTTAAATAATTAATTTATTCTTGTAATATAGTCTGCATATAAACAGTCACTCCAAACCTTGCAAGCTTTGATAACATCTATTTTTAAAAATAAACAATAAGATAATTGTAAGTAAATATATTTATTTTTACTGTTATTAACTTAGAAGTTTACATCAACTATACCCCAATCAAATCTTGTTTCAATGGTATTTGTAAATTAAGGAGTATGTCCATAAATCTATTTTTATAACATATATATGATGTTTTGTTTTTTTTGATTAATTTTTACCCAATCCCATGATTTAAGTTCTGTGTATATTTCTTTTATTTTAGGTTAGTTCTAGAGTGATTCATATTTTAAATTATCTCTAATAACCTCATATCCTTGATAATGGTTTATAAATTCTTGTTCTATCAAATCACAAAGCATCTTATGGTCTAGATCAGGCTTAACTTCTTGTAAATTAATTATTCTAGAAATAACACTATCAACTCCTTTGCTTTTAAGCTTTTCTTTGTTTGGGTTTAAATATTGTTTCACATTTTGAGTATCTACATTTAAAAGCATTGTGCCATGATGAAGTGCTTTTTTACCTGTCCCATCTGTTTTTCCAAGATTTATTTGGTATGCAGATCCTGATATCTTTTTTGGATTTAATAAAAATATTTTTTTTTAGCCCATAAAAATTAGTATTTATACCTTTCTTCCTTAAAATAGTAAATCATTTCTTCCAGAAAACTCTGCTTCTATCCCAACATTTTTCAAGGCTTATAAAAGAATCTTATTGTTTACTTTTTTGGAATCAAGAGGTAAAGATTCATCAAAAATAGGAGTCAAAAATGAAAAACAAGAATTTCCTAATAATTTATTTAATACATAAGTTTTGTTTAATGTTAAATAAATAATTTACCTAAATCTTAATAAACTGCTCCACCACCTGTTCTTCTTCTAGCTAAATTAATATTGTCTTTCTCCATATTTTATATAAAGCATTCTTTCCAAGGATTTTAATGTCTCCCTTTATTTAAACAAGAAAATACTTTTAGGAACAGATGAGTTTATTTTAACTTTTATTTTACCGATGACTATTGTTTTATCATTTCTCCATAAAAATAGAGTAGGGTGTTTCAAATCAGAGTGCTCATAAAGATATTCTTCAGTAGCTAAATTGAAATGAATATTATTATAATCACTGTACAAAATGTGAACTTTTTTTTCATGAGGAATAACAGAAAACCAGTAATTGATGCTATTTAAAAATTACTTCTTTTGTAAAAAGTTAGCCTTATTTTTTAATAAAGAATTTGAGATTCCCTTAGTAAGATTTATCATTTTTTGTTTGAATTTCTTAACAATCAAAATAGTTTAAGAATACTCTATTTATTTTATTTAATTAATAATAAAAAATATGTAGGCTTATTAAGTTTGATATAAAAAAATAATTAGAAGATACTAATTTGATATCAATTTATATTCAATAATTTTTTGAGTAAAAGAATGCATATATTTATTTATAAATATGTGTACAAATAAATATCTTTATATCTTTTATCTAATTTCAAAATTTAAGTAAATGATAAATAAATAGATATTCTAGAATTATTTTAATATCTGAATTTATTAATTGATGAAAAATATCAATTTTAAATGATGAAATGATTTTTTAACATTTTTCAATATTTATTTAATAAATTTACTTTACTAAAAAATTTATTACATATAAGAATGAATGAACTATAAGATAATTATTTTTAATAAAATATATCATTCAAAACGAAGAAGTCAATAATGAAGATATTTTTTCTTCAAAATTACTCAGCAGTTTTTAGAGGAATTGAACTTTCAATTATTCCACTTTATTTTATTTCAAAGACACTTGTGGAAGAATCAAACTTAAGATCAATAGCATAAGGAATAATCTTAGTAACTAATATAGATTCAAAGTTAGTTTTGTTAGTTTAACCTTCAATTTATATTGATAATTATAAATTATTGTTTTCAACAATACCAGTTATTTTTATACCAAAACCACAGTTATTATCTCCAATACATTTATTAATTAAACTATCATCTGAGTAGTCTTGGAGGGCTACAAATTTACCTTGTGCAAAGTATACATTATCTTATTACTTCTCAAAAGCAACATGAATTTCAAAATTGCTATTTAACAATCTAGCTCTATTTGGGGTATTAGTTAATTGAGTGAATACAATGTAACCTTCTCTTATGTAAAGAGGCATTATATCATCGAACTTAACAGTTTTGATATTGCCATTGTCACCACTTGTGTATCTTTAAGTATCTGGATTAGAAAGGTCACTGATGAAATCATAGAAAGCTCCTCCTTTAGGGAAGTAATATTCGATAGTAGTAGTTTTTTGATCAGGGTTTTAAGATTAGGCTAAAACAGGTTATCCCTATTAATTAAAATTATTTATCAATAAAATATTTTTTAATAAGAAATTATAATACCAAAAGAGAGTCAGCTATCATAAACTACTAATCATTGGTTAAGAGGTTTTCATCATCAGGGAAATTAAAGAATGAAGGACGGAAGATAGATCCAACACCGTTAGAAAGAATGAAATAAGCATAATATTATTTTAATAATGCATATCTTAACTTGAGAGATTTTTTGCTTGATGTGAGAACGTAATCTTCCTAGAATGCATAGGGCTCTTGAGAGATAGTGTCGTTAGCATTGTGATTTCTACTGAAGGGGTAGAAAGCACCTACTTACATCCAACGAGCACAAAGTTCAGCAGTTGTATTCATAGCAAATCCACAAATATCAACACCTGTCATTGGAATACCATATAAATTGTAATTGAAAATTTCACTTAAAGAGTATTTTAAGAAGTCCCAATTAGCACCATTATCACCTGTCCAGTGTTAGACAAATTAACCAGAACCAGCTATTTGAGATCTTGATATGATGAAAGGTAATTTATTGCCCATTTTTTTTAAGGCATAGTTAGTGGCAATACCTTCACTGAAACCATTTAAGTTATGGAAGTCGAACTCCCTTAAGTTATAGTTAGGGAAATAAACAGTTTAAGCATCAGGGGAGTTATATTTGGGAGCATCGTAACTCATAGTCTTTTCTTATAAGGGATGGTCACTACCTCCAACTAATAAATTGGTTATTAATTAAAAAATTTAATTTACAAAATCAAAAAAGAATAAAATAAATGAATGCTTACCGAAAAATGGAATTTTTGTATAGGAATCTTCAACTCTAATACCAAGGTAAATTTCATGAATAGGAGCATTAGGATCATTAGGCATAATGCAAACTTCATCATCAGAAATTTCACCATTAATGAAATTTGAAAACTCATTCATGTCAATCCAAAAACCACTAGGAGTAATACCATAATTTTTAGTTAAATTCATTAAGCCTTCAGCCCAAAATTCGTAAGATTTAGGATGGTTGAAGTCAGGATAATTAACTTTACCTGGCCAAACACAACCAATTAAATCTTCACCAGTCTTATTAGACTTTTGATAAACACCTAATTCTTTACCTCTTTCGTTAGATACATCACCAATAGCAATACCAGCATCAATAATAGGAACCCAATGCAAACCTTCTGGAACTTCTCTGTTTACTATTTTTTAAATTTAAGGGAGACATACATAATTGAAGTTTTAGATGCAAAAAAATATTTACACATTTTGTTCATTTCAGTAATGTCGTAACGGGAAGTATCAATAGTGAAGTCAGTTAATTCGTTCATGTAATCGATATCTGACCAAATAGTGTCAATAGGTAAATCCAATTAATTGAATTTATTCCAAACATCAATCATTTTTTCACTTGTGTTATATCCCCATCTGCATTAGTGGTAGCCGTGAGACCAGAAAGGATGTAGTGAAAAACCATTGATATATTCATGATATTGAAGTAATGAAGTTTCAGGATTTTTGTCTCCCAAAAAGATTTTAAATTCTAAGAGACCACCAACAACCTATGATTAAAAATTTTTAGAAATATTAAAATTTGAAAAGAAATTTTCATTCAAAAATCTAAGCTAATGCTGTATTGCTTTTTTTATATCCTTATGAATTTTTTTTACGTATAAAAAAATAATTCTTTTATTAAATGTGATTTAATTAGAGATTAATGCGAAATTATTAACAGCAATATCGAGTAATTAATTATTTCAAATAACTATAAATGAAATCTTAACATCACTATATTCAATCTTAATATTATGTTTTTCATATTATATCAGATAGTCAAATTATTTCTATTAACTTATTTACTTCCTTTTTAAAAAAATTTAATTTTTGTATTAAATTTAATTCAGCTCTATTTATAAATGCCAAGCAAGTTTACATTTATAATTTGATACTTTTTGCTTCATTGTTTAAGCTTTTTTAATTTACACATTTTTTGTTGTGATTGGCCATGATTTTTTTTTGAGGTAATTGTGACTCATAAATTTATAAATTTTATTGATAAATGATGAGTAAATTATTTGATCAGGATATTTACAATTATTTTTTGATTATCTTATCTGTAAATCTAAAATAAAAAAACAAAACTAGCTTATTGATGTAGAGCTTTAAAATTCATGAGTAATTTATACACAAATCAGATTTTCATCAAGCAAAAGAAATTTTGATGAATTGTTTTAATTTTTCATAATAAAAACAATAGATTTTTAAAAGTTATATATTACCATGAAAGCCAACTCTTGATTCTTTGTGTATTAAGCTTAGATAGAATTATAGTTTCGCAAGAAAACAATATGGAAGTTTCCACTTTGTTCTCTACGAAGATACATAGGATGAGTACCATATGTTTGTTAATCAGGTTATCCATCAGATATTTCCATATACTAGTCCTTATTTAAAAAGGTGTATTTTCCACTAGTATATACGAATTATTTGTTTCTTCTTTCACCTAAACCATAGATATATTCGTCCTTCATATCGATTGAAATGTAATGATAAAGATCAGAAAAAACGAAGAACTTGTTAGTTGTATCAAATACTACTTCACCAGTATCTTTGCGCTTAATTGTCAAAGAGAATTTTTCACCAGATTTAGGGATAGAAATATCAAAGTTGTTATCTGCAGGGAAGTTGAAAACTTTATCGTGAGGGTATAAGTTGTTATAAGGAACTTCAAAACGACGATAAACTCTATCAGAAATTTTAATACCTAGCTAGTTTTTATCATTGATGACAATTTAGACTAACAAGTTTGTAATTAATTTATTTTTGCCCATTGCATAATAAGCTTCGCTGCCATAATAATTAACGTAAATATTGTAATGAGTAGCATTTAGTTGTTCAAAAGTGGAAACATAATAATTTCCACTTAAAGGTATAGGACCATTCTATAAGGGAGGAATGAATCCTTACAAGCTCTCGTCATCATTTTCAATCTTTAGGTTACGGGAACTAGAATTATTTAAAATAAAATGATGAAATTGGTTTTTAAATATTTGGTCATATTCTTAATTAATGATCAATCAATCAGTTTTATGATAAATTCAACTTTCAAATAAAAAAAATTTCATTGTTTTAACAATACTAAATAAGATAAAACATTTGTTAAGTTTATAAGAGAAATCATTAAAATAAAAGCTAATTTTTTTAGAAATGTAAAAAAGTTTGACTTACTTGTTACTGTAAATTCCAGTGCCAACAGCAATCAGAGCTGCTACTAGTATTAATGGTATGAAAATATAGCTCTTCATCATTATTTTTACTAAAATTTTATTAGTTAAGAATTTTAATTTAATTTAATTATAAACAGTGATTTTGGTCTCTAAGATTTCAAGATTTGATATCAATTAAGCTGTATGTTATACGATATGATCAAATTGGGGAGAAATTTGATCAATTAAAATTAATATATCATCTTAATAAATGTTAAGAGCTTTTGATTCCTATTTTAAGAAGATAATATTACATCACCCATCAAATTAAATATAATATTTATCAACAAATAATCTAAATTTTTAGCCAATAATTTTCTTACTTTTAATTTTTTCGAAAAATCAAAGGAAAATTGTCTTTGATTTTGTTAATATTAATAAAAGGAATAATTAATTTGACTTAATTTTTAAGATTTTTAGTTACAAATTAATTTTCGACTCTTACTATTATCTTTGGTAGAAAACATTCTTTTTATACAATTAGAAGAAAAACAAATATATTAAGAATAAACACTCATATAGTTACTCATTTAAATTTTATCATTAAAAATTTAGTACAAAAAATATGTTTTAAATATTTTAGTATTAGTATGCAAGAACAATAATTTCTTATTTTAAAAACATACCTAAGAAGAAATTCTTCAAGTTAAACGCAAACTAGAACTAATTATATCAAATATATTACCTAATAATAAAAAGGAATACTGGTTTTGGTTTCTCCATTATTTTCACTGATTAATGTTCTTAATTTTATACACCTCTTTATTCTATACAATGCAACGTTAATTTTAGTTTTTATATTTAATCTACCCTTAATGCTCATATAAATTACAATTTTTACTATTTTATTTACCATTTTATTTTAGTAGAAAATTAATACGACTTATTTATTTTATTCAAGCATGATGTATGTCTTTTATTATGATTAAATTCTTCGTTGACATTAAAATTAAATATTATTCTTGATTTCATGACGAATTATTTAGTATAAAATTAATCAAATTAATACTTCCTTTATTTTAAATTTGAAAAATAATATATTACAAGTAACATATTATATAAAATATAATAAGGTAAACATTTAAAGGATTAATTATTGAGTTATAATTACTCTTAAAATATTTAAATTAATAGTTTTATTTAGATATTTATATAATTAATGCAAAAAATTATATTTTGTTAATTAAATTTCAGCATTTTATTTATTTCATTGATTATCTATTAATATTTTTATATTAGGATTATTTAAGTTAACTTTAACAGCTTATGAAAGCTCATGTTTTAAAACCATCGAGATCTCTTCCCAACTAATTATTTAATTATTTTACAAATTATTTTAATTTAATAGTTAAATAAATTTAAATACTCCTAAATATTTAAATAGAGTTTCTACAAATGCTTCCAATTCATCATGCTTTTAAAGAACTGTCTTATATCTGTATCTAACATTTTTGTATTTTTATTTGCCCAACTAATTTATAAAAAAAAGCATATTTATTTAAAGCATTTTTAAATTATTTCTATTTACTAATTTAAATTCAGACTTAAATCTTTTACAAAGTAAAGAGAATCTATCATATCACTTAGATATTTTAATGACTTTGAAGTCACAGATGGATTTTTTTCACCCCAACTAGTATAAACAGAAAAATAAATTTAATATTTCTTTAACATATAATTTTATCTATACCAACCGAGATCTAATTCTATACATTAAGCATTATGTAATTCTCTAATATTTTAAGCAAGTTCTTTTACTGCTCTATCTGATATTTATTCAGGTTTTTATTCACCCCATCTATTTAAAAAAAAAATTACTTGTCATATTAATCATCAAAAACACAATTAACTACCCAAATAGATTTAAATAGAGTTTGGCTAAGTTTGCTAGTTGACCTATTCCTTCTACTAATGTTTTGACTCCTTTATCTGTCAAAGCAATATTTGATAATCCCCAACTAAATTATAATATTTTAAACTGCTTTAAATAAAACTACAACTAAAATATTTACCAATAAAGATTCAAATTCAAAACCCAAAGAGAATCCTAAAACGAAGAGATTGAATTAGCTAAAAATATCATTGACTTATCTGTTAAAACAGAAATAGCTAAAGAAGAACTTTTATATAAAAATTTAAAGCTAAAAAAAACTCAAATAAAATAAACAATACTTTCCAAAATCTAAATCTAAAATTTTCAAATAGGGAAATTTTGAGTGGTTTATATTCTAAAAGAGGACTAAAATATCTTCATCAAGCAAGTCTTTATCCCTAATATTAATCTAAACTCATTTATTTTTACTTTTATTTCAAATTTACCATGCTAATGAGATTGATAGTTTTTCAATAGATTGAGGTAGTCTATCTATAATTTATGATATTCTATGTATTGTATCTGAGTTTTAAAATTACCTAATATTTATTTATCATTTTTTATTAAAGTTATCATTTTTTTTCTGTCTTTAAATGACAAAATTTACTTTTATATATCTGCTATACTAAATGAGATGAGTTATTTATATTTTTGTAATTCAAACACAAAGACATCAGATACGTAATCTTTAATCAAAACCTTTGTTGTTATTGGCTCTAAATGGAGTATGTCTGACTCTCTTGATAATATAATTGTGTCAGCCTTATCTTCTAATAAATATTCATGTTCTTCAGAGTAAAAAGTCATTATATTATAATTTGTAGCCTAACTAGTTTTTTTAATTGTTTGGCTCAACTATTCTATTTCTTTCATAAGTCGTCCTTGAAATAACATAGTTTGTTTTTCTATGGATTAAATATTAAAATTTTGAGACTCCTTTTCAATCATAAAAGAATCTTTTGTGGGTTTTACATACTTAAACAAGTTATGTAAGCACTCATTAACACTTGTTTAATTATTTGAACCTTTAGAAATTTGCTTTATTAAACTTTCAACTATAGATCTCTCTCTATTTATGGGATCAATATAATCCCTCTAAAACTTAATTTCGCTATCCTTGATTTTTTATTCTAAAATTAGTAATTATTCTTTTATTTCCTTGATGCAATCTATCATGTGCTTAAACTACTTATGGATATCATCATTCATAACATTTTTTGTTTCATCATCATATAAATATTTTATTAATTCATTTAGCATATATTTTATAGATCTAACATCATGATTTTTATGCATCGTATCTCTGCAATAAGCACATATTAACTTATACTAATCAGAGCATCCTTACTCTAAGCAAACTAATTCTAACTAACTAAGCTACATTTAAATAATTTATAATAAACATTACAAATGTTAATAAATATTTTAGAATGTAATTAAATCATTTGAAATTTATATATAAGATCTTATTTTTATAAGTAATCTTACTTTGTGGAGTTCACCTCTTGTGCAAAGTGGCATTTTAACGCTTGCTATTGATTCTAATTTGATCATTTGTGGAGTAAAACTTGATGTTTTACTTACTCTACCTCCTAAATCATATACATTCTTTGAAAAAATAAGTTTAGGCTAAATTGTGTTTTACCTCCAGCTGAATACCTCATCAAGTTTCTTTCTCCACTACTTGATCTCTTTCTTTAGCTAGTTTCTTTAAATGTATTTAAATGACTATTTTTCATTTACTGATACTATGTTTTTGATTTTATAACAATGCTGTAATTGAGTTTATAAAAAATATCCAAAAATAATTACAATACTTTAATAATATTAAAAAGAATTTTTGATATTTTACAATTAAAATTTGAGAAATTAAAATTTTAGATCTGTTATGATTTAATTGAAATACATTTTTGATTAAATAAAAACAGATTATTTTAATGGTAACAAAAAACTTTCTAAATTCAATAATTTTTGTTAAGAAAGTTTAATAAAAATACTTTCAAAAAAAATATATATTTGCACTTATTAATTTCATAAAGTTATTGTGTTAAAGTATTCACATAAGTAGAGAGGATAAGCTAAAGTATTATCAAATAGAATGTAAGCATCACTTTTCTCAATAAAAACAGATGTATAACCTTGCCTTTTTTTATAAATAATAATATTATTTAATATGGTTTTTATAAATTTAAAAAAATTTTTTGAAAAATATATATTTATTTTAAATTAATAATTTCATTTTAAGAAATTTACTCTATGGCATATTCTAATAAGTTATCCATATCAAAGGTGTCTATTGTGTTGCTAGAATCTATTAAACATTTGCCCAAATATACCTTGCTTACAATAATTCTCCATTTAGATCTTTGTCCTTCGATGTCAGAAATATTTAATTATGTTTAGTTTTGAGTTGAAATATTAAATTTCTTCTTCTTAAAATATCTATTTAATTTTTAAAAAGGTTAAAAATTATTTTTATATGTTTATTTTACTTTTCCTGTTCTTGTATTGCAATATTTTTTTTAAGAGAAAATATTGTTGGGCTTTCTCCGTAATACTTTAAAAATGAGGTTTCTAAGATTTTTCCTAATTGAGTTAACTCTGTAGAATGGAAGAGGATTATATAATCATAAAATTATAAGGTATAATTATTTATATATGATGCAATAAATTTATTATTCTAGTCGAAATTCTAAATATTTTTAGTCATTTTTTATTTTTTGGCTTATTAAACCTGCAAAGCCTGTTAATTAACAGATTTTACCATTCTATAAATTTAAAACTTTAATTAATTTAGCAATATTTCTACAGATTTAAATTCATCAGAATTCTATTATATTTATTTTATAGAATTTTATGTATGAGGACTTGGGGACCTGTTCGAAATAGGAGAATTTTATACTCTTAAAGACTTTATTGAAGACAATTCAAGTATGTAATTAACTTAAGGGGAAATATGAGAATAAAAATCTTCATAGCTAAGGTTTATTTAATTAATTTTTGGGATATTAGAATTCTATGTTTTAGGGGTAGCTTGCTAGCTGTAGCATTTTTTCTTTTGCAAAAATAATTCAAAAGAGGTATTAGTCCTTTCATTGTTTATTAGAGTATTCATTTAGTTATTAGAAGAAAGGAAAGAGCAATCTCCATAATTAATAGCCTAATTACTAATAGGAACACATAAGCTCTGATCTTAGAATTATCTAAAAATATTGCTATTATCTTTGTTATTAGATATTGGTGATAAATCTCTTAATCTTTGAATTTTTTATTGCTCTTAAATATAATCTAAATATTGCTCTTAATCTTATTCTTGAGTTTACAGTTTTTGCTGAGTACTTCTCTAAGATTTCAAATTCCAATTAGTTGATAGATTTTAAGAAGAAAGCTACTGGTTATTGCTTTAGAGAGTATTACTTCTTTTCTTTTCACAGCTACTTTCTCTTAATTTACCTCAAAAATATGAAATTGGGTATGCCGACCCAATTTCATATTTTTTACCTCTAAATGTTATTATTTATGGAGGAGTTTTTATTCTATCTTCTAGTTTTTCCTATTATGATTAAAGCTATGAATTTATTCTTTCTTATTAAGTATCACATACATATCCAGATTCATGCTAGCTTTTAGTAATACACTCAGTGTTGTTATATGCAAATTAATCAGAGTAAGACTATAAATTTTTATTAAATATATTGTAAAGTTAATCAAATCTTACATTTTCTACATTTTCAACAAATGGCATAATATTTTAAATTATTTGCTCTATTGTTGAAGTACTGTAGTAAACATCACAGTTACTTAATACTTCCCTTATTATTAATTTTATGAATTTTTTTCTAACTGTTAATGATTGTTTATTGTTGGAAAAACATTTATTGTTCAGGTCATCAGCAATTAAATATTCCTAGAAAACTTTGAAAAACTCTTCTTCAGATATAAATATGTTAAAGTTAGAATCTTAATTTTGAGTATAAAAAGAATTAACTTAGTTTTAATTATTGTTATTTTTATAAATTTAGTTAGTCTTATTTCTCTCATTTGAAAATAATCTACAAGTTTAATTTTGCTGTTATTAAATGTATGTAAGTTTGTTTTATTACTCTACTTCATAAGAAGGTAGTCTCGAGCTTTAACTATATAGTTTTTTGTTTATGTTATTAATAAAAGGAGAATTATTTGTTATTACAGGAATTTAAGAAGAATCTGAAAATAAAGGTTAGGAGCATAAGTAATCATTTTAGATATTACTACTTTCAAACAAACTTTATTCTTTGTAATTATTAGTGCTATTGCTGTTACTATTGTTACGAGAATGTTAATAATAACTTTGATCTGTTTGCTTTTTATGGGCATTTCTGTTTTAATTACAATTATTATTTAAGAAAAGACTGCTAGCTTATTCTTAAGTGCTCATTAGAGAACTGCTTTATATACCAGTATTGCTAACAAAATGTTGATTTTACTAAATTCCTTGATTTTAACAACTTTCATCTTAAAATAGAATTTTATTATTACCATAATGTTGTACTTAGTTTTCTGGAAGTGTATTTTGTGCTTTAACATATTACATCTGATTATTGATTTATTCGTTTTAATTTAAATTCATTTATTGTCTTTCAGTTCGTATAGATGTATTTCTAGATGAATGTTTATGTTCTAAATTAACAGTTTAGTTGTTTTTTATATCTTGAGGAAATTAGTCATTTTAAAAATAGTTCTCCATATCTTGTTAAAATTTTGGAGAGCAAATAAAATCCGTTTTTGATGTAGCATTAGTTTGATCATTGGCTGAACGAGCTTATTATTTTTTATGAATAGATTTATTTTAAATTTACTCGTTTTTAGAGTTAAATTTGCTTTTATTTTTATCTAACGAAGGCTCAAAAGTTTGAAAATTCTATTCTAATAGCTATTTACATTTGATGTAGTAAGGATTTTGCAATAAATTTGGATCATCTCCCAACTTATGAATAATTTTTTGCATTAAAGTTTAATTCATTAACAACAAGGTTTCACCATCTTCTTTCCTCAAACTTTTTTTGGATTTTCTATCTTTGTAGTATTCTTTCAGCTAATTTAAATTTTTTCTATATTCCCTATTCATTTCATTAGTAATTTCACTTAATAAGCTACCATCTGTAAGACTGCTTTCCATGGTTTCTATAGCAAGCTTTAACTATCTATCTTCTTCATCAATTTCATTAAAAGTTCTATTAGAATAATTTAAATTATTTTCTTTTTAAGATTGATCAAATTATTGATTTTAATTGACTGATTTATGGAAAATTTTATCTTTCAACAACTCAGTGCTTTAACAATTATTTGAATATTTTTTAAATTAATTGTTGTCATTAGTATTGTCTAGTTCACTCCTATTAGTATCAATCTAAGAAAACTTATTAGTAGAATATTTTTTTCTAAATGTTTAATTTGTTTAGTTTTAATTATCAATTTCTATTTAAGAAAAGTTCTCTCCTCTTTTACTCTTTAAGTTTTTATAGGAAAATTCTTCTTCATCAATTATTGAAAAATTCAGTTTATCATTCAATATTTTTGCCTCACTCTCATATTATTATTAGTCTTGGCTTTAATTTATTTTTTTTTTAAATAAATTTGACTCAAAAGCTTGCTCATAAAATAATTTTTGTTGGAAAATGTCATTTTGTTTTTAATTACCATCCCTTAAGTTAGCTTCTTCCTCTTCTTCATTAATGCATTAAATTTCTTTTTTTTCTTTTTTAAAATGATTTGAATTTTATAAATTTTTAGTATCTTAGTCAATATTTTAGCTACTATTTTAATTTTAGCTAACACTCTCTTCCATATTCTTTTTGCTGTTCAGGTATGTACTTTAGTCCAGACTCTATTATATATCACTTTTTTGAGTAATATATTACTAGTCTATTGACTTAAATATATCAGGTGAAAGTTAACAATTTAATAAATTACTATTATTATCTTGTGAGTTGTATTAAAATTATATTTTTCTATTAGATACACTTGTAAAATGAGAGTTAAGTATTTTACTCTCTTCTTTGTTTGTTTCAAAAGGAGATAAACTTATTTTAGGTTTTTAATATTGATCTTAGTCATTAACTTCTTGATATATCTATTGAATATCATTGCTTTTATAGTAATTCCTTTCCTTTTGTTCAAGGGACTTTTAAATTAATTTAGCTTCCTAGTCGAATGGATTTCCTTCCATATTTAACTTCATTAAATTTTTTAGCTTAGAAATATTGTCAAAAAAATGATTATGATCATCTATATTATTATAGCTTATATCCAAATCCTCTAGAGCTTATAAATGTTAAGAAATAAATGAAATTTTTACTATCCTATTACTAGAAATAAAAAGTTATTTCATTTTTAAGTAAATCTCATTTTCTTTAAATTTAATGTTGCTTAATTAATTCCTATTTAAATCAATTTTTTTAATTTTTAAATTATTTGATAAGTCTAAGTCAAGAAGAGAATTGTCAGACGATAGTAAATCTCTAAGAGAAATTAAATATTTTGCATCAAAATATTACAAACCATTATGAGAAATATCAATTTTCTAAATAAAAATTTTTGGTTAAGTCTCTTTCCATTTGTTAGTTAAATTGTTTATTACTTTGAAACTTTCTATTTTATTTTGCTGCAAATAAAGCTTTTTAATATAACAATTCTATTAAATAACAATATCCTCTAAGTCGTTTTATGAAATATCGAGAGTTTTTAAACTCTTATTTTCATGAAAATGGTCAACTATTGATTCGTCTTTTAAATGATTGTGCCTCATCAGTAATGTTTCTAAATTTTTCAACTCTTTTAAGTCTTCCAGTTAATCATCACTGAGGAAGTTATTAGAGACATCTAAATATCTTAAATTTTAACATACTTTAATCCCTTAAACACTTATTAATCTATTATTTTTTAGTTCAATTAGAGTTAACGAGCTTCCTTATATATTTGTCAAAAAAGCAAATCTATTATCGTTTAGAATCAATTGATTAACTCCATTTGGGATATTTTTATTCATTCTGCTTAATTCGTTCTTACTTAAATCTAGCCTTTAGTATTATCCTTCTAATATACTTGCATCAGGAAATGTTTCAATCCCTAATGATTAATAAATACATTTATTAAAATTTAAAAATAAAATAAAAACAAAAAAATACTTTGATTAGATAAGTCTTTAGTGGTAATATGGTGATGAAAATTATAATCAGATTCATCATCAGAAATTATTTTTGAATTAGATTATGATATCGTTGTGTCACTTATTAAATTGCTTTGATTTTCAATAAATTGACAATTTAAATTTTATTAATTGAATGAATTTAATTTTTATTATCTAAAATCAGGAAGATCTTATAGCTTCTAATATTTTATTTGCTAGGACTCAGTAATTAATCCTTATTTATTTGTTGCTTACTGTGTTAGTGTATCTGCACTGTACTGCAAGTAATCTATGCTTTCAAAATTCTCAGTAATCTTGATAGGATTATTATTATTAATGTCTACTGTTTAAGTATCAAAAGTATTATATGCCTGATTAATGCTCTTAAGATTCTACTAATTATAAGGGTGAATGACTATACTACTACTATCGTATTAAGAAGTAGAATTAAATACTGAACTAGAAGATGGGTCTGTTAATTAATCGTTAAGTATTTCACTCATATTAATATATGTACTTATTTTGTTTGTGAATTATTAATAAAATAAGATTTTGGATATCACTAATTAATTAATTAATCAATCAATTTATTAATTTATGTTTGATAGTGTTAAAAAGTTTTTTTAGTTAAAAAATAATTAAAATTTCAAATTAATTCAGTCAATAATCATTCAAATTTGATTTTAACAACGAGCTAAATAATTGCTAATAATTAATAATTGCAAATTAATTAGTTAAATATTAAATTGAAATAAATAAATAGTTGTTAAAATTAAACAAACAAAAAATTTGCTATTTCAAAAAAGAATATTGATTTTCATTAACTATTACAAAATACATACAATATAAAAACTGCAAAATGTTTTCAAAATTTTTCTATTTATTATTAATTTAATTTCTAATTTTTATAATTATGTTTCTCCTTATTATTATTAGTGATTTTATATATAAGATAATCATATTTTTGCATTAAAATTTTAATTACTTGTAAACTTGTTACCAAATTATATACATTGAAAATTCAAATTTCGAGATCATAGTTTTCAACAGCCCAAGCTGCTATTTTTTAGCATTCAGACCATCTAATATCCATACTCTATGCACTCAAAATTACTATTATTAAATATCTATTTATTTCATTAATTGGATCCTTAAACTTTATGCAGCTCGCTAAGCAAGGTCCAGCTGCATCAGTAATACCTGTTTTTATTCCTGACCATCCTTTATCAAGTAATTTATTTGTATTTTCCCATGTCCATGATACATTTTCATATAAACCCTACTAATTTTTTACTTTTACTTAAGCTGTATGAATTTTTGTTGTAACAATTTTTTTAAAAGACTCGAGTTTCATAGCATTGCATGATATTTTAGCAACATCATAAGCTGAAGATTTATTCAATGGATTTTTTAATCCATGGGGATTGCTATAGTTAGTATTAATCAGCTCAAAATTTACAGCATTAATGTTCATTTGAACCAAAAATCTTTACATTCCTGTATTAGGAGTCGAATCAAGTTCTAACTTTTTATGCAATAGCTACTCATCGTAAATGAATTCATCTTACAATATTTCATTATCTTATTTAACATAATAGAGGTACATTAAGCTGCCGACATTCTCAGCTAAACAAACTGCACTATCATTGCCACTTGGTAACATTAATCCATATAATAGATCCCATATACTTATAATCATATTGTATTTTAACCTGGCAGAAGTACCTATATTTTATTATATATAAGTAATTCTTATTAAATTTATTCTTAAAATACCATTTGTTTGAGATGCACGACTAGAGACTCTTACAAAAACTCTCTTCATGTCTTTTTACAAAATTTGCTCAAAAAATTCTATTACAGTGTAGCAAGTCATTATTTTAGTTAAACTTGCAACTTCTCTTTGATTGTGAACACATTTTCCATCTATAAATTTACCACTACTTCCATCAAATAATGCCCAAGCTTTAGCAGTGACTTATGGAGGAAAAGCTGTAATCTACTTTTTTACTGTTTTGATATTTAAAATATAGCTTTTATAACAAATAACATTGCTTTTGTTTATTAATAAATTTGTAAAGATTTATCTATCATAAATTAAAATCTAAATTTAATACATGTATTTATTTCTATTTGATTAATCAAATATATAACCCATTATATTTTTAACTTCAAAATAATATTAAAAATATAAATTTATTACGTATAGGCAGACAGCTAGAAGTTTCAATTAAAGGGTGTGCATTTTCGAGTAAGGTTATATCTGGGTTTTGAGATCTTTTTACGCTTAGAACCCTAGGTTTTTTTGAAAATTATGCAGATAATGGCTTTTATTCTTTGCACTTATTATTGATCTAATTTTAACTAACAGTTGATTTTCTTGGTTTGTTAATATAGTCTTCGAAAGAATTTAGACTGCATTAACTAGAGGATTATTCAGTATTTAGAGTATTTGTTTATCTTTATATTGAACAGCTGCTGCCTTACTTAAATAGGTAAGGAGATTTTTAGTTAGCATTTGGTTGTAAGTTGTTTATATTTTTGGTGCTAATGCTGCCATTTTAAATTGAAGATGAAGAAGAAGCGGTTGATTAGGTGCTTGTATTACCTTTGTTATTACTTATATAGTTAGAAGAGCTTCTTTTCTTGTTAATTAAATTAGATATGGAATCTGATTTGACAGGAAGTAAGGGTCTATTTTGAAAATTAATATTTTCTTTATTTCTCTCATTTGATGAGCAGCGTGATGCTGAGGCTAATCGAGAGTTTAATTACAATTGTATCGATTCAATAGGAGGAAGAAGTTTTTCTTTTTTATTGTTTATGAAATTACGCCCATCTCTACCTAAAGCAATATTAACCAATTTCAAAGGAGGTTTACTTGTTAATGGTCTATATTTCTTGTTTATGTTAAAATTTTGTTAGTTTTAATATTCAAGAAAATTCATTTGATCATTCATTTTTTAATTGCTTATAACTAATTAACTAGCTAAATATTTATTGAGCTTTATTACTTTCTTAGTATGGTAGATATTTTGTTTTTGCTTTCTTATTATTTGAAGCTTAATTTAAAAGAAAATTTCTGATTTTCTTTTTAGTTTTTTAAAGGTTTATCTTTTTTTTGAAGAAATCAATTGCTATTTAAATTACCATTAGAAATTAAATAGAGTAGAATCTAACAGCTATTTAAAAATTAGCATGTCATTTGTGAAATTAAAATCATTACCTTTTTTCTTTGTTAATTTGCAATATCATTTATCTCAAAACTATCTATTAATTTTTAAATAATTTGAAATGAGAGTGTTTATAAAAGGTATCAATGGATATTATTTTTTTCTCTCAAAAAAAACTTTATAAAAAATATGAACAAAAAAAACTCTAAATAAAAGTAAAAAATGTTTTTTAAAATGAACAAAAAAATTTAAGATTTTTTAAATTTAAACAAAATAACTCAGTTTATAAACAAAGTTTACTAAAATAAAAAAAATATTAATAATCAGTTTTTTCAACTTAGATAAAATCCTTATCCTGATTTTAAAGCAAGTAAAAGTTTCTCTTTTAAAATTTTTGTAGAGGAGTACTTTGGTAAAATAAATTTATTAAAGCATGTTTGTGCTGAAGGTAGCTTAGTGTCACCTTCACTAGAAACTTTAACAACTGTGAATGAAGGTTCAAGATTTTGAAAACCTAATAAAGGAGGTCTTTCGCATGAAGTAACAAATTTAATAAGTAAGATCTTTTCCTCTTCAGTTAAGGAAGCAACTAATTTCCAAAAGTCCCTAATATAAAAGTCCCATGATCCATACCCACCTTCATATTTTGTATTTGATTTTAAATTTTCAATGTCTATCCCCTTTTCTTAACCTGAAATAAGCATCTACACTTCATTTTCATTAAACATCTAAAGCCAATTTTTAGGAATGACTTTAGTTAAACCATTCATAAATGCTTTTGTTTGATTTTCAATACATTTATTCATCTTATAGTCAGCCACCAAATAAATGTATCTTATTATAACAATTAAAAAATTAATTTTATGTGTTACAAATAAAATAAAAATACCTTAAAATATTTGAGTTGTCAACTGGAATATTTTTACCATTTGGTACTAAAGATATTTCTTTTTAATTTTAATCACCTATAGAAAAAGTAAGGCATAAGTCTTTAGTGTCTCCTTTATATTCTTTTAGGAATTTCAAATTTTTATAAAGTTCTTTGTCAAAATTCTCAAGCTCTACTAAATTATTTTATTTTCCAATCATTTATCTTAAAAAGAAAACACTGAATATAGGTTGAATTTGTATTTAATCGTAAATTGCTCTTCCTACAACAGAGCCTAAAAAGTGGAAAATTTCAAGATGCTCTGGACCTAAAAATTCAAGACTATCTTAATTTGGACACAACTTTTAGTTATTTTCAACAAGTCTAAACATGCCATAGTTAGGATCAAACACAATTTTGCTTAAATCATTAATAAATTCTTTAAAAATACCACCAGCATCAATACCCTTTTCCTCATTACCAAACTCGTCTATGTAGTAAACTCTAAGTTTAGCTTATAAATCAATTTCTCTTATCTTAATTTAAAATATATTTAATAAAAGAAAAATTAAAATTTTATAAAACCTGTCTAAAGGCTTCAAATCCATCTCCAAAAATATTATTTCTTCTGATCAATACTCTAAAAGCAACATCATTGTGGAATTTTTGTTTCTCAATTAATTTTTTTAAAATAAATATTCTAGTTTCAAATGGAATAGAAAAAGGCATTGCTCTTATGATAGAGGTTTATGAAAAATTAAATTTCTCAATTTCCATGATGATGCCTGATATTTATGAATCTCTAAGAAGCCACTAATTATCAGGCATTATTTATTTTTTAGTGTGAAACTCATGTAAAAGCTTGATATTTTAAAAATATTAAATAAGGTAAAATTATTTATTTATTAAAACAATATTTACTCTCAAGAGCTTTGAAGACTAAAATGAAAGGTAAATAAGAGAAGATTAAGACATGCTTTAAGAAAGAATTTTGTAGTTTAATTTAACCAATGCTTTGATTAATTCTGGCAATTAATCTAAAGGTATTGATGTCTTGCTTTAAAAGAAATCCTAAAAGTCTGTTATAGAAAGCTAGTTATAGTAACTCACTATAAAGATAGTGTAAACATGTGTGTATGAATTAAAAGTTTCTTGAGATAGATCACCTAGAAAATAAAAATAAAGTTAATTATTATAAAATTAAATTCAAATAAATTCATAATACCATCTGTTAAGCTATCTATTCCTTAAAAATTTGTCTTAAGATGTGTATAGAGTCTCTTGATAAGTCTTTCATTTGAAGCAAATGAACTTACAATTTTAAAAGTTAGTTTTTAAGATTGCTCACTTTTTGAAGCTATAGAAAGTATTTTTGAATATATTTCACAAATTATGTTCGAGACTTCAGGGTTATAAACGTCATATTTCATGTTTCTCTCCTTGTTGGTGATATTTAAATCTTCATTAACCAAGAAATTTTAATCAAAAGCAAGTGAAAATATTTTCAAAGCGAATTTCTTGTCAAAAAGTATATTTATATATTCGCTTAGAGCAATCACATCTTTATCGTCTAAACTATAGTTTACTAGAATATTACTAAACCACTAGGGTGTGAGGAAGTTCAAGCAATAGCTCATTAATTTTAAGAAGAAATAGTAATCATGAAAATGAAAATTTATTTATTATTTAACTTTAGACTGCTAAGAATTCAAATCCATTTATTGTTGATTTTGCTATTCTTAGTTTTGATTAAGTTCCTTATTTAGAATTGATTCTAAAATTTTAACTTAATTACCAAACATGTAAATTAGTTATGATTGCTAGTTTTAAAAGTGGCGTACAAATTCTTTTTCACCACTTTAAGAGAGAGGATCTTAGACATTCGTAAATAAAAAGCTCTAAAATAAATTCTTCCAATTTAAATGTGGAATAGTTTTACTTGTTCTTTATTCAACATTAATTACAAAAGGAGCTATCTTTGAAATCGAAACAATTTTGGTGATAAATTCACTTTAAAATTTAACATAGGTGTTAAAATTTTTCTCTTTTTATTCTCTATTGATTATTTTGGAAAAAGATAAGCTCTGATAAATCTAAATTGGAAATAATCCTATTTCTACCATATCTTCAATATTAGCCTTTAAATTTTTAAATTAAATGAAAAATTATATTTTTAAGTGAATTTAAAAATTAATTGATTATTTGTTGGATGTATGTGTTTTATGTTTACTTTTATTATTATAACCAATATTCTGATCTCTAAATTCGCTAATAAACTAGCAAAAGCAAAGTAAAAATGTTATAAAAAAAAAAAATAAAACTAAATAAAGAAGGGAATAAGTAAAATCTAAAAAATAAATTTACTGATGGAGAGTTTCTATTCACCATTTGAGTGATTTAGAAATTTAAAAGCTAATACAAGTTAAAATTAATGAATATATCATCATAAAAGGATAGGACATGGACTACATTAGGATCACTTTTGCAATTTAGTTCATTTTCGATAATTTGAATGTTAAAGAATTACTTTAAAAATGTTTGCAAATTGTCTTTCCATGTGTAATGTGAGGATGCTGAAAAAAACCTAAAAACATAATATAGTATCTTGGCAATATTAATCCAGCTTCTATTCTGAATCTAGTTCTACTCACTATTTTTTTGTTTAATTGACATAAGGCTATTTTTGACACTTTCATCTTTTAAATTTCTTCTAACTTAAGACATATGCAGTTGAGAATTAAAAAAGGCCTAGTAGATATTTTCTTTCTACTTTTTAGTAATTAGGGATTTGCTAATCCAATAAGCCATTTTCTCTAGTATTGTTTAATAGCTATTAAATTTTTCTAAATTCTTATCACAATATTTATTTTTCATTACAAAACGGAAACAAAGATAATTGAAATCTCTCATAAAATCATTCATAATAGTAATAGGTAGAACAAACTCTTAATCTTTCATAGCCTTCTCAACTTAAACGAGATCACTAAGCCTTTTTTAAAGCCTATCCTATATAATATTCTTCATTTTTTTTGTAGCTAAGAATGATCTAAATAAACTTTAAATAGTAGTAGCATGCTTATCATTCACTTTATTTTATGATTTTTCTTTTCTTTATGATTATAAGTTTTTTATCAATTATTTTTTTCCATCTTTTTTAAGAGTTGGGGCTATAAATTTGTCATCCATTCCTAACCTATTTTTTTTTTTTTTGAGAAATGAAATTTTTAAATTTTATCTTGATTTGCTAATTAACGCTGGATTTAAATTGTATCAAAATTTTATCAGGAATTTTATTATTTAAAATGAAGAAATTATTATAATTATTATAAAAAAATAAATAAAGCAATTTATAATGATAGTATTTAGAAATCCATAATTAAATTAAATTTATTTTTATCATTTGTATTTTTCTGTAAAAATCTTTATTATGAAAATTAGCATAAAAAGGTTGTAATAATATTTTTATAATAATTTATTTATTTTATTGGCAATATTTCTAATTAGAGTAAATGTGCTTAATGCATGAGTATGAGTGAGGGTGATGACAAGTTAAATTATCAAATGTGAATAAAATATGTTAATTTTATTTTTTAAACTTTTATATTTAGAAAATTTCGCTCTTTTAATATTTTGTTGTTATTAATCAAATTAACCTTTTAACTTCCAAAAATTTTATTTAATTATAATAATTTAAACGATTAAAATTTGTAGAAATTGCTTTGTTGGTTTTAAACAAAAATTTATTTCATACTTCATTTTACTGAAACAAATTATTACAATAAGTCAATTAGCATATTAACATACAGGCTAGGTAATTGAAAGGAAATGGCTGATAAAGATAAAAAAACGTTTTAGGATTTAATCAAAAAAATATTATAGCCATCTTAAATTTGGCAAACAAGAAAATTAGAACATAAAGAAGTTATAGCATTTTGGGGTTAGCTTTAGGAAAACAAGATCAATGTTTTGTAGTACGTATAAGACCTAATTAAGAGCATTTCAGAACTTGAAAAATATAAAAAAATAAGTTCTTCTAAATCTGTAACTCTTGAGAATTTGCTATGCACTCTTTTCGCTGTTTCAGTTTTTAGAGAATTAGATTAAAAAAATCAAGTTGTTCAACTTAAAGAAAAAGAATGCTCAGCTTTATTGAGGCCTAATAGCGCTTCATTAATATGCCCTCATACAGCTAGTATGTTGGAAACTTTCTTCCAAATTTTTGGAGAAAAAAATGAAACGAATTACTTGTAAAATTTTGTAGGACAAATGTGCTTTTTCCCTGATTTACCAATATCAAACTTAGATACACAAGATTCCTAGATTAGCTCTCACCTTTCTAGTAATATAATTGATTTTATTCAACTAATTATGAAAGCTTTTAAGAGAAGATGATAACATTTAAAATACTATTTTTAAAATTAGATTACTTTAAATAGTTAGAGAAATATAATAGTATGTTATAGGATGAAAGTCCTTCTCACTTTTCAGTGCTCTTATTGCAAGAAAATTAATTGTAAGAGACAGGTGAATTTTCTTTTGCTTATGAATTCTTTTGGAATAAGATGAAACAAAAAAAGAGCATAATTCATAAAATCATATTCGATGCTATTGGAAGATATTTTAAAGTAAAAATTTTTAAATTACTGTTTTTTAATTGTTAAGCTTTTTAAATATTTGTAAAGGTTCTACCTCAAATAGCAAAAGAATACCCTGATTAAGCAGAAAAAAGTATACTGTCTTTGTTGCATCTTACTAAATAAATCATCACTTTTTTTGGTGTGAGAGATAATGAGTATATCAAGACAGTGCTTACTTAGGTTTAAATTTTTAGAAGATGGCCTTATCCTGTGGGTAATATGGCTTAGGAGCTTGTTTCTCTTTTATTCTAAGAATATAAGTCTAATGGAAATGCCTTCAGAAATAAAGTAATAAATATTAATTGGTTAATTTAAAATGTATTTATTTTTAAAATTTGTAAAGGTGAGAGAAGAAATACCATCAGTAGATATATTTACAGAATAAGAAATGCCTAAACATAACTAGCTTAACACTAACTAGTCAAATCAATAATCTGGTCAAAAGAGCAAAGATCATACTATAATTAACATTCCTCCTACAGGATTGCTTGGTTAGTAAAATAAAATATATCATAATCATTTTTAAATGTATGTTTATTTATTAATGAAAAGGTAAAATAGCTAAATAAACTAAAGCCAAGAAAAGTTGGCATATAAAGCTTACATCGTTGCAGATAAAGACTAAACAGAAATTAATTGTCTAGTTTTGTTAAGCAAGTAGCATGAAAATAGAATATAAAGTGACCATGTCTTAAGAGCTGCTTTAGTTACTAACATGCTTAGCTTAAGGAAAGAAAATAATGCTGATATTGAAGTAGCATAGCTCATCTCTAAGAAGAAAAAGAAGGATATATTCGCAATTTATTGTTAACTTTTGCATATAATTGATAAAAATAGTGAATTCGATGATTGGGATTATATCCGTAAATTACAAGATACATAATTTTCTAAAATTATTCTAGCTATATAGGAGGCTAAAAACGATGACTCTGTTTCAGATGAGTTTATACATAGTGTTCTTACTGAAAATACACAAACTTATATTCCTGAATTCCCTAATTGTGAATTAGAGCTTATAGTACCTCATATCAAGTAAGCGTACTAAAAACAAGCCACTTCTAGAATTAATCATACATAAAACTAAGTTTAGGAAGAGAATCCCCTTGCACAAACATATTATCCTTTATTAAATGAAAAGTAAATTTATTGTTTTTATTTAAGAAATAAAAGGAAGTTATTAATTAATTACTTTGATATATATTAAGTGAAATAAAGCAATTTTAATCGAATCAAATTGGAGATTAGTAGAAGTTTTCTTAATAGTTTTTTGATAAATATTTTGATACCTCAATAAATCCTCAATACTAGCAGCCTCATAGATTTGTAGTTATGGGAGGAGATGCTGAACTTCATGGCTTAGTTTAAGTATTAGGTATGGAACTTAAATATGTTAAATAAATTAATAAATTTAAATTTTATTATTATTATTATAGGAGAATATTTTGATAAATATGATAATAAACGCATGAATTAGTTGGATTTGAGAGTTTTCATTGTACCAACAAAAAAGAATACCCTCGCTCACTACTTAGCAAGCAAAGATGTTTGGTATCAACGTTACCTTTATCTTCCATTTAGAGAGGAATTGATCATTCCAAAATTTGAAAAAAGTGAAGATGGTGTAGAAAAAGATCCTTTCTAATATTTGGATTAAAACCAAAGTGATTTTAAAGTTATGAACACTTTATTACCATAGGAATTAAAATTAATGGTACTAAACACATATATTAGAGAGGCAAGTCGTGCATTCAATGTTAGAGTGTATAGAATAAATTGTAGATTTTTAAATAAGGATACTAGTGTAATTTATTTTTGCTAATATCTTGAAATCGGTGAATCAGTTAAGGCAGAACTAATTCAGTAACATATTTCATCATTAATCAAATCAATATTAATTAAATAATTAATTAATAACATATTTTAGGAGATAAAAGAATCTTAAGAGAGGTGAAAGTCATCTTAGTCTGTATGAAATGAAAGAAAAAGGATAGATTAAGTTTGGTGGAGTTGACTTAAAAATAACCTTTTAGAGTGTTGACTATTTAGGTAATAAATGGGACAAAGAAACTTATGAAGAATGCTTCAGCAGTGTAAAAGTTAATAACGTTTATAAAGAATATTTTGAAGGAAATACTCCTTTCCCCAACTCTCATTGGTTAGAAATGACTTGCATTACATAAGAAAACGCTAAGTTATTTGATAATAATCTGAAAAACAAGCATCTGTTTAGGGTTAATCAAAGTAAATACCTTATTTATCCAATTCATATTTTTAAAATATTAACTTTAAAAAAAAAAGAGGATTCATAACAAGGAGCTGATTAAGTTTAAGCTGCTTTCAAAGCTCTTTTCACTTCTGTTCCTGTAGAATCAGTAGACATATCTATTGATCCAAAAGACAATAGACTAGAATCTTCTTTCTAAATTTTAGTTGATGGAAAAATATTCTCTGGCTTAACTTCAATTAGTGTTGAGCCTGTCACTCTCAAAACTAGAGAACCTAACAATGAAGTTAAAAATAATCCTCATATTTTCTTAAGCCTTCCAGTAATGACTTTCCTGCCACTAAAGCTTTGAAGGCAAAATTTAACAAGACGGTTAGATAAATAATTAAATGTCTTAAACAAAAAATATATTTACTTAAATATTCTATGAATAATATATAAAATATAAAAAAATTAAAACTAATATATGTTATGAAATTAGTATAAAATTAATACTATCTATATTCATTAAATTATTACTTATTTACTTACTTACTTATTTACGTATTTCATGCGCGCATGATTAAAAGATTATTGAAAAATGAATCACAATTTACATATATAAACATAAAATTATGCTTCCAATCAAATAATAATTAAAATATTTTTCTAATTTTTTTTATAGACAATTAAAATCATTTCCAATAATAGAAACCTTATTCTCTTTCAGAGACACAAGCTAATTTACCAGCTTCAAATAAAGCTCTAGTAACAGACTTTTTATCTTTAATGTAAGCAGGACCGAGAATTTATTTAAGGTAGATATTAGCTTCTCTTGCATTATAGTGAGGCATTTCATGGAAAATATGGTGAATGACGTGAGTGCTACCAATATCAAAATGTAAAGCGTTAATGTATTCAGGATAGTTTCTGTCAATAGTGCATAAAGCTCCTCTTAACCAGCTCCAGGCTGACTTGTCATAGTGAGGAACAGTATCTTCAGTCTATCATTATCATAAATAAAATACATTTTAAGACATTATAATCTTTAATGTTTAATTTAATAATTAAGCTCCTTATAATAAGGAATTTTATAAAATAATTTACATGTTGAAGGAATGTGATACCAGTTAACCAGGCATTAACGACTAAGTAGGGTCCAAAGTAGATAGCAAAAACATAGGTGAAAGAAGTTTATCTAGCCCAAAGATAGAGTAAATATCCTACAATAACTAAACCAAGGTTTGATAAGTGAACCTTTAAGAGCTTATCCTTTGTGAATAATTTATTAGGAACAATGAAATGGCTACTGAAACCTCTTGCTATAATTTTAAAAATAGTAAAATAAATATTGCAAAAATTAAAAAAAAATTTAAAATTCTAACAAGCAAACTAATTAACTAAGGAATATCGCTATTTGCTTGATTTAAAATATCAAATTTTATTCCCTTAATATATAAATTATTTATTTACCAGGACCACCAGTAGCACCAAAAATAAGATAGGCAGGCCATCCGATAACTAAGATGTTAAGAACTTACCAGATGGAGAAAGATTCAACTCCAATAATATCTCTAAGCTTGATATACATAGAAGCTTTAGGGTCAGTATCTACTCTAGGGACGTGAGTTTCACCTTCAGTCAAGTGGTTACACTTAGAATGATGAACATGATGAGACCATTACCAAGAGAAGTAAGGTACTAATAAAGCAGTATGGAGGATATAACCTAAACTGTCATTAGCAACATCGCTATTAGAGAAAGCTTTGTGACCACATTCGTGACCTAAAACCTAAATTTTAAGAAAACATTGTTAATTTATTAATAAAAATAAATAACTTTCAAAATTTATGTAAAAGAGCTAATTTTATTTCAATTAATATTTTTTAAATTTTGAAGAAAGATATTTATTCTATCTAATTTTGTAAATTTATTATCTACTTACTACTATGTTTAATACTAAAAATAACAATAGCAAATTAAAAAATAATTTAAATTACCCAAAGACCAGTAGCAATAGTTCCATTGATAACAGCATAAGCTATCCAGAGAGGTAAATAGGCCCATTCTAAACGGAGATATCTATCAGCTAAGAAAGCTGTGAAAAGGGTTAAGCTTAAAGAATATAAAACACTAATCAAGAATCTGGATTCTCTCTTAACGAAATATTCTGCAGGAATAAACTTTCTGATATCACCAACAGAAATTTCTTTTTCTCCGTTAAAAACTGTATCGTTTTCAATGGAGCTTTTTTTAGTCTATGCGCTTGTCATGCTTAAAAATTTTGGAAATTGATTAATATTTATGAAAATTGTTTATATCAAATTATGTGTGTATTTATAAATTGATGATTTAAATCAGTTTTTTTCAATCTTATTAGCCTTAAAAGTAGGCTATAAAAAAAAACAAATTAAAAATTAAGTAACTCATTTTAATACGTAGTTATCAAAATTAATTAAATCAAAAAATCTAACAAATACATATTTTTGACGTATATATCGTCATAAATAATTTTTGTACTTAAGAGAAATATCTCTACTTATGATATTCTACACATTTTTTTTAAATTTATTACTCCAAAATTCAATTACGTATTTACAATTACATAAATTAAAATTATTAAATGTGCTTAAGTATGATAATATTTTCCTTATTTTGTAGTACCATTTTTATAAAATACTAATTGGAGCAATATATTTGAGTGTCCTTCATCTATTTTTAAAATATGTAAGCTTTCAATAGTTCAGATTAAATATATCAAAGAGCATTTGGTATTTTAATATTATTAATTTTTAGATTCTTTACTCTTAAATTTCTAGAAGAAACTTAAAAATAACTAATGTGTTAAATTAATACAGATCTTACGAAATGCTTTGATTTGGTTTACGTATTTAAATAATTGCTTCTTTACTCAAATTTTTAAATTTTAGAAAGTACTAAAAATACTTAGAATAACTTTAAAAAATTAATTTAACATCCCCCACTAGTAAATGTTGAAATAAAAAAAGTTAAAAACAAATAATTTTTTTAATCTATCTTTTGTCTTTGTATAAATTAATTATAATAAATGGCAAATCAACAAGCAATACTTTCACAAATAAATTAAATCTAAATTTAAGAATTACAATATGAAAGCTTTATGAAAGACTTTAACTAAACATTTTTAAATATTATTAATTCATTTAAAGTAAATTTTTTCTCTTTCAATTAAAATTGGATCTATATATTGATAAACCATGTGAGATTATCCTTATATTTTAATAAAAAAATTTTTTTGAGTTTAATAAACAAATAATTTGTAATCAAAATAATAAAATGGATTAAATTTATAATTTTATTTATTATTAGTGGTATAATTAAACAAAATTTACCTTAATCTAACATCCACTTAGGAGTAAAATGGAAGCCTTTTTTGGCAATATTTTAGTATGAATCTTCCCTTACTTAAAATTCTCTTAAAATGTAATTTTTTCCAAATTCGTGATAAAATCTTGTATCGAATATCCTAATTATAACATCATCTACTCTTAAGTAGTGACGAAGTAGAGCAAACCAGCAATCACCCATAACTCTGAATCTGACTTCGCTAGTTGTGCTTCCTGAATCACCTATTATGAATTTAAATTTTAATAAGTTTTAAAATTAATTAATTATTAAACTAATTCTATAAAATATCTTTGCTAAAATCTAATTATTTTTTTTGTCTTAAATTTTTTATCTTAATTTATTAAGAATTTTCTATATATATAATTGAAACAAAACTTTTATTTTTAAATTTTCAATATTTATTTTAGCATTCATTCAATTGATAAAGACTCTTAAATTACCTAACTCATCCTCCCAAAGATCTGCCATATTTGCCCATTTAATTGGATTTTATTCTGTAAGGTTGTGTATAGGGATTTCTTCGCTTGTTCTTTCTGCATAAGGGAATTCGATGTTTTGCAATTCTTAAAACTAAGATTTTTCAGAGAGCTAATCTTTCAAAAAAGTATGATTTTTTTAAGGCTCTGCAAGTAAGGACAATTTTTTAACAGTTCCCTTGTATGGAGTGCTAAAGAATACATCTGAGATTTATTATATTACCTTAATTTCTGCAGTTGTATCTTCAGGTTTTTTATTTTTCCAATGCTCAGCATATTTAACTTTTACTTCTGTAGGAACATAAGTAACATTGTTTACTTCCTTATATTTTTTAAGATTTGGATGCTATTTTAAATCTAAGAGGGCGTTTGAACGAGCCTAAAAATTTGTGAGCAAAAGACTGTCTTTAGGAAGGAATTCTAAACAGAAGTTTTATTATTCAAATGAAAAGCGTGCATAATTTTCTCCATAAACTACATCAGGAATTGCATTCAAAACTAAATAATCGCACAACTAATCTAACTAATCAGATGGCATAATACCACCCTTCGAAAACTCAAATTTCCATCCATTCTATTCATAAGATTCTTTTGTAGCTTTGGGAAGCTTTTCTTTAATTTCTGCTAGGTTTGAATTAGCTGGTTTCATTTTTTACCTTTTAATTTATATATTTATTGAAGTGCTGATAAATTCCAATTTTAAAAATATTTATAATGAGTTTTTAACTTTTAAAAATATATAATTTATTTATTAATTAAAATTTTCTTCTTCTTCTAAATTTTCATCAAATATTTTTAAAAGGTAAAAATTTATAAATTTTGCATTGATTATTCTGCACTAATTGATAGTGATATTTAAAGGTATTGCTGAAAAAAAAATACTAAAAGACAAATTATTTTTTTAAAATATTTACTGAAAAAATGGTCAGTATAAAGATGAATAAATTTTTTTATTTTTTTATTTTTTCTATTTTTTTTTTTAATAAATAATTTTTAAAAAATATTTTCTATTTTTAAAACTAAAATAGTACTTATGACTTAATTTTAGATTTTTTTTCTATATTAACTTTTTACATTTTTATTTACTTTAGAAATAAATATTTTTACTATTAATTTATTTCAAGCAACTGCTTAATTTAAAAAGCATTTCAAAACAAAAATGGTACAATTTTTTAAATAACTTAATTTTATATTTAAAATTTAATTCAATTTTCTATATCTCTAAGAGTTTTAGCTATCTGCTAGTGATAGGAGCCAGTATTTTTAATTAATATTTTTATTAAACCTGTACTTAAAGTTTGTTTTAAAAATAGCAGATAGTCTGCAAAAGAAATTGTAAAATTGGGATATTCATCCTTTTTAAAATGATTATGTATTCTTAAAAGTAGAATAAAATATTTTTTATTTTTATAAGTACTGAAGCATAATTTAAGACATGAATGAAAGAAAGAATGATAGTTGTTTAAATAGCTGTTTTGAAATTAGAGTAAATGATAATGTGAAATGTTTTTTAATAAAAAGATGTACGCATATAAAAACAACATTTAAGCAATAATAATAATGACATGAAAATAAAAATAATTGCAAATAAATAAGGAAAGAAATAATTAACAAATAGAGATGAATGTAATGCTTTCTTTTAAAATTTCCAAGCAAATTAAAGGGCTTAAAATTTTATGAAAAAATTTTTTGTAAATTTTGGCATTTATTTCCCAGTTAATATTAAAATAAAATAATAACAATTAATATAAATTGATCAATACAAAGCATATCAAAATAGCAAGTAATATCAAAGAGAGTTGGCATGGGAAACTGTCAAAATCTTTCAGTAGGAAATGATCCTATCAAGGCTGAAAAGTTAAAAAAGAATAATAGCAACAACTTGTAAACTTACTTTTTAATTATTTTAGAAGATTTAGGAAAGAGATAAAAGTAATAGGCATACTAATTTGTATAAGTTGGCCTCTTTCTAATTATTTATGCTTTAATTGCTTTTATCTTACCTCCTAAATTTGATAAGATGAAGAAAAAAAATCGAACTATTATAAGAAAGAAAATAAAGTACCTAATCAAATTATATACTAAAAAAATTATAGAATGATAAAGACATACACATGGAATAGAGATTCGCATGGCCTTTTCGATTATGAGAGCAAAGGAATCATAAAAAACTAATTAAAAATACCTGAACCAGGTAGATAGAATATAAAATGAACAAATATTATTAATTATTTAAAAAGGATTTCAGTACTTTATCCTCTTAGCTTGGAATATATTTAAATAACAAAAAATATGTGATAAATGTATTCTTCGTTAATATAAACCAGCTTTTGAAAGAAATCTAGAAAATTAAGTAATAAAATTTATTTAAAAAGGTTTAATAGTGCGTGAAAAAGATGAGATCAAGATATTGACATCACAAAATTACAAGGGAGTAATAATTAGCTTTATTTAAATACTAAAACATTTCTTTTAGATTGAATGAGAAAGAATATTTCAGGCAAATATAAAGGTGCATTAATTATTCAAATAAACATCAAAAGGAATCCGCAGATATGAAGAAATTGGCCTTTGTAGACATAAGAAACAATCACTATGTTGTTGACTCTGAATATATAACAAATACAGAAACAGAATTAAAAGTTAAAAAATCATCATAAGAAGAAGGGATTGGAGATTTATGCGTTTGGGCGGTTGTTAAATCTTTAAAGACATCTAAAGGATAAAAGGTAATTAATACATTTTCCTGCAAATAAAATCTTTTTGAAAGTTTTATAACTGTTTGATTTATACAAATTTTAAAGCTGGAGAATTACATATTTTAATTAATTTCGTATTTTTTCGCTTTACTTTTCTTACCATCCATTTCATTTTAAGTTCCACTACTTTTCAGAATTTTATTTTTTATCAGTAAGTTTAATTATCTTATTATAAGCGATAGAGAGTAAAATTAATATTTCTTGATATATAAATTATCAAAATTTTTTTTTCAATCTAATAATTAAATTTTTTTTTAATCAACCATTTCACATTTGTTTACTGTTTATTTTGTTAACTAAATTAAAAGGGTTACGAACTATAAGTTGGAGATTACTTAAAACTAGGCAGAGTGCGTTTTAGAATAAAAGAGCTATAGGGCTTAGATAATGAGAAAAAGGTATAGTACCATTTAATTTTTTTAAGAATGTGGAAGAAAATAAGTGATTATTATTAATTAATTAATTAATTTAACAAAATAATTTGAATGATAAGATTTGCAATTAAAAAATTTTAAACACTCTTTCTTATCTTAAAATTGCAAACGCTCGAATGAGCTTTAAATTAATCGCTTTTGACAAAATTAAAACTAAATTTAATTTTTCTACTTTCACATTTTTACTTGCTGGGTATTTAAAGAAAATAATTTCATTTTCTTTAAAAAAATCCAATTCCTTCCTGATCTACATTCATTGTATTTTTTATAAAATCTTTTTTTTAACTTGTAACAGTAGAACAAAAATTTTGTATTTGGATCTAATCTCAATATACTAAATATGGATGAAATGGAATAGAAAAATGAAAATGTTCAGTAAAAAGAGTAAGATGACACTTCTTCAAACAGTCCAAATACTTGCAGAATATGTTTAGGGGATAATGATGAACCCGACAATCCATTTATAACTCCCTGTAAATGCGATGGTACCATGAAATGCATCCATATAAAATGTCTTTAACAGTGGCTTAAAAGTAGGTTACATCCAAAATAAACACCCTACTCAATTTCTTTTGTCTGGAAGACATTCGATTGTGAGCTCTGTAAACAATAATTTCCAAGTAATAATACTTACTAAATTAACTATTTTATTAATTCAAATACAAATTATTTATTGAAATAACTAATCTCAAATATAACTTTTAGATATGGTCAAAGTAAAGGGTAATGTTTATGATACAGTTGAAATTCCTCGCCCATCTCCACCTTACGTCACTATGGAGATATTAAGTAAAGACAAAAATATTTGCAAAGGTAAAATATAATATTAAAATCTATATTTCTGACTCTTTTTAATTAGTTAAATTTGTATTTCCAAATTATAATTTGAAACTTTAACAATTGAATGTTAATTAATAAGGTATCCATGTAATTACTTTGAGCCAAAAGAACCAAATCAGGCTTGGAAGAGGTCATGACTCAGATATAAGAATTAGCGATATATCAGTAAGCAGGTGCCATGCTATTTTAAGCTATGATCAAGGAATATTTACAATTGAAGATAACAACAGTAAGTTTGGAACCCTTGCGCTTATAAAGGACCCCATATAACTAAACAATTAAAACAATAATATAGCCATTCAAATAGGAAGAACCGTTCTTTCTTTTATCCTTAAAAAAAATTGGAAAATATATTAAGTTTCTATTCCACCGTAAAATAATTAAAATATTTTTTATTGTAAAATAAATTAATTCACAAAATAATAGATAATAGATGAGTTAAAAGCAAAATTAGTAAAATAAAATTGAGAGCTCACCTGAAAAGGTTGAGAAAAAAGGCCCCAAAATTAAAACAATAGAAGCACCTGGATAGAAAGATGAAGAAAATGTCATGAATTAAAAAATCGATGAAGGTGAAAATCATAATTCAATTTAGCCCGCTAATCACCATCCTCCTCGTTTTATGAGCTAGCAAGCTGAAAGTAGCAATTAAAATATGAATATTTAAAATAATAATTTAAATATAAATAATCATCATCATCACAGTGGATCGGATAATGAATAAGGTAACATGTAATTAAACCATCAATCAAGTAACCAGCATTAAGCAAATAATAACTTTTAATTACCTGAGTTTAAAGATCCAGCAGAAGAATTAGAAGCTTTCTAAAGATAAAAAGAAAAAGAGTCAGAAATATAAATTCTCCAGCAATAGTTAGATCTTATTAAATAGCATAAAAATATAAATTAGTAGAATCTACAAAATTTATTAAATAACCCTCATGAAGAATAAAAGATTGACCATGAGAAAATAAAACTCTAAAACACTATAGACCAGTACTCCTAAAAAATTAAAGAAATAGAAACTAAAATAAAATATCTTTAAAATGACAGGTAAAATATATAAAATTGAACAAAGTTTTCATCTATTTTAATTTTTTAATAAATCAATAAATAAATAAATCTAAATATAAAAAAATAAATAATAGAAATGACTTGAAGGAAAATAATAATTAATCAAACAATTTAATAAGCGAAAGAAGTGATAATTAGTCATATAGAAAAAATGGATACTAAGAAAGTATGTACCCTGAAAATAATATTAATTTTAATGCATAAAAAATTCAAAAGGGTAACAACCTTAATAACACTGAATATAATCAAAATGCAGAAAGTCAGTAATAAACCGAAAGAAATCTTAGACAAAATTGATCTTATTAAAATACTTGTATAATTAACGCTTTTTTCGAATTTTTGTTATAAAGAGTCAATTCACATACTTCTATCTACCCACATACATACATAAATACATACATCCATACATACACACTCACAAATAATTTACTGTCGAAACCATTCACTATATTCTTTTATTAAATTCTACAAAAATTCTATGGGAATTAATTACAATTAAAAATTATAACAGAAAAACGATAACAAAAGCAAATGTATTTGTTTCTATTATTAAGCTATAAATTTAAATATTTATCTATCATCCATCGATCCATCTATCATATTTTTGCTGACATAATAAAAAATAACTGTATAATCACGTTAAATTTATAAAATTTATCTAAAAGATAATAATATGATATCTAATTTTAAAAAAATACATTATTAATAAATTTATTTTTTATTTAGTTTATGAATATATACTTATATGTTAGATTCTTGTATACTTTATTCAATAAATAATTTATGAACTCAATTAATTACTCAAAAAAGTCCTTTTTAAATCTCACCTAATTATTATTGCTTATATACCAAGTTTATTTTCTACAACTCACTAAAATTAAGGTTAGAAAATATTAATTTTTGATTAAATACTAAATTGTAAAAGAATTTGTGAATTCCACATATTTTACTAGTATTTAATCTTAATAAATCTTAATTTAGCAACAATATTTATATTTTTTTTTGAAAGATAAGTTTATTTTTATGTAATTAAAGCTTACTATTTGGAAAAATAAATTTATATAATTTTAATAGCTTTTTAACATTTAAAAATTCTTTATTTATTTTTATATAAATGGAAAATATACTAAATTGATATTTTTGGAGTTATAGATAAATAGGTAGTTAGCTAACCTATCTAATTATGTATTCTTAAAATGTATAATCATATTAATTTTAAGTATAAAGTAAGCTATAGTTTTAAAGAGTATCATTTTTTTATTAAATTTTTATATTATTTTTTCAGTTTAAATATCATTATATAATAATTAGTATTACTTTTAAATTATAAAAAGATGGTTCAAAAATATTTCTTTTTTAACAAATTTTAATAAAAATTGTTCAAATAAAATTAATTTTATAAGTAAGTTATTTTTTGTAACAATAAAGATTTTATTTATTAAATAAATATTTTTTACATAAAAATTAAAAGATTTAATAACATTAAGTAAAATTTGAAATTTAACTGAAAATAACTTATAATGTTAAAATACAATAAAATGCATAGCATGTAATGAAAATAAAATTCAGATTAATATAACTAAATCTAATAAAAAAACTAGAGCTAGTTTGATATTAGCTAATATCAGTTAAAAATAAATTAATAATAAGGTTCTTGAATTAGAAGTAAATATTTTAAGAAATCGATACTTAAATAATAAGTAGAAAAAAAAATAATTAACAAGTGATTTATAAATCAAATTACAACTCTCTTTTATAAAAATTTTAATTTTATAAAAAACAAAGTCACTATAAATTTATTTGTCAACTTAGAAAAAGACTTGTTTTTATAAGGATAAAATAGAATAATTATACTACGTTGAATTTATAAAAAGGAGAAAATGGCGCAAAAATAGCGATTCAAAGAGGAAACTGAACCTGATATTTTTTTTAAAATTGATCCTTAGGAGCTATCTGAAATGTTTGATATTGATAATATCAGAGATCATCATAGTTCAAGCATGCTAAGATAAAAAGGAGGACCTCTAAGCTTGCTGGCAGACTTGCATACAAGTATTGATAGAGGTATAAATTAAATCGAATCTGAAATAGAAGCACGTAAGGAGCACTTTGGTGAAAATCTTCGTATTTAGAAGGAACCTAAGACTCTTTTTGAAATGATCATAGATTGCTTTGAAGATTTGATGTTGTAAATTCTTTGCTTAGCATCTTTAGTTTCCACAACCATAGGTATATAAATAAATATCTAATAGTATTTACAAAATATTTACATGTGCTAAAAATGATTGCCTTCTTATTTAAAATTATCTTTAAAATTATTAATAGGTATTCTTGAAGATGGTCTTGCTAAAGGATGGATGGAAGGAGCAACAATTTTAATTGCAGTTTTAATTATCGTCAGTATTTCTGCTGGTAATAACTATATCAAAGAGCAATAGTTTTTAAAGCTTAATGCAAAGAGAGAGGAAATTACAGTAAAAGTTAAAAGAAACGGTTAAGTAAGTATTTATAAATATATTTTTAATAAACTGATTTAGTTATACATATTTGTTAACAAACAAACGACTTTAATTTTAATTAAAAAAAGTTCTTTTGAAAATTTGAAATAAATTAAAGAATAAAATTAAAAAGCTATTTTATCAAGTTTTGCATAAAGCATACAGTAAATTATCGAATATTAGATTAATTTAATTTATTTATTTATAAAAATAGAAAAAATAAATTGATTGCAAATAGTTACTTGTAGGAGATATTCTATACGTTGAAATAGGTGATGTTATGCAAGTCGATGGTATTTTGATGGAAGGAAGCGAAATTCAAATGGACGAATCAAGTGTAACAGGAGAAAGTGATCATATCAATAAAACTCCTGCTCTTTTAGGTGAAGTGGGAAACACTACCTCGTTTCTAATTTCAGGCTCAAAAGTAATTAATTAATTTATGCTTTATTTTATAGAATTAAAAACTTTATTGTTTTTTTTACCTCAAAAATATTTTTATATTAAGTATTATTTTATTTATTATCACAACTTTTAAAATCATATTAGGTTATGGATGGAACTGGACTTATGCTTGTCTGTGCAGTAGGATAAAATACATAATTAGGTAAATTGAGAGAAAAACTATAAGATGAGTAGCCTCCAACTCCTTTATAACAAAAATTAGAAACAGTCGCAGAAGATATTGGTAAAATTAATTAAAATATATGGTAAAATTAGCTAGAACTTTTTATTTAAATTTATAGGTAAAATTGGTACTGTGGCTGCTGCCCTTACTATGCTTGCTATAAATATTCATTTAATTGTTAATATTGTAATTGGAGAGCACTGTTTTCTTTGTATCGAGAGTGCTTAAGCAGTAGTTAATAGTTTTCTAATTGGTATTACAATTATTGTTGTTGCAGTCCCTGAAGGACTTCCTTTAGCAGTAACAATTGCTTTAGCATATTCAGTTAATAAAATGAAAGATGAAAATAACCTTGTAAAAGAATTATCTTCTTGTGAAATTATGGGAGGAGCCACTAACATTTGCTCAGATAAAACTGGTAAAATTTAATATTTTGAAACAAATTAATATTAATCAGTGAATATTTATTATATTTAAAAAAAGGTACTCTAACTCAAAATATTATGTCAGTATCAAAAATGTATATTGATAATAGAATTTATAAAAGAGAGTAAATAAGAAGAGATTAAGTTGCTCCTAATCTTGCCACTCTTCTAGCTGAATGTATTTGTGTAAATTCATCAGCTGACCCTGAAAAAGAGCTTCTCACTAGTAAATGGGTATAAATTGGTAAATAAATAAATAATTTAATTTTTATATTTAAAAATGTTAAACTCTTTAAAATAAATAGGAAACAAAACTGAATGTGCTTTAATAGAGTTGGCAGATTAACTAGGATTTGGGTATTAAAACTTTAGAACAAAAGATATTTTAAGGGTTTTACCTTTCAGTAGTACAAGAAAGAAAATGACCACTGTCTATCGTTACAGCCCTAATTGCTATAGAGTATATGTCAAAGGTGCAAGTGAAGTTATTTTAGAACGTTGCACATTTATAAAGCTAAGATCTGAAAATATGCCTTGTGACTATTAATAGAAGGAAAAAATTAAAGTTCAAGTCATCAAAAAATTCGCTGATGATGCTTTAAGAACTCTTGCTTTAGCCTATAAAGATATTGAAATTTAACCAGGCATGGATGCCAAAGAAATCAATGAAAATTTTCTTGAAACAAATTTAACTTTGATAGGTATTGCAGGTATAAAAGATCCACTAAGACCAGAAATTCCAAAGGCTATTAAAACTTGCCATTAAGCAGGTATAACTGTTAGAATGGTTACAGGTGATAATGTGAACACTGCAGTAGCTATTGCTAAAGATTGTGGTATCTTACCTTAAGATACTAAAATTACAAATAGTAAATTTATAAACCATAAATTTTCTCTAAAAAAATTATTTTATTTATTTATTTATTTCAAAAGATAATTATGAAATTCTGGAGGGAAAGAAATTTAGAGAATTAGTTGGAGGAGTTAAGTATGAGAATCCTCATGCTCAAGATATCCAAGATAGAGGATAAGCGAAGATAGTTAATTTCGATATTTTTAAGTAGATTGTAAAAGATTTAAAAGTACTTGCTAGATCTACACCAGAAGATAAATACTTACTTGTTACAGGTTTAATTTAGATGGAAGAAGTTGTTGCTGTCACAGGTGATGGGTAATCAATCTATATACATATTGTAATTACTTATTCTTAATCTTATTAATTATCATAGAACTAATGATGCTCCTGCTCTTAAAAAGGCTGATGTCGGTTTTGCTATGGGTATAGCAGGAACTGAAATAGCAAAAGAAGCTGCAGGTATTATCCTTCTTGACGATAATTTTGCCAGTATTATTACCGCATGTAAGTGGGGTAGAAATATTTATGATTCCATAAGAAAGTTTATTTAGTTTTAATTAACTGTCAACGCAGTTGCTTTGTTTATGTGCTTTATGGGAGCAGTCATTTTGAAGTAATCTCCCTTGAATTCAATTCAGATGCTTTGGTAATTTTTTTTTATTTATTTATTACTTGAGTTAAATTACGTTAACGATTTAGGGTTAACCTTATTATGGACACTTTTGCTTCTTTAGCACTTTCAACAGAACCACCAAGTGATTCTCTTTTAAAAAGAATGCCTTATGGACGTAATGATTCAATTATTACACCAAACATGTAAATAGTTCATCTTATAAATTTATCATCTAAGTGATATTTTGTATAATTTTAAGGTGGAGAAATATAGCAGGATAAAGTCTCTATTAAATTACTATACTAAGTCTTATCTTATTTAAATTTCCAGAGTGGTTGGATATTCAAAGTTCAATAGGAATGGTGAAATTTTCTGATGAAAAAGCTGTACATTTTACCATATTCTTTTAAGCGTTTGTTTTGATGTAAGTTTTCAATGAATTTAATGCTAGAAAACTTGAAAGAAATTAAATTAATGTATTTGAAGGTTTGTTTAATAATTGGCTCTTTTGGTTAGTTATTCTTTTCACTTTCTTCATTTAATTTTTGATGGTAAGTGTTGGTGGAGAGTATGTTGGTGTTACTACTTTAACTATTACATAGCATTTAATATGCATGGCTATAGGATCAGGAGGATTATTGGTTGGTGTCTTAATTAAAATATTTCCCAACGAGTTATTTAATCATATCCAATTATTTAGAGAAGAAGCTATGGAATATACAAAGATGGATTAATCTTTTACCAGCATTGTCCGTAAAAAATCGTCTATCAGATATAATTACTCAGGATTAAATGTAGGTAGCTAATAGAACATAGAGTAATAACCAGTTAATTCACCTAAAAGTCAACAAAAAATAAATCAAAATGCTTGATTTATATTTTAAAGCAACAAATAAAATAAAAAAACGATCTCTTAAAAAAATATAAAATATATTTACTAAAAATTTAAATAACTTACTATAAAAAGACTTAATTGTCTTATTATAAATATATATTTTTTTGTTAAACTGTAAATTAATTTCAAAAATTTAGAACTATTTTAATTGAAAAAACCTTGTTATAATTGATTTTCAATAAAATTAATTTTTCCAAAAAAATAAAATAAAATTTAGTGAAGGAAAAATATAACTTAAAATAATTTATCTTTTACCAAGAAAAAATTCACTTTTTTTAAATTTTTAGTTTAAGTAATAATAAAAATTCAATTAATTTGCCATTTGTTTGAAGCTTTGATTGCCTATAATATTTTGTTTTCCATTTTTAAAATTTTATTTTTTCCATAATAATTTTTTAATTTTAAAGCATTAATTTATTTTTTGGATTATTATTGTTTGTTTTAATATGAAAAATAAATTATCATTTTAATTTATATTTGTTTAAATTATAACTATTGATAATATTGATAATGAAAATAATTATTTTTAATAAGGCTAATTAAAGATTTAAAACAAAATTTTTTATTGGTAAAATATTAATAATTAGATTAATCAAACACCACTAAATTATTATAAATTTAAGATATAAATTTTCTATCCAAGTGATTTTTTTCGATTAAGTTTATTTATATTGATATGAAAGAATAATCGCTAGCAGAAGGATATACTTCTAAGATATAAAAATTTCAGTTCAAGAATCCTATTCCTATTTTACAAGATTGTGTAATTTTAAATTATTACTAAATTATTGGTAGTTTTTTAGCGAATAAACTGTTTTAATATTTAAAGATAGCTGAAATAGATAGTGTTAAAAGAATAGAAAAATGTGTATAGGGATTATAAATAATATCAGATGCTTTTCATTAAGAAGATTAATTAGAATAAATATTGTAGTAGCATGAATTAGTAAAGCTGCTATTGATTGTTAAATATATTGCTGGTTCTTAGGTAATTATTACTATTATTAATTTATAAATATTTAATTTTTTGAAAAAAAAGGTTGATATGATTCTTGATTTTTTAATGGAAAAATATATTAAAAACTCTAATTTAATTGATGCTATCTTTAAAGCCTGCGCTTTTTTTAGTGTTGAAAGTGAAAAAGATGATCTTTCATTTAAAGATTATTAGTAAAACTAAACTATAATTTAATAAAGTGTTTATTTTGAAAATAAGGAGGATGTTAAATAACTCTAATATCGCCACATAAATAAAATCTACTTTACAGAAATAATATAAAATAATATTATTGAAATAAAGTAATTGTGCTTCGATTATTCTTTTTTAGTCATCGAATCTTTTCTTGTATAATAAAATAAAATATTATAGAAAATATATATCTAATATTACTTTTTAAAAACAAAGCAAAAGAAATTTACAGATTAGTAAGAGATAGATGGGATTATAAATATTTATCTTTAATTTTATGATTTCAGTTAAAACGAAAGTATCAAATAGAGAGTTAAATAGCTACTAGTAAAATACAAATAAGACTACCCTTGGATACTTTAAAATAAATTAATTAGGATTAAAGTTTACAGAAGTAAGTTAATTGTAGTCAATTAAGTATTACAAAATAATTATTATTTTAACTTAGTCTTAGGCATAAATAAAAAGTAAAAATCTTTAGACAATATATCTTCCCCTTAAGTTAACTCTAACTATAATGTTAAAAGCGAAAATAAAAATTCTAACTTATCGAATCTTTCTAGTTACTAGACTAGTGACTTAGATGGAGAAGAAGATGAGGAGTTAGAAAATAATTAAGATATTTTATAAACCTATTATAGCGAGGATAATAGATAATTTTCTCTTGTTGTTCAGAAATAAAAGCCAAGTAATAAGATTAAACAAAATGACTATACAGAAAAAATAGAAGAAAAAGTTAGAAGCTAATCATTTGAAGAAAAATCACCTACTAATAAAGGGAAAAATAAAAGTGTTTTTTTTGCTTAAGATGACTCTTTGACTTCATCACCAAAGGGTAGTCCTAGTAAGAATTCACAATAAGGCACATTTGAAGATTTTAAATCTGCTACATTTAGTTTAAAATTACAGAAAACACCTTCAAATAAGCTACTTAAGTTGGAACAAAAAGTTTAAAGTAGTCCAACAGTTCACAAGATATAATAATAGTAAAAGGCTATGGGTTCATAAAAAATAGAAGAATGGATTATAAATAGTTAATAATTTAAAAAATTATGTTTTAATCTTTTTATTAACTTATTTTTTTTGTTAAAGGTAGTAAAGAAGATTTATTCATTCTAAAAAATGATCAGACAAAGGCTACCTTTAAAAGTAGTTTCAGTTTGAGCTTAGTTATTCTTTTTATTATCAAACCTAAGGATATGCCTCTTAAGTATTATATTATATTGAGTATTTGAGTTTATGTTAATAATTTTTTTTAGTAAAGAGCTTCTTAGAAAAGAAGAAATGAAAGGAGTCATATTTGAAGCACCAGTATATTTTTTTATGATAAAATAAAATTTTAATCTAAAATTAAATGAATAGGTGGGATTTAGAAGAAGCTTAGCAGAAATGTTTGCAGCACGTCCGTGGGAAATTAACAGCTATATTTTTAGAAGTTTCAAAGCAATGGAATTTTTATTGATATACGAAAATTTCGAATACCTTCTAAGATTTAATAATGTAGTTGAAATGTTTTTTGAAGAATTAAACAAAGTTATGCTAAACAGCAGTTGCTGTAACTACAATCACGTAGCTAACTGTATAGAATTTTTTCTAAAATATGTCCCTGAAATGACCTTAATAGAAATGACAAAATATAACATTTTGTATCACTTAATTGGTTTTTTTGATTATCCTCAAGTACAGAGACTGTTTTATTTATTATTTAACATAAATTATAAAAATGAATACCCTGTACAAGACCATTTATTGAAAAAATTTTGGGAATACACTTAGACAACTTATTTATTTAGAGAACTTTTAACTGTAAATAGCATATAGAATTTTAAAAAATTAATTAAAATGTTTTTCTAATTAATAGATGATGCTTTTTTGTGATTTAAAAAAACTAAGAAAAATGTATAAAGAAGAACATTTGTAGTCTAAGCCAACATCTGATATAATAACATATTTTTCTCAGTAACGAAAGAAGCTTAAGGATTTTGAAAGCTTAAAAGTTTACAACAAGAGTGTTGCAGAAGAAGAATTTGGTTTTGCTGTAGATATTGATAAAATTAAGACAAACATAGTTAAAAGTAGAATGAGCGTTTTAAAAGGAGCATTTTCAAGAGGTTTAATTTAAATATCTTAAAACTTAGACCCAATACAAACAAAAGAAATGAAGCAAATTCAAGCTTAAAAAAAACAATCAATCTCTAGTAAAAGAGGTTCATTAATTTAAAATAATTAAAGCAAATAAAATTAAGAAAATGAAACTAATTAATTCCAAAATTAGCCTGAATAAAGCTAACATCTCAAAATGGTAATAAAGGGAAATAAAAATGTATAAAAGTTTATTTAACAAAATTAATAATAAATGAAATTTTCTGATATAGTAGAAATAGCTAAGAAAAATAAGTAAATAATCATTCAAAATGATCAAAATTTGAAGGAGGAGGCTGATGAATCAAAAAATTAAGAAAATGGTAAAAAATTATAAAATTAGTAAGAAGATAAAAGAAAAACTTAGAATGCCAATTCAAAAAGAAATAGATCTACGAGTTATAATAATAAAAATGATAATATCAATCAAAGTTTTACAATAAAAAATTAAAAAGAGTTCAATTCTAAGTCAATAAATAAAATTAATGACTCTACTACCAGCAATTCTTTTGTAATAAATTCTGTAGCCAATTAAAAAAGAAGATCAATTTCTGAAAGGAATCTTAGTTCTTTAAGATGCAAAACAGAGTCTAGCTAAATATCAAACAAATTTCTTCCTGAAATAACCTTAAATTAGTCATTCTATATGAAAATGCAGAAAAAAGAAGAAGTGAGTGACTCAATAAAAAAATTGAGTTAAAAAGAATTATAACTCTTGAAAACAGTAAAAATAGTTAATTAAAATGGAGTAAATAGAGTTATGCCTTAGCTATTTAATGTCAAGTTACTCAATAAATAGGAATCATATCTAAATGATTTAAACAAATTAGGTGAATTGTATCCGGCTTAAAATGATTTCTTTTACAACTAAAGTTAAAATGATGTTTTAGCAGAATAAACATACTTTTCTTTAGATACTCTCATTTAAAATGATACATATTCACATACAATAGCCCAATTCATATTTAACTTACTGAGAAATATCATCTAGGTATTAATTTAAACCAAAATCTCTTTAATTATTTAAATATTTCAAAAGGAAGAATGTGAGGAAGATCTATTTAAATTACTCAATTTAAAAACATTTGATTATGAGCATCTTTTAGATTGTATTATATTTTCCGATTAACAATACAACTTGTTTGAGTACATAATGAAGAATTATATTTTCAAACTAAAAATACATCCAATAACTCCAGAAAATTCAGCCTTTGTTTGTGGAAAAATGATTAATTGGTTTCTATCAAACAGGTATTTTCTTTAATACTTAAATATAATAAATTAAATTTCTAAAAAAATGTAGCAATCATAAGTTACTTTAAAAGTACAAGGAATAAATAAACTTAGTAGCAAAAAGGCACTTTAAGATATTGTGTAAGTTAATTATAAATAGTTATGGGTGGAAATTAAAGAAGAGCGACTCATTTTTGAAATTATAGAAAGACTAATTAATAGTAAATTAAATTGATATTTTAAAGTATTAATTTCCAAAATAAACATAGGATTAACCTATAGGATCTGCAAGACTTTTGCTATTAGAAACATTATATTTGATCATTAAAGAAGAAACAGAACATAAAGTAGAGATGATAGAATTTATCCCTGAAACATGTTGGAATGCTCTCTTCAACTTCTTTTTTAATGACAAAAATAATACTGTCTACCATGCTAAATTTTTTTAGTTTTATGAGGAGTGTCTGTAATATTTTAAAATGCACACTTTTTTTAGTATCTGGATCAAACTAAATTACATTTAAAATTTATTAACTATTCATGAAAATATTCACTAGCATGACTCTTTAAAGTTTTATTTAAAAAAGTTTGTATTATCAATCATATAATTAATTGAGGTAAATACATAAATAAATAATTGATCTACCTTTTATCTTATTTCTATATCAATTTTATATTAAAGTAAAAGCATATAGAAATGAGCAGCTTATCTTAAATTTTGAGTTCATCAGAATCATGGAAAATAATTTCTAAACCTTACATTTAAAAGTACAATTTTACAAATTAAATAAATATGTATGTATTTACTAGGTATTTTATTTAAAATTAAAAGCTCAATCCCTTCATTGTAAGAATTAAACACAACAAAATAAGGATTTAAAAAAAGTATCAAGTCATTTTCTAAATTCAAAGATGATGATATAAATAGCTCTTAGAAGTTAATTAAATCTTAAAATTTTAGAAGCAGTAGCAGCGAAAAGCATTTACCTAGCAAATAAAAATCATATTCCTCTGAATAATATTCTGAAGAGAATAAAATTAAGTCAACCTAATAAAATCTAATAACAAATAAAAACATAGAAAAGAGCTAAATAATTAAGTAAATTGCAAACAATCAGAATATAATTAAAGTAAATTCTGACTAGTCAGAAAGCATTGTGAAAAGGCTTGACGAGAAAGCAAACAAAATAATATAAATGGCATGGTAAAATACCGTTTTCTTTAACTAGGTTATGACAAAAAAGAAAAACCAAATAGACTTTGAAGAAATGCCATTTTTAAAAAAATGAAAAATTGAAAAATAATTTAAATTAAAAAACAAAATGTCTAGTTATGTTTTATAAAAATATTTAATTTTTTTATTGTTTTGTTTTAGACAAAAGTAGGAAAAATTAATATATTATCAATCAACACTTATTTTTAAAATATTTAAGATATTATTTCACCAATAATCTTAATTATAAATTGAAATTGTTTAAATATTTTTTATAATCTAATAAATTAATTAATAAATGATTAAGTAAATATTTATTTTCGATAATTTTTTAGTTTCTTATTATTTTTAATTTATTCTTTGAATTTCAAATAATATAATAATACTTTAATTTATTTTTTAGTATTTTAGTTTATCTATTTTTTGAAACTCAACTAAATAATTATAAAAATAAGAGGAAATCATTTATTTAATAGAAAAATTAATATATATTTATCTAAATTATTAATGAATTAATATATTAGATTTCTCTATATTTTAGATACAAATATAAAAAGTTTTATTTTTTTATAAATTTATTTTATCATTTTGAGGTTTATATAATAGTTAAATTATAAATCTGTCTAAAAACATGTAATCTATAAAAAATAATATTTAATGATTAAAAATATTTAAAAATTTTAAAATAAAAAATTATTTATTATTTATTATAAGCATTTATTTGCAAATTTTTACATGATTGTAAATTAATTTAGATATTTACTTGTTTTGAATTATTAAGTTTGAATGAATTTTTAAATTCTTGGGGAAGTATTTAGAGTTAAATTTTGAAATTTATGATTATTTATAATTTTATAAAAGGAAAATATTAATAGAAATATGAAATTTTATAATATAGATTATTAATACAAATAAATATTTTATAATTATAGATTGATTAGTTAGTTTTAATTATTTTTAATATAAAGTCATTTGAACTTTAAATCAAATTATTAGTGAAATTATTATTCTTAATGATGGTTGATATTCATTTCATTCATTTGTTAAAATTTTATTCAAAATATATTTAAGAGTAAGACTTTTATCAGAAATTTTAGGTTAAGATAATAATTTAAAATTTGTTAAAGTAGCTACTTAATAGAGTTTCTAAAATAGCATTTTCAATAGATATTAAATTAGATAGATGCATCAATCATCGAATTCAATTAAGCGAGAAATTGTAGGGTATGAGTCGCATACTTTAGTTTAGATTTACTTTTTAGGAGCATAAATCAAATGTTCCTTATCAAGTCTTGTTTTCTTTCCGCAAGGAGTACTAGGCTCTTAAACTTGTATGTCTCTTTTTTGTTGATCAGGACTGTTTAATATTTTTGTAATTAGTATCTTTCTAGGGGTTTGGTTCATTTGAGGGTTGCTATTGATGGAGATATGAGTCATTTTTTATTTTGTGTTTAGTCTTAAATTGTTAGTTTGCCTTTTTTTTTGTGTTTTTGAGAGTTCTACTTTTTTTATTTTGATATTAAATTATAATTTTGATCAGTGAATCCACTCAATTTTAAATTAATGTTTGTCTACATTAAATACATTATTTTTTATGATACAAATAAATATATTTGAAATTTGGGTTTTGATAATCAAATAAATATATTCGATAAAAACAAAATTTACAAAATTCAAAAATTTCTATTTAAAATTAATAAATTTAGGTGTTGAGACCATAGAAGAATTCATCAATAATTAATTAATTAGGCTGAATAGAATAGAAAGAATGATATAATTTGTCTAGTCTAAAAGTATTATCAATATATTTTAATAATAGAGAATATTTCTAAATTCTTTGAAATAATATATAATAGGTCTGATATAAACTTTTAAATAGAATGCGAGCATTACATAATTATAAAAAAATATTAAAAATGAGCATATTTATTCTTTAAAATATATAATTTGTTCAAAAAACTCTAAAAATTTACCTGGGACTAATAGCTTATATTTAACTTGTAAAATTGAATACAGTATATAAATTTATATAAATAAAATTGGCTTTACAAATATTTAAAAATATCCCTTGTATTTTTGAAAAAAAATTAATTAATTTGTCTCAGCGCAAATATTTGAATTCAATTAATTAATAGATCTAGATAGCCGTTGATGAGTTTTTTAATCTAATAATATAAACCAATTTAACTTATTGTCTATTTTTATCAACAAATATGAAATTCTTCTTCTACTTTAAGCTTTCTTAAGTAGAAATTACTTATTTTTCTTTATTTCGAACTTATTTATTTTCTATTCATTAAATATTGTAGAAATTCTATTTCAAAAATAAAATTTTATTGCACATTTTATTCTATGCTCTAAAATAAGACCTTAACAGTGTCATCCATTAAGTTATTATACTTTTCAGAAAAAATAAAAATAATTTAAATTTTTTTACTTCAATATTATCAACTTGCTTGTATTTATTTTATTTCAAAAGTATTTTATACTAATTTTATAATAATTGTTCAAAAGATTCATTTGTTTTGATTATTAAATTTTTTAAAGTTAATACGTATAAAATTTAAAAAAAATGGTATTCATAAGAAAAATAAAAAATAAAAAATATAAATTAAAATTTTAAATTGATCACTTAATCTTAATTTGATAAAAAATGATTTAAGATTTTTAATAATTTAAAAACTGCTAATTTATTATTTAAAATAATCATGAATTATTAAAATGTTTATTTTTAATGAATAAAATTATTATTCAATATATTTTTAGATAATTCTTTAGTTTTAAATTCATCCCACAAATAATAAAATTATTTTTTTATTTGATGAAACTTTAAAATTAATTTTTATTAAAATAACTTTTTTAAATTTAAAAGATTTTATTTAAATAAAAATAGATTCACATTACAAATAAATTATGATATAATGTTGTATATATTTTTCATTAAAATAAAATATTGATATTCTTCTTATACTTTTATCAAATTTAAACTAAGTTATTTATAAAAGATATTATTAAATAAATTATAAAATATTTGAAAAATTAATACTTATTATTTATAATCAAAGCATTTTTTCATACATTTTGATACTCATGATCCAAAGTAAAAGATAATTTTTTATCAGAAAATTAGTATCTATATATCAATACATATTTTTATTTTAAAATTTTTTTATAATCGAAAATGATTAACATCAAAAACTATATTTAAAATAAAATTCTTCTATCGTAAAATAGAATAAATTATATAAATCAAAAAAATATTATTATAAAAAACAAAAATTTATATGCCCAATCTTTATTTTTAGATGAAAAATAAAGATAAAAAACATATTTATTTATACTAAACTATTCATTTCAGTTAAGTAAATGGGTTTATCAGCAAAAGAAATATAATATTTAGTTTATTCAATTTTGCAATTAAATGACTTTAAATTTATAAGTGACTATTTCACTTTTAAAAGCAACAGAATTTATTGCATATTTACATAATTTATTCATTCTATTTACTTTAAAAAATTTTAGGAATGAATGTAATCATGAAATTGATAAAAACGATCTATGAATTAATACATTTATTTACTGATTTTATCAAAGATTAAATTCTATAAGAATCTTCTTTATGCATATTTTAATTATTTAAATAACATTAAATACTAAAACTCAATTAGTAGGATTAATTAAATTTAGAATAAAATTTGCAATAAAATCAAATAAAATTATAGTTATGGGAGGTGATACTCACGATTTATCTTATTATGCTAAGTGTATGATGGGTGGTGTTTTGGCTTGTGGACTCACTCACACAGCTATGGTACCTCTTGATGTAGTTAAATGCAAAAATCAAGTTACAAAGGGATGGTCTTCCAGTCTAACCTAAGGGTTGACATAATTAAAAGCAGAAGGTAGTCTTACATTAGGTTGGCTACCAACTCTTATAGGTTATTCACTTTAAGGTTTTGGTAAATATGGTTTTTATGAAATCTTTAAAGATGTCTACAAAGGTATCGTTGGTGAAGAAAATGCTTAAAAGTACAGGAGAATAGGTTGGTCTATATCTTCAGGCTGTGCAGAAGTAATTGCTGATACTTTATTATGCCCCTTCGAAACTATCAAGGTTTAGATGCAAACATCTTCAGGAGAAACTGCATATCCTAAATCTTTTTTGCCAGCATACAATAAGTTTGTATCTGAGAATGGTTCTAAATCTTTATATAAAGTTTTACCTCCTCTTTGGGGGAGGTAAATCCCTTACACTATTGTTAAATTTGTTTCCTTCGAGTAAATTGTTGAACTTTTTTACAGCAAGGTCTTCACTAGACCAAAAAGCGAATACTCTAAGGGATAATAATTATCTATCACTTTCTTATCAGGCTACTTGGCTGGTATTTTATGTGCTCTTGTTTCTCACCCTGCAGATACTATGGTCTCAAAAATGAATGCTCTTGAATTCAAAGGTTAAGGAATAAGTGAGATTTATTCAAAAATTGGTTTCAGTGGACTTTGGACAGGTTTAGGAACCAGAATTATTATGATTGGTACTCTCACTGGTCTATAATGGTGGATTTATGACAGCTTTAAGACTGCTGTTGGTCTTTAAGCATCAGGTGGATCTACTGCTCCAGTTACAAACAAACATTGAAGAAAAATAATTTACTTTTTAGAAGCAAACTTAAACAAAATTAATTCTACTATTAAATTTCCTTATTATTGTTATTATATAATCAAATTGTTAATTTAGTTAACTATTTGTATATCTCTTTAAGTCATCTACATCGCCTTAACATATTCAGCTTGTATTTTGATTGTTTATACTTAATAAAAATTCATTTTATTTGAACTGTTTTTTAAAAATTACATTACCTACATATAAAATAATTGTAAAAAAAGAATTCATTATTTCTAAATTTTAAATTTGATGAATTATTAAATAAGAACACTTACAAAAGTCTTCAGTCATTTTTAGAAATTAAAGAATTTAATTTATTATTTTGTATAAAGTATGAGTTAAAACAAATATTTTTAATCAAATTAAACTATTTTTATTAATATTTTATTTAAAAATTAATCAATAAAAAAATTAGTAAATAAAATTTTTATTGTAATTAATTACATAATTTAATTATTAAAAAAAATCTAAATAAAATAATTATAAATAATTTTTAAATCAATTATATTTATGGTTGTTTAAATTTAAAAAAATAAAATTGGAATTGTTATCAAAGATTTAATAATTTAAACAAAATACTTTAACTTTTTTAATGAATAATTTTAAATATTTAAACAAAAATAACTTATTAAATAAAAAAAAATCAAAATACTTGTAAAATTTAATTTTTTTCTTTATTAAAACATAGATTAAACAAAATTAATATTATTTTATTTTTTAAAATTTTCTAATTTAAATTTATTTATTTAAATGGAATAATTCCATTCTTTATTTTGCTAAAAATTTATTTATTTAAAAATTATGTTATTTATATCGTTAGCTTGAAAGTTAAGTAAGAATAATAATAATCTAAATTTGTTTTTTGATTACAAAGGCTTGAAAAAATGATAAAAAAAATAAATTTTTATTGGCCTTAATTAAAATTTAATAAAGAAATTTTTTGAAAATAAATAAATTCGAATAGTTAGTGTGAGATGATGTTTTAACCTATAAATTTTCAAAAAAGTGTTTAAAATATAATGAATGAATGTAGAATAAAATCTCTATTAATTAATTAAGCTATCAAAATATAAAATAAACGAGTATTCATTCGTTCTAGTAAAAGTGTAAGTATCTAAATTATGGATATAAATATTTTACAGAAACGAATTATAGCCATCAGATAAAAAAATAGTTTATTTATTTATTTATATTTTACTTTTGTAATATATTTTTAATCTGTTTTTCTCATCAATAAGGAATTTAAATAAAAAATAAAATTTATAACTTATAATAACAAGTAAAACAAGAATTGAAATAAATCTAAGAAAAGTAAAATCAATAAAATAAACTTTTCCATCTTATTTAAAAATTTATTGAAATTAATTACACTTTATCATTTACTAAAAAAGTTTTGAATGGCATCATTTTTATGACATAAAAACAAAAAGAAGAGAAAATTATAAAATATAAAAGATAATTTACTAAAGCGAGTAGTTAGTTAAATTCGTCACAAATAGTAAAGTTACCTATTTATTTAAGGCATACTTTACATATACAAATAAATGTATTTATAGTTAAATGCTCATTTTTTAAGAGTTTAAAATGCATATTAAGATATAGTGCATCACTGAAATTAATAAAATAAGGATATAATTTGCTTTAAATAAATAAATAAGTAAATAATTTAAATGGAATGAGTCATGTCATGCATATACTTAGTTGTTTGATTATATTAGCTATTTATTTTTAATGCATCAAAATAAATTAATAAATCAATAAATTTGTAAATAAATAAATATCTTTATGAAGGACAGTTCTAATTATTTTTGCTTGGGGAATTCTCACTATTTATTCCAAAAATTTACTCAATAATAATAATTAAAATTTAACCAAAAATATTAATATATCTCAAAAATAAAAAAATAAAAAATATAGCGACTAAAATGGGAGGTGATACTCACGATTTATCTTATTACGCTAAGTGCATGATGGGTGGTATTATGGCTTGTGGTCTTACCCACACTGCCATCGTCCCTCTCGATGTCGTCAAGTGCAAAAATCAAGTTACCAAGGGATGGTCTGCCAGCTTAGGTTAAGGTTTAGGCTAATTAAAAGCTGAAGGTAGCCTTACTTTGGGTTGGTTCCCCACCTTGATTGGTTACTCCCTTTAAGGTTTCGGTAAGTTCGGTTTCTATGAAATCTTCAAGGATGTCTATAAAGGTATTGTTGGTGAAGAAAACGCTCAAAAATACAGAAGAATCGGTTGGTCTGTTGCCTCTGGTTGCGCTGAAGTTATTGCTGATACTTTATTATGCCCCTTCGAAACCATTAAGGTTAAAATGCAAATTTCAACTGCTGAAAATGCTTATCCTAAATCTTTCTTACCTGCTTACAATAAATTCGTTGGTGAAAACGGTACTAAGTCTTTATACAATATTTTACCTCCTCTCTGGGGCAGACAAATCCCTTACACTATCGTTAAGTTCGTCGCCTTCGAATAAATCGTTGAACTCTTCTACAGCAAGGTATTCACTAAGCCTAGAAGCGAATACTCTAAGGGACAATAATTATCCGTTACTTTCTTATCCGGTTACTTAGCTGGTGTCTTCTGCGCTCTTGTTTCTCACCCTGCTGATACCATGGTCTCTAAGATGAACGCTCCTGAATTCAAGGGTAAGGGTGTTAGTGAAATTTATGCCAAGATCGGTTTCGGAGGTCTCTGGACTGGTTTAGTTACCAGAATTATTATGATTGGTACCCTCACTGGTCTTCAATGGTGGATCTACGATAGCTTCAAGACTGCTGTTGGTCTCCAAGCCTCCGGTGGTTCTTCTGCTCCCGTTGCCAAGAAACATTGATTTATATAAAGCTCTTAAATAAAAAAGTTAGATTTTTCAAGTCAAAATTAGCATAAAGAAAAATTAATTTTTACATGTTAAATACAAATTTATTCATACAAAATAAGCGTATCTTATGTATTTATTTATGCATAATCCATTCTTAAGATAATAATTTATCATTTATAACACAAGAACTTAAAAACATTTTTTTTAAAGTATGTATAAGCTTCAAAAAATTAAAAAGAAAGAAAGAAATAAAACAAAATAAATTTATCTCGATCAATTCTTAAACGAAATAAGATACAACAAAGATTGATTGAATGAAATTTTTAAAGAATTATTCTTTAAAAAAAAAAAGGAATTAATTTTTTCTATGAAATTTTAAATAATAATCAGAGATATTTTTTTGGAAATTTCTAAGGAGAATTAAATAATGAATAGATTGAATTTTGAGATAGATGTTAACAATTAACTTTTTTAATAAAATCTAGGCAAACAAAGATTTATAGATAGATGCACAATTACACTTATTGCTTATACAATAATAATAATAATATCTAATTTATTAAAATTTGGGGGGACTTTCTTGCTTGTATTTCTTTTAAATATTATAAATTTCATATTAAATCAAAATAATTTATGCAAATAAAAAGTATTTCAAAGAATAATATGGCAAACTGTCAACGATTAGAAACTAAAACAAATATTTTTTTTGTTTTCATTTTTTAATAAAAAAAACAATTATAAGTTAATTGTAAATATCTTGATTTTATTTTATAAAGGGCATTAATTAAAAAATCTCTTATTCATATTTTTATGAATTATATTAATAAAATATATGATTAGGTTTTAGCTGATATGATGCTTGTGTTTTATGATTAATAAATATCTCTACAAATTGTTTAAATTATTTGAAAAAATTAAATAATATTATATCCAATAATTTTATAAATTTGAATACAAAATAAATGGGTTTTAAGTATTTGTTTGAATAATACGAGTAGAAGCTTTTATAGTATAAGTATAGTGGAGTAGACCACTCCTTGCTTTATAATTATATTATGTCCCCAATTGCAAATGTCTGCCTTAAGTATATTCTTTTTCTTTAAAATTTTATCTATCGTATTTTATAATGAAATGATGATTTTAACATTTTTAATATAAAAATAAATAGCTATGTACCAGAAAGTTTAGCGTAATACAATATAAATTGCATTCCATTAGAATGATGATATTTATAATTAAATATTAAATTATTATTTACTAAAATCTAATCATTTAGACCTAATGTCGTAAGTTATTCTCTAAATTAAATTATTATTAATTACAATAGCATCAACAATCATAATTAACTTAATACTATTAATTATTTTATTGTGTTGTTAAAATTAGAGATGAATAATATTTGCTTAATTTTGAAAATTAGCTTATTTATACTTATTTTATCATATTATTGATATCTAGATTACATTACTTGGACTATTATTCGTTTTGATTCCTCACTTTATACTCTGGGCAGTTTATCCTATTTGGGAATTATCAGCAGATGTTCATCCAGCTATGCTATTATTTTTAGGCATAACTCATATAATTTATATGGTAACAAATTCTTAGATTATTTTTTTTATTAATTTTATATCTAATTTTTTTTGTATTGTTATCAGAATTTCGATAATTTGGATGGAAAGTAGGCAAGAAAAACTGGTAAATAGTTAGTAATTCTAAAGATTTGAATCTAACTAAAATCTGTTCAAAAATTTAATAGGAAATTCGAGTCCTTTAGGATTACTTTTTGATCATGGATGTGATAGTTTAATTGTTTTTATTTAGGGAATATCTTTAGCAACCTGCTTGAAATTCGGAAACAATTTAGGAGCATTTTTTGTTATCTATTTAGGAGCTTTTACCTTCTTTACAACAACTATCGAAGAAGTAATATTAAATTAGTAAAAAATATTAATTAAAAAACATCCTATTTAAGTATTACACTCATATAATGTATTTACCACCAATTAATGGAGCAGCTGAGGGATGTTTTGGAATAAGTGTGATTTATTTCATCACTGCAGGCTTAGGAAGCAGCTTTTGGGACTAGGAATCTTTTGGAATTGTCAATAGATATATTCTTCTTGGAGGTTTTTGTCTTGCTGGCTTAGCTAACTTAATAGGAATGTAATATTTTTTTATTCTGTGGCTAACATAAAAAAAATACTATAAAATAATTTAATTTAATAAAAATAGCATTTAGAGAATTTATGTTTAAAAGCCTGAATAAATGATTAATGCTTGTAGAAATATGTTATTCTTCTTGTTTATTACTTTCGTATCGATATATGCTATTATAGTTAGCGAAACAAACAAATATTATATGAGACTAGTGATTTATATCTTTGGATTTAACTTTGCAAAATTAGTGGTAAATATTAATTTATTTTTAGTATATATTTTTAATATATATTAAAATATATTTTAATACTTAAATAGTCTATTTTGTAGATCAGCCATGTTTCTGATTCTCCATTTATATAATTCAGAAGATCAAACTTCATTATATTATCTATTCTATTTGTGAATACTTTTATTTCACAAATAAGCGATTCTGGTGCTATTTTAGATGAAGAATTAGTCCTTTGGGCTGTTTTAATTGCTACATTAGTAGGTAAATAATAATATTTGTAAAAATATTTTAAAATAAATTTTAATATTTTATTTAGCTTACGGACATTTAGTTGTTTCTGCTATTAATCAATTTTGTGAAGTTCTCAAAATTAGAGCATTCAGAGTAAAATAAAGAGGTAAATTAATAAATATATATTTTGCAGTTCTATTAAATTTAAATTTGCTTTTTTAATAATAAGACATGGTTTCATTGTAGGAAGATACACTTTGATAATACTTATAACTCCTTACCTAAATGTAGCTATTATAGTTATCTAAAATTAGAAACTGTAATGTTATTCAGTAAATAATAATCGTAAAGAAATTATTTATATAATAAAATATAAACAGATTATTAAAGTATGTCCTTTCTGTATGTATTTTTTGAATAGTGTTATCTATTTTAAATTGGTGGAGATTTTTTCTTATTAATATTATTTTATGAGATTTTTAATGAAAAGAAATGCCAATGTAGAAATAGATTAGTCTAAGATATGTATAACTTATTAGACTTCATTCAATTTAAAAAAGAAATTTAATTTAATTTATAAACTCAAATTTATATAAAAACTAAAACGCTTGCTTGAGATTAATGAAAAATTAATTTGCTTAATTAATCATAATACATCTTCTAGTTGAATATAATGAAGACTTCTTTTTTTGATTTAATTTACTTATGATTTCTATTTGCAAACTAAATCAATTATTAAAAAAAAGTAAATACAGATAATACTTAATATATATAAAAAATATAAATAGCAAGATTTATACTACTAACACATATAACTTTTATTTAAAGTTCATATTTTAAGTATGATAAGTCCTAGTTAATAGGTTTTAAATAGTGCATAGAGTAATAGAGCTATAAAGTAAATTTCAATAAGCAAACCAAAGAAAATCAAGCATATTTTGTAGAAAGAGGTAACTGATACATTTAATATGCATTTGGGTTTATTTTTTAATATTTTAATTTGTGTTTAGAAGGTCATTCAAGCTTGCTTGTAATGGATAGAAACGCATTTAATTTTCCAAAATTAATTTACTTTATTTTTAGAGGGCTTTCACATACTAATTGGTATTTTTATATCTTAATAGCCAAGTAAACCAGATTGGAATGATCGCTTTTTCTTAGAAAAGATCCCACCTTATCAGCCACAAAAAGATAGATAAAATGGTAGTAAAAATTGAATTTTTATACACTGCATCCTTCAGCTTATCTTTATTAATGGATAAATAGTTAAGATATGCTTAATTTATTAGAACTTATTAGGGTGCATAATAAATTTAGTTAGCAATCTAATTGTTTTATTTTAAAATTAATTACGTAGTTTAAAAGTTACCAAAATACCCTATCCTATAGTAAGGCCTTCCAACAAGTTAAAGTGGAGCAAGTTTAGTTAATGTACCAAGCAATTCAAATATTGTAATGGAACCTGGAAAGATTAGAAAAGTATAAATGAATAATTTGGTAGGACAGCCAAACATAGTTAAAAAAAGACCTCAATCACATTATAAAATAAGTACTAATTAATTTAAATAAGTTTTTTTAGTAAATAAATTGGAAAGAAAAGTAATAGAAAAAATGAATTAAAGTCTCCTTAAAATAACTCTTCAATAATATTCAACTTATATTATTGATATTATTATTAGACAAAGAATAAACATTTATTAAATATTTACATTATTATTCAAATTTAAATGATATTTTCACTAAAAAAGAAAAAGAGTTAGATGAAAATAAGTACTCTAATAATCCTCTTGTTCAGCATTATATCAATATGTAATAAAAACCTATAGTCTATGATCTTGATTAAAATCCAAAGATAGTCGAAGGCTATTTAGAGAAATTGCAAAATGATGTAAATATAGAATGGCAACAAAAAGATATTCCTCATTTTCATCGTAAAGCTTTTTCTGAAGCTGTAAAGGGTTTACCTAAAATAGAAATAGTTTAGCATGTATATAAAGAACTTAAATTTATGAAGAAGGACAGGGCTTAAATTTAGATTTGCTTAAAAGTTATTCGAGCAAGAGAGACCTGCTTAGAAACGTTAAAGCAATAAATAGAACTACTGAAAGTACCTATTGATGAATAATATGAAAAAAATTTATAAGAAATAAGCACTACATTAAAGGATTTAAGGATTCTATCCTTGGAGGTTGTTGAGTAAATATTAAGATGGCGTGAGAGCATTCTAAATTTTCACTATACAAAATAAGCTGCACTTTTGGAAAACTAAAAAGGTTCAGTTACCTCAATCTAATCTCCTAAACAATAACAAAAATAATTTCAAAATCTAAATATGTAATTACCTTTCTATTACAACTAAAGAAATTATTTATTAAAAATGAGGGATGATATTAAATTTTTGAAATAATCATAATTGCAGCATCATGTTAACTTACAAGCAAATACAATATCTGACCCTTTCTTATTGACTATGCAAAAATAATAAAATGTAATAGATCCTATATATATTGATTACCCCTAAATAACTCATGACTGCTCACTTCTAATTTAGAGAATTAGAGCTTCGGAGTTAATTATTTTTGAAGAATCTATTCAAAGACGTGTTAAAGAGTAATTTGGAGATTATGTAGTTAAGCCATTGAATATTTAGGAATCACAAATAGTTGGCTTTATGAATTCATATCTAGATTAAATTCCTATGTACATTTTTTTATTTAACTTGCTATTAACTTAAATCCTTTTAAATATCTTAAAGCGAAATAAAAAATTCATTTTATTCTGATGTCAATCACATCCTTTCTTTTAATTAAACTGAGCAAGATGTAAACTTTCTAAAAATTGAATCTGGAGGAGTAACTGATTCTTTCTAAGGATTAGGTAATAAATAAATTTTCAATTTTAATAAACTTTTTCAAACTCTATTTTTATTAATAGCTATAATTTGTGTTGACAGATAGCAGTATCACTTAAGAAGGACTAATATATTACATGTTAGCTGTATAGAAAAATCTTTTTATAATAGTATAATCAATACTCTTGTAGATTTTATTTGGAAAAATGACTCTAGTGAAGAAATAAGAGTAAATTTATTCTATTAAGAGGAAGAAGGAAAACTTTAACTAGATCCATATGTAAAAAATATATTTAATAACATTGGATTTAAATGGAAACAATTAGTAAATGACCCTAAAACTAGCAAACGCTCTACAATTTTTGGTTTAAGAAGGCCTGCAACTATCCCAGTACCAAAAAAATTTACAAATAATATCGAAGAAACTGATGAATAATATTAGCAAGAACCTATATAGTTCAATAACTTATTGATATTAAGTGAAAAGACAGGTGGAAATAATCAATAACTACAATTTTAAAGCTATGATATACCTATTCATTTAGCTAAGTCAATTAGATAAATAAAAAATAAAGAAACATAGGATTAAATATTATCTGCTGCTATCAATTAAGATACCATCATAAAGGCATTTGGTTAAGAAGTAAATTTTTTTTTTTTTTTTTTAAGACAGGTTTATTTTTGAGTGCTTAAATATGTTTTAATAAAAGGATTTTAGTATTAAAGGAACTCTCCTTGAATAATTTGATGTAGACTAAAAACTTAATGAATTTTGCTAACAAGTTTTTCCTAAAACAAATTTCACCTTTTAAAGCCAAGTAAAATAAATTTTAAGATATTTATTCTAATACATTTGGATATATAAAAAGGGATAAACAATAGCTTGCATTTCTAAAAATTGCTACAGATGGAAGCATTTCAATTTTGCTAAATACTAAAATAAAAATTACATCCGAATCAAAAAGGTAATCAATCATTTTTAATATATGAAATTTAATTACTATTTTTTCTTTTAATTTATTTAGAATGAAGAATTACAAAATATAGTCAAAAAGTGCTTTAGCTCTGCTGATAAAAATATGTCTCCTTTATACTTTATCCCTACAGATGATGAGCAAGTTAACTTCTTTTTACTTCAAATAAGTAAAAAATAAAATTTATATTTGTACATTTTAATTTATTTATTAATATTTCTCAAAAAAAGGCGAAAAAGAACTAAATGCTTTGAAGTCAGGAGAAATTGAGATTGCTAATTTTGTAGGAAATACTATTTAAAAATGTGATAAAGATGAAGTGATTGAATAAGATTTATGGATACCTGCTACTAATTACGCATAAAATATTCATACTTTACCAAAATATAAAATTAATAGTATAAACTAAGTAAAATTATTTAATCTAAATTTTAAAATTAAAATAAAATTTTTTTTTTAGGTTTTATCTAAAATATAGTTTAGCACAGACTATAAGCCATAAATTGAAGCAGGGCTAATAGCTTCAGAACCTACTTAACAAGATTCTATTGTATGGTAACCTCCTTTTATTATGGGTAATTATTATTTTTACAAAAAATTATTATTCTTTTAATTTATAAATTTGTACTTCTCATTCATTAATGAATTAACCTTTTAATTATAAATATGTTTAAATATTTTAAACAAATTAACTAAATATGTTTAAATATTTTAAACAAATTAACTAAATATGGTTATTATTAAACAACTAATTAGATATTTATTAAAAAAACAATTATAATACAATTATTAAACTTATTTTTTATAATTTTATTTATCAATTTAGGTTTAGTACATAACGAGCTTAGTGAAAAGGTTGATTACCCAATGATTAGTTGCTTAGTTGAAGATAAAAATATTTAAGGATCAGCTTGATTAGTTAGTTTATTTGTGAAAACGAAATTATGAATTTTAACAAATCTAAAAATAAATGAAGAGAAAGCATATTGTAATAGTAGTAGTCAAAAATTAACAAATTAAATTCATTTTATATAATAAAGAAAAGGCTTTAAATATTTTATAATTTTAAATTGGATTCAAAACTAATTATAATGTAAATTGATTCAAAAAATGCTGAATTCTTTAACTATAAATGAAATCCTAACTAAATTTCAAAATTATTTATAAATTATTACAAAATCTAGTTTTTATTTGTTTCATGCATGTTTAAAAAATTTATGTTGGTTTAACCTTCTTCCTACCTACCAATCTATTTTTATTTATTTGTTAGATATCAGAATAAATAATAAATTTTGTAAACTTTGGATTTTTTATTATAATCAATTTATGAATTTAAAATTAAACTAGTTCAATGCTTATGTTAGTTTTTAATTGAAAATATTTAATTAACTATAAAAACTTAAATAAAATAAATGTAAAATACTAAAACGTTTAGAAGTAAATCAAATTTTGAAAAAGATATTAGTAAAATTACAACTAATAATGCAAGCAATTTTGATTTTAATTAGTTGAGATTAAACTTGTAATTATCTTTAAATACACCTAAATAACTATCTTTAAATTTTAAATAACCATATTCTTAGACTTCTACTTAAAATAATATTGAAAGCTTAAATTCTACTCGTAGATCACTTAAAATAAAAAATCATTCATTACACAATTAAAATACATAGAATCTAATACAAACATGTTAAAATACTCCTTTAAAAAGTTCTAATAAACTTAAAAACAGCAATAGTTTTTATCATACAGATAGGCTTTCTAAAAATTCGCTATAAAGTTAAGATTTTTTGGATTTAAATTTATAAAATTAGAGTTAACATATAAACTTAAATCTTAAAAGAGCTACAGAAATTATTCCTTAAATTTAGAAACAGATTAAAGATAAAACTGTTCTTAAAGATAACAAAGATTTTACATTTATAGATGTAAGAGAAGAAAAAATGAAAGAATTAAGTATTTAAAATAGCTAGGATTCTATCAAAAAAATTTAAAATAATATTCAAAAAAATAATTAAGACAAAAGTGAAAATAAGAAAAAATAATTTGTTATTTAAAAAATTAATAGCTCTTAGCCTTATCTTTTTAATTAAAAATAAATTTCCACATAATTAGCTTGTAATGAATTTAATTAAAAATAGTAAAATGAAGATTTATCTGCTAAATTTCAGGAATAAAAAGATAAAATTTTTTCAAAAAGATAAAATATTTTAAGATAATTTTAATGTCTTCCAATTTACGAAGAGTTAAAATCCATATTAAATTAATTTTTTATACTTTACTCTATGGTTATAGAAGAGGCAGAATAAAGATTTATATTAATCCCAACTTAAGAAAATTTATTACACTAAAAGCTGTTATAAGGAGAGCATTATTTGCATCAAATTTTTAAAAAATTAACTTAGCATATTATTTAAGCTGAAAAAAATTTTGATTCTGAAAGGATAAAGGAAAAAAATAAATAATTTGAATTAAATACCTAGTTAAGCTAATTGTTAACTTAGATAGATAAGTAAAATAAATCAGATGATATAGTGTAAAGTGAATAAAATTTAATTTAGTTAAACAAAAAATAAAATATAGAGCTAGTTTATCAGAATGTTTAGCTTTAGAAACTTGTAAAATATTTTTTAAAGCATTTTAAAGTTTATTTAAAATTTTTTATTAAAATAATTGAAATTAAATAGTTTTTTTATATTTAAATTTAATTTTATGAAAAATTAATTAATTTATTTTTTTATAAATATAAAATGATACTTTCAAAGTCTAATGATTTAGCTTCAAAACTCAATTAAAAATAGAATGAAAATATAAAATAAACTTATATTTAAAATGAACAACTTCAAAAATAGGTTTCTCAATTACAAATTGAAAATAATAAAAATCTTTATAAAATGGACTAAAATATAGTTTTACTAAACTCCACAATTGCTATTTTAAAGGCTTAGCTTAAAAAAGTGGAAGATAGAAATAAAGATCTTGAATATTCTTATTAGAAAATTTTAGAGTAAAACAAACTACTAAATCTTGAAAATGAAACTTTAATTAAGCAAATGAATGATCTAAATTAATAATTAGATTCAACAACATAAAATAAATAAATAAAGGAAAATGAACTTGATGAGATGAAAAAGATAATATTAACAAATACTAAAATAATAAAAGAAATGAAAGAAAAAGTAAATACAAACTTATCATGTATTTTTATTGATTTTTTTAACTTTATAAAATAGCTAAATAAATTGACTACATAAAAGATGACTTTTGTTATTCCTCCTGATAATAAAGACTTTAATGAAGAGAAATATTTTTTTGACAGCATTAAAAGTTCTTATTTTAATAAGAGCTATTTTATTAAATAAATCAAAGCAAATATGGAAGGGTTTGATTAAGAGTAAATTCAAGTAAATATGAGAAGGTAAATAACTAAATTTGTGATAACTTTCTTTAAATAATAAATAAATTATTTTAGTTTTGAGGACTAGGATAAAAATGATTCTATTGTTGATCTCACTAAATACAGATATAATTTGCCATAATTTTATTGCTTTATCAAGGATAACTTCTAAAATTTATTTAAATAAGTGGAAAATACAACTTAAATACCTTATAATTTCTTAGCTACCATAAGAGGTATCTTAGATTCCAAGTACAATGAATTTTTATTATGCTCAAACTAAAATTATTAGAATGTTTCTTTGTTTGCTGATTTTGTTTATTCTTGGCTTATAACTTTTGACATTAATCAAAACTCTAGAAAAATTACTAAATTCCACACTAACACATTAACTTCAAATCTATTAGAACTTAGAATAACCTAGTTTTACATTACACTAAATAATCATCTTCTATCAAAACTTTGGGAAGTATATTTGTTAGCTTGCTTCATTATTTATTTTTATATAGATATTTATGATATCAATTTTATTTTACTTAGTTTGTTACGTTTAGAGAAATTTTAAATGAGGACTTAAGCAAAGAGGAGCTATATTTTTATCTTTTTTGTAGGAATTAAATATTTAAAGGACCTCAACTTGAATCTCTTTCTTCTACATTTGAAATCATAAATTACATTCAAATTGATGAAGCTATAATATTAATTCGTAGTGTTCTTACAAAATTTGATCAAAGTACTGTTGAATATTTAATTTCCTAGATAAAAAATAAATCAGTTTTAAAAGGAAAAAAGTAATTAGTTGATGCTCAATTGGTATTGAGATTGCTCTTAGAGTACTTTAGAACTGAAAGGTAATAGAGATATAAGCTAATAAAATAACTCTTTTATAGCTAAAAGCTTGAAAATAAAGATGGAAAATACACTTTGAATTTCACATCATTTAGGTGAAATTTTATTTTTATATTTTTCCTCTATTTTTTTATTCCCATTAATTAAATATTTTTTTACATTTAGGAACATATTTCATAAAAATTTTATCTCCACAACTGAGTTAGAAAAGGCTTAGATTTATAGAGAGTGCTACTCAATTGGAAAAGGAATTGTAAATCATGATACATTTTTTACAGTATGTAATGAAAATGGGTTTTTTATAAAATAATTGAAGTTAAATTTACCAACTGAATTTCCCTTATTTAATAAAATTACAAAGTAATACGAACCAGATGATCTATTATTATCTTAAAATTTACAAACATTTAAAAATTTTTATACTGATGAGCAATGCTAAAAAAATTGGTAGGTTATTAGCTAATACATATAAAGTTAAGGATTAGAACCATAATTATAAAATTATTAGTTATTTATTAAATAAAACGATTAATTTAATAAAAACTTGGTCTGCTAAAATCTTTAAGGTAAAAGTTATATTTTTTTTCTTTTTGAAAAAATTAAAGATATATAGACAAGTATATATCTCAAAATATTGCAAAAACAAGTTGAAATAGATGATTTATAAATCATAGAAATCCAGAAAAATCTTTAATAGCAATTGAGTAACTCTTGTTTAACAGCTATCAGTATTTTGTAAAAAAATAAGTAAAAGAAGTACGAATTATAAACTTAGAAAATAAGTATATTATAGAGATGGGCAAAAACAAAAATTTCTAAGTGGTATACTTTGATAAATGAGCTATTACTTTCGAAGTATAAGACAATGCTGTTGTAGTAAGGAATTTAGCCATTTTAAAATATCAATAACTAAATAATTACAGAAAAAACCGATAATGAAGAATAAGAAAATGATTATGATGATTTACAATTTTAAAAATAAACATCCAAAAAATAGCAAAAGTTTTTATGAAAATAATTCAAATGCAAGCCAACATTATTAATTATCAAAGTATTATTATTACTTGTTTGTATGAAAGTGTTTTTCTATTTTAAAATTTTCTACAAATGCCGCATTTGGCTTTTATAAATTAGTTAAAGTAGAAATAATCAGAAATTTTCTTTTGCAATCTGACTAAAAACCCCGCCTTGAATTCTTTAATTCTTTTTTGCTTAGATACCAGATAAGACTATTGATATTTATCTAGATCATTTATAAAAATTTGGAAAAAAAGAGCGGATAATTTTTGAAATTAAATATATGAATTATTTTAATTTATTAACATTAAATATAATAAATACTTTATTTATTTAAAGCAATATAAAGAGCAAGCAACCTTTATTAAGAAATTATTTTTGATATAAAAATTATAGTGGTTTGTTGGAACGTTTGATAAAATTTAGATAAAAACAAACAAATTTATTGAAAACATAAAACATTAGAAAAAGATAAGAAAGATTTAAAGCCTTTTATATTTTATTTATCAGATAAAACCCAAGCAAAGATATTATTAAAAATAAACAAGCACAATTATTCATAAAAAACTTAATTAAAATCTTATCTCTTTCATATAAAGGAATATCCAAAATAAAAGTTTAGTACTTACTTACTTCATAATTAGTTAAGCGTTTACCAATCATTTAGTTTTATACTTAAAATGGCATCTTTATTTAAAGCAGCAATCAGAAGTTAGCTCTCAAAATTATCAAATATGTATCAATAGATTTTAAATTATTTTTATTTTAAGTTTTTTATTATTGCTTTTTCGCGAACTATATTAATTTCTTTTTAATAATAAGGTTTAATGAAGAATCAGAAACTATAGCTCTTAAAATTCCAATGACCAGATGCAATGAGTTCCTGGTTAAATTACACGAGTAAAATATTTGTTTAAAAATGAAATATTACATATCAAGTTTTTTAGTAGTTGAATTCACATTAATTTGTCTTTTTATGAATAGCTTTGTGATATAAGAGCAAGGAGTGCCAACAATTACTAAAGAAGATAATAAGATGGATTTCTAGAACAGACTTATACTTTTGAATAAAGAAGTAGATCAAAGTATATTAGCTAAAATTATTAATTACATCAAAAAATATTTTATTGAATTGCAAAGCTTATTCTTTTACTTTTATAAAATTAGATTTGTCACAAATACCTTCAGAATTAAAGACTTGGATTCAAGAATAAAATGTTGAGATTATAAAACACAAAATTTAAAAAGATATAAGCACTTTTTCTTTAGAAGAAGCAATCGAAAAAGTTATAAATAATAAAGATATTGATTCTCATATAAAATTAGAAACTTTGAAGCAATTTAAAATTATTGAGTTCAACGAGAACCAAAAACCTTTCAAAGATTAAATTGCAAGTATTGTTTTAGATAAAAGCCAAAGCAGTATAACTACAATTCTCTAGAAGAAAATAGATTAAGATGATGAACATTTCTTTGTAAATTCTTATGAGTATGTCTTAGGAGAAAAAAATTTTATTTTAGATTTACAAGAAGGCAGCTGCAAGTTTTTAATAGATATATCAAAATTTTACATAAATAATTACTTTTAAGAAGAAAGAGATCGCATTCTTAATTTAATTAATGATTAAGAGTCTGTTGTTGATTTATTTGGAGATATTATTTTAGATACTAGATTATATAAAGAGAGAAATGCAAAGGTACTTACATGTGTAACATCTGCAACTTTACAAGAATTTTTCTAGGATATAAAAAAATAAAATAGCCTCTCACACAGATCAGCTAGCAGTAAATCTTTTTAAGAATTTATTTTATAAAGATAAAATATATTTATTTTATTTAACAAATAAGGATCTCTATCTAAAGCAGTTAATGAAGGGACATAATAAACCCCTAAAGGATTGTATGAAATAGAATGCAAAAATGTCTTTAACTTTTTAGAAGACCATTTTAAATAAAAAGAGCACTCTAACGTTTTTATAATTTCAAGAATATTGAAAGATCTTTCTTTTTTAGGTAATTTAAATTATTGCATAACTTACTTGTATTTATTATTCAATATTTATTTGTAGGCTCATTTGTTGGCATTTTGGGTAAGAATCATTAGTAAACTGAAAATGGAAATGGAAGTACAGAAGATAGACCCATTAATTTGTTCTTTTATTATCTAGTTAATTAAGAAGAATACGATAATAAGCCTTTGTCAGAACTTATTGTGGACAATTTAAATTAAAAAATAATAGATATTTCTTCATCATAAATCAACTAGGCTTTATTTGAAAAATCAGATTTAGGTTCTGTGACATAAATAAATTTCGATTTACCAAATAAAATATTAATTGGAGTTAATATTAAAATTAGAAGTGAAATATTAAATAATCCAGTAGTCCTAATAGCTTAAGTAAAGGAAAGTTATAATAAGTCAATCCATTCCCCTAAAATTTAACATGATGCATAGGATATATCTGTAAAATTCATTCATTTTAAAGTATATTTTTAAAAATAATTTATTATTGAAAATCAGGAATATGAAGGAGATTTATAAAAGAAAATTAAAGCTTGATAGTTCTGTACTAACTAACTAACTAAATAAATAAAAAAATTACTAATTAAATAATAAATGTAAACATTTAAATAAATATATAGATTGTTTGTCTTATTAACTAAATTTATATAAAAAACTTTAGTAATTGTTTTAAAATAAAAAATAAAAATTAATCATTACCATTTTAAATATTCTTGATTCATTAAAGTTTTTTCATTTATGAATTACCTTTCAACAATCAATAAAATAGCTTATGAATAATTTATATTGAATTATCTCATTTTAAAGTTAAAAGCTTAGATATAAAATGACTAATCAAAAAATTAATTTTTCAAAAAATTATACTTCTAAAAAGTATTCTTAAAACTATAAAAGTTTTTACAAATAAATTAAAAATCTAAATATTTTATTATTTGAAAATACAAATATGTATAAATTAATTGCTTTACTTTTCATTATTTTTCTTCATTATTGCTAAATTTATTCTTATTTTAAATAATTTTATTTATTAATTATTTATGTATTTTGAAATTATTTTATTTATATTTTTAAATTAATTTTGGAAATTTTATTTTTTGAAATAATTTAAGAGGTTTTATATTTATATCTCTAAATATTAGTTTGTATATAAATATCTAAATATTGTAGGATTTACAAAAAGTGCGTTTTCTGCTCTATAATGCTTGGCAATGAATGGAAGATTTTTTAAGGTTAATTAATTCCATTCCTAATTTTGGATCTTGATTAAAATATGTTTCTTTAAAATTTTAAATTAAATATTATAAAGTCTTTGATATTTATAAATATTTTACCTTGATGATTTTTCTAAATTTTATTTTCATCCTATGGAAAATTTATTTGAAACCAAAAATAATATTTTAATATTTGAGCAATAATTTATCTTTATAAATGTACTATCAATGTTTAAAGTTAATAGCATGTACTTTATATCCAAAAATGCGAATAGAATTAAAAATATAATCTTTGAAGTTCAAAATAATAAATTTAGCATCATTTCTTTTATAATTAAATCAATGAGGTAAAAATTATAATAGTCTAAACATATGAGGGTATGTTAATAATTTATGGTTATAATAAGACAATAAAAGTGTTTCTACTTTATTTTCAAATTTATAATAGAAGCAAGAAACTTAATTTAGGTCTAAATCTTTATTTATTATTTAGTAGAGAAAAAATTAATCAAGCAGTATCATACATACAAAATACATTAAAAAAAAGAAATCTATCGATCTATCAATTAAATATAAATTTTAAAGAAGAAAATTTCAATAATATAAAAATATATTAAATCAATTATTAAAATAAATAAAATAAATGGGAGGAGGTAACGGATAAAACGAAGATAGCAATAATTCTGGAGAGCAAGACTCAGCCTCTATCGCAAGAAAGTAGCATAGAAGAAATAAAAATGAAATTGAAAGAGAGTATATTTGTGGTTGGCCCGATTGTGGTAAACAATACGGTACAAATGCAGCACTTTATACCCATACAAAGAATAAGCATAAAAGTATTGAACATCCAAATACAAAAAGACCTAATTCAGAATCTGTAGTAGGAAGAAAAGGAAGACCACTATAATCTTTATAAGAAAACAAAGGTTTTCCTATAAATAGCAATGAACCACCAAAAGATTTAGAAAAAAAATTGCATGTATAATTTTTAATAATTCATTATATTTATAAAGAAATTAATAAGAATTAGCTAAAAAAACTAAATATAAATATAATTTTTTAATTTAGAGTAAAGTTATAATTAGAAAGTATGCAATAATTAATAATTTCATAAGTATTTTAAATAAGAAAATATCATTTTGTTTATTAGGTTTTTTAGAAAAACAAAATATTTTTTATTTATATATTTTTGAAAAATATCAAACAAACAAATAAAATAGTGTTTGCTTTAATATGAAATTAAATTAAAACAAAATGAGATTAAATTATAGTCATATTAAATCAATATTAATTTTTAAATAAAAGGTTATTAGTATTTGGAGTGATTCTAGGTTTATTGATATGATCCATTTAATCGGAATGTATGGTGATTCTGAAAATACTAACTAATTTACCCGCGAAATGGAAGACGAGTCCAGTGCAATTACAGAAGAAACAATAAAAGAATATATTGATAAGATAAAAAATTAATTTGATTCAAAAATGCCATTTATATGCCCTCCTCATGTTAAAAACTTCTTAATAAAGGCATCCCATTTTTGGAAAGCAAAAGTACAAGAAGAATTAAATATAGTCTTGCTCTATTCTGTAATGTTTTCTGGGTAGGCTATCAAGACTTTATAAACATATATTTCTAATAAAGATAGAACTGAATATAAAACATTCTAAAAGTTAATTGATTCAAAAAAAGGTGAAGAGTTTAGCAATTTTGTTTTAAAAATATATAAGATTTTAATGGAGTAACAAAATACAACAGAAAATGGTGATGCAACTTCCTGATAAAATTAATTAAGATTTAAAGAAAAACTATGGAAAAATAGTCATATTTTAATTAGTTAATAAATTATAAATAAATATAAATTTTAAATTGTTATCAATCAGTTATATCCAAGAAATAAAAATTAATTTATTTTATCAAACAATCAATCAATAAATTAAAGATTTTTTGCTTTTTGATTCTCAATATTCATTATTATTAAAACAAAATCTATATATGTTAAAAGCTATTTCAAAAGTTAAATTACAATATTTTATTTATGTAAATTAATTAATTAAACTACTATCTTAATTAATTCAATATTGATAATTAATTTTATTAATTTTTATATAAACTATTATTGAAGAAGTTAGTTATCCTTATTTTTCATTTTATTATTAATTAATCTCAAAAATACTAAAATGGATATTATAAATTGGAAGTAATAAAATTTGATGAAAATAACTAAATAATCGATTATTTTTATTTTATTTAATTTTTTAAAAAAGAAAATTTATTTAAAATTTAAATAATTTATTTTTTATTAAACAAAATGACTCATAATAATAATTTAAATTTAATTTTCTTTTATTATTAATATTTAAAATAACAATTATAATTTTAAAATACTATTTTTTCAAAACACATACATAAATTGTTCAAAAAACATATTTTTTTCATTAAAAAATTAGAAATTATAATTGTTTTTAATAAAATATAGGAAAAATAATCTTCAAAATTTAGTAAAAGATTAAAGTGAGTTTTTTAAATAAATTATAACTCTAGTAATTAATTATGAAATCAAAAAATATCTGATTACATTATTTTTTAACTATTTCAAAAAAAAAATTTTTAAAATAAATTATGTTTTAATTACGAAATATAACATATGTTTCTTTTTTGTATTACTTTTATTTATTTTTAAAAAAGCATCAATATACACATACACTCGAGAGAGTGTTAAAAGTGAAAAAATGTATTTATTTATAAATAAATCTAAACTTTATCAATTTTTTTAATATTTTTTTATAACATAAAAATATAAATTATCTAAATATGAGATTATTTAAAAAATGAATAATAAGCTTATTAATAATAAATAATTATTATATTAATCATGAGTAGCAATTAAATATGGTTCAATCAAAATAAATTATTTTCATCAATGAAGTTATTTACTATTTTTTGTATTTCAAAGAAAATTGTTTTATCTTTGATAGTAATCAAAGCTTCAAAATTCTTGTTTTTAAAAACAAACAGATTTATTTTATTTTTAGCATCATTTTCCTATTAAGTATCAATATTCTAACTTATATACCTCCCTTAATTATTTTATTTTATTATTTCATTTCTAATATACTCTGAGGAAGTTTAGGTTTTAATTAATTAATTTTACTTTAGATTCAATTTTTTATCAGAATTCTTAAGCTTTTGTGGTGTCTTATAGAGAAATTAAATATTTTTTTCTTATTGACAGATTTTTGATATATTACTTGATTTAATTACATAGTTGTTACTCAAAATATTCTCTTTTAAAAGTGTTTAGACCGGTGAAATATTTTTATTTATATAGCTTTCCTTTTACGAAATAATTTTATTGGTATTCATTTCTTTTAAAGGTGCTTTTAATTTATTATTTCCTGATTATTTCTAAATATAACTATTAGGTTCACTGAGGCTCTTTTATTTTGTTTCTTCTCCTAGATAATAAATTCTAAAAAATTTTAAATTATATTTAAAATAAATAAAACTTACAATTGAAATCTAAGTTATTTTTCTATTTCTTAAGAACGCATGAGTTCTTCAAATGTAATTTTCTCATTTTAATATATATCAAAGTCACTTGTTTCTTTTTGTAAGCTTTTTTTGAATAAAGATTTGCATAAAGAATTTAAATCATCTTAACCATTTTGTAAATTTAACATTCCTTGAAAATTCTAACTTCTTTAAGATTGCTGCTGTAAAGACTAAAGTACTTTATTTAACTAATCAGACATTATGATATGATAAATAGTTTAAGTGATATTAATATTTATTCCTAAATTAGAGGTATTTTGTTTTTATTTTTAATAAATTATTATAATTGATAATAAAATATGCCAAATTTATTTAGGTATTGACATAAAAGACACAACAAAAATAAGTGTCTCTAAAAGAAAATTAATTTAAAAAATTTTAGGAACGAGCTTGTATTTAAAAAATAAAATAAAAAATTAATTAAAGTTATTTTTACAAATTTAAGTGTATGAAATTCTTTAAAAAATCCTTTTAAATTTTAAATTATATTTTATATTATACATTTTATTTGTTTATTATTGCATTTTTGTTTAAAAATTATTGTTTAGTAAATGATAAATAAACGAAATACTTAATTAAATTTAGGTTATAGATTATATACTTTTAACGTATTTAAGAATTAAAGGAAAAAAATTTTTATTGTTTTTCTATCTAAATTGTAAGCTCATTAAATTTAAATTTAATTAAATTTGTTTATTTCCGAATAACTAAAATTTGTAAATTTTTCTACTTGTGACATTATTTCTGTTAGTGAAGTTTTTCAACTATTTTTACTTTTAATGCTAATAGAGAAAAAGAAATATTTATTATTTGTATGTTGCTTGTTCATTTGATGATTTTTGCTTTCTTAGGTTATTTTAAATTTCGTTGATTTCCTTTTCTTATTTTGTTTTATTAACATTTTTTTAATATTTTCAATAACTTAGAATTTATATAATTTCTTTCAAGAACAAAATATTTTTATTTATCTGTGCTAAATAAATTAATTGAAAACAACAGCAATTAAATATAAATTTTAATTAAAATAATTATTTAAAATAAATAAAGTTTAATTATACTGATTTTAAAATCTTTTGTATCTTTTTAATCGTTTTACATTTTTGTATAATATATTAAAGAACTTTAAAATTATATACTGAGAATAAATTCTGAGATACTTCTCTATTCATAATTTAGAAAATATCTATTGTAAAGCATTAAAATTTCAAAAGAAGAAAGAAAAGAGCAATAATTTTTTATAATTTATACATATAAAATAGTTAAATAACTTCTTAAAATATTAAAGAGGCATAAAAATTATAAAGGGATTAAACAAAATAAAAATTAAAGTAGTTAGTTAAAATGGGAGATTGGTGCACAATTGAGAGTGATCCAGGTGTTTTCACAGAACTCATTAGAGGTATTGGAGTAAAAGGTGTTTAAGTTGAAGAAGTTTACTCTTTAGAAGACTAATAACTCATTTAATAGATTTAACCAATCTATGGTTTAGTTTTTCTCTTTAAGTGGACAGATAAACTAGAAAAAAGAGAATGTCTTCTCAACTATGATAACGAACTCTTTTTCGCCAATCAAGTTATATAAAATGCTTGCGCAACATAAGCTTTGCTGGCCATTTTGCTTAATAAAGATGATCAAATTGATATAGGAGAGGATCTTAAAAATTTTAAAACATTTACTGCTACTTTAGACCCTCAAATGAAAGGATTAGCCATTTCAAATTAAGAAAACATCTAAAGGGTAATTCTAATTCTAATTTATTTATCAATACTTATAAAATTAAGAAATTCATCTCAGTTTCTTAAAAGAAATCAATTCATTTTAAAATATTTTTTATTGATCTAATATACAATTTTTTACAGTTTATTTTAATCTAATATCATATAGGTCCACAACTCTTTCTCAAGACCAGAACCCTTTATATTTACTTAATCCAAGAAGAAAGCAACTGAAAATGATGATGTTTTCCATTTTGTATCTTTTGTTCCTCATAAGGGTAAACTTTATGAACTTGATGGTCTTCAACAAGGTCCTATTCTTTTAGGTTCTTACGAAAATGACGACTGGCTTACTCTTGCTACTTAAGAAATAAATGCAAGAATTTTAAAGTATAATTTTTATTAAAGTATTAGGGTTCAATAAATGATGCATTTTTTAAAAAAATAGATACAGCTAGGATGAAGTTAGATTTAATCTCCTCGCTTTAACTATTGACAAGCGTTATTAAGTAAATATTTCTTTCAATAATTTGAATTTGTATCTTTAAATATTTTATCTAATAATTAGTGCTAAAATAACATAAAATAACTTGAACTTCAAAAACTTGGTCTTTATCAGTATGCTAAAGATAACTAAGTCGAGTTGGATGCTATGTAGGAATCTGACTTTGCTGATTTAGTATAAAAAATTTAATACTTTCATTAAAAAATTAATAAAATATTATAACTAATAGAATGCAAAATTAAGTGAACAAGAAAAATTAGCTACTTAAGTCGATGCTTAAGTAAATAAAGATATAGTTTTAGTCAAAATAGCAGATATCAATGATTAAATAGCCCAATAAAAAATAATAATCGAAGAGGAAGAATACAAATTCAAAAAATATGAAGTAAAAATGCCTTTATAGTATTTATAAAAAATATTTAAAATAAAATTTAAATAAATAGGTAGAGAATGTGAGAAGAAGACATAACTATATTCCATTTATTGTAGAGCTATTCAGATAGACAGCAAAAAAGGGCAAACTTGCAGAATTGATTGAAAAAGCTAAATAAAAGAAAAAAGAAAAAGCATAATCATAGTAATAATAATAAAAGAAAAACTGATTGATAAAAGAATGATTGAATGAATGAATGAATGAATGTTTATTTAAGAAATATTTTATTTAAATTTTATGAAACTAAAACATTTATTTAGAAATAATGCAATGAGTTATGAATGAGATTGTTTTATTATGTATTTATATTTTTAATTCCCAACAATAAATAGGTTTTTTGTTTTTTCAATGGAATTCTAAATCCTCAGGTTATATTCTTTTGCCAGTTGGTTTCATCGTTACTTTGTCAACATCTTTTTTCATACTTTTTCTCATGTCTAATTAATTAATTAGTTAATATTTTTTAGATTATTCTTCAGTATATTCAATAATTATATTTATTTACCATATGCATCCTCTGATTTACCATGCTATGAACTATAATACTTGTTTACAGTTTAATATACATCATACCCTATTAGAATAAAATTTATATTTTATTTAGAGTACTTTAGAATAGTTTTAAATTCACATACCTAGGGCTCTGTACATTCCTACTGCTATTTTATTTGATGGTCTTACAAACAAATCTACAAACCAACCATCATGTTTTTCTGTGACTTATTCAAGGTAGTCCATCAAAAATCTTGCTATTCCTTATCTTCTAGAGTCTGGGGCAACTGTTATAGCCTTAAAATACATTGTAACAAATATATTTATCCTGAAATTAAATTACAGTAACGTGACCATGCCAGTTTTTTTTATTGTTATCACCTTTGTCACCTTCAACTTTTCCTAAAACTTTACAATTTTACAGTAGAATATTTTAGATTAGTTACATATAAATAAAATATGAATAGTACGATAAGATTAAAATCTTCCTGTGCAATTTACTTATGTGATGCAATATTCGGGCCATTTAGCAATATATTTGCCATAAAATAATGTATTAAACTAGTTTAAGAAAAAATAATTTAGTTTTGATGCCGATTTTTCCAAAATATTTTAATCTTTATAAAGCGATTAAATTTATTTTTACAGTTTCAGTTAGAATATCAAGATTAATATTGTTGTATTCTAATAAATCGAATAACTTAAAAGGTCTAATAGTAGCCATTATTTATTTTTTTGAAAAAATACTAAGTTTATTAATATTAAGATATTGATAAAATTTGTGAAAGATAAATATATCTTTTTAGTTTCTACTTATTATTTTTCTATTTAAATAGAAAGAAAAGTTGGTTTTTAAAAAATATAAAATATTGCCAAATTTTTTTGGAATAATTAATCTAAGGCTATGGATGGATTTATCAACAGCTCAAAGAAAGAAAATAATTATTTTAGAATAATTAAAATTTGATGACTCACTCATCTTTATTCATGATTATGATGATTATTATTATTATTATTATTATTATTATTATTATTATTATTATTTAGATAACAAGATACTTATTTCTATTTTAATTTAAGAAAGCATCTCTCATTCATACATTTATTAATAATTCAGCTTTTCTTATTGATTTTGAATTTTTTACATTTCAATTAAAAAATTAGATTAAATAATAGATGAGTATATATATATATATATACACTAATGCATTGTATTTTAATTTATAGAATTTCTTCTTTTACATAGACCATAAAAATATTAATTAATTTGAGACAATTCAGTTGATTTTTGTAAGAAAAAGAGATAACTAATAAATAAATAAATTACAATATAAAAGCAATGGGTGGAGGATTATCAAAAATGAGATTATTAAAAATAATGCTTGTAGGGTTAGATAATGCTGGTAAAACTACATTTATAAAATGGCTTAGATCTAACTTAAATGGAACTCCTGGATAGAATCTTAATACAGTACCCACTGTTGGATATAATATGGAAAAGTTTGTTAAAAATAATTTCTAATATTAAATTTATGATATGAGTGGATAAAGCAAATATAGGGAAATGTGGAACAATTATTGTAAGGAAATAGTAGGTATAATATTTGTAATTGATTCTACTGATTATTTGAGATTTTAAGTAGTTGCTAATGAAGTTGAGCTTTTGCTTGAATAAGAAGATATCAAAAATAGACCTGTTCCTATTTTATTTTTGGCCAATAAATCTGACATGTAAGGGGCAATAGCCACAGAGTCAATGAAAGAAATGCTGAAATTATCAGTAATTACTGATAGAAAGTGGGAAATATTTTAAACAAATTCTCTTAAAGGTGCAAATATAGAAAATGGATTTTAATGGCTTACTTCTTCCATAATTAAGGCCTTCCCTGAAGTTAAATAGCAAAATTGAATAACTAAGGAAGCAAGATATTCAAAGTTAAATAAAATCATATACTCTCAATAAAATTATAAATAATAGATAGATAGATATAACAACATGAATAATGAATAAATAAATATAAAACTTTAAAAATGCATATAAATCAATGTAAATTTTTGTAAATTTGTGTAAAAAATGTTATATTTCAATTTATTAATTAATTATTAGATTAATAGAGTTATTACTACACAAAGAATTACAGCATTAGTGATAGTAAGTATTTGTATTAATTTAGCATTTTCACAAATAACATTTGATAGCTTTTTGCTATTAATAAAATTACTCACTTAGATTTTTTTTTATATACAGTTATTTTAGATATATTTTAATTTTAGTAAAAGTAAATATTTTTTTATTATTAACTAAATATTATTACTAAGATTAAGTTAACAAAGTTACGAGTTATTTCAAGCAATTTTAATTGAATAAATACTATGATTATAAATCAACTAAAATATTAACTCATCAATCCTCTATCTCTGCACCATTATATGAATTCTCTCCAAATTTGTTCGTTATCCAAAGTAAAAACATCTCCTGATATTTCAAAATTAAATTTATTATTAAATTAATTTTTATTTATTTCACTATACCTATTATTATAAGCGCTTCATTTGTTCTTGAAACTACTGCATTTATTCTACGTGGATCTCTTAAACTACCTAACTTTGCCTAAATTAGAATTAAAGATATTTAAACAATTATACATCGTAATATTCTTTCAAAAATTACTTCTTTGTTAGATCTAACAGTGCTGAAAACTATGAAATCAAATCTTTTGTCTAACTCTTCTACAGTTTTAACATTAATCACATCCATAGATGATTTAACGTTCAAGGCCTCCATTTCATCAAGATCGAATAGCTATGGATTATTCTTTTAAAAATTTTAAATGTAATAACTTGAATACATGTTATTTTAAAGTTTACTTTAACGTGATAATCAAGCTCACTTAATATCAATTATTTTTGAGTTTTATAAGGAGTTACAATACACAATTATTCTTTACGAATAGCCTTACATTTGAATAGATAAAGTATCGTATGGATTAAAACTTCTAATTCTTTCACATTGACTATAGAGTCTCCCTTTTTTAACTCAAAACCTTCAACGTGTATAAAATTTATCTTTACTTAATTATTTGGCCAGCAATAATTATCTAAGTTATTTTTAGGTTTATCAGAAATAATCTAATTAATATCTTCCATAAAGGATGATTTATCTTCTTCTGCTCCATTTTACTTTTCATCTTTTAATTTAGGAGTAGGAAATACTAAATTTTTATAATAATATTTTGAGGTGAACTAAAGAACATGGAAACTTATTTTATAGTTTTGACACAGCAAAAAGGGTCTTATCCCTTCTCTAACTAATCTTTCAAAAAGACTTAAGCCAAAGCCTCTGCTTGAAGAAAATAGATTATTTGTATAAGCAATCTATTGTAAGTGATCTCCAATTAATACTAACTGCTAACACTATTTTGTTATCGCTTCAAGGCAAGCTATTTCTGATACATTTTCTGCATCAAGTATTATAACTTTTTAGAAATAAATTCCTTTCAAAACAGAAAAATTAGCACTGCTACAATTAGTAATTACTACTTAAGCTCCTAAAAGAGCCTTTTTATAAAATGTATGTTTTTATTTATAATTTAAGTGTATAAAAAATTCTTACTTTTTTAAGAGAATGATAATATCTAGGCATAGAATTATGGGTTTTCTCGTAATCAGGTACAGACGTTTTAAGTCCTGTAAACTCTATTTTAGTTGTTTGCTTCTCTGATACCTCAATCGCATTTATATCACAAGATCTCAAAGCATGATAAACCTATCTCATTCTTTCTGTAGAATGTACACAAAGTAATATTTTGAGTTTGCTATTTTACTGAGCCCACAACATTATTAATCTTTTTAGTACTCTCATCTTTCCACTACCATTAGGAGCTTGAATTAAAGACAAACTTTGTCTATGAGCAGCCAGAAGAGCTTGATATTGAGAAGGATTTAAATCTTTATTTTGCTAATATAAATAAATTTGAACATTTTAAATATTGTAAAAAAATATATTAATTAATTACTATAGGCATTTCTTTGTCTACAATTGTTTCTGCAAGAGATCTGAGATGATATATATTGCTCAGTGGTGGTGCTGTCAAAACTCTATTTAAAGTACTTGACATAGAATCACTTTTCTATTTATTAACAATGTGTTTAATTCATTTATTAGCTTTTAATTATATATGAAGTAAGTAAAGTCTTACTGTAACGGTTTTTAACAAACTATCATTATATCTTTCATAAAGTCCAAGGTTGCATATTTTTGTGATTTTCCAAGTTCTTTATTCGCTAAGAATTTTGTGATCTGGATTTAAAATGTAGAGTTTCATACACAAATCTTTTTATATTTCCTTTACATATGCTATAACTGAATACTCAACTTTATTTCCATACTCAGTTATTGAATCAACATATGCCTTACTGTATGAATATTCCTCGTCACTAATTTGAACTTAAATTTTACTTTTGCCGTTTTCAATTATTTAAGGCTATTCTTCATCTCCAACCAGAGTTCCATCCTTTCTCCTACTATTTGCATTAAAGTAATCTATTAGCTTATCACCAGTCGCTTTCATGAATGGTTTATCATAAGAAGGCTTGAAAAAGCATGATAAAACCACCATTTCATCTTCACAAATTTGATGGTGATAGATTGTACCATCTGATTAATTTCCTAATAAGATAGTTCAATTTGATAAAGATAAAGATCAAGAGTTAATAATTAATTGTAGAAAAACTTTACTCTTAAGTAATTTTTTTTCTAATATGCCTGCATTTTCCTTAGGAGAGAATATAAAGACATCTTTTTCATAGAGAGTTCCAATTTCTTTAATACTACCTTTAAAATATATTAATTTGAAATTTTTAATGTTTCATAAATAGATTATTTATTTATTACCTTTAATATTAGTGATGTACTGAGAGTATTAATGCTATTTTGATTTCATACTTTTATTTGTATAAATTGTATTTGAAATAATTTCAATCATTTCCTAAACGATCTAAAGTTTCTTATTTGCGAAATAATAAGCACAACTAGAGTTGATAAATTACTCTATGTCTATCTTTCCAAATTTGTAGATTATTTCACAAACCTGAAGAGCAAACTCTGGATCAGATGATGTATAAATAAGAGTTTCATACATTTAATTTAACATATCTATGGATAGATAATTTGTGAATGGATCCTTTTTTTCTGCTAAAAGGTCAAATGGCTAACTACCTTTCATTTTACTTAAGTGCTCAAGGCTCATCTTTTACTATTACTACAATTAATACTAATTTGAAGGTTAACTCATATAAGAACCAGCAAAGGTAAGGTGATGATAATAATTATACATAGGTTTGTTTGATTTAATAGGAATAGAGTATGATTACTATAATACTTCATTTAGATTTTCGTTGAAAATTCTTGGTATAGGCTCTGGGATATCTACCACCATATTTTAAGAAGGCATTTGTTCATCACTTACTTCCAAATTGAATTTATCGTAATAATCAAATGGGTTTTCGCTTTAAAATCTTACGACATCTCTATACTATTATCTCAAAATTCTATTTACACTTTCTCTCACTAATTAATTTGAGTCTGTAAAAATAATTTCACCACCTATCATAATCGGTTCATTCTAGTTATGATATTTAACTTTGATTTCTTCATAATATTCTTCTTCACTTTCTTGCTTTTTGAGTTATCTTGATTACATAATATCAATTAAATATTTTAATTCAGCAGGTTTTTTCCTTTTAATGCAATATGCCCATAAAAAGCCGACCCATCTCCACTCTATTTTCCCAAATTCACTAATTTTTTGCAATTATTTGCATGCTTCTTCAAACCTAACATTTATAAAATTTAAAGAAAGTTTTACAATCGAAAATGATTTTATCTTACATATCTTTTTATATAAAAATTTAGATTTTCTTAGAATATTTATGCAATTTATGATCTATTTTATCTTAGTTTGTTAATAAATCTTTTTTTGCATCCTCACTAACTTGCTATCTATATAAGTCATGAAAAAGATTTGAATTGTTAGGAACATCTTAAAAAGTTAAAACATAATCAAGATAGCTTTTATATCTTATCCCTAAACAAAGAAGGTTTCTGCCAGCAATTTCTTTAAAAAGATTTTCAAATGCACGCTTCTTTGCTTCTTTTTTATTTTCTGCAAAAGAAGACACCTAGACTGTAATATTTTAATTTAGTAGTTTGCGAAGTAATTGAATATTATGATTTTTATTATTAAAGTACTCTTCCTATGTCTTAATAGATAACATAGAATTTTCATATTATGCAGTATGTTTCTACATCTCTAATTCTATTTCTTCTAAATCGAATTTTAAATTCATAAAGCAATGAAAAATTTATTTTTTTTTGCTTGACTTTGCATCGTCTTAACAATCATTTTAATAAGTAATTGAAAGTTTTGCACCTGACTTTTATATCCATGTATTCATATCCATAAAATTTCTTTATCTCCAAATTTTTAGAAGTTCCAATTGTTCATTAGGAGTAAGTACTTCAGGAAATGGTTCATTTATATACTATTTTTTCTAGTCATATTAACTCATATTGTGATCTTTCATCATTGATTTAAATTTTTCTTCAATTTTTTCATCTAACTTGCTATCGAACCATCCTTTTGGTACTTACTAAACCATTTATGGTGTAATGTTTTAAAAGTTATTTTGTTTATTTTTTAAGTATTCTGCATAACTATTATTTCCTTGTGAGTTTTAGCAAGTAAATAAAATATCTTTTTAATCATTTTTATTTTCAATTTCTGTAGATTATTATAAATTATTCATTTTGGAATGAAAGCTTAAGTGTAGCTACTTTGATATATTTTATAGTTTATCTTTAAGTGCTTTTCTTTTTTGTCTTTTATTCTTCTTTTTACTACTTCCAGGTTGGACTTCTCCTTCCTCTAAATTCCTTCTTTTCTTCTCAGAGCTCAAGTATACTTTCTCATAATAAGATTAAACAGGTTAAACAGGAATAGCCTAGACACTATTTAATTATTATTATAAGCTCTATTTTTTGTTTTCAATAATTTTGTCATTTTAATCCTACTATGATATCACTCCAAGTTTTTAAATTTCTTAATCCTGTTGAAACTCAATAAATCTCTTTTTACTAGAAGAGTAATCTTCAGGAATATAGTTGTAAATTTCTTCCATTTATTTTCTCTTTTTTTTGCTCATCTTTGAAGCACTTTCATAAGGATCTATCATATTTTTAGAGTTAGTATGTATAAATTAGTAATTTTCAAAAAATTAAAATTTTAGTATCTTGAAATTAAATTAAATTAAATTGTTTAAAACTATAAATAAACAAGCAAACATTATAAATTTTAGAAATAATTAATCAAAAATAATTAAAATAATCTAATGAGTTAGCGGTTTCCCGCATTTTAAAAAAAAGAATTTAAATTTATCAGAAATATTAACAATATAAATCTAAATATTTTTATATATTGAATTAAATTAATAAAATATTTTTTCATAAAATAATTATTTAAAGTGAAATCATTAAGCATCTTTTTATAGCAAGTTAAGAGCCAAGCTAGGAACTTTGCCTTTATTAGAAGAACTTTTAGTTCGTTTTTATGAATGTTAAGTAGTCTTTGGAGTTTTAGGTGAAATGGAGGATGTCTACTATTCAAGCGTTCCTAATTCTATTTTTATTTATTTCAAGCGATTTTTGAGTGCATTAATTTTAATCAGACTCTCTTTTTAATTTGACGCAGTTGTCGAATGCTGTAATCCTGATTTAATAAAATTAATGTCTTTATTTATTTAACTAATTTAACCATCTAAGAAGGTATTTCTAAATACTTGATGACTGCTATTCTGCTACCTTTTTTGTTTTTAAGAATATTCATTAATAGTATCCAAATTATTTGCTTGAATTCCTTCTTAATTTGACTCATTTAATGCTTATACTTTAGAATTTGTTTAACTTTTTTGACTTATTTTATTTCTCTAAAGACTCAAGTTGCCTTCGGTATGTTCAGTTTTTAACTATGACCTAGTTTCAACAGAGGAGCTTTTAAATTGCCTTTAATTATTATAATTTGGATGGTAACCAAAATCATTATATGAATTTTAGAATTATTAATCTTTTTAATTATAATTGCTGTGACTTTTTATTTATGCATCTAGGGTGCTATTTTCACTCATTATATAAGATTTGTTTGTAGCTATGTTATTATTTTTTTAACTTTAAAAACCTCCAGATAAGCAAGTGCCTTAAGCTGAATTCTAAATTGATGAATTGTGTGAGGAATTTATTTTTGAGTAAGAGTTTATTTAAATGTAACTTTGTTGTGGGGATTATTCCATAGGCACTTGATAAGTTTCACTTAATTCATGTTATTTAAGTACCTTTTTTCTGATTAAAGTTCTTGCAATATCTATATGCAATATTATCTTAGTTTGACCTATTACTGTCGAAGCATCATCTTTTTGATAAATTGGCACATCAATTTCGTTTATACCTTTTTTGCTTGCATCTATATCTAAATAAAAATGTCCAATAACATTAGTTTCATTGCCTTTATTTTATACGAGTGAACATTTTGCTTGATGTTAACAACTGTTGCTTCTACTTGTTTAATTATCAATATGATGCTAATCTCTCTATGAATCAGGATATTTTTTTGGTATAGGTGTTTTGTTGTTTCTTAACTTAAAATTAAACTAGAAATCTATTGATTACATCATTTCATACTTGAAGAAAGGAGTACTTTTTTTGTTGTTAGCTGAGAATTTTAATATAAAATAAAAATGATCGTTTTAATCATCAGTTCTAGGTTTGATCTTAAGTTGAAAATTAAATATTCTCATTACTAATTTTATTTCTTGCTTACTGATTCTGCTAGGAGTTTAGGTTTGAATAGGAGCAAGGGGCTACTCTTAAGGTAATTGAGGAGTTGTAGCTAAAGGTATATTAGCAAATATTTTAGTAGGCGATGAATATTTATGATCTTTGTTTAACACCTCTGAGTTTGTTTCTTTATTATCAAGAGAACTATTTTAGGTAGATTTATTCCTATTACTAATAATATTATTCTAACCATAGCTAGGATTATTTTGCTATTATTTAATTGGCTCTCCATAATATTTATCACTTGAAGTAAAATTTGACTGATTTTACTTATTAACTTGATTATTAAAAGTGAAAGATTCATTTTATCTCATTGCTGGACTGGCTGAGTTGTTAGAAGAGAAAGCAAAACTCTTATTTGCTGAGACTGAATAAGGAGTATAAAATGTTTAACCTATCTTTTTGTTTGAATTACAAGCACTCTTCATAAACATATAGCTTCTAGACATAGGAGAAGAACTTCTATGAGAAGATTTAACTGAAAAATGAGATTAAAAAGGATCAAAGCTCTATTCAGGTTAAAACTTTTATAACTATGCCACTCTTCTTTTATGAAGCTTATAATCAGCATCAAATGATTTCTTTGGATAAACGCTTGGTAAATTAACCATCCTATAAGCTAACTAAAAGTTTTCATTTTATATTTTATATATCTCCATTTACTTCTAGTATGTTTTTGAAGAAGGTTAAACTAAGACTAAACTAGCAGCCTCTTCAGCCTATTTAACAGCTTTATCGTTTTCACTAATCTCTATCAAAGCAGTAAGCAATTTTTTATTTTCTTTTTATATCTTCATTCGTTCCTATTCATATTTATACTTTTAATTATTTTATCTGTTTTTGTGCTAGAAATCTAACTTTTCCTACACTTCATTTATTGATTCCTGTATCCCACTGTCTTTTTCATAAACTTTATGCAGGTTAGATATATGTCTCTAGTAATTTTTTTCTCTTTCTTTATTAGCTATAACCCTTTTAGCCTAAAATACAACTTGCTTCATAAAATGATTTAATCTTAATAGATAGCTTCAAAACTAAATAAGAATACGTTAAAAGTTTTTAAAAATAAATTTATAGTCCTTATAATGCTTAGTTAAATTATTAATCTTTGCTTTTATAATCTATTTAAAATAGAGATAAATTTTATTCTTATAATTGCACTTTATGGTAGCTATAAAAATCAAATACTTTGCCTTATAAAAATAAATTAAACTCTTAGTATTTATTTTAGATTTTCTTTGATTTATTGGTAATGGATAATATTAATTTTTAGATAAAAACAATCAGATTAAAATTTATAAATTTATAAAATTTGTTTATAAATTTATTTGTATCAAGCAAATAATATTCACAATTAAATCAACTTCATTCTTGTTTTAATTAATTATAAAAAAATATTTAACAAATAAATTTTAGATTTAAACACTTTACCAACCGATTTTTAGCAATAAATTATTTTCATTAATATTCTACTTGCTTTATGCTTGTGCATCTTAAATAAGATATTTTTATAAAGAATTATTAAAAAAATTTATATTTTGAAATACAAATTGTTATTTCAAAATATTTTAATCTTAATGGTTTACATTTAGAATTTAAATGAAATTTATTTATTTTTAAATTAAAATTAATAACTTTAAAATTTAATTTTTAAATAAAACTTTTTTAGATGAAAAAATAATTTTTTTGAAAATCATTAAAAATAAAAAATGAATTTTTAATATTATTTTAAATCTTATTTTTTTATTTGAAAATATTTATTTAAGTATTAAATTTATATATTTTTTTTTCTTTATAGTAATTGAAAATCTTTGTGTTGTCTATCAATACTCAATAATTATAACTTATATAAAATGAGATGTCCAACACAAAAGAAAATTTATGTAATAATAAACGTTAAAACAAATAAAAAATGATATTATTATAGCAAAAATACTGTGTAGACTGACATAAAATATTCAAAAATTTATGATTTTATTAATTGAGATATCAGAAATATTATTAATTAATATAGCATAACGCATTAAAAGTAATAAAAATAATGTTATAATTTGAGGGATATAAAAAATATTTAAGAAATAATTTGATTATTAAGTAAAATAACGTAAGGTCGAATGAAAATTGGTAATTAATTATAATTACAATAGCCGCTTAATATCATGAAATAAATTGTATAATTTGTATCGAATTATTTTAATTTTTCACTTTTTTAATTTAAACTGAAAATATTATGAATATTTAAAAGAAATTTGGTTAGATCTTTCTAAAATTATTAAAAAAATTTTTGAAATTTCTTTGATTATTAAAACTAAAAATATTTTAAACATATAAAACAAGACAGTTAATTATTAGATAAAAAAATTAATTAAATTGATTATATTATCAAATTCTAACTTTCTTCAAAGTTATCTTATGATATATTAATTGCAATTAGGACATTTATTTTAAATAGGAAACCATTTTTGTATACAATGTGTATGAAATATATGTTAGCATTCAAGTTTAAGTACGCTTTAATTAAGCTCGAAGTTTTCAATACAAATAGAACAACAATCGTTTATTTTTTCTATTTCTTTTTATGTTATTGTATAGCTTTACTCAGTAATCACAATTTGTGTTTATTAGGAATTTAACCCTTTTTCGCTTTACAAGTCTGAATAGATAGAGTATAATACTCTTGCAATAAATATTATTTGGAGTGCATTTATGATCAAATTTAGTTCATCAGAAGAATTATCAGTGTTAATCCATAAATTTAAGGCATAAATAAAGAAGCTCAAGCAATAACCTGCAGCTATATACTTAGAAAATCTATTATTTAGGATATAAATCTTTGTTTAGTGAAAAAGCTCTACATTTTCAACAAGGGTATCAATGTTTCTTGAATTTTTAATTGCCAGATTAAACATTGTTGTTAACATTATTTTTGGTATAACTAAGATTATATTCATTATGCTCATAACAAGTAGCCATAGATAGTTTACCAAAAAAAATAAATCAAGCTCAAAACTAGTATTTAGAAGCACATAAATAATGTAAATATAGCATGCATTCATGATAAAAGCGAGCTTAAATTGTATTTTTATCTATTAAGTATTGAAAACAGGATTGTTAGTATATTTAAAATAGTCAATTTAAGGCTAAACACTTTACATTTATTCTGTATTGCCTTTTGTAAATAGGATTCGCCACACTATTTACAATAATTTACCTTATTAAACTTGATTTAGCATATTTTACATAATTGTTAATTTTTTTTTTTAATATTGAAATTTATATTAAATAAATAGTAGTTTATAATTTGCTATATAAAAATTGTATTTAAATTAAAAAAAATATGGTAATATAATTCTTTTGAAATGCCTGTCTCCTTCATTTTAAATATTGGATCCTTAGATATTTACTAACTTCCAATTAAAACACTTGATTTTTAATATTTAGGAGGGTGAGAGTAGAGGACAATACAGTATTAGACATTTTAAATTATATTTTGATTTTTTTATTAATTTAAAATAATTTCGATTGATACTTAAAATAGCTATTTGATGGCTGAATATTTTTCAGTTATTTACTTTTAAATACAAACTATTTATAAGAATTATCTTTTTAATGCTGAGTGAGCATATATTAGTTATTTGTTATTTTTTTAATTTATAATTAAGATTCTCTTCATAAAAAGCAATTATTTATAATTTTTTTTGAATTGATTATGGGAAATTAGATTGTAGATAAAGGTATTAAACCAATAGTGAAAAAAGAATTTGAAAATTTAAAATCTAAGTAAAGAGATTATTTAACTGTTAGCGAAGTTATAAAGTTTTAGCATCCAGAGAATTATTAATTTCAATTTGATCATTTAGGGAATCTTTTTGTCTTAAATTCTAGTCGTTCAGGGACGTTTTCAATTTAGGAAGTATTTAGTTTGAAAATTGTTTTTAAATCACTTCAGAATAAATTTTTTTTTTTGAAGTTTTATAAATTTATAGAATTTTGCTAGAATAATTTGAAAAATGTCAAAACGTATGAGTTTTAAAGCTAGCTTTAAGCAGCTACAACTCATGTATTACTTTAATATCTACAAAAGGAAAATGGTATTTACTTCTAGATTAAAAACATATTTTTTAATTTTTACATATCATCTTTAAAGGTGAAAATGAAATAGTGGATTGGGTTGAGCAAATGCTTTTGAAAAATGAAAAAAATGCAATTACGTTTGAAAGGATGGGAAATACAAAGTTTATTGGTATTCAAACTGTGAAGATACTTTATGAAATTTTCAAAATAAAAATGATGAATGGTATGGAAATTTAATAGTTCTTTTATCTATTATAGTAGTGTGGAGAAGAAGCTGGATTGATGGCTCCAGATGCTAAGGAATTAGATGAATACGTCCCTGTTGAAATGGGTAAAGTTTAACAACATATGATTAATTGTTTATGTAAGCCATTTAATAGGCAAAGAGTTTGCAAGGTAGTACTTAAGAGGATTTGCTAAGTTAATGAGAGAAGTAGGATTTAATGATGATTCCTCAATGCAGCAAGATATTACAATGTTGGAAGCTAGTCTACATAATACTAACAATCCAATCAACAAGATTGGATAAAATTAGATTGATAACTTGTAAGGGAGAGGAGAAAATAATTTTTAGGATTATTAGAGAGGTGATAATACAGGAGGGTTTAATTCTAACGACTAATACTTTGAGGATGAAATAGATGTGGAGGACGAAGATGAAATCAATGATGAAGACGATGAGGATGAAGATGATGAAGAGGAAGAATTATATGACTTAAATAGAATAGATGATTAAGATGAAACAAGCTACAATAAATTCTAAAATAAATTTAGATATACGCAATCATCAGGAATAGCATAATATCAATAATAGTAAAGATAAACTTAAAATAACAATTTCAACAACTAAGATGAAGAATCTGAAAAATAAAAATAAAATCTCGAAGATAAGTATAAAGATAATTATTTTGTATATCAATAAAAATAAAACTTAAAATCTGGATTAAATTCTTCAGGATAAAAGCATAAGTCATAGTCAATTAATAATAGTTTATCTTAATAATATCAAGACCAAGTTACCACAAGTTAACCAAAGCAAGGAATAGTAATCCCTCCTTTGTAGGTGAATTTAACATAAAAAGGATATATGCCAAATAACTTCATGTGAAAATTAAATAGATTAATTGCTGTAAAACAAAAAAATAAGTAAGTAAATAAAAAAAAATGCAAAGATTTATACTTAGAAGAATATTGAATAGATACATTTGAACTAATTTAGGATAGTTATATTATATTAAAAATATATAAACAATAGTATTTTATACAGGATGACAATATAAAAATAAATAAATGAATAATTAATTATTTTTAAAGTTAGTTTTTTTATCCAATATTGAAATTCAAAAAGAGTAAACACTTTCATCATCACTTTGAAAATTATCAGAAATGTCTGAAAAAAAAGGATGTGCCAAAAAATCATCTATTCCCACTCTTAAATAATGAAAGGGAGTTATACACTTTAGGATAAGATCTTTAAGAATATCTATATCTTCTTAACTTAAATCAGTGTTTTTTATCATATCTTAAATTTCATCTTTAAAATGATTCCAAAATTCTTCTATATTGTTTGGTTAATACAAGATTCCATACAATTTATCTTGCCTATGATAATATTTTCGTTTGTTTTATTTTTTCTTTTTAACAGCAGACATCTACGGTGGTGATGTAGAATTAGATGGAGAATTTACAGGTGTTTTATTTGTATTGTTTGTAGACTCTGGGGATAATTGTAGCTTTCTGTGAATATTAATTTGCTTTAGACTTTTTGATATCATACCAGTAATATTTACTTGTGAAATATCAATTAAATCTTTATTTGACTATTAAATCTGTTGGACAGGCTACTTCTTTTCTGTTGAAGTGCTATACTGAAACTCAGCTTCTTCGTAGTATGGACATTACTTAAAAACAAGTTGAAAAAGTGCAACACCAAGACCAAAAACATCGGAAGAATACTCATCAATTAAATTTAAATTAAAATTTGGTTACTCTAAGCAATCTACAAATTCTGGGGGATGATATTTAAGTGATCTAGATGTATATTAGCGAATAAATTCTTCTCTACTTGCAAATTTTTGATATTTTTTACAGAAACCAAAGTCAGCTAACTTAAATTCTTCTTCTGAAAAAACAAAAATATTTTCAGGCTTTACATCTCCATGAACCATATTTTTTACTTGATGTAAATATTTTATAGCTTAGCCAATTTAATAAAAGCATATTTTCAAGGATTTTAAGTTATCTTCTACATTATATTTAATCATATAATCAAAAAGATCTTCTAAAGCTTTAGGTAAAAATATGGCACAACTCATTCTAAATTCATATATTTTATTTTCTTAAAGTGCAATAATATGAGGATGCTTCATTTCTTTTAATTTTTCTACTTCATTTTTTAAATCATAACACTATTCACAATGCTATCCTTCAACTTTGTGTTTAATCTCTTTCACTACAATCTTATTAGAAACACTGCAAGAATTCATATTTCTTCTCTTCTTTAAAGGAACTTTAATAATAGCAGAAACAACAGAATTATTACTACTTTCTATGTGTTTGGTGAAGCAGTTTTAACCTTATAGATATTCGAGTAATTCAGGGGTATGTTTATTATTTGATAATTAACTGCTCATTATTTTTATCTTCCTGAAGTTTAAAAATCTTATAAAATATGTATTTTAATTTAAATATATATTTTTATTTAATCGAATTCCATCTTTAAAGATATATAATTTCTAATTATTTTCTAACTCATTTGCTCAAACAATTTGCAACAAGGTATTTATAATTTTTATTAAAATTTATATTCAAGAAATCCTCACCACAAAAATTTGTATTAATTAAAACTTAACTCTCAAAAAAAAAGTAAATTAAAAGGAGGTAAATTTGAATATTTATAAATGAATGTTAAATTTTTTTAGAATTTTAATTTAAAAAAATTTTTTTAACTTAATAAAAAATTGAATAAATGTAAAACATAAAATAAATTTGGTATATGTATAATCTATATTATATTATATAAATATTTTTTTAATATCAAGATTTATTATAAATGTAATGTTTATTTGTTGGGGTGCTATACCTTTAGAATATGTTACTCTTTTATTAATTTTAAAAAAGATTCTCAATTTCTAAATTTCTCAAATATTTATTTTAATTTAATTAATTGGTATCTAAAGAAACTCTTCTATTTTCTTAAATATTTGGCAAAAACGTAAAATTGGTTTCATTTGTGTTCATTCTTTCTCCCTTTTGCTATTACAGGCTAGAATGAGGATAGTGATTGCTTTTTCTTGATGCAGCATTACTTAAATCCTCAGTTAAACCTAATCTGTTTCTTATGATGTTATCGTGCTATTACGTATCTAGTCTTGTGATAGACTTTTTTCTGTATTTTCCATCAGAATAATATAATCCATTCTAATTGTTTTTTTAGTTATGAAAAGCATTACTTTTATTAATTGTATTTTCGTCAACATCGAGCTTCCCATTTAAAAATTTTTCATAATCATGTTTTTCAAGTAGATACTTATACTATAGATTTGTTAATCTATTAGTATCATACTTATGATTGCTATTAGGTGTTTTTTCATTAGATAAATCTTTATGGTTTTTAGAGGACTTAGGTGAGTATTTTAGCTTTTTTTCATATGAAGAAATAAGCTCATTCTCTTCAGGAGTAAGCAATTATGACCTGTCTATTTAATGTTTTTTATATTATTCTTTTAAATGAGAATTTTGTATTTCTTCCTCTAACTTTTTATCATTGTATGTTTAAAATGTATTAAATCTATCGTTTTGATTCTTAGTGGTACTATTTCTTCTTTTTTTGTATTATAAAAATTCTTCAGGCATATTATCTTATTACAATTCAACATGCTTTTTAAGATTCTTAGGAGGACTTTAATTATATAAATCATTACTGAGCCTTAAGGAATCTTCTCCATTAATTTATTACTTTAAATATATTTAATCTTCCATCTTTTTTGAGAAATACTACAAACCCATTTTTTCAAGCTGGATACTCTTCTCTAATTCAACAAGATCATTCAAATTTTATTCATTTTTAAGTTTACTATTTAGTATCTTTTCATATGCTTCATGCTGCTATATTTTGTATTGTAAAGCTTATCTATCTTAACTCCTATTTCTATCTGTGCCAAATCCAACTTGCTTTTAATTAGAAGGAGAAAGCTTTACTTATGTAGAATACCCCTTTTTATCATATTAGTCTTCATTCGTTTATTAAAAACTATCTTCTGTTTCAGATTTATGGTACCTTTTTTATGATTTATAACTATATATATCATCTCTCACTGAATCAAAGTCAAAGCATTTTTGTTAAATTCTCCTTAATTTATCATTATACTCACTTATTTTTCTAAGATTTTAATCTGCTTTTTCTTTATAATCTAAAACTCTTCTTTAAACGCTTTCCTAGTAATTCCAATAATCCTCTAATTACTTTGGACTACTCATTGCTTCCCTTATTTCATTTTTATCATAAAATACTTTATTATTGTTATTTGAATTATTCTTTTAAGAAGCCGCATCCTGATTCCCAGGTGGTTATTTTTCACCTTATTTCCCTTTTAAAGATTACTTTCTTATGTTTTTTGAAGATGATCTTTAACCACTTTACGGAGATTATCTTCTACTACCTGATGGCTATGTTCCTATTTATCTTGACGGCTAACTTGGAGAGTGAGGTGGTGATCTACTTCCACCTTTACTCGAACTGACTTTTGATGGCGATTTAGGTGTTTTAGGTTATGAATTTATCCCACCATTTGCCTACTAAGTCTGAATTTAAACTTTTTTTTATGGAGTTGCTGTTCCTCTAGGTGATTAATTTCTTGAAGACATAACTTACTTATTTATTGATTTTAGTGTAATTCACGAGTATTAATTAAATAATAAATGAATATAAATTTTATGACTTAAATTACAATTGAATTTACAAAAATTATAATTTTTTCCTTAAATTGAATGGATATTATAAAATATAAATAATCTAATTGTATCATAAAAGATAATTGAAGTTTAAAACTCATTATAGCCAACAATAAATTAGTACTTTTAATTCATATTTATTAAAATTTATTGATATTTAATCACTAAAATACTTATCTAAAATTTCATAAAATTAACTAATGATTACCATTTATCATATTATCATAAAAATAAGAATATCTTCTATCAAATCTTTTTATAATACTTATTTATTTAAATATTAAATTTTTTGGTTTATTTATAATATTTTAGATAAATTTTGTTAAAAATTATTTTACCAAATCATATTTAATCTAAACTACAAAAAATACAAAACTTCTTATTGATAAACTTATTCATATTATTTATATTTATTTAATTGTAATTTTTAAAATAAAACTGTATTTTTAATTTTGGAATTACTAATTCTCAAAAAAGCTAATTTAAAAAAGTACTAAAAATCTGAATGTTAATAAACTTATTCAGACCATTTAATTTTAATTGAATGATAGTATTTTATTTTAAATAATTTTTTGTTCAAAGTTGGTTGAATTATAAATATTATTAAGTTAATTTATAAATGCAATAATTCTTTTAGATTAAATAAAAAAATGAACAGGATATTATTTAGGTGTAACATAAATTTAGTCTTTAAGTCTTACAAATTATTTTTTTTATATTTAATTTAAAGGTACTTAAAAAATATATGAATAATTCAATAAATTAAATACTTTAAATATTATTTTGATAGCATTATAAATCGAATAAAGAAAATGTTAGGGTTTTTAATAATTAATTAGTATTTTACTGATTTAATTAGATTTTAAATTAGTTTAGCTTTTAATTAATAATGCTTTTTGAATATTTTTAATTCCACTTAAATTATTAGATTTTAGGATAGATATTAAAATATTTGATTTAAAATATACAAATAAATAGAAATGAGAAAGACAGTTTACTAACTTTTTAATGCTAATATATTAATAGAAAATGAACATTTTGCTTGAGAATTAATAGTATATAAATTTTTTTTTAAATAGGTAAAAGAAAAAGCTTACAACTAAACATCAATTCAACATATTTTTACTCTTAGGACTTATCTATGATTTTTAGTTTGTGTAAAATGCTCCTTATTTTGGGTTGTTAGCAATACATTAATTTAAAATCTATTTAAACTAAAGCATCTAGAAATTGTCAACATCCACTAAATTTATCACTCTCTTTATAACAAATTTACCAAATGAATCATTAAATAGTAATATCATGTTCTCCATAATCTTTTGAATGTATTTAGCTCTTTACTATTTTTATTTGTTTATTTAATAGGTTAATTTTAATCTTTCTAAAATAAAAAAATATTATTATTACCTTTTTGCAAAACTGTAAAACCGATTCTACGATATTAGATGAAACCTAATTTTATGCTAGCATAATCATGTTTTCAAAAACGTAATCGCATATGAATTCTGTTTCGTCATTCGGATATATCTGTGATAAAATATTTAATTAATTGAATTGATAATAATACAATTTTTTTTTTTACTTTAATAGCCTCCTAGAGAGCATAATTTCCATATTTATCTATAACAGTATTTCTTATATCTACTTTTAACAGCTATAAAATTTATTATTTTTTTTATATTGTATCTTTGAATCTATTCATTAAAGACTTTATCTGTTTATTTATTTATAATTCAATAAAATCAGTTTAGAAAAAATAAATTTTAGAAAACTATAAAAATTTACAATGCACACTCCTTGTTTATTTTTAACCACCTCTTTGAAATTTTTAATGACTGCATCGTATATACACAGGATATTGTTTAAAGTAAAGTTCTGAACGATTTTATTAATTACATGAGTAGCATTAGGATTCTTTAAAATTATAAAAAATTGCTTTATTAAAATTTTTATAAGAATGTATTTTTCATTACTAAAGTCATAGGGATAATGTACATTCCAACACACTAAATTACAAGGATTTATTCCCTTTCATTTTCTAGCTTTATCGTTTCTACCAAAGATTAAATAGCATGAGTTCCTTAGGGATCTTAAGAAATATCAGGGAACATGTCTTTTATCTATGTAAATTATTTATTCAAAATAGAAAATAAAATTTATAATGCTTTACTTCTTGTAGTATTATGCACTTTTGCTGCATAGTACAGACTTAAACTAAAGTTTTAGAAAAATAATTTCCATAGTGGTGCTTCATTAATTCAACTAATCTTCCTTTAATTTCATCTATAACTGCTTATATTTCATAATAAGCATTATTTTCAGCTGACTTTTTGATGAGCATTTAGATTGCCATAGACCATTCCTTATTTTTTTGAACTTTATTTGCTATTTAGCCTTTGATTTGTGAGTATGTTAATTATTCATGAGGTGGTGTAGTGCACCCAGTTGTCGATGGACTCATGTCTCTTTAAGGGCTAAACGTAGGAGAATTACCTACAATTTCATAAATTATAAATTTTGTAATATTTATTAGTTTTATGTAAATTACTTCCATGTGAAAGAGGAGGAGTATAAGGTTAGTTACTAACATTCAATTTAGGAAATATTTCTTGAATTGTCTTTCTTACTTTTTCAATACTTTAAAATTAACTTATTGTTAAATGTTATAAATGCAAATTCATTATTTACGCTGGATCAATGAAATCGAGCTCAATTGAAAATATCTCAAAACATTTGTTTCCTGTACCCTACTAAAACCATTATTATGGAATTTAGTAATTATTTTTATTTGAATTAATTTTGTTGATATTTTTTTCCAAAACTATTCCGCACACCTTTAATTCTCCTACTTCATCTTTTCTCTAAATAAGTAAATTATTAATTAATTAAAACTATTACTCAATATTATTTTTTGTATATTTTACCCCTTTTAATTCTAATTCTGTGCCATCTTCAAACTAAGAAAGATTTATAACCATATCAATTACAAAGTGTTTTCTCTATTATATTTTTAAATCCCATTTACTTTTTTTGAATTCATATTTTAATAATAAATACATCTTCAAGGTTAATGACCGTCGATCTTAAACTAAATATATGTATAGGAACGATGTATTATTAAGGTTAATATAACTGACCTGAATTTAAGTTAAGCTTTATATAGTCATTATTCATCTTTATTTTAAAAAAGTAAATACTCAGATTAACTCATTTATATTAAAAATAATTTTAATTTATAATTCTTATTCTTCTTAAAATAAAGTATTTGTTTGTAAATGATATTTGTTTAAATGTAATTACAGAATGAGGGCTCTGATAAAGATCAGAAATTTATTGAATACTAAATATTGTTGCATTTGATATCGGATGTTATATTTCAACCATAATTAGATGAGACTAATGCAATTTTGGTCTTCCAACTTAAGAATAGCTACTTGAAAAAAGCCGTCCTTCATTCTACTAAAAGGTATACATAGTGTTGACAAACTCATATTAGTTCTTTAATCTAATGATTCCTTCGTCACATTACTTATGAATTGCAAATTTTTTTTCTTTTAATTTGTGAAATTCTACAATCTTATAAGGAATCTCATTCACCACTTTTTAAATTATTATTTGTATGAATATAAATAAAAGGAAAAGGTTGTGCTTCAGATGTATTTCGCTTCTTCGCTCATTAAACTAAAATATTAGTTATAAAAATATTACATTTGAGGCAATAAGGGCAGATTTATAAAGGCAATGTTTGTAATGTCTCGCTACATGTCTTATAGATCGATTCAGATTCATTTTCTTCTTCATCAACTTTTTTTGATTGTATAAAAAATATTCTCTCTTTTTTATTTGAACAATTGATCTAATTTACATCCTGATAGGACAAAATCATTTTAATTAGTAGATATACTTCCTAAATTATCATCATCGCCTTTAACATATTTATAAAAATTTTTCTGAATTGTTATTTCCAGTAAATAATTAAATAAATAAAAACAAGATTCTTCTAAATTTAAAAGAGCTCAACATAACCAATTATTTAAATAAATTTATTTATTTTTATTTACTCGAGAATATCTTTTTTACATCAGCTGGCACGTTTGCTTTGAAATCATCTTAAATAAAAAGACCATTTCCAAATGCGTTTTTAGAACTTGATGTACCTACTTTATAATTAACTAATTTAATGCGTCTATACGCTGCTCCTTTCAATTCGAAAGTTAATTATGAAATAAAATCCTAATAATAGAGTAAATGCAATTGAGTTTATACCTTAAAACCTTTTTCTAAATAAAAAATGATTTAACAAATTGATCTTGCTTGTTTGTAGGACTGAAAAAGTTTTTGAATGCAAATTAATAAAAGTGATAATAAAAATAAATACTGATTATCCATTTGAGGTAGAGAAGAATTATATCTAATTAAGAACTACTTTAATATGAGTATACAAGTATAGCTAAGCTTATGATAATATATAATGGTCTAATCTAGTAAGTAAGTAATATGTATGTTTAAAATTAACAATCTGTGAGCTTTATTTAGCAAAATGCTTTCTTTTAAATACAAAAACGATATGAATGTATCTTTGCTTTGACAATTTGCTTATTTTTAATTAAAATCAATTAATTTGCAAATATTCTTCCTACTTTGTTTATTTATTTACAATGTTTTAAGTATATGGTTATGTAAATATTACTAGTTAAAGTTATTTAAAATAAACTATTCATAGATTATTTGATTGATTAATTATTCATTAAATTATTTATTTATTCAATTTAAGATTTCACTTTTTAGTAATATTTTCAAGTATTATTTTTTACGAAATTTCATTAATATCCAATGCATCAATTAGTAATCAATAATTCAATAGTAATTATTAAAATTATTTATAAATTTCTTAAAAAAATTTAAAATATTTAATTTAGATATTTTTAAAATACATATAAAATTGTTTTGTTAATGTAAAAAGGACAATTGATGTTAATAAAAGAATTATTTATTAAAATTAATAAAAGAAATATCTTATTGGATTGAAGTGTTTTTTTCTTTCTTTTTTCTACTTGTTAAAGTTTAAGATATTTTATAATATAAATTTTGTTTTTATATAAGATTTAATTTCCTCTTTTCTACTTTAGCTTAAGTGTTTAACTTATATAAAGATTTAATTGTAATTATTTTTACTCTAAGCTATAATTCACTTCATTTCATTAATCTTTTAAGTAATAAATCATTACAGGCAATAACAAAAAAAAATATATTAATTACTCAGTAATAAGTGGTCTAAATACATATGTTTTATAGAGGTATCTAGATTTAAAGCATAGTTCTATCCTTTTTCAAATTTAATCTTTCTATATTCTCAAATTAAATATTTTAATTGATATCTTTAACTTTAATTAAAAATAAGGTTTTATTCTGGAATTCATTAATTATTTATGATTTTAATTTTATATCAAATGATAATTTTTTATTATTTTTCAAATTTTTATCAACTAAAAGTTTAAAAGTAAAATCTATATATATCTTTTATCTATTACTTCATATATTATTATAAACTATTCTAAAATAAAATAATATTTTAAACACATCTTTTTTGATTTTATTTTTTTAATTATTTAATCAAAGTAAAAAATTTTAATTATTCTAGTAAATTAAAAGCTTTTAGATATATTTAATGTAATAATTATATTACTAAAAGGTTTATTATTAATTTTATATTAAAGAAAAAAAGTATAACAAAAAAATTTTTGAAATACCATTTTAGATGTTTTAAAAATCTATTTTTCTAAAAAAAATTGATATTCATAGTTTATTTTATTAGGACTGAAATTTGAGATACTTTGAATTTAATATAATACGATTAACGAAAATAGCTTAATTATACTATTATATTTACATTTTTAAGAAATATTTATGATTGTAATTTTACTGATAAATGAGTTATATCTAATTTATATTGAAGTAGAAAAATAAAACAGAAAAATTATTTGATATACCACTTTAGATATTTTAAGATATCATACATCATTTTAAAAGGAAATGATATTCTTTAGTTTGTATTATTAAAGTTTTAAATACTTGATATGTAATCTAATACTATTAACTTATTTTTATATTTAATATTTTATTTAGAAATCAATGAGAAAGACATCATTAAGTTTTTATTTGTTATTTTTTTCTATTTTTAGGAGTGAAAATACAATTTAACATTAGCATTGTTTAAAAATTTAACTATAATTTTTATTTCTTTCAAAAATAAGAAAAAATTATTTAGATTTGTGATTTAAAATTTCTTTAACATAAAACAAAAGAGTAAATTTATAAAGTTTTTTAGCTATTTGAATCAACAAGAAATTGATAGAATTAAAGAGTTATCATTTTATGAAGCTTTCGTCTAAAAATAAATATAAAAACTATTTCTTACAAGTTATTTTTTTATTTTTTGATACAATTAATTAGAAAATATTCAAAGATTAATAATCATAGTAAAAGCTTACAGAAACAAACATTAAAAATTTGTAAAATTTCAATTAATCCTTAAATACCATCCTTTCTTTAAAAATGACTTTTAAATCCAGTAAATTAAGAAATATTAATTTAATATTAAAATCACTATTTTGAATAATCCTAATTTCTGTTAAAAAAATTGTTTAAATATCTTGATTAAGTAAATTATTAAGAAAATCAATCAAATTTAGTATATTTAATTTGTTATGATAATAATAATAAAACAAAATTTATATTAAATTGAATGACTTCAAATAAATCACCAATTAAAATTATAGAGAATCTCTAAAACTAAACTAGCTATACTTAGCTTACAAAAAAATAAGATATAAGCTGCAATAGTGCTATGAACAACTCAAGCTTTAACGAGCTAACAACTTACTATTAGTCACCTCTTTTGCAAACTTTAGCAAACGTGCATTAAAGATCTAAATCCAATGTACTTACTTATAGGAATAATAGCAATAACTTTTGGTAAGAATCATCTCATTCAAATCTCAAGTAGAACGGGAGTATAAAAATAGCATCACAGGTCATTCCATAACAATCAGAATTTCCTATACAGACTTTTCAAAATAAAGAAATTTTTTCTACTCCAATTTAGAAGCAGAACATAGAAAACTAACTTATACCAAGAGTTTTAGAAAGTGAATTCAACTCTTTTAAAAAATCTCAAAGCCTGTCTTCATAATAAAAGTATAATACACCTTGCCAAGATAATTAAAACTCAAGTTTAGCATAAAATTACTTTTCCTAAAATCCTAAATAGGCAAATTAAGATTCAGGTAATCAGAGTAGTTTCCGCAATAAATCCTTTCATCAGGAGCAGCAATCATGTTTTAATTAAAACATATTACAAAACAATATTTAACTATAAAATTAGGTTTAAAGTATTAAAAACTTCTACCCTTAAAATTAAGATTAATTTTTAAATTAATTAGCAAGTAATTATCAAAAAGAAAATAATAATTCTACTGGATTTAGGACAAGCAATCTTTAATCGGATAGGATGAATGAATATATACAAAAGCTTAACTTTGTTAGTAATTAGCAAATTGGCAAAATTTGTAATATGAAGATGTTCGCTTAAAGCAATATAGAAAATATTCCATAAAGTATACTTTCACAAAGATCATAATCCCATCAATAATCTGTATAAAACTAATCTTAAATTTAGAATAATTTATAGTAACTAAACCAAGCAATACTTTTTTAACCTATTAACTCAAGCTCATCAACACGCTTCTAATAAAACACCATCAATAAGAATGATCAACCACTCAAAGAAAAAAAACTAAATGGAAATATAGGTAGCATTTTGTAAATAGTTGATAATTCTGCAAATTTTGAGGGTAAAGAGTATCAAAAAAGTAGACAAATTTAACAATAATAAATTGATTTAAATAAATATTAACACTAAAATATATCTCTATTAAACTAAACAAATAGTTAGCATACTAGCAATTTTAATTAATTAAACTAAACTAACCTAATTAGCAAAACAAATTCTAATTCTAACAAAAATTTTACTCACAATAACTTATAAAAATCTTCATCATAAAATTCTTTAACCTAGAACATAAAAAAAAATGAAAACTCGCTAAATTAATAGCAATCAGTTAAATGTTTGAAATCTCCTACTAAAGACATTCTCCATAAAATATTTTATTAAAATGGAAGAACCTTTGATGATTTAAAAAGTGAAAATGAAGGTTAAGCTTTTAATTAAAATAATTAACAAAATAAGGAAACTAAATTGGAGATTTCTCAAATAAATTAAGATTAGACAGAATAATAGAGATAATTTTACAATTCTGTTCCTATTAAGTCTTCTAATAAATAATCAATCAATTTAATTGACGAAAATAATTTCCGCTAGAGCTTAATAGCCATTAATGGAAGTGAAGAAATAAATCATACTCTAGAAGAAGATATCCAAAATAGCAAATATATTAAGAGTGAATAAAAGAAAACTAAAAATTACAGCTAAATTAACCAATAAAGAATGAAAAATATGAATTAAAACTAATAAGAAAGCAGTGAATCAATAAAAATTGTTTTCGAATCTATTGAAAGTATAAATAAGCCACATGAATTTAGCTAAGATTAGCTTCCTCAAGATTTTTCTACTAAAAATTTAAATTTTTAATCTTAAAATTAGTTTTAAAAAGTATCATTAGAATAATAATGTTAATTACCACTATAGGATAAAACTAATGTAACAAATCATACACAATACAAAAAATAATTGCTGTAAAATATTGTTAAAGGACTTGAAAGAGATTCTTCTTTTGAGAAAATATGTAAAAAAAATTATGAAACCATAAAATCAGGTGAAAAGAGTAAAGTCAGTAAAGAAAACTTAAACAATACTTTACATTCCCCAAAAAATTAAGAAAATAATAATAATAATAACTAGCATAATTTTGTTTAAAATTAAAATGACAATAATTCAATAAATTATTTTTAAAATGATATTTAATAATAAAATAACTAGTTTAGCAACAACCAAAAAATTATCTAACAAAACGAAATAACAAATTTATATCAAATAATTGATGATTTGAAGAGAAAAAATGCTATTTTAATTTAAAACTCTTAAGTTTAAAATTATATTAGACTTTAGTCTTAAATGATGAAGTAAGAAGGGCAGACGAAGTTGTTGCAAAAAGAGTTAAAAATATAGAAACAACTAAATAAAAATTTAGAAGAATAACTTGAAAAATATTTAAATCATATTAATTTTAATTCAGTTAGAAATTAGTGAAATAGTTAACAATAAATACTACTAGTTAGTTTGTTAGTTAGTTAATTAGTTAATAATTTTTATTTTTTATTTATTAATTGTACATAATTAAATTAAATCCATTTTAAAATAGTTGATAATCAATTTATCTATTCATCAGTTTATATATTGTTCATTATATTCAAATTTTGAAATTTCTTTCGAAGTTTCTAAAAATCTAATACAATTTCTCCATATTAATTTATTAAGCATCTTGATCTTCATCATTTTCTGTATCATTATTCTTTTTCATTATTGAAACATCTCTCTTTTTTTTTCCTTTAAATATACCTCTAATTTCTATTTCTTAAATTAATTTTCTAACTGATTCAACATATTTATGAAAACTTGCCCTGAATAACCTTTTTAAAAATAAATTATTATTATGATGGAACTTTTTAAGAATAGCCAAATCAATACTCTTAATTTATTGTGACTTTGTAAGCAGGCCTTTTAGGAGCATTTGGTAATCTATCAGCAATTATCTATTTCAATTCTTCAAATGGAAGATGGTCAAATAACTATTATCTGTAAAATATTATAATTTTTAAAAAATATTATAAAATTTTAAAAGTTACTATGAATAATATTATTTCTTTTTTAAAGCATATTAAACATCTTCTCTTTTATGAATTCCTCTCAAAGTTTCAGCAGGTGTGAGCAACATAATTCTATTATTAAATAAAATTTATAAATAAACAACCTCAGCGAAATTAATTTAATTTGATTACTTTGCTCTCTCCAAATTAATTAAATGCTTGTTAGCCTCAATGAAATCTTTTCTTTTTTGATTATACTAAAATAAAATATTTTTTATTGTTTTAACTGAAATGAAAATTACTTACTTATTTGATTTATTATTCATACTTTGAGCGAGTCAATATCAAAATACTTTCTATGATTTTCTTTTTCACAGTAATTTCTGCCATTTTAGCAACTTGTAGAGCTTACTAGTTTTGATTCTTTAAAGAATCTATCCTTATAGAGTAATTTGAGGGTAGCAGTAAATCAAAATAGTGCACAGAAAACGGTAGAAGAGTATCTGCAAAAGAAAATTCATCCCTTTTAAAAACTTATTTTCTTCTCTGCATTTGTTTAGACTTAGGTACTTTTTTAGTAAGTTCTTACTCTTCTTCATCTATTTAATCTTCTGAACTATCACTCTTAGAATCAGATAATTCATTTATTTAAGAAGCACTCTTCAAAGATTAATCATTTTATTTAGAGAGATTTCCTTTGAGTTCTAATTTAGTGGTTCTATTCTATTTAAATTCTCCATCTTAACTAATTTGATTTTGATCTTTAAATATCACATTTCTAGATTTAGAATCTGTCTTAGTATCCAAATTTAAAAGTTCCTCTTCTTCATAATTAATTACTTAAGAGTCTCTTACATTTGTTTTGAATTTTCTAATAATTAAAAAAATGCAATAATTAAAATCTTAATAATTAAAAAAAATATTATGATTACAATTATTCTAGTAGACCTCCAAATAATGTATTTTATTAAGCTTTTCTCTTAATAATTTCATGAATAGATTCATCATCAAGCTAATCCTTGATTGTGAAACCTACATTCTGTACGTTATTCATTTATAGCATATTCTATTTAGCATTTTTTTAGCTTGTCTAGTTGGATCTACCTCTGAGATATGTTTCGAAATCTTCGATCTAGCCATTTACGGTTTGGAAATCTTATATGTTCAAAGTCTGTAAATTTTATAAATTTTGAAATTAACTAGTTTTTTAAGACTAACTTGTGTTGAGCTCAAGATTAATTTAAGTTTAAATTAAACTATTCAAAAAAGGCTTTTCTTATATCGAATTTTAATGTTAATTTGTTTATTTAACAGCAGTGTAACTAGTAAGCATATTAGAAAATTTGTTCCTGTAGAAATCGAGTTATTTGCCATCTAAGTTTCTGCTGATAATTTATTATCTAAATATATGCAAAATGTGTGTATCCCATATTTAACTTAAAATCTTTCTCTATTAATGTAATGACTTTCTAGCCCATCTCATAAAATGCTGAACGTAAATAATCTAATTTCTTTTGACAGAAATTTTGACTCTTAGCTTCTTTTTAATTTTTTCTTATATACAATGCAAGACAACCAGTTTAGTTGCCTATTATAGTTTTTACAATTACTTCCTTTTTACCCAGCATGAAATCATTCTTCTCATGATAATTATTTATTTTGTAGATAGTTTTTTTATTTTTTTTCTCATCATATAATCTCTAATATAAAATTGCATTTTTCTGAGCTTAACTTTTAGCTCAAACTCTCTTCTAAGATTTTATAAACCTAAAATTTTTTATTTTAACAATAAAAAAATATTAAGCTAAATTAAATTAAATTACCTAATTCTGCCAATTTTTTAAATGCTGCACAAATCATCTCCACATTTAAATAAACAGCCCAATTATTTCGAATGGAGTCAGAATTTTGCTAAAATTACTGCTCTTAAAGCAGTCTTTATTAGTATTCTTTACTTTTTATGAATATTTCAATTCTTTTTTAGTCTCTTAGCTTTTATCTTTTTTAGTCAAAAATTATCAATAAATAAATAAATATTATTATAAATTTATTACTTTTCTTGTTCGATGTCTTGTTTCTTCTTTTTTGCAAGTTCTGTTCTAAAATCTCTCAAGACAGCAATTGAAGTTAACTTTTCTTTTTTCTAGTCTATTAATTACTGATTCAACAAAAATTTTTATCTTTTTAGGAAATCACCTTGAGGAAGCTCCAAAAGTTATTCTCCACTTGTTGGATTAAACAATTTGTTATGCTAAATCGATCTTTAGCTAATAGTAGTTTGCAATATCTGAGAACTAGTAGTTTGGGGACGAGAACATTTAATAAAATTTTAATTAACCTAATATTTTTGTTAGTGGGCTGAATTACTGTTTGAGAATGTATCCTACATTTAATTCTCCATGGTACTTTAATTATCAGCAACAAAAACACTACTTATTGACAAATCTTTCTTAGCATCTTTGAACTAATTTTCAAATAAAAATATGTTACATTTATTTTTTTAAAATATAATTTAAAAAATAAATTACTTTTTATCTGATTGATTAGTCTGTTTTCATTCTCGCTTTAAAGAAATCATCTTACTTTGGTCTAACATTTTTTAGATATTTTTCTTATAAATTCTCTTTTTTTTCAGTTGTGCTATATTCTTTGTAAATAAGTTCTATCTATTCCTTAAAAATACTATTTACTAGCACACCTTTAGGTTTATTTTTAATGAATTCTCTAGGATCATTCTTAACATTTTTCCTTTCTTCTTACTTTTTTGCTTCTTCATGAAAAATAAATTCATCGTCATCAAAATGCAAATTTTAAGTCACTTCATCTAAAACTATTTCCCTTTTCAAATAAAAAAACATTTAAATCATGGATTATTTTTTTTTTATTTACTTTTGTAAGTCTTATACGCTAATATCTACACTCTCTTTGATTAAAGGTCTAAATTTATTTTGAGATAAGCTTGCTGCATGTTTGTAACCATTAAATTCTCCTATTATCCAAAATTAAATATTATTTTTTCCAAAAATTGAAAAATAATTTTAAAATATATCTTTTCGAAATAAATTTTAATTTTTACCTTTTGTTTTTTTAATTTCTATATTTGCCTATCTTATTTTTCTATTTATAGAGAAGGATTCAAAAGAAGCTTATCTTTTTTCTGAAGTTACTTTGTTGAGAGTATTTGTGGAAACTTTCTAGCTCATCTACTATTCAGAATTAGGTATATTGAATTATTTTTGTTAAGACTTCTAACTTATAGGAAAGTTTGCGATGAAATTTTATTTAATTTATTTTTCTGTTGGTTTAAAAACAGGTGAATCACCTCTAGTAAAAACACTTGGAGACCCTACTATGCTACCCATTCTGTTAAGAGCTTACAAAGTATTTTTATCTAAAACAGAATTGTTACTCATAGTTTTAGTAATCTTTTTTTGGTAAAAATCTTTTATTTTGGTTACTTTTTCTTTTGCATTTTCTAAAATTCCAGAATAAAATTCTTTAATATTGTAATACGTTTATTTATTTATCTTTTCAGAAGCTATAACCACAGTGAAATTTTCACCACAGCCAACATCTATACATTTTGTCCCAGTTAATTCCTCAATACACACTGGATAGTTGTAATCTTTTGAATCTTCATGTCCTAAACAATTATCTATGCTATTTTTTTGAAATAAAAATATTATCATACATTTTAATAAAATCTCTTACTTTTATCCCCAAGTATAAACATATCCTTTATCATCTACAACTGCATTTTAGTTACCGTAAGTAGATATTTTTATAGCATGTGTCCCTATTTAAATGTTTTATTCTGATTTTATATAGCAGCTTAGTTTTTTTGGTCTCAAGTAATCCTATTTATTAAAATTTATAAAAACTATTCATATTATAAAAAGAAAATTACTATTTTTTGACCCTCTTTATTTTCCTTAGAGTATATCGTTTTCCCCCAAGTATATATTTCTCCTTTAAAATTAATTGCACAGCTGTGATTAAATCCACAGCTTGCTTATATAATTTTCTAATCTTCTAAAGCTTTTATCTGTAAAAAAATAAAAATAATTTTTAATTATGTATTAATTTAGCTTATTAATTTTACTTTTTGAGGATTCACAATCATGTAATTGTATCCTCCTTTTACACTTGAATGTCCTAATTTACCATGTGAACCATCTCCCCAAGAAAAAATTTATCCTTCTGTATCCCATAAAAGGCAATGATTAGTTCCACAAGCAATACCTCTTATTGTTAAATTCTTAAAAATATATATCATAAATATTCTCCCTCATTTAAGTATAAAGTGGTTACTGAAAAAGGTAGATCAACTTTGTATATTTTATCTGTATAATCAATATTAAATTATCCCAATCCAAGACGAGCTACAGAAAAAAAAATTAATTTAAACGGATGTCGTTTGCAATAAATGTTACATTTATCTTCTTTTCCGAATGAGAAAAGATGACTTTTATTAACTCCAACCAGAGAAAAGTTAGGTCCTGTAGCAACATGAGTTACTTTCAATTAACTAATTAAAAAAAAAAAAATTTATTTTAGCTAAATAAATGCAATATTTTTAAGAGCTGTTTCATTTTCGAAAGAAAGTGCTGCTACCTATATTCTTATTGTGGAATGTACTCCTCAAATTTATTTTTTTTAACTTTTTCAGGTTCAACAATGTATTTATTTTGCATGATAGTTCCTAAGTTTATTATTAAAATAATTATAATAAATTCATCAAGCAAAGTTTCATTTAAATATTTTAGTTTAAGAGTTTCATTTACAAAGCTTATTTATAAATAATATTAATGATAAATACATACCTTAACATCCATATTCTGTATTTCCCCAAGTATAAAGTTTAAAAGTGGCTTTTTATGATAAAAAATAACCTTAATTATGTTATAACTTATTTTAAATTACATGAAATAGCTAATACATGAGTTGAGTAGCAAGAGAGATTAGTAAAATATCTGTTTTAAAATCTACTCATATTAATTGGTTGTCTTAAAACGGATTTTAGTTTACTAATCCCTAATTAACCGTCGCCTCCTTCACCAAATACCCATAGCTCGTCTTTCGCTAGTTGAATAAAATAAAGATATGTTGTCGATATAATCAAAGCTTAAACAAATTTGTTATTTTTATCTATTATCTTCCTTAAATTTATATATACCATCTAAGATGTAAGCAGTATTTTATGAGCACACAACTTATTTAAAACAAAGGTCTTTTTCTTGAACAAATTTAATCATTTCAATGTAATCTTCAAACATTTTTTTCTCCTCCTTAGAGTCAAAGTTGATTATATCCTTTCCTAGAAAAGAAATTTTCTTTATTCTAATTTGGAAGGTAAGTTGTAATACCAAATATTCATTTTAAAAGAGTTAATATATTACATAGGAGTATGATCAGAAAAAACATTAGGTCTAATCCTCTCTTTACCAAAATAAAATACTATTTTTAAAGACATTTATATGAATATGAGTTAAAAACCTTAAATAAAATAACCTTATGTCATGAAGAGGATGTTTGTTATTTATAAAGTATTCTACTTGAAGAGAAATTGAAAATTAATTTATATAAGTTGCTTTAGTTTTAAATGCTTTACACTTAAAATTTAGTTATTAAATTAATAAAAAAATAATATATTTAAAAGATTTGCTTTTCTTATCATAAAACAAAATACTAATAATATATTAATTATGTATTAAAATTTATTACTTTTTTAAGTAATTTAGATTTTTTTTGTAAAATACTGGTTATGAATACCCACTCCTTAAATTAAACCAGTTAAATGAAGTCTTAACTATAAAAGTCAAAGTAGAACTTTTAATTAAATTTGGCTTAAAAAATATTTTATTAAATAAAATTAGGTTTGACGGAGCTAAAAAATTATGCTTTTTATTAAATTAAGTATAGCTATATTTAAATAAATTAAAATATGTTATTGCTATGCTAATTTATAGCTAAGATTGATTATTATTGGTTGAATTATTTTTTGATAAATATGACTGTTCAAAGTTTTCTTATTGAGATCACTTAAAGAAAATAAATTTACTATTATTAATATTTATAATTATTATTGAAAAGTTGTTAGTAAAATTTATAAACAAACTAATTAAAACGTCATAAATTCCTTTAATTATTTAAATTCAAAGATTTTTCAATTTAACAGTGAAAGAAAATATCTACTAAAAAAATTAGTTTTTAAGTAGTAAAAATTGCTTCTTTGTCTAAAATGAATAGGTAGTGTAGTTTTGGATAAACAAATAATCCATTGGAAAATATTTTCTAGCATCTTCCGGAGAACAACAATGTTTAAAACTTAAATAATGATCAATCTTAATAGTACTTGCAAAACAACTAAGAAAATATATTTAATTTTAATAATTCAAGCGGAAACTCTTTTTAATAAACATTTAACTATGAATGGAATTAAGCTTTAAGTGGAAATGGATATGGTTAGAAAAATACATCATTTATTTCAGAGGATCAAATATAGATTATTTTATAATAATGTAGACCAAAGCCGCAAGAAGGTTAAGAACTGATTTAACCTTAGTAGAGTAATTGTGTAACGAGCAAGTAAACAAATGCTTAGAATTTACAAACTTCTGAATAAAAAGTAGATAATCATTTTAGTGAATTGCAAAGATTGCAAGAATTAGATTATAAGCGGATTTAAACTGAAGAGTCAAGCAATGACTCTCTTATCTACAAAGGAGAGGAAGTTGATAAAATTCTATCAAGATATTCTTTTCAGATGCTTTAGGAAAATAATGAAACATAAAAAATCTAAGAAAATAACTATTTACAAAATACTCCAGGTAGTTTAAGTTACAGCGTGAATGATATGAAAAGCTACTCTGATAATGCTCAACAATAAAGCGGTCCTGGAGTCGACTAGGATTTAAGCATAAACTTTAATTTGAAACCCCCATTAGGAAATTTTGGTTAAGTTTAATGTTTTAACGACTAAAATAATCTTAGTAACAATACTCTAAATTAAAACCTTATTAACAACTAATTGTAATTAAATTAATTTGTTGGAGCCAACGGAAATTACATCAATAATAATAATAATATAACACCAAATAATTATGGGGTGAATTCTTAATAAGTCAATCCTAATACTTACTTAAATGGATAGAGCTAAGTGTTAGCTTCAAGCAACATAAATATTTAAGAATATATTAATAACAGTAAAAGTGACTTATTTTCTAATAATTTAAGTGGAATTAAATGGTCTCTTATGAGTTAAGGGTCAAGTGGTACCTATTTCCCTACTTCAAATGCTTTAAATAATTAAACTTCGCAAGGTTCAATAAAGTAAATCCCATCGGGAAGTACTTTTGTTACTAATAATTTTTTAACAGTCCCTTAAGGAAATTCTACCAGTGATTAGTAAAAATTATTATAAAAATAAGAAGATTAATTTTAGTTATAGGGAACAAATGGTTAGTATACTAAGTAGCTCATTCCACAAAATAATAATTTGAATTTTCAAAAGTAAAATTCTAATCAAATTAGTAATGAACAAAGCTATAAATGCTAAGAATGTGCATTAAATAGATAGCAAATAAGTTTTTTACAAATATAATTGAAAGAAAGTTAGGAAAGAGAAGATGTCTAAAAAAAATTAAATGACTCTTTAATGATAGCTTTAAGTTAAGTTCAAGAAGAAAAACCTAACTAAGCCGAAGGAAGTATTTAATCTGGAAGAAGTGAAATACTTAGAGATTTCTATGAAAAAGAAATAAAATAATTAAGGGAACAAATGAACAATAGATAGAAGTAATAAGAATAAATAGGAAAAGAGTTAATCAAGAAGTGCGATGAATTAGAAAATTAGAAAATTTCCTTAGAGTTATAATTAAAAGATTTCAAAAATAAAGTAGAAGAAAAAAATATCGAAATAAATGAAATCACAAGCTCTTTGACAAGAAAAGATTATTAGATTTTTTAGCTAGGTGAAGAAATAAAAAAGCTTTAGCAATAGGCCTTAGGAATCGATGAAAATAAAGTTACAAATTTAGAATAACAAATAGACTAAATGTAAAAAAATCATGATAACGAAATTATTTTAATGCAAACAGAAACTGAAAAGGAAATTCAGAAGTATAATTTGCTCTTAACAAAAACAGTTGATTCGTTTGAAACTAAAATTAAGTAAATTTTAACTGAGAAAAATTTGATTGAAAAAGCTAATGCTTCTAACACTGAAATTAGCAGCGATTTGCTTTAGAAATTAAATGAAGAAAATATTCTATTGAGACAATAAAAGGAATCTGCATTTAAACAAGCTGAGACTCTATAAAAATAAATGGAATAATAAAAAATTTAAGCTACTGCCTAGTCAAGTCTCCTTTCATAAATTGAAGAATAAGAAAGGACTATTGAACAACTTCAAGGAATTTCTTTGGCACATGATTCTCTTTAAGTTTAATATGCATAGCAAGCAGCTAATATTAAGCATCTTTAAATGAAAATTAAGGAAGTTTAACAAAGCTATTAAGAACTAAAACTAAAAAGAGACAATGAGTTAAAATAGTCGACTTCTAAATATGCCGAATTAGCATCGAAATGTTCAGAAATTTAATCAAATAGTGATAGGTTAAAAAAGGATTTTTAGAGGAAAAGTGCTATGATTATTAGAGAAATCTTAAATAAAGATATGAAAATAAGACAACTCAGTTAAAAAATATAAATGATCTAAGGTAATTCTTCTCCATTTAATTCATCGAACGGATCAAACTTACAAGCTACTACAAATTAGCAAAAGAGAGAGAAAAGTCCTTTAAGCAAATTGTTGAGTGAGGATAAGATGCTTTCAGATAATATTAATTTTGTAGAATTTAATAAATCCTAGCTTTTAAATTCACCCAATTAATTAGTAAATTTTTTTTTTTCATTTTATTTTTGTTGAAATATTTTAAAATTATTAAATTAAAAGATGAACAGTACAACTTCAAAAAATCCTAAAAATAATTTATAGGCTGATCAAGAAAAATTATTAGAAGGATTTTAGAGTAGAAGCAGAAGTCCAGTTGGAAGAAATACTCAAAATACTTAGTAATTTTGGTTAAATTTTATGGATTTGTCTAATATAAGTGGTGAAAATTTGCTTAATGCAGCTTAGAATCATTTATTTAATGAAGAAGAGGAAGATAACTAGTTTAATGGATTAAATATATCAAATATGAATACAGATGAATTCAAAAGTAAATATTTAGGATTGTTTCACTAAAGAAATGTTCTTGAAAATACAATTAATGAGTTGAAACTTCAACTAAATAAGAAAAATGAATTAGAAGTATGCTTAAAAAATGAAATTAGATTTATTGTAGAATATCTTGTATAAACATTAGCTGATTAAATAGTTCTAGATATAAGGGAAAAAGAAAATTAAATCCCATAAGGATTTTAGTCACCTTCTTCAAGAATTTATGATCCCTCAAAGGCATACGGAAATGAAGAAGAGAGAATAGTTAGAGAAACTGATAAAATCTTAAAATAGCATATAATAAAATTATAATAGAAAGCTATATAGTCTCATATGGTAGAATGCTACAATATCTTAAATTCTATACTAGGTGCTAACACACCTCTTCCTAAGCCAAAATAAAGTAGCTAAGAAAAAACTCAACAACTTTAAACATGTGATCAAAAGATAAAATCATCAAACAAACTGTCTTAATCATAATAAGAGTGCTAATCATCATCTTCCTCCTCTTTGTCTAAAAGAGCTTTAAGATAAATTGACTAAAAGCAAAATTAATAAAATAAATCTAATTCTCCTTTTTCAAAGTAATCTACATCTCAAAATTAGCAATAGAACTTGATTAAAAATGAATTCTCTGCATCAACTAAATTATTAAAGATAAGTTAGCAAAGTAGCATATCTAAAAACAACATATCATTAAATGCTAGCAATATGAGTAATAACTCACCTAATAAATTTAAGAAATAGCCATTAAAGCTTTCAGATTTGAAAGTAGATTCAACTAAATAAAAGTCTAAACAATAAAAACAATAATCATCTCCTCTGATCAAGCAGTAAAGCACCCCAACTAGATCTTAGAAAATATAAAAATTTGGATATTTCTTATCTAAATAACAAAATTAAAATTAATCATAAAACAAATTAAGCATAAAAACAAACGAGAGCAATCTATCTCACAACTTAAGTTTAAATAATAATATTGTTTGATATTTCTTATTTTTTTCATTTAAAGTTTTACATAAATTATAAAATCTATATAAATCTAATTAGTAAATTAATGTATCTATCTATCTGTACATAAGTAAATATTGTATAAAATTTATTACTAAAATTTTTTATTTGAGATTAAATAGTTATTATTTAATTTAAATTTTAATTAAAATTACATATTTTATGAATAACTTAAATATTAGTCTGATAAAACTTTAAATTCAAAAAAGCCTTAAATTGAATTTTTAATTTTTTTTATTAAAAAATAATTAATTTTTATTGAAATGGTCAAAAATTATTTTTGATTAATTTATTTATGATGTTTTAATTCTTTTGAACTGTTTGAATAAATTAAAATGCAGATAGGTTTTAAAATTCAGGTCTATTTAAAACTATTAATTAAGTATAAAATTTGAAAATAGTTCATAGATTATTAAAATACAAAATATAAATTAGTTAGTTAATTAAACTAAATATGTATTTTATAATTTTTAGGTAAGTATTGAGTAAATTATATAAATTTAATTAATAGATTGATATTTTTAACAAAATATAAATGAGAAAATGTTTTTAAAGTGTTTGTTACTTAAGTAAAATATTAATTTGATTTTTAGTAAAGTAATTAATTTAAATTAATCATTTTTTCTTTTTGCCTTTCTTCTTCTTTTTCTTTTTAGATTTTTCTATTTATTATGAAAGTATTCTTTTTAAATAATAAAATTTTTATTTAATTTTACCTTTACGAGCCATTAAGAAATGAAGGATACACCTGGCAGCTTCCTTTTTCCTTCTTTCTTATATTTCCCATTACTAATTTAATCATAATTAAAATTAATAAATAGTTGCATATATTTTATATTTACTTCCTTCTTAAGTCTGAATTCTTCTTCTAATTCTCTTTCTCTTTGCTTCTCTTCGTCTATTTCCTTAAATAATTACTTTAAGGTATCTACCTCTTCTATGATTTTAGCAAGTTCTTCCTTTATAAATTAAACAAAAAGTATTAAATATAAACAATTAAATTTTAGTATTAAATCTTTACTTCTATTTCTTGCTTTTTTTGATGCTAATCTTTCATCAAAGCATCATAGCTTTCAATATTATCAGCAAGACTATTTTATTACTATCTTTTATTTGTTTTAAGTTTAGTTTCATCATTAGCATGATCTTATTTTAATTTAGCAAAATCGTCTTCTAATTTTTATAATTCTTTGTCAAGTTTATCTTTTTTGGCAAGGTGATCTCTTTCAAGCTACTTAAGTCTGTTATCTAATTCATTTTTTAACTAACTAGCTCTAAATAAAATCAAAATATATATTTATTTATTTCAACTTATTATAATTATTTTTTTAAATTAGTTTACTTCTTTTCTTTTTCAGCCTTTACCTCAGCTATTTCATTCTTAAGTTTTTCAAGTTCTTCTTTTTTTTCTTTTGAAAACTTTTATCTGTGTTCTTTTAACTTTGTCAAATCTTCTTAAATTTTATTTTTCTTTTTCTCTAGCTCTTCAATCTTTAATTTAAAATTCTTTATAATCAGAAATTAGAAAAAATATTTTACTTTTTCCTCTAAATCACGTAATTAAGCTTTGTGATTTTCATCTTCTTCTGAAGCAGTTGATAATTTTTTTAGCATAATAACCTTTTAGCAATGGATGCAATGAACCAAATCATTTAAATCAGGATTGACATTAGTTTTCATACTCTTTTTTTATAATTTAAAATTTTTTTCGAACAAGCAATTATTAAAAATACAAGTTTTGAAACATAAAAAAATATTTAACTTACTTTTATTATCTCAAAGTCTTCTGGTGAGTTTCTTAAATGTCTTACTAAATCTTTAAAGTTGTTTTCTAATTACATTCTAAGTCTTTCAGCATCTATCATTTTTTCTTCTTCTACATCTTCAGCTTCTTTATCTAATATAATTTTATAATCATATTAAAAAATAAACTAAATATTTAAACAAATCATAATTATAATTAAACTATTTGTTAGTTATCAGGAATAAGACCATTTATTTTTAAAAAAAGAAGCTCGCTTAATTCATTAAAGAAATTTATTTTTTCTTTTTTAAAAGCTATTATTGTTGATTTTATAGTTAAAATAAATTAAATCCTTGCTAATATATTTAGAATATTTGTTTTTTTGTTATTTATAAAATTTGAATATCATCTATTCCATTTAATTAATATGATTAAAAATCTAATTACTCGATTGATCTAACAAACTTGCATAGGGTTTGAATTTGGCTTCAATTTCAGCTTAAGATTTCAACAAATCTAGGCATCTTTAAGATAATTTTGAAACTAAATCTTTTGATAGCTTGCTATGTTTAGCTACATCTAAGAATTTGCTAATTAATTCAGAATCTAAATATATAAATATTGTTAAGTTAGTAGATAGATTATCAATGATCTTTAAAATTCTTTGTGCTTCAACTATGGTTGGCTTGCCTATATTCGTTGATTCTATATTCTTCAACATTTCCTTATGAGTCTCCTAAAGGGACTTTCCCTTTTCTTTTGTTCTGCCACCACCCCCTCCACCTTCACCTTCGGGTCTCGGGTGCAATCTACTTTGCATTTTACTTAAATTCTGCATAGCAGGATATATATTTATTTTTATTAGATAATAAATTATTATTATAATTCAACTACTAATTTTGAAACTATTTATTTTTTGTTAATCACAATATTTGAATTTATAATATTCATTAATTAATTTCTTATGCAAATCTCTTATTCATTGATAAATCTTTAGTTTTCTTCAGCATTTTCAAAACAACCAAATAATTCTCAATTAAAGCCATTAACTAAAGTAAATAGTTATAAAATTTTCATATAAAGTTTTTAAAAATATTTTCGTTTTTTTAATTAATGTATTAGTTTTAATTTTAATAATGTTATCATCTATCATAATAAAAATGATATTTCAAAAATCTTTTTAAATATTAAAAAAATACAAGCTTTATTTTATTTCAAGTATTAAAAAAAGGAAATACTAAATATAAAAATTGCTTTGAAATTCCTCTTAAAATAATTTATGATTTTTAAAAAATTATTTTTAACAATTTTTGTTTTTATTTATAGGAAGCAAATTAACTTTGAATTATAAGCAAAAATAGAATATTTACAGCTTGTTTTGATATTTTTTACAATTTAAATTTATTTTTATATAATTTTTATTAAGTTATCATCAATCATTTTTAGCTTATTTACTTATTTACAATTTATTTATTGCTTTGTTATTTACTTAATTGCCTCACTAAAATATTATTTTCGAAATCATATTTAAGTTTCTAAAGCTTTAAATGGTTGTTATCCAATTCATCACTCTCTGCAAATATAGAGTTTTTATTTGTGGAGTATTCATCACCAGATGTTAAAAATTAATCTGATGCAATATTTTATTTTTAATTATTTTGATTATGATTATCTTATGGGAAGCTTTTATTTGCTATACTTAAATCCTATTCATTTTTTAAGTTTTTATTTTCAAAATATTTAAAATTTACATTGAAATCAGATTATTTGTTATTAATTTCTTAATTTTTATTGTTAAGATTTATATTTTAAATAGAACTTTTTTATGATTCCTTACATATTTTATTAGTCGTATAAATTTCTTCTCTCTTTTTTTCATCATTTTATTCATTTAAGCATTAAATATCATCTAATTTTAATGAATCTTCTATTTGTTGTGGAATCCGTCCTGATTATTGTTATTAATTTGATCTCTACTCAGATTCAATCTCCCCATAATTATTTTAATTAAAACTTTAATGTTTTTTGTAATTTCTATTCTATACTAAATTATTGAAAGAATTGGATTTGAAATATCTTTTATTATAATGATTTCTGAATATCTATTATTAATTATCTTAAATTTAATCTTTATTTTACATATCAGAGTTATTTAACTCATCCTCTTCATCACTACTACATTCTTAAATACAATTTTTTGATATATTATCATTTTTTACAAACATAGTTTTAGCACGAGTTAATCCCTGTGGTTTCTTTTTATTTATTATGGTCATTCTTTAGCCAGGAGAATATCTATTTTCAAATAAATTTTAATAACTTTCATGTTTGATTTAAGTTTTTTTTCTATCAGATAAATTTTCAAAGCTCTGGTTTCTTGAATTTTGATTTTAGTTTTTATAGCATCTAAATTTTGCTGATTGCTGGCTTTTATTTTCATTATGAGCATTTTTTAGTCTTTAGCTACTTTCCATATAGATTTAGTCTAAATCAATGGAATTTTGCAGACTATTAGATTTTTACTCTCCAATCAACAGTCTGGATCCACTTAATGGTATTTTATTTTACTTAGTTTGCTCTTCATCAACTAAATCAATCCTATATGAAGAATCACCTTTAGAATTCAAAGTAATGTTTAGAATGTCTTTTCCTCTCCTGTTGAACTCAGATGAATCATTATTAGATTCTGTAACTTCTTAAATAACTGTCTTAGATCTTTAATATATTTTTATCATCATAAATATATTAACAAATTTATTAAAATTACCTAACTTGAGATTTTGCTCTTTGTATTGGATTGTTTCTATTTAAATCTAACTTGTTTTTATCATATTTTTCTAAAAAATTTTCAAACATAATTTTTTGTTATCTCTTATTTGTTCTGTCAATTTTTTCAATCTCAAAAAGTTATGCATTATCATCATCTACTTCAGCTTCTGCACATGTTTCATTATACTCATCAATTTAATGCTATTTTTCATCTAATATGACAGATTCTTCGCTAACTAAATCCATTAATATTTCATTTAAAAACTCTAGCTAATTTTAAAGATCTGGTAAATTTTCAATGTCATCACCTTTTGGTTATTGTTATTTATTATTGAATTAGTTAAAATTTTATAAATTATTTTTATAAGAAGCTTTTCGTTGAGCACCTGAATTCTCGTGCTAAAAATTCATAGCATAATTTTTTTACATTTTAGAAGGATATTATTTTAGTTCCTCAATGTTTTACACAATTTGTTATTATTTCTATTAAAAATTAAAATCATTTATTTCTTCGCTTTTTTACGTTTTCAGTGTTTTTAAAAATCCTTTAGGATGAAATGTTTGATAATTAGAATTAATATGAGTCTCATTTGGTTACAAAATTCTCGTACTTTTCCTATGAGAAAACTCAACATTCGGATTAGAAACTAATAAAGTTTTAAGCTTCTTTAGGTTGTTTCGGACAAATTTGTTTTTTATTTTATTTTCTAAATCTTCATTTGCCCCATTTTCTTATTAGTTATCTTCAATCGAATTATCTTCTAAATTTTATTCATTCGAATTTTAGGTTTATAGCTTATTTAATGTACTGCTAGACGAGAATATTCTATCTTTTTTAGAAGGAGATCTTACAGACTTTTTTACTTTTATGTTCTCCATCTTTATTTTTGAAATTCCAAAAAATTTCTACAACTACTTCCAGTTTTATTTTCCATCAGACATATTTAAATTTTCCATTCTTTTTTATATTTCTTTCTGTTCATTTAGAACAACTTAAAAGTATAATCCCACTAAATCTTTAGTAATCAAATAGCACATTTTACTGCTTCTTGAAGACATTTCTCTAACTAATTTATTTGTTTTAGATATATTCTTTAGTCTTTTCTACATAAATTACAATTCTTTAAACTTTTAATCCTTTTCTTGCTAATTTTATGTTTCTTCATCCTTATATTTATTATATTTTTATTACTCTTTTTCTTCATTATAAACATTCGAGAAATCGAATCCGACAATTGCAATAGGTAGTCTAAGAAAATAAATTTTTGAAATTCAGCTAAACATATTAAAAAATATAAATTACCCAATAACAAAGCTTTAGGAAACTAAAACTACAAATCCAACAACTATTCTAGAGGCAACAGAATAAGGTATTTTATCTCCATATCCTAAAGTAGTCAAGGTAGTTAGTACAAACCAAATAGATTAAGGGATACCTATTATTATAATTTTTAAAAATTTACAGAATAATATTTTTACTATATTTTTTATTGCAAGTAAGGGATAAGATATAACTCTTTATTTCACTTCTTAACATCATTATTTTATAAGTTTAAAAATTTTAATTATTTTTATCATTAAATTGGTTATTTTTTGCAAGTTTTATTTTAAACTTTTTCCTTTATAAGAAATACACTCTAAAATTTTTTTTTTCTTAAACAATTCTTTGATTTAAAAGTTTTTTATTTATCATTTCTAATTAAAGTTCGTTAAAATCTCAATAAAATAAATTTAGGAAAAAAAATTGAGTAAATTAATTTGTAAGGTTAATCTTTATCTTTTCTTAGTATCAAAATAAAAATTAATATTCTGACTAATTTAATGTTTTTTTCTCATGCTAATTAAGAAAGTATCTATCTAAACTTTAAAATTTAAGAGGTTCTAATTAAAAATACTTTTGAAATATTTATAAAAATTATTTATTTACTTACTTGTAATTTGTGTATTGATGTCTATTCCTTGTTATTTTAATTGATCTTAGGTTAAAGTTACTCCTTTTTCAAAAAAATAAATAACCACAGATATAAATAATACAAATATTGTCAAAGTAGAGCAAATAAATGGGAAATATTTTTTAGAGACATTTAAGCTTTTTTTTAGAGTATTTAAACCCTTTAAATATCGAGAAAGCTTAAAGATTCTAACAATTCTAACTAACCTTATAATCCTTATCACTTTTAAAAACCCTACTTTGTAGTTGTAATAACTAGAGGCAGTAACAATTATAAAGTCTATAATGTAAGGTATGAGAGATATTATATCAATTAAATTCATTGAATTTTTGAAAAATGAAATATAACTTTCCCCAAAAGCATTATGCACAAAGAGCCTTATACATAATTCTATTAAGAAAATTAAAAATATAATATAATCTAAATCTGTTGATACATCATTATAAGACGTTTCTTAAGAATCATCATAATAGCAAGAATCAGATATAATTTATGTAATACTTATCATGATAAATAACTGTAGAAACAAATGTAGATATTTCCCTACCTTCGTATTTGAAGGATCTTAAAACATAAGATACAAATAGCGCTTAGCATTTAAAATATACATCTTCGAAGTAGTTGCTTAAGGAAATAGCGTTCTTTATAAACTTTGAGATTACAAATTTTAATTCTAAATGAAATTATCATCCATATCCTAGTTTTTGTTTAATTCAGAAGCAAATTATTAGAGTTTATTTTCATTTACTTATTCTGTTTAGTAAGAAGATTAAATTTAAAATTCTAATTATCTTTAAAGATCATTTGCATTGTCAAATAAAGTTGGCGCTCTTTTTAATTCATGCTCGTTAAATATACTTGACATTTGCCTCTTAGCATTCTATCTGCTATATAAAATAATATTTGTATTTTTATCTAAATTAATATCTTCGCTTGATTTCTTTTGTGAATTAACATCCCCTTCATCAATTTTATTAATATTCTATTAATTGTCTTCTTTATCAGTTTTATATTCATTCAAATTATTTAAAGATTTATTCTTTATGTCATTTTTATGGCTTTATTATTCTTTAAAAGATGAGTCATTATTTATTGTTTTCCATTTTTTATTGATGGGTTGCTTTTTAGAATCTTTATCATTTTTACCAATCATTTAATTTACTCAATTTTTATATAATCATAAAAAAATAAATCTTTAGATTCTTAATAAAATACAAATCGAATGGATGAATGAGTGTATGTATAAATGAAAAAACTAATTATACTCAAAGTAAAATTTTAATTTAGAAAGTATTTTAAAAATCAAATTTAAAAGCTGTTGAAAATTGTTTATACAAGCTGTGTGGCTGGCCTATTGAAAAGGCTATAGATAAATAATATGAGCTTAAAATATTCTTATGATAAAAATAGAATTTAAAAAATATTAAATTAATTTAACAAATCTATACCATTTAAAATTTTCAAAATTTTAATCAAATTAAGTAAGTATTTACTTAAAATTAGATCTACTTAATTAATAAACTTTAGTATAATATATCAAAATCAAATCTTTTGATGATAAAATAGTAGTTTAGTAAATAATACGCCAATAAATAATGAGGTAAAAAGAAATATATTCAATTATGAGCTACATTTTGAAATATAAATAAAAATATTTACATAAAAATTCTATTAGAATTATATTATAAAATATGAAATCGCGCTTATTCATTTAAATAATATGATCATGATAGTAGTAAATTCCTAGCTTTTTCTAAATTATCGTCTTTAGCTTACATCATTTGATTAAAGCATATATTCATTTCCTCTTCCTTCTTTGATTGCTTCACACATTCCTTAAATTCCCTCATTACAGGCTAATCTCCTTATGATATAAATTTAAATGATTGTTCTAAACGTTAATTTAATATATCTTGGCATTTTGTACTCTCTACCTAGCTTTTACCCTTTTAAGAACATTCCATAAACTTTGTACTGTAGGCTTATTTTAATGCCTCCATTATGTATGTTTAGTAGTTGTTGAGTGTAATTTGCATTTTTTTAAGCATTTCTCTTTTTATAAATCCAGATTTGTTATCCTCCTGATCAGTCATTTCAATTTCAAGAGTTTTTTTTTATTAATAAAATAATTAAAAAATAAAGATATTTATTTAATAATTAATTAATGATTGAAGTATATTGATTGCCTAACCAAAAAACAAAAAATATATAAAATAGTCAATAAACATACATACTTATTAATTTATGGTGATAGTATTTTTTAAATAAACAATTAAAAAGGTTGATTTAATTTTTTATGTATCTCAAATATTGTAAATTTTTTTAACAGCATGTTCAATTTTGTCGGCAGTTTAGTGGAAGTGCATTTTGAAGTATTGCTTATTAATTTCTCTAACATCTTAACAGTCTAATATATTATTTAAAAGATATTGAGTGAGATGCTTAAGTTCTTAGTCGTTTTTATTGTCGTAATAGGGTATTATTGGTATGCCATTTTCAATTTAAAATCCAAAACTATAGGCTGCATTGTCGATCAAAACTATATCTTTTATATTTCTGTTTTAGAATATTCTCATATCTTTAATATGAATTCCTTCCTCAGTTTGAACACAGCTTTCTCTAAAAAGTTTGTGGGATATATACTTTTCTTCAGGGTCTAAGTGTTGCAATACTTTAATCGCATAGCAGCCATGACTTGCTGTAAAAACTATAATCTCAAAATGTTTGCTTAGCTCTTCTAGGCATTCCTTTGCATAAGGACGGATATTTATGCCTGCCTAAATAAAATAATTAATTTATTTCTTTTTCAGTCTATCATTTATAAAATTTACATCAATAATATCGTTATTTGGGAATTTAATGGGAATTATGACATCAGCTGGGATATCAGTGCTCTCGTTACAATGAATCAGAGTTTCATCTAAGTCAAAGACGATTGTTTTTTTTCCTTTTAATATTTATTTTTATCAAATAAATTTTAAATGTAATAAATTAATATATACCTTGATTATGAGAATGGATTGGTAGGTTTACTTTTTTTTATTGTAGAATGTGATGAGGCACAGGTTTAAGAGTTTTGCAAAAATTCAAAGAGTGAAAGGATTAAATAAAATGTTCTTTAAATAATTATTCAAAGTATTAATCAGAATTTATCTTATTTTTCAAAGCATTAATCATTGGCACATTGTAATAGTGAGTCTGTTTTATAGAATTTTTTTATTTGTGCAAAAAGATATCATCTAAATTTATTTTAAGGTGTTGTGGTAAAGTAGATAATGGATATTCAGAAGGTATTTACCCTTATTCTTCAATTTCAATAGCCATGGTATCTAAAGCAGTATTTGTTAGTTACCTTTAGTGCTAAGGTGATTGAACTTGAGTGGTCTAAATTTAATTATTGTTTACTTACTAATTTAACGAGTGATCAACACTAATTTATAGAGGTGTTGTCTTTTTTGATTTTTGCTTCATGCTGGAAGATGTTCTAACAGATGAAGTTGTTTGCCTGCCACTTTTTTTAGATAACGGCTTTGAGTAGGAGCTTCTCACTGATTCTCCCTTTAAATTGTTTTCTTGGATAACATTTTGTTCCTGTTTTGTTTTAGATATTTTAAAGGAATCAGCTTTCTTAAATTTGTTATTTAGCACTAGCATCATTTCTTTGCTTGTTTTTTTTTCATTTGTGTTAACAAATTTATTCATTTTTGGAATTACCACATTATTTTAATTTTAGTTGTTAATTTAGACTAAGGATGAAAGATATTATTGTGGCTGCTGATTCTAATTCTAAAAAAAGACATTTGCAAAGTTTTAAGTAGCATTACTGTTATTTGGGGAATTTAATTATGAATTTCCCATGTTTTAGTGGCTGTTTCCAATAGCGCTATGAGTTTATCTTACTGCTCCAAGTATTTCTCCTTTGTTGATTCTTGTGACAAAAGAACTTAATCCTGTTTTTTATTACTAATTATTTTACTGCTTCTCAATAGGTGTTAAGTTATTTGTTATTTCATAATTCTCTTAATTTTGACTAGAAGGTGTAGCTAGATATATTGTTTTATCAGGCACAGAAGATAAGATAATTTTTTGTTGTTGTTATGCCTATAAAGAATTGATTTAATTTTATTTGATTTGATTTCTAAATTCTTTAATTGTTTTATTAAATTCTGCATCTAAATTTTCATTTCTATTTAAAAGATCTAATTACTAGTTGTTTGTAGATAATATATTAGCTTGGTTGCTATTCTAAAGGGGTAGACATTGTTGAAAACTAGGAGATTCCTCTTCCATTTCATTTCCATGTAGATGTTTTTGGCGATTAAAATTTTCAGCCATATTTTCATTTGTTATCCTATTCTTTTTTGCAGACTCTACCCCATTATGTTTGCGTGATTCAAAAAAATTATTAAGTTTGGTTACTTTAGAGTGTCTGCAACTAGCTGAATTGCTTATTGAGCCTGCAGTTGTTGTGTTAGGAGTATTTATAGTAGCATATATACTCGCAGGTGACTTGGGAGTACAATTATTAAGATTGCTAAATAATTTTCTTTTTTAGTTACTTGATTATCCTAAAATGTTTGTTGGAGATTGTATTAGTTATTTGTTTCCAGCATTATTAAAATTATTACCATTTGTATTATAAGTTGTAATATCTGGTTCTAAAGTTTATAGCCTCCTTTCATTGCTTTAAGTTCCTTAAGTTAATACAAAAAAATTTCAAATTTATTGATGTAACTAAGAAGAATTTTTTATAATTCTACTTTATAATAAATATAAATAACTTAAATTCAGATAGAAAATATTTGTTTTAAGTAATAAACCTTCATTTGACTTATTGAATTTAATTACTTTAAAACTGAACTGAAAACAAGTAAAACAAAAATGTCTAACAAAATTTTACTTTTAGAAGTAGTATTTATCAAGTCAGATCTTTTAGCAGATTGTTTGTTATTTATGGATGCTAAAATAATCTTATTATTCTTTGAAAGAGGGGATTGCATTTATTATGTATTTTTATCTTTGAGCAAACAACAATGAGTTTTTTAAGATTATTTTTAAACAGAAAGATTGATTAACAAATCAATTAATTAGTTAATTAGTGAATGAATGATATCCTTATAATCAAGTGATTACTTATTTATTTTTCTTAATATTTATTAACCAATTATTATTTCTTATATTTTCTTTTAAATTGTTTCGTTTTAATTATTTTTTTGCCTTTTTTTCATCAATCTTATTAAAATGACTTATTATAAAGATTTTTTTGAATGAATATATCTATCTTTCTATCTTCATGAGTCTTATTTGTTGATTTGACAGTTAAAATATTCATTTCAGTCAATCTTTCTCAAGCTAATCAATCCGCTTTGCTAATCAGTTTATATATTTTTGAATAAATTCTAGCTATCACATCCATCAAAGATACAAAAATTATAACAAAATTTATTTTTATGCAATTCAAATATCTAAAAATAGCTAAGTTATTGCAATTATAAATTACTCAATTTGCCTAACCTTACTTAGCTTCTATTATTGAATACAAAATTTTAGTTTTTTTTTTTTATTAAAAATAAAGTAAAATGATTAGTGGAATTTCTGAAATTATAAAACCTTTAAGATTTTACCATACAACATATATATATATATATATTTATTTTTATATAATTATTTTTTATATAATATAGATTTATTTATTTATAAATTGTTTTGAGAAATAGCAGTCTCATACTTGTCATCTCAAAAACAAAGGAATTTTCTTCTTTTGACTTTATTTTCAGTCTCTTCATCTTTAACTGCTTAGTGCTATGAAAACTGAATGAAAATTTATTCTAGTGTACTCTCTGTAATCTAGAAACTATCTACTACGCATTTATTGTTTCTCTCAATTGAACTTCTATGAACTAAATAATTGTTTTGCTACTCAATGTCTTAATTCAAATTTATGCTATTATTTCCAGCGGATTATCTCATGCTTTAATTAAGTTGATTTTTATCTAATGCAACAACTTTAGAAGGAGTTGTTGAAAGCTTATCCAAAAGACTGTAAACAGTGTAGAAAGAAAAGTTATCATACTCTATTTGGTAAATAACGTTTTAGCCATCAAAGTTAACTATTTTCTTTGCTTGAGGTAAAGTTTAACTAATTTGCTCATGAACAAAGTTGGCATTAGCTTCATCCTTCAACTTAATAATTAATCTGTATCCATCTCCATATTTCTTTTTAAGGAAATCAGGGCTACCCATACATTAAAATTTACCATTAACTAGAATGCCAATTTTTGTGCAGAGGGTTTCAGCTTCGTGCATAGAATGTGTAGTTAAAACAATAGCACTATTTCTTTTTTAAAGAGACATCTTAAGAGTATTCCAAAGGAATCTTCTTGCAATAGGATCTACACCTGAAGAAGGTTCATCAAAGAACTACATATCAGGACCTCCAATTAAGGCAATAGTAACACAAAGTTTTCTTTTATTACCACCACTTAGCTTGCCTGCAGCTCTTTTTCTATAATCTTCTAATTGCATAATTTTTATAAAGTAGTTAACGGAGTCTGTTAAATCTCTTCCATACAAACCTTTCATGCGACCAAACAGATTAAGATGATCTTCTACAGAAAGATTTTCATATACAGAATCAAACTAAGGACAAATACCTACATCTTAATAAACATCCATAACTCCACTTTTTACTTCTACGCCCTTTAATTGAACAGAACCAGAACTTTTTTAAAGCAAAGATGTAATAATATTGAAAGTAGTAGACTTTCCAGCTCCATTAGGTCCTAATAATCCCATAACCTCACCATTATGAACACCAAAACTGTTGTTCTGAATAGCTGTAAATGGCTTTCCACCTGGATAATATGTCTATTTTTTTAAGAATTTAAATTAAATAAAAACTAAATTATTTATTTAAATTACCTTGTAGAGCTTAGAAACTTTGATTTTGTCTTAGCAGTAAGGATTTGCTACTCTTTAATCTTCTTCAATAATTTCCTAGTTAGCAACAACTTGTTCTCTTTCCAATTAAGAGTAATCTTCTTTTCTAATTGATTTATTTGGCATTTACTAAATTAAATAATCTACTGAAATGGCCAAAGTAATATAAAGGAAAGCTTGGCCAATTAAGATTTTCATATAGAGAGTGTGGTCTGCAAACTCATCAGGGAACATAGAAACCCAAAAAGGTGAATATGAACTAGTATTACCGCCAAAGTATGTTTCTAATGCCAAGACTATCATACCGTTAGACATGTTTAAAAAGGGAGAAATTAAACAGTAAACCCACTATTTTGATAAATAAATTTCTTAGATTAAATATTTTGTTTTATCAATTAATTACTCTTAAAAATGGTGAAGTAGTTTTTTCGTAGAGGAAGAGAGCCTAAAATCCTGCAAAGAAGACGAAGAATATAAGCCAAGGATAAGTCTTTCATATTAAAAAATGAAAATTTTAGTATATTGTATAATTAAAAAAATATGAATTAATTACTAAATAAACCCATCTTGAGCGAGAGTAGATGAATGAGCATAAGTAAGAAAATCCGATAAAGCAAAAAATAGAAATAATTATAACTTGAGAAATGCCACCTAAGTTATTTTAAAGCCCAGGAATATCGAAAAATGGAACCAAGAAGTAGAAAATAGCAAACATAAAAAGCATAATAAGTGAATCAAATACAAAAGCTCCAAGCCAATAAGTAATATTTCTACAACCCATAACAGTAAGAGCGTATCTTAATTTACTCTCATTATCGATAACAGGAGAGGCAGCTATACCTGTCATAGTTAGGCAATATGAAAGCAATTAAAAGGCTGCGTTTAGTGAGAGTTGTCCAAAATCTCTATTTTCATCTGATCCGTCAAAATCTTTGAAAGCTTATTTGGTAAGGATTACACCACCGATTTAAGTTAACAGAGGAAACAAGAAAGTAAAAATCATAGCAACAGACCTAAAGGACACATACATTCTTCTTAAGAAAAGAGCCCATAATTAATTGAAGAATAAAAATCTTGGAGCTCTATTTAAACATTCAGGAGCTTAGATATTGTTGAAATCAGTGAATTTCTCTTATTCTTTCTATAAATTAAAGGTTTATTAATATAAGAAATAGCTTTATTATATGTAAATTTATTAATTACACTAGCTTTGTTGTCAACATTTAAGTATTTTTGTTCATCCATTCCAATATTAATGAAAGCATCTTCAAGAGTATTCATTTCAAACATAATCTACAATTAATTAATTTATTTTTCGAATATTAAAAATAATTCACATGATTAAACAAATTTATACCTAAACATCTTCAAAGTCTTTTTCTAATGTTTTGAAGAGCTCCACAAACTTGTTCTTAGCATCAAAAGGTAATGTCATGGCTACTGTTCCTTTAGCGCTCTATGGGTTGTATTTAGCATTTGGGATAAGTTAAAAAACTACTTATTTGAGTTGTTCGCATCTTTCAGCGCTTAAGAATTTATTAGCTTCGTATTTTTCGTAGCCTTCTCTACCTGCTAGATTTAATTCATTCTGCTAAGCTTACTCTTCATTCATTTAGATTTGACTCTTTTTAGAGAGAGTTAAATGATATCCGATACCAAACTTTTGCTTTATGAAGTGATTAGAACCTACAGCAAGAAGCTGTCCCCTGGCCATAATAGCTGTTCTATCAGCTAGTTCTTCTACTTCTTCTAAATGATGTGTTGTTAGTACAATTGTTCTCTCAGCATCTCTCATATCATTGATGATGTCTCTAATTTAGATTCTACTTAAACTGTCTAATCCACTAGTTGGTTCATCCAAAAATATAACCTTACTTCCTCCAATCTAAAATAAATTTAGAATAATTTTAATACGGATTTTTATACTAAAAATAAATCATAAATTACTAATGCCATAGCCATAGAAAGCTTTCTTTTATTACCACCACTTAAGTTCTAAGCTTACTTTCCTCTTTGTAAATCTAAAGCGCACTTCATAATAACGTTTTCTATGTCTTTTTTAAGTTCATCTCCATACTTTCCCTTTAATTCACCAATGTATGCCAAGTGCTCTTCAATGGTGAGTTAATCATATAATGCATCTTTTTAAGTGCAAAGACCGATGTAAGAACGTATCTACTCAAAATCTTCATCTTAATCCTTATCATAAATTTTGACTCTTCCAGATGTCTTCTTTATTAAACCTGTTAGCAATGAAATTGTAGTAGTTTTACCAGCACCATTATGACCTAAAAGACTAATTTAAAAAGTACACTTTAATTATTAAAATCATTAGAAATTTTTAAAATATTTTACCAGAAAATTTATTTTTCAAATAAAGTCAAATTTAAATCTTAAACTGCCTAAAAGCTGCCAAACTTTTTACTCAACTCTTTGATTTGAACAGAGCTCTTATACTTTGTGGTATCAACTTCTTCTTTATAATGAGCTTATGAGAGATCTTAAGATTCTAGTTCTTTTTCGAATAGAGAATAAACTCTACCTTTGATACTACTTTTCTAAAAGAGTTCAGTGATGAAAAAGAAAGGGCTTTTGCTTGTGCCAAACTCTGTTTGAATGATTTAATCAAAATACAAGAAAGAAATCAAGTAGAAAACTGACATAACATTAATAACCATCATTCCTTCTTCGAAAGTAAAATATAATATTTAAGTGCTTTACTACCATCCATTAGAAAGCCAAGCCCACATCATAGCACTCTAAGGGAAGACAAATGCTAAAAGAAGCATCAAACTATTATCTTATCCAATATTTTCATCAAAAGCAGCATAAAAGAACAAAGTCATTATAACTGAAAGAAGCATATAGAGTTCAGCTGCTAGCCTGGGTCTTGAGAAGAACGAAGATATGAAGAATGCGAAATGAATGTTCATATACATATTTGATATGTACATAATTGAGGCAGAAACCCAGTCAAAACCTTCAACTGTAAGTACTCCGTTAGCAGCTGCTGGAATTAAGAAGAATAAACAAGCCTTTTATAAAAGTTAAGAAAAAAAACTTTTAATTTAACAATTATCCACTAAAAATAGTAAATTTGTTTACAATAAAGCCACGGAGGTAATAGTAAAATAGCCAAGAAACATTATAAGATGTAGTTCTCAATCCCATAATCTAATATTATAAAAGATTTTTTAATAAAAATGTTTAGAGTGATAATTTTATTTATTTACTTTCTATATTTCTTTCATTCTTTCAGCTTTATCGTGAACGAATTAATAAACTATTGATCTGGTAAAGCTGGTGAAAGGAATTCCCAATATGACTTTATTCAGTTCATTAGTAACATAAGATACGACTAATCCTACAACAAGAGGGAAAAATATATCTGCAAGAATTTCTTTTGAACGGATGCTCAAAAGAAAATTCTTCTTTAGAACAACCTTAACTTATTCTACAAGCATATTTTATAAAATCTTTAATTAATTTGCTTTTAATAAATTATCAAAATTTAACCTGATAGGGTTTTGATTAGGTAGAGAAGTGTATATTTAGAATTAAATTAATTAGATTAAAAAAGTCTAAAGTCTATCCAGCAAGCTTATTCGTACTATATGTAAAAGATCTAATTAAAAATTTTTTAAACACTTTAAAATATTTGAAATAGATATTGAATAGCCTATAATTTGTAGACTTTGATGCAATAATTTACCAAGCCGCTTAATGATTTTCAATAAATTAACATAGAAATGTGTTACTTTATTAAATAAAGAAATCCCTATTAAATATGTTGTAAATGAATAAGGAATTATTTATAGGACAAATTTGTTTGATTCTTGCATATTTAAATTTAAAATTTAAAAATAGATTACCTAACAAATTTGATTAATATCTATTATTAGAATTTAAATCTTAGTACCAAAATATCTAGTTTTAAAACTCTTTAGTCATAGTAAACAAATAACTAAACTTTTTAAATTTATGTAGTAAATTTATAAAAAGTTAAAGTAAGTAAGTAAGCATATTTGTTTTTTACTTTCAACTTTAAATTTATTCTGAAATATTTTAGTTTTTTTTTAAAAAAAATAACAAGAAAATAAATTTTTAAATTTTATAAATTTCTTTTATGTTATTTTATATTAAAATTCTTTATTTTGTCAGTAAAATAAATAATTCCAGTCAATATCTTAATTAATTAGAACTTAAAATATATTTAATTAAATGACTTCTCTCATACCTTATTTTTACTTAAAGATGATATAATTTTAAGGCTAGTAACTTGCTTTTATTTGTAAATTTTATAATAAATGAATAAATAATAGTATTAAAATTATATTAAACTATTTTACAAAACTTAAACTGAATTTTTATTGAAAATAGATTGGATTTTTATTTTTTAATTATATTTTTCAGTGAAGCTTAAATTAATAAATGCAGATATTTAATCATTATTGTTAGATTTAATCAAACTCATTTATAAATATATAAAATATTAAAGTAAAAAGTAAGGTCTAAAATATATAATTGATAAATAATTAACTTTGACTAAATTCAGCATAAAATAAAATCAAATTTTATATCAATTTTAATTTCTCATTTCTGTAATTGATATTTTTTATTTATTTAAACATTCATCTTTTTACTCAAATAAATTTTATAAATTTTTAAAAATAAACAAATTCATTTTAATGGAAAATTATTGTAATCTAAATAATTTATTGTTTATATCTTTAAAAGTGTTTAAAATCAAAATATTTGAGGCATAATATTTACTAAGGCAAACAAATTAATAAAATTTATTATTTCTTATTTATGAATGTGCTTTTTTCAAAATAATTAAAATAATTGTAATAGATTAAATAAAATAATGAAAGGAAATTTAAAAATTAATTACTTTTCATCAAGACCAAAGAAAAATATTTACATAGCTTTTAAAAAAACATTTATTTTTAAATGAATTGAATTTTCTGATTTTTAAATTAATAGATTTAGTTTAAAAAACATTTTTAGTAAATTTAATTATTAATGAAAATAATTCTAATATGTTTGTAATTAAAATAATAAATAGCTCGGCATAAAATTTATCAAGACTAATATTTAATAATTTTTATTATTTATTTGCTAATTTGTTTCTTTCAAAATAAACAAATTATTGTCAGCAAATAAAATGTGATTTAAACTCTAATTATGTAAATTTTTTACAATTTGATAAATTTTCATCATGATTTAAGAAGATATTTTCATAATTTTTATTTTTAATTGAATTGAGCTTTCTAATTTTTTGAAATAAATATAATTAATTATTTTAATTGACAATCTAATTCTTTTGTAATCAAAAGTAGTAAATAATTTATTCATTAAATTTGAAGATGATTGTAATCAAAATTAATACCACAAATACAATATTATAAATTATAGTTATTACACTCGTATGCTTTATTTGTTTTGAGGTATAATAGACGATTTTTGCACAACAAAAAACTTGATAGATGACGAAAATTTGATTAGTTTATTTAAAGTTAATACTTTTTTTGTTATTTACTAGTTTTTGTTTTTTGTGTCAACAAATTTACCAAATACTTTGACTAATATTTGATTATTTAATAAATTTCAAATAATAAAAATAAATTAAAAGATATGAGCATGTAAAAAACTACTGTTGACTTTTTAATAGTTGGGGCAGGCTCTGCTGGCTGTGTTTTAGCTAATAGACTTTCAAAAAATTTAAGCCAAAAAGTTGCTTTAGTTGAGTACGGACCTAAAGATAATAGTTCTCTGATTCATTTACCTATTGGTTTTCCTTTACTTATTGGATAATGGGTTGGCAAGAAATATATCTATCCTAATTTAAGAAGCGAAAGTGAGAAAGAATTAAATGGAAGAACCACATATTAGCCTAGGGGGAGAACACTAGGTGGTTCTAGCTCTATCAATGCTATGATTTACATTCGAGGCAACAAGTATGATTATAACCTATGGGATTAAGAGGTAAAAGGAAAAGGAAATTGGTCTTACGACAAGGTTTTACCCGTTTTTAAAAGCTTAGAAAATAATCAACACTATATTAATAATCCTTATCATGGCAATAAAGGTGAACTAGGTGTAACTACTCCATAATTTGTTTGCGATACTACAAAAGAATACTTAAAAAGCTGTTAAGAAGCTGGCATTAAAAATATCGATGATTTTAATGGTGATAGCTAAGAAGGATCAGGAATATATTAAAGAACCATATTTAATGGTGAAAGATGTTCAAGTGCAAAAGCCTTTTTGACTAAAGATATTAAAGATAGAAAAAATTTAGCTATCCTCACTGAATTAAAGGCTTCTTAAATTATTTTCGATCACCAGAAAAATGCTTAAGGTGTTATTTTCATAAATTCTAAAGGAGAAAAATAATATATCGAAGCCTAAAAAGAGGTGATAATTTGTGCTGGTGCATTTGGCTCACCACAGCTTTTGTAATTATCTGGAGTAGGAGATGCTAAGGAGCTAAGCGAATAGAATATTAAAGTACAACACAATTTACCTGGAGTAGGTAAGAACCTATAAGATCACTTAGATATCATAGTTTAAGCATATTTGAAAGAAGGAGATTTAGGTAGTGTTCATCATTCAGTTTTAAAGGAATAGATAAAGCATGGTATTAAATACTACTTTAAAGGGGAAAAAGAAAACAGTTTCTTTTCATCTAATTTAGGTGAAGGTGGTGCATTTTTTAAAGTAAATGAAGATTCCCAACATGCTGATACCTAATTTCACTATGCTCCTTGCATAGTTGTCGACCATGCATAGAGAATTGAGTATGCTAAAGGAGTTACTTTACACTCATGTTATTTGAATCCAAAAAGCAGAGGATCTGTTAGTCTAAAAGATAAGAACCCTCTTTCGTATCCAAAAATTAAAATGAATTATCTTTCAGATCCAAGAGACTTGCAAATGATGGTAAGAGGAGTTAAAAAAGCGCATTAAGTATTTACATAAACAAGATTTAAAGACTTGATAAGCAACTTAGGATAAATAACTGTTCAAAATCCTTCTGATAAGTTTTGGGAAGATTTTATAAGAGCTAAGGCAGAAACAGTTTATCACCCAGTAGGAACTTGTAAAATGGGATTAGATGATATGTCTGTTGTTAATGAAGAGCTTAAGGTGCATGGAATAAATAAATTAAGAGTAGCAGATGCTTCAATCATGCCCTACGTAGTGAGTGGCAATACCAATGCTCCAACTATGATGATAGCTCAAAAGTGTGCTGAAAACATTATTAAAGACTATAAATTATGAGCTAATAAATTTAAAACAAACTAAGTTAATTTAGTATAAAAATATTTATGTCATATAATAGCTTTTATTTTTTATGATAGTTAATTTTTAAATAAAACTAAAAAATAAACCCTGAATTCAAATTAAGGTTTTGCTTATTTAATTTTTGTAATGAATCAGCAATTTAAAATAAATACAAATAATTAATTAATATAATTTAAATTAAAATGATTAAATTAATCATAAAATTTTAAGTTAAAAGTGGAATAAATGCATAAATAAATATATTTTTAACTAAATTATTTATTAATCAAAGCCAATTTAATGAATTTTATAAGCCTAAAAATTTAATCAAGTTGAGATGAAAAATAAAATATATTTCTTTTTTTGTTATATTAAAAAACATGCTAATAGAAATTAAATAAAATTTTGAAATATCTTAAACGTGAGGAAGGATGAATGAATGGATGGATGGATGGATGGATATATATGCAATTTGGATAGAATTAATGAATTATTTATTTATTTATGTATTTATTTATTTATTATTCTTGTTATTGAATAAAAAAGTTCAAAAGAATTATATTAATTTGCTTGTTTATTTCAAAGGTTTTTTGGTTATGAATGAATGAGAAACTAGATAAAGTAGATTATCAACATAATAATATTTTAAGTATTAACATCGAAGTAATTTAAGAATTATTTTCAAACTTCTCCCAAAGAAGAAAGCATTTGATTGATTATCTGCTTTAGTATATCGTTCACTCAAATTCAACATTAGCCAATTTTAAAATCTCATACGCGAATGTTTTATATAAAATATAATGCCTTTTAATAGCAATTTAAATTCATATTAATATTTCGCGGAGATTTTGCTGATTAGGCAAAGTAAATATAATGTTGAGTATAATCACTTGCGAATATTGAAAAGGAATAAATCAGTATAATTAACAAGAGCATTTCTAGTTTATTGTTTGCATTTTTCCTTATCAGTTTTACCTTCATCAGCTCTTTTAAGACACTCTTAAGTTTTATTTTCCAAAAAAGCTATTCTATATTCAAAATTTTTTTGTTCTCTTTCAACTTTTTCGACTACCTACTCCATGCAGTTGACGAATTAATCAACATCATTATATGACATGCACTTCTTCTCAAATGTTGCTAATTCATTCTTTAATTTTTCGTCAATAGAGTCAAATACTCCCTTTAATTCTTGTTAAAAATTTTGATCTTCCATTTCTTTGATATACTATTTCCTTGTATTATATTATATATTGAGATATTTATTTAGAAATTTCTTTTAGGGGTGTTTTCTCTAGCTACTAACAAAATATCTGTTTATTAATCATATCTTTTGATTTCAAAATGTATAGCAGTAATTTTAATCATATATCATATGTGGAATAGAAATTTTAACTTCTTTGTACTTTATTTTATTAAAAATAAAAATTTTTTGTTATTTCTAATTCTAAGATCAATAGTATCCTAAGCATTTACAGAAAATTTATAATAATAAAGCTCTTTATTGTAATAAAAACCTAATCTATCTTTTCCAAAATTTTTAGCTTAATATTTTATCTCAAATTGAAATAATATAAACTTATGAAAATAATTTTGACATTAATTATTTTTTTTAAATTAAAATTATAAAACCTCAAATAAACAATAATTTTAACTAAACAAACTATCAGAATAAATTTTAAGATATTCGAGCTTTTTTTATAAATCTAAAAATAGTTTAAAAAGATGGAAAGTTATTAATTATTTAAACAACATTTAATGCTTAATGATATCATCAATTTCAAAAAAGCCTTTTCCATTTTTTATTTAAAAATAGTAAAAAATAGTCATTTTAATAAATAATATAAATTCAATTTAAATGAGATAATTTAAACCTTACAAAATAAATAAACTTAATTTAATTTTTTTAAGTAATGATGGTCAAATAAAATTTCAATTATTTTCAAATAAAAGTTTAAAATATAAATTAAAATAATTCAATAAATAAAATATTACCTTTATTTTGCTAACTTAAATAAAATAATTTATTCTTAAATTAGTAAACCTAATCGATAATAAATATTGCTACTATTTATATAAGATTACCTATCCAATAAATAAAATTTGACCTTTTATTTTACTAACTTAAATAAAATAATTTATTATTAAATTAGTAAACCTTATCTATAATAAATAATAGGTAATAAATATTACTATTATTTAATTATATAAGATTCTAGGAATACATAATTTATTATTTTAAGAATAATTAATTTAATTTTTAATTTGCAAATTTTCTATAATTTAGATAAGTCCATTTTATTTTTAATTTTTTAAAAATTATTTCTTAATATAAGAATTTTTATTTTTTAAATATTTAAAGTTTTCATATTATTATTGAAATTTTTATCTTTATGAGATATTTAAAAAAAGAATGAAAAAAATAATAATAAAAGTTATATTTTTTTATGAATCTAAAAATACAATTCAATACATTCGATAATTGTTTTATAAATATTTAAAAAAATTATTTAAATGTAAAACATAAAAATTATTAATTGAGTAAGTAAAGTTTAACTAACTTATTGAAATGATATTAAATTTTAAGATTTTAAAACAATAAAATAATATTATTTTATTGATTGTGACACTAGATTTTGATGTGTCTGTTACTAAGATTTTTATAAATATTAATATATTTTTTTATATCCTTTGTAAATTAAATATTTATTCAATATTAGGTTTTAAAATTATTTCTATATTAGCTTAAATAGATAAAAATACAAAATGATAACTACTGAGTTGGCTTAATATTTAATTAAGTTGAAAATTCAAATTCTGGCTTGAACCCAAAGGTTTGTTATCAGTTGATAGATAAATTTTAATTGACTAACTAAATAAAAGGCCTTTTAAAAACAAAAAGAAACACAAAATTAATTTATAATAATTAGCAGACTTTATTTTTTATGAAATTATAAAAAATAGGAATTTAAAAGCAACTATGTTCATTTTTGATATAGATGAACCTAATACCTTAATAAATTAATCTGATTCTAACAGAACTCTTTTATAAAATGATAATAAAAATTAAAAATTTTTAAACAATAATTTTACAGGGAAGATTAAAAAATTTATTTGGAAGAAGAAATGAATGTTGAATTAAATCATAATATGACTGTTAGTGAAAATATCATATATTATTTAAGATTATTAATGAGTAATGAATAAAATTCTAACAATCAATTTATACTAAAATCATCAATACCATTTTTAAATAATAAATAGCTGAGTTACTAAAATATTAAATTTTAAATTCAGAGTTAGTTGATAAATATAAAAATTTAATAAACAAATTTCCAATCCAAGTGGTTTATATCTTTTATAAAATAGATTTAAGATAGGTTTACATGAAAAATATGTAGATAAATCACCTTATTAAGCAAGTAACAAACATAAAACTTAATTTATAAAAAAATAGAAATGTTTCAATCTACATTAAAAAGTAGAATAATATTATCATAATATAATATTAATTTTAATTTTTTGAAATCAAATTATTCATTTCTTTTTTTATTTTAGAAAGTTTATAAATAATGAATATTAATGTATCAAGAAAAGAATTTATTTTGAAATTTTATACCTAAAAAAGATTTTTTATATTTTTTTTATTAATTCTTTTTCTAAATATCAATCAATGATATATAAATTTTTTATTTCAATTAAAGGTAAGAGAGTTTTTATAATTGTGATATTGCATCTATCAAATTACTAAAAATATTTGTAAATTATAGCTTTTCTCTAGGTATCAATAATAATCACATTATTTTAAAAAATTAAGTAACAAAAAGTATAAATTTTTAATGTTACACTTACACAAAATTATTAAAGCTTGTATTTTTTTGTTAGATATAGTTCACTTTCTAGATTGCTCCTTTAGGCTGATTTCTCTTATTGAGTCAAATTACTTTACACAGAAAGAAATTTGGAACAATAAAACAGATACGCTATGATATATTTTGTTTGATAAGAAGTTTATTGGGCTGTAGTAACGATAACCACTTAAGAATATGGTGATATAGTATCATTTCCCACCTGTAATAAATTGCAATTTTTACTTGTTTAATTAAATTAAAATAATAACAAAAAACTGATAAATTTAATTGACTATTAATTAGATTAAAAGCTGTTTGTAATAATTTTCATTCTAGCTTCTTGTGGTTTATTTTGATACTCTATCAACTTAACTGCTAAATTAATTAAAGATGCGAATAAAGACAAAGAAAAATAAAAATAATAAATACAAAAGCTTGAATGCTTCTTAAAGTAGAGAAATATAAGCAAGATTTTGAGAAATAAAGCTATTGAAATTTTCTAGTACAATTTTAATTGGAAGCACATATGGAGAGAATTAGAGTGAATTTTTCTTAAGTTAAATGAAAAGTTATGTTTGATAAGATGTTTCTCTTGACATTTACTTAAAATTTTTAATGAACACAACTCTTTTAATCTTTCTTCAAATCTAATAAAAAGTCATTTTAATCATATTAAAGAATAAAAAATTTTTCCTTAAGAATTTTTTTAAACTATTTTTTAAAATTCCTCTTAATTTTTTCAAAGATATAAAAAGGGCGATAAATCTGATATAATTTACTTTAATTAGAAGGTGTAAGTAAAAAATTTTTCACTTTTAATTTATTATTTAAATTTTTTTTTTTTTGAGTTAATCTTATAATTGATGGATTGCGTCAAACGAAATTAGGTTCTTATGATACTGTAAATTGTCTTTATAAATTATTTCAATTATTATTTTTTAAATTAAAGAAATATTGCTTCATAAGGCTTATAGAATTTTTAAGTTAATAAAGAAGAAGAAAAAAAATTACGAAAATCAAAACTTATGCTGTCGTCACTTATATTGAATTTGATTAATTTATTAAATTGACAAAAATATTAAATCAAGGTTATTTTAGTAAATATGAGTGTAAGACTAACTTAAAATAATTATTTCTCTCTAAAGGAATCTTATTGCTTTTTGCTAGATGGTATCAATTTAAAGTAAAACTAAAATCAATTAGAAACTAAATATTTTAACTAATAATTCTTTGATCATCAAATCGTAGTATGCTAGCTAATTTAATATATGCTTAGAACTAAAAAAGTTATTGAAAATTACAATTCTTACCAAAAATATTTGAAACTCCCTTTAAAGAGAAAGAAAAAGATACTTAGCTGGAAAAAAAACTTTCAATTCTATATAAAAAAATTTAATTGTATTTAAAAAAACGAATAAAATGATGATAATTAACTTAAATAATTCTAACAAGTTGAAGAGTGAATTATATTGAAGGCTTCTTTTACTGAATCAAATTAATGAATCAGAGAGCAAGAATTTTCCCTATCTATACTTTTTATTTTGATTAAATTAGATGCATTTAATTTTTTTATTAGTAATTAAGTCATTAAAACAGCAAAAATAGAGTTTTCTCCATTTAAACTGTAAATGTTTGTGTTATTACTTAATTTAAATCTGATATTTGACTTTTTAAAACACTATTAGCTAAAATAATAATTAAGGCGTTTATTTATTCTAGGCTTCTTAGCAGGTTTAGCAATAATTTAATTGCCAAAAATAGTATGAATAAACTAGGAATTATAATTATAAGATAAGAATATATAGTAGAGAATTTCTTTTTAAGGGTGATTGGAATTCTAAAATGAATACTTAAAATACTCACTATAAAGAATAATAAACTAAAATGATTGAGCTATATAAAATATTAAAGATATTGAGATTTAGATGATTTGAAAAAATGTAAATATAAACGAATTTTTATCTAATTTTTAGATGAAAATTTTTTACAAAATCTAAGTTAGGATAATATTCCTACAAACGGTAAATTGCAATAATTAGCATTAAATAATTTTAAGATTATGTAATATCAGATAAGGCAATTATTTGGAAAACCAAAAATTTAAATAATATGAAGTATACTTTTGTCATAATAATAGAAACGAAGTTCTAATTTATCATAAAAAAAATCTTAATAATATAAAATTATTTTACAAAAATAGGTAAAAAACATAAATAATTTTAGTAAATTAGATAATAGAACTAAAATAAATTAAGTTAAGAGCTAAAAAAAGTGAAATATCTAACAGTCTTTGATAAAAAGTTAATTAACAATTTATTTCAATGATTATAATTTTCTATATTACGAATGTTTCTATCATTTTCAAAAGAATTATCTATCATACACAAAAAATACTGTTTACTAATAATGATAAAAATATTTAATAATTGAATTTTAAATTTTAAATTTTTTTAAGATAAAATATTTGTCAAGGCATTTTATTTCTTCTATAAGTTTACTGTTTAAATGAACAAAGTATTTAGTTAATAAGATTTTTTAAAATTATAAATTGTAAATTTGATCCTTTTCATATACTTTGAAGAAAATTTAATTCTTGCAATTTAAATTAATTGAATCAACTAAGTTTTCTTATTTAATTATTGATATATATTACAAAATTAATTTACATACTTATGTTGACTTATTTATACATAATTGATATTAAATTGCAAAAAAAACTAAATCAAAATTTAATTAATTTATAGTAAAGCAATGGATTATATGCATTCAAACGGACCTTTAAAAAGGTAGACTTTATTTATGGGTCATACAACTAAATCAATTAATGTTGATGATCCTATACCATTAGAAGATGTAAATGAAAGCAATTATCATTAGGGATAGAAAGATGGAAGCATTTATTTTGAAGATAAAACAGTCCTTTAAGATGACAGATCATTTTGTGATGTGGCGTCAAGAAATGAATTTTCTTCAAATCAATCTTAATAGAATATAAGAAATGTGATATTTGAGATTAATAATAAACTTAATAGATACGATGAAAAGAGCGATAAATCTAAAAGAATATCAATTAACTAATAAAAATGCTTATAGAAATAGCATTAAAGTGAGAAAAGTTTCCTTAGTAGTCCATAAAAAATCTGTAAAGTAGAAAATTTAAATGAAATTCAATAAATATAAGAAATAACTAATAATTCAAGTAAATACAATCATGAATCCCAAACTAATTAAAAAATAATAAACGTTCCAAAATCCTACTCAATATTTGGGTAAGTAAAAATTAACTTAATTGTTAAAAAATTTGTGAACAAATTAATGTAGACCTTGGATTCAAATGTGTTTTAATAGATTCCAGAAAAATAATTTAATATTATCAATGATCCTTCTTTTTGTTACTAATTTCATCACATGAATGATTTATCAGATAAATAGAAATCTTAAATTGTAATTATTGCTTGTTAATTATTACTATTATTTATTTATTTTTTTTTTTTTTGCTTACTTTATTAAAAATTTAATATTAATAATATAAAAATTAATAGGATATGCATAAATCTTTAAGCTAAATCTAATTCAATTATAGCTAAAGAGGTAAATATTAAAAAATAAACAAATTATTCTTATTCTATCTAAATTTATTGACTTAATTATTTATTCTTACCAAAATTTATATCCAAAATTTTTAATTAAAATAGTAAATTCGCTGAGTAGTTTTTTGAACAGTTCTAACTATGTTTTCATGCCAGTTAGTTCATTAAAAAATATTAAAAATAAAAATTCACTCTATTTTTTAATTTAAAGGAGTCACTAATAGTATTCGTTTGGAATGTATTCAATCTTTTGATGATCATCTACAATTCATTTGAAGCCATTATTTTGTTAGGCTTTAATAAAAATACTGTTTATCCGTTATATGTTGAGTCTATTGTTTTTTACTTTTTAGATTGTCTAATCTAAATGAACATTGTATTATTCTATTTAACTAATTAATTAATTTAACAACTAGATATAAATTATTAAACAACTAGGCAATATTTAGAAAAGGGCAGATAATCACATAAAGAAAGATTATAATTAATACATTTATGAAAGAACAGCTTATGTAAATTTAAACTCATCATTATTCTTAATAGTATAATTTTATTATATAAAACTATGTTTCAGCTACACAGTACTTGGGATGATTGGTATTATTTTATCTGCAAATTTTAAATACTGTAAAATGCTTTTTCTTATTCGCTCATTGCAGATTCCAATAATCTATCGTGAAATAGAAAGCAAATTAAATATAAGAATTAAAATGAAACATCAATCTGAGCTTTTGAAGCTTATTTTTTTTATACTTTCAGTTGCTCATTTAGTAGGATGCTCATTTAGATTTGTTGGGTTAATGGAAATTAGCTAGGGTTATGATAAAACTTGGTTAGGTGATAGTGATTAAGATAACTGGGTTTATGATTATATTAATTGCATATATTGGGCAGTAGTTACTATGGTAACGCTTGGTTATGGTGATATAATTCCAATAACAATAGGTAATCAATTAACTCAAATATCAGTTTAAATAAATTTTTTTGAATTAATATTAGCTGAAAGGTTCTTTACTATATTCATTGTGTTAATATCATGTGGAGTTTTCGGTTACTGCATTAATCAAGTAGGCATGATTATTTAATCTATAGGTAAAGAAAGAGAAAATTTTAATTAAACAATGGATAAGTTAAATATTTTTATGAAGGAGAGAAAGTTCAACCTATAAATTCAAATGAAAATCAGAAAGCACTTTGAGTATAAGTTTAGGATACAAAATAAAAACTCCATATAAATCGATTAACTGCTTGATTAAATGCACGAATCGCTAAAATATGAGACCCTTAAAGAACTTTACAAAAAAATGTTATAATAAACATCCATCTTTATTGGAAACTTTTCTGATGTTTGCATAGATGAGCTCAGTCAATATATTTAGGAGATAAATTTAGTACCAGATGAGTTTTTGTATAGCTTTTAAAATAAATATATTTTAATAATAGACTTATTTAAATTCTTTTTATTAAAAGGTATTAAGCTGAAGAATAATCTGATTTAATATATTTTGTTTTGAAGGGAGAGTGTAAATTAATTTTGAGTTATTCTTTAATCATTTAATTATTGATTAAGTATAAAATTAATAATAATTAATAGTTACAGTTATTCCAAAAGACGATCAAGTTAATCGCATTTTATCTATAGAAAAGGTAATTTTTATTTATTCATACACAACAAGCTTACTAAAATTTTGTATTATATTTTATTAGCTTCAAATTTTTGAATGATCTGTAAAATATAAAAGTATTTTTTATTCATTTTATATTTAATTTTAAAGAAAGGATCTATAATAGGATAATATGAGTTTATTTCCTAGAAATAAAGAGAGTTTTCTGTGAAATCAAGAGATTTTTCTTGTGTTGCAGTTATAGATTACTAATCCTTTATCAAGGTCCTTTAAAAACATCCTAAAGATTATGTAATAAAATTACTTTATTATTGCATATATACTATTTTAGTTATAATAAAAATTAGGAAACATTTTGCTTTATTAAAGATAACATTTAATTTTGTAGCTGCCTTAATAAAACAGATATCAAATGCTCTTTCTGTTAGGTTAATGATCACACTATAAATTACTGCAAAAAATACTAATTCATTCCTAATATATTGAATAAAATTAAAAACTAGAAATCAACAATTTAGCTTTCAAGATAATAATTTAGCAGAAAAAAGAAATTTAAATGGAATTCTTTTAAAAATATTTATTAAATGAGTTTTTATGCTAATAAGTTTCTTGAAAAATTATAAAGTTAACAAAGACTGTAGTAATAGTAATAATCTGACTCGTCTTTGACAGAAGATACATCAAGCTAGACTGAAGATATTAGAATTATTGATAGTTAAAATTAACTAGAATAATAATATGTTACTTAGGTAACATAAAGTTAGAAGTATGACAAAAATTTTTTATTTTTATAAAATTTACAAATTTATAACATAACTATTTAAAGGAGGGCTTCCTTGGTATTAGACGATATTATTTCGCCAACTAAAAAAAATCTAAGATAAGTTGGTTCAAAGCTACCATCTACCACATAAATAAAAGAAAATGAACCTCGTGCATCTACTAAAAAAATATCATTTATTCTAAGCACAAATGATTTAGAAAATGGATAAGAAATTTAGATATTGGATAAACCTGAATATACAAAAAATAATTTAACAGAAAAACAACCTCTATTGCACTCATAATTAGAAAATATGTATAAATCTGAGAAGTCACCAGTACTAATTCGAAGAGAAAGTGGGAAAAAGGAATTGACTATGATGATTTCTTAAAATAAATTAAATTAGGCATACTTGATAAATTAATTGAGCTAATCAGGTACCTAGCATGAAAATAATGATTTTGATTTAATGAAAGAATATAAAATTTATTTTCCATCATAAAACTGTGTGTAAATATTGAAAGAGTATAATTTAGCAAGAAAAAAAAAACTATAAAAAATGAAAGTGTAGACAAAGACTTCATTCTCAGGTATTAAAAAAAATTAAAAAACAATAGATTAAAAAAATAATAAAACGAGCAGGACCTCTCTCCCTTCATAAATACAGTCTTAATAATTCTTATAAAAGTGAAATATAAAAATTATTTTTTAAAGTTTTGTAAAAAATGTATTTTTTTCTAATAAACTAAAAATTATTTTTATTTCCTTAAATTAATTTTAATTTAATTTAACTAAATAATATCAATATATAAATATAAAAAATTAGAAAATACAATAAAAATGTCACAATGAAATTATAATGTTTATATTATTCTTATTATACAATTATATATGTAATTTCAATTTAATAATATTTAATTTGGGTAAGGTATCTATTATCTATTTGCTTTTGTAAAAGTCTGTTTAAACCTAATAAGATGCTTTCAAACCTAACTATCGATTCTAATAGAGCTTTTGTTTTGTTTGACAATTATTAATTTAAAGAGTATTTAGATTATTAGGGATTTTTTCTATTTTATATATAATTTACTTATTTGTACAAACACATTACTAACTATATAAATATCATTGATAAATCTATATAAAAATAATATTTTTTCTTTTTTAAATAATCTCATTATTTTTTAATAATTTTATTTAATTTTTAATGTATTTTTGAGAGTAATATGATGTTAAAATTTTAGCTTAATATTTTAAAATAGAATTTTAAATATTAACCCATAAAAAATTAATTTAATTATTTCGCATACTAAGTATTTTATATGTTGATATTACTTTATCATTTAAGATTATAAAAAATAGATTTATTTTAATGTTAATTTTGGAAATAAATTATATATTTGTTTATTTTATTAATTTTTTTATTATAAATACAGCCTATTTGTATATGTAATAATTATTTTTTATCAAATTTTAAATCATACAATATTATTTTATTTAATTTTTATATCTTCAATTTTATATGTTTTAAGAATTCTTTTAATAAACTCTGATGTAATCGATATACATATATTTAGGATAGTCAGCTTATTTCGCTTTAATAAAGTTGTCTATTGCTGTGTTGATAATTATAAATTATGGATAAGTTGGAAGAGTTATAGGGGCATCTGTTTTAGGGTATTGAACACCTTGCTTATTAGTTTTATAGTGAATATTATCAATGTACCAATCAAACTATGTAGCATTCCAATCAAATCTAAAGATATGATAGTCATTTAAATTTATTTTATTTGGATAGAGTGTTCCACATCCATGACAATGATTATCACTTGCGTTATTACCCCAATGATATGTACCATATAAATGTGGTAGCTTATCACCATTCCAATTGCTATTCATTTCAAAGATATCAATTTCTCCTCCTAATTCAAGATATATAAAAAAAAAAATAAAAAAATGCTTTACTTATTTGCTTCTAATAATAGCTAACTCATAATTTTTATCAATTAATTAGCAACATTTTTTATTTAAAATACCTCTTAACCAGCTAACTCCATCTCCTATAGTCCATAAAGCTGGCCAGATGGGATCGTTTACTTTTGTTTTTGGTAATTTTACTCTTGCTTCTAGTCTTCCTTCTGAAAAATTAAATTTTTAAGAGCTATCCAACCAACCTGAAGTAAAGTTATACAATTTTCCTGTAAGATTGTAAACAGTAGGGTTATATCTTGTTCTAATCACTAAATTTCCATTTTCAGTGTAAATATCATCTTCAATGTAAAGCTATTGTTCAGTATCACCATGAGTTCTGTATCTTTTTGTCCATTTACTTTCATCAACTTGCGTGCCTTCAAACTCATCCTCAAAAATAATACTCCAATCATCTTGAACACCAAAATCTACCAATTAAGTGTCTTTATTGCCCAAAAATTGAAAATGATAATCTTAAAGCACAAAAAATAGTGCAAATAGCAGAATAAGGAATACTAATATAGACTTAAAATTTATAATTTTCATTTACTAATTCTTCTGCGGTTCACTATTTAGCACTTATATTTATTATAAAATCTTATGCTTCTAAATTCATTCATTCATGGCTTTTAGTAAGATAATTTAAATTTTTATGATGTAAATGACCTCAAATATTCAATGAAGATTTTTGATTAGATGTAATCATTATCAGAATTGTTTGATTATTTGATCATAATTCATAAACTTTCTTTTGTTTTCTTGAGAAATAAATATTAAAACATTTTTATGAAAGCTTTAAGAATATTTTATTAAATTTGGTTATTCTAGTATATTTTTATTTTATAAAAACAAAAACCAAACACAAAAATGTTTTATTTTTGAATTAATTGAGAATATTAAATATATTTATTGAATTGTAAAAATGAAGCTAGAATCAATTTTTAAAGAAAATGCATACAATTTTAGTAATTAATATTTTTATAAAAAAATCTTCATACATTTAAGACTGAATCTTAAAAGTAACTAGAAATAAAGTATTTTTCTTGGCGTGATCATAAAAATTTATCAAAATCATATTCAATGTATTATATTAACAGAATTAAAATTGTTTTAATATAAATATTATGCATTAAATTTTATAAACAGAGAGGCAAGTTAGCAATCAAAAGAAAGAAAATAAAAATAATGATTTAATATAAAAAATTAAATTGCAAATTAGGATGGTAAATCACACATAAATTTTACAATTCATTATGCAATTTATTTCATTAAGTTAGACCTAGCTACATTTCAGTATTATAATAATAATAATAATAATAATAATACTTATTTTTTCTATAATGAGTTGTCTCTTCTATAAAATAATCAAAGTTAAATAAGTAACAATATTTTTAAAAATTATATTAATTCAATTGAATTTGTAGTGATCAATAAACTATTTTCTTGAAAAGCTTCTTAGAAGAATTTAAATACATTTTTATTTAAGCCTTTATTGAAATTTAAAAATATAGTATATTACTGTAATTTATATAAATTTAGTTTATAGTTAAATAATTAAGTTAATAATAATAAATGCAATTAAATGCAGAATATTTATTTAGAAAGAAAAGTTGTGGTACGATAAACACTTACTTTCACAAATATAAATTTAGTATTTTCTTATATATGTACCATAGTACTTATGTTTCTTTATTTTAATTTAGAAATAAACTAATTCTTTTCAATATAATCTTTTGGGTTTTTAATAGAATTTTATACTTTCTATGAATTGTTCATTTTAAGATTAAGTAATCAGCTGGTCTATTAGCTCGAAGAGCTTTTCTTTGTCTTTCACTCTTGATTTTTCAATCCAAAAAGAGTTTGAGTTTTTAAGAAAGTAAATGAACAAATTTTTTAAATTTTTACTAGTCAATAAATTTCTTAGTTTAAGATGAAATCTCCCTAACTTTTTTAAATTTTAGTTCACTCTTATTTTTATATAGCTAAATGGCCACTTATCCTCAGTTAGAGATTCATAACATTTTATTATTTCAATATCATTTAAGCTTTCAATATGCCTTTAGAACGCACTCATGATATTTTTATACATATTATTTTTATAATGCTCTTTATATTTATCTTACTTTTCATTTTTCAAATGTGGATTATCTTAGTTTTGCATCCCCTCAGATTGTGAAAGACTTTGTTCATCTGATTAACTAAACTCAATCTTAGTCTCTAATTTGATTAAATAAAATATTTATAATATAACAAATAAAATGTGAATTGCACAAAGCGATTAGAATTTTTTTATTTTTATTTTAAAGGAAATTAGAAATTCTTTCATTTATTTATTTGTTTTCTAGATAAGAAAACAAAATAAAAGAAATCTCTCTTTTCTTAAGTATTTACCTTTTTCTATTTTTAATTGAATCTCATGATTATTTCTGTGATTTAATAGTTTATCTTGAAATAGCTTTACATATTAATTGTAGCATAATTTACTATCTTAAATGGCAGATAAAGCTTCCGTTTATCTAAAACCACAACGTTTTTAGATGATATACTTATAGGAGCATTGTTTGTTATCTTTTTATTTTTTTCTTTTATTTTTTATTAAAATATATTTTATTATTATTTCAGTTTTTATATTAAATTCAATAATGTAATTATGATTTTACTTCAAAATTAATTATTTTTCTTCGCTCATAATATTTGTTAATTTTTTATTTTTTTTCCAAAATTAATAATAATAATTATTCATTAATTAAAGACACTGTTTAATTTCTTTTTTTAAGTGAATAGAAAATATGACTTATAAAAGATAGGAAAATCAACATTTTTGCATTTCAAATTATAAAAATAGTTAGATAGTGAATTATTGAATTTACTTACCATTAAAAAATTAAAAAATATTATTCTAAAAAAAAAATATTATCTAGAATATAATTATAATTAATAAAAACAAAAATAGTCCAAACACTCAATTAGTGAATCTAAAAATACAAATAATAAATAAATACAGTAAAATCAAAATCTAATCACATTTTAATAGCTTTCAAATTCAAAAAAATGAAAATTAGTTAAATTAAGTTAGGCCTTCATCTTTTTAAAAGTATTCAACTAAGAATTTGATAATTCTGTTTCTTTAAAAAAAATTTTGGATACTTTTATTTTGGCTCTAAGAGAATTGTACTTCAATAAATTTAATCAAATTTCATTTTTATTTCATAATTATATAGTTTAAATGCATATTAAGTTAATCAATTAGATTATGTAAATATTTAACAATCAACAAATTTAATTAGCATAAATTTTAATTATGTAATCTGAAGCTATTTATCCTAAAGAGTGTTTTTAAAACATATTTTTATAAAGAATTAAAAGTTAAAGTTTAATTATGATCAAAAATGAAGAATGTGTGTTTTAGTGAATTTCGAAAAAACTTAAAACTTATATAAAATTAACTAATAAAGTGATAAATTTTATAAAATATACTTTTTCTATATATTATTAATGTAACATTTGAAGCTTTGAGTTATTACAGTCATCTTTATTTATTTTGATGAGAATTGAAAATAAATTATCTCTTTAAATACAATTTATCAACTAAATTAATAATTAAAAAAATATATTATTCAAAAAAGATAATTATTTTAGAAATTTACACTATTTAATTTTAATACTTTATATAATCTATGTAAATTATTATAAACATAAATATTTTATAGAAAATATAATTTTTAATCTTAAATAGCAAAATTATATTATAATACTAATGGTGATTGTTGTAATATAATTAATTGCTAACAAAGTTTCTACAGATTTGGTCATTCATTTTTAAGATGATGTTAATTTTTAAGTAATAAATATATAGTCTGATAAATTATGCAAAAAGTCATTCTAATTACTTAAAGTAAAAATTATTTATTTATTTTGACAAAAATGAATTACTTTTGTTAATAATATCAAATAAGATAAGGAAAATAATAAATAAATAATTATCAATTAATTAATTAATTTATTGATCAAATTTTTAGATATGTTAAAAATATATTTTTTAGTAACAATTTTTGTCAATAAACTTTGAATATTTGCGTTTTTAAAAAAAGGTATGAATATATGTTCCAAATAATCTATCACATTTCATTTTTCACTCTTTTTTGATTTTTTATAATTATCTATATTTTTAACTATTTCAGGATTCTATTATATTTGCATTAATATTTGTATTGCATCCAAATGTTGTGATTTATCCTTAAGCTTCGAGCCATTCATCCATAGATTTTCGGCATTTTATAAAAAAAAAGAAAATATTTTATTTAGATTTTTACTTTTGATTAAGTTTTTCATTTTTAAGTTAAATCTACCACAGTTTTTAAAATTTTAATAAGCCCTTAATTATATATATGAAAATTTCCATTTATCAGGAGTCAGTTTTTCATAAATTTATTGCAGTTTTTCATCTTTAAGCTCTGAGATATGTTTCTAAAATGCATATATAATATTCTTGTAAACGTTAGATTGAGAGTATTTTAAGAACTGTTGAATAAGTTCATCATAATCTTCAAGTTAGTTGTTTTTCAAATTATTTTATGTTGTATCTTATATTACAAAATATAATAAAAAAAATAAATTGGTTAAGCATCAAATAAAGTGCCGCCAATACGGCATTTTATAAACACATATAAATGTAAATTATACTATTTTCGACTATGTTAGTGCTTTATTCTATGTTTTCTTCTATCTTTAGGCCCTAAACTTTTGGTTCTACTTTCAACTGGGGATAAAATCTCTGCATATATTCATTATATGATTATAATGCATCCGTATTATCAATATAAAATAACATTTTGTACTTGCATCTCGAAGAATTCTAGTTAAATATTGCAATTATTTTGATAAATAAACTCAAATTTTACAAATTGATTGAGTTAATAAATATAAAATAAATTTAATTACTTCTTTTTGTTTTGCATTTTTATTCTTTTTCATATTTATTTTTTGCACTTGTTAATTTGTTTCCTCGATATTCCTTTTTTATATTTAAATAAATTTTTTGTTTGACTGCGAAACATTAAAATTTTTTTTTTAAATAATTTAGTAAAAAGCATTTTCAAATCAACAGATTAGTTGCTTTTTAAGCAGAATATTGAAAAAAATAAATCAAGAAATGTGTTACTTTTCCCCAAAATTAGTAAGAACTTTTATATTTATAATTGTAATATTACTTTTTTTCATATACTAAAAAAAATTTTTGAAAAATTTTTACAACCAAATCGACCAATTTTAATTAAGTTTTAGCTGTTTTTTTAAATTGAGGTTTAACTTAGTTGGCTTTAATATTCTCGTAAAATGTATTGTTATTTTCATTACTTAATTTTTTTTCTATTTATATATACAAATTTATTATTTTAATTTCATATTTGTTTACTCTTTCTTTAATATAAAACTACTTCGTAATTTAATATATAATTTATAAACACACGCGCACACGTCAACTAATAATAGCATATAATAAATAAATTAATTAATAGATAATTTATTTTTTAGTTGATTTTTTTCAAAATTTTATTAAAGCTGATGAAAGTAGTTTGCAAAAGCGCTACAGTGTTTCATAGCTTGAAAGTTGGGTTTTTGATTCCTTTTCTGCTTAAACAAGAAGCGTAGGTATACCTCTAGAATTTATAACTTATAAAACGCCTAAGCATTCAGTATCAAAATGAATAAAATCATCCATTGAAAACAAAACAGCTGGTTTATTCTTTTATAAGTTGCTTTGTTTTATTATTGGAATTGTAACAACAGGTAATTAAGTATCTATATCTATCATTTTGTTAAAATCTGTGTTTTCAGATATATTTTATGTAGCTTATAACACTTATTCATTAAAAACTTTTCCAACTATTCCTTCCTTGGTTTCAAAGTAAACTTTAACTCCATTCTAATAAGTAAAAAACTACTATAGAATTTTATCGAAGATTACAATTTTTGAATGAGGAATGTTCAAACCACGGTTTAAGAAAACGTATGATGTTTCTATAAGCTCTTAGAGAGATTAGCATTATATAGCATCTACAGAATATGTGTAAAGAGATCTGAGAGAATTGTAAAATTCAGCTCTTTCATCATTAAAAACACTGTTTTTTAAAATATTTTCGGAGAGCATAGCTATTACTTTGAGAATCCCTTCATCGTCTTTTGTGAAAAAAGATTAATTTAATTTATTAGTTACTTGGAGGACACCTAAATACATAAATTTACTAAATAAAAAAATATTCATTCTCCAAATAAGATATACCCATAACCCTATTGCTGGATTTAGTGTCGAATATTGGAGCACACAAAACAGATTTTGTGCGATAATTATTTTTTAAATCTAATTATTTGTCAAAACGGTCATCAAGATGGGCATCAAGCACGTTAATTGTTTATCCTGTTTGTGCTACATGTCCGCAAAAGCCAGCTATTTAAGTTATTTAGATTATTTGAATAATTTTATCATACTTTTTTGAAGCTATAAAGTTAATATTTTTTATTTTTGTTTGTAAATTTTAAAGACATTTTACATTAATCTACAGATAGTTTGATCATATCGTTTTTATTACCTTTAGTCCAAAATAAATTGCTTTTTTCGTCTAGCAAAAATATAGATGATTTATCACAACTCAAGATGCTTATGCATTCGTTTGACAAAGCATCAAATACTTCAGAAATGTTCATTTTATGCTATAGGTTATAAATACATTTTATTACTTATTTCATTTTTAAGATAAGGTTCATTCCTATTTACAGATAGCTTAGAAGTGAGTTTACGCTTTCATAAAAGTATTTAAAAGTTTAGCCCTCTAAATTGTAAATAAGTTTCTGCAAATTCTACTCATCCTAAAAGTGGCCTCTTAAAAATTTTATGTATCTTCCTTCAACATAGAAATCTTCAATTTCCTTTTCACCTAAATGTAAATAAAAATAAATATTTTTTTTTAAGAACCTTATTTGATATAATATAATATTTATTACAAACTTTACTTTCTTTAATTTATTTAGTTTTACTTTTTAAATTATTACAGTTGAAGATTTTTTTTTTTATAATATATCAATTTTAATTATTTTGTAAAATTTAAAAAGATTATTTAATGTTTATGTCTATATTAATTAAGTCATGCTTTCTTCAAATATTTTCATAATGTTCTAAAAAATAACATTGCTTGTAATTCTGTTTTTTTAAATTTACATAATGGGATAACTAATTTTAAGTTAGAATTCACTTTTATTAAAAATTGTTCTTATCAATTTTCTATTTTTAGTTTAATTTTTGTAAATAAATATAAATATTTTAAAATTATTTATTTTTTAAATCATCCAAAAAAAAATTAAATATTAACTGGTATCCATATCAAGAGCAGATGCATAAAATGCATGGTCGGTTGAATGTTAAATAAACTATGGCCTTAAATTCTTCTTTTCATTTGATTCACTAGGAGTAGTTCCTTACTACTAACGGGTGTTTTTAATTTGTTTGTTAAGTTTTGGAATATAAATTTAAAGCGGAGTATTGTGCAAATTTGAAGATATTACAGGAGTTTAACTTCCATTTTAGATATTTAAAGTATTTACTTAAATATTTCTTTTTGATTTCTATTGAATTTAGCTATTCTATTGATTTTCTAAACTACTAGGTATGAAATTTAAGCTTTCTGAATTATTTATATTACTATGATCATCTACTATTTGCTTTATTTAAGCTATATTTTTACTTTATTGCCTAGTTATTTATTATCTTGATTCGCTATGTACTCCTATCCTTTACTTATTAATTGTCTACTAGTTTATACTTTACTATACATTTATACTTTAAGATGCTTTTCTTCTATGCGGACTCCCTATAATTATAGGTTGCTTCATATCTTTCATTATTTCAAACTTTTGTAATTGAATCTTGTGCAATTTAATTTCATCGAGCTCATTTTTTAGGCTTATATTTTACTCGACCATTTATTAAAAAAAAGAATCTTTTTATTTGTTAGAAATTTGTAAAAATTCTAGCATTTTCATCTACCTATTTAGATCTTTTTTTAAAGACCTATTTTCACTCTCCAATCTTTCATTTACAAGTAGAATGTCTTTTATACAATTTTATAAATTCTCTATATCGACTTCAACTTTATCAGAATAGTTTGATATTTTCAAAAAATCATTTAATATTTGTTTTTAATTGCAATCACTTTGATGCAACAAATAAGAGTTATGCATTGAATTATTTTAGCTCTGTTTGCTGCTAAACTCATTTAAATTAATTTAAGACAAATTCAAGCGATTTTTCTAGCTAGAAGAAAAAGGTTTTTTCAAAAAGTTTTTCTAATTCATTTACTTTAGCTGCGCTGACAAACTATTTAAAGGATTGTTTTATTTATCAAAGGTGGTATTAAACGAAGCTAAAATGGGTACATTTTTAGGTGTTTTATTTTAATTCTGAAGCATTTAAGATAAATAATTTTATGGTTTAACATTTTTTTAGCTGCTCCTTTGCTTTTCATTTGGTGTTTTTTACCATTCTTTATCAATTATTTATTCGAGATGACCTTATGATTTATTCATTTAAGTTTCTTCTAATCACTTTAAAATTTGCTTAATTTTTCAAAATAAATATCTTTAATTAATCAATATTTTTTCATAAAAAGTATGCCATAAAATATCATATTAATAATACTTAATTATTTAGTTTTTTTTTTACTTATTTAATTTGATTGGGTAATAATTATCATCTGATAAAAAATCTTAACCAACCAAATATTCTATTTATAAATAAACATATTTCAATAAAAAATATTATATTTGAGTATCTTATTTTTTCTTTTGAATTTTTAAACTCAAACCAAATTCAAAGCTATGAATTTTTTGCAACCAAAAATATTTTAATACTTTATTATTTTACACCTAATAAATAAATAAATTTCTATTAACTTCATTTTTAGTAACTTTTAAATATCAATTAAATCTAAAACTTTAATTTTAAAAGACTAGTTAAACTTGCATAAACAAAAATAAAATTGTTAAATTTACATAAAAATATATTTTTTTTAATCGCACTTAAAAATAGATAAATAATTTATAAAAGTTTGCTATAAATAAACTCAAAGCATTTCTTAAAAATACCAATAAATTTATTATATACAAATATAAAATTAGCTTACACAGAAAATAATGAATTTATTATTATTTAGTTTTATTTCATTTTTCTTTGATTGCCTATTTCTTAAATGCTTTAAAAATTCCTGACTTTGTTATACATAGAATGTCATAATCAGATTTATCTGATAAATTGACAAAAGCAGTAATATCTAAGTTTGTTTATTTAGATATACTCTTAAAGAAGAATTGTTATTAATCAACTATAATATCATTTTTATTCGATATGTATTTATGATAATCTTATAATATATTTACTTATCCTGTTTGAGTGCAAATGAGCTAATTTATAATTTAAAAAAAACAATTCGTTAAAAATATGTTTATTTATTAATTTAAAGTTTAGTTTACTATGCTAGTTTCTAAAAAGAAGTCAACTTAAATTATATTGTTAAGGATTTTTGATTTATAAGAGTAATCGAATAGTAATTCGCCATTTAAGCTTTTTTAGTAAAGTAATTAGTTTTATTAAATAATTTTGAATTAATTTTTACTTGTAGAGCTAAATTTTATTAAAGAAAGAGGATAAAAAAATTTATGAGCAATCTGGAGAAAAACACGAGAGCGTTGCGAAATCATCTGACTCAACATGTCTCATAGCAAAGCTATTTAAAAATTTTCCTTTATAAGAATGTATGAGACAAACACGGTCCTGTTCAAATAAAATATATTATTTATTTGATTGGTATTGAAAAATAATAAAATTACCTTATCAGTAGAAAAAATGATTTTCTATGAATCACTTAAGCAAATAGTTTTTATTTATTGGTTGTGTCCATAAATATAAAATAAGTGTTATAGCTTATAGCCACTTTCTTTCTATACGTCCCAAACAGATATACGAAGATCTTCACTTGTGCAAAATACTAAATTATGTTTATCAGATCCCCTTATTATTGATATTGGTTTCTATTTATATTGTTTTTGTTTATTTTATATTAGATTTAATAATTTTTTTTTTTTACTTTATGGTAGTGAATTTTTTAAATTTGTTTAAGATCTTTGTATATTCTGAAAGATGAATCCTAGAATCCACCTACAAACATGATTTATTCATTAAATGAGTACATTATGTTGTTTAATTAATAATTTGTGTTGATTCCTCTCTCTTTAAATTCATATTCATTTTAAATATTCTTATCTTTAAAAATACGACGATTGAAGTTTTTCATTAAATGATTTGTTCTTATTGAATAAATTTAATTTTAAGTATCATAAATGTAAATGTTTTTGCCTATTTAAAAGAAACCTATGATAGTCTTATTTTTAAAAGGTCCTTCTAATTCTTATTCTTTAAAATCAAATGACCTTAAATTAATATCTTCTTCAATTTGTAATATGCTCTTATAGTCATGAGGAAGATTAAATATTTGGCATGGACATTAACCTACTAGAATGGACATACTCATTTAAATTATTTATTGTACATTGTCATTTTATGTTCTACTAAATATAAATTCCTATAAAGTGGTAAAAAATATATCCATTAAATATCAACAATAAAAATTTACTTAGTAGCAGCAATCTGGGAAAATATTATTATCTTCATATGACCTTTGCTTAGTTCCAAAAATTAAATCAATCCATTTTCCTAAATTCTTAGAAACATAAGGACTTTCTAAACCCTTTCTATGTATGGCTATAAAATGCTCTGGATTGCTATTTATTCAAAAGTAAATTATTAAACTTATTTAAAAGTAAATATTACTTTGCCCAGTTAGGTAATTCTACACTGTTGATGCTTTTTCCGTTTGGTAAATTTCCAAGTTAGAGATGAGGCTTTTAAAATAAAACAAATAAAAATAAAGAATTATTTATTTTTAATTTACTTTTGGCTTTAAGAACTCAGGCAAGTAAAAGAATTCTGGTATTAACTCTCTCAAATCATTCGCATTAGTTAAACAAGAATACCAAGTATTGGGTATAGAATAAAAAAGTCTTTAAGGACAATCAAATTTTTTTGCCATAAAGTCAAAGTGAAGCTTTGTAAATGGTTCTAAACGTATCAAATAGTTGTAAATAAATGCTTAGGAGCAGTAGTGAGAAGAGTAAAAGTAAGCAGAAGAGAAATCATTTGAGTATGACTTTGTTTTAATTGTAAAGAAAAATAAAATAAATAGTCATTAAAAAAGTGATAAAAAATTAATTACTGATTAATAACGCTTTTAAAATTCTTCGAGTCTTTCAGGATTCAAAGCTCCAACAGGCTTTTAAAGATCTCTATAATGTGCTGGGTTGTTTAGATCAATATCTTGTTTGTCATACCTGTTAAAAATCCAAGGAAAAATAGGATATTAAGTAATATCATTAAATGACCTCGATGAGTATTAATTAACTAGAATTAGATAGTCAAAATTAGATAATTCTCCTTTTTTCCATTTTTCTGTGAATTTTTTTTATTTGAAGTGGTCTACCCTGTTTATTACCAATTCAATATTTTTTATCCTTTCTGCATTATTGAGTTTTTTAGCATTATATTCTTTGTTGTTTTAACTGAATTCGTTTTCGTACTATTACATCCTTTATTTTTCTTAGTAATTTGAATCGCTTGAATTAGACTCAGAATCATTTTATCTTTCATTCTGTTAACTTGAAACCCCTAAGTGTGTATTATTTTTTTAAAGCTTTTCAATCATATTCTAGTTATTTTGTTTTATCATTTCTATTTTATCAAAAAAGTATCCTCTCTACCTTTGATTATAAAAATTAAAGTAGTATGTCTTTGAATTATTGGTAAATATTTCTATAGCGATTTCTTTCATGTTGAAACGACGAGAGTGAATACTTAAAATATCTATCATTTATATTTTTTTCTTTAATTTTTTGTAACTCAAAGAATCTATATGAGAGCCGTAAAGAGTATAAATATGCTCTGTAGGCCTTTACTTATTTTCTTAGCATATAAAATTAATATGTTCTTCATTGATTACAACATAACCATAATATGAACATTTCAAAGTTATGTATTCGCATTCTATTTTTAAATTCTCAATATTATTTACTTGCAAATTATTTTGTTGCTTTAAAATAACTTTTTCCATTTATTCGTCGTATTTATTTTTTGAGGGTCTTTTTGGTGTTATTTCAGATTGTTCGATTTACTCCTAAGTTGGATGATATTTTTCTTACATATACTTTTTATACGATTCTTATGAATTACCTATTGCTGTATCTGCTACAGTTTTTGATCTTGGCTTGGGTGAGCGGAAGAATTTCATCCTTAACTATTATTTTTCTTCTTAATTTTAGCTACTAGAATTCTCTTTGATAAAATCTGCCTTCTCTGTATAACCATTTCTCCTTTTGGAAATTATAGCATTAGTTCCTAATAAACCTCTTAATTAACTATTCTCTTATAATTATGTAGACTCTCTATAATTATCTTAGCTGTCATCTTCATAAATGCCTTCAGAAAATTATTAAATTTCTTTTTAATCGCTGTATATTTTATTTTCTAAATTTGTTTATATTTCCGATAGCATATTATCACTTGAAGACTTCTTTTGACTTTAGTAATATTTGCTTTTATAAGCTTCTCTCGGTTTAGGCATTTCATTTTACTCAAATGATTAATCTTTAGCTTAAATTCCATATAAATCAATATTTTCATCATCATTCTCTTTTTATGAAATTAAAGAGTCATTTGGAGATTTTTATTAATATTTAGAATGCTAAAGACTTTGTCTCTAGACAAATTGCTACTGCTGCTAATCTAAGCACTCAAGCGAAGGAATGTTTATCGATTTATGATTTAATAAATGTGAAGCTTTATTTCTTCTTGATGGAGAGCTATAAAAACCATCAGTCTTTGATAGATCTGGTCCTATAAAAAATCTTCTACCAAAGTCATCTTAATATCTTCTAAGTTTGTAAAAAACTTCACCATTTTACTTTTCCCTTTAAAACCAAATTCCTTTTTAACTAACCATATTTTTCAATTAATTATCCCATTTTGAAACTACCTTATTTTAAAGCCACTTTTCTTCCTTATGTTTTGCTATTATTTTTATTCAAAATTAAATTAATTATTTTTAAATATAAGCTAGCTAGATAGAATAAATTGATTGATTACATTTAATCTTTAATAGACATTTTTCAGTAACTTTTTAAAATAGTTATTCATAGTCTTTTATTTATTTCATTTGACTACTTTTTGGTGTACTCTTATTAGAAGTAGAACTATTATCAGCTTAATATTGCCTTATTCTTTCAACCTATTCAAAATTAAAATTTTATTATCTCAATATATTTAATTAATATTTTATTTACCAATTTTATAGAATAATAGCAATCTCTATGGAATACTTGCAAGAAGTTTTTACTAAGTATGTAAGAATCGTTTTTAAAGAACTCATTCAATTAATTTAAAGACTGCAATTAATTACTAACTTAGCTGTTTTCACAAATTTCAAGTATCTTTTCTATGCTTCTTAGATACATATTATATTCAGGGCATAAGCTCTTTGATTAGTTCAAATATTTTTTTATCTGAGTATAAATATTTTCATTAAAATTCTAAGGTATTATGTTGTAATATTACTAAAATACTTGTATTGCTTTTATCTTCTCATTTATTCCTCTTTCAATTTTTATTATTTTTTCTTTAATTTTTGTTTACTTGTTTCTTTCTTCTCCCTAATATAATACAAGGTGCTGTTAACTGCTACTACTATTCCCTCCTTCTGCAGAATAATCACTATGAATAGAATTCATTTTTGGTATAGATTATGTCTTTTGGCTATTAAACTCACTTAAAAACTATTAAAGGAATGCAGCTTATTTATATTTGTATAAAATATAATTTCCATTTTAAATCATAAACTCATTAATAAAAAGAAGTAACTCTTTAAAAACTTTTATATTTTAAATATCTCGTTCTAACTTCTCTATCTACTACTATTCTATTGCGAAATCATATTAATGGTCTTTTTATGAAATATGACTTATCTATCCCAGTGTATGTTCTGCTAAATATGAAAGCGAGTTTAATCTTGGAGTATTTTACTAATGATCTATATGAGAATTATTTAAATTATTCTTTAAAGATTGTAGTCCTAGTAACTGAGGTTATTATTTTTATGAAGGCGTTTTACTTAAAAAAAAGTCTGCTTCCAATCCTTCATTTGAAATACTCTTGCTCCTTATCATTTAATTGATTGAAGCGTCATTTTAATTATTATTATTATTGTTATTATTATTCATCTAATTATTAGACATGGATTTTGCTAATGCTTAGTTAAATGAATAATTATTAAATCCATTTTGTATATTTTATGGGGTTGAAATATTTAATTGAAGAGTATTAATTTCTTTGTTATTGTTGCTGTTGTTAATAAATTTTTCTTTTGATTAAATTATCTTTTACTTAGCTGTTAATGGGGATAAGCTCCCTATACTCTAATTATCCAAGGATAAATCAGAATGAATAGCCCTATCTTTGTTATTTTTATCTAATTCATAGCTGTTTTGCTTTAAAATTTAATTTTTTTATTAATCATTTGTGTCTTCGTTACTGTTTTAAGATTTTATTTTTACTAAATCTTCTTTTGTTTGGTGATTTTAAATTTCTTTTTCACTTTATTCATTTTTAAAATCATTATTCTTTGAGCTTTACTCAATTTCTAAACTGCCTTTTTATTCTTCTTCATCTTCACCTATTTTACTGCTTCTCTTTCTATATTAGCTTGTTTTTGTTTGTGAATTATCATTTTCATCTGTTCCTAACATACTTCCTAGATTTGGTGATTTTGTTTGTAAAATTGAATCAGATTTTTTTCTTAAAATATTTGGTGAAAGTAAATGAATATCTGATTTCTTTTTTTCACTTTCAATAATAGAGTGATTATTTTGGCATACTATTGCTTAGTTTCCTCCAAAACTCTAATATTATATTTATTCTTTCTTTCTGTTGTAGAATCCAAACTCATTATCAGGAGCTTCTTATACTTCTAATCCATTTTAATTTTCATCTAGATTTACATTTTAATCTAAAGGTAAACTTAGATTAATTTTATTGAGTTTTTCTTCAAAAGGAGCTTCTGTAATCTATTCTAAAGACTTTTTAGAAGAATATTTTGTATTGTTGCTAGTAGTAGCACGACTTTATTTGTCTTCAAATTCTGCACTGAACTCTTTATTTAAAGGTAAACTCAATTATTATGAAAGTTAAAGAGCTTGTTGGCTTGGACGCGGAGTTTTTTCATTATATGTGTTGTTAGAAGACTATGAATTTAAACCTAATCTCGTGAAAACTTTGACACTTCCTTGCATACTATCAACCTCTTATATAGTATAAAGTCTTTCATTTTATGGAGTTTATTCACAACTATTATTATTAGTGAGATTGATATTTGAGTTAGAAAAATTTTTATATGGTACACTAGTTAAGCGATTATGCTTTAAATTCTTGACTAAATGGAGAAGAGAGCAAAATAAATATTAACGGATATAATAATACATTAAATCTTCCTCTCTTTAGACACAAAAAGGAAATTTAATAAACCTATTTTACAAGAACTTTACGTTATTATCTCCAATTTATTCAGTATTAGGTTTTAAATCAAAAATAAAACTTTAAAGTAGATTTAGAGCTTATATAAAATCCTCTTCAAATTCACACTTTTTAATGAATTAAAACAAAAAATTAGTAACAAGTCTCATCATTCCTCCAGCTTTTACTTATGATCCTATATGACTGGTTTTTTAAGTTGACTTTTATATACCATCAGCATTAAATATTAGATTTAAATTACTTTTTAAATTTCCTTTTGATTCTTTTTCTCCATTACTTGACTCTGAATTTTTTTTATAATTATCAACATTATTCATATTTTTTATTCCCAAAATACCTTAAAAAAGAGATGATTCATTATCAAGAATTTTAATTTTTTCTTTTTATTGAAGTATTTATGGGATTGTTGAGTAAATAATTTCTTACTCCTTTAAATACTCAAAACACTGCATAAAAATTGATAGAAATACTGTAGAATTTTGCTATTATTTCAAGTATTCTTATTCATTAGAAGTGTTATTTAAAGCCTATTCTTAGGTATTTAAATTAGGGGTTGTATGTTGCTAAACTAATTGTAAAAAGGGTAAAGTGAAGTGAGGAGGGCTTTGCGAAGATTGACCATATGAATAAAATTCAGGACTTACATAGTTATTTGATGCACTAAATAGTTTAATTTCATTCTAATATTATTGTTGATCAGTCAAGTGTGATATTGATGTTCTTGAAGATTAAGAATTTTCTATTGTAGTGCTCTTTCTTAATTTATTATGACTAGTAACAGGCTTCATTAAAATTTAAGATTTTATAATGAGCATGTCTTCAAGTATAGATAAAACTCTAAAAATGGTATAAGTTTTTCTTTCATCAGAGGCTTCGTCTCCCTGAACTTTTATATATGCTCCATACTTATCAGAGAGATCTGGATTTAAAATGATTTTAAGTCCTTCGTCTAGAAAATTAAGTATTGTGTAAATAAAACCATTTATTTCATATGAAACTAAAGCTTATAAAAAATCATCTAACTCATAAGAAAGCTTGTAAGCAAGATACTTTGCACTTATTTAGTTGAAATAAACCCTATCAAGTTTCATTAATTTAGAAATAAACTTAACAAACTCAGGGTAGAAATTGATAGATTTTAGCATAGAAGGAGTATCTGATTTACTGATGTACATTCTAAATAATTTATCTCTGCTTTACTTATCTATTCTTTCGATATTTGCATCTAAGATTTTCAGGAGAAGAGAAAGTCTCATTGAAGGCTAATCAAAATTTATACATGCGCTTAAAATATCTATGTATAATTGCTCTTGCGTTTCTTTATCATCTTTGTATTCTAAGAAGTAGCTTTCGTTGGAGCTAGAAAATGTTGTATTTCTATATTAAGTATCTCTATTTTATGAGCTGTTTTCTCCACTGTCTCTGCTAATTTAAAAATATCTATTTTAAAAATTAATAAAATTATCTTAAGAAACTTTATTTAAATGTAAAAACCTTTTTTCAGATGAATTTTGTTAAACTTGTGAGTTTCTGTTTACTTAGTACTAGCCCTTTTTACCCTAAGAGATTTCTAGTGAACTTTCATTACAAAAGAGCATATCAGACAAATCAAGCATAATCTTTTCTAAATCTTGATAAAAAAAGTGGGTTTTGCCAAAGTAGTTCTCAATTTTTGCCTGCAACTTTTCTTTGACTTCAAGGATTCTCTTTAAATTTTTTAAAATTTTAGTAATTATCTACTAATTAGTTTAATTTTGTTAAGAATCATAGCTTATTTTTTGCTATTTAATTTGCTAAAGAATAGTTTGCCAGATGTTAAGAATGCTGACTTCCTAAATTTTCATATTATCACTTTAAGGAAAATTGTATTTTATATAAATTATTTTTTTTAAATTTTAAATTGTCATTTTTGGAGATTTTAAAATTTTTTCAAACATTTCTAGAAACTCACTTATCCTCTTTAGCTTAACAGATTTTATTTTCTCATCATAAAGAGTAAAAACAAAGAATTAGTAAAATATTTCAATTAACTTTCCAAAATTTTCTCCTGTTTTATCAGTTTCGCTTTGCTGTATCAAAATGAGAATAACATCGTTTAATCTGCTTCTCATATATTCCTATTCATCTCCTCTTTCCTTAATACAAAAATGTTATTTTTTTAAAATTCATTTATTAATAAAAGTATTATTTACTGAATGGAACATCATTGAATTTTAGAATAAAAATATTTTTTAAAAGTATTCTTTTTCTAACAAGTATTTTTTCAGTTATAAATTCTATTTTACATTAGAAAGCACCCATTCTAAGACTTTTTCCTATATTTTTTTGCTTGCTAAGCACCATATTTCCATATTCATAATTATATCATGGACTCCTTAAAAAAATAACTCTTGTTATGGCTTCAAAGTCTCTAAAAACCTTACTAACCACTATACTAAAAAGACTTCACAACCTTTTTTCATTGTAATAAACTATTTTTTCATATAAAATAAAAATTCATTTTAACGACTTAAAAAATAACTTAATTTATTTACATCATATAACAATTTAGATATTATCCTAAAACCATCATCTTAAAGAAATATTTTCAAGTCATCATTAAAATCTAAAAATTTTTCACATTTATCACTTGTAAAATTTTCAAGACGCTACTTTTCTAGAGTTTCTAAGTATTCACGATATCTTAAGTAAAACTCACTGAGTAGGTTAAATATATCAGCTACTATTTCGTTACTTTTTTACAAAAATATAAAAGATTTTATAAATGAGTAAAAGAAACTCAAATATATTTTAGTAATTCAATATTCAAAAAATATAAAATCTTTCTTTCTATTTGTATTTGATTAAATTTAATCAATTACTGATTTTCATACATTTTTTATAGGGTGAAAGAAAATATACCAAATAATTTATAAGTCAAAATATAAATTCTAATAATATTATCAAGAAAATAAGATTGATTGATTGAATACCTTTATTTATGTGTAAAATCTTAATTCTTTGCAACTATTTGAATGATGAATAAAAATATATCAATGTTTCCTACTTACAAGCAAGCTTCTACCAAAGTCATTTTTTAAATATAAAACAAATTTCCACCAGCTTAGACGCTTATGAATTTTGTTTGTCTTATCTACTTTTACGATTTAGAAAAAAGTTTACTTAAAAAGTTTCCCCTCTCTAACTTTTCTTTTTCTTGACACTCAAGCCCATTATTTACTTCTTAAGTAGATATTAATTCCTATTTATAAAATGAATGTAAATTTCTCTTTATATATGTAATAAATAATTTACTTTATTCTAAAATGCACTAATATTTAGCTGCAATACGAAGCGTATAGATTCAAAGTAATTTGGATAGTTAGATATTCTACCTTCTTGATAGAATTAGAACATTTAAAATATATCTTTTCCTTCCATGAAAGAATTAGACATAAAAAAGTTAGAAATTTATCCCTACAAACCTTGCTTTTTGCTTTCATCATTACCTAAAAACAATTAGTCTAAGTTTTTTAATTTTTAAAGATCAAATTTATTAGTCCCAGAATAGAACACTTAATTTCCATTTAGAAAGAGATAAAACTATTTTTAAATTATTAAAATGAATAACTTGATCTGTATATTTATTTAAAATTAAAGTTATATATACTCTTCCTGCTTAATAATTATTGTTAGGTGGTTTATTTGTATAGCATATACCAAGAAGATACCATTTATTGCTTTCAAGATCCACTTTAAAGAAATCTTGCTACTTTATTTGGTTATCCTAATTTATTAAAGAAGAGTCTAAATTCGAAGATTTAGATTTTAAAATATCACTTTCTTTGTATCTAATGCAGATTCCATAGTTATTATCACGACTTGATTTTTCAATTAAAATTTCTAAGCTGCATTACTCTTTTTCGCTTTTATCTGATTAAATTTATAGTATATACTACTATTATGATCCTTAAATATTATCTTCGAATTCATGCAAACGGAATGTTATAATAAAAGAAAAGTTGTCATTTGAGAACTAGCCAAGATTATTTGCACTAATAAAAGACTTTTTTGAAAAATCTAAGTAGAAACTATTGTTTGTGTAGACAGCTTATAAATTTCTATTACAAAGTTTTTTAAGCAATGAAAGGATTTCAAGATAATTGTTCTTAAGATTTTCATAAGAAGTCTCATAATTTAATGATTTCTTTTGCAAAATTAAAATATTTATTTAGTTAATTGATTAAAATTAAAATAAAATTATGTTTACATTTTCACTGTTTATAGAAGAAATATTTTACATAGCTATTTAAGGAATCAAAGAGAACGAATTAGAAGTTTCTTCGTCATTTTAATCCTTATCTGAAAAGATTTATCTTTTATCCTAGTTTAAAGGTCTGAAAAATTTCATTAACTTACTTAGTGTCTAAACGTTCATATTTAATGATAACTATTCTAGCACATTGAAGAGAAGCTTTTGGATATCAGGATCATTATTTTACTTTATAATTTTTAAAATTTAGCTTATGCAACATTGGAGATTGACTTGATTGTATTCAAGTTTAGATATTTTTTTTAACAATATTAAAAATATAAGAGTAGCCTCTCTAGTTAGTGCTCTATTGTTAATAAGCTTAAAAACAAATTAAAATGCATAAGGAATTTTTATCCTGATATTTTTGACACTATCGAATTTTCTTTCATAGCTTTCCGAATTGAATTTAAGTTTTGACAAATTATTTAAATGGTTATATTCAGATTCTTTAAGAAAATTTTCTTCTACTAATTTATAATAAGCTTCACCATTTTCAAGAGACATGCTCACTATTAAATCTATGAGGTTATTTTAAATATTCTCAGGATACAGTTTTATTTAAGATATAAGAATAGGAAATTCTTTAATTGTAAATGCATTTTATTTAATTTAATTAAGATATCCAATTATTTTAGAAATTTCTAATATTATAATCTTATTGTTATCAAGCATTTTATATTAATCAATAATTTTCAGAATAATTGGGAAGAACTCATTAAAAAATAAGAACTGTGTGTTTGATTCATTTCCCTATACAATAAAATAATATTTATTAAAATTACCAGCCTAATATTAATATTGTATGGATCTAATAAAAATTTGGCTCATAAATATATATTTGTGTTTAGAAAAATGTATTTTAATTTAATTAAAAGAAGAGTTAGTTTTAGAAAAATGTTAAAAGAAAAATAAGCTAGAACTCAAACTTTTTTTAATGGATCAAGATATATTTTTCAAGTCATTAATATATAATTTTTTTTTTAAATATAAGCCAATTTTTATTTGGTTCTGACAATATGATGTGATTTAAATTACTTCTTCGAAAGGCAAATAATCACTAATGGTATTTGAGAAAAATAAACTTTCAAACTTAGCTTCTTCTATTATGTTAGATTCTCTTTGTTCAATGATTGTAAAGCCTAGTCTCAATAAGAAAAGTATTCTTCTTTGCTAATTTTCTAAAGCCTTTGAAATCGGGCTATATTTGCTTAGCTAAGGAGTTTCAACAAGATATGAATTTGTAAATATGTTTTCTTTTTACTTTGTTTGAATACTCTTTATATTTTTTTTTAGACGAACTTGCTAAAGATTGGAAATATTTTACTATCTTTGTTCTTCGTCACTACGCTTAATGGCACTATTTTCTCTGTTAAGATAACTTTATCTAATTTTTTCTTGAGTTTCTTCTTCTTATTTTTTATCAAGTTACTTCATCAGTAAAAATGGGTATGATAGAAAAAGAGTGTGCTTTAAATCTTACCACTCATTATTCATAAATATTTTTTTATAGACAACATATAATAGCTTTAAGCAGTATTTAGCATTATCTGATTTCATTTCATTAAAAATCATTTAAATTACTCTTTTATTGATTTCTTTCTACCTACTAAAATTTCTTGTAATCTTATTTGCAAGTATTTATTCATTTTAGTTGTTTAATATGTATTTTATTATATAATATTGGTATTGCAGGATTAAGTTTTCTTTGTTAGCTTTAAAAAGCTGGCATATACTTTATTCAATTTACTGTTAAGAATACAGAGCACAATAGTCTTCGTTAGAAATACATGGATAGAAAATATCATCTTCATTTGAAATTCTTAATTTTTCTTTTACATCTAATATAAACTATTATCTATCTTCCTAAGTGTAAATACGAGTCTAAGTACTTACTAAAACTCTTTCAAATAACTCTGTCCTAACGTCTCTTTCTGTAATTTACCACCAGCATTCATCTTTTTGAGTATATGATAAATTTAATCTTAATTTAATTCCATAACAAAGTTTGTTTAACAAATAAAAATTTGAAATAAATAAGTTGTTTTATCTATTTAACTAGCATTCAAGAATAAAAGAAATAGATAGATAGATTTGAAATGAATATTTTAAATTAGAAAGTATTTAATAAAAAAATTACTCAAAAATAGAATGATGTTTTAAATGTAGTCGTTTTCACAATAAAGAGAGTAGATTTTTTCAATAAAAAATGGTATTTATATTTTATATTTAGAAATAACCCTATTTAATATCTATTTTTAATATTATAAAATAAATTATTTCTCATCAATAAATAAATAAATAAATTAGTTATTACATCTTGCAACAAGCCTCTATTACGAAATTATATAAGAAGCAAATATCTTAAAAATATAAAGTTATTCAGTACAATAAATTCTTCATGTAAGTATGATTTTAAGAAAACGTGTTCAATTAACTTCAAGGTAGGCTCTCTTATTTTTGCTTACTCTTAGGCTTTAAACTTGAATATGCAAAGTTAAAGAAAAGAGTATACCATCTTTTGAAGCATTTATTAGTTATTGTTGTTGTTTATTTTGTTTTCACTCTTTTTCTTCTTGAAAATATAGAGAGCATAAAAACTAATATACTCCCAAAGTGTTTCCTGCTAAATAAAATCAAAAGCAATCATTTACTTGCTACTATTGCCATTATTGTTTGCTGCATTATTTTCAAAGGAGTTTTCATCTTATGCTAGATAATTCGTATTTCTATTATTACTATTCCCTTAACTAAACTAGTTACTATCTCTATTTTATAAACCATTAGGAAACAAATGAGCATATCTAGAATCTTCACATTTTTCGTAGTAGCTTAATTCACAAATAAGTAAATTTGCCACATATGTTTCAAAACTCTCAGCTATTTTTACTAGGATATCCTAATCTAACTCCAAACCCACAGGTCGGTAATAAAATATATAATTTAACATGTGAATTAAAGAAGCTTCTTTTACTTCATACTTTTGCTCCCTACAAATACGCATATACTATTCAATTTTAACTATCATTTAATCATACTAATCGTCGAATTTTTCATTTTCCATATAATCATAATCGCTAGTTAATAACTTTGAATTATTATTAAAGTTATTTGATGAAAATTTGCTTTAATTCATATCTTTATCCATTTGAAGAGATTTAGATTAAGCTAATCCTCCATTTTAATTGTTCGGATTAGCTATTGAAATTTAAAAAGCAGAGGGAGTAGGTGCAGCACTAAGCATCTCTCTCTTTTCTTCTTCAGCTATCAACATATTACGATAATCTTCAATAAACATATATATGTGATTTTAAAAGGCTGAAAAATTTTTAAACTTTCCTGATTTAATGTATGATACATCTAAATTAACATCTTCATCAACCATCTTTGTTTTTTCAAGCTTATATTTACTTTCTTTCATAAGAAAGCTTAAATCTTTGCTAATCTTCTACATTATTATGAAGAGGTATTACTTACTATTTTCGCTCTATTATTATCAGAATTTGTTTATTGAAATAACCTAACTGGCTAAAATGTATGATGCCTCCAGCTTTTAATGTAAATAATTTAGGAATCCTTTATATAAATTTTGTTTTATAAATATCTATTGCTTAATTGAGAGGATAAAAAACTATTTGCTTTATAAATTTTAATATTGTTATCAGGATTATCTATATCACAAATCTATTGAAAAAAGTATTATCTTTTTATCAAAAATAAATAGGAGTATCTAAAAATGCTTGTTTATTTATTTTTTGATAAAAATAGAAATCAATAACAAAATATTATCTGTATTCTAATTTTTATGTACGAGAAAACACTTTGTTCAAATTTCTTTGAAATTTCTTTTATATATTTGGCTTAAAAAAATCATAACAAAGAATGTAAGTTTGACAAAAAAAAATTATAATAAAAATTTTAATTTTTTTAAGTTAATTAAAAATCAACATATTTTGAAATAGGATAATTAAATTATTGTTTATTTATTTCATATAAACTCAGTAAATTATTTTCAAAAATCTATTAAAATAACTCTTAAAATAACATAAAAAACGTTTCTCTTATAAATCAATATAGTTTTCTTAAAGTTTCTTTCTAAGTAAAATAAAATTTATATTTATTTCTTTAATTAAAGAAAGAACAAATTGTTATTTTTCTGATTATTTATAAAAATTTATGTTCAAAAATTGTTTCTCATAAATAAATACTTATCTATTTTTAAATTCACGAATAACTTTATTCCATACAATTTTTATTCTTTTGTAAAATTTTTTTTTCAAAATAGATTAATTTATAATTCCTCCTTTTTATCGATAAATTTGATAATTAAAAATGCGTTATTTTAAATTTATGAATTAAATCAAAATTTGTTTACTAATTCAAAAATATTATGACTATTTTTTTTGATTAGCTCATAAAGTTGTTGTAAATTAATAATAAATCATTAGCATTCAACATTTTTTGCTGAATAAAATAATTCAAATAACACAATACAATTAGATGTTTAAAATTTTAGTTTCATTTAAAATAAAGATTTAAATATTAATAAATTTAATAGAATTTTAATTTCTTGAAAACAAAATTTTTGTTTTGAAATATTTAAATAAAATACTTTCTCACCAATCAAAAGTTTTGAATAATTCATTTTAAAGTTTGTTATTTTTATCAATTTAATAGATTTCATAAATGTATTTCTAATCTATAATCATTTAAAAATGTAATTATCATAATAAACGATAAAAAAATAAATCTGTAATTTTATAAATTAATCTATTTGATTGCTTATTTAAATTAAATGCTTTCTCATCTTTCAAAACTGTGGAAATATTCCAATTACTTTTAGAATTTAACATAAATCACTAACTATATCCAACTTAAGGTTTTATTTTTTCAAAAAGTTAATAAATAAAGTTTAAATTTCTAAATTATCTTGAAAGATGAATTATTTTAAAAAAATATTCTACTTGGAAACATTTTAAACATGACTTTAAAAATATTTTTGCTATAATTTTATATTTTAAAGTTAAAAATATTCAATTCAAAATAAACAAACATAAAGAGAATCTTATTAATTAAATAACAAATAATGTTCTCTTTTTTTGTTATTTATAATCAATAACGCTTCTACGAAGCTGTAGACAAGTATGAGATATTTTTTGAAGAACCAAATTATTTATTAGGAGTAACATTTAAGTAATTATTAGTAACCTTTTTATTGTATTGATTTTTTTTCCTATATTATAAATGATTTGTATGGTGACTGCTAATACTATATGCTTTTGAACGAGTTGATATTTCTGAGCGATCATCCTATTACTCTGTAATTAGATGTTTACTTTCCATTACAACTTAGTTATTACTAGATATACTGCTCTACATTTTATTAATAGCCTACTACTATTAAGCTTATTACTATTGTTCTAAATCAATAGGAATATAATTAAAATCATCTTTTTTAAATATTCCAACCATATCTCCTCTTCTAACTTCTATAAAAACATTTCCAGGAATCTCTCTTTCTAATTTATATTCCTAGTCTTTATAAACAAAGAATAATTTATTTCCTTAAGAATGTGCATCTACTTTGGCCTTTAATTTAAATTTCTAACTTTATTCTAAGGGATCGTTTAACTCATTATCTTACTAACCTTAACTAGTTTATTCTTATATTACATTATGATAAGCAGCATCTATTCCAATCTCTTCTATAGTGTCTGCATCACTAAAAAAGAAATTCAATTTTTTATTCTTTTTCTGAAATACTTTAATATCTTATTACTATTTTTAAAAGCTATGAGTTTATGATTCAATGTATTCGTAAATATATTATTTTTTTAGCTTTTCTACTTTGGTATAATTTAAATCATTATCTAATGGTTCTTTTCTTTCAAGAATCTTATCAAATTTACTCTTTGGTATAGCTCCTTTTATACATTACTCATATGTTTTCTTACCTTATTCTAATTTACACAAGTACATTTCTTCATATTCATAATTAGGTTTACTACTTATAACAACATCTTTCATATATTTATCTTCAATTTCATCAAGTGAATATTAATTAAAGTGGCTTTTTGGCTTAGCCTAATTGTCCAAAATCTTATTAATATCGTTCATTTTGATATATTTTTTGATATTAGCTTTTTTCTTCTTAATTTATTCAAAAGCTTTCTAAGTTAATTGTGGTCTTTGTGTTCCTAATCCTTGTTCCTATTTATAAAGCTTTCTAATTAATTTTAATAATATTGTTAACAATAATATGTGGTGTGGTATTTATAGATTTTAATAATAAATATTTATTCTAATTGATTATTCAAAGAATAAAAATTTTAATTTATTTTTTTTAACCAAACAAATTAACAATTTTAATTTGTTTATTTATTTATTTTAAAATAATTTAATTTTGTAAAGTTTTAAACAGGTTTTAAATAAATCTTTTGTGATAATTCTATTTTGCGTTCTCATCATTTCATTTCATTTCATTCAAATAAATATATAAATAAATTGATTTAATAAAAGTAAATTTTACAATAGATAAAAAATTTTATTATTAAATATTTTACTGTGATCTTATTTAATTTGCTTAAAATTACTACTAATAAACAATTTTACAAGTTTTATTTATAAAAATTTCTTTCTTAAAATAAATTTATTGATTTCGAAATAAAATCTTTCTAGAAATAAGTTATAAATAAATATTTTAGATTGCTTTAATATCATTAGTTTTTTAATAGCAATGAAGAATATTCTATGTTTAACATTTATCAAATTTCAATCTATCTATTTTTGATTAATATATTTTTTTATTAAATTTTAATCAAAGATATTCAAAAGCTATTTAATTTACTAGGGAAATCGTATTTATTTAATTAGAATAAATGTCATAACTTCAAAAGCAGTACAACGATGAGGCCTTCAAAAAGGACTTAAAAAAATTAAAAATAATTAGTAAAAAAAAAATTATAAACAGTGTAGATAAGAGCTATGAAACACGTACAGTTTTTAATTTGAAGTCTTGCCATCAGATCAATAAAAGATTTATTCCTACATTACAATATTTCTAAAAAAATAAATATGATGAAAACTTTACTTATGTTAAAGTAAACAAACCAGAAATCAAAATTGTAAATAAAGCTTCGTATTTGTTTTTAGATAAAAACATGGTTGCGATGTCTGATATAAAAATGCCTCTATACTAGAATCTTCATTTTCATTTAAACTTAGGAATTGTATAAAATAGATAGTCTCCTTCTTACTTTCTTTATCCTTACCTCAAATACTACTACAATGATACTACCTTACTTAAATTAGGATATTACAAAAGTAGGGCTGATCATATCTCTTTTTCAGTACTTAAAAACATTTATGCTGATATGTAAATAACCTGATTTATATTTAAGTAAAATAAATATTATTTATTAATTATAAGGTATCTAAGTGCAGAAATCAAATAAGGTGAATACATATAAGGAGTACCTCTTTCATAAAAGACTTTCAGATTTATAAAATTAAACTCAAGTAATTTAATAATTTTATTTTAAATTGTTAAAGCTGCTTTAAAAATAAATAGATAGCTAAGTTTATTTGAATTATGGTGACATTATTTCTCTTGGAATTTAACACTAATTATGGAAAAGAGGCAATTATAAAGCTTTATTTAACCTTGAATATAATGATTTACAGTAACTTTATTTTAATTATTTAAATCCATTGAAATAAATACACAAAAACTAAAAAATAGATTTGACAAAAATCCTTCGTCTAACTTATTCTTAAAGACATAAGTTACTAAAAAGATACCAAATACAAATTTTTCAATAAACCTTTAGGCTAATTAGTCATTTATCCTCTCAGAATAAGAAATAAATGCTTCTTATAAAGTGAATAATTATTGGAAAGTTAAATTAGGCATTTAAATATAATCTGATTACATAAATTTAATTGCTGGATTTAAAAAAAGTAACTTTGAATTAAGTCTTCCTGTGTTATCATTTGAAGCCTCTCATTAAAAACTGATTTCCTTATTTGGAATAGTATCTCTAGTAGCTATTTTGGGAATCAAATATTTTAAAAAAAGCAGTTAAAAATCTGAAAATGAAAAAGAGGCTCAATATCAAAAAGCCTTAGAAGAAAAAATAAAGAAAAGAAAGGGATAACTTAGTTTAATAGAATTTTAATCTTAGGAGAACAATTAGTATTAAATTAATAGAAATGGTTTGATAATTATAGAAGGGTATTATGGAAATTCTCAACATATTAAAGAGTTAAAAGAGTCAATAAACAGGGCAAACTATTTACATTAAAATAAAGCAAGAGCTGAAGTTATAGATGTTACAATCCCTTTGAGATTCTTCTAAAGTAAAAGAGGCCTTAATATTTAAACATTAAGCAAAGAGAATTTAATAGGATTCTTTAATCCGTGTAGAGAAAATGATTGCAGTAAATCTCTGCTTATTAGGTAATCAATTTATTTATTTATTTTAATATAGCTAATTTTGATAAATATTATTAGGTATAGTCTATATGGATAGATATTTGAGCAAATATATATGGATAATAAAGATGTTGAAATCTCATTATAAGATTGAAATTTTGTTTGATTCTGGTATTAATTTCATTGAAATGAATATTTTAAAATAAAAATTAATTAGTATTTAATACAATTAAATAATTATTTTGATTTAATCTGCCTGGATTTATATATTTAAGTTTCCTCAAATGTTTAAAGACTAATAAATATATTATAAAACTATCAACATAACTAACTAATCATATCTTGAATTATCATATTTAAATTTTAATATTTTTAATTTATTAAATAAAACTCAAAAAAACATTATTTTTAAATCTTAAAATAATTTCTTAGTCTCTTCTTATGAATTAATTTTTATTTAATAAAAGCAGGAAATGAGTTAGGTAGGTAAGGTACATATAATGATTTTAAATAAAAAGTTCTTAATTCTAGTTTAAAAATTCAATTTAATTCTTAAATATAAATAATAATTGAATAGACAGACATACAAGTTAATTAATTAATTAATTTTTATTTTGGTATTTGCTTTTTATAATTAATTTAAAATATTTTATATAACTACATATTAATTGAAAATGGATTTCTGCAAATTTTCTGAAAGTTTTTCTTATTTAATTAGAATACTTTCTCAGCTATTTTTAGGGGGTAAAGAAAAAGTGTTCTTGTCTATTTTTAATAGTAAAAAATATTAAATTAAAGCTTCATAATAATATTACTTATAAAATCTATTAAATAATCTTTTAGCTCTAAGCAATGACATTAAAATTTGAATGTGCATGAATCAGTTTAGATATACTATTTTTATAAAAATCTTTTTTGAAACAAAGTGATAAATAAATATATCTATATATATATAGCAAAATATTACAAATTAATTTTGATTTTGCTCAGACTTATCGCAGATAGAAGCTGTTCTTATAATGTCTTTTAGATTAATAATTTCTGTAGGGTTATTTAAAATTTCTCCATTTTTAAAAGTATATACATATTCTTCAGTAATTACAATCACTCTACTAAATTTAAAAATTTATTTTATTACTTTTCTGATTATTAATGGTAGCAATTTAAGCTTTATATTATTAATTAGTATTATTTTTATAGTTGTTAATTTTAGCGACTCATAAAGAATCATTTTATAGTTTTAAAAAAAGAATACTTTCGCCAAGATTTAAGGTGTTTGGATTGTTTCATAACTTCACATTAAAATAAAATATCTTGCTTATTTAATAAAGATTTTTTCATAGTTTGCTCAATCTATTTAGTTTTTTTTTTAGATATTAATTAAAAATCAGTCTAAATCTATTGGTTTATAACTATTATTATTTTTTTTTTTTGAGAAATACTAATTTTAATATTTTACAAAAATTGCTTCTTGACTTAAAGACACTATATTAAATAAACTAGTAATTTATGTTAAAATGCTTTGTACTTTGTTTATAATATTAAAACTTTTATAAAGAAATTTATTTTTAACAAACTTAAAAAAATTTTATAAAATTACATTTTATAAAAAAAATATTTAGTAATTTATTATTATTTTAGTTCTTAATTATTTTATTTATTTATTTATTTATTGTAAATTTCTTTTGATCAAAGTCTTTGATTTAAGGGAACAAATGAAAGCTTTTAAGGACCAGTGTAGTTAGAGGTTGGTCTGATAAGCTTATTGTTTGCTCTTTATTCAAAAATATGTGCAGCCCAACCAGTTACTCTAGACATGACAAAGATGGGAGTAAATAATTCAGTAGGAATTCCGCATTAGTGATAGGTAGAAGCAGAGTAAAAATCTAAGTTAGGGAATTTCTTTTTCTCATTTACTACTCTGGTTTCAATATGTTCACTTATTTAATAAAGGATTTTCTTGCCAAACTTAGGCTATTTTTCAGCTAAAAGCTTACTGTATTCTTTAATAATGTCGCTACGAGGATCTCCATTCTTATAAACTCTATGACCAAAACCCATGATCAACTTCTTAGATTTAAAAGATTCAGTTAAAAAGGAATTAGCTTCTTCAATACTACGAATATTTTCTAAATATTGCATGACAGCTTCGTTGGCGCCACCATGGAGGGGACCTCTTAAAGTACCTTTTATAATAAAATACAATTTTATTTATTAAAAAGTAAAATTTATTATTTTATGAAAATCAACTAAAAAAATAATGCTAACTAATTACCTATTGCAGTTGTTATGCCAGAGTAGAAATCTGCCAAAGTACTTACAGTAACTCTAATTATTATTAAAAAGATTGGTAAATAATTAATTAATTTATTATTGCTTACGAATATTAAAATTTAAATAAAATAAAAATATTCCAAAAACGTTTGCGTCAAGGAGAATTTAAATTATTGAAAGAATAAAAAGATTTGTATGTGATTTCTTTTTAATTTTTTCTTTTACAAAATAAACAGATATGTTTGCTTAATTACCTTGCTGCAAAAGTTGAAGCGTTGAAATCATGTTCTGCATAGAGGATTAAAGAAACATCAACAGCTCTAACTATTAAAGGATCAGCAGTTTGACTAAGGTGCAAAAGCTTAACTAAGTTACAAGCAATTGTGTCTTTAGGACCAGTTTGCTCGTTGATTCTAACTCCACTATGAGCAAAGTGGTACCAATAAGCCATGGCAGGACCAAAAATACCTATTTTTATAATATATTTTGTTTAAATTTACATCACTTAATTATCATTAAAATCATAATTCCTTAATTAAAACACAAGCTTCAAATATTACCTAATAATCTAATTGCTACTTTATATTAGTCATTTTCTTTTGTTTCTGGCTCAATCAAACCTAGGAATGAACTAACAGTTCTCATCATATCCATAGGATGAACATCAACAGGAATTCTTTCGAGAATTTCTTTCAACTAAGCAGGAAGATATCTTGCTTTTACAATTTAATCCAAAAATTCTTCCAACTATTTTGAAGTGGGAAGTTTTCCAAAAAGAATAAGGTAAGCAACATCTTCAAAAGTAGAGTTCTTTGCAAGGTCTACAATGTCATATCCTCTATAGTTTAAACCCATACCAATACCAACTGTAGAAATAGCACTATCACCAGCAACTATACCTGCTAAGCCACCTCCAGATTTCTTTGTTTTCTCGGCCATTTGTTTAGAATTTTTTTTTTCTTCTTCCCTTTTTGATAGTTTGTTTGTAATTAATTTTCTGACTTTTTATAGTAATTTCTTTAAAAATTTTTAATATTATCACTTTTTATAGTTTTTATATTGATTTGTGATGACGCTATTAGAATGAAAAAGAAAATGTGTACAATGACGTCAAAGAAGTTATAAATTGTGTCATCTCTGTATCTCATAAGAAGATTTATTATTCAATATTAATGTAAAGATATTTGAAAAACAAAATTTACATAAACCCTTTACTATTTTAAACCCAAAATATAAGTATTTTTTTTTCAAAATATTTATATTCAAATAATCTATAAAAAGAAGTCAGCTAAAAGAATGATTAACTATAAAATTTTTTGATAAAAGTCTCTTACGTTATATATTTAACTTATAAAGATGCGGCGGTTTAAGAATTAAATCTAATTTTGAAAATTTTTAAATTAAATTTATTAAATCATTATTCATAAATAAACATAATAGATGATTTAGTAAGCCTTGGTACTCAAGAGATGACAAAATGTAAAATTAACGAAGTAAGAAAATTAATTTATAAATTAGAGATAAATCAGATAAAATAAAGATTATATACAATTATAAAATATTTTTCAAAAGTTTTTAATAAACTATTTTAGAATCTGGAAATTAAAAATAATCGTCACTATTATTTAGCAAGTCCGCTCTCCATCATAGCCTAAAGACGTTTTGAATCTATAAGCGCATCTTCCTCATCATTCTTTCTTTCAACTTCAAAAACTTATCTTAAGAGGGAATTTTTAAATTTCTAATCTAATGGATTTTAAGGCTAATCAATTTTGTTTAGTTCTTCATAATATTCTAAAGCCTTTTAAATTCTAAGATTTTCATTCTCATCTAATTTATCAAGAATTTCTAAATGGTTTATGTCTTGTTCAGACGGGAACAACCTTCTTCCAATGAAATCAAGAGAGGCATATTATTTGTCAGTTAAAAGCATTTAAATAGCAGTTTTTAACTTCAAAATTTCTAAATGAACTTAATGTGCATTCATCATACTCCATGACTTTTCTAGGGCTTTTTTAAATCCTTTAACTTAAGGATCAGGTTCATCATCTTTTATCCTTTTGCAGTCAGTGTAATAATGCTTCATACTATAATCATAAAAATGATATTATTATTTAAAATTATATTTTCTAAAAAAATATAACTTACATTTTAAAATCATAAAGGTCAAACAATCTATTTTTAACTTTGAGTCTTTGCTTGATTTATTCTTCAGTGCTAGTTTAGTCTGCTTAAACTTAATTATTTGCAAATAAGGTTTTATTGTTTTTCTTTTTCTTTTTCTATTCTATAAATTGATCAATTTCTAAAGCTGATTTCTTGTAATAATTATTCATAATTACTTCAATACTTTCTTCAACATTTTTATTTTCACTTCCCATCTTAGCTATTATACCAGCTATTAATAGAGTACTGAATATGGACTAGAACTAAGCTAAAACAATTGAAATTTTTGGATATGACACTATCTGCTTGAAAAGTTAATCATTTAAGGAAATTTATGATAATCTGATAAGATTAGCTCCGTTTGTCCATTTTTAAAATCTTACTTTAGATGAAGCTTGAGTAAGATATGATTAAGTTTTTCTGAAGTCGCTAATATAAGTATATGTTTTCCATGAAGACAAGAGGAATCCATCATCAACTTTCGATTGTGATTGTGTAGCCTAATTTTATTATATAGAAGTTTGATAAATAAAGATAAGGAGATAAAAATTAAGAAAAAAATTACATCATATTAATCCTAAACAAACAAAGCTGGGTCAATCACAATAGTCTCTCTAGTTAATACTAATTCTAGTTTTTAATCATCAGTAAAGAATCTTTGATAAATAAAAGCGAATTCCATGTAATAATTTGGATCATTAACAATACTACCAGGACTTTAGCCATTTTTAATGAATAGTGCAAAATTAAATACTATATTTGCAGATGGATCACCTTAATTAGTTTTCAATTCAATAGTAGGAACTTCTGAAGTATCAATACAATAATAGCTTGCAAGATTTTGGAAACCAGGAAGGACATCTTCACATTTTTTAATAGAAAAGTAGCTAGCGGTGTTAAAAGTATCACCATTATTGTCTAAATACATATAAACTTCGAAATACTCTTTCCAAGTCGTGATAATTGTTCCACCAGATCTAAAGCAAAATGCAAAAGGAGAATAATTTAATGTCTATGTTGTTAAACCAGATTGGTTTTCTTATAAAGTTGTAATTGAGGGAGTATAAGAGCCACTGAAAAACAAGTATAAGATATAAATTAAATAAGCTAAGGAAAGACCTACGATACAAATGCTGAGTAAACCTCCTATTGATGTCTTTTTAGTTTTTTAATTATAATCTACTCTATGATAATATGGTTAACTAAACATATCAAATTTTCTCAAGAAAAGCATTCCTTGTATACTCTATAGATACTACTCTATCATTTTCCTTTTTTATATTCACCTTAATCAACTAAAATTTACCTTTCTTTAATGATATATTTTTTTTAATTTTTAGTTTCAATATAATTTTTAGTTATTTATTATACAATATAAACAGGTTTCAAATTTAATTACTCTAAAAAATTTTACTTGCAATTTTTTTCACAACAAAAGAGAGCAATAACTTGTTTAGCATTTGCCTTATTTTTCTATTTTATGATAAGTTATGTAACAAAAGGAAAATAGTAAAAAATAAAATTTATACCAACACTTTACTGTAAAATTTTATTTATTTGAAGCAGAAATTAAAATTTTCTTTGAAAAAAAACATTTTATTATTTGCTTTTTAGTTTTTTGAAGTAATTATTATCTAAATGGTTCTGGAAAAAATATAATTTTAATTCATAAAATTTTCAAAATTCTTAGAAAATATTTGATAATGAAATAAATTGAGGTAAATTTAATATGAAAAATTGGGAAAAAAAGTAGAGTGGTATTTGATCTTTATTACAAAGCAGATTCAAGCATAGAAACAAATAATTTTGAAATTGCGTTATTATTTAATTTCGATTTTAATTTTAATAAAATAGCTCGAATTATATAAATAAGTATTATTTTGTCCGACGATTATTATTTAAACAATATTTTCCATTATACAAAAGGATTTATCTTTAAAAAATAATTTAATTTATCTGAGTAATATAAAATTTTAGTGTAATATCATTTATTTTTTTCATATTTGGTGTTAATTAATTGAGCTTATTGTATGTATTTTATTCTTTTTTACAGTTTCATTCACTTAATTTTTTTATTCTTTATATTATTTATTGTAATAGTCATCATAGCTGTTTCCAACGCTGTTTGAAACGCTGGATTCAGATAAATTTTCTAAATTTGTACTTGATTTTGATTTTTTTTGTATAAACTATATCAATTACTTTTTAGGTACTAGTCTTTATTTCGATTAAGGAGTTGTAGTGATTCTATTAAATAAAGTCTTCATCGCAGAGTTTATATCTGGGGATTTTGAATTATACATATCTTCAGATTGATCAATATTTGTAATTTAATCAGGTGAGTTTGAGTACAATTGCTAAGAATCTCTGACACTATTCAAATTAAATATAGAATTTTATAGATTTATTTGTGGTTGTCTTAAAGAAAGGTCAATAGGTGCTGCATCATGATTATTTCCAAAATTTTCATTACTTTCTCCATAGAGTCTTTCACTATCTCCTAATTATTTGTTCGGAAAATGAATAGCTTAATCTTAAATTTCATATTACTGATCAGAATTTATTTATTTGATTTGAGTTAGATGCTTTTGAAATGAGTTTAAATTAATTGAATTGCTTAAAGTTTTTGTCTTTTTGGATCGCTGGCGGAACTACCTATATTGCCTTTAGCCACTATTTAAATTGGTATACATTTAATTTATAGAATTTCTTGTAGCAGTTAATGGAGGTGTTGTAAATAATTAAAATGAACAAATTTGTGATTAAGACATTTAAGAAAAATCTCTATTCTCTATTATTTCTAAATCTTTAAAAAGATCAAATGAAATTTCAATAATCTTCCCATCAGCAACTTAAGAGCTTATTTTATAAGGCCCTATAAGCTATACGTACAAATTTATTATTCTTTTGCATATATGATTAATTCTAATATCACGAATTCCATTTAGATACTTAAGCAAGTCATCAGCTGATGGCATAAAAGGCGCATCTTAACAATTAAGTATGAGCTTTAGTTTGTAAAATTCAAAGAATTAATTTGATTCTTCAGTGCAAATAAGTTCAATTGGCGAAAAATCAATTTATGATTCTTTAATATTGCTCTTATCGCCGAATGATGGTTTCTTTACAATTAATATCTTATACCAAGTAATCATATTAGTAACTAAAGCTATTAAGATTTATCTTACTTTTTGAATATCATTATTTACATTAAATTGATCATCTACTGCGTTAAGTACCGAATTTCCGCTATTAATATCCTCAAATAATTTCCCCATCTGATTATTAGAATTTTAAGTATTTTCTTTGGAAAAAGAGACATTACTTGAGTTTTGATTTTAAATATACAACGAAGGTATTTATTAAATATTTTAATTTGTTTCAGTGAAATTATTTTTCCATTTAGCAAACAGTGAATCCTTTTGGGGTTTTTGTTAATAATTATTAGCAGACATGAGCTTGTTACTGCTATTATTTTGCATAGAGTTTTAATTTTACAATAGTTCACCTTTAAATATCACTTATATTTAAAATATATCTTCAATTTCTTTTAATAAAGATTTGAGATTAAACGTAGACTTTCTAATCCTATTTGTTTTACTTTCTTCGCGTTTAACCAAATATTCCTACTAATAGTCCATTAAATTGATTTATGATAGCAACGGAACCTTTTATTAAATGTAATAAAAATTAAATTAATAATTAATTACTTAAAAAAACATTATCAAAAGGCAGAAAAAAAGTATTGATATTTTTTTCTTAGCATTATTGAAAAAGTTAACTCAAAACCCTTTATTTTACATTAGAAAACCTAATAAAAAGAGAGCTTCTAAACTAGTTTGATGTAAATAAAAATTACCATTTAGGATGGGTGTATCGATTTGCATATTTTTATTGTTTCAATAGCTTACATTTTCATTTAAATCAAACTTTACTAATATATCGTTATTTAATTATTTATACTTGTTTTAATATCCTCTATTTCTCTCTTATCTGTTAAATTCTCTAAAGTTACTCCTAAATATGGTCTCTCCATCAAGATAAGCCTTACTTTTATTTTGAAATATGTCTTTTTATTAGATGACTCATCTTAATAAAATCCTTAGAGAGTATCAATTTTGTTCAACAATTTTAATTATTCCAGAATATCGTTTTGATTCTTTTTTATTGGTGATTAATCTAAATTTTCTGAACTTCTTTTTTAATTATTTATAGCTAAATTTAATTTATTTAGTGCAGCAAAACTTGCATTTTCTACAAAGGAAGCTTTTGATTTTTTTGTTTAGACATTATATACATTTGAGAGCTATTTTCTATTATTTCTATTGTAGAAAGGAGATTCAGATTATTATGCTTGAATATTTTAATTAGCTTGCATGTTATTTACATTACATGTTTTAATATAGTCTAAAGTAGATCTCTACAAATTATTTTATTCATTTGAATGCCTTGAATATTTATTGTTTATTTGTTATTTATTTTATAAAATATCATTTATCATCCAATGTTTTTACATTAGATAATCTTTTAAAGATGCATCCTTTTTTAAAAAATTTTCTTTTAGATCTGAATTTGGTAGATCGATCTTTATTTAGCTTACATATCCTTTTAAATTGTTTGAATCTCCTACTATCTTAGATAAGGCTTGATTGTAATCTATTTAGATTAAGAAAAAAATACAATTAAAAATACAAAAAAACTGATTAATCGAAGTAAACTATTTGTTTCGACCAATTAAATAAAATAAGCTAATAATTAGTTCATTAAACATTATAAAATTAAAATTATTTATCATAGGCGTACATACATTAATTTTAAATTATTTTTTAAATTTAAAAACATAAAATACCTATTATCTAGAAATCGCTCGTAATTGGATCCAAATATGACATGAAAAAACCTAAGCTGAAATTGGTGTTAATAAACGACTGAAGTTCATTTAGTGATAATTAAATCAATGACAAGCCTTTTAACTTTTTTATAAGATGATATTTGACTCCCAAAAATATTGCATGAACCAATAAAAAGTTGTAAATAGAATCAAACTCAATTTTATCAATATCAATTATCGAAATGATAAATAACTCTACTTAAACAAGTAAATCTAATAAAAATTAGCCTGTGCCTATTAGAAGCATGCAAATACATATCTGTTATAATTATTAAAAATAATAAGGTATCCTTTTAACATTTAAAATTTCTCAAATGAGGTTCCTAAAACTCGTTTAATTAATTCATTTTTAATAAAAAATACTGATTAATTTAGTTATAAAAAGTACTTGTCCAATTTGCATGGATTGATTTTTAGTCATATCTATATTTTTTAAGTACTTTAAGTGATAACCACAGACTGCTATTAGAGTAAGTTATGATATGAAGATCAAATAAGTGTAATATTTTTTAAAAAACGCTAATGCCAAGATAAGCAAAATAGTAAGCGCTAAAAAAGCCACAGTTGCTATACTTTATTCATATATTAATTAATAAATAGATAACGAACCAAGCAAAGTAGCAGCTATAAAAAGAAATAATTTTTTTTCCTGTTTTAATGAACAAACAAAATATAAAATAAAATGTTATATAAAAAATATGATAATAAATATTACTTCAAGAATTTTTTAATCTAAAAATAGTGTTTCATGAATAGGAGATTTAAATTATAGATTCCATTTATTTATTCCATTATCAATCTAATGATTTGAAACTTAGCTCTTTCTTTTTTGCATTTTGTTTTTATATAAAGTTATTTTAGCTAATTTTTTTATTAACTTTTTTTTTCAACCAATGTTAATTATCTAGCTTTGTAAATTTGATATTTTTTATTTTATTAAAGTACATTTATTTTTTTAAAATAATGTAAAATGTTCTTTTAATAAATGTAACATAATTAGCATAATATTTAAATAAAACTATGAAAATATTTGTTATTTGATATTGAATATTCAATTTAACAATATTTACATTCTGAATAATCTAAATATATCATATCATCTTAATAAATTCAATTAAGTAAACAGAAAGGAGAAATAAATTTATAGATCAATTATGTTTTTTTATATTAAATTTATCTTATTTCATTAATAATTTAAAAACAATAGGTTTCATCCATAATAAAAGATTGTTTTTCTATAATTTTAGTCTTAATTTACTTACTGAATCAACAAACAAATTTTTAGTATTTTATGCTTTAAAAAATAAATGAAAGATAGAAAGATAATTAACTTAATTAGCATAATTTTATAAATATTTAAATTATTAAATTCTGATTTTAATAATTCAAGTCAAAAAATAATTCTAATCATATTAATTTTTTTTTAATTTAAAGTTTAAAAAAGTATTTAAACTTAAAGGATATATGAATTTTTATATTATATCTAAGTTGATTTACTGTTTAAAAGTATATAATAGAGTAAAATGCCATTTCGATTTTCAATAAGCGAAGTTTAATGTTTTGATTTAATTAAGATAATAAATAGAAATACTGTTTTATTTTTTTTTTTTGTATTTTTGCAAAAACGAAAAACCTAAATATATATTTTTATTTTAATACTTTATGATAATATAAAATTTTTTGGCTAAAATATTTATTAAAATTTGTTAAATTATTTTATTTTTAAAATTGATTAATTTTATTTTGTTTAATAATGTTGAAAAATCATATTTAAGTTTCTCATATAATTAATGAAGGATTAGTTATCTTTTTTGCCTTTACGAGAGATTACCTAAGCAGATTTTTCATACTTTCATCAATATTATTATTTGAGAAGTCAACAATAAAGGTTTCTAACTTTTTGAATGTTTACAACTAATATGAGATAGCTTCTATTGACTAGTTTGTAATTTAGGTCTCCTAGCAAGTATATTATATTTCTTCTAGAGTTTTTAGCTCAGAAAATACGAAGTTAATTGCTAGGAAACAGTCATCGTCAAATTTTTTATTTTTGCTAAAATCTAAGCACAAAATTTTAAGATTTACTAAAAATATAAGCCCTTACTTTAGCTCCAAAATAGAGTTGTAATCAAAATCACAGCGACTCAAATTTATCTAAAGTGATAGGATTCTTTGCTAATCCATCAATATTTCTTTAATATTTGGTAAAAAGTTTAAGTTACTATTTCCTTCTAAGTTCAAGATCAACTCAAGTAAATTGTTGTTTTTATTTAAGAAATTAAGAAAAGGGTAAAGCTAAGATTATATTTCATTATGACATAAATCAAGATTTAGTTTCTATATAGTAGATGGGAATGTTTCAAAAGAAGAAACAAAATTAGAAAATCCATCTTTTGTAAATTGGTTATACCATAAAGTTAAGTGCAATTCTCTCAGGTAACAAAGACTAGAGAAATCAAATTTATGAACATTAGCTAATGAGATACCTTTAATAATTAGATCAATATATTCAAGAGATTATATTTTGGAAATATTATCAAGAATTAGTTCTATTCCTTTTTAATTAACTCTATTTTTGGTTAAATTGATAACAAACTTTTAAAGTTAAATATCAGATCTATTATTTTAATTTTCTTATTTAGATATTAGCATTTCAAAATACTTGCAAAGCTATTAAGCACCTTCTTAATAAATTTGACATCCATTAAGATTTAGTTCTAAACATTTTAAAGACTTCTTTTTTTTGGTAAATACATTTATAAAATCCTTAAACCCTATCTTCGTAAGTCTATTACCTTCAAAATTGATATTAACTGTTTCTAACTTAGGTAACTAAATGAGGCTCTAAGAAATAATACTCCCAATATTATCTCCAAGATTATTATTCAGAAGATTTATAGAAATATTCTTAATAAAGTTTTATGAGCTGAGATAATGAAATAAGGCTTAAAGTTCACTTTCGCATAAACTATATTTTGATTAAGGATTTTCTTGTGAAAAATTTAAGTTAATAGTGTGCAAATATAGTTTCCATTACTCTTTGATTTATTTGTTGATCAGAATATTTACCCCAATTACATTAAAGAAAAAGTTTTCATTCTAAATATATAAATATCCCTTTCATATAGATAAAAAATATTTTTATAGGCATATTAAAATGTAGTTATTTGTGTGTTACTTTATTTGGCTAAGCATCGAATCGGTAACCTTTACTGCAAATCACTCCATTTTTAGAACAAGAAAATTAATGATTTTATATTGATTAATTATTTAAAAGAGCTTTTTTTATCATATTCTCTCCTGCTGCACTTAATTCCTTGCAATTCAATTGAAATTTCTGCAAATTAATCCTAATAAATTAATTGAAAAGTATATTTATTTATTTCTTTATTTTTTATTAATTTATTTATTTATATTATTTAAAAATTAAAACTTCTTTTTTTACCAATCCATAATTTATTATGATAGAATTTAAGCCTCGTCATCAAGAATGGTTTTTTCAGGAATATTCACACTAAATATAATTTTATCATTTTTATTATAACCAATAATCATTTCTTATAATTTATCAAGAAATAAAAATTAATTTTCTTCAAGTTCTATTTATGAAGGGTACCATAAAAAAGCTAGATCAGTTTCAAATAAAACAGATATTATTTAGTTTTAATTGTTAGTCATCCACTCATTAATAGATAAGTAAATTATTTATATTTATTCTTGCTTTAATAAGTTTTAGTAAAAAGATAATTAAATGTTTCTTAAGAAGGGCATGCTTGATAAAAAATTTTTCACAATTTCCTCAAGTCCTTCTCCAAAATAGTTATTGTTAAACTTAATGACAAGTTTTTATAAATTTTTAAATTTAGGAAGTGATTGCTTCATGTGTTTTTGCAAATTAGCAGCAATAAATGTGTGGTTACTTAAATTGTACTACATGCATTTAACTTCATCACAAGCCTATTGTCTGAGCATATTTAATTTTTTTATTTGATTCTAACTATTAATTTTTAAAATCTTCATCATAGGAAATAGCTTTCCAAATCCTAATTAATTTAATAAAATAATAATTTCATTTTAAAATAATTTTTAAATAAACTTTACCAAAAAATTAATTTTATTTTAGTTAGTCATTTTCTTAGTAGTCTTCAAGTAATTGTTATCTTTATTACATCTGTAAATCATTTTCATTAATATTTTTTTATTTTTTAATAAGATTTTTAGTTGATTATAAGTCTTTTTTTTGCATATTACTTAAATACTATAAGGTTTTGTAATAAATCTTGATATTATCATTGTATAATATTCCCATTAACTGAATTCCGTGGGTTAAAATTGTAAACAAAGATATTAGGAAAGAAAGCAATATAAAATAATCTATATTATTCGATGAAGTCTTCCATCGATTGTTTAAGTTGTTATTCAAATACTTTACAATAGTCATTGGTAGAGCCTAATTTAAATAAAACAAATATTTTAAATAATTTATAATGATAGACATTTAGAATATCTTATATTTAAAATAGCAATAGATAATTTTTAGAATTTAAAGACTTGTTATTAAATTATTCTATCTGTAATTAAAATAATGTAAAATCAATTATTTACTCCAAATATAGCCTTAACAATATCTGTAATCAAGATAAATTATTGTAAGTTTTTGTCTATTAGCAAAGTATCTATAGTAGGGAGCAAATTAGCGTCTAAAGTCACATCGATTTATGAAAAACCAAATTTATTGACACTTTCTTCCTACTACTAGGTTAATTAATAAGTAGAATCATAATTACTTTTTATAGAGTTTGGAGTATTTTTTAAATAGTTTTCTTCAGCCACAGACTATCCATTTATAATTTATGTATTTTTTTAAAATCTATCATTACATAACTGAATAGTTATTAGATTTTGAAGTTTTTTTAATGGTAAATTTTAATTAGATTCAAAATTATTATTGGTATTATCAATCTAATGAATTCCACTAAATATTTTAAAGGTTAATTTAATCTTAATTTATTTTTAAATTAATTACCTTTATTTCTAGTACTATGATATTTGTGAGTTATTTGTTTAAGATATGGTCTGCATAAAATTTTTTGTTTTTAGCTGATTCCTCTTTGAATTTTAGAACATTTTTTTCAAAATATTCATTGAATTTTTATTTTCTTATATCAGATTATCATCAGCTTCTATAATTTTTTTTATTTCAAATAAATTTTCATTTAATAATAAAAATGCTAATTACTTTGTTCTAATTAATCTTGATTGTTTGATATGCGGTTATTATTGCTTATTTATTTAAGATTACTTTATTTTCCAATCACCTCAATTTAATCTTTATGAAAATCTAAAATTTGTTAGTTATTTAATTGTGCTTACTGCAAGTTAGATGACTCTTTCTAAAGTGACTTTTCTTTTTATTTTAAATTTTTTTTATTTGCTTCTTTTTCGTCTTAGAATTCTAAATACGAAGATATGTTCCTCATTAAATCAGCTGTAAGAACTGCTTGATATTTTAAGTAAGTATACCCAAAAAGAAATACAGGAAAGACTTTTGTTTCTTACAAAAGTGCAACAAATATTGTATAAGGCAGTAGCATAAGTATTGATTTTAATATTGTAAAGTAATAAATAACTAAACAATATAAATAATTGCATATATACTAAAATAAACTTTTAGAGTTTTTAACCCTTTCATCTTCTTGCGGTTCAGGAATTTTCATTTTTATTTCAGATAATAATATTCCCCAAGCAAGTACTTGTATTAAAGGACTCAATAGGATAAAAAAAGCCATAATATCTTTGATGTAAGTAATCTTAAAATCTTCAGTATAGTAATAAATGATATCGCTAATTAATCCAAATATACCTATAGCCACTTTAACAGCGAATAGTGATATCCTTAAATAGCTTTTAGTTTATTTAAATCCCATCTATTAAGCAAACTTAAAATAAAAATACTATATTAATTAATTTTCTTAAGTAACTATTATCCAGGAATTTGTTTTAATTTTTACTTAATTGAATCTAGAAAATTAATATTATTTGTAATCAAATAAATTTCAAATAAATTACAAATAATTAATATTATTAATAGTAATCATCTTCTTTTCAATTTTAGAGATAAAAAATCATTTAAATAGTACTTTTACAGCTATAACTAAATCAATGGCTACTAGATTTAAAGAAAATAAAAAATTTTGATGCAAATATTCAAAAATATTAACAGTCATTTTCTAAAACTGAAGTTTGTTAGCATAAAATAAATAATCTATTTCTCCTTTTATTTATAAATATTATCTATTTTCTTACACATTAATAATTACATAAATTCAATTAATAATTTATTGATTAATCAAAAATATTTATACATATTTATGCATTAAAAGAAGTGTTAATTTTTTTAAATTGTAAGATACACACAAAAAATATAAAAATGAATGAATAAAATTTTGTAATAAGTAAAATTTTTGTTTTTTTTTTTGATTTGGTTTCTTAAAATTTTAAATAAATTTGAATTAATTATTATGTACAATTTTTCTATTTGAGATTATGAGAAAATATTTATTTTATTTATTTTTTAAAAAAATTTTTCATCAGAAAAAAATAACATTTGTTATTCAAATTAGAAAAACTATCTTTTCTATTCTAGATAAATTTTTTAAAGTCTAATTAGTAATTTTATTTGCGATCATATTCTGAATTATGGGTGCTAAATATGGTTTGACTTTAAAAGTCCGTCAACAATGTATTTCATCGCTGCTTATGTAGTTTTATTATCAATAAAATCAACAGTAACGGACCTTAGAGTTGTCATGCCAACAATTTTTTTAAATATAGCTTCAACTGTTCTATCTGTAATACTTGTTTTTTAGAAATTCAAAACCAAAATTTTAAGCTGAGGAAGAGAAGATATACTCCCCAAGATAGCATTAGTACATTCATCATTGAACTCTAAGTTTTCAGAGAAATTTAAATCAATTTTAAGTATGCTAGATAAGAAGTACAAGTTTTTTACGAGCTCTGTGACTCCTGCTAAGCCAAAATTACAGTTTGATAAATCAACTGTAAACTCTTCTAAATGTCTTATCTCTAATAAAGTTAAATCGAAATCCTTAAAACGTGTTAGATTTTTACCATTTTTACTATACACCAAATCCAACTTTTTTAGAGTATTTAAATGATCCAAATGTCCTTAAAATTATTATATTTTATCACTCATATTATTACTCACAACTTCAAAAGTAAGCTCTTCTAATTATTTAATACTTCTCATAGACTTAAAAAGATTACATAAACTTTAATCAGAAAAATTGTTACACCAAAAAGTTAAGCCTAACTTGTTTAATTCTTTAAGCAAGCTAAAATTAAATTCTGTTTAAATGTCAATAATATTGCCATTTAGTTTTAATTCTAAAGATTTTATATGTATCAAAGAACTTATAACTTTAAGTAAATGATCAAGCAGATCAGATTTGAATCTATTATTGGACAAATCTAAGCTAAGATATTCTAAAAAAATATCTTTTTTCGATTCAATAAAAGATGTGCTTATTCCAATATTATTATTATTATTCAGTTTTTAAATCTCTAAGATTACCAGCTTTTAAGTTTAATTATTTAAAAATTTAATTAAGTGACCAACTCCTTCATTTTAAATTAAATTTCTACACAAATTTATAGATATTTTTCTAAATTTTCTACTATTTTTATCAAAAAACTTAAAAATATTATTAACACCAATGGCTCCAAACCTATTATCACTAAAGTTCAATTCAATATCAATAAGAGAACTCAAATTATGTATGCATTAACCTATTGATTCTGATGTAATTGGAGTAATATTATTATTTCTTAAATTTAAGTTTAATGAAACCAATCCCTTATATTCTTGCACAAACTTCATAAGGCTTTATACATGATATTCTTTAAAGTAATTTTCATTTTCGTTTTGATTTTCAAAATTTAAGGTAATTTCCTCTAATTAAAGCTTTAAAATTAAATTTATATTCTTGTCAAATATAAATTTTAAGGCGTCATAGTTGAAAATAAAAGAACGATTTTCAATTTATAGATAATTCTATGATTTTATTTACAAATATTTTACTAAAAATAAATAAAAAATCAAATTTACTTTATTCTTATCAAGTTATAAATTATATCCTTTATTGTAAATCAATCCATTCTTCCCACTTACCAATAAACAAGATTAGAGATTTTATGAATTACTTACATAATAATTCATTTAGCTCTCATATTTTCTTGGCATGGACCTGTAAATAAGTTATAAGTGCTGCAAATTCTCCCTAAATTTAAATATATAAAGATATTTTGAAAATGCTTTAAATTAAAAATAAAATTTATTTTTTTCATATTTAAAATGAATACCATTCAGCCATAGTTTATAAAAATTCTTCACACTCTTGCTCATTAAACTCTTTTTCTGGTAAGACTATTTCTACAATATATTTTTCTGAAGGTGATGTATCAAATAATGCTTCAAATCTATCTTAAAATACTTCATAAAGATCATTAGGATACACTTATTTTAGTTTATAACATCTCCATATAAAAATAGAGTTATTTTAAAATAAAATATCTTCAGCAGTATCTTATATTTTTAAATGCCATGAATTAATCATTCTATAGATGTTATAAGCTTCTTCCTTACTCATTTGATTACCATAGTAGGATATTTAAAGATTATTCAAATTATTTTGCTCAGTAAGAATTTTATTTATTAATGGAGATATCTCTTTTTAGTAAAAGTTATCATCAAATTCGATAATCAATTTATTTAAAAATTTTATTTTATCCAAAGCTTTGCTTATTGTATTAATTATTTTTTAAGATTAATATCTATAGCCATTATAGAATAATTGTAACGATTTTATTTCCTCACTTGCTTATTATCGAAGAATTGATAGCTTATTAAGCTACATTAAATTATCTAACTTAACTTCTGCTCTCATGGGGAAAATCCTTCCAAAACCTTCAGCCTCTTTAAAGATAAAAATGATTAAAGTTATTTTTTTAAAATAAATAAATTAAATGATTTTACTCTTTTTTGAATTCTTCTTTTTAATATTTTTTAAGTTTTCATTTTTGTTTTCTTCCTCATTAGCTTATTGATTATTATTGTTATTTTTGTTATCACTATTTTATTTATTTTTATCAGTAGAATCGCTTTCGTAAGTTTATGATTTATCATCATTATTATTCATTTAAAATTTTTGTAAAAATTGTAATGTAAAGTAAAATATTTTGATATTTTCATCATAAAGTATATTTATCAATGAAATACCATGTAAAAAAATAGTTATTAATGAAGTAAAAAATGAAAAATAAATAAAAAGATTATAAGTTCCATTTGATAACTTCCAAGAATCATTAATACCATTGTTAATGAACTGTATAACAGTCATAGGTAAAGCCTATTTTTAATTTCAAAAATAAAATGAAAATCTTTATTTTAAATTTAATTACATTTAAAAAAATTAAAATGAATTTTATTTATTAAATCATTAAAAATTCAAAATTAATCTGTATTTTTATCATAAGATTATTTAAATTTCAATTGGTGTAAATATAAAATTAATAATTCAAACATTTTTATGCTGTAAATATAATTTAAAAGTAGCTTTTGAGTGATATAATTTTTATATTATTATTATTCAAATTTAATGTATTTTTTAAATATCTTAAATTTCATGAAATTCTTTTTTATGAACTTTATAGAAAATTTTACCTCAAACATAGCTTCAATTACATCTGTAATCAATAAAAATTATTCTAAATTATGATCTTGAATCAGAGTGTCAAATGTAGGCTGAATATTCGCATCAAGAAGTAAATCAGTTTCGTTGAAAACTTTATCGTTTGTCTCCTAATCATTTTCAGCCTCATTTTCAGGGATAACTTATTGATTTTACAAGTGAAGAGCAGCATTATTTGGTTGATTTAAATTCTCTCTTTTTAATATGCTTATACCTCTTTTTCTAGTTACTTCTTACTACTGTACTTATTGTTAATGGTGAATAATTTATTGCTATTATTAATTATTATACTTCAAGAGTTAAGTTATATTTTGGATAGACTTATCAAAACCTTTTTTTTTTATACTTGTTGCTCTTCTTCTCATTTAATGCATATTATCTTCATCAAAAAAATCAGTATTTTAAGCAACTAACTAATGATTATTTTTTTTTCTGGTAGGGGAGCTAATAGATTCTTTTCTTTACTAATTTTACATTAAAAGCACACTATTACCGAATGTATTTTATAAATCTATACTTTCATGGGGCTTTTTAAGAGGAGAATTTTGATTCAATAGCTTTTTTGTTTAAAATATGTTCTAATTAAAATATTTCTAATATAGCTAATCATTATTAGTTGGTGATTTTGACAAAAAAGGATTATGTAAATTCTTTGAATCGTCTAGCTCTGAATCGATTCTCTATGAGGATCCTTTATTTTTAAGATCCAAATTAATGTTAATAGGAATTTACTGGCTTCCTGGTTTTTCTTCTTATTAAAATGCTTATTTTAGGTTAATTATCTTTCTTGGCGAAGATGATGATTCAGGAGATATATTGATACTACTGATGCTTTTATTAATTGATTTCGATACCATTTTTGGAGATATCTATTCATGTTTTAATTCTACAATTTAATTATTATTATTGTTATTATTTTCTTTCATAAGCTTTTTTTCTTATTCCTCTTCTTCTTCTATTTGTTAAAATAAAAACAAGTGAGGAGCTAGATTTTTCATTAAATCCCTAGTCAGAATGGCTTAATACTTAAAATATGTGTAACCAAAAAGACAGAAAGGAAATATTTTAATCTATTAAAGTAGTGTTATCATTACAGATTAGGGTAGATATTTTACAATTTGAAACAATAATTTAACATTATATTCAACAACACTTATTAGTAAATTACAAACAAATGATAAAACAGATGTCGATTATTTAACTCGATTCATTTTTAGCGGTTTCGGTATATCTACTCTCATCTAAGCTAAAAGTATACTCCATGCCACTGACTAAATTATTGGACTAAGTAAAATAAAGAATAGCATAGCCTCTCTAATTTGATTAAATTTAAATGGCTAATAACAAAAGTATACAATGTTAGAAATTTTATCTAATACCCCTAAAATAATTTTAAAAGAGAAAACTAAAATCTTAAACCCTTTTGAAAAATCTCTCATGCTTATTATTAGGTGTATTATTTTTATCTCAAAATTTGTTTTAAGTTTTAATGTAATTTAAACTTAATGCACACAAAAATTAATTAATAGATAAATAAATTGGTTAACCAGAAAACTTTTATCTAATTTTTTATAAATATTATAAAAACTAAGTAAATGTCAAAGTAAATTATCTATATATATATTTATTTTTAATATATCTAAAATACTAAATCTAATAATCTTCTTACTTAAAAATCGGAACAAATTTTTAATATAAAATTTCAGAAGTAAGTGTAATTATAAAATAATAAATAATAATATTTATTTTTGAATAAGATTATTATAAACAATACTTAATTATTTAATAACTTGTTATTTTTTCGTTTCTAATAAAAAATAGTTTACAAAATAAATTTTTTCAATTAATTATACTTTTATTTTCTCAACCTACACTCGATATTTAATCCAATAAAAATCGTTCATATTATTTTAATATTTGAATTAAGTTTTTGTTTAATTTTTCAAAATAGAATAATATAATCTGAAATAGTTTAAAAATAAACTGAATTTTTTGTATTTAAAAATTCTTTTAAACAAAATTAAATTTATTTATTTATTTAAATTTATTAAAATAATTTTTGTCATTAAATTCAAATAAGAAAAAATTTTCAAATTATTATTTTGTTACTAAAAATTTGTAATGAAAATCTCTTTTTATTTTAATTAAATGAAAGGAGTAATAAAATCCATTTAGTGCTTGATAAAATTAACTAAAATTTTGTTAAATTTTGATAAATACAAAAAATTATTTATTTTACTTCAATAAAACAAAAACATAATTTAAAATGAATGATCTATTTTTTATCTAATTTAATTTTAAAATAAATTGTCATTATATAAAATGAAATTTTTTAATCAAGGAAATTTAATTTAATATCTGAGCTTAAAATTATAATAATTTAATTATAAGTAAATATAAATTAAATTGTTTGAATTAGTTATTAAATCCTTCTATAAAATAAGCTCATCTAAACCAACAAAATAAATTTTAAAATTCAATGAAATTTAAATTTAGAAAACAAAATAATATTTGAACGAAATTAATTGATTTATTACTATACAAACAAATTTAATAAAAGAAAATTTTTATTTTTTTACTGTTTATTAATAAAAGACGTCTTCACCTTTTTTTCTTTAAAAAGATTTTTAAGTAATTTCATATATTTAGTACTGTAAAAAGTAACTAATTTTAATATAATTTTGCTTTCTTTGCTTAAAGAAAAAAAAAATGTTTTATTACAATGTTTTATCCCTAATTTTATGTATTATTGCAAAAGATTCTGTCTTTATTCAATTTTACCAAAAAATTTATAAAAACTGGTTTTTTAATTGAAATATGAAAATTAAAAAAAAAAATGGAGTTTTTAAAACAATAAAATAAGATAGGATAACATATTTAATTGATTTTTAAGATTTTTAATAGAATTTTAATTAAAATTCAATTTTAGATAGATGAATCATTCAAAATTTTTAACTGTTTTGCATAAGAGATTTGCTTTTTAAAGGTTTAAAAATATATTTACTGCCAAAATGTAACTCTCTTAAAGAAAAAAGAGAAAGAAATAAAATATTAAAAGTCTTTAATTTGTCTATATCATCTTTTAGTGATATTTTCTTAGAAGCTATTATTCTTTTAAGAAATTCTTTTTTAAAACTTGAAAAGGAATATAAAAGATTTGATATTATAATCTATTTATCCTATTAATATACGAATATAAACTATTTAAATATATATATATAAATTACCATCCACTACACTGCTCCACATTACATTATACTTAAATACTCAATTTATATTTTAGAATTTATATATATTTGATGACGAGAATTAATAATAGTTGATGAATCATTTTTCTAGTTTTTATATGTTGATATCCAATAAATTATGATACACTATAATAAAAAACAAATCAAATATGTTAGATTACTTTATTCAGTTAAATGACTCAGTTTATTCATTTTAAACTTCATAAAACGAGGAGAAACGCAGTATTTTCTAATAAAATAGAAATATTAAAAAAAATAGAAATTTATGAGTATTTTTCCTCATTACAAATGAAGTAAGTAAGGTTTTGGTTATCTGATTTTTTCTATCGTATTGAAAAGATATCGTTTTGTATGGAAAATGGGAAATTTTAAGTAAAAGGGAAAAATGGTAGTTTAAAAAAAGTAATTTTAATACAAATCAGATATTATATTTTTATTTTTTACTGAATTGTTTTTAAAGGGTTCTAACATGTTTTTGAAGAAAGTTGTTTTTTTTACCATAAAATTTTATGATTACTAAAGACTTGAAGGTATTTACAGAATTCATGCCCACTAATCTCTAATTAATAGTGTTAAAAATGATAAAATTGGTCATAAAATCTGTCATTAGATTACTAAACGTGAGTAGATTTATGATAATAAACAAATCCCATTATTTACCTAAACAAAAAGCAATTAATTTAAAAATTCTTATATAAAACCCTTTAAGATTTAAAAAGCTTAACTAAAAATTCAATGATTATATTGATTTTTCTTAAATTCTTGCAAAATCAATTATTATTTTTAGAATGTGAAAGTGCTTAGAAAAATAAATTCAAAAAATCTATTATAAACTTTATAACTTAAATGAGCTCGATAATCAAAAAACAAATATCATTTTGGTTTAGCAAATAAAATCGAAAGAGTGAAATTATATTTAACAATTGTTGAAATTTAAGCTCTGCTTTTAAGTTATAAATGGGAAATATTCTAAGAATTGACCAGAAAATAGTGTAATAAATCTAATTGAACAGAAGCAGTACTCAATAAAATTACAATTTTTTCTGATAGACCACTTTTAATTAAATAATTTTGGATGATACATAGTCTAGTTATACATCATTCCCCAATTACAGAAGTCTATTCATTACAAGAAAAGGATCTTCAAAGAGAGTATTTAATTAAATTTTTAGTCGAAATGTTACCACAAAATTAATTTGTATAGATAAATCTTGCAGTATATACAATAAATTGGAAAAGAAAAGTGCGATATTTCGTAAATAATAAATCATAAAAAAACACAAAAAGAACAAATTCAATACTAAATTAAAAAAAGATGAGAAAAGCAGTATTATTATTAGTCTTAATTACTTTTTGCGTCGCTAAATTACCTGGCTACAATGTTGACATTTAAGAGACTTCAGTCTCAGGTTTGAGTGCTGGTGCATTCATGGCTGCTTAATTCCAAGTAGCTTTTAGTTCTACAATTAAATCAAGTACTATTGTTGCTGGTGGTCCTCCTAATTGTGCTGAAGGTAACTTGAGCACAGCTCTTACTAACTGTATGAATATCCCCACTAGTATCAATGTTAACACCCTTGTAACTAAATCAAAGAACTAATCTACTTCTAAGTCTATTGACCCTATCTCTAATCTTTAAGGAAAGAAGGTTTTCTTATACAGTGGATCTGTAAATATTTCAAATTATTTATAAAAAGGTTTTTTTGATAACAACAAAATTTTGTGTTTAGTCAAAAAGTTATGAAAAAGACTTAATGATAATCATAAGAATAGTTTTAAGTCTTTCGTTTTGTAAAGATTATCAAAAAAAGATAATTTTGATTTAATAATCTTGACTAAAATTTAATCAAATTTAATTTAACTATAAATAGAAAGACACAGTTGTCAAATAAGGTGTTGTCAAGGCTACTTAAAAATTCTTCGAATTATTAGGTGCTAATGTTTCAACTAAATACGACATTGCTAGTGAACATTCTTATGTTACTCCTAGCAACGGAAAGGCTTGCTCCTTCCTTGGAACTCCCTACATCAATCACTGTGATTACGACACTGCTAGAGTTTCCTTAGAAACTGCTTATGGAACAATCAATGATGCAGTCCCAGCTGTTTCTGCTAACCTCATTAAATTCTCTTAAGATTCCTACGTTTCATCAGGCATGTCTATGAACTCTAATGGTTATGTCTATGTTCCTACTAGGTATTTATTTAATTTCTTATCGCTTATTAAATTTATCTATTTCTTTTATAAATAAAACTAAATTTTAAATATTATCTTAATAAACTAAATAGCTGCAAGAATGGTGCTAAGTGCAGACTTCACGTAAGCTTCCACGGATGTCAATAAACTCTTGAAGATATTGGCACTTAATACGTTACTTTAACTGGCTTAAATGAATATGCTGAATCAAATAACATCATTGTTTTATATCCCTAAGCTAAGAAGTCATAATTAATGCCCTCAAATCCCAATGGATGTTTCGACTGGTGGGGATACACTGATACTTTACCCACAAGTTTGAAATATGCTACTAAAGAAGGTAAATAAATGAAGGCTATCTTCTAAATGATTACTGATCTTGCTTCTGGCTCAAAAGCTGAAGCATAATGATTTGTCTTAAGTGACTGACTACTTAAATTCAATTAAGATGAATTATTGATAATCACCAAAAAAAATAACAAGAGTTAAATATAAAAAAGAGAATGAATGAAAAAAAGTATATTTTCTTATAAAATTTAGCTCAACAAAAAGATAATCAAGTATTAAATAATCATATATATCTAAGTATCAATATAAAAAAGTATATTAAAATTGAACAGAATATTAATTAAAAATTTACTCGTATACAAATTTCATACAAAATGCAACTTTTCCATTTACTTACTCTTCTCTAATGTACCTTAAAAAATAAATTTTAACTGTATTTATTTTACATTTAACTTTTGTTTTATTTTATAACATATTTAAGAGGTAGATAAAATTACTCTGAGTTTCGAGTGCTTTTTTAACTTATTTTCAAAACAGGTATAAAGAAATTACTGTTTAAATTCTTTAATTTATATTTTTGCCTTTAAAGATATAGATTAACCTATAAATTTGTTTGAAAGATACTCTATAATTTTAATCTATTTATTTGAAGTTAAAATAATATATTCGCGCAACATCACAAACCATAAAATGAATATTTAATTATTTTACCCTCCTTATATTTTTATTAAATTATATTTTTTTTAATTTAGCTTAAAAATTTGAAGTCATAAAATCTCAAGGCTGAAATACTTAAAAAATATTTTTTTACATTAATCAATGCTGTCAATGAAATGAAGACAATGTTTTTTACAATAGTGTAATTTTTTTTCTCCAGATTCTAAATTAAAATTTTAATAATTAAATTAAAATATTATATTTAATATATTAGCTATATTTAAATGAAAAATAATTTAACTCTCTTCTAGCAAGTTAATAAGGAATAAATAAATATTTATCATACTTTTATTCTTTTTATTAGTCTTGAAAATCCGTCTTATTTTGCATATAAAGTGTCATTTCTTACTTAAAAATAAAATCTTACAAAAATATTGCAGAAATCGCTATTCAACCTATCCATTAATCATGAATCTAATAGAATTCAATAATAAAATCCAATTCTCATAAAGATTCAAATACGGTTTATAATTCGTCAATAATGCTATAATTTTAAATTATCAGAAAAATTGATTAATTAAAGAAAACAAAGAGAATGAAAAAATTAATTACTCTTCTAATTTGCAGTCTATTGATTAGTAGTAGTTTTGCTAAACTACCTACTTTCCCTGTCGATCCTTATGGAATTACAGTTGGTGGTCTTTCATCAGGAGCCTTTTTCGCTGTTTAAATGCATTTTGCCTTTTCCAAAACTATTAAGGGAGCTGCCATTACTGCTGGTGGTCCTTACTGGTGTGCTTAAGGTAACTTGGGTTATGCCATGAGTAACTGCATGAGCTCCCCTTAATTAATTAAAAATGATGTCTTGAATAAGAAAGCTGAAGAACTCGCTAAGTAAGGAGCTATTGATCCTCTCGTTAACCTTTCTGGATCTAGAGCTTATATTTATAGTGGAACTCTTGATGATGTTGTTAAGCCTGATGTTGTAAAGAGCTTACAAAAGCAATATGAGAGTTTTGGTGTTTAAACTACTACTGTTTATAATGTTCCATCTTAACATGCTTACATTACCAAAAACTTCGGTAATAAATGCAATTTTAAAGGCACTCCTTACATTAATAATTGCAATTACGATGTAAATACATATATTTCGTTTTTTAATATATTTTAGCCTATTTATGAGCTAATTTATTTTAATTTCTTGGACACTAAATAGCTTAGCGCAAAAAAATCTATTTATTATACCACTTCAGCGCGCATGCATAAATGAGGATACAAATAAAGCTTTTTACTAATTAAATAAAACAATAAAAAGATAATTAAAAAATGATAAAAAAGGGAATTTACATGCAAATATGTCATAAATTTAAAAGAAAATTTATTCTTAGTTTATTCTCATTATGATTTAATCAAACAACAAAAAATTACGTCATGGACAAATATGAATCAATGATAAGTTAAACATGAATAAAGGAAGGATTGATTCTATTTGCCTGAATAAAAAGAAAGCAATTATTAATAATACTCTCTAAAAGATTAAGATAAATAAATCTTATTATACATACAGATATTACACTTATTTTGAATATTTATTTCATTAAAATGTAAAGAATTCTTATCATTACTTTCATTTCTGATGAAATATATTATTAAATCTTTCAGTAATTAAGGTTCAATTTATCTTATAGTTGCTTTAGGGAATATATATCCACCTTTAATGATAGAAAGTTTTTACAATATATTGATCTATTCTTTTATATATTTTTATGGTGATCCCTAGGCTGCTGAACAAATTAATAAAAGCTTATACTAAACTGTGAAAATGATATCATTTTTACTTAATTCTTTTATAAATAAACATTTTTTAGCATGAATTCAAATTTATCTAAATGATTTATATTTTATAAAATTAGATGGCATATGATTCATTAAGTGTTTTGTATGACGACCTCTTCCCTGCTGTCGATCCTATAGCAAGCAATTTGATTGAATTCGATTAAGCTCCATATATTGGTTCAAATTACTCTATGAACAGCAAAGGTTACGTTTATGTGCCAACTGCTTGCAGATAAAATACAGATATTTGCAAATTGTATGTCTAATTCCACGGCTGCCTTTAAACTACTTAAGATATTGGAACCGACTATGTCACTAAATTAGGACTTAATGGCGTAGCTGAAGCTAATAATATTATTGTTCTTTATCCTCAAGCTAAGGCATCAAAGTCTAATCCTATGAATCCAAATGGTAAATATTTTATTTAAAATATATTCTTAATAATATTCAATTATTAAATAAAAAACAGGATGTTGGGATTGGTTTGCCTATGTTGACAACTTTGCCAATACAACCAAATACGTTACCAAAAGCGGAGCTCAAATGGCTGCTGTATGGAAGATGGTTACAGATTTAGTTGGTTATGACCCTGAAACTGTAAATATTGACAAATTAGATATGGATTCAATTTGAAAAAGCTCTTAAAATATAACAAATAAGACAATAATTCTTTAAATAAATTACAAGTAGATAATAAAAATACGTATATTATTATAAGTCATAATTATCCTTAAAAAATATAAGAATAAATATGTTATCGGAGTTACCAAAAATTAATAAACAAACTAACAAAGTTTTAATCCTGAAATAAAAAAATTAAACAATGCACTTATATGCACAATTTTTATTTTGTCTACCTACCTCTTTATCAAATATTTTTAATAAAATAATTTCTATTAAAATTGGTTCAATTTTATTTTAAAAATCTTTTTATTTTCTTTCTCTTATAAAGAATGTGTAAAAAGTTTAGAAATATAAAATAAAAACCCAAAAAAACATATTTTTTTTACTATGATTGTTAGAAAAAAATTAATTAAACAATAAATGATTTATTAGCCTTAAATAAACTAAAATATTGTTTTTTACAATAAAAAAACTAAAATGATTAAAATTATAATTATTATTTCAAATAAAAAAGTATCATTTTATTGCAAAATAGAAACAATTTTAACACATATAAATCTATATCTACTTATAAATAATTCCTTCTATTTGTTTAGTTTAATTATTAGAAGAAAAATATTCTTATTATTTAAAGGATCTCAAAGTTTTATAAAGAAGATTACATTATTTAGAAAGTGATGTTATATTTTTAAATATTTAAAATGGTCTTTAATACACCAAACAAGAAGGTATAACATTAATAGGTAGAATAGAAAAATTCTATCCGCTTCATCACTTTTATCAAATTATATTTGTCTATTTATTGAAAATTAGAAGAAAGATATAATGATTAAGAATGATCTACCAGATTTGAATAAGCCAAAACATTGATTTTTGCAAATGATTAAATAAAAATACTTCAAATTATATTTAATATTTGAATTAAAAAAGTATTATTTTGCAGATAAGCACAAATAAAAATTTGCACATTTATAAATAAATATCAGAATATCAATATTATTAATTATTTATTTATCTCTATATCTATTTATATCTTTTACTAAATTTTGCAAGAATGATAAAAAATAGTAAGTATTTAAATCAGATTTTTTATCTTTTACTAAATATAAAAAATAGTAAGTATTTAAATCATATTTTTTGATTTCTTAAAGAACAATTACAAAAACAATCCACTCAGGTTTATCTTTCTAGATAATTTAATCTGAGTAAGATCTGTTCAGCATTTTTTTTCTATCAAAAATTTTGAGTTTAGTTTTTGTCTAAAAAATAAAAATTTTCATTTCTTATGGATGTAATCAAATATATTAATTGGCATATTATATCAAGAATTGGGTTGATTTTAAAATATTTAATATAATACACTTAAAGTAATCTTTTACTTTTTATCATTTTATTAATCTAAATGCTTTTAAAGAATTGGTATATACTATTTAAGCAATTTCTTGTCTGCTTTTATTATGCAATTTTGCTAGGAATTCAATTAATGAATGACAAAATCTTGGTTCATTTATCTTTTCTAATTTAGGTATAAGATTATTTTAGTTAGTTATGAAGTCTTTTTCACTAAATAAACCAGAATCTGATACTTCTTTTTCACAAAGTTGATATGGTCCATCTGACTCAACTAAAATATTTTCCAAAGGAATTACTTGCAAGAATTCAGGTTTCTATATTTAATTTACATATTTATTTTAACTAAGTTTAAATGAATATATTTTTACCCTGATGATTCCCTAAGATAGTGAAAAGTAAATATTTGCATTAAGCTTAAGATATCCTTTTGTCATTTCTTTGTTTCCACTGTATGAGTGCATAATAATATTTACCTTAATATTAAAAATAAATTGTTACTCACATTTCTATTTGTGTTTAATAATTTACAGTTTTTTTCTTAGGATCTTTAAAGTATTTCTTAAAAACTTTTTGCATTTCTGGTTAAGCTCTAACACAATGAACACTAATTACTCTATCTAGTTCTTTATTATTCATATAAAAAAATTTTATTAATTAGAAAAATATATTTTATTTCTTAATACCTATTCCTAACTCTAGTTATTTTTCTAAAATTTCTATCTATTCTTCTTTTGAAGTTTGATCGTATTTCAACTAATCTAATCCTATTTCTCCTACTTAACTATTAGGATCTTTTTCCAAATATTCTCTCAAATTTTCCAGCCAATTAGGTGATCTTTGGTTTAACCACCATGGATGAAGCCCATAAGAGTTTAATATAAAGTTATCTTTATATTTTTTTAGAATTGGCTGAATTTTAATGAAATCTGCTTCCACACAACAGTTATTCATAATGTGCTTTACATTAGCTTTACTAGCATTTTCAAGAATAATTTCTAATTATGATTCAGTGTAATCCAGTAAATGAGTATGCGAATCTATATTTAAAGTAATATTCACATCTAAAAAATAATTATATTGTTAAATTACCAATAATTGGATAAAAATTTTCCATATTTTCCTTATTTTATAAGTTGGTCTTAATTTCTTCCATATTTTGGTATAGATGCAATATTTTTAAGAAAAGTAAATATAGCTAATAATTAATATAATATTTCAAATTAATTGTAGCAATACAAAATAAGCTTTTATTTTTGTAATAAAAATCAACTACTCGCACTCTAAATATTTTATTCTAGCATAATTAAAATACCAAAAATAATTCTAAAAATAGCAATAAAATTACTTTATTAGAATTTTTGTATTTTTATATATTTTCTTACTCATGATTATTTTGTAAGTCAAATTTTTAAATATATCCATTCATCCATCAATCTTATAGTTTCAAACATACTACATACAAATACTCAGCATTAGAATGTCAATTTACGATAAGATTTATGTTTAGATGTTGTAATTATTCATCTTTTTTTATAAAGCACTACATCAAAAGATAAACAAAATATATTATAAATTTATTATATAATTAATAGGATTATACAAAATATAAAAAGAAAAAATATAATTTTGTACATTAAAAAATAGTTTTAATTAATATAAAATGATAAAATATCTAAACTATTTTGTATTATTCTAGGTTACGAGGAAAATGGATTTTTCCCTATTTATTAAATAAGTTTTGAATAATTAATAAATTGGTGAATTTTAAAGCTATATAGTTATTTATGAATCTAAGTTACTTTCATAAATTGGTTAAATATGTATTAATTTGGATGATTAGATTAATTTCTGTAGAAGAAAATCAATCTGACAATTAATTTATGGATATTTGTTAAAGGTAATTATTAGCTTTACAACAAAATTAATGAATCAGAAAAAACATACTTTTTGTACTGCTTATTTTTAATTAATTTCGATTAATAAATTATTGCTTTTTTATGATATTTTCAATTGTTTTTACCATAAAAAAACAAAACATAATAGTACATCCTAATTAAATTAATTTATTAACAAAACTAAAATATTGATTGATATAAAAAAGATCAAATGGGAAAAAGGTTTATGCTTTTTTTTTTAGCAACTATTCTGATAGTTAATGCTAATGTATTATAAAAACTTCCTGGTTTGAATATTGATCTTGTTGGAACCACTGTTTCTGGTATTTCTTCAGGAGCTTACATGTCAGGTTAAATCCATATAGCTCTGTCCTCTTTTATTAAAGGATCAGCAATAGTAGCAGGTGGTCCTGTTGGATGCACTAGAGGCTATCTTATATATGCAACAACTGAATGTATGTCAAACCCTTAAGATTTAAATATCAAATCTGTTGATGAATCAATAGATAAACTAAACAAGGATTAAAAAATTGATGATGTCTCTAACTTGAAAGGCGCTAAATCATACATTTTCGCTGGCTTAAAAGACACAACTGTACTCCCTCTAAACGGTGTACACTTATAAGATTAACTTACTAAACTTGGTGTTCAGTTAAAAACTGTTTATGATATCCCTGCAGAACACGCTTATATTACAAATGGTTTCGGGTAATTTAAAATAATATTTGAGATTTAGTTAAATTTATATTTCAATAATTACATTTAAACATATAATAAGCTTTTTAAATTTAAATAAAAGAAATGTTTGTGACTTTAAAGGATCTCCTTACATAAATAATTGTAGCTACAATTAAGCTTATGAGAGTCTTAATTATTTATATAATGGAAAATTAAAAGCTGGTACCAAAGCAGTTGATTCTAATCTCTTTGAATTTAATTAACAAAACTATTTTTCTAGCTTTATGACATCATTATACTCAAGTGGTTACGTATATATTCCCACTAATTGTGCTGATGGTAAAAAGAAGTGCCGTCTTCATATCAGTATAAACACTTTTAAATATTTCTTTTATAATTTATTTTATAATAAAATATTAGATTTCCATGGCTGTAAGCAATCTGTTGAGGTTTTAGGTACAAACTACATTAAAATGATAGGCATTAATGATGTAGCTGAAGCCAACGACATTGTTGTACTATATCCTTAAACAACTAAAAGCCCTGTTTTCCCTTTCAACCCTGAGGGTAACAAGAATTTTTCATAAGAGTTATATTAAAGCTTTTTTAAATACAAAAAAAAGGTTGCTGGGATTGGTGGGGATACACTGAGTGGAATTCAATGTTAGCACCTACTGGATACTATAATTTTAATTCTGCAGGCTTAAACTTTTTAAGCAAAGAGGCCCTCCAAATTAAATCAGTATGGCAAATGGCATAAGACTTAGCTTCAGTAAAAAAAGCATCTGAAAAACTTGAATAAGAATGATAAAATAACAAACAAATTATAAAAAATTATGATTATAAAAAATTAAGATTTATAAAATTAAAAAAAATAATTTGATAATTTAAATTTAGTTATTTTGTATAAAAATTCAATTAAAATATCTTATTTTAAATCTAAAAAATTAACAAATAATATTTTATTTTTTTAATTGACTAACAATGATTAAAGTAAGAAAATATATTCAAATTATTTCAAAAAATATTTGATTGTTTAAGTATGATTTGAAATTTAATTGAAAATAATAACAACTTAAGGTAGTAAAAAACAATAAGTTATACAAAGGTATTTATTGTTAATAATATTTATTACATATTTTTTATTTAGTTTTAGGTATATTAAAATGTTTAATTTAGGTCCTATTAGAAAAAAAATAAAAATAAAATTTAGACCTTTCTTATTGATAAATAATTAAAATTTATAGTGGAAGCTTATAATAAATATATTGCCAAAATATTTAAAAAAATAAATTTATTTATTTATTTATGAATAGCTCATTAGAGATAAAAATTAAGCAAATAACTAAAAGTATATTTAAACATAAATATTAAAATTATTATATAAGTTTAATGTACAATTTTTGATTAATTTTTGAAAGTTTTATTTAGTATATAAAGTATTCAATCAGCTCACCAGTAAGTAGACTATAAGCTAATTTAATTCAAAATATCACATTTTAGTTTTCCTATTTTTTAATAACGTTTTTCAAATTGCTGCTCTTCTTTATATTGAAGAAATTCTTGCTTTTTCTTTTCAAATTCTTCATAAATGTCTTTAGTAGACAAAACACTTTTATTATACCATGCATGTTATTTTATTTATACAATTTTTAATCTTTTTTCAGGATTAAATTCAAATAGTTACTACAAAAAATCTTTCAATTCTTCTGAAAAGAAATTTTATTATCCTTTATTTTTTTAGTGAATTTTCCAAAATTAAGAATATTGATTGTTTTTAATGAATTAAAAATGTTAATTTTCTGGTGAAGCTTCTTTGAAAGGAAGATGCCCTGTTAATAGAATAAACAATATGACACCAAGTGAAAATATATCAATAGCAGCTAAATCTTTTAGATTTTATTCATATAACTCAGGAGCATGGTATACGGTTGGCTTGAAATAAACATTATTAATTTTTGATATACTTTCTTTGTCAGAAACATTTTGAGCTAATCCAAAATCTGTAATCTTAATTTAATAATTTCTGTTTAGTAAAATATTTTCAGGCTTTAAATCTAAATGAAAGACACTTTAGGAATGTATATATTCAATACTTTATATTAATTAATGGAAAATTGATCTTGCTAGTATTTCATTAAAAGGACCTGTCCCTTCAATCCACTCAAAAAGAGATCCATTTTCGCAATATTCTAATAAAATGCAATCAAAACAAACTTATTTTCCATTTTTCTTTATTTATTTAATCTCTCTTATTTCTTAAAAATACTCAACAACATGAGGATGGCTTTTCAATATCTGTAGTGTTTTTATTTCATTTAGGACTTTCGATTGTTGATTTGAATCTTCTGGGTTTCTGTAAAAAACCTTTGCAGCATATTGTCCTTCATCGCAGCTTACTAATTTCACCTTTAAATTATTTAATATGAATATTTTAATAATATGATCAAACTTCAATAGAAACAAATAAATCAAATATTTTCGTAATGAAACAATCAAATAAGATTGAACTACTTTTGCTTCTGAGCCTTGGCCTAAAGTTTTTTAAATTACAAAATGTTAAATTTATTTTTATTTTTATTCCATAAAATATTTGTAATTGTAAACACGCTAATGTATTTGAAATCAGTATTCTTAGTTTTTTTTCTTTTTTTCTACTTTGTAATACTTTTACTATGACTTTAAGTGAAATTAAAAATTTTAAGTTCTAAAAATACTAGATGCTATTTTTAATTATATTAAATCAAAGGCAATATACTAAAAAATAGTTATTAGACAATATATACTAATTCTATTTTTCTATTATTCAAAAAAATATTCGATAAAGTTAAAAGAATTTATGGTCAGTATTTGAAAGGATTTGCAATAATATGTTTCATTAAAATAAATGTTTATCCTTTGAATAAAGGAATATAAAAAAAATAATATTGATGATATTTGAATCTCAAAATTCCTAGTAAATTAAAATTAATTTTATGAAATTATCAAATTAAGAAAATAATTTTTAAAAATTATTTATTTTTGAATTGAATATTTAATTAATTAAAATATATAATTAATTCTAATACAAAAGTAATTAATTATTTTTAATAAGTACTAAATAAATTAGATTCTTAAAAAAATAGAAAGTCATAAATCTTTAATAAAAGAGTATATTTTTATTACTTTGTTTCTAGTTTTTATTCAGTCAAATAAAAGCTATTTTAAATTTTTATACAATATTTAAAGATATATTCATAATATTTGATATAATTTATTTTATATTTGCTTCACTCATATAATTACTTTATTAAATTCGAAAATATGTTAAGCTTCAGGATCATATTTAGATATTATTTGGATTGATTTTTGAAACAAATATTTATCATAGTATTAGTTTGCTACCACCAAAAATAATAAATTAGATACATGACCAAAAAATGCAGGAACCTTGCTTAATCCAATTAAAGGTATGTTAAATCCATATAACTTAGAGTATTTTTTAGACACAGCATAATATCTTAAAGCAATAGCGCCACCAAAAATTAAGGTACTTAGGAATTAAGCACCTAACTACTATTTTTCATACTTTTTGAGTTAAATCTAGTCTTAATCGGAAATAATGTTGGAATATTCTCTGCTATTCAAATAAATATCAACAACATGCTTTCTACTTAAAAATAAATTGAGTGTTTAAGGTTAATTTTGCATTTAGGAATCTATTTTTTACATTTTTAGTAAACAATTAAATGCTTATTTGAAATCTTAGTATTAATACTTTAATTAAAATTTATTCTAGAAAGAAAAATTTAAAAATAAATAATTTAAAGATCAAACTTGAAAATCAAACCTAAATTTATTATAATATTTTAAGATATTTTATAATATTTAAATAAACCATTTAAAATAATATTTAAGTAAAAGTATCAAAAATAATATGTGAAAGCATCAATTAAGAATAGTAGTAAAAAGAGCATTAGAATGAATATAAGAAATTTAATTAATAATAAATTTATTTAAAAATTATTTAAAAATCAAAGATATGAAAAAATTTACATTTTTAGATAATATTCATAAAAAATAATACTTGAATACTTGCTTAATTAAGACTTTCTTTTAAAAGTTTTAATTTACGTTATCTCAATCCATACTCCATAGAATATCGCTTTATATTAAAATATTATAAGGCTTCACAAATTAAAAATATATTTAAGAAAATTACTCATAAAACAAAATATATCATTATCAAAAAGATCTTCTAATATGTTTTTATTTTATTTCAGAATATTTTTTTTTTTGAAGAAATATTAAAAATTAAATTTATTTTGATAAAATTCATAAACCTAATTTTGAAACTTTGATACATTCTATATAAAATTATTAAATATAAATCAGTATTATATTAAATTAAATTAAAGAACACACTTTTTGAAATATTTGCATTAGTAATACATACTCAGATATTTAAGGATTTATTTAACTCTTTTCTAAAATTTCTACAGCATGAGGCATGATTTTATAATAAATAAGTGATGTATTATTTATTTGCTATTTTAGATATATTCTCAATCACACTCTTACTTCTGATCCTTTTTATAAAATTATTAATAAATGTTTATTTTATATAAAATTAAAAATACTTTTTTTCATTTTCTAGAGTTTTGACTCTCATTCCCTTGCTCAAAGAAGGATTCTGCTAGTGCTTGGATAAACTTCTTACTGTTACATTTTTGCTTATTTTTATATTATTATTATTATTTTATTGCTTATTCAAACTTTATGTATTCTTTTAATTTTAATAATTATTAAATTTATTTTTAGGTTCTAAACAATTAAAATATTCTCTTCTTTCTGTTGAATGTTAAGATTTATGATTATTTTATACTTATTGTTCTTAAAGAGTTGGAGTTTATATTTTTTTTCTGTTTCGATTTTATATCAAATAAGGGTTTTAAAATTATACATGATATTGTTAGTCTTAATATATTTATGGAGATACTTACTATTTTTTATTTCTGCTAGATATCTCATACTTACTATTGGTTAAAGAGTATGCTTATTAGTTTTCTAAATCAATCTCTTATATGCAATTTTCGTCATATTCATATGTTCTTTGATTTTGTGATAATGTGTTTTCAGCTTAGTTATTTTTTTTAAGATCAATAAAAAATACGCTGTCATTTGAGATAATTGATTCTTTATTTCTTAAGGGTTAGCTGACTTTACTATAATTTATATTTTATCCATTAGTTTACTATTTTAATTCTAAATTGCATAGACACTATCCATTTTAAAGTGATTGTTGGCTTACTTCTTAAACAATACCTTATATTCTTTTTGAAGGAGAAAAGGTGGTAAATTATTAGGAATTAACTTGATTAGAGGAAGCCTCAGACTTATTTAAGTTTAGCTTTTGTTAATTTTTATTTGTGTTTTTATGGTATTGTTATTCAAAATTTAATCTATTTTAATTTTAATATTTTAAACTTGCTTAATTTTATTATGAAAGTCTGCTTTCAGGCTTAGAAAAACTAAAAAGCTATTTAGCTCTATCTTCATTTAATGTAGAAGAGTTAAGAGAATCTTTATCTAAGAGTATATTTTGTTTTGTTTAGTTATCTGTAAAGAGAACCTTTTGGCAATCTTAAAATTATGAATCTCTAACACTTGACTAAGCTTAAGAATAATTTAGGCATTGATTTTCTTTATCTGAGTAATTAAGATAGTTTTTATGTTTGCTTAAAGATTTAATTTATCTATTTGTTTCTTCTATTTGCTCAATTTATTGATCTCTTCCAGGAGATATCACGTCTTTAGTGTATTTCTTTTATTTGTGTAGAGAATTCCCTTTTGAAGCTGTGTTGAAAAACCTTTCTTCTTCATCTATTTTTGAAGGATTTTCATGGTTAAAAAAGATTTCATGTTCTTAATGTTTCTCATAATTTTTAATTCCATATATTTTTAAACGGTTGTTTTTATTGAATTAATTAATAAAATCTGTGACCTAAAATCTACCAGACCTTTGATTACCAGCTAGATTTGTTTCAAACGTTTAACCTAATTCATTTTTTTACAGATTGAGCTAATTTGACTTATTTTTTAAATCAGCGTAAACAATTTATGTGGCAGCATTTTCATTGTTTTGCTATAAGTCATTCATAATGTCAATTTCTTCTTCTAAGTTGTTTAATTTTTGGTTATTAGTTTCTTTAGAATACTGTTTATCGAACAAATTATTATTATTATTGTTTTAATTTTAGAGTTCTTCCTCTTAGATTTAGTTGCTTTCATCCTCAATGCAAAAGTTTTAAGATTCATCTTTTAATTAGCTGAGTAAACTGCTTTTAAGGATAGATTTTTCATCTTGCGACTATTAACTTCTATTCTAATACTTTTTACCTGAGCTATATTTTTAGTAGCTTGCATTTTATTAGTTATTGTAAATTTAATGTTATAAAGGCAATTAATAATGAAGCTATTATCTGGAGTGATTGTAGCTAGCTTAAGTCTAAATATTACTTATTTAATGCTAATCTGATATTAAAGAAAGTTGCTTACTACTAGGTCTCTTCATACCTTAAATTAGCTTTGCTTGATAATCTAAGTTTTAAGAGTCTTGGTGAGTTCGATATTTTTATGAATTTATATTGTTACTGCTATAAGAATTGTTTCTTTAGGAAGAAGATGTAACTGCAGCCAAATAATTAGAGTAGCTTATATTTAATTATTCATTATTATTACCTTTATAGGCAAACAAAAAGTCAGAGTATTTCACCATAGGTGCAGTAGCATTTTAAGTACTAACTTAACTTGCTAAATCTCTTTTAAAGTCATGACTATTACCTGAATAATCACCTACCTAACCGCTCCCTACATATTTTTTTGGGAAAAAATAAGGATTTATAAAAGGAAGATTCTTGCAAGGAGGAGATTTATCAAAGAGCTGGTTAAAACTGTTGTTGTTAGTACTGTGAAATAAACTCAAATTACCTTAATTTTAAGAGTTTAGTAAAATATTTGAAGGCAAATTGCACAATTAACTATTTAAATTAGGGTTTGTGCTACTTGCGTATCCTGAATTAATAGTATTGTACATATTGTTAGAAAAAGTGTGATAATTCTAATCATCTATTCCATTATTTTTTTGTTGAAGGATGCTATTTACTTTATATTTTTTAGCTGAATTATTGTTAGACTTCTTGATGTTACTATAAAATTTGCGAGTATCATCCAGCAAACTTCTGTTTACACTATGATCTTATTCTTCTTCATCATCGTCATGCTGCAATTCAAATACGCATTTAACTTAACTTTATTCTCTTGCCCCGGCTCCAAACCTGAGCTATTGCCTTTAAAAAAAAAATAAAATAGCTTTAAACAAATATTTAACAGAAAATGTAATATAAAATAGTATCTCTTAAAGAGTTTAAAAGATATGAAGTTATTTATTTATAAATAAATAATAATAACTTAAAGTACCTTTCAGAGCTATAAGATTTTTAAGGATTATAATAATTTATAGAAGTATCACCGTCTTCTTAAATATATGTTAAACCATCGTTTTGTAACTATGTTGTATTTAAATCTGAATTTGATTATAAATTTGTTTGAATAGTCGCTGATCCTTTAGTTTAATGAGAAACTTAATTTTTGTTGCTTTGTTAGTTAGAAGAAACTGATTTAACTCTACTGTTAAATTCTTTCAATATATCTTACTCTGAATTTGAGAGCTACATTTTATAATAATATTCTAATCAACTACTATTTTTACACAGACAAGTTTTTATTATATAATTAATTTATTAATATAAATATATCCTACTTATAACAATCTTTTTCATAGAATTTTATTACAAATTCAAAACAAATTATTTAATCAAAATCAAAATCAATTAATTAATTAATGAATTAATTTAACAAATTGATACTTTTTTGAAAAATAGCCGGTAAATTTTAAATTTAATGTAATGATAATAGGTAAATAATCAGTATTTATATAGTATAACTATGATTTAAATTAGATTTATATTCATCTATATATCAATTAATCTATGTAGAGTAATAATTTCTAAAAAGATGAAGATTATAACTATTTTATACAAGAAATGTTAAGTTAAAAATAGTTTTATAAAATTATTTTTAAATTCAAATTTTAAAGCAAAATAATATTTATCAAGTAGGCCTTACGATAAAAGATAATTGATTATCAAGAAAAATAAAGAAATTCTTGAAAACAATTTGCTTAAAGCTACAAATTTAACGTACAAAAATATGAATAAGTAAGTGATTGAATATTATTATTATTTTGGAAAATTAAATTTGATTGATACATTTTTTCAAACTAGTTGCTAATCTAATCCTCTTCTAAGATCATCTAATTAACGTTCGACTTCATTTAGATCTTCTTCATTAACAGTATCCTTTGATATTCTTTAACTGCCTTACTACTTTCTCTTCTTTGACTAAGATCTGGGTTTTGATTATTGTTCAAGTGTTTCACGATAGATTTTCTATTTTAATTTTTATCTCTCAAGTTTTTCTTACTTTAGTTATCTTTAAAGATCTCTTTGTTGGTTTAGTAAAACCTATTCCCTAGATAATTTTTATGGTTTCATAGGAACTAATCCCTTCTCATTCTAAAAATGCTACAATTCTTAAAACTCATTTTACAATTCCTCAATATTTTAGAGAAAATTTTATTTTTATAACTCAGTTTCTTGTTATAATAAATTATATCTTTTAAATATAAAAACATTTAATTAGTATTTTTTTAAGAATGAAATAATTACCTCTCAACTAATTGAGCATGAGTTTATTCTAATTCTCTTGCCTTTTATTGGTACATATTTTATATTTGAGCATATTATTCCTATTAAAATTAAAATTAATTAATATCTATTTTTTAAATCTAAAATAATTTTACCTTCATAACCTCGATTTTCTCTGATTTAAATTTAACTTAATTTTAAAATTTATTTGTATATTCAAGAGCTTTTTTAGTTTCAAGGTCTCTTAGTGCTTCGTTCTCAATTTGTGTTTATTTGCTGATAAATTCTAGCTTATTTTATAACTAGGAATGTCTTTGCTATAAGAAATCTTTTTCATCTTAAAGTTTTCTTATGCTGTCATTGCATCTTCTTCTTGTCTCAAAATAATGCTTATTCAAGTTGTAATGTTTTATTTCAAGATCTTAAACTTTTTTTTCAAGCTGACTTAAATATACTTTGTCGTTTTCTTCTTTTAATCTCAGCTCTTCATCTCTTACTTTTAATTCCTCTTACAAAGATTCAAATTAGGACTAAAATATTTATCTCTCTTACTATTACTGAGATTTCAAACTTTCATTTTCGACTACAATGCAATTTAAATTTTCATTTGGGAAATAAACTGTTGTGATTTAGCTTCTCTGGAAATCATTACCTTAAATAGTTCTTAAGAAAGAAAAGATAAATATTTTTTTGAAAATTCTAATTATAATTAGCAAATACCTTTTTTAATTAGTTTGCTAATAAATGTTAAGATCATTTTCTATATTTCTTCCTCTTTCTCCATCTATTAAATTAAGATTGTAAATTTTTTAATAAGCTAATAATAAATTATCTCTTGATAATTTATTTGGATGCTTAAAATAAAATCACTGAATATTTTTTATATTTGATAATTAAAGTAAAAATCTTTTGATATTGTTATGAATAAATTTGAAATTTAAATAAAGAAATCTATTTATTTAAGAGAATCTAAATTTAAAATTTTTAAAAATGATAAATCTTCATAATTCACTAACAAAATTACTTGGTAGCAAGTTTTTATATACAATTGTTGTATTTTTTTTAGGTTCAGTGAGTGCAATGAGTTCTGCAATTTTTTTTCTATTTTAGACATCTTTGATCTTTAGATCAGCATTCAATCTTGAGAGATTTAGATATGCTATTCTCTCAGAAAAGGTAGACAATTTTTATTCTGTGATGGATTGCTAAATATCTCCAATTGTTTTGACAAGCTATTTCAATTATGTTTCAAGCTAATGCTTATCTTTTAAATTCTCTTTGATTTCTTCAATTTTTTAAAGCCATTCAGATCTCTCATCTTCAAAAACATCAATCCTTTATCTGTAGTAGTACAAATACTTATTAAATGTATTATCTTCACTATCTGCAATCTTATTTTTCAAAATAGTATCCTACTGCTTTAACTCGTTTGTAATGTCTGGAATCTACAATTAGGGAGGTTCAAAATTCTCCTCTCTCTATTAAACTTCTTTTTCTCCAAAATCCATTTTTATTAAATTTTTTGAATATCAAATTGTTAATTTACTTAATAAATATACAAAATCTCTTATTTTTCTTAACAAATTAGATTGCTGTTTTTAATTTATATTACAATCAACATTCTTTTTATTTTCTTAACAAGATTGATTGATTAATTAATTGATTATATATAACTTTATTGGTTTTATTTAACAATCAAGCAAGATATTAGCTTTCTTACTCTTTATCTTTGCTTCAAAATATATTAACAGTACTTAAGTATGTATGTATGGCTGAGCAAAATAAAAAATAACATTTTTTAAGGATAATATCAATATGTAGTTAATTTCATATAGTTTAATTCTAAATTTCAAATTTTTACATTAACATTTATTAGAATTAATTTTTAGTATTTTCTATCAAATTAAAAAAAAATTATATTTTTAAATTATTTAAATTTTTGAATAAATTAATAAAAATAATTTTTCTTTCAAATTTTGTTTAATTCATAAAAATAATTCAAATTTTCCAAAAAAATGAATAAAAATTTCATTTTATTTTAATTCAATTAAATTAAAAATTTTTTACAAATTAAATAAGCAGTTTATTAGTTGTAATAATGTTTTATTTAATTTCTCTGACAAATTTTAGTATACTTATAGAAATAAAAATAATAAAATTAAGAATAATAACTAATATTTAGTAAATGTATAATATAATATATATAATATTCGAATCAAATTAATGTTTCAATCGTAGCCATTTTTTTCTTTTCCTTAAACGAATGTTAATACAGCTTTACTATAAAAGTATGCCCAGTAGATGTGCATAACTGCTAGTACGCCAAGCATCACAAGCATGTAGAGGCAAGGAAGGAAAAATATGTCTCTGGGAAGATTTTCGAAATCAAAGTTTATAAAAAAGTCATAGCAAGACTTAATGACACATTAGGGGAATATAAAGTTTCTGGTATATAACCAAAGAGGATAAGAAATACAAACAAGAACAGCATTGAAAGCCATTACTCTGCATTTAAGATCATTGTAGGCTCTAGCAGCTACAAGGAAGACATCGCAGGGGTCGTGCAAGATTAGGACTATTGTACCTACGATTAAGAAATTCATCATGTAAGAAAACCATATTAAAAACATTGCCAATAAGTGGTGAAGAGAATACTCGTAGAATTTAGGGTCTTTGCGTTTAGCTATAAGCTAGAAGACTAAGGTGTAGAGATGGGTACCAGCTTAAATTAAATAGAAAAGTCTAAGATATGGAATCTAAGGAACTTCAGGGTATTTCATGAAGAGGTTACTGCATTATCCATGCCCTAACATAGTAGGAGGAAGAAAAGCTTAGTTTTTTACAATTAGATAGCCAATAACTGTAGATAAAGTATAATAAATAATGTCAAATGACCATTTGCATAGCTGGTCAGCACGTTTCATCCCTTCTTCATAAGTTTTCTTTCTTCTTTCTCCTAGCAGGTCATAGATTTTTTTCTAAAATACTTTTTTAATAAAGAACCTGATAATGGCAATTGCGCATGCTGTGAGAACAGAAATATAGAAATCATAGATGGATCCTTTAGGTATATGGATAGTGGCAGGATCATTGTGAAAGCGATACACTTTTTCTACCAATACGAGACCTATAAAAAGCATAATTAAGAAAGTTATTCTCCAAACTGCTTCATAAATATGTTGGTTGGGATCTATTTTTTCATCAGACTTTGAGGAGGTACTTTTTTGCTATGAGACTCCTTCATTTTTTTTTGTTAAAGAGTTGCTAGAGTTTTCTGGTGAGTTTCCTTCTCTTTTGACAACTAAAGAGCTCTTTTCAGTAGGCTTAGAGTCTATCTTCATATTTACCTATCAAATTTAATTCTTAATCCCTTTGAATTTTCTTTATTTGGTTTTTACTTTTTTTTTATTTCTTCAATATTAAATTGATATAAAATTAAGACTCTCTTTCTGCTTTTAATAATATTAAATGCCTTAGAATTGAGGTACTCAAATTTATCTATTTGAATTAATAATATTATAAATATTCAATCATTGTAAATTTTCTTTTCAAGACCTCTAAGCAATAAATTTTGAGTATTTTTTTTTTAAATAGGTAACTGACCACTCGTTTTACTGTAAATTCATATTTCATGAGTTTAACTAACTTTTTAACATTTAAATCCACCTTCATAATATTATATTTAATTTTTTTACTAATTTACCCATTCTATCTCAATTCACAATCAAATCTTCAAGGTATATCTGTAATGTCTGCTAGCAACCTCATTAAATCCAATTTTAAATTTTTTTCATTTAAATACTGAATTGAAATTAAAAAAACTCATTTTTAAAGAAATTTTTTTGTTAAATTTAACAATAATTTTAAAAATTAAATCGAGAAGTAGCCATATTTAGCGCTTTCATTTTTATTTTTATCAGTTTTTAAATATTTATAAATAATATTTTTTAAAATTATTAGTGTTTAAAGTAAATTTAAGGTGAGTATTTAAGTAAACATTCGCTATTGCTTTTACATTTTTTTTTAATTGATTTCCCTCTTTTATTCTCATCTATTTTTTCATCTTTTTGTATGCTAATTTAATTTTATACAAACCTTATATTGACAATTTACTCCTTAAAATAGGTCATTATTCAAAAAATTTAATTTGAAAAAATATGGATTATTTTTAATTTTATGAGCTTAAAAAAGCAAATAGTTCAATTAAATATTTTTCAAAAATAAAAACATTTTTAAAATATTTATAAATAAATTTTATTTAAAAAAACACAAGAAACTCTTTTTGGATTTTCAAATCAATAAATAAGAAGTATCACAAAATGAATTTTATTTACCAATTAAACACTCGTCTTAAGATTTAGGTCTAAAACAGAAACTATAAAGTATTTAAATGATTTAAATTATCTTCATATAATAAACAACTATAATATGAATGTATAATAAAGATATAGTCGGTTGAAATTTAGAATAAATTGCTTATGCAGCTTCGTATGAAGAATGAAAACTTTAAAAATATAAATAAAAATATAAACTTTAAATTTTTCTTTGTGTGAATAAAAAGAATAAATGTGAATTAAAATCTAAACAACAATGCATATTTTTAATATATAATATTTGAAGATAGATTAATAAATGAATTAATGTTAACGTTATAGGCTATTTATTGATTATCAAAAACTTTACCAATTATTTTGAAAAATAGTGAAAAATCAAATAATATAAAGTAAGAATTTATATCTAAAAGGGTGTCAGATAAATTGTAAAATAGGTTATTGAGGGAGTATGCTTCTTAATAATAATCAAATAGCAGGTAAGTAGTTGGCGGGCAACAATACCAATTAGAAAGCTCTGTAAAACATAACTAACTCATAGAATTCGTTTTAGTTTACCCACAATTAATTTGGTAATTAAGCGGCTAGTATTAAGCCACCATAGTAAAAGCAGGTTTCATTTGGTGGAGATTAAATTTCAAAAATAAATTCTGAAAAGCCATCTAATGATGTTTCATTTGTTTCAAATAATGCATCTAATAATTAATAAAATGAACCATTTTTTGGAATTTCAAAATAAAACTAACAAAATGCTCAAAATAGTTTGAATATAAAAACTAATTATGATAGCAATAGAAATTAGCAATAAAAAATTCAAACTAACTTTAAGCAAGAGAATGGAGAGACATTAAAAGATTTAGTTCATTAATCTGATCAGACTTTAAAATAGCTAGAAGATTAGTTTAAAAGTTTGAATGTTGGTGGTGCTAATACAAGCTCAAAAATGGTTAACTTCGATTCAAATTTATCTTCAAATAATTACCAAAGAAACTTTCCTACTTAAGGAGAAAGTAATATAAAGTCCCTCATTTCAGACATTGACAAAATCATTTAGTAAGCATAAAATCAAACAAAGCAACTAACTTCTAATGAGGATGGAGGGTTTAAGATTTAAAATCCATATGGCTATAATTCTAATTAATTTGATGAAAGAAGCAGAGCTGATAAAAGGACATCATAGTCTCCATCTAAAAATAAACACCGCAATAAAAAAAAGCATAAATCTAAAAGCCAAAGAAAAAAAAGCAAGAAAAGTAAAAAGAGAGATGAATCATTTTCAGATGACGATACTAGCTCTTATTCAGGAGAATCTGATTCAGTAATCTAAGAATAAAATGAATCTTATTAGGATGAATCATCTTATGAAGAAAATTATGATGATGATTATGATAGCGGAAATTATAATAGTAAAAATAAATACTATAAAAAGAAAAGAAACTAATCAAATTAATATCAAAAGAAAAGACGCTCTAGTGAAAACAGAAATGAAATAAATGATGCTAAAAGTCTTTCAAATTATTCGAGAGCTCGTTCTATCAATTCAAAAACAAATCAAAACCATATCAATTAAGGAGCTAATGGATTATAGAAATCTTAACTAAAAAACCTTCCTAATATGAATGGCGGTATGAGATTTGAACCAAGTGTTTAGAGTAGTGCTTCTAAATAAAAACCATAATCCTAAATTAACTACCAGAGTCAAATAGGAGGTTTTAGGAGATGCCATGACGAAAGTATGGATAATATTAAAAATACAGATGACTCTTTTGATATCAATGATGATTTTAATATAAAAGATAATAACCAAAGCTCTCATAAAAAAAATAAAAATAACAATTATAATAGCAATAATTATAATTTTAAAAAGAAAAAATAAAATAATGATAATCAATACGAAGATTATGAAGAATAAAATAGAAGAAACTATCAAGATTTCTCTCCAAATAATTAAGATGATTAATACCTTATGCAAAAATATTAATCATTCAAAGAATTAAGTGTTTAAAGTAATTTGTAAAGTAGGATATAAAACCAAAAGTAGTAACTTTAATAGATGCAGGTCGCTGCTGATGAAGACTTAGTATTTTGCATAAACTGTGAGGAGTATATTAAGGCAGATAAAGTAGATGAACACTCAAATATTTGTGAAGCATCAAAAAATGATTACAGGAATTTAAGTAAAAATTAAATTTTACAAAAAATAAATGAAAAATTAATAAAAATCCGTTATCTGGTGAAAAATAAGAGTTCTCACATAGTAAACATGCCATCTTTAAACATATAACAGTAAGGATTGATTTAATTGTATGATTAAATCTTAGATATTCTAAGTATATGCATTGAAAATAACTAAGAAAAGTAGACCTTATAAGAGGCAGAATTTGATGTAAAAAACATAAATTTACAATTAATGAGAAATACTCATAGTTCTTCTTTATATTTACTTTATCTAACGCAAAAAGTAATTGAATTCGTTTAAAGAAAGTATGAGTTTATTGATAAATACGGAAACTATAATGAATTCAATGAAAATTATTAACAATAATACCAAATGAATAACAATTAATTATAATAGTAAAGAGATTTAAACAACTTCTCAAATAACATAGACGCAATTTCAATAGCATCTTCTAATTTTAATAACCGACAAAATATAAATCAAAATAATAATCCTTAATTCTAAACAAATCAAAGGGCTATAGCTTTTAACACAAAAGCAAGAGACCCTATAAAAATTTTTAACAAAATTGAAGAAGATTTATAAGTTTTAAATCAAAATCATAATATTCAATAACAGTAAAGCTAGTTAAAATCTAATAACGGACTTCCTCCAAGGTAGCCAAACTCTTAAAACCAAGCCACAAACCTAAGAAATAATATATTTACTTAAGCTTAATCCCCTAATAAGCAAGCCTTTTAAAGCAATGCTAGAGATATTTATTAATCTCCGTAAACAAGGTACTAACAAAACTCTAATTTAAATTAGATTTCTCCAGTATAATCAGGCTAATAATAATCATTCTAATAATAATAATAATAATAAAATAGCTTAAATTAAATAAGAAATTCTAATTTTAGTCTAAAGCAGCTAGACTCTTAATAAACTTAAAGAATTCAAAATATTTAGAATTAAGTACAACCCTTTTAATTTACATCATAAAATTAAGATTAACAAGTTTTGTCTTAATTAAATCATGTAAAAAAATTAAATACTGGTAATTCATTGACTAACCTACATGAAGATGCTTAAAGCCTGAACTAGCAACAAAAGTAGAAAAAGAAAATATTCTCTGATGTACAGTAATAATAAGCACCCATCCCTATAATGCATGGCAGGTAGTTCACAAGTTAAAGTGAAAAATCCTAAGATAATTTTGAGTATTCCTACAAAAATTAAACAGCAAGATGGTAACACCCCTAACAATAGTAATAACAGTAATTGGTACAGCATCATCAAATTCAATAGCATAATTAAATACAACCATAGCATCATCAATAGTAGTAATAATAATAATAATAGCAATAAATATAAATTTAGTAATAGAATTAGATTTAACATTAACCAAATTAAATTTTTAGCAGTAATTTAAATAATTCTAATTTTGGAGTTTATTAATCTTAACCTGTTTTAAATACAAAAGAACCTTACTCAGGAAATTTGTAAAGCAACATGATTTAAAATAGTAATTAAAATTTGAATAGTAACGTAAATATATAGGCGCAATAAGACAAAGGCTCACCTTACAAAGTATAGTCTCCATATAAAGTACAATCAAATTATGAAGACAAAAACTATACAGTTGCATAAAAATAAAAATTCTTTGTATTGGCTATTTAACTTAAAAAAAGTTATCCTTAATCATAAATATTTTTGATTGCTGATTTATGGCAAGAAGCTATGCAATTAAAACTACAAGAAATTGATTGGGAAAAATTTATTATCCAAAAGTTTTAATAGTGACAAAAATTTTTAATTGAATCGTGTAAGCCTCAAAAGAAGGATGGATGTAGATATTTTGTTTCTTCAATTTGTAACAATTTTATAATAAACTCTAATTTATATTCCCACTATTATTAAAAATTTAATTAATCATTATTTATAATTTGATTTATTTGTTAATTAATTAACTAATCTTCTGACATTTCAAGAAATTTGAAGTTTATTTTTCTATACTTTCAAAATTAGTCGATAATATTTTTTTTTGATTCATTGGTTGATTTATTTTTGGTCTTTTTTGAATTAAATAGAGCAATAAAAATAGTTACTGAATATAAATTTTAGTATTTTATTTTACCTTAAGTAATTAGTAACACAAGACAACATTGTTTTAAAAGATTTAAATCATCTTTTTTTTTAAGTAAATAAGTATTTAGGTCTACAAGTGAATTTTTTTAAGAAAAATAGAAATAAAAGTGTAAAATTAAATTTGGACTTTATTTAAATTCTAATATTGCAAAATAAATGCTTAATAAAGAGTAATTTATTGCTTTTTAAGATTAGTTACACTTGAAAAATATGCCATTTTAATAGATTTTAAGAAATGCAAAAATTTTGATCAGTATGATGCTTAACTATATATAGAAGAAAAAAAATATATATTTAATAAAGTTTACTTTTCTTGAAATATCTAAATAAAATTTAAATATAAAAATTGTCATTGACATAATTTTCTGCATATTTTAATTTTATTTAATTGCTTTATTACTTAGTAATCATATGCTATGTTTATTTTTAATAGAAACATTAAGGTACAATTGCAAATTATTTATAAACAAAAATTTAATAGTATATAAGATATAGATTACTTTCTAAATATCAGCCAAGATAATTAAAACCAAAGTTTTCGTTTGATTAAAAAAGCTATTAGTTTGCAGTAAATTTTAGAATTAATAAAATTTAGAAAGAGGAAGATAACTAAAAGATTTCATTTGTTTAAAACTTGTCTCCTCATTTTTCAATTTAGAGAATAAAACACAATAGAACAAATATGAATGGAGAAAATTCTTCTAATAGTATTAAGTAATCTTAAATAGAGGAAGTTAAATAAAGTTTGAACAGGATAACATTGAATTTTAGGAGTAAAGAACTATAGTAGCAGTATGAATTAGGAGTGTATAAATCAAAAGCGAATTAACTCATCAAAATTTATCTTCTTCTCACTCTAGTCACTGCAGCAGGCATTATTCAATATTCAATAAAAGCTTAAAGTTAAAATAATACAATTTTTTTAATCGATTTAGTAAGCCTGACCTTTATTTTTGCTTTAATTACTTGTTTGCTTAAATACTTACCAAAATTTATATGTCTATGGAATTTGATTGCTATTCTCTGCTACAACACTCACGTGATTGTCTTATATTTTTTAAGTACTAATATATAAACTTAGCATGATTTTTTAGGATTTGCCTTAATCAGCACAGTAGCTTGTTTTATAGTATAGCGCTACAATCATAATTTTTTATTAATCCTTTTGAGCCTTCTCACTACATTTGCTTCATTTAGTTTGTATTTAGAATACTCATTATACGGTTTTTTATCTATTGCACTAATTATATCTCTGTATAGTCTATACCAAACAGAATACCTCTAACGACAGGCTTTTTGGTTTGAGAGGTTCAATTGCTAATAAAATCATATTATTGAGAATGTTGTCACATCTTCACTGTTCTACATAAGGTATTTAATTTATTTAAACACTTAACAAGCTAATTGATTTCTTTTTAAAATATTACACTTTTAATAATATATTTTCGATCTTTAATTTACAAATATTGCAAAATAAGCAATTGAATCAATGAATGTTCCTAATTAATTATAATTCTAAGATGTATTTTTGAAGTAGAATTTTAGATAAAATAAACTAAAGAGACTATTTTTGTTCTTAATAAATAAATTTTTCATTTCAAATTTAAAGGCAAAAAAGAATGCCTTTTTGCAAATTAGGTTATCTCTAATTTATTAGGCCAGTAATTAAAAATTAATTAATCATTTATGTTATCTCTCATTGTTTTAATATAATTAAAAAAAATATCCTTCCAAAAAAAAGCTAGTGAATATTATTTATTTCTTTTTTTGTTAATTCAAATGTAAGTTACTCCAATATTTTTAATTCAGTTTGGCATCAAAAATTACAAATTACATTATAAATAAATGTCTTGCTTTCTTTTCCTATTGTTTGAGCTTACCATATTTATACTCACAATTAATATTAAAGGTATAATTAAAAAGAAGAGAGACTTGAATTTTAGAGAGGAAACAAAAGATTTTGTGATAAATTTGAAGTTAAGGACGATGACTCAATGAGATATTTTTTAAAAAATACAAAAATTTCTCATAAATCTGAAGAACAATAGACTATTAATTCAATGTGGAATAGCGTAAATAATAACTGGAAAAGTAGTCTTGATGGACTAATACATATTAAAATAAAAGAATAAGAGACCAAGATATAAACATAACTTAACCTTAATGTAATAAACAAATAAATAAAAGACCTTGAAAATGAAATTGATAAAGAAAAAAATTAGGTAAGCAACAATCAGTAATTAATACAATAGCAGCTATCAAACAATTAGACAAATCCCTAGCCCCTAAGCATCATAGAAAGTAATGGATAATCAGGCTACCTTTCTCATAAATCATCTCCAGTTCAAAAGAAAAATTCTCCAAAGGCAATTAGTAAAATGGCTGCTGCATAAGCTACTTTACTATAAAATGATATAAATTTAAACGAAATAGATAAAGAAAAATAGATTCTTTCAAGAGACGAGTTAGATAATAATTTAATTCCATCTTCTTCTTATATGAGTAGATAAAATATAAATATTTTCTCTCCACCTAATTAGAACAGGAAAAACTACCTCCTCACTGACGAATAAGCTTCAGCTTCAAAAAAAGCATATGGAGAAGACGAATAGGAAAAAGAAAGAGATGATTCAAAAGATCAAAGCAAGTAAATGATTCATAAAAACAAAAAATTGAAAAGAATTAATTCTGGACTTCAAAATATTAACCAGCCTTCTCCTTAAATGAATTTACAGAGGACTTTTACATGGAGAAATAATAGTTCCGATACTTAAGTATATAAGGCAAAATACACAAATTAGGCTGGCGAAAAAATAAAATTTTTAGTAAGTTATTAAATTTTAATTTTAATTAAGAAAATATTAAAAAATATACACAGAAAACTATAATTTGATTGATTAAGAACTTTTTTTTTTAAGTAGCATAACTGAAAAAACTATTGTTTATTAATTAATTAATTTATTTATAAAAAAGATAAGGATATTAATATTTAAAATGAATGACACTTACATTGCAGTAAGCATTGAAAAAGAAGAAAAAAGTAAAAAATATAAATAGCTTAAAAATAAAATTTAGTTTTTTGAATAAGTATTTAACCAAATGATTAAAGATTGCGACAAAGTATCTTAATAAGAAGTAAGTGTTCTAAGAAAATTAATTTAACTTTCTAGTTTATAGCAGCAGTAAATATAGTAATTAAACTAAACAAATTAAAATAATACAAACTAACTTTCTTCTTAGCTATTATCTCTTAATATTGAATGTCCAAGAAGATAATCTATTGAGAAAAACCTATTAAAATAAAATACAAGAGAATCATCTTTTTCAATCTCTAACCAAGAAAAAAAAGAATTTGGAAGTCTAAGATAAATAAAATAAAAAGAGCAATCTCAAATAACAAATTTAAACACAGCAGCAACTAGCAGTCATTAGTAAGATGTTAATGCTACTTTAAATTAAGATAACAACAATGTTTTAGGGTCCGTATAAGCATTTGTTAATACTTATTAAAACAATTCTTTGTTTTAGATAAACTAACAGACAGGGATACTTAAAAAACCCTCATTGTAATGTTCACCTGTAAATTAATAGATTGCTTATAAGAGCTCAAAGTACATAACAAATATTCAGGATATTCCTTAAAGAATATCATTTTAGGTTTAGAATAATACTACAAATGTAGGAAATAATGCAGCCTCCACTATATTAAAATCAGATTTAAATGAAATTTCAAAAGTGATCTCACCATCTGAAAAATAAGTATAAATTGAATATCAATCAGTGCTTCCAAACTAATCGTTATTTTATTAACTTAATCAAAGCCTTTTTAAACCTGCTTAACAAAATACATAATCACTATATTAATTTAGCACTTTTAATAATATTTTAAAAAATGGTATTCCACCTCCTAACAATGGCACCAATAATTTACAACAAAGCCACTCATAAATTTAACAAAATATATATAAATTGCTGTCTTTAGTTTATAATAACAAATACCATATTACGAATTATAATTATTTTTTTTAATTCTTTAAAAAACGCACTCATCTAGAAACATTTACAAATATTAATCTGTCATTTATTATAGAAAATGTCGTTTAAATGCTTAAACAAGAGGCTAAACTATAAAAAATATAAATCTATACTGACTATTTTGACAATGATGTAAAAGTAAACACAGATCAAAATGCTCTCCGCCAAATTATATATAATCTATTATACAATGCTATTTAAAATACTCCTAAAAATGGATTCATCGCTCTAAGAGTTTAAGTCGATAGTAAATATAATGACTGCATAAAAATTAAAATAAGAAATTCCCTCAAATAGAATTCACCTGATAAATCTATGTTATCAACTCCATATTAAGAAGATTGTAAATTTAAGTTAGAAGAAATGATTAGCTATCTTAAAAGAAAGGGTAGGGTAAACCTTGGATTGAGAATTTCATAAAGGTTAATTAAAATTCTTGGCCCTACAGATAAAATTATTTTAAAAGGAGAGAAAATAGACTGTTTTTAAGTAGAATTTTCTTTTTATGCGAACTTAAATGTTGTTTAAAAAGGAAGTCTTACATAATTTCCTTCATAGAAAGCCCTTCACTCAAGTCATGCAAACTCTTATGATAAAAATAATAATCTAAGTGAAAAAGGTCTAAATGCCTCTAACTTTTAGAATATTGCTGCTAATTCTGACGGATAAGTTTCAGAATAACCCAAAAAAAATTTGCTAGGATTATATTAAACAATTTTTAAAGCCCAAAACCCATTCTAAAGTTAATAGCAAGATAGAATAATAAATTCCGATTAGTCTTTTGATAGTTTTGTAGAATAATTATAAAACTAAGAGTAAGCTATCGAATAAGATTTTGAAAGAAAAGTGTTCTCTGCTGATAGATTTAAGCATCTTAAGTGATAAATATTAATCTTAACAACTTATTGAAATTATTTATATCTAATTTTTTTTGTATATACTTAATCATAATAAAATTAAAAAAATATATTTTATCTTAAATTAAATATTTTCCTATTCTTAATTGAATTATTATATAATAGTATAATAATAATACATAAATAAAATATTATCGAAAATCATATGTAAATTTCTTATTCTGGTAATAAATTGGTTAAAAAGCATAAATATACTTTTATTAATTAAATATTTATCTGTTAAATTGTGATATATATTAAACTACCTAATATTCATTTACAAACATAAACTTATTGAAATTATGCTGACTGGATACATCAAATTAGCAGAGTTTCAAAATCTGGATTAGATGTATGTAATTCTTAAATACACAATACAATTTTTAACAAACTTAATATTTGTTTGAATAATATTTAAATTAGAAATTGATGAAATTTTTTTTTCATAAAAAACTATTAGTGTAATAGTTCTTTATATGTAAGCTAATTTTTTTTATTTTAAAACAAGCAAACAAATAATTATCTCAGATAAATTATAAATATATTTTTATATAAATTTTGAAAGTAGTATTTTAATATAATTATTTTTTTTGTTTACAATCAGCTATATTGAGATTGAATATCAATGATAGTAGATACTAAACCAGAAACACCACCTGTAACACCAAAAATCATTACCAAATAGTTTATTGAGGTGATAAAGTAGAATTTCTATTTGCTCATATTTTCTGATAGAGAAAAATGATTCTCTGTAATAGTTGGAGCTTCTGGGGTTTTTTCTTACTTTTCTTCTTTGATTTCTGGAGTAATGTTAATTTAAACAGCGTTTGATAATTAATTAACGTATCTTTCTTTAAGTCTTCTTTATTTTTCAAACATAAGCATAGGAACTATAAAAATCAAAACTACTGAGAACACACAACCAAGAATGTTAAAAACGTTTGTGATTTACTAAATATAGATTCCAAAAAATGAAATAGAGAGGAAGAAGAGGCATCTAGTGAAAATCATGAATATAATATTGACCTTATCTTCTTTTGACTTTTTCATGATATATTTATTTATAAGCCCATCTAAGCAATTAACTATGGGGAAACCATATAATAGAATACTAGCAACCAATGAGAAGCTGTATAGACAAGAGAGAGCATCTCCAAGACCTTTCATACTTCCAAGACTTTTAAAAATGACAGCATTTGTTTCATTTCCAAAAGCAAAGCATCCTAGCATACCAATTAAAATAGCAAGTGAGCATGAGAAAATTAAATATCTAAATTAGTTTTTAAAAAATATTATGTAAACTTTGTGTTTGATTGAATCTAAAAATTATTTTTATACCTTCTTAATACAATGTCGAATTTGGTTTTGTCTTCCATTGAAGCATGTACTTCTGTGATGACACCATTAATATCATATGCAAAAGCAAAGACACCAAAATATAAAGGAAGAGTTTGAATATCAAAAATTTTAACGACAAAATCTACTGGAGGAGAATTTTAGATTTAATAGCATGATTTAATGATGATAACTGTAATAGTAAATATAAATGATGTCAAAGCTAGATAACTGAATATGCCTAAGTTTTAAATTCTCTTAAAAAGAGAAAGAGGGAAGTAGATCGCAAAAACTATTACTTCTATTTTATTATTAAAAATAAAGTTAAAAAATATTTTGGATAATTTAAACATAAAAATAGATATTAAATTTAATAAATATATTTGCGTGTTTTTCCTTATGCTTTTAATTAAAATGAGTAAATTAAGTGCAGCTTGCGTTAAATTTTTCGTGGCTATCAAATATAAAATTCTAAGTCTAAATTTAATTAATCTTACAAATTATTATTTCGTTTGAGATCAATTCTGAGATAGATTATTGAATGAAGATAGTGTATCCGATACATGTTCCGTAAATGAATATTAAAGTGATAACTTCTAGTAAAACTCTTATTTTATCTCCAAAAATCAAACCTGCAACACGTTCAAGAGTTAAATCTTTGTAAGCTCCTTAGTTTCCTCCTTCAGCTTCTTTTTAACGGATAATTCTACCTAGAATACTCCAGCAGTAGTAGCAAATAATACCAGTAATAATCATGAACAAGGTAGAAAGGACAACACCGCATGTCATAAAACCATATGGCATAAATAAAATACCAGTACCTAAACCACTTTTAACTATATTAGCAGTAGCATTCAAAACAGAAGCACCTTTGCGCTTTTCCTAAGTCATTATATCTTCGACTTTTGTTATGCTCTTAACATCTTCTTTCAAGCATAAATTTTGTGCTTCAGTATTAAGATTCTAAGAGGGAAGTGATTATGGAGGAGAGTTTCTTTCCTTATTTTCAGGTTAAATCTCAATCATTTATTTATTAAAATATAAGTATAATTGTTTGAATTTAATAATAATAAAATATTATTTGCAAATATTTATTAATTGGATATTTATAAAATTTTTATTTATTATAACAATAAATTAAAGTATTCGCACATAAATGCACATAATATCTTTCTGTAATAGCTGAATAATTCATGAAAGATAAACTTTAATTAGTGCTTGTGAGATTAAAGCACTACAAATATATTAAATTTGAATGATTAAGCGCAGTCTATAATTTCTTAAAATTTTAGTTCTATTTATAAAATTTTTTATTTCTTTACAAACAAAGTTACGCACTTTAATTACGAGTTATAAAATCCATTATTTGCCTAAAAATTTAATTTTGCTTAATAATGATTGCTTATGATTTATAATTATACAACATATTCCTTAACTTTTTAATAGAATCAAAATATTGTGCAATAACTTAAATCTTTTGAGTAATTCAAAAATATAAATTTTAATCTACTAACAAATTTAATTTTACATTTATAAAAATCAAAATAAATTAATACTAAAAAAAGAATCAAATTTTATGGATTTAAAATTATGATTAAGTATATATTTACTAGTTTTTATTCAAGCTGAAATAATGCGTATCCAAATATACTGAAATATAAATCTAAATATCATTTAAATTTTTTATTCTTTTATTATGCTTATGATAGAATCTGTCAAATTGTTAAATTTCTTCTAATTATCAAAAACAGATAGAACAAATTTTTAAAAGTTAATCCAAAATGAAAAGACTATTACATGCATCAATTAAAATTAAAGTTCCTATGTTTCACATAAACTGCAAAAATCTAAGAGACAAATACATAATTCCTAATAAATTATTAATAAAATAGATGGAGTTTTAAATTTTAAAATATTTTTTGAATTCAAATACATACTAACATAGATTTTGTACAAATTCTATGGTTATTATTGTTAAAAGCAACTATCTATATAAATACTAGAAGAATGATTCAAAAGATTTGAAAAATATTTACTCTGTCATATACACTTTTATCAAAATTGTCAAAATGGATCATTTATAAAAGAAATAATTGTTAAAAACGTAATATTAATTCTAAAATCGTTCATAAATATTACTTCTTCTATCTTAATTTTCATCAATCTCCTATTTGTCATTCTTTAAACAAATTACGCATTTCAATAAATGACTCAATTTTCGTAAATCTGTGAATTTGTTGTATTTATTTCAAGTCTACGATTAAGTTTAATAAAACTCCAGCTTTTTCAAAAAAGAGAGCGAATATCAATATTTTTAAAAATATCAAAGTTTTTAATTATAAAAAGTAATTAATTTGCTTATTATTAAATCTAGAAGTAAATTTTTTAATTCTATTACACTTTTTAGTTGAAATTTGCAATAGCTAACAAAAAAATTATAACATACTTTCCTATATTTATCTTTTGACTAAAAAAAATTATATGCCGATATTTGTATTTTAAACTATTTGAAAATATAATCTTATTTAATTCTTCATGATTAATTGTTTTATATAACTCCAATTTTAAAAACTGTAAAGTGAAATTCAGTTACATTAGTTTTTGTAATTAAATATACAACACTATTTTATATTTTAAGAGTTTGCAAATTAATAATTTTTTAAAAAAAACAAATAAGTTTAAAATAAGATATTTAAACTAGTTTTTTTTATTACAAAAGACTTTATTTTTATAAATAATCATCCAATTAAAAATATTAATCAATTATTATTGTGTTTATGTATGATTTTATCAACTTCAAAAATAATTTTTATTTATGAATTTATTTTCAAACCGAATTAATTATGAAAACTTTTTTTTTGCTTATTCCAAAATTGGAAAAAGAAAAAATTAGCAATTTTTAAATGAATTAAATAGTAAATAAATAATAAAGTAAGTAATTAAAATTTTATTTACTATTACATAAATATTTAATTATACAAAATAAAAAGATGATAGATAGTAAGTAATTTATAAAGTATTTTTATGCTATAATTAAAAATTTTTTTTGGTTATCATTCTAATTTGTGATAGTGATATTTTTATACGTTTCAGAATTTTTCAAGTTAATCTATTTAATATTTTTTATTATTAAATTATTATTTTAAATTTTCATTAATATGAATTGATTAAATCTTTTAGTGAGTAGACAAATCCTGCTATTCCTCCAGCAGCACCTATTGCCATAACTATGTAGTTACAAACTCTGATTTTGCTCATTTTAGTACCGAAGAATATTTTTTCGTATAAAATACAAGGAAGAATATAGGTTAGAATTACACCGAATATGCAACCAAGTAAGCTGAATAAGTTAGAAGCACTTGGGTATACATATGCAAGAAGTGCGAGTGAACCAATAAATGCAATTCTAATAGGGAATCTGTAAAAAATGGATACTGTTTATCTAATAGTGTTTTCATCTTTTTTCCATATAGCAGTGTCAATCATTCTAGTTAATACAAAACCATACAAACAGATACTCATAATTAAAGTAAAGCAATAGAAGAACAATAAAGCGTCTCCACCACCATTTAAACTTCCAATATTCTTAAAGATAATATCTCCTATTTGATCTCTGTATGCAAAGTATCCGCAAAGACCAAGGATTGTACCAACGCAACAAGCAAAGATTATATATCTAAATAATAAATAAAAATATTTTTAGAATTATTTATTTGAAAAATATTAATTTTAAATTTTTTAGTTAAATTATTACATTGAAAGAGGAATAAAGAATCTCTTTTTTTCTCTCATAGAAGCATGGACTAAACCGACAGTACCATTAACATCATAGGCAAGAATAAAGATACCAATGTACTCAAGAATTGTATTCCATCCATTCAATATGATAGGCTCATCTGGATATTCATCCTTACGAATGACATCAAGACTTTTTCCAATTATTGTGAGTACAACAATAGTATATATGGTTAAAGCAATTGAACTGAATTTGCCATATGCTTTGATATCTTTCAAAAAGCATAGGGGTAAGTAAATTGCGACAATAATACAAACTATAAATTTAAAATTAATTAAGATTATTTTATAATTTTGGAAGTCGAAATTAAATTTTTAAATAATTTTGTAAAAATATAAAATTAAAATTTTTGAATTGAAATTAATTTTAAATTAGAAATCAAAAGCATTTTATTTCAATTTTAATAAATAAAAAAATTACTTCTGAGAATATAATTGGAAATGTAAGGTTCGAAAGATTAAGTAATGAATATCACATAGCCAAGACATCCACCGTACATGTTTAAACCATTAATTATTTAACAAAATATTTTCCATCCAGGACTGAAAACTATAGCTAGAGTATTTTCTAATATTAGAATATCTTTATATTCTTAATAGAGTTATGTTTTATTATATTTTTCAGATTGTGATACATGTCTCAGTACTATGCCCAATAAATTCCAGCAGTAGAAGCATAAAATACCAAAAAACACAAGACATAAAATTGGAATGTACACACCAGTTTTACTGAAAATAAGTGGCATAAATAGCATACCAAGACCGAGACCAGTCTTACAAATGTTAGCTGTAGCATTAAGGATAGATGCTCCTTCTTCTTTAACGACGACATCACTTGAAGGAGTTACGTATTCTTATTTCTAATTAATCAAAGTTAAAATTAAAAAAACATTCCTCGTTTATTAAATAAATTAGAAATTACATTATCAGAAAGGGCTTAGTTCTGAGAGTTAGTGTCTTAAGACAATTAAGTAGGCTTTTGCATTTCAGTCATTTTAGAAGGAAGGATGTATTTTGAGAGTTAAGTAAATGAGGTTTTCTAACAGAATTTAACTCAATTATTTGACAAAAATATAATCTTGTTGATGTTTGCTTAAGTTTTTATTTATTTTAATTACTCTTTTTTTATAAAATTAATTAAAAAATTAATCCCTAACCTAATAAAATTTATAAATTATAAAGGATATTGCATGCTATTTGCTGAGTAGTACGATATAGGAGGATTTGTGTGATGCGATTAAATTAACTAGAAGAAATAGACATTTATATTTTACTACTACTTTACTAGTAATTTTAGATCTAATTTGACAATTAGCGAATGGGATTCCATGTTTACGAATTATAGTACAAAAATACTGTTAAATTTTAATTTGATTATAATAACATCAAAACAATTGGATTTTTGAGCCAAAAACTCTTCCTTAAAAAATTTCCTCAAATGGTTTTCAAAAAAATAGAAAGATGTAAAAATGTAAGTCTGTAACATAAAACTAGCAGAACATGCAAGGATGCTATGATGAAGTTTAATGAAATACAAAATGAGTAATATTTTTTCAAAAAATTCTTTATAATTTCTAATATTACGATTTTTCTTAGCCTAACCAAAACTAGTACAATCAATGTAATATTACTTATTTATTAGTACAATTAAATGCCATAAACGCAAATTTATTATTTTACACAAATACAGCTTGAACAATTTCGATGATGATCTTAGATTTCTAAAAAATTAGAATTTATGAACAAATGTTGTTTTGATAACAATTCTTCATTAAGATTACTCTTCAAGCTAATCAAATTCTTTTAATATATAATTTTTTAGAAATATTAAAGGGTGTTTTCTTGCTATATAAAGAATAAATTTGTAAGTAACCTTTTATAAAAACTAAATAAATATGCTAAAATTAATCAATATTATTTATGTTCTATATATTTTTAAATCATAGATTTGTCAGGAAAATTTAAAAAGTAAAAGAAAATAGCCTCATGCATTCATTTCCATTATATTTTTTAATAAAAATTTTTTTAAATAAAATAAAAGAAAATTTTAATTTACTTTTTCGAGTATGTCACGATGAAAGGGAAAAAATTCTTATCAATTTAAAAACAAATTTATATATAACCACTAACATTTACAATCCAAATCTAATTTTAGAAATTTTTTTTAGAATTTAACACAAAGACAGAAAAGTTATAGGTATTTTAAGTATCCTTTTCATAAAAAATTCATTCATTTTTACATACTTAGTCCTATTTACAATATAAAAGAATTAAATTATAAATAATTATTTATCATCATTTGCAATTACTCACAAAATTATTCTTTTATCTTATTCTTTGAACCTCAACTATCCAACTGAAACCCAAAAAATGATGGTGTGATTTTTTGTAAAGATATAAACAAAAATTTATTAGAAAAAAGTAAATGAAATTTACTGTTGCTATGCTAATCTTAGGATTTATTAAATAAGTATTCCAATAAAAATAAAAAGATTAAGAATAGAAAAAGTATAGTGATTTTATTAATAGCTAACTATTTTTGAAATAAATAAAGATTAAAAGGTATTCTGGTAAAATTGATTTGAAAAAATCATATTAAAAGTAAACAAAACAAGAAAATAACTAATTTTTGCATTACTTTATATTAAAATAGTCTTATTACTATTATTTGTCTTATAGAATATCTAGTAAATTGTTAATTATTTAGTTCTAATTATATTACTCCGTTAAGGTATTATCTCATTCATTTTTACCAAAAATTAATTTAAGGTTGGTTTTATTTTAAAACTAAAAATCCGCATATATGATTACTAGAAAAAAGTTAATTAAGATTTAAAAATTAAAAATAAATGACCAGTTATTTAATTATTTAATTAATTTGAAGTTAACATCATTCTTTTTTACGTATACACATTCTATTAAGTATTAAAAATACATTTACATACTAATCAAACATATTATTTAATTTATGAGCATTTAGTTGAGGAAATAACTACATAGTCCTTAGACTTGAGCAAACATTTTATTCAAAAACGCTAATATATTATTCTATTAATTTTCTTATTTCAAAAAATTGTTTAAAAAGTATTCAACCAAATTATTTCATACATAAAAATAAATTTTAAAATAAATTACTTTTTATTAGTTTTTTATGTATAAAAAGATACATCTAATTTATTTTAAAATTTTATTGTTAAAAGTAGCTTTTAATTTTATGATTAATTTTTTGACTTTTAATATGCTTATCATTTTTAAAATTATTGGTTAAGATGACTATATATCCTTTTATTTGGATAAAGGTAGTTAATTGGAAAATTTTTGCAAAAAAAGCTAAACAGAAAAATATTTATCATAAAATTCAAATAAATATTAACTGATAGAAAAAATAAAAATATGAATTAATGAATTGTTTTTTAAAAAATCCTTTTAAAACTCAAATCTTAATTTAAAAATTTTATTTAGAATGATTCTTTTAATTTCTAATTTTATAAAGTTAATAAGGAAATTAGAAAGTGTTTAAATTTTATTTTACTTAAAAATAGTATCGAAATTTTATAAATAATGATAAAACCTATCTATTAGTAAAAATAAATATCAATTATTAAATAAGCAAATTATAGCAATCGATAATTATAAAGATTTTATAGGTAAAAATATATTTATTATTTATAGTTTTTAAGGCATTGAAAAAGTAGCTAAAAGTATTTATATTTAACTTTTATTCAATAAAATTTTTGATCCTTTTTCTTTTGTTTATTAGAAAAGACTCTAATTTTATTTCTTATCTATTTTATGAACTAGTAATTTATGTTTTAGCTTACTTCATTCAATATTGAAGATACTTTAAAACTAATTAATTAATTGACTTTATAGCTGTAAACTTGAAGCGATATAATTTTTTGTCTATCTAATTTTATTTAAATACCTTATTTCACAAGATGTTCATAAGATATAATTTATTTTTTATATTTAAATTTTTTTAGTTTAATTTAATTTTTATGATTAACATATTTTAAATATTTATTTAATAAAGGCAAAGTTATCATAAATATTTTAATTATTAAAAAACTTTAAACTAATATTTATACATACTAAAAATAATATTTTTTCTATTTCTACTTAGTTACTATAAAAGTCTAACAAATTTTTATTATAATTTAATTTATAAATAAATAAGATTATAAATTAGCAATAATTCAATGTAGTAGTGGTCTTAAATATATTGACGTAAAATTTGTATGGTTTTAATTAAAACAATTATCAATTGATATTAGCTTTTTTTTTTATCTATCTATTAAAAAATAAATATATTTGCAAATATAATAACTTTTGGCTTTTTTATGTCTGAGTAATAGCTGCCAGGTGAGAATAATTCTAAAATTGCTTAGCTATCTATTTCGGAAATTTAAGAATAATTTAATCATAATGATAAAGGTAATAATAATTTTGCCTTGACCTAAAGCATATTTAGGGATTTGTTTAGTCTAAAACCTGGAAAGCAGCATAAAAAAATGGACTAAAATCAATAGCTGTAACAAAATGGAGATTTTACTTAATAAAAACATATGCAAAAAGAAGTCTTATTTAAGTAAAGTAAGCAGAGTAAAGATCTTAAAGAATAATAATAAAATGAGTAAATAAATTAAGAGGATTTAGAATAAAAAAAAGAAATGTAGGATTAAAACACATATTATAATTTGAAGATCGATAGTTTTAAATTAATTTCATTAGAATTTGCTTAAATAATTAGCGATTTTGCTCAATTTGTAGAATTAAAAACAACAAATAGTTTTAAAAATAGTTCAGAAATTTATATTCTTGGATTTCAGATCGTATATGCCTTATTATTTTAGATTAGTATACTTATATGGCTTAGATACATTAAAAATAAAAAATATAGTGAGTAAAAAATTATAAGTTTTTACAACTAGCACTTTTTAAAAAGTTTCCTAAATAAATACAATATGTTAGTATTATCGTTTATCATAATTTTGAATATAGTAAGATTAGAAACATTTTTGATGAGATTAGATGAAAGATTACCTATGTTTGTCATTACTTTTTTAGTTAATTAACTAGTCCTTTTGCAATTAAATAGAGTAATATCTAAAATTTTTACAGCTTGCTTTAATACATATTTTTTTATTCGATATATGATAGACTATCACAATTTTATTTTCATATATATTAACTCTATTTTAGCTATTTTTGCAATTAGTTGTGTGTTTTTCAATTAAATCAAATATTAAGCAAGTATAAAGCAATTAAAAGTTAAAAAATAGGTTGTTAGTGAATACTTTAAATAATTTTACCATAACATAGTTTCTATGATGCCTTAAGGAATACTAATTATTGATGAATAGGAATAACTAGTTTATGCAAATAAAACAACTAAAAAAATATTATCATGTAAAAATAAAAACTAAATTATTGATTCACTAAAGAATTTGATCATTTAAGATCCCTCTAAACTATAAGCAGATACTACCTAGCATGATGACTAAAGGACTTTAAAAGATTTCAAAACTTTTAAGTCGTTTAAATCACTCAAGTCTAGAAAACCACTAAATATATAATATAGTATGAAATAAGATTCCAATAGCTACAATTAAGGACCTGCTTCAGAGTCCGAATCTTTTGTAAGTCAATACTTTATAGATGGATTTTATCCTTCACCAGTTAATGTAAATCACTTAAAATAAATTATTTAGCCAGTAAAAGAAAAATAAAATTAGTTTAACATACTAAATATGTATTGTAACAATGCTCAATAGCAATAAAATTCAGGTAGTAGCAAAAATTAAAATAGAAATTCATTAAGCTCTTAGTAAAAGTAGTAATTATAATAGTAATAGTATTCCTTTACACCAGCTACATTTGCTTAAACAGCTTAAACAGAAAAGCAAACACCTTCTACTTAATTCTAATTACTTTAGAGTATTTAGAAAGGAAGCAATCAAAGTATTTTTAATGATTAAAATCTTGTTAGCGGTGGTCTTATATCTAAAATAACAACATCTGTTGAAGGTCCTTCTAGCTAATTTATCTAAAACCAAAGGTAAACTTTTCAGAACAACTAAGTTACAAATAAACACTTTTAGGGTCAAGATTATAAAAATTAAAATAGCAATAATGAGTTTAACTAAATTTCAGATAAGGATAATCAAATCAAATCAAATAAAGAAAACGATCCTAAAGAAACAACTACTTAAAAACCTTAAAAAGATCATCCTTTTAGATATATACAATAAAGTATTTAGCAAAACTAAAAAAAATTTGAAAATTTATCTGTAATGGAAGTAATTTCAGTCCTGCTAAAAGATTGTGTGATGAAATTAAAAATGCAAGATTTTTCAGATATGTAATAAAGTTTTTAGCAAAATTAGCAGGCTTAAAACTAAATTAACTAAAATTTTAAAGAACATAAGCATGAAGAATTACCAAACTAGGATATTCCACAAAATATAATAAATAATAATCTGTAATAGTCTTAGAAATCTTCTGCTCAGAGAAACTAGAAAGAATAGATCAATAATATTTTTAGCTTATAAAGCAGTTAAAAAAATCAAGATAGTGGCGGCACAATTCCAAAACTGCACAAATAAAGCATAGATTTATTTTAAAATAGCTTATATAACAACCCAAGTACTTTTCGCTAAAATATATCAAGTCAGTACAATACATCTCTAAAAAATAATACTGAAATAGCATAAAATTCTCTAAGTGTTAGAGTTCAAGTGAAAGAAAGATTGATCGAAATAACTTTTATCCAATGTGAGGCAAAACTATTCCAAATTTAAAAGGCCAGTCAACAAAATAACCAAAATATGAATCAATCTGTATAAAAATCTGTCTAAAGTGAAAAAGAAACAAGCCACTAGCTAAATACTAATTACCCAAATTCGACAGCTATTATACTTGTATTTCTAGAAGATATTACATAAGAAGTGTATATTAAACGTCTGGAAGAATTAAATAACTATAAAATTAAAATGCTAAGCTCTATTTCTCATGAGTTAAAAACTCCGCTCAACTGCTGTATGGGAATGCTTGATGATGTGCTTAATTTAATCAGTAATGAAAATTTTGGAGATCTTGAAATTTCTTAAAAAATAAGAGAATCCTTAGAACCTGCTTAACAGAGCAACTAGTTACTATTATATATGATTAGAGATTTGATTGATTTAGGAACTTTTGAGTTAGTAGATAATTTTAAATTTGAATTTTCGAAATTTAATTTAAAAATGGTTCTTCAAAGCTGTGTAGATATAATCAAATACCAAAGCTAACTTAAATTTATTGAAATTAATTTAATTTATGACTAAAATTTAGATGAAATGATACTTTCTGACGAAAACAGAGTGAGATCAATAGTTGTAAATTTTTTAACTAACTCTTTAAAATTTACTCAAAGAAACGGAAAAATCACAGTGAAAGCAGAATTAACTGGTAACAACAATGCAAAAATTAGTGTCGAAGATAATGGTAAAATTATAAAGATTTTTAAAATATCTTTTAAATGAAAAATAAATAATATCAATTAGGAATAGGAATACCATAAAAGAAATTATCAGAAATATTCAAATTCTATAATAAATCAGACATGTTTATCTCAAAAAATCAAATCACATAAGGCATAGGTAAATAATAAAAATCAAAAAAGTCTCCTCTAATTGTAAATTTTAACTTATTTTATTTGAAATTTAAATTAAATAGGGATAGGCCTTTCAGTAAGCTACAAGTTAGCTTAAGGACTAACCATAGAAGAATATAAAAATCAACCAATATAAGTAAAGTCAGAAGAAAAAAAAGGATCGATTTTCTGTTTTGTCTTAAAAAATTAAGACATTTAATTGATAGATAATTGTAATAGAGAAAGTGAGATATTTGATGATTACTAAAATAAATAAGGATAGAGTTATTATAGAAAAGGAGAAACAGAATCACTTTCGCGCTTTGAAGATTAGGATAGATCTTAAACATTTACTAATACGAAATACACATAGAAATAGTAATAAATATATCTTATTTTTTATATATATCAAGCAAGAGTTGTCTTTATAAATAAAGTTAATAAGATATTCCAGAAGATTTCGATTAAGAGAACGATGAAGATGATGATAACGGAGATGAATAAGAAGGATAAATAAAAGAACTAGGAGCAGGTATTTTAACTTCTAAAAGTAATGCATATCAATATTCTGGTAAAAAATAAAAAAACAAAACCACACAATAAAGCTTTTATTAGTCTGAAAATGTTTACGATGAAGATGATTACATTAACTCAGAAATCTATTTAAAATTGTAGAAGAAACCTTAAACTCCCTTATTTAGTAAGTACTTTTAAAATGATTTAGTTAACATGCTCTAAGATATAGAGAGTTAAAAACATGAAGATATATTATATAGTCAAAAAATGTTAGAAAATTATCCAAGCTTTACAAATAATCATGCAGATATTACCAAAGAAATAAGCACATAAAATCTATCAAAAAATTAAATCAATATTACCTTAAGCAAACTTCCTTCCCTTTAACACCTAATGGCTGAAGAAACGTCTATATTAAAAAATATGGGATCATAACAAAATGGATTATAACCTCAACATAATAATTAAATTCTAAATTTACAACCTCCTCCGTCGCCTTTACTTAGTAACCAGGTATCTATGGTTAATATCGATTAACAGTTAACTATTGATGAATTTATCAAATACAATACTTCTTAAAAGGATTTATTTTTTTCCAGCGAATTTGGTTAAATACTTATCGTAGATGATATCCAATTTAATCTTTTAATGCTGTCTAATTTATTGAAAAGATACTAGATGAAGGTAGATTTAGCCCATGATGGTTAAGAGGCTGTAAATAAAGTCTAAGAAAAATATTAAAAATAAAAAGAAACATATTAAATTATTTTTATGGATATACAAATGCCAATTATGGATGGTTTTTAAGCAACAAAAGAAATAAGAAAATTTTTATAATAAAAAAATGCTAGTCAAATACCAATTATAGCTGTCAGTGCTTTCGGAGATTAATAATTTAAAGAATAATCTAAAAAAGTTGGAATGACAGACTACATCGAAAAACCTGTATAAACAATAAAATTAGACAAAGCTTTTTTAAAACACGTACTGAAGTGAATATATTTAAATAACCTTAATTATATTTTAAAAATTAAATTATCTAAAATTAACTTTTGTGGCCTTTCAATAATTAAAGAAAATAAATAATTTTAATTTAATAAAAATTGTAAATGTAAATTTAATTAAAAATTAGATAAAAAATTTACTCACTCAATCTAGCTTTAATATCAAATATATAATATTTCTATCTATATTTAACAAAAATGTCTATTTATTTATATAAATTAAATAAGTAAGTACTTTAATTTAGATTTAATTTTTATTTATTGTTTAAATTCAGTTATTTGCTTTCTTTTTTAAAATATTAAAGGAAAATTTAAATTAAATTAAAAATTAGAAAATATAAAATTTTTAAGGCAAATGATAAAAGATTAATAAAATATTTTAGCTATTTAAAATGTATTAAGATATTTATTTTTAATTTCTGCTAATGCAAATAATTCCTTTGAACAATATTAAATTTATCTTGATATACATTCGCTCATATTTTTAAAGCCAATTTATCCAAAAATAAAGCTACTCTCAATTATATTGAGAATTAGAAAGATAGTTTTGTGAATGTAAAATCAATAGTTTCTAAAAAATTATTTTTAAAATTGAAGATGAAATATCTTTTTTCTAAATTATATTGGCTTATACTATTAATATCTAGGATAAAACTAAAATTTTTATAATATTAATTAAAATAATCTTAATACCTTTAAAAAATACAACTTGAACATAACCCTGATATTTCTATATCTCTCTAACCAACAAGTAGGATTATGTTACTATAATAAAGAGATTTTACTAAAAGGCAGTAGAATCTTTTTTAAAATCCTGTAAAGAGTAATATGTGATTTTGAGAGGCCCAGAGCTTGCAAAAATTATTAATAACATTGATAATTATTATCAACTTATTAAAAAAAGAAAAATACGAATTATATAAAATAAAAATAATTTCAGTAAAAAAACTCAAGAAATTTATTTATTATTTAACATTTTTTAATAAGCCCATTATATATATTTATATATATATACTCCACATCTATTTTATAAATTAATTTATCTACTTTATTTAATACTTAGGGATAGAGAGAAAAAGAGCTGTTATTTAATTTTCATAAAATTTATGTTAATTTAGAATAGAAAAATTAATATATTGATAAAATAATATATGTATATTTTTATGTATGTATTATTTATTTCTTAATGTATGTATTCCATAATCAATACTTAGGAGAATTAAGTTAATGATAGGAAGGAGTATTTGCCTTTAATTTTTAAGCATTTTATAAAAGATTAGAATAGCTATATTTATTTTTTGTAGAAGACTAGCCATTAAGAGAATTTAAATTGTTGTTAGCCATATTCCCTGCAGATACGCTATTCTATGCATGAATATTATGAGAAACAGATTGATTACCATTCAAAATAATATGCCCATTTTAGCCTGTTTAATAGTTTTTATTGCTATTATTGTTATTATTTGTATTTAATTAATTATTATTTTAAATTTAATTGCTTGTGTTAGAGTTTGGAATTATAGCACTATTGCTATTATTCTTTTGGTTTAATTAGGCCATAGTTTTTGTTACCGAAGCCCTATTACCAAAATAATTTGCAGTGTTAACTTTCGATTTGTTCGGAGAATAAAAATCTATTTGATTTCCTTTATACATTTATTATTACATTGTTTAGGTAGGGTTTTTATAAGTTGTTGTAAGATATTAATTAATAGAAGTAGATCCTTTCTTTAATTGTCCAGATAATTGCTGTTGCTATTGTTAAGTATATATATTATTGCTACTATTCTATGAATATATATTGGTATGTTATGGATATCCATTGTTTAATTGCTAATATCCACTATTACTTTAAGTAGGGTACCCGTTATTGTTTTAGGAGTATCCATTGCTTTATGACTGAACATTTGTATTTTAAACATTCTAATTATTCATTTAATGACTTGGGTTACTGTTGTTGTTATTTGTACTTAAATTGCTGTTGATATAATTCTAATATTATTATTGTATTATATTATTTTGATTTTAATGTGAAATGGCTTATTTTAAATTATTCTCTTGCTATGTAGAAGGTGTTGCTCCCTATATAATTCTTTACAAATATTTTTAAGAAGTGTTTATTGAAGCTGGTTTTTGTTATACTTAAGAGTTTTAATTTTAAATTGCTGAAGAGGGGTGCGACTATTAAGTGGATTAGGAGCTTACAGAAGATTACTATTAATGCTATGGAGATACTATATTTGAGGTTGGCGATTACAGAGCTTTACTTGAATTAGATTTCAGATTATTAGGCTTAATCAATCTATTACTATTCGATTACTTTAATATATTTTAACTTACTGGAGATGTAATTCCTTCATCAACATTATCAATTTATCCATCATTATTGTTGTTAATTGTATTGTTGCTGCTAATATATTGATTTCCATTGAGCAAATGAGGATTTTAAATATTTTGTTAACTGAAAATATTTTAATTTATTTCCTTACTTTTCTATTGTTATATCATCTGTTAAGTGTTAGGACTATTAAGCATTTATTTTACTTACTGTTATTATAGAATTTATTAAGAATTTTAATTTGAGGAACTTTTTTGGTTTAGTGCAGTAGAATTTGAAGTTTATTAACTGCTATTCTTACTCTATAAGAAAGGAGTTGGTCTTTTAGCGAAACCATTACTAATTGTATTGTGAATTCCATTTGTATTATTTGTACTCATGATATTATTTGTTAAGGTTTATTACAAATTTTAATTATTTGATAAAATTTAATTTGAACTTGGAGCTTTTGGGGATGCATAGAGTTTCTATTATTGCTTGATACTGTTTTCTGAAGGATCTCTAATTTCATTTTCTTCATTTTACTTTTTATTTATATTACTTGATTGATATTGAATTTAATTTTTACTACTGATAACTTAATTTTAGGATTGTTATTACATTTTTTATTATTACTGTTACTATTATTGCATCAGCTATTACTGATAAAGCTATTGCTTTTATGTTTTTACTTATTGATATATGCTTTCTTACACTTCGTTGTAAATATTTTGCTAAAATTATATACTATTTTATTTCTATGTCTTTCGAGCTAATACTGCTTACTACGCAGCAACTACAGCTGATGTTTATTAAATAACTTCCTTTGCTAAATTCTATTGTTAATCTGAACTTTAAATATTCTAATTTTATTACATATTTCCATTTTCTTACTTTTAAATTATCCCATTTGATTTTTATCTTAAAAGTGTAGATTAAATATTATTGTAAGTAGATTAATTTGTTTTCACTTAGCTTGAATTAGAACTGTTTGAGTTGTTTCTAGCATTTTGAATTGAATTATCTTTTGACTAAAATTGTTAATTATTTGTTCTTTACTGAAGGACTTATTACTCATTTACTGTTTATTATTAATGCTATATTTACTGCGGCTATTAAATCTAATCTTATGATTCTGAAAAATTACTGCATAATTAAGAATCCTACTTACCATTCTGCTAAACATTTTTTCTTGGAGATATTTCATAGTATAATTTATCTCTATAAAATCTCATACTATATTTTTTATTATCATCTAACGGAATTTAAATGATTCTTCCACAAACAGGCTCATCATTAGGATTATGGAATTACCTAACGTATGGATGACTTAAAGCCTATTCTGCAGTTATACGCTTTTTTGGATTAAACTAAAGTAAATTTTATAATAGATCTAAAGCATCATCACTGGCCATTGGTATCATTTACTGGAGAGTTTTGGTATTTTAAGTTGGATTATTTTATACAGCTTCTAGCATAGTTATTGCTAAATCGCTCTAAATAGCTTCAATATCTTCGTACGTTGGTTTACCAGTAACTTATAATATTAATTCAAGTTAATTGAGAGTGCTTGTTCCTGCAAAGATAGGCTTTCCTAATAAAAGCTATCCCAAAATACAGCCAATACTCCACATATCTACTCCCTTGGTATACGTATGTGAACCTTTAATAATATTCATAATAAAATTATGAGTAATTTAAATAAATATATTCATAAAAAATATTAAAAGAAATGAATTTTAAATTTATTAATAAATTTATTTATTATTTAATGAGTAGAAAATGAATTTAATATAGCTTATGTATTTATTTTAATAAATTTAAAGGATGCTACAACATATCGTTTTATAGTTTAAATTTAAAAAAGAGTAATTAGATTTATTTATTGATTTCTTGTTTTTTTTAACATATGACTGATTATTTTGTTAATTAGCTTTGCTTTATTTTGATTACAAATGAATGAAGATTTTCTATTTATCTTTGCTTTTTCAAATATTAAAAACAACAGAGTCATTCATTTATTTCTCTTAAGAATTAATTTTTTTTTATCAAACAATTTAAAAAATTAAATATTTTTCATTCTGCAATTTCTTTTTCTAGCTTTCTACTCTAAATTAATTGAATGCCTGCAAATTAAAAAAAAAAAAAAAACACACTTAAAGATTTCATTCATTTTTAAAAAGCTAATATTTTATTAATTTTCAAATGTAATTTATCTTCATATTTTTTAGTTAGCATTTTATTAATTTATCTAAAACTTTTCATTTTAAATCTTAACATTGTGATAACTCAATAATACCTAATAATATTTCTGGTGCCCTATACCATCTTGTGGCTATATACTCTGTGAGTATTGGAGTTGAGCCGTTTTCTTAGTTCGCAATCGATCTTACTAATCCGAAATCTGCTACTTTCACCATACAATCTGAATTTACAAGGATATTTGATGCTTTTAAGTCTCTATGAATTAACTCACCAGAGTGTATGTACTTTATTGCTCTAAATATTTAGTACATTATATATTATTTATGAATATCTTCAAGAATGTTAACCCTAATAACCGCGTGCAAATCAGTGTCCATATATTCAAAAACTACATAAATATCACGGTCATTCTTTGCACGAATTACATTAATCACTTTAATTATATTTTCATGATCTAATTCTTAGAGAAACATAATCTCTCTAAAGGTACGCTATGCATCAGTTGAATTCTGAAACGCATCAAATATTTTCTTTAGAGCTAAAACTTGCTTAGTCCTTTTGTCATATACTTTCCAAACTATTCCATATGCTCCTCTACCTAGCTTGCTCAATATTTCATATCTTCTTAGAACATGTGGTTCTATGTCTTCACTCATTATGCTGGATTGAACGATTTGCTATGCTTTCTATTCTTAAGATAAGTAAATACTTTTTCTCTATCAATCAAGTTCTATTTCACACTTTGATAACCTTTTCTATTTTGTCACCTATCTAACCTGCTTTCTTAATACTACTTACTCTTTATTTCTAATCTTCTTAATTTCTTATTTCCTTTGTATTTCTTATTTCTGTGTGATTTATCAACTATACTTATTTATTGATAAAAAACAACTTTTGATATTAATATGTATAAAGATTTCTTAAATTAAATTAAAATATGATTAATTCAATATTCATTTTCAATAAAATTTCATTATTATTTCAAACCAAAAAATATATATTCATAAATAGATAAATAAACTAACAAATAGATTAATTATCACTTTTTGTATTGTTTCAACTCCTAATAAGTTCTTCTTACAATAAAATTGCTAATTTTCATGTTTATTAGACTAAATAATTTTTTTTCTAAAATTATGCTAAAAAAATTCAAAAATATTTTTTTATTTTTATGATTAAAATAACTCTTTTTTATATTAAAAAAGTTAAAAAAAAATATTTTTTACTCAATCCACAAAAATTTTGTCTTTTTATATAACTGTAAAGATTCTAAATATATATATTTAAAGAAACATAAATCAATCACAAGTTGATGTTATCTTTTAAATTAATATCGCTTAAAGGAACTACTGAACTATTTTTAACATTATAAGCATTCATACTATTTTAAGTGTTTATTTGTTTAAGTGTTTTTTCAAATAATGAATCTGTTCGTAATTTAGTTTTAGTACCAATGTCTTCATTGTTTAGTTTTTCATGATTTAACGGTTTTATATTACTCCCCATGTTGAATGTTGTAGAGAGAAATCTGTCTTTAACTGATACTCTAGTTGAGAACTTATTTGAAATTGGTGGGTCATTTTGATCAAAAATTTTTACTTTTTTACTGCTCTTTAAAGCTTCTTAATTTATTTTAAATTCATTTTAATTTACTTTTGGAATGAATTTCTTTATTAAGAAGTATAGGACAACTGCTGCGAATATAATTGGAAATATTTACATCATTATTTATAAAGTAAATAAAACATTTTCACTAATAAGTAAGGAAGGATGATCTTTCTTAGAGTGAGAAAAGCAAATTAAGTACACAACCATGCAAATAATTATTACTTTCACTATTTGATGATAAAGATAATAGCTTAAAGCAAAATTTTTTTTTGACAAATGACTCAAGTTTACAATAAGCTAGCACAATTGGACAAATAATAATAAAAATATTTGAAGGTTAGGACTTTAAAATGCCATATTTATAATTATAGAATTAATAATTTAAGTCACTAACATGCTCTATTGTATCTTATATTCTTAAACTTAACATTTTTTATTTTAAATATTTTTAATATTTATTTAGAGAATAGTATCACTTTAGCTAATACCAAGTAATTTACTGTTCCAGATGATATTTGTATAAAAAAAAGTTAGCAAAAATAACTTGTTAATTATTTCTACATAAAATTCATTCCTAAGTTAAAGTCTAAAATTAATGATTTCATATAAGCCAAAAAGAAGAGTAATATTTCCTTAAAGTAACTAAAATATCATCAACATCCCATTTTTGTTTTTTAACATAAGTTATTTGACTTTTTTATTATTAAAACATTTAATCTTTTTTAGAGCTAAAAAAAATATTAATAGCCCAAAATAATTGTAGATATTTAGTAGAAATAGAGGACTAAAGTATTTAATCAGCACAAATTTAGGATTTCCATAAAATATTAATTTATTATTCAAATCATTTACATTATTCTAAATTATTTAAGGTATAAAGCTACCAAAGTTAAACATTGTTTCACTTAAATATGAGAATAATTATTGCAGCTAAAGAGGGTATGTAATATTTATGAGTGATAGCGTGCTGATATCCTAAAAAAATGCTACTGTAATTATAAAATAATTAATATTGAGTTCTAAAATACTTAGAATAAAAGCCAAAGCCAATATAACGAAAGTAGATATTTAACATATTTTGTAAAACCCCTATTGCTCTAGTTATAATTTTAAAAAATGAATCGATTATTTATAATGTATTTTCTGTGCTATTTATAAAAATATTTACTTGTTGAGCACGAAGGCTAGTATATTTCATTCTAGCAAAAACAAAATCCTTCACCAGGGAATTTAGATCTAAACAAATCTCTATTATTTTGGCATTCTAAGCACTAGGATTAAAGATTTCCTGAGCAACTTTTGCACGAATGATGACACTTTATGCATAAATTTGAATCAGTATCTAAATAGTAATTGTTTGGGCATTCCTTAACACAAATTAGTAAGTCTTGAATTAAATAATAATCTTTTTGGCATTATAAACATGTTTTATTAAGCGTGTATTCATCAACTTTACACTGCAAACAATTAGCTTAGCATTAAATATCAGCTTATAATGTATAAGATAGAAAAAATACAAAAATAGCAATTTTTCTCATTTGTTAAATTTTTAGTATATTATTTATTTTATAAAAATTTACTTTGGCTTAATTAATAACAAAAAATCAAATGGATATTCTTAAATGTAAAGAAACTTATTATTTACATTGATATGTAATAAAAAAATAACAACAGCTAGCTTTTTTAATAAAGCATTACCAAATATTTTTTTACAAAAATCATACATAAAATACGTTGCCCGAATAAATAATTAATTAACTAATTAATTTAAGCATCTTCTAATAAATATCATTTTTATCATAAGCTAATGTCTTAAAAAATACAATTTATCTTTTATTTTAAATACTTAATGAAATAAAAATACAAATTTACATTTTAAATCTATTTTTTAAAAAAATATTTTTGTTTTGTAAAAAACATAGACATAGAAAGAGATAAAAATAATTCATGTTCAATCCTTTTTAATTATTTTTTATATGCATTACTTAAAGTTTGCATGCCAAAAAATACAAAAGCTAAAAATAAAGGTTTTGAATGTAAAAAATAGAAGCAATTAATAAAATTAATTTATTATTAAAACTCTTTCAGTCGTCGTGATGATTCTTTTTTTATCCTCCAATTCTTCTACCTTTTTATGTGCTTCTAGAACTCATGAATAAATAAGCACAGAAAACAACTGAAACTATGATGATAATAGCTAAAAAGATGTAGAGTATCTACATTATGAGAGAATAGTTTTAAGTAAATTTGTCAAATGGGTTTTTGAATTCATTTTTTCTTGTTTTGGTTTATTCATTAAGAGGAGTAATAGCTGGACCAAAAATATAGGAACTTGGTAAAAAATTCCAACAAACAGGCTTGAAATTTATCTAAAATGATTCGAAGTTATCTGCATAAAACTAATAAAACCACTCCTCATAATCTTGGTAATCATTAACCTCATGACCTAACAATTTGCAGAAATCTGTCTTTTGAGATACTATCTAATGCAATTTAGAGCATAATATATCTTAGCGAGAGCAAACTTTAAGTAATTAGGTATTTTAATCGATAATAAAATAATCGTTTTTGCATTATTCATAAATTGATTCGCATTAAGGAGCACATAAACCCTTTCTAAATCCTAAACCTACATCCCCATCGCAATCATAGCATATGAGTTTTTATAAAACCTATTAGCAATCTAAACTTAAATCTTAATTATTATAAACCTACCTGTAAAATCTATTTATATTAAAATGATCATATGTAACTTAAACCTAAAAATATAATAAAAATATTTACTGTATTCTAAGCTAGTTAAAGTTGTCGTTTGTACAGCAAGTTCTCGAAGAGTAGTCAGTACAAAAGTCTGCGAATTTGACATCGTTGACTTTGGTAGTGTTATATTTTAATTTATGTAAAGGAGAATTAGCTGTGCAATTTTAAGTATTAGTAATGTTTTTCATTTGCTATCTAACCTCAAATGGTATTTCATTATTATATATAGTAAAAGGAAATTCTAATTTTTATGAAGCTAAAGTGCCTACAATTACTAATGTAATTAAAATCAAAAGCTTAGCCATTTTCTATTTCTTTGCTCGTAAAAACGTATTTTTTTAGAATGATTTTAAAATGTGTTTTTTCTTCTTTTTGCTTGCTTGATTGTTTGTTTTTTTGTTTATTTATTTATTTAATTTAATTAATTATTTATTTATTCTTTTTTAATTTGAATTAATTCTTTAGTTTTTTTTTCTACTTATATTTTTTGGGTGATTTAAATTTTTAACAATATCTTTAGAACTAGCTCATACCTTAAGAATAAATTTTCAATATTTTATTTTTAAGTAATTGCTTCTTCAATTCTTTTGTTAAATATTATTAATTCGAAGAACATTCAATTATAAATTACATACAAACAAATAGAAATTTCATGTTATAAAAACCTAAGTAACTAAAAATCTCTAAATAAATATAATAAGATTTCATTACACGTAATTAGAAATGAATTGACCATCATTAATTAAACATCTGTAAAACATTTGTATGATTTTAAATAAATCTAAAAATAGAACTAATTAATTACCTATTTCAAATCGAATCTCAGTAAAGATTTAGAACAAGTTTTATTAAAATAATAATACTTTAAAAATAAGAAATCTACCACTTACTGTTTAAGTAAATAAAAAAATAAATACAATTCTTTTAATTTTTAAATTATGTGTAAAATATTTAATTAAAAAAATAAGGTCTATTTTATGATATATTAAACTTAAATTATATGGACTAGATTTAAGAAATTTGTTAGTATTTTTTTAAAAACAAATCAGAAAAGCAATCATTAAGATAAAAACTTAAATAAGCCTTCCACACCAGTAGATTTTAATGCATCTTCAGCTTCTTTTTCAAACTAATTTCCTGAAATAAGCTTTTATTAAAATAATTATTATAAACTAACTTTTTATTTTTATTGTTAAAATAATTTACGATTCTCTTCAAATTAACAAGTTTTGTAAAATTATGAGGGAAGAAGTTAATATAATTATTTTAGATATTCATCAGCTAAAGTTTTTAACATTTTTCAATCTAAATACAAAAAATATTTTTTAAACATGTTGCTATAAGTTTAAAACTTACATCTTCAGGTAATTCAACTATATTATTGTAGGAAATATCTAATCTTTAAAGCTCTGGGAGATTTACAATCAAATGAATTGAAGTTAATTTATTTTTAGATAGATTTAATTCTACTAAGTTAGGAAGACTGAATAATTTATCACTGATAACATCATTTGTCAAACCACACTCGGCCAATTGTACTACTCTTAAATTTACCAAATTTCCTATTGCAATTGAAAATATATTTAATACGATTAAACAAAGTTAATTTACCTATTGCATCAGGAATTTCTTTTAACATATTTTGGGATGCTACTAAAGTTTTTAAATTAGAAACTTCAAATATTTTTGGGCTTAACTCAGTAGTATTTGATTTTTGAATGCTTAGGAATCCATTTTTTAAAGCAGTTGCTAACTTTTATTCAAGAGCTAATTAGTTATATATGTTGAAATATTTTATGAGAATTTTTAAACTAATATTTGTAAAAATTACTTTCAGAATAAACTAACACAGATTTATTTTCTTCACTTGCCTTCTATTCCTATTAGGTGATTTATTGTTATTCAGTGCCGGTTTAAGCACTTTCTTTCTTTTCATCTCTCCTCTTAAAAGCCTAATCTATTTAGTCTGTAGTAAGACCTAATTGATAAAAAAGAATTATTAAAAGCATACTATTTATATGATATAATCATCAATCAATTACCTCTTTTTCTCAGAAAAACTCTTTTATTAATATCTGAAAATTTCTAAACTTCAGGCTGCATCAAAAAACGATAAGCAACTTCTATTTACTTCTCATTTTCAAGGATTTTTTTTTCCTCTTCAGCTTTTTTATCTTCTTCTTCTTTTTCTAACTATTCTTTAGTTTTTTTTGGCTCCTTTTTCTTAAAGAAAGGCATTTTAAGGTATCTATTACTATAAATTTATTAACTATCTTATTATTTAAAGAATATATTTTTTATATAAATTATGAATAAAATTTTTTTTTTACTTCAGATTCTTTAAATTTACGAATCTTCATAACATATTAGATGCATAATATTACGTATTACATAAACAGCAATAATTATCGTCATTTTAGTATCCAATCCTTTTTGAACACATTAAAGCATTATCATTTTTTTTCTTCTAATATTCTTAGAAGTTTTTGTATGAATTTTCTTAGAATTATTCTAATCCTAGAAGTAAAAAATCGATTATCTTGTTGAAACAATTTTAATATATCCTTAAAATGTAATTATCTTTAAAAAAATCCATATAATTATCTCTAAATAATGAATTTTTTAATATTTACTATTCATCATAATTAAAAAAATTATCTTTTAATATCATTAATTTTTTTTAAAATTATTTTGATGATAATTTTTTTCTTTTTTCATAAAAATATTTTTTATATTATTCATTTTTCAAATTTATTTTTATATAATTTTACTTAAATAAATGAATTAAATTCCTAATAATTTTTATACATATTTATTAAATCAAAAACAAATAAATTTTTTTGAATCTTTAATAATTAAAGGTATAAATATATTTTTCATTTTAAATTTAGAATCGATTAATTTATATAAAAATATTATTTAAATATGCTTAAATAATTTTATAATTAATAACATATCAAATAATTCCTCTATATTTTAAATATTAATAATTATTTTTTAATTAACTAAAATATATTCAATTTAAAGATAATTTAAGCAATTAGCTTGTTTGCTTGCTTGATTTTAACTTTTTTAATTTGGATTTGTTTTAGAAGTTTAGTAAATTGTGAATCTAAAGTTTCTAAGATATTTTTTTTGACAAATAAATTTTTTATTTAAAATAAGCAAATACGTTATTAATAATTGTAAATCAAATGAAAAAATTATTAAGCTTTTAAAAGTTATCTATCACTTGAATTCAATTATACTGATTGATTATTGTAATTAGGGAAAAATATTCTTAGTGGAATTCGGATAGGTGTTTGAAAAAATAAAAATCATAAATTAATAAAAAACAAGTTAAAAAGGAAAAAATATAAATTTAATTTTTCATTCAAAATTAAAACAAGACATTTTTTTGATGTATTTCACAATAGTTTAATCATATAAGTTTTCATTTTAGATTTGCTTTGAAAAATTGCTTAACAAACTCTAAAATTCAAAGCATATTCAATATGTTACTTAGATCATTGAATTATTTTTTTTATTTGGTATTCTATTTTATTAGATAGATAAATTTAAAGTAATCAAACATATTTAGATTACTCGAAAAATTCTTATGCAAATTGAATATTAATATTTTGTTAATCTATTAAAGCTTTAAGATAATTTAGAATGATTATTGTTTATTGCTTTTATATTGTCTAGAATAATTTTTTTTCATCTATTTTTAAATTTTTTATAAGCTATAGAAAGAATTACTACTATTATAGATAATAAAAATTTCAATTTTTAATATCAAAAAAAAATCAATAATAGATCAAGTGATCAAGTTTAACTTGAGATAGATGCTTGAAAGGAAAAATTATTAAGCCAAAGCATTACCACATAAGCTCTACTAGACTCTTAATAAAAATAAATAGAGGGTTATGTATTTTTATACCACATCTAACTAGATTTAAATTAGAAATCTTAAGTTAAGCTTTACAGGTTACGGGGATGTTAAATATCCGAAAAATGATACTTTAGCTTTTTATAAAAGTAGTAGTATGATGTAATTATAAAAATGATTATATAAATTTTATTTGATATTATGGCGGATTTAATTAAGAGTATCGATTGAGATTAAGACCAAATTATAAAATAGAAGTTAGTTAGATATATTTTATCTATGAAATCAAATAAATAAATAAAAATATGGGTAACCTTTTCTATTCTATGAGAGCTATATATATATATATTTGTTTGAAAACTAGAGATAAGATTTAGGGTAAATAAAAACTTTATATTTTGAAAATATAAGACTATAATAAATATATTTATATTTATTTGCTTTAAAGAATATTTTCTTAACAAAAAAACATTCAATTTCGCATTCTAGTTCCTTAGGTAAAAACATTTCAAAATGAACAATTTCTTTAGATTTGGATAGAGAATTTTTGCAAACTCCTCTAGATGTACTAAGATTTTAGGATTTGCTTCCCTTGTATGCCTTGAAAGATTTTACAATCTCCATCAAAAAGCTCAAGCATACAATTCTACTCCCTTTGATGCAAAACTTAAAGAGCAATATCATCGTTAAATCCCCGAATTGGATAACTTCTTGTAAATATATATAATCTGAAATACTTTATCATTTAATTACTTAATTTAATATTAGCTCTAATGTCGTTCTCTTTTCAGGAAATGCTAATCACGATTTAGCTGATGGTAATTTACCATTTCTTAAATATATTGCTCTGAAAGATTATATTTCAATTATTTTAAATGTTAGAAATTGCTAAGATTTTGGGTATCAAGTTAGGTGACTGCTAAGTTAGTAGATTTGCAGATGGTGAAGTTGCAATTTCAGTAAACTATTTATTTAGAGACATTTATTTGTATTTATTGATTCATTATTAATTTTTGATAAATTAACTATCAATAATTCAGTGTTCATGAAAGGAAAATTAAATTAAATTTATAAAAACAGATTAATGAAAGTGTCAGAGGAAAGGATATCTATGTTGTACAAGTAATTAGCTGATTGATTATGTTTATAAATTAAAACAATTTTAAATTCATTTAATTAAAATTTTAATTTTTTGGTATATTTTTCATAATTAAATATTTAAAATAGCCTACTTGCACTCCAGTTAATGAAAATTTAATGGAATTATTGCTCTTAGTTTCTACTTTGAGAAGAGCCTCTGCAAGAAAGATTAACGTTCTTGTTCCCTATTATGGTTATTCTCGTTAGGTAAATTTTTTAATTTTAATCATCAAATTTTTAGAATAAGGGATAAGAAAAAATCTTTATTTAGTTATATAGGTTCCTGATAGATTAAAAGCTAATAAATTAAAAACGAATTTTACGATCTATATTATTATTTGATATAAATAAATTAAATATAAACTTATTTTTCATTTAAAATAGGATAGAAAAACTGCCCCTAGAGTTCCAATTAGTGCAGCTGATGTAGCTAGACTTTTAGAAACTGTAGGAGTTGATAGAGTTATTAGTATTGATCTCCATTGTGGTTAAATTCAAGGTTTCTTTGGTCCCAGAGTTCCTGTCGATAACTTGGAAGTAATTATAAAAATAATAAATATTATAATTGCTAGATTTTATATTTTTATTATAGAAAAAATTCGACTGTTCTTACTTAAAAAAATTCTATAATATCTTTTAATTAAAAAATAGGCAAATGTTGTAGCTTTGAATTATTTTGTTTAATAAGGTAACATAAATTTATCTAACACTGTTATTGTAAGTCCTGATGCTGGTGGTGTCGCAAGAGCTAAAAAATTCTAAGAATTATTCAATAAAAAAACTGGTTAAGAGTGCACTCTTGCTATGATTATCAAATAAAGAGAAGCTCCTGGTAAGATTGCCTAAATGAATTTAGTAGGTTAAGTAGAAGGAAAGCATGCAATTATTATTGATGATATGATAGACACAGCTGTAAATAAATAAATAAAAATATATATTTGATAATAAATTGTTTTTTTGCTATTTATAAATAAATAGGGTACTTTATGCGAAGCTGCAAAAACTATTAAGAGTTTTGGTGCTGTTGGTGTTAGTGCATTTGCTACACACGGACTTTTCTCTGGTAATGCATTTAACAATATCAGAAACTCTGTCCTTGAAAATATTGTCGTTACTAACACAACTCCTAAGAAACCTGGTGAGGAAAATATTGACAAGATTACTCGTCTTTCTGTTGGTAAAAAATTTATAAATTTATCAAATATTTAATAATTTAATTTTTAATTTACAAATAATTAGCTCCTCTTTTGGCTGAAACCATCTACAGAGTTCAAAAGAAATAATCTGTTGCTGATTTATTCAATTTAAAGCCTGCTGACAAAAGACAATGATAAAAAATAGAAAAAAATTTCAATCTTTATTAAAATGTTATTTGCATTTATTTTATATGTTTTAGCATTTTATCTTTTTTAAAAAGTTTAAACTTGCTTTAAAATTTATTTCTAAAATAAAATAAATAAATAAATTGTTAATTTTAAATTTTATATTTTTATTATAATAAGAATTATTTTTATTTTTAAATTGTATAAAAATTACACTTGAATAGCATGAAATAAAAATAATAAATATTCAATATATATTTTAAAGTTAATTTTTAATTTAAAAGTAAGCAGGTAATTTGTTAATAACAAGTGAACTAAGTTAAATTAAAAGGTTTTTCTACTAATCGTTATTGAGATCATTAATGTCACTTATTAAATTTTTGAATGAAAAATCTTCAACCATGCTGTCTACTTTCTTGAAAGAGAAATTTACTGTGGTAATTTAAATATTTTTGCTTGGATTTTCAAGTAATTTTAAAAAAAGCTTAAAAGTCTACCAAAAATGTTTTTCTGGATAATTTCCTACCAGGTACTAAGGTAAAATTAAAGAAAAATTATCTATGGAAATTTTTGAAAGATTTTTTATGAGATCATTCATGATACTATTTAAGTAAGGTTATTGTAGAGGGATTATGTTGTTTAAATTTAGATAGAAATATTCTAAGTTATCATTGATACTCATCAACAAATTTGCTATGTTTATTTATTTTGCAGAGATTAAATTTTAAGAAAAATCTAAATGTAATTTTTTCAAGGTTGGTGAAGCTTCTTAAAGGTAGATTTAAAGTGAATTAAAAAATAACTAATCTATTTATACATGAGAAAATTAGGCATGAAGTGTTAAGTTAACTAATTTAGGCATGCTTTTAAATGAAGCTGTCTAAAAAATATATCTTATCAAGCTCGATTATAAAGGATAAACAGTCTGAGGTTTGCTTAGATCTAATTCAAGATTCTTTAATTTTTTAAACTTTGACAATTTCTTTACTAAATTTTAAATTCCTTTTTATCTAACAAGTGTTTCAGATAAATTTATGGAAATTGTATTGATATGTTTACTTGCTTTTTTGAGTTTTTAGAACAGAGCCATTGCTTCTTTATTAAATAAGCTATTTCTGGAAATATTTAGATTAAATTCCTTAGTATTTGATGAGATTATCTAAAATATATTTTTCAAAACTTAAATTTCTTTCTCTGTTATTCCTACATTACTTAGTGAAAGTGTCACTTTCTATGATTTTGGAAAATTTTGCAATAGCCCTTTAAGAAACTCCACATCACTAAAATCACAAGATATTCTGCATTCATCTTTTTATTGAATGAGTAACTAGAAAAGCATTTTATTCATATCTTTTTGCTTTTTTTAATTTGGTATATCAATACTTTTTTCCTCAATTATCATTTCATCGTTACCCTTTATATCCATTTAATTGTTTTGTTAAATATTTTTTTCATTTATCAGTTCTTTCATTTTAGATTCTTCTACTTCAATATCTTCTATTGAATTTTTAAATTAAGGTAAATCTTATCTAAAATAGTTTATTTCTGTATAATTTTAGTTGTAATCTATTATCAGTCTTTTATTCAAAATTAATTATAACTCTAAAATTTATTATTTTAGTTCAAAATCAAAAAATTAAAAGCTATTTTAATTTGGAATCTCTATTTCAATTTAAAAGTATTAGATTGTCGACTTTAAATCATTAAACACTAACTTGATTAAGTCATCTAGACCTTATGGATTATCTAAAATAAAGATATTTAATTCAATTTTTTTTAAATTTCCACTTTGAAGCTTTTCTTGTGAGAAGTATTTTAGATCTTCAAGAAACTTGCTGACTGTCTATGACTTTAAAATCAGCTTAATAGTATCTTAATTGAAAATTATACTTTCATTATAATTTAATGAACATTTAAATTATTGTATTTGTGGGAGTGAGGAGAAAATGGGAATTAATTTGTATACTTCTAATTATAATTCTAAATTTTAAATATATTAAAAGTTAATATTTAAGTTAAATATCAATATATTTTAACTTATCTCTTTGATCACTTCCATAATTATTGTTTTTAAATCAGTATTTAATATATTAACTTAATCACCTAGAGTGCTTTAGTATAATACATTAGTTATATTTATCTCAATTTTTTTAATGTTTTAGTTTTGTAGTTTTTATTGTGAGATATATTTTAGACTATCTGATAGCTCACTTCTCGTTTGTGAATACAAAGTCAGCTCAAATGTATCTTAATTAAAAAGAATATATTTTTTGGAGTTAATTGAGCATTTTAATTATTGTATTTGTGGAAATAAAGAGAAAACATGAATTAATTTATATATTTCTGAAATTGGATTATTTTAATTTTAAATTTAAATATTAAAATCAAATATTAAAAGACTTTAGCTGATACAATTGAGATTTTCCTAAAAGATATTAATGATTTATGCTTAAAAATCTTCTGCCTTAATATCTACACAACACTCTTCTAATTTTTTTAATTCTGTAACCATATTACATAGAAAAATAAGTTAATTTTTATCATCTTTATTGTGTTACATTTTAATTTATATTTTTTTTAAAGTGCCTAAATATTGGTATTAAATTTTTGAGTCATCTATACTTTCCTACTTTTACTAAATATCTAAATCAAGATCTTATAATTTTGTATAATATTTATTCGAAAGAATACTTTTGAATGTTGTAAGATGCCTATCTATTATTTTTAAGCTCTCTATTCTTTCTAATCTAAAATTTCTAATAATTTCTTAGAATTCTTACTTTTAATCGAAATCAAATATATTAGCATTTACTATTAATTATTTTCTTTATAAGCTAACTTCTAAGAACTTTTAATCTTACTAAAAGTACAGTTAAGCTAAGCTAAGATTAGAATTAAAATTTTTCAACTAGTTTAATAATTTAAAAGATTAACATCCAACCACTTAGAAAGAAAATATTTAAATATCTTTCCTATTTAAGTTATAAAAATATTTTTCAAGTTAATCTTATTTTCCAAAATATAAATCAGCTTTTATTTCTAATTTTACTACTTAGGCTTTTGTTTGATTTGGAATAAAAGAAAGAATTTCAAAGATAATTGGATCATTAATTTTATTTTTTTTACTATCTATTATCTTTATATCTATATATTCAAATGTATGTCGCCATTTCTAAATTATATGATAGCAATCCTACAATACAGTTAAATTACTATATGTTAAATCTTCGTTGTAATGAAGTATAAGTTCACTACCTTTTAAGATAAGTTTAAAGTTTTTTTATCCAATTAATTCTAAATGGCTCAATTCTTAACTTTCATATTTCTTTTCTAAAAATTTTTTACCAATTTAAGCTAAAACCTTCGCTTAGAGCAGCTCATTATTTTTTCCCTTAAAAATTTTGTTAAATTCTAGCTTTAAACCTAAAAGATTGCTTTCATTTAAATTTAAATTAGAAAAATCTGTATTAATTGGTATGTAATTGTTTTTGTATTAGTTATTATCCATGATAAAATCTAAAAATTAAACTTTATTTGGGATTTTCGAAACTAATTTTAGAAATTCTTTAAAGGATTGTTCATCGAATACCTAATAGGCAAGATTGATTGTAACTTCTTTTTCTACATGTATTTTTCCTTTAAGTAATTTATACAAGTCTGGTAAATTAGTAACAATCATTTTATGTTAGTTTGTATCCTAGATTTATTAATTTATTACACAATTATTTAATATTTATTATTATTTAGTTTTTTGTTAATTAAATATTATTTTAGGCAAATAAAAAGAAGCTGATAATTTCTAAATAAATAAATAAATATTTAAATTTATATATTTTAGAGGGAAGCAAGCTTAAGAGTTCTTTTCAATTTAGTATATTTAAAAAAAAATAATTTTACTACTAATAAATGTCTAAATCAACAAATTAAAAACATATAATTAAAAAATTAATTATAAAGCAGTGAAATAATTTTTTAATATAATTAAAAAAGTAACTAAAAAATTATCAATCAATTAAATATTTAATTTATTTTAATATAAGGAGGAGCATTCATAAGAATTTTTGATAGTTTTAATTTAAAAAAACTGTTTGTTTCTGCATCTAGTTCATTTTATATTGATAAACCCTAGTTATTTGCCATAGTTAAGCACGAATCACGGATTAAAAAATTAAACTAATAAATATCAATATTTAATTTCTTAATCACACTAAAGTTTATTTTATTAAATAACTTCAATAGTTCCAAAACATATTGCTTCTAATTAATTCCTGTGGCATTTTTACATAATTTGATTCTTATTTTTTCTAATTACTCAAAGCTCATTAATTGCTAAGTAATACTCATAAAAGAAAAGAGCTAAGCCTCTGTTTAATCTATGATTTGTTGAAAATTTAAACTTATTGAAACTAAATCTTTTGGAAGTTTAGAGAGTGAAAGTATAAATTTCTTTTGGCAAACATTGGAGTAAGCAATATTATTTTTAAAATTCAATTTTAAAATTTTTAATTTTTGAGAAATCAAAGGTAAATTAGTAGCTAAAATATTGTAGAAGTTTTAATCTAACAACAATTTAGAATCGACAGCTTTTAGACATAATTCTTCTAAGTTAGGTAAGTTTTTACAATTTAAAGAATCAAAAAGATATTAAATAAATTAATTTTTTAGGATATTATTATTATTAGAGTTGCTTATATCTAAACTAAAAACTCTCAATTATTTAAATTTTGAGATCTTTTTACTTAAGCTTATCAATCCTCTTTACTTTACAGAAGTTTAGCTCAAATCAATTTTTAATTCAAATAATTTATTATTACAATTTTTCAAACTTCTAAAAGCTTCAATAGCTAATTAGTTGCTGAATCTTTAATTTTCAGAAAAATTTATTGCCAAAGCTTCAGCTTTCTTTAAATCATTAAAAAAGGTCTTCCATAGTTTAAACTCCTTATCCTTATAAAGATCATTTTTTGAAATATTCAAGCTTATGCTCTTAGCGTTTTTAAACAAATAAAATTTTTATAAAATAGTTTCAAAAAATTTCATTGAATAAACACTTGAAAAATCTAGAGAGCAATTTTCATACAACTAAACAAATTCAAAAAATTCAAAATAGCTTTCTAATTTTGTAAGAAATTGTTCAGGATTTCTTTTAAAAGTATCATCAATTTTGATGAAAATCTCTTTAAATTCTTATTTTTCAAAAATCTTAATATCATTTAATGATAAAGAAAACGGTCTCTGTCTTTGTATTTCTGAATTTAACTTAAATTCAGAAGTGAGATTAGTTGCCTTAAATGACAATTTAATTCCTTTGAACTAAGTTGAAAAGGAATCAAATTTTTTTTCAAGATGTTCTTATTCAACTAATTTGGTTTCCTAAATTTACATATTCAATGATACCTGCTTTTTAAGTTTAAAATTTTCTTCATTAAAGTGATCAAAACATTCAATTGAAGAATAATTTAAAATTAAACAAACATCGAGTTATTCACTTTCCAGATGGATTTTCTAATCAGTTTATTCAATATAAATTAAAACACTTTCAACATTAGGTGTAAATTTAATAAAACTCAAAAAATTAGATAACTCAATGATTTTATTATTTTTCATTTTAATATCAATATTTTTTAGATTGATTAAATCCGAGGTAAAAAATGACTATTAGATACGTTAAGGATTATTAAAAAATGCATGGTATATTGATGATGGAAACTCAAGTTAAACTTTTAATTTCTCCATCAAATATAATTGATTAATGGTTGAAATAAAATTAAGTATACTTTAGTTGTCTTACTATTATTATTATTGCTTTAAGATTAGAGTTAAATATTTGGTCAAACGTTATTTTTAAAGAAATGTATTAATTGTGACTGCAATATTATTTATTAAAAACTGATCATCAATCATTAAGTTTATTTCAGTTAATTTATTCATTTCCCACTAATCAATACATAATTTTAAGTCTTCTGAATAATTTAATACTTAAGAATTTAGATTTAAACTGAAAGATTATTCTAGCTTTTATAAGACTAGCTACTTTTCTTAAAATATTTCAAAATACTTAACAGAATCTGTTAAACAGGATGAGGTTTGCAATATTTTACAGTTTTATTTATTGTAGATATATTTACCTTTTAATAATTATTTATTATTTTTCAAAGTATTTCCAAGGCTAATAGCATATTAATTGTTCAGAAAAATTTTTAATTATTAACTTTAAACAACTTTGAAATCATCTATTTATTATATAAACTATTTTATTTGCTATTCACTTAATTTTATGTTGGTAAGTATGAATTTAAGTGAAAATATTTTTACATCTTGCTTTAAAGCAGAGAGTAAATTGCTAAATCCTTCTATCAAATTTTATTGCCTAACTGGTGATATTTACTTGTATTTTATTGAGACTATTTACTAATTTATGTCTATCTTTAATTCATTTTAGATATTTAATTTTAATTTGTAAAATTTTCCAGTTGAGATAATGTCTGCAGCAAATTATAAAACTTCAGAGTAGATATCAGGTTGAGATTTCTAAATGAAATTTGTAGTATCTAATTAGAATTGAAGATTTTAGAAATTTAACTTTTGCAGCTATTTCAAGTCTTCTAATAAGCTATCACTATCATTATCTATATTGCTCATTTAGATCTAAATATCATTAACTTTAGAAGATACTTTTGATATAAAATTGAAAAATGTTTTTAGTTGATTATTTTAGTCAAAGCGAAGCCCATTATTAACTATTAGTATTTTCTGAATATCTTCTTTGTCTTTATTTTTTAGATATTTAGTAATATCTTCGAGCTTAGTTATCACCTTCATAACTTTATGTGTTTTTTTATTTTTTGTTCAATTATTAATTTTTATTAGATATTCTTCAGTCAATAAATAAAATAAATATTTGAATATATTTTGTAAATAATCATAAAGAGGGGTAAACAATCAGAAATACAAGAAAGATAACAGAATGAAATAAATCAATAATTAATTAGCAAGTATCATCCGAATTTTAGATATCAAGTGATCATTTCAATTAGAGAAGTTTTATATAGATTTATAGAAAACAACAATTTTACATAATAAATTAAAACCTGGTAAAAAAATCGCAGCATAGTCATAAATGGATAGCTAGAGTAAACAAATTAGCAGTAAAAAGAGGGATTATAATGCCTATATGAAGGGAAATTAGATTGATGAAGGTGAAAAGATATACGAAGAAATTAACTAATAATATAAACAACTGCACCTTGAGAGGCAGTAACAAAGATTACTGCAATAGGCTTAAAATGCTTAGGCAAGTAATTTTTAAAAAGAAAATAATGAAAAAGAAGTAAAAATCAATGATTCTTAGTTAAAGTCATCTTAAAACATTGTAAATAGCTCTGTAAATCCCATTCCTTAAGTCAATAATAATTATCAAAAAGAATAGAATAAAGTTTCTTAAATGTAGAATATTCATACAAAATTTGAATTCAAGTAGTAAAAAAGCCAATTTTTCATAAACAAGCTGAAGTAATACCCAAAAGAAGAGTAAACTCCCTATATGTTAGGATTTTCAGATATGTTTTGTAAGAACCCTTTTTTTGAATGTAATCGTATTTTATTGTATTTATTTCAAGATTAATAAGCATAATAATTAAAAAATAGATTTCAATGAATAGCCAGAGAGATAAGATGTTTAGTCTATATTTATGACAACTTATGGATATGAAACTGAGCTTTTAATGCCTATTTTAAAATCTAACAAGCATGTAAAAATTTTTTACTGTATATCCTTAAAAAAAAAATGAGAGTCTTTTAAATTAGACTTTTGAGTTTAACTCCTACAATAGTTTTAACAATATTAAAAGAAATTTCTTTTTGCGCGAAAAAAATTTAATTTTTAAAAATTTTTGAGCAATTTTAACTTATTCATTTTTTAATCCAAATATTTTTTAAAGTTTGTTTTAGCAAATGATAAGCCGATGCATGATAAAAGTATTAAAGATGTTATAAAAGAGAATGACGGATTTAAAAATTGGACACTAATACATCCTCCAAAGGATGTTTCATCTTCATGGGGAGGTGCATTTCACCCAAAATTATGGCTCATAAAATTTAGTAGCTTTTTGAGAGTAGTTATTGGCAGTGGTAATCTCCATGTAAGCGACTGGTCTGTATGGAGTAATTGCTTGTGGTATTAAGATTTTCCATTAAATGCTAATAAAAAAGAAAAAACCTAATAAAAGCCTTCATCTCCAAAATGGGATTTTGAAGGAGATTTCAAAATTACACTCACTGAATTAGTTAAAAAAATGATGCCATCTGGAATAAATTATTAAGACTTACTTAAAATAAATTTAGATGATTATGATTATTCAGAAGTAAAAATTATTTTGATAAGTAGTATAGTCGGAAGACACACAGATATATATAAATATGGAAGAGGAAAAATGTATAAAATAATATAGGCCTTTACTTAAAATGAAAAAAATATTACTAATTAACCAAATAATAATTTAACACAAAATTAAAAAATAATTACCTATCAATGTACAAGCTTAGGGAATATAGATAATACATTTTTAAACGAGTTCTATACATGTGCTACAGCTAACAAGCCAATCACTGAGTTGAAAAAAGATAAAGCTAACAAAAAACAAGATCCAAATTTAATAGAATAAAAATTTAGATTGATTTTTCCAACAGCTGAATATATTTATGAGGATACAATTTATGGTCCTGAATATGCTTCTCCTGTTATACTAAATCAAAAATATTATGAAAAAGAAAGCTTCCCAAAATCTATTTTTCATCAGTTTTGTTCTCCTGACAATTATTTTTATCACACAGGAGCAATACCTCATTTAAAAACAATGGTTGTTACTGATAATGATCTACAAATCAAGGATGACTCTATTGTGTATATCGGAAGGTATAAAATATTATTTCAGTTAATCAGTATTTAATTAATTTTTTTTTTTTACAATACAGTCACAATTTTACTGCAGCTGCTTGGGGAAGATTTGAAAAAGACTACTCATAAATTTATAATAGCAATACCGAATTAGGTATTATCTATCCACCTATGGAAGGTTAACATTAATTTAATAATATCTTATTTAATTTAAAAAAATAAATGTTTAAACTTAATTAGATTCTGCTTGTATAAAATAAGAGATAATAAATTCTTTTAGCTTTAAATTAGATGCCCCTAAATACACCTAAAACATGAAACCGTTTGTTAGAAATTTTGAAGATTGATAAATAAATATGGAAATTACTCTATATAAAAAATATAAAAATAAAATTGATACTTTAAAATTATTTTTGTTGTTTATAATAAATAAAATCTCTGATCTATAAAAATTAAATTATCTCAAATATATTAATTAATTAAATTCATTCAATAAATAAATATCTTTTTGATTATTTCTAACTTTTCCAGAAAATAAAAGAGCAAGCTGATAAGACAAAAGTACAGTTAAAAGATAAAAGATTTTTTAATAAAAATTACAAAATCACTACTAGATATTTTATTTGTTGCATCAATTAATAATTTACATAAAAAATAATAAAAAGAACTTTTAATTGTTTAAAAATGCTTAGAAAATTTGTTTACGGTGTAGGTTTACTTTAAATAGGTTATGTAGGATACAACGCATCTGACTATATTTATAGGTATGGTATTCACTAAAACTGCAACTTGAAATCAATATATCCTTAAGAATACGCACTTATTACTGGGGCTTCATAAGGATTAGGTTTAGGATATGCTGAGGAATTAGCTAAAAGAGGATATAATGTTATTTTAGCTTCTCGTACATAGAAAAATCTTGAAGAAGTTGCTTAAAAATTGTAGTAAAAGTATACAAATGTTAAGATAGAATACAGAGTTTTGAATTTAGAAAATGAAGATCCTCAATCATACGAAGCCTTCTTTTCATAATTAAAAAAAGATTATGATAATAAAATCGGAATATTCATAAATAACGCAGCAGCTTTTGAAAAGGATTATTTAATAAATCTTACTCCTAAATAAATCAAATCAGTAATTGATACAAATGTCCTTGGTGCAACATTCATGATTTAGTAGGAATTAAAATATGCCATTCAAAATTCTTAGAATGACAAGCAAAAAACTTTGTTAATTAATGTAGGCTCTTAGAAAACTCACCGTGGAGGTACTTAAGAAGCAAACGTTTATTATGCAACCAAGCAATATATGAATCATTTAACCAGCTGCTTGAGGGACTAATATAAAACAATAGATTCTAATATATAAATAGTAAATAACTCCCCAGGTTATATTGATTCACCTATGCTTAGCTCATTCTATCCTAATTTTTCATAAACTTTTGGATCATACTTTTTAGATACTCCTTAAAAAATAGCCAAATAAACTCTTGATTAAATTGATGCAGATCCAGCTGTTATAAATGGATCTGATAAGCAAGCATTTGGGAACATATTCTTAAGCCTATAAGCAAAATATTAAAATCTTTTTAACTGAGTTTCAATATGACTAAATTAAAGATACCAGTTTAGATAAAATAAAATAATTTTTAAGTATTGTTTAAATTTATTAATAAATATTTAAAATTTCTGAATCTCCATAAATCCATTTTGTTGTTTTTTATCATTCATTTTATCAGTAAGATTAAAATATTACAGAATACACAAATGTAATAAATAATACAATTTTCAAACGACTTAAATTTGTTATATTTAATTTTTATTTCCAAATGCAACGAATTGTATTTGAATAGTCAATTGAAATGATATCATTCTTGTCTAATAAAAAAACAATTTCTATAAATAGTAATAATGGTAAGCGATTACCAATTATTTTGTGAATAAACCTGGTAATCTTTAAAACAAACAAAATTGATGTTAACTAATTAAAATTTGAAAGTTAATACAAATTAATATGGCAAAAAATACCAAAATAAATATTTTTAGTATTTAAAACATTTTATAAAAATAAAATTTGTTCTTTTGATCTTTGGTTTTTTAAAGTTTGTTAGAATTTAGAAATAAATTTTTTGATTAAAATAAAATAAATAATAAAAATATTGATATTTTTTAATATTTTTTCTTCAATTATTATATCCATAGCATGCACACTTTTGATAAGGTCCACCACATTTGTAACAGAATTGACAGCCACATCTGCAAGTCATGTGATCACAGCTTTTTTGAATTTATTATTTTAATAGGTTAGATATTCAAAACTAAAAAATATTACCCTTAATTCTTTTCTACCCACATTTTGCAATTGATACATTATTTGAATTTTTAACCTCTGACAAATTGCTCGAAACGCTTATCTTATTCCTGTTTGGTAATAAAATTAAAGATTATTTTATTATCTGAAATTATGTTTAACAATTAATTACATTGTATGTGTTAGAAATTTGATATTCTTTGCATGTTTGATTCTTATGGAATTCACATTTGCAAGTTAAACAAAATTTCTTTCTACAAAGAGGACATATTAACAAAGTTTAGTTCTCTTCTAAAACAAATGCATACTTGCACCCAGCAGAAGGACACCAAGATATCTATTTGTATAAGTTTATTTAAATAACAATGATTATTATTAAAATAATATGTGGAATACTTCTTCTAAATTGCTATCAATGTAGTTGTTTAAGGAAAATTCTTCATATTTTTAAAATTCTTGTTTAGTTAGAATTTCTTTAATATCACTATAATCTACATCTTATTTGCAATTATCATTAGGACACTTAAGAGGAAAGCTACGATCCTTTATTTTGACATTAAAGTACTATTGCAAACAATCTCTGTGAAATTAATGTCTGCACTAAAGAGGCCAAAATTATGAATCTGTCATTAATTCTAAACAAATCTCACATTTCCAAGATTATTCATCTTCGTTTTAAATTTTTTTATACGAGTCAAGTACTTTTCTTTCCTCTTCTTCCATTTCTTGAGCAGCTAATCTTGCCAACAATTCATCTTGTTTTTACCTCTCTAACTCCTATTTTTAAAATTGCACATTATATGATATCTATCTATCTACTAACTATTTTAAAAATATTACTTATCTCTACTCCTCTTGCATCATGCTTTAAAATAATTCCTCTTCATTTTTATTAAAATCTTACTAAATTATTTATAATTAAAAATGAGTAATTCTTATCTAAACTCATATTCTATTGTAAGTTTACTTTCATTTGGATTTATGAGTCTTACTAAAATATTTTTTCTGTTAACAGTTCTATAGTTTTAATTGGCTATGGCTACTTTCCTTCAAGAATATGAGAATATAATTCTTCAATTAAATCTGTTCTTTGCATTTGTTTAGTAAGCTAAACAAATTATTCAAAACCTTATGTTAATTCTTACAAAGCCTACTCACTCAGGTTATATCTTACAAACGCAGTGCCAAGTAAGAAACTCTAATAAAGACTCTCTCCTCTTATTGAGGATAGATTCTGTAATATGTTTTTTATATTTTAACTTTTTGATTTTTGCATATTTAAAGTATAAGATATTTATTTTATTAGACTATCTTTTATGACTTTCAGAAATTATTTATTTTTCTATGCTTTTATATATATATATTACAAAAGTTTATTGTATATTCTATCAAAAATTTTTTATTAACAAAATTATAGTATCCACTCTTATAATTCTGATATTATATGATAAAAAAAATATCTTAATAGTTTAGACAAATTTTGGTATTAAGATAGATAGATAAGCCTATTTGATTAGAAATTTTACAAACACAAAAAAAAATTGTTTCTATTTTATGCAATTTGCATAAATTTGTTAACTTTGATAAAAAATCGAAATAATAGAACAGAAATAAGAAATTTTATATAAAAATTTATTCATACTCACAAATAAAATAAATCCCAATGCTGAAAACTAGATTGAAATAAGTAGGCTGATAAATTAAGCTTGTTGTAAGCTATTTAAAATAGCAAATACTATATGATTTCAACTTATATTTTTGAAAAAATTATTATAGATTGATTTTTTGTGTATTATTACATTTTATTAAATAATTTTATAGATTCACTTTTATTATCCAAATAAATTTGAGGTAAAAAATTTAATGCCTTTTATGAATTGTTCAAAATTAAATATGATTAAAACAGAAATCTAATGATTTACTAGTTTAAAGGTTCTTCTTTTAAAATTATTTCCTCAGATAGGTTTATTACTTAAGAGTAATTTTCATTTCTATAGTAGTAAATTAATTATAAATGCCTTAAGTGTTCAGATTGATAATTAATATTTTTTCCTAACTCGAAAAGATAATCAATTGAATAAGTTTAGTCTAATATAAAATTTCCCAACTAATCGTATATAGATTTATAAATGACTGGTAATATATTATGAATAGATGGATATTGCTAGAAAAGGTAGTAGCTCATTTCTATTTGCTTTTTTCTATTCTTACAAGATTTATATTAATAACTTTAAATATGCTTTTCAATCAAAGGGAAATCATATTTCACATTATCAAAATCTAGATTTTTAGATAATTGTACTTATTTTTTAATTTTGATAATTTCATTAAGCTTCTAATCATCATTGAGTGTTTTATCTTCTACTATTTGATTATATTTATAGAAATATTGGTTATTGATAACTAGATTCTGAATAAAAGTATGAATAAATTCACAATTATCAAATAAAATATTTCTTAGATATAAATTTTTATCAAACTTATCATTTATATAAATATTGCTATTTAAGTAATCAACTAAAGTTGCTTTAGATTTATCATCAACCGAAAAAGGAAGTGGTATATCATATTTGTTAAAAGCCTTTTATATGGCAGTCTTATTTAATTGAATTTCATAGAAAATCAAAGATTTCTTTTTCAAAAATACATTATAAGCTTTTTATAGCTACAAAGCTAGGCTTTTTATTTCATTTCTTTCTAAATTAAAATCAAAAATATCACTAATAATTTTTTCATCATTTCCACAATTTTCATAAATTTTATCTTACAAAGTTTTACTAAAAAGCATCTCACATGATTTACATTATTTATTTAACTTTATTTTATTATCCTACAGCAAAATATGATATTTACTTTCCTCCTTTAACTATTTTCTTTCTGTACCTAGCATCTTTTATAAAATCTGATTAAGATCCTCATCATCATCATCTTCTTAAATAAATTTTTAGCTTTAATTATTCGCAAATAAACTCATAAATTTTGCTTGTAGTATCAAATTGTAATTAATTCTTAGATTATTAATAATAAATTAATTTATTAAAAAAAAAAATACTTACATTTCTTTAAATCTTAGTAATTGATATTTCTATAAAAAAAATTATATCAGTTTTAATTAGTTTTCTTATTAAATTATTTCAAACTAACTCTACACGATTTTAATATCACAAAATCAATAATATTTTTTTGTTTTTAGTCATAGTTTTAAAATTAATTATTTTATAATCTAATAATTTATTAAATTTGTGCTTTTAATAAAATATTAATTAAATTTATTTTAAAATTAATAGAAAATTTTTTTGTTTTGTTCAATAATTTAATTCTTTAAAATATTTATTTTAAATCAAATTAAAGAATATTTAATTAATCTAAATTCAATAATTTAATTATTTTTTTTTATTTTATGAAAATAATCGGAAAACGATTTTAATTTATTATATATTAAAAATACTTAATAAATAATTATTTAAAATTTTTATTAAAATTTGAATATTTTTTTCATATAAATTAAAAATTATATAATAATCTCTAATCAAATAATGATTAAGAAATACTTCTTATTGAAATCACAGCAAAGCAAATTGTTCAGTGAATATATTTCATTTAAATTACTAATTTTTGAAAAATTTATATATTTAATAAGATTAGCAGTTAAAATTCTTAATCAAACAGAAGATTTTAAATTTAAAAACAAAAAGACTAACTAAATGAGTGAAAAAGGTAAAATCATTTTAACCTTATAATAATTTTTTCTATTACTGCAAGAATTAAAATAAAACTACATTTTTATTTTAGAATATTAGGAAAAAATTGAGTATCTTGAGTAATAACTTAAGGCGAAAGAGAAATAGATTAGAGAAAATACAATTAAATTTGAAAAGGAAAAAGCTCTGCTAGAATAAAAGAGTGAATTTTATTAATTGGAGGTAAAAGAGCTGTAATAAAAGATTAACTAAAGCGAAGAATATAACAATCTTTTAATGCAGTTTACAGAAAAAAAAACTCCTTAAGAAGAAAAACATGAGTAAATGATGAAAAATTTCAAAGCAAATATTGAGGAGCTTTAAGAAAATCATAAAAAATAAATTGAAAGTAAAGATTTAGAGATAAAGAAATAAAAAGAATAATATGATCAAATTATCCAAAATTTAAATGAAAAATTAAAAAATGATTTTGAAAACTAGTCAGAAAAATTTAAAAAGCAATTAGAATCAGAATTACAGCTTTATCAGTAAAAGATTGATATGTTAAACACTAATTTATAGCAGTAAGATATATAAATCAAGGCTTTGAAGATGGAAAATAAAAATTCGAAAGAAAATCTTATTAAACTTTAAGAAAAGGAACTAGAAAAGTTAAAGTAAATTCACTCAGATGAGAACAAATAAGTATAGGAAAGATTTGAATAGCATATGAATCAAATGAAAATAATGTAATTTTACTAAAATTTAACATTTTTTCTTTTTAAATTAATTATTTTTTATAAAAAGGTATGAAAAGCAAGTCAGAAATTTGGAAGAGTAAATAGAAAATGAAAAAAGCAAAAGCAATCGATAAGATAAGGATTTGTAGTTAAATTAGGAAGAACTTTATTAGGAAATATACAATCTAAAGGAATAAAAATTGAAATTAGAATAAGAAATGCAACAGATGACAAATTATCATAAACAAAAAGTATTTTAGTTGGAAGAGCATGTCAAAAGCTTAGAATTAATTGCTTCTGAGAAGTAGCAAAATTTTGATAACATAGTTAAGCAAAATGAGGTTATATATAAAAAATAAATCAGCTCACTTCAACAATAAAATAGTGAATTATTAGTTAAACTTGATGAGCAAGTAAGCAAAACAGTTTAGCTTGAAAAAGGAAATGAAAAAAATAATTAATTGGTGCAAGATTGCTAAGAGTTAATTTCTCAGGAGAGGGAAGAATTAGAAAGGTTGAGATATGAAAATTCTTTAAAGAATTAGTACAGTGCTAGAGAACTCACAGAGCTAAAATCATCACAACAATAGATGAAGAAAGAAAATATTGATCTTAAAATATAATATGAGCAATTAAGTGTGCAATCTTAAGAAAAAGAAAAGCACTTCACTTAACAAATAAATGATCTTAATTCTAAAATAAAATAGGTTACTACTAAATATGAAAATTAAATTTAGTCATCTACAAAAGATCACAATTAAAAGATTAACGATTTTACAGAAAAATACAACAAAGAAAAGTTGTAGTGGGAAAAAAATGTTTAAAAACTTGAAAAAAATTTGAGAGAAGTGGAGAGTGCTTATGGTAAGCAGCTATCTTAAGTGGAGAAAGATTCATTTAAATAGAAGGAATAAATTTTGAGTTAAAACTAGCAAATTATAGCTTAAGATAAAAATATTAGTGAGCTAATTAAACTAAAAGATCAGCTTCATATGCAGAATATAGAATTAAAAACAACAGTTTAGAATTTAGAAAATGAGATAGAGAAATTTAAAAATCTTTCACGCCACTTTTAAGAAAAATATAATCAATCTGAGCAAGCTTTTAATACTTAGCAAATCCTGAACATTTAGAAAATTAATTTCTTAGAAAGCTAAAAGGAGAGGGCTAAAAAGGTAAACATTTTCAATATGATAAAATAATTTTTTTAATAATTTTTAATATATTTCTTATAAATTAGGATTTGGCTGATGCCTAATAAAAATTTTAATAAGTTCTAATAAAAATGTAGTCTATTAGAAATCAAGATAAGAATGAAATTTAAGAAGGAAACAAAACTCTGATAGAAGCACTTGAAAGAAGATACGAATAGAAGATAAGCGATTTGAAAATAGAATATGAAAATTAGATCAATATTTTAGAACAATAACTAAGGATTGCTTGCTTAAAAAATAATTCACAATCTTCGTTATCAAAAGGATCTGAGAATAAATAAATTGAAGAAATCAATGAATTATTTGAAAAGAGAAGATAAAAAGAGCTTTAACTACTTTAAGATTTATAAAACTAAAAACAATAGTATGAAGAAAAGATTTCTAATTTAAAATTTTAATATGAGCAAGAAATAAAAAAGGTTAAAAAATAAAATGAAGAAGAGTTAAACAACTTAAAAAAAACTATTTCAGACTTAAATTCTAACTTATTACAAAAACAATAGAAAAAAGAGTTGTGTGAGCAATAAATTTTGAGCCTAAATTCACAAATACAAGATCTTAAAAAATAAATTCTCTCTTAAAATGGGCAAAATGGCTCAATTCAAAGTTCAAACAATTAATACAAGGAAATAGGAGTAAATGGAAACTAAATTTAAAGTGAAGATGCTAGCAAAAAAGGGATAATAAGAAAAAGTATAGACTTTTAATTGTATAGCAGTGTTTCAAGTTCAAATTGCAATAATCTTCCTTTATCATATAATTATTCTAGCAATATATTGCCAATAAAAGATGATAAATATTAGTAGCAAAGACTCTAAGCTCCCAGCAATGACAATAACTAGTATTTGCAGTCATAATTTTAGCAGCCTTTCGTTTATTAAAATTAAATTTTGAGATCAAATAGTTCTAATACTAGATTAACTGAACAAGAAAATAAAGACATCATAAAACCTATTACTAACTCTTAACAAACTTTATCAGACTCTGCAAAAAAATGCCCTAATTTAAGCTCTCAAGAATAATTCAAGTAATCTCCAAGTACTTAATACAATTTATAAGGCTAAACATCTTTAAATGTTGACTAAATTGTAAACGAAATAATGGGTAAAATAAAGTAAAATGCTGCACAAGCTTAATAAACTCAAAACAAAGAAAACCAAGCATTATATTAATACTATACTAATTAATATTGAACTATGAAACTTTTTTAACTTACATTTTTAATGGATTTATATGTCTTTATACATTAAAAATTATAATAAATATTAAAGGCGCTTATGATTTAAAATGAATTGATTCAAATATTTTAGAAATTTATAATAAAATTAATTTTCTTAAAAATAGTAAAAAAAAAATATTGAGTAAATTGTAAAATAATTCAAAATCAAATGATTTATTTTTCTAAGTAAATTAATAGTAGAAAGGTATATTAGCTAACTGCATTAATCTTTCAATATTGCATTAACATATAAATACAAAAAAAAATTATTTAATTTATTACTATTTAAATTAATTCAAATTATCATTGCTTATTTTAACCATTTTTATTGTTATCCAAATAGTGTTTTTTTTCAATTTCTATAACTTACTTTAAATCCGGCCTATTTTAAGAAATAAATTATTTTAATTTGAATAAAAAAATCAACTTTACTTGTCAAAATATCTTCCCGCATATGCTAAAATATTATCAGGCTTTTCTTCTAAAACTCTAAATAGAAATACAGATATAATAGTATTTAACTCAGGATGATCTCTTAAATATTTTTCATTTGCCATTCTAAATTATACCTTGAATGACATAGTATGAAATGCGTTTTAAATAAGCTTTTAAAATTAAAATTTTTACCTTTTTCTTTTCAACATCTATTTATTACATTTTAACAATACCAGGCTACCCTGCAATATCATGGGAATTCACATATTTTTCCTTATTGTACATATTATTTATTTGGTATTTATAATTTTCTATAGCACCAACTTCTTCAGATTAGTCATCTAAAATTTATTCAGAATCTTTGCTGTTACCTAAGTGATCTAAGCTCATCTCTTTTATTAATAATATAAACTTTATATCTATTTACAAACTAATTAATTTATTAACTTTTTAATAATTGAGTTATATATTCACAAACATTAATAATAAGCAGCTTATAATATAAAGCATTATAAATCAATATATAGATAGATATAATTTAAAGCTAACTTTAATATATCTTATTCCGTTGCAGTTTATAAAATAATCAATATGTGTTTGAAAAATTAAAAATAATATTTTTTTATTTGTTGGTATAAAATATATTAGAAAAAATTACAATTAAAAATAACTTTTTTGTAAAGTATTTAATCTTAAATTATGTTTAATATAATAATAAAACTAGTAAATGTCATTTGCATGAGTTTATGACTGGTTTATTTTTCATGTAGATAAATATATATCAATGTCATAAATGTTAAAATATGGAGAAAATAATTTAATTTTGAGTCCATGTAATTTAAAAAAATTAAAAAAATGTTGGATTTAAAATATTTTTGTTTCTTCTTTTTATCAAAGTAATAATCTTTATTATTTAATTCACTAAACATGGTATAGAAAAAGTAAAGATCAAACTATATAGCCGATACAATCATACTATAAAGAATATGAACGTTCATTCTAAAACAGTAATTAAAAATGGCTAAGTATCAATTATTTTAAGGTTAATTAGGTTATTATTAACCTAGAATGATAATAATTCGTTTTTTTTTCAAATATATATTTATTCAAGCACTCTCTCAAATACGTCTTTGTTTTCTGAGTTCTAAATTTATTTATTAATAGATAGATTTTAAATATATTTTTTGTTTTTAACAAATTTAATAATTATTTTTTTAATTCTTACTTTTTTGAATGAAAGCATTATTTCCAACACTAACACTTTGTAATTGCTTATTTCCGACTTCAATTGAACCATCAGTAACATCCAAAGATCCATTATTATTTGAAGAGGATCCACTACCTGAACCACTACCACTTCCAGAAGATGAACCACTACCATTATTAACATCTAGAGACCCATTATTGTTAGATGAGTTGTTACCAGAGTTGTTATTGTTGTTGTTGTTGTTATTGTTATTAGAGCCGTTATTAACATCTAATGAGCCATTGTTATTGCTAGATGAACCTCCATTATTATTTCCAGATGAACCACCTTTTCCGTTGTCAACATCAATTGACCCATTCTAATCGTCATCGTTATTGTCAGGATCTTCATCGTCATCATCACCAGTATCACCATCAGTATCCTATTAATCTCCTTCCAAAACTCTGATACTACCGTTTTTATCGTGAGTTTTGCTAGGTTGCATACTGATACTACCATGACCATCTTATGTATCTATGTAATAACCAATTCTAACACTTCCATTACCATCTTCAGTATTAGGTGAAGAAATAATTGATCCATTTCCATCTTTTATAAAAGTTTTATTAAAAATTATATAAAATATCTTAAAGTATAAATTTTAATTTTTTAGTTTAATTAAGTTAATCAATAGTATTTTTGTTTTAATATTATACCTCCACCGTTTCCATTGTTGTTGCCGCCATTGTTGTTACCGCCATTGTTGTTACCGCCATTGTTGTTACCACCATTGTTGTTACCTAAATTAAAATTAAATGATTTATTTATTTATTAAAAATCAAATGAAATGTTTTAATTATAAAATAAAAATAAAAAATATTTTAAAAAAGAACTTATTAATATTTAGAAATTAAATTAAAAGTCAATCGTAGTTAATTAAAATGAGAAATAAAAATGTAATCATTGTACCACTTCCATTGTCAACTAAATATTATTAAAAAAAATTAATATTAATAATAAAAAATATTTTAAATAAGTGAAAAAAAATCTTTAATATAAATCATATATGAAATAATTATTTTTATTTAACATAAAGAAATAATTATGAATCAAAATAACTTACTAACAACAGATCCAGGAGATTCAGCATCAGCCTTACAGTTCTTTAACCAGGTATCAATCTATGTAAGCTTTTAAGTAAGGACATTAGGAATTTCAGCATAACCAGGTTTTGAAATAAGTTATTATTATTCAGCAATCAACTCATTAATTTTTTGAATAATTTAATCGCACAAAACAAGCTTCTTATCTGGATCAGCAGTGCTTTACATAACTGAGATTAAATTGAGGAGCTCATCATAATTATCTCCATGTAAAAGCTCTGAATAATTCTAAGTTTATATAAGAGCAGTAAAGCCAGCATCAATTTTAACAATTGAAGCTCTTGCTTATTAAATCAAAGCTAAAACCTATTTCAAGATATCAATTTCGTTTTGTACTGATTTAATTGTTTCATATCTATCCAAATAGTTCTGTATGTATTATCTATCGGATTGAACAGAGTCACTTTGCTTGCACTTCTTACCATCTAAAGAATAATTTAGTGCATCATCTAGGCTCAATTATGCAAAACTAAAGCCTAAGAGAGCAAAGCAGACTAATAAAGCCAATTTAGTCTTTATCATTTGTTAATAATGCTTTTCTCTTTTATTAATTGTTTTTGTATACTAAATAATTATTAGTTATCAAAACTTAATGCGTTTTTTGTTTTTTAATTAGAGCAAGTTTTTTGTTTTTTCCTATTTTTTGTTCAAATCAATTAATTGACTGATTATGTTTGTTTTTCCTTTTCATGTAAATTATTTTGAATACAAGCACTCTTCTTAATTACAAGTAAAATTCATTAAATCCCTTCATTTTTATTCAATTTAATTACTTTTCCAATAATTATAAAAACGGATCAAACAGCTCATTATTTTATAACATACCTGCGAAACGCTTTTTATAAATAGGCTTTATTTATATACATTTATTGTTTTATATACATCAATCCTATTAAAATAAAATACTTTAAATATTCATATTTCAGATTCAAAAAAATATTTTCAATAAAATATTTATTCATTAATTTCTAATTAAAAAATGATATTGTCTCAAATATCAAATTATATTTAAAATTCTCAAGCCTTTTTTAATGTATTTTTTTAATTAACAATTTATGATATATTTGATTTCTAGATTATAGATAGAACATAAATAATTTGAAAGATTGATCAAAGTCAAATTAGATATTTTTTCTAAATTAATGTTGTTAAAATTTATATTCAAATAAATTATTTTTATATAAATTTAATAAAATATTAAATTTTTTTTTAAACTAAAAATTCCATTTTAATCTTTTTTTAATCATATAAAATTAAAATAATTTGATCTTTTCTAAAGTCTTTGATAAAATAAGTTACATATCATGTTAAAAAATCTAAAATTAAAACTATTTTAAATTTTCACAAACTTTATTTAAGAATAATATTTAATAAAAAATGTATTTTTATTTTTTCTTTAAAAACTAGATTTTTTGTTAAATATTAAAGCTTATTAACTTATAAAGATAAATAGAATTCTTTTGGATAGGCTTTATTTATATTTATTTAAAGGTTTTTATAAATATTTAACAAAAATAAATTATAATATTATACTAATTAAAATTATTCTTATGTGAAGAAATTCCTTTATTCAATCTTTAAGAGCATTTTTCAATATTTTGTGATTATTTAATTACTTCTGTTTTCGAGTAAAAAATTAATCTTTTTTATAAATCTAAGAATATTTAAATATTGAATTTAGTTTTTGGTATACAATACAATATCAAATTCATCAAATTTTATCATTTTAATTTTTCTATAAATTCTTAAACTTCTATATTACCTATTATTTTTTGCAAATTTAATATGTATTAGTCATATTTTAAAATTAGAAAACGATAAACATTAATATATAAATTTTCATTTTTCTATCTCTTTATCATAATTTGCTTAATTGCTATTTAATTAAACATTTAATAATTTATAAAAATTCAATTTATGAATAAATAAGAATTCTTTTTAGAAATTTTTATGTTTTTTACAAGTACTGAATTATTAAATTTTTTTTGATTTTTGCTTTTGTAAATAAAAATAATGCAATTATTTTTGATTATATTAAACATAAACAAACCAAATTTTTTTAATTTCTTTCCATTAAACTATCATTAAAATGAAATATTTCTTTGTTGATCAAATTGATGCATATAAACTAAAATAAAAACAAAAAGCATAAATAATTTTAAAATATGATGATGGATCTTTTATTTATTAAATATTAATCTATTTTACTGATACAATTAATTTAGTTATTTTCTTTAAAAACGCTCAAATGACTAAAGATATTTAAGATAAATTCATAAAAACAGTTTTTAGTTAATTTTAATCCTCATATATTAAGATTTATATGCTTTCCTGATTTTTATTTAGAAAGTTCCTTAATGGTGGACTGTTTTTAATTTTGAGTAAAATTTTTTATTTTTTTCATTCATTCTAAAGATTTTGTTTGTAAAAATTATATTAATCACACCTTATTTTATAGAGAAAAGTACCTTAATATATAAGAATGTATATTATTTTATATAAAATCTCTCATATATTGTTAGCGAAGGAGAATAATGTGTAGATTTAAATTATTATCCACATTATTTTATTTTACTTAAACCCACTCCTATAAAAACCTCTAAATAAAAGGTATATAATTATTAAATTTTTTAATTTATTTTAACTATGTACTTATAATAGATTTCTTAAAAAATAATTAAATTAACTTAATTTCATATTCTTATTTTTGCGATTTTATATGAGATAAATATACCTGAAAGTTTTTTCTAATTAAAAAAAGATAATATATTCGATTATTATAAATTGTTTTTTATGTAAAAATAATCATAAATAGCTTTCTTTATGTTTTATTGTGGTAGAAACAAAAGGATATATTATATTAATAATATTTATTTTCTATAAAAATTTTGACTTTTAATTTTAAAATTTGTATATTTGATGAATAATTCTTTGTTTGTCTATTCTTTTTTTTATGATTGAAAGTATTCAAGAAAAATATATTCTATAGTTAAAAGAATGAATATTAAACAAATTAAGACTTTTTTAAATTTAAAAATGTTTTTTATTTTAAAGTTTTTTTATTAAAAATAATGCTATTTTATTTCGAAAATTTAAAATTAATTAGCTATGAATCAAAAAATAATTAGCTATTGTTATAGGCTTAAAGCTATGGAACTAATTAATATAAAATAATATATTTTTCATACTTAAATATTTAAAAAATAATAAAATAAAGATTTTCCTAGTTCAAAAAATAAAACCAGTTAATTAATAATACATGGATTGATTTGTATATTTTGCCGTTTTATAAATTTATTTGATTATTATGTGAATTAATATTAAATAGATATAAATCAATATAATAAGAAATTATTTAATCATTAACAATTAAAAATGAAGATTAATTATATTAAAATTACAATATTAGTAATTAAAATAATTTTTAAGATTATTCAAAATTAAAATACACTTAAAAAGAAACAAAAAATTTACATTTTATATCACAATAGTTTTTAAAAAAATTATTTTAAAAAATAATATTAAAAATACAGATATTAATTACAAATTTATTAATAAATTAAATAACTTTAATTAAACAATTTATCATAAAAGTATATCATACGAAGAGCAAAAAAATTGAATGATAATAGATAGACCTTTGATGAAAAATAAAAGATTTGTTTCTTTTTTAGTTATATATATAAATTTTAATAGAAATTAAACAAAATTTCAATATTATTCTTTTTAAAAGAAATTATCAAAAAAAAATATTTATAGGGATATTGTAAAACCAATATATTTTATATTTAAATACTATAAAGCACTGTTATTCTTATTCATAAAAGATTTATTAATAAATATTAAAACATTTTGTTTAAAATTATGTATTTAGTTGAGAGTTTAACTCTAATACCATAAATCCTCAATACGAATAATACGAATTGGAGTAATATTAAATACTGATAATATAGGTTTTTTTATATTTAAGATAAAGTTAAAAAATGTAAATATATTCTCTTTTATTATAGTATTGATGGTATGTGAATTTATAATCGAAAAATTATTATAATAAATATTAAAAATTTGTTCAAATAGATATATAATAAATACAAAAATTTGAGTAAATATGCAAGTATAAATGATAAATTCATGAAAATAAAAAATTAATTTGTTGGAAGGAATACATACCATACATTTGAATGCTTAAATATTTATTAAATAAATCTATATGATATAATTTTATTTTTTGTTTATTTAAAAGTAAAATGAGAAAAACATATTTTACTTATTTATTCTAAAAAATTAAACTACTTGCTAATATCTTATTCTAATTATTTTTTAGATAATACGAAAGCTAAAATTTTATTTAGTATTTTAATTGATTAGTAGTACCATTTTCGAAGGATATTATGATAATTCTTAATGAGCTTAGAATTCTTTAAAGTCACATATTAATAGTAATCAGGAATAAATAAAAAATTAATCAGAAAAGAAGATTTTAGTACTTATATAATTAAAGAAATAAAAGTAAAAATCATCTTTGATAAATTAATTAAATTCAGATTTATTTTCTAATAAATTTAATATCATTTGAAAATTAAGTAAGTAAGTAAATGGTATATAAGATACCAAAGAAATCATTTTTTTTAGCATAAGATGCTGTTTGTATAGCAAAAGAAGTATATTTTTATTTTTTAAATTGGCCAAAAGCCAACTTTTTAGTCTTAAAATAGCGATTTAAATTTATTTTCTTGAAATTAAATCATTCGTAATATAATTTTTTGGAGTTTATCATATAAATTTTACAATCTGACAAAATCATTTTAATAATTTATATCAACCATTAGATTATTCATTGATTCATTCATTAAATTAATTAATTAATTCTTAAAAGTTTTAAACGAATTTGGTTGCGCTCTAAGATTTGTAAACTGATGAAAATTACTATAAACTGCTATGCTCAATAGATTTGACTTCTTACTTAAGTTGTGTTCCAAATTTAGCAGAAGCAATATTAAAAAAAAGTGAAGGAGATTTAACAATCAAAATAGATTTGATACTCAAGAAGATTAAAAATTGGTAGGACTCTGATAATAAAAACAATTTAAGCTAATCTATTGCTCGTTTATTTTAATCAATTCTTTAAGTGTAAAGTTTGAAATTAGAAATGACACAAAAAAAGATGCAAGAGTATATCAACAATTAGCCCTATGAAAAAGTAAATAAAAGAGAATAGAATTATTGAGAAATACTAAAAAATTTAATTAAAATTAGGTATCTATTTTAGAAACTATTACGTATGCATTAAAAAGAATAAGCAATCCAATTTCCATAGAAAATGCTTTGAGATCATTCAAAATATACTTACATTATTAAGAATTTAGAAAAAAAAGCGGGGAAAATGATTATCCAGAATTTCTAAATCGTGGTGCTATTAAAGAAGAAAGAATTTTAAAACAATGGGAAAATCTAATTTTTGCTTCATTCATTTCTATTTAACACTTATGTAATAATAACTCTGCTTACATTAGAGTAATTGACATACTTCTATTTATTACTTAACTTGATGACACCTTAAGACTAGAAATTATCAAATAGAGTGTAAGCATTGTTTTGATTGATTGAATTGATTTTACTATTTCTTTTCTATTGAACTATTTTGAGTTTTCAATTTCTTTTTGAGAAAAAATGATAATTAGCATTAATTTTAATTTATTCAGATAGATATTTATGATTTAGACTTATTTGTTTATTTAATTTATTCTTGGTTACTTATAATAGGGTATTAGAATTCTTCTCTTAAAATTGAAGGAAGATAAAAACTTAACTTCTGATTCAGCAAGAAAAACTTTAACACTTTTAAGAGATTTATGTTACAAAGACTCATCAGCTGCAAGTTTATTAGGACATCATGAAATTGAAGAAAATATGCTCATAGTTTTGAGAAAATTTAGGTAATAATTATTTAAACAATAAAAAAATAGTCTATTTTACATTAAACTTTTTAATTTTCTAGAGGAGATAGAGAAATTGAGAATTTGGTAAGTTAAACACTTGAATAGACTATCTTTGGTTTTGACTTAGATATCTAGAATTTTAATGAGAATATGATGAATGCTATGTAAAAATTAAAAGAGTATGCAGCGAGTCCAATTGATAAAGAAGATCTTGAAAAAGCACAAAATAATATTTAAATCATTTAATTCTACTCTTTGATGCAAGTATTTACAAGAAAGCTAATCAGTTTATAAGTTCATGATCTTCTGTATGAAATAATTAGAAAAGAGCTAGAATTGAAATAAGAAATTTTAAATGAACATCAAGTTTTCCTTGAGCACGAACGTATTTTAGCTGATTCACTAGTAATTTTAAAAAAAGTATTGCTACTACCAGAAAATGCTTCAACAGATAAAAATGCTAAAGAAGATGTCCCTAAAAAGCTAGTAAATAACCTACTTCCAAATTTAATTTTAATTATTAAATGGAAAACTGATATGAAAGAAGTTATAGTGAATTCTCTTGACTGCTTAAAGATCTTCACTAATAATGAAAATACTAAATAAGGCTCAATAAAATTAGCTGTGCAGTCGAATATTCAAGAGCAACTTACAATATTAAAAGATATCTACAAAGATGATTATAAAATGGTTAAAACTATAAATAACTTATACTTCCTTTTTGCTAAAGTTGTTGGTGAATTTGCTAATTCTCTTTAAAAAACATCTATGGTCAGCAATCTTGTAAAGCTATTCTAATCAAAACAAGCTCAAGTAAATTCAATTAAAAATACAATTTCATAAGAAAATGTATAAATAAAATTATATAAATTTAGAATAAGACTGAAGTAAAAAGAAATTTAGAGTATTTAAATAACTTAGCAGAAATTCCATCTACTGCAAAAACAATCATTGAATAAGGTGGTATAAAATTCATCTAAAATTACTTGAAAGAAGAAAATAAAGTAAATTTTTTATTCTGCTTGAAATATCATTGAATTTTATACTACTTGTAATATTAGGATACAAAAAAAACTTTTTTAGCAGAAAGTGAAGGCATAGAAGAACATGTCTACAATCTTGCTGATGGAAATGATGATTAGGATGAAGAAGAAGAAATACACGCAGAAAATAGAGAAGAAGAGCTAAGAAAAGAAGAATCTTAATTAGAAACTTACAATACTCAAGCTGGTTCAAAAGAACCTTCAAATCCAGTAGAAATCTTGCGCAAGTTGATTTAAAATCATACAGAAGGTTAGTTAGTCTAATTTTTAAAAATAACATTCTAATTTAATATTTTTTATTAGAACTCTAAAAGTTTATTAATCAAGAAATCATTCTCGAAGTTCTTAAATATTTAAGATTACAAGCCCAAAACAAAGATGCTGTTTTTGCTACATTAAGAGTACTCTAATCCTGTGCCGAAGAAGAAAAAACCCTCATGATTTTAAATGAAAACAAAGCATTAGAAAGTAATAAATCTAATTAACCTTAAAAAAATAAATGTTTTATTTAAATTATATTAGGCATTTTTATTGCTCTTAACTAACATCCTACAGATAATGATATTTGCAGTCTATCTGGTTTAATTTTAGGTAAATTAGGAGCAGATTAGATTGCTGATGAGGTAAAATCTTAATACAAGGAAATGGGAGATACCTTTAACCCTAAAGATGAAGATATGATCGAAAGCATTAGATAAGCTAACATTTATTTAGGTAACCTTCTCACTTACACTCCTGAAGATGAAAGTGATGAAATTATTGAAAAAAATAAATCCGTCATTTAGGCTCTTGATAAAATCATGGTAAAAGGATTGCCTTCTAACTTTATGGTATCTTTGCTCTTATTAATTATGAGATTATGCAATTAAGGAGAATAAACTAAATAAATGCTAAGGTAACAAACAACTACTTTTTAAACAATATTTTTTAAAAATTATGAATTTATTTAAATAGAGAAAGTGGCATTCCAAAGAAGATAATTGATTTTATGTTTGAAGAAAGCAGAAATTCTGAATCTGGTAGATTAGTTGAATTTTGTATGGAAGACTTATACTCTATGATAGGAGGTAGCTCATCAGAAAATCTTTTAAATTGTCTTGACTCATAAGATGGATAGGAAATAGAAATTGAAACTGATGAAATTAAAAAAGAATACCTCTAACCAATCGATAAGCTTCTTAATTCTTAGAAGGTTTTAGAGGTTATTGTACAGCAATTAACCTTTTTGCCTCGTGAAACATTCAACACTTCAAAATAAACTCAAGCTAAGATTTACAGCCGTATTTTACGTAGTTAGTAGCTTTTGGCTAGACTTATTGAATGTGACCATGAAACATTTGCTTAATAGATTTACCAATTGATTGGAGAAGAAAAAATTATTAGTCTTTGGAATAATCTTATTTAAGAGGATAGATCAATCCCTATAAAGAGCACAGCATTTTTTAATCTTGGAAGATTAGTTTCGAATCTTGCAAAATACAACTAAACTTTCTTCCTCAAATTCTCTAGCTAAAATTAAATGAATTATGTGGTAGAAACTCTTTTGAATGCAAAAATTAACTAAGATTTTATAAACAATTTGCATGAATAAATTACTTTAAAGAATACACTTTAGTTTATTGAAAGATTCTTAAACAATTAATTTGATAAGACTAGATTGGTAGATGCTAATATTCCTTCAACATCTTTTAAAATATTTTAACGTCTTACTTCTTTGAGCCAAGAGGATTTTGAGTCTTCTGGACTCATTTGCCTTCTTCTTAAGCAAACAAGTGAAATAATAGAACTTCAAATAGAAGATTCTATTTTAGCATATGATCTATCAAAGTACAATTTGATATCTTCTATAATTAATTTCTTATCTAAGTTTGCTACAGAAAACACATCTTAATATTAGCGTGAGGATGATCCTTAAAATACAGAAGATATTGTTGCAAGTGAAGGCTTAGTTGAGCGTGCTATTGAAAGCTGTTATAAGCTTTTAAACACAACTCTTAACTAAAATAAATTCTCAACATATGCTAGCAAAATATATACAGAGAATTCTCCAATCGCATTAGTTTCTTGCTAGTATAAAATTTCAGCCTATGCCTTAACAAAAACTTTATAAATCCTATATGGTCTTATTGTTTGCTATGACAACACAACTGCTTTAATGTTTAACGAACCCTTTGAAGAAATCAGCAGCAACACTAAATTCTCAAAAGATATTAAGTTAGCTCAAACAGTTGTAAAACAATATCCTAAAATTCCTGTGCTAACAATGCTGTTAAAAGATCTTAATTAAGTTTAGAGTTTATTATTATCTGGCGACTTAAAGGGCCTGTAAAAAATTAAAGACCATGTAATAAAATAACAAATTTTTTATAAATATTTATTAAATTTTTTTTTACTTAATTCATTTTTTGACCTTTTATAATTTTATATTGTAGATATATGGAAATCTGTTTATTGAAGAAAAAATAGAAGAATAAATGAAGGGAATTGTAGAGAAGGTAGAGTAATATGCTGAATAAATTAAATAAGAAGAAGTTAAAAAGAATGAATAAAAAGAAATTATGTTCGAAGATATTAAAAATGATGATTTGTGGGAATAAAATTTAGCAAATCCTGACACTGATATAATAAAAATATTAGACAAGATTTCTATAGCATTAGAAAAATTCTCAATGGATGTTGCAAATAACAATTATGTTGTTTCTAAAGATTAAGAAAATTTGATAATCAAGTTATTACAAACTATTAGAAGCATAACAATAGACGATAATACAGCTCTAAAAGTTCACAAAATGGGAATAACTGATAATCTTTTAAATTTATTAATTGTTGTTGAAAGCTTTTTTGATGATTCGTTTGCCTACCATATTGGCAATACACTTTCTCACTTAACTAAATTCATAAAGGCTCTCAAAAAGGTTGAGAATGAAATAGATTTTATTGAAAGCATTAAAATCTTTTTGTCATTTATATTAGAAGAAAATTCTAAAAACCCAAGTATCTAGACCATACAAAGATATAAAAAGGTAAACGCTTAATTTTATTCAAAATTCTTTAGTTTTATTTTTGGAAAATTTTAATTTTAAAACCGTTTTATTTGATTTCTTAAAAATTTTTTAATTTAAAAATTTAATAGACTGCTTTAGAAATATTAGAAACTTTAAAAAATATTACAGCAGTTGAGAGCTAAATCAGATAATTTGTTACTAATAAAGGAGTTGACTAATGCATCTATCTTTTTGAAAAGTCTCTTGATATAATAGAAATCTTAATTAAAGTAGTTGATATTCTTGATAAACTTGCCTACTGCAACAAAGATGCATTAGAATCTTGTGCTAAAAAAATTACTCCTTATATAAATGTTTACTGTGAAAAACACAGCAAGAATGTTGATTCCATGTTAGGATTTGCTCTTTTAGGAGGAACACTTTGCAGAAATGAAAATTCACAAAATTTACGTAATTTTAATTATAAATTTAGGCAATTTCTCATATTTATTTATTCAGAAAATTATATTCTAAATTTACATTTATTTATTTTAAAAAAAGTTGGTTCAGATAAATTCCACCTTACCATAATTAACGGCTTAAGTAGATTCCCAAATAATAAGATACTTGCTACAAATAGTTTTTATGCATTGAGTGGTTTAGCTTATAATAATAAAGCAAACTGTGCTGAAATTATGAAAACAGATATTTTAAATATTATCAAGGAGTAAATTAAAGAATTTATGGTTGAACACTAAGTCATAGAAACTATATGTTCTTTGTTGTCAAACTTAACTTTTAAGAATGAAGATGTCAAGAGAAAATTAGGTGAGGTAGGAATCGTAGATCTTCTTGGAAAAATTTTCTCATACTATGCAAATTAGAGAGTACTTAGTTCTAAAACAACAAAGCAAGTTTTAAGAGCAATAGGAAACTCTTCCTTAACTATTGAAAATGCTACTCGTATAGTAAAATCTAATTTTGTAGGATTAAGTACAATCATTATCGAAAAGATGAAATATGAAGAAGAGGGAGATGTTTTAAGGTAATTTAATTTCAAGAAATATCTGATTTATTAAAGCTTCTTTTGTTTTGCTTGTTAAAATTTATTTATATTAAAATAATTTAGTTTAAATTAATATTTAAATAAATTATTAGGTATTGTATTGATGTTATTGGTAATCTTTCTTCTCATCAAGATAGTATTAATAATGAAAATACTCAGCAAATGTTCAAAGATGGAGCTCTTGATTTAATTTTGAAGTAAATTTTTATATGGAGATTGTATCTTAATTATTTTATTTAGAGTTATCAAAAAGAACGAATTAAATACAGATATTATTTCAAGTTGTATTGATGCCATAGATGGATTAGTTTAAAATAAATTAATTTCTGTAGTTGCTGCTGAGAATGATGCCGTTTCAGTCATTATGAAAATTATTAAATCTCAAATTTGGAATGAAGTAAATTAAAAATTTTTATTCAAATTTAATATAAATGATTTTTTTTAGAATACTGTTCTTAAAGGTACAAGAGTCTTGGCTAACATATCAAATACTAAATAAAATATCGATTAGTTCTTAAAAATAGAAATGCCTTTGTTTATTGGCTCAGTCCTTAAGAATTTAGATAAGCCTAATGATAAAATTATAAATTATGTAAATACTTTTATTAAATAATTAAAAAAACTGGATATTGATAATAATAAATTATAGTGTTTCAGAATCCTTAACAGAATAGCTAGTGAAAAGGCTAAAGATAAATAATTATTACAAAGTGGGCTTATTGAAGCTCTAGGAGAAGGTCTCTCACACTCTTAAATTAATCCTGACTGTATCTTCAATTACATCAGTCTTCTAAAATCAATAGCTAAAATTCCTGATGCAGTTTAAATTATTGGTAAAATTTCATTTTTTAAGTCCAAATTTATATTTAAATTTTAAAACAGGTGAAAAATCAATAGCAAATGCTATATTGAGAGCTAATGAAAATAAAGGAAATAATGAAATTCTAGGAATTAGTATAGTCCTTATTGAAAGAGTGTTGAAATGTAAGGCAGCTGTGAATAATATAGTAGAAAGTGGAGGTTTTGAGATATTGATACATGTTATCAAACTGTAAAAAACTGTAGATGTCCAATTATGCATTGCTGTAAAACTCTTTTATTGCAAAAAAAATATTTACAATTTTTAACTTAGGCACTAAATTGCATGAATATAATCATTGCTATGGACGAAAAATTCAGACAGCAAGCTTAAAGTTTTGAGTAGGAGCTAAATTAGCTTAGAAGCAAAGCTAAAGACTCAAAGATTGCATAACATATTGATTAATGCATATTTGCTATTCTAAATAAAAAGGAATCGGCAGAAATATCAAAAGAACTTAGAGCTTCCATCATAGAAAACTAAAAACTTACTTAAGAATAAAAAGAATTTTTGGTTTAAGGAGTTAATGTTAGATTGTATAGAGCAGAAGGGTCATTCAAAAATGCTGTTGTTTGCTTAGACAATGACTTGAAAATAGTTTATGCATACAAAAGAGGAGGAGAATAAAAGCCAAAATACAAATTTGCTCTTAGTGAAGTTACTGATTATAAATTCAATTACATTGAAAAGAATAAAGTTTGGGAGCTCTCTACCTTCTCCAGGGCTGGAGGATTATTTATTAAAAGTATCTATAATTTATATATATTTTTTTTTTCCTAATTTTATAAAATAATTTTTAATAGAACCAATCCCTGCTTAATGCTGTAGTATTTATGGCCCAAGCTACAACAATGAAAGAAAAATGATCTGCTTTGAGACTACTGATGTAGCTACAAAAATTAAATTTTAGCAAGCTTTCTTGATAGCATTAGATATTGCGAAGGCCCAAGCAGACTCAACATATAAAGAAAATTGATCATATTAAATATATAATAAAAAATATGAATAAGTAAGTGAATGAATGAGTGATAATTAATATTGTTAAAATAGTTAGTTTATATGATTTAATTTAAATTTATTATTTTATTTTTAATAATATTTAGTTAAAAAATAAATCTTTTAATCTTTGAGTAAAATATTTTTAAAATTACTGCCAAAATGAATTTATAAATTTTATTAAAAATACAAAGTATTTTTAAACATATTTTAAATAAATATGCAAGTAAGTTTTTTATCAGAAAATATTAAAAATTTTCATAATTTGGTAATAAAGATATAAAGAAATAAAATAGACGAATTTTAATTTGTATAATATTTGTCTCTTCTCAATATAGTATTTCTAAGGTGGATTAGATTTAATTTTAAAATTAAATAAAATTAGCTAATAAAAAATAGTCTATAATTGAGCAAATTTGTAATTCCAGTAAATTTTTTAAAAATAATGAATAGATTACACAAAAAAGAATTCTAAGTAGATTAATTTTTAGTAATACATTTTAGTTTCAGTTCTAAAACCTTTAAATACTATGAAATTTAGCTTAAATAATATTTATTAGTTTGAAAAATATTGAAATTATTTATGCTTAGATTATTTTTCTAATAAAAAATCTTAAAGAATTAAGCTAAAAGATCAAAGTTTTTATAATTATAATACATTTTAGATAGAAATCTTAAGCAAAATACTATTTGGTGATTATTGCTTTAAGTAAATATTAAAAATTATAAAACCATTTCCAATGAGTGAGTAAGAAGAGGAGAAAAATACTTTAGAGGGAAGTTAAAATAGTGTTAAATAGTCAAAAACTCCTATTAAAATTAGTAAAATGTATTAATCAAACCCTACGAACAATCAGTATGCTGAAATAGAAAAAGTTGTTTTAGATAGACTAAGAAAAACATCATCAACATTTTCATTTAGAGATGAAGGTATACCTGTGGTAGTCGATGATAATTAAATAGATCATAGCTTTGAAAAAAATGAAATTACTGTTACTCCTTGCAGAAGTCCACTTAATTAGAGTGATAATATGCATTATGATGCCTCTGATATTTCAATCCCATAAGGATAACATAATTTATTTAATTCATTTATAAAACGTAATCTTGCTGCTAATTTTGATAATAACTATCAATAAAACCCTTAAGATGAAGACTAGCAAAATAATGTTTAAAAAACTCCTTAGTTAATTGGAAAGTAGCCTTCTGAGGAATAATAAAATACTTATTATAATGATATTAACTTATAAGGTAGTTTTCATAATTAGAAATTAAATATTAAATAAAGCGATGAATAAGTAATTCTAAAAAATAATGCAAAATTTAGTTTAAATTAAGAAAAATGCCAAGAATAAACAAACAGCTCTAAATTAACTTAAAATAACAAGCAAAACACTTTTCAAAATTAAAATACTTAAAATATATCAGAGATTAAATTGAAACAGTAAGATGAAATTTAAATTTAAAACTTAAAAGTAATTGCTGAAGGGGAGTAAGAGGATGATTAACTTTAAGATTTAAAGAATGAAGGTAATAATTTAAAATTATAAAGTAGACGAGAGTCTAAAGAAAAAAGCAATTAGAATTATTAAATTAAAATAACATAAAATTAAGACTTTTCAGTCAATGAAAGTAATAAGGATTAAGATAATAATTATTGGGAATCCAGCTCAGCTATAGATGCATTTAATGTTTAACCATCATCTACTTCATTTTATTCTTAGAAAGAAAGGGATGCATTTAAAGCAGAGGAGTAAAAAGAATTTAAAGAAAATAATTAGTCAAACTTATTGTCAGTCAATTAACCTCATTAAAAATTTATAAAAAATGATGATAATAGTTTTTTAAAATCTTTAGATACAAAGGGAGCATAATAAAATAACAGCTTACCTAACAAAAATTATATAGCTATACAATAAAGTCAAGATTTTTTTTTTTCTGAGCAAAATACACCAAGAGATTAAGGTGATTAATCGCCTTAACCACTTTAAAACTAGAATTTTTAAAGGAATGGAGAATATAGTAATCTTTATTAAGAATTTTTGAAAAAATAATAGTAATAAATTTAAGATTCACCTGTAAAATAAGAAGAAGGAGTAGCTAAGTTTGGTGACTATAGTTCATTACGTGAAGAAGAAAGCATGATTGGTGATCATAGTATTTAAAATTAAAACAATACTTTTATCAGTAATAATATGAGTACTATTTTACAGCAACTAAATAACCCTAGTCATAATGATAGAGGTTATAATAGTTAATAAAACTCATGTAATAACACGAATCAAGCTAAAAGTTTTACTAATAATTATAATAATTAGCAAAATATAAACTAAAATACAAAGTAACCAATAAGTGAATTTAATTATGGCTCTTTCAGTAATTAAAGCTATATTAATAATTAAAATTCTCAATTTAAAAAGTAAAATACAGATAATTAAAATCATAATCATAATAACTATGTTGGAAGATATTTCCCAAGTGAAATTATAGGAAGTAGAGAAATAGCTACTACAGAATCTTATCTTCCTACTCCAGAATCATCTAATTTGACAAGCGCTTAAAATAAAGATTACAGTAAATTTAACTTCAAGTAAGTATAAAGTGAGATGTGTAGCAACGCAATGGATTAAGCTTTTCTCGATAACTCAGGAAACAATCATAAAAAAGGTAATTCTGGATCAAATTAGCTAGGAAACTTTTCTTTAGGCGGTTTAGGAGGAGGGATAGTTCATAGCGAGTACTAAAATAATTCCAAAATTTTCTAATCTTAGCTATAAAATTAAAAAAATTTAAATGATTTTTCAGGTAGTTAAAATTAGCATAGTATTTTTGCAGATTAAAATCATTAAAATATGAATTTAGTTTAATAAATGTATTAAAACTTTGCTACTATGAACTAAGGAAGCTCATATTTCCCAGGAGTAAATCTGCAACCATCAGCTCAGTTGATAAATGATCTAAATAATAGTAGGATATCAAATTTCAGCTAAAATTATGCCGAGAATTATTCATAATTTCATCCTTCCTTATAGAATAATATGGAAGTAAATAATGGAAATGGGGATTTTGTTCATAACTAGCAGTAAATTGAGTTTTTTAATTAATAGCATTCTTTTGTTATGAACATAATGAACTTCTATGAATTTCATTTAAATAAAATGAAACAGATAGCTTTAGAAAAGAATTAAGAAATCATGGTAATTTAATATTTAAAGTTTATAAACCTAGTAAAAATTTATCTTACTTTTTATTAAAGGAAAAAGATAGAATAATTTAAGATATGTAGGCTTTTAAAACCTAAGATTAAAATTACAATTTGATGCAGTAAAATATAATATAAGCTCAAGAAGAAATAAGAGTGCTTAAACAGAAAGAGAAAAGACTAGAACTTCTTGTTGATTAGACAAGAGATGATTACGAATTTAAACTTTAAGATTTAAGAGAAGAGATAATATAAATTACAAAAATTAAAGATCAGCAAGAGATAAAGCTTAAAGAAGCACAGTAAAACCTTTTATTAGAGCATGATAAAAACCTATAATTGTCAACAAAAGTTTAAGAGTCAGAATAAATGCAAGAAAAGTTAAAAAAAGAAAAGGTAATTTTAAATTTAAATTAGTATTTATTTGATAGTTAAATATTTATTGCCTAGGATTATTTATAAGAAGAATTAAATGAAACTATTCAAGATCTTAAGTTAGAATTAAAGAATAAAAATAAAAAAATACAAGACTAGTAAAACTAAATTGATTTACTTTTAAATAGAGTAACATAGCTGCAGTATCAATTTTTTATTATATATGATTTTTTTATATTTATTTTTAATCTAAAATTACTCAAAAAGGAATACTTAAAAATAGGAGGAATAGATGAATTACAAAAAGAATTAATCATCTCATAAAAAGGAGAGCCAACTAAATAAAAGCTTTGATGATATTTATTACAATCAAATTAAAGATAGTATTCAAGAAGAATCTTTTAAATATAACAATTACAGTAACAATAACTAAAATAAAGATAGGTAAATAATTTATTTATTGATATTATTATTTAATCGCTAAAAACAAATATAGGGGATAGAAATAGTAATTTGTAGATAACTTTAACTATCTAGGAGAGAAAGGAAAAAATGATAGCCCTTCTATGAATTATATGTATGATCGAACATAAAAAATGTAAATATAAAATACACCTCCTCAGAATAATAAAGGAAAAAAGCAAGAATTTTCTTATGGAAACGATCACATACACTCAAACAATTCACCCTATAATAATAATAATAATAATAAATTTAACAACAACAATAATAATAATAATAATGAATTTAGAAATCAATATTAGGTAAACCACTAAAAGAAATAGTCAGATGATAGAAATTAATATGCAAATCAAACCATAACTAATAAAAATAACTATTTCAATGTTGAAAATAATCAAAACCCTCTATAAAAGCAAAACCATTTCAGAACACCTTCTTAAGGAGAAAGAGCAAATTATTTAAATAGCAATAGCAATTCTCACTATTAAAACAACAATTATTATCAAGAAATATACATGAATTATAAAAACGAAAATACGAGTTAACCACCTATGAACAATTATACTTAAAGCTTTGTTAGTAATACAAGTAATATTAATAGTAATTTTAATTATAATAAAGGTAATTATAATAATTCAAACTAATCTAATTTCGAGTATAATTAAGCAAGTAATGAAAGGACTAAATAAAAGAATAACTTATATAATGAAGAGAGCTTTTATAACTATGGGCAAAACAAAAAACCAACTTTAACATTTCCATCGAACTAGAACTATGAAAATAACTAATAATAAATTAAATAAATAGAGTAAGCCTTGACCCAGTTAAACTAAGAAAAGCAACAAGTAATTTTTTTCATTTTTTATTTATTAATATTTCTCATATATATATCAAATAAAGCTCGAGACTTAAATTTTAAAGCTGCCTATTCATCAAAAAAATGCTTAATAGAGGCTGTAAAAACATACATTAGAAAAGAAATTAGAAACTATTGAGAAAGATATTAGTGATAACAGAAAAAGAATAAAATAGTTATAAAACTGTTGATTTATAATGATGAAAATATTTATTTTGGATTTAAAATACATTAAAATTTAAAAAGTGGAAACATGTCTGTCTGTCTACTTGATTGATAAAGATTCATCAATAATTAATAAATAAAAATATTTATAATAAAATAAGAATATTTTGGAATTAGTGTTTATATAATATATAGAGTTAATATGATTCAGTTTTTATTGAATTTATATGCTTACCAATCTAAAATAAATAAAAATTATACAATTTATTTATTAATAGATAAATGATTGAATAAATAAATTAGGTTATTCAAATTTATAAATTATAATTGAAAATATTGGATTATATTGATTGATTTCAAAAAGCCTTTTTTTATTTAGATGGCAAAAAACAATGATTTAAAAATCATTAATTTATATTTTTCAATCTCTAAAATGTACCAAAAAATATATTCATTCATTCATCCATTTATTTCTTTATTCATTAATTTAGAAATAAACTAAAATTTTTTGCATCAATTTTAAAATTTCAAATAAATCTTTGAACAAAGAAAGGAGTTGTGTTATCAAATATTTATAAATTTAAAAATATAAGAAGAAATAAAATAAAATAACATTCATTGTCAAGATTTACAAAAAATTTTAACGAAAAAAAAATTCAAAAGAAAATAACTTTAAAGGTAATTCATATCACAAAAAAGTAATTGATCAATCTAATAGTTTTAAGCATATTGAACAGACAAAATAAATGTAGGAACTTAATGAATTAAAAAATCTTGTGATTTAATCATTGGAAGCTAACGGATCATTGAGCAATATTAGAGCTTAAATTAGAGCATCTGTATTTAAAGTTATTGACCAATAAGATAACAATTAAGTTTAAAATAAAAAACCCAGTCCTTTCGCTTGGGAAAACCCAAAATGTGCAAAGTTATTTGAAAGTGAAAGTGGTGTTCTTGCTCTTTAATTGATTAAAGAATTTCTTTAATTTTATAACATGGATTACTCTAATAGCGTATTCTCTTCTGAAAGTAATTTAAGGGAAGAAGTAAAAAGAGACAAAATAAATGAAAAATTATCCTTAAATAAACCAGATGCTTAAAAACCATTACTACTCTAATTACTAGAAGAATTTAAATCTGGACGTAGTAGCATGAACTCAAGTGGAACTCAATCAGCTGCTCCTAATCCTAATACAGGAGCTTAAAAATAAGAATAAAAAAGTTAACAAGAGGGACAAGTCTAAAAAGGTTCTACATAAAGAAGTTAACAAGAGTAATAATAGTAACCTCAATAATAATAATAGCAGCTGTAATAATAATAATAACAATAGTAACAATAGCGCTAATAACAAGCTAACTACCAAGACTTATTAGGCGATGATGAATTTGAATAATCTCTAGATTCATAGAGCGATAATAAGAATTTTTAATCATAGAATAAGCCTATGTCATCTCCTTAAAATGATGATAAGAGCGCTTAAAGCTTAGAAAGTACAAGCGAAAAGAAAGCTCTTCAAGAAGCCTAGTAATTCATTTAAAAAAGTTAAAACTAAATGCGTACTGGACAAATAGGTTCTTTACCAGTTGGGTAATAATAGTAACAATAATAATAGCAATAACAACAATAATAGTAAAGTGCTGTATAATAAAATAAATTTAACGCCAACGTGAAATAATATGAACAAGATTAGTTTGATTAATATGATGATGAGATTGAAGGTGTGGAAGAGCAACTTAATGATTACTAAGAAGATATTGATGTAGATGACGATATTCTAAACTCAAAAGGAAAGAATGCAGGAGCAAGTAATTAAAGCCATTTTGAAGAGTCAGAAGACTATATAGGGTAGTCATCAAAGGGTCATGATATTTCAGTTGATTCATATGCATTAGAAAACTTTGATTATCTCGAAGATGTTGAAGATTAATGATGAAAATAAAAAAAATCTATATATTTTGCATATTAATTAAAAATATATTCTATTAAAATATATTAAGTACTTCATATTGTAATATAAATTATCTTGCTTAAATAATCATTTGTGTATTCAATTTTTATTTATAATTTTTGCATACTTTAATATATTGAAATATTCATTAAATCAATTGTTATCATCAAAAAATATTTTAATTTTTTAATAATTGACTAAATTTTTTTTATTTATTAAATTTAGGATAGCTTTTTTAGTATCTTGAATTTAATTTAGGAAGAAAAGATTTTTTATTTTTTGATTTAACCCTAATAAATAAGGATAAATTTTTAAATAATTATTAATACATTAATGCCAATACAAGCACTTCTCTTAAAATATACCGATTTCTCTCCTTTTTTTACCAATATCTGGGTAGATAAATGAAAGTTTTTATTAATTTTAATTAATATTTAAAAAGTTGGATCTTAATTTTTAGTTGATTGTCAATTAGGAAGAATTAAATTATATAAAAACTTCAAAATAAATAAATAACTGTTATTAAATATATCAAAAACAACTTATTTTTTTATGATATAAGTTTAAAATCAAAATTATATTTTCATAAATTAATTGAAAGAAATATGATAATAGACAATAAAGCCTTAATTAAAATAATTTATATTATTCTTATATAGAAGGATAAATACTAACTTACTTATATTTATTTTTAAGAAATTTTAAGTTCATAATATTTATTTTATTTATTTTTTTATTAATTGTATTAATATTTTCGTTTGCTTGCTTATTCGCTTATTTACTTACTTATTTATTTTAATTAATCTGTTTTAATTGTTATTTTAATTTAGAAATGCATAGTTAAATTAATCACTTCAAATCACTCAATTAAACTTTAAAATCATCACAGAAGTGTTATCTCTTGATCCATTATCAACAGCGTATTTAACTAATTTTTTAGCCATTTCTCCAGTATCAGTCATATTTTTACAGAGGTCTATTGCTTTCTGTATTACAAATTAAAAAATAAATGTAGGAGATGTGAGATCAAATTAATATTTACTTAGTCATCAACAACATCCCATAGCCCATCAGATGCAAGAATTAAATATTAAGTTTTGCTTGTGATCATAAAATCTTAAACATCAGGCACGTTCAAAACTCCCTATTATTTAATTTTACTATTTTAAATTCAAGATTATTATTTATATTACCTCTGTCTTTAAATCTAAATCTCCTAGAGCTCTTGTTACAGCTAATGATCCTGAAACTCTTCCTCTAATTATCATACCACCCATATCCCTATTTTTAAATATAAATTATTTTATTTTTTTCCCCTAAAATTATTAATTAAAGAGATTTTTTTTGTTTAATACTTACTTAATTCTTTTTATTTCTTAATCATTTGTTGCCTTGTGGTCAGTTGAAACTCTAACAGCTTTATCATTTTCACATAAAACTGCTCTTGTATCACCTAGGTTACCAACATAACATTTCATATCATCTTTATTTTAGTAATTTATTTATTATTGCAATATATAATTAATCACATATCTAAAAATTTACTTAAACCTTCTTTTCTTACTAAAGCTATACAAGCACAGGCACCTTAGTCACTAGCTCCAACTAATCTTAATTTATCATCAGTTTTTTTAAAAATCTAAGTGAATAATTCTTTAACTGGGACTTCTTTCTTATATTCTTTCTTGAAAATCTTTTGAATAAAAATATTTTTATAGCCATTAAACTTGTATTTGGTATTTTAAATTATTTTAATTCTAAAATTTCATATTTGCTGCGATAATTAGAAAATTTTTTTCAATTTTTATATATTTATTGATAATAAGTACTTCAGGAATAAATTGCACACAACTTTCAACTACTTCTGAGCCTCCGTGTCCATCAAGAACACCATAAAATCCTATAAGTCCATCATTAAAGGCATCGTCTACAATAAAATGAGCTGTTGTTTAATAAAAAATATTAAATATGTGAGAGCTTAATAGCTAAAAATTAACTCCCTCTGAATATATTTATAAATATTTTGCTAAAAATTAAAATTGTTTGCTAACTATTCAGCTAAGTAATAAAGAAATAGATAATGAATTACCATCTTCCATGCTAAATCTTGCTGGATAATTTTAATCCTCTTTGTAAGCATACTCCTTAAGTATTTAAGAGTTTTTTACCTATACGAATCTCTAATTATTTCCTTACATCATGCTAAATCTTTATAAAACAAACTTTATTTAATTAATTATAATTTTTTTATAAAATTTTCTTTATTTTTTAATAAAAACTTTACCTTCTCTAAAATTTTAATTATCAGATTTATTTTCTTTTCTTTTATACTTCTTTTTAATGTAGTGTCTTTTATCAAATTATTTGCAAATATCTTTTTTCTCTTTATCAAAAAAATTAAAAAGTTTCTGATTTATTGGTAAATACACGATTACCATTATATCAAATATTTAAATTAATTTTTCAATTTTAATTATCGTTTGAATGAATGAATGAATGAATATATATTTTTTGAAAAAGTATTTCATTCATTCCTTTTTAATTGAATTAATAAAAATATTTATTTTTGATAATAAATAATCAGAATAGAAAAAAATCTATTATGTTAGATAATAATTAATTTTACTGACATACAATTAATATAAATTTGGAAGTATTTACAAAATAGAGTTTTATATATTAAGGAATATCAATAATTTATATATTTTTCAATTTTACAAGGACTTTATTTTTTTTTCTTCTTCCATAAGCTCCTCTTCATCTGAGTTAGAATAGTAATTATTTGGCTATTCGTTATTGTAAAAGCAGAGCATAAGCAAAAGCTCTAAGTCTTTATTTTTTCTTCTAATTTAAAGTTTTAAATCTTCAGATAGAATTTCTTTATCATAATCTTGTCCAACTGCATCGAATATTGTTCTATTTTAAATTTATTTATTTATTAATTGATAGAATTTTTTATAATTTAATATAAATTGTTACTTTGTTAAGAAGTGGCTGATTTCGTCAACAGATATTTCTCCTTTATTTTAATTTTTTAACAATTATTTGAGAAGCTGGTTACTCTAATCAAATATTTCATCATAAGATATTGTTCCATTTTAGTTTTCATCAAGAAGCTATTTATTTTATTTTATTAAAATATAAGTTTTTAAAAAATATAAATAATACCCTCATAAAAAGATCGATCTTTGCATTATCTGTTTTGGCTTCTATCATATTAAGGGAATAGATAAAGCCTTCCCAATTCATCCCTCCTTAGTCTTTTGTTACAAAAGCATTTTAGCTTTAAAATATTTTTTCTATCTATTCATTAGGAGCAACCAGTAAAGAATCAACACCTCTCCTAAACGATATTACATCAACTCCTTCTTCTATCACTGATTTTTATAAAATTAATTTTAACTTGATATTTAACAAAATTTATTTACATATTTTTGGAGATTTTTTTAAAGGGTTTCTATATTTAGCTTTATAGTGAATTAGTGCTTTGAATTTGCTAAATAGAAGGTGTAACTGATATCTATCAAAACTTGTCTTTGAAATGATTTCTTGCACATTTGCTGCTTCACTTAATAAGTTGTATTTCTTTTTCATTTCAAGATCCAAAGAAGTATATTTATCACTATTTAAATAATAATTTATTTTAAACTAATTTTATAAAATTAAAATAAAAAAAAGTGCATACATATTTTATTAAAATTTAGCTTTCAGTTTCTGTTTTTCCATTTCATTTTGGTTTTAAGTTTATTGTGTTTATATAATGTTTTCTCTTAATTTTTTTGGTTATTCTATAACTCTCATACGGCTATTTTCTTTTTTTAGATATTTATTGTAACTCTCTTTAATCTAAGGAAGACTTTCTATTATTTAATATTATTTTAAAATATATTTATTTTTTTTTAATTTTTTTACTAAGTTGTTGTCTGTTTTTAAATTTTTGTGGGGTAGCAAAGCTATCTAATCTTTTATAAGGTGATTATAATGGTTATTTATTTAAAGGACTCATAAAGCTAGCTCTTGAGTATTAATAATTGCTAGGAGAATTCAGATTGTTAATAAGTATGCAATTTTATTTGTTTGGAGTTGGATTTTCTGATTGAGATATAATAGAAAATTTTTCAAAAGCAGATTATCTAAACTCATTTATGTTTTTTTATTAATCATTATTATTTACATCATTTGATTAATTCATTTATTCAATACTATTCATGCTTCCCTTTGTTTATTACATGCTATTAATTAACATAGCTGATGATCGACCTGAAAAATCATCCAAATCTATTTGATATATTATTGAATACTAGGTTTAAATTGAATGAAATAAAGATATTAAATTACCAGTAATGAAGCTCTTCTTATTCTTAAAAAAATTTTCTATTTTATTTAAATCATTGAGATTATTTAGTTTTAAAAGCAGTGTTTAAAAATCCTTTTCACTTGGTTTATTGACTTATTTTGATTCATAATATTTTTACCAAAAATTATTTTTTGGATTATTAGCTAATTTAATTATTAATTTATCATAAAAATTTGTTTCCTTGAAAAAAAATATACATATAATTATGATGTTCTAATCTATAGGAATGTCTTGTAAATACTGTATAGGCGTTTCATCCAAAAGGGAAATATACTTAAGTTGATATGGAAGAGAGAAGCATTAAGTGCAATGCTCTAATAGGTTTTCCAGTAATTATTGATTTGAGGAAAAGTTGTCTTTTAGGATCTATTCAGTGGTATTCTTTTAAATATATAAATAAATATTAGTTTTTCAACAAATATATCATTTTTATCAAAGATTTCGCGAAATTAAAAAATAAAGATTATCAAACACTAATTTAATATTAGTGGATGGTTTTTATTTGCTGTTTATTATAGAAAGAATCAATCAAATAAACAAATTAAGATAATTTACATAAAAAGGTATCTTATATTCAAGAGCCTCAACTATACTCTGCTTAAAATGATTTATATGCAAAATAAATATATTTCTGTAAAGCTAATATTTCGACTTATTTTCCTGATTATAAATGATATCTGACCTTCTTAAAGGATGAAAGTCTTCTTTAAATTTTTTCATTATAGATAGATTTTATATTTGTTCTTTCTTACTATTTTCTAATCTATTGCTAAAATGAGAATCAAAATTCTATATGACCTCTTTAGAAGTTTGTTTCAGCTTATTTGCAGTTATGAGGTTTCCTTAATTTTTATTTATTAATGCTTTTATAGATCTTAAAAGTAAAACATTAATAGCTATCCTTAACTATGATATAATAATTTACCTTTATTCCATAGCTTATCTGAATTAATTCATACTTATCTACTATTGATTCACTGGTTCATACCCTAACCTATATTATCATTAAATAATTACTCTATTATAACTGAATAATATAAAATAATACAATTTGCTTAGCTTTTAGTTGCTATTAGGAAATATATTCGCAAAAGGCATGTGAATATTATCATTTTTAAAATGTTAAAATTATTTTTTGTCTTTTGCTTCATAAATATGAGGTATTTTTTGTAGGTAGTTATTTAACAATTGGTTAGTTTATTTAAGTTTCATTTTCTAGGGAGAATACTAAATCATATCTTTTTGAAGATAAATAATTTTTTAGCTTCTATTTTTAGCTTTAGTATTCATATCCTCATCATAAATCTAAGTTGAAATGTTTTGCAAAGATTCATAAACAGGTATTACTTTATTATCTCCAACCTACTTTTCAACATAATAATATAACTGTTATTATGACGGAAATCTGTTATAGGATTTTTAAGATATTTAATTCTTGCTATCTAAATCATTATGTGTTATAGAAAAAAATGATTTCCTATCTAAATTAGAAGTGCTGTTGTTTTTCATTTCGTGTTTCTAATTAATTATTAACTTTGTGTTTATAAATTAATGTGTTTTAATGAGCGAAATTATTCTTTTAAAAATTAGATCTTAAAAATAATCAATCAATTATGTATGTATGAATATATATCAAAAAAGAACCTACTTTATTTCAATAGAAAAAGTTACTCTAAAAAAATATAAATCTATCTCAACATAATAAGTTGTATTTAATATATTATAAACTTATTGAATAGAATTTATTAAAAAATACTTTATAAAATTTGAAATTATTCTTTGAATATTAAAAACTCTATATGAAAGTCTATATAAATAATAAATTTTATAAAAATACCATCTGGCTGACTTAGTTTATTTCATAAAATAAGAATTGTTATTGACCAATTATTCAAAAAATCATTCATTTTATTTTTAATCCTTAAAGATAAAATTATATTGAAGATGAAAAACATAAAATTAATTTAATGGTGTAAATATAAAATTTGTATTTGATTTAAAGGGATTAAAAATTGAGACAAAATCTATTTTTATTTATATGGTATAAAAATATATGTTAAATAACAACTTTCTAATATAAAAAAAGTGTTAATAATTATAAAATTTATTTTTTATTTTAATTTAAGCTCTATAAATTAATTAAAAATATATACATATAAATTAAAATGATAAAATATGTATTGCATTAATATATTAGGAGGCAAAAAATAGATTTTATAACAAAAGTAAAATAATATAATAATTACTAGTTTCAATTTATACTGCAAATATTAATTAGATAATCTTATTAGTGTATTTATTTTTAACATATATATTTCTAATAGAGTTTCTAAATTATATTAGTAAAATTAGTTTCATTATTAAATCTTTTTTGTAAAATTTTTTTTTATAAAAAAATAAACTTTAAATTATAAATTTACAAAAAACATGCTTTTAATTTTATTGAATTAAAATAATATTAAAATTTAATAACAATAAAACTTAAAGAAGTTATGAATTTATTATTAGAAAATTGTAATCAATACTATTAGTAAAATATTAGTCATACCAACAGTTTATTTTTATTTTTTAACAGTAATTCATAAATACTAATATCAAAAATATCTATTATTTTTATGTTGCTGAACATTATTAATAATTTAAAAGAATAAAAAATATTTGAATATTTTTAGAAATATTAATTAGAATTCAGATTTCTTAAAAATAAAATTCAAAAGTAGTTGATGAGAAAACATAAAATAATTAGGATAAAATTTAAATAAAATTTAATAATTTATAATTGAAGTTGTAATTCGAAAACTGTAATCTATACTATTAGTAAAATATTAGTCATATCAACAGCTTATATTTATTTTTGTTACATTAATTCATAAATACTTATATCAAAAATATCAATATTATTTATGTTGCTGACTATCATTAATAATTTAAAAGAATAAAATATATATTTGAATATTTTTAGAATTCAAATTTCTTAAAAAATAATATTCAAAAGCAGTTGATGAGAAAACATAAAATAGTCAGGATAAAATTTAAATAATATTTATTAACGGATCAAACTATGCAAATAAAATTATAAAATCATAGCTAGCAGAGGTCTAGATTAAATAAATTCTGATTCTTTTTATGTTCTTTATTATTATAAACGAATAAATTTTATAGTTGATTAATAAAAATAACAACTAAAAACAAAAATAAGATTTGAAAATATAATTTAAAAATAGGTATTAGTTTTTACAGTTAATTTCACTAAATTAGATTTCAAGGAAAATACTAGTGTATTAGAAAAGTTTAAGCCAATGCTATAATCATAGTAAAATGCCTAAACTAGCGAGAGAAGCAGGGTACTTATTCTCGCTAATTCTTGTGTCCATATCCTATATGGTGTAACCACAATTCTTTTAGTCTCTTTTGCAGCTGTAAAATTAGCTTAAAATGAAACTCATGCAGAAAATGGAATTCAAAAAAACTGGGAAAACAATATGATTATTGACATATAAAGTAGTAGATATGATACTTGTCCTTTGGTAAGATTTCTTGATAGTTTTTCATTAACTAAACAAATTTATATAATACTATTTTTTTTAAATTTTGAGTTTGGTTTGAACTTTCTGCATAATTATTAAATCTCCATAAATTAAAATGACAGAAATTAATTTACATATTTTTACTTTCTTTCAAATTTAAATGTCTTGTCGTACATGAGCAGCATTCATCAGTTAAATAAAAATTATAATTTTATATTTTAGGGATATGAATCTATGTTTTCTTTTGAATGGCCTGGCACAATTCCAGCCTGTAACTGCTAATTATGGAATGAAAATCCAACTCGTCCTCATGGGCCAGATGGAGAATTTACATAAACTAATTAAAATACTCACAATTTATCTGAATAGGATATAGAGGAATAAAAAGAGGAAAAAGAGAGTAAGTCCAATAATCAAGGAAATTTTATTTAGAATCACCTTAAAAAATAGCAATTTAACTAAGAGGATAATTATAAATAAGAAAAATAATAGGAAAATAAAGATGAGAAAATTGGAGATGCTAAGAAATAAGACTTAAAAAAGTAAATTAATCACCCAAAACGTAATAAACTAGACTAGGTCAATGTGGCATATAATTAGCCTAATCCTTATCAACCTTCTAAGGAAGATCTTTTAGCCAAACTTAAAAAATACGGCTAAGAAAATAAAATTTACACAGAAGGAATTTGCAACTGGAATTAAACTTAAGCAGGATGTGTTGATATATAACCTGTAAAATAGCAATCCTTCACCAAATGGAAATAGCGTTTGTAATGGTGTGTAGCTCGTGCATAGGCAGTTAATATGAGCATAATGTAAAAGTATTATGATTACGAAAATGGTATTTGCAAAGATGAAAATCTGAGAGTATGTGGTGATCCAGAAGATAAGAATTATTAGTACTGCTTTCCAAAATAATATACATAATGCCCAATAAATGGAATATTAATAACTACAACTCCTCCTAGAGGATAAGAATAATTATACTATTAGTCTCGTCCTATGCAATTTAGTAGAAATTAGATGTTATACGTAAGTAGAAATTTACCGAAACAAATGCCATTATCTGACTTTTTAGTAGCTGAGGATAGCGTTTGTATAGAAGATCCAAAAAATAATATATCTAAAGATCACTAAGATTATTATCTTCTAAAAAGCTAAAGAAAAAGATGCAGTAGCAACATTACAGATGATCGCTATGTCATAATAGACTCTTAAGGTGAGCAAAGTTTTTATTATAACAATTTTGCTTTACAATACAGAGACTAATTACCTGATTTCACCTTAAATAATACATACATCTATAATTTATATAAGCATCAATACATTTATTGGAAGCATGAATGTGATGAATATATGAGCTATTTCTTATCTGATAAAGATTTCGATCAATTCTACACTAGACAAAGAACTCTGAAAATTATAACTTATGTTATATCAATAGTAACTATAATGATTTCAACTTTTGAGTTGCTCTTAATTTGCAGAGTTCCTATGGTGTTAAGATTTGAAAAAGTCATTCTTTAATATAATCCCGTTATTGTTTTTGTGCTCTAGTTAATAGTGCTTCCTTTTAGTGCAGCAGCACTTCATTAAGCAAATGTACTTTACAACATAGAAAAATAATTATCGTTAAAGCAATGCACAGATGAATTTACTTTAAAGCTGATAGGTACTGGAAGTATTTAAATTCACTAAGAAATAAAAAACTTCAATAAAGGATAGATTATCTTTATTTGTCTAATTTTGCTTGCAAATGCTATCAATTTTCTTTTAACACTTTGCTGCAGCTAAAGCTCTGCTTAACCAAAAAAGAAAAGAAGAGCTAGTACTTATTGAGTACGTTATAAAAATATATAAAATATTATCTAAAAATAAATTATTTATTTATTTGTGAATTTAATTCGAGTAGGTTTAAATTTTTTGTTTAGTAATTAATATATTTTTAGATTTCATAAATACTTTTTTAAATCTGATTAATTTCAAATTTTTTAGTTAAATAAATTTTAAAATGAAAAATCAAATAAGTCTTAATTATGTATGCAACTTGAACTAACTCATTATAAATAGTTTAATATTATGTTTCAATATACTAACCCCACAACATTTATTTGTCAAATTAATTTCTTATTAATTTATTAATAAATAAAAATAAAAAATGGTTTGAATATTTTTAGATTTTATTTATAAATCAAAAAAAATAAATGTATCATTTTTATATTAATTTTCCAATTTTTTAATTAATTTTTTAATTTAAATTAATTTTAAAACAATAATTTTACACGATTTTAACTTAATAAAAAAAATTTAATTTTTAATATATTAGAATATAATTTTTTATGATTTTCATATTCTATATAATTAAATATTCTTTTTTAATATTCTAGCTCCACAAAATTTACCATATTAAATTTTAATTAATCATGTTAAAATAAAATTAGCTTTTTTACAATATTGAAATAAATATCTTTTTCATTTGGGCTCAATTAATTTCTTATTTTTTATTAAATTATTTATTTAAATTTATTTTAAAATAAATATCAAAGAAGTTTAAAGTATTTTATTTCAATTCATTAATAAAATAATTTTATTTTTAAAATATAAAATAAAAATTAAATTTTTTTTTTTCATTCTTTCTTTTAAATATATTTTTTTTATTTTTATTCTAAAATATTTATCAAATAAATTTATAAGAATGAAATAAGTATTTTAAAATTAATAAACTAATGTAAGTAGTTTTTACCAAAAAAAATATCAAGCTATTTATTTATTAAAACATTTTGGCAATAAATAAATAAATTGAAAAATATCTTAAAAATTAAAATTAATTTTTGAATAAAAAATAGTTGTTGGCTACTGAATAAATTAAAATTTACTAGAATAAATACATTTTTAATAAATTATAAATTTATATATAATAAATTGATTTATAAAATCAAATAATATTCTTAATTAAGAGATGTTTATTTTATTACTCATCTATCATTTATTAATTTAGAAAATTTTGGTCATTTATCATGAATTAAAGAGAAGAAATGAATGAATAAATTTTCAAAGTATTTAAAGATTTTTTAATAATTAATTAAATTTAGAGTTATTTTATAAGTTATTATTGTGGCAATTACTGCCATTAAAGCAGTATTTTTTCAGAGGTATGTAATTCTAAGTCTGGAATCTTATGAGTATATACATTAGCTTAGCATATTCTCAAATTTTTAATTCATGTTTTCTACTGATTCATAATTAATGCAAATAAAGTCAGTATTATTTGTACTCTCTATTATATTTTTTATATTAGATTAAAAGGACTAAATTTTTTATCCTTGCTAGTCTGATTATACAAATGATTAAAAAAGATTTGACTTCTATTGCTGCATTATTTTTGACTATGTTAGCTGATCTCCTTAGGTTTATTCTTTGTTTTCAATATCTTCTTATTATTTTATCTATTCCTTATTATTAGACTCGTTTAAAAAGGACTAAGAAGGGTTTTATTTAGCAGCAATCAAAAAGATCAGTGCTTCGCTCTTACAGTATTTATTAATAAGGTCAATTGTATTATTAATTTAAGTGAAATCTGAAAGACAATCTACAAACATTAAAAATGCATCTACTTAATGAGTTCTTTCTTATATTTTCTAATCATCTTAAGTGCAATCCTAATTAATTTAAATTTACTCTAGTATCTATGATTTTATTTAAGTAGTTATTTTCAGATTTCCAACTTTGTAGGATTTTTTGATAGTCTCAGCATTTAAATCAATCTGCTACTAAGGTTTTTAGATACCGCTTTTTACTAAAAGTTCCTCTCTTTTATCTTAAAGATATTCAGGATATATTAATTCTAAGTTTAATCTAAAGTTGGGTTTATTTTGCTTAATCCTATTATACTTTTATTCAACTTAAAAATCTCTTGAATAGTGGCTGAAATGTCTCAGTCTTGTCATTTGAAAATTAGATCTCTAGTTTTCTAGAGAAGCATCTTCTATCTGTATAGCGCTACAATCTGAGCACACAATATTGTTTTAGGTATTTCCCATGTTTATTTTAATTTTGGCAAATGAGAATTAAATGTTTTTATGATATTTCTTTTATTTACTATTTTTCTTGTTGATATACTTTTTATAAGTTGAAATTTAAGCTATTACTTTTAATCAGCCGAAGTAATTAGTCTATCATTCACTTTCTACTAAATTTAATAAATTTTCAGAGAAAATAATACATTCTAATTATATTTATACAAACATTAAAACTATCCACAGCTTCAATTTTAATTCAGAAAAATAAAGTTAAGTAACAAATGTTAAGCATTTATCCAAAGTAATTAATTAGAATGCTTTATTATATTTATATCTTAGTGTCAAATAGGGCTTTCTAAAAGTCCATAACTTTAAATTTCTTAATCAAATAATTTAAAAATGTTAATTAAACTGAAATTTATATTAAAAATATTTTTTTAAAATAAAAATTTTTGAGAATATTTGAAGGCTTTTCATTCATTGATTTTTATTAACATTCAAATTATCTTTTTAGCTTTTATAAAATTATAATGTTTTTTAAAATTATGAACATTAGTATACAACCTGCTTTTTTAAACTGGTATTCTGAATTCAATATGTATCAATCTTATATTTTAAAAATAATTTATTATTAATTGATTTCATATTAAAAATTAGTATTTTCAAATGTTAAAATACTGATAATAATTTCTAGAAATATTAAAAATATCTTGAAGGTTATTAAATTTTTTAAATATTAAATAATTTGATACAAAAATAATTAATTCGCAATAATGTTTTTAAGAAGAGTGGCTTACCTATATAAAAGTTTTTAAAACACTTAGAAGCAATCTTTTAGCTTTTTTAATAATTAGATTAGCGATAAATACGGTAAAAAATGCTGCCGTTATCATTAGGATGGAAAACCCTTGGCTCCTTAAAAAGTTGAATAAATTAAAAATTCTATTTCTGATTTTGTTAAAGGTTGGAATCTTAATGAAGACAAAACTAGATTAATTAGATATTTTTACATAGAAGACTACATTATGGCAGTACAATTTTTGAAGGATGTTGCTAAAATTGATGCATTGAACTTTTAAAACTGCCCCTCATTTTCTTTATAAAAAGGTGAATTATTGACTTTAGAACTTTACTCTCCTCCTTTAAATGGCTTGAGTTAATTAGATTTCTAATTGGCAATGAAAATCAATGAAATGAATCTAGATGAATACTTTTTAATTCCTATTGAAAAACCTGAAGATTACAAGAGATAAGTTTAAATGGCGAAAATGAAAAAATAAAATGAATTAATTCAAAAATAATTGGAAGATGATTTTAATAAGATAAATAACAAATTTTAAAAGGAATCGCAATAAGCATGATTGATTATGCCACTAAGTCTAACAAATGAAAAAATATTTCTAGAATAATTGCTAAGGTGCATATTATAGTTAATTAATATAGTTGTTATTTAATACTTGTTTTTATTTTTTAGTTTATTACTTTTCATCTAAAATTAAATTAAATTTATCAAAGATTATTTTATAAAGTATTTATTTATTTATTTGCTTATTTTGTATTTTTTAAGATTTAATAAATAATTTATTAAGTAAGTTAAAAAATATTTTTATATACAAATTTTTATATAAAAGATATAACTAACTATGAACTAATTAACTAACTAATTGACAAATATATCAAATAATAATAAACATTTATTTACTTATTTTCTTTAATTATTATTCAAATTTATTTTCATAATTGAGCTGATTTATTTTCTGACTCATATCCTTAGCTTGCTTCTGTTTAAATATTTGAATCGCTCTCCTCTAAAGGTTATTGACTTTCTAACTTTATAGTAGGATCTTCTCTAATTTATCCAGACTTCTTTTATTCATAATAAGTAAGTTCATCATTGTAGTCTCTAGTTTACATTTCTACAACTCTACTCTTACATCTTTCTAAAGCGAAATCTACGTCATATTAAGGTTCCTTATAATCAACATCAAATAATTTTTAAGCTCCTTACTTAGGAATTTAATTGTTGATATCAAATAATTCATCTAAGCTAACTTAACATGTCATATAAAGCTTAGTTCTGTGATTATATATTTCATCAACCTATATTTAATAAACAGAAAACAATAAGAATTTATTTTTTTAAATTAGATCAATTTACCAAGCTGATGAATCTCTTCATTGCGTTTCTGTCATCAGTAGAGAGCTTTTTCACATTTTTTAAAATTACTGTGTGGAAATTTCTGCAAATAGTTATGTAATCAGGAGGTGAGTAATATCCTTCACAAATATCAGAAAATTCTAATACAGCAACACCACCACCAGTTTTATTTAATTTTATTTCTCTTCCTAATCCGCAAACATCTAAACTAACTTATTCATAATCTTCTTATCCACTTAAAACTTTGTAGGTTTTTTCTATTTAAGTATTGTTATAGTTATCATTTGGATGGAAAAATGTTTTCATGCTAGCTCTTCCTTTATCTGAACTAAATCTGTAATCAGTATCACTTTAAATACTAATTATTTTAACAAATATTTATTTAAATAACTAAAAGACAAGTTAAATTAAGGATTTTTACTCAATTACTTCACAATTTTATTTCAAAAATGGGATGAAAGGCTCAAAAGATTCTCTCTATAAGCCTCCTTTATATAAATCATCAGGAGGTCTGTTTGAAGTAGTCTTTAAAATAAAACCAGTATATTAAAATTTTTTAATTAAATTTTTTAAATCTTACCACAAGAACAACGTTATTGTTAAATAAGCTCTAGAATAAGTTTTTAAGAATCATAGCATCACTAATATCAGTAACTTAAAATTCATCAAGACATAATAATCTCAAACCAGATGCCTTTTATCTACCAATAATATTCAAAGGGCTTCTATAGTCTTTCTTTTTTTTTTTAATAAAATAATACAATCACTTTAATGCAAATATTCAAAAAAAAATATCAAAAGTGAAAGCTATAAAAATAAATTTTTGATAAATTTTATCTTTACATTTCTAATTGAGTGTAAGTGGGAGTTAATTTAAAGCATAAATTCCTTATAATGTATTCTTTGCTTTTCTTAAAAAGGGATAGATTCATAAAACATATCCATAATGAAAGTTTTGCCACTTCCTGGTTTACCATAACAGTAGATACCTTTCAATTTATTAATCTCCTTTGTTTTAAATTCTTCAATATCAATAAGCTTTTCTTCCCTCTCTTCGTAAAAAACTTTATAAGTAGGCTTCCATATGGGCTATTGATTGCTCAAGAAAGAGAAAAATCCTAATTTTTATAAATTATTATTTATCATTTAAAAAAGCTATTCAATTTTATTAAGTATCTCACCTTTAGGCTTTGTACCTTCAACAGCCTCCATTCCTTCTTATTTTTTTGATTTGTATTCTTTTAACTTTTCTAATCTAGCTTCTTCTACTTTTGAATCAAAATCTCTAAGAGAAGATTCTAATGAGCTCTAAAACTCCTTCCACTCATATTGTGAGTTAATGAGATTCTCTCTTAACTAATCAAGCTAATTAATCTGTTTTTTTAGTAAATATTAAAATGGTTATCAAATTAAAGCTTTTATATATTTAAGTAATCTTACGCAATATATTTGGCGACGATCCTCTTTCAGTTTACCTTGCTTAATCAGTTACTTTATATTTTTATTTCAAAAATAAATCTTTAAGCTATTCCTAAACCAACTTAATTCATATCTAATTTACATTATATTGTTGATATATAACTCCTTATTATGTGGAGAATCTCCAGTGGAGAAGATTACTAAGGTAATTATTGAAAGCACTACTTTTACTAACAAACATTTTTTTATCAAAAATAAGCTAATTAATTATTTTTTAATTAATTTTTTTTGGGATTATTTTATGAAGAGGTCAATTTTAAAAGGATTTAGTTTCTTTATTAAGTGACGTAATTAAAAATCACTGTGATGCAATTAAAAAAACATGTATCTTCCTAAAACATTCCTCATATATTTGTAAAATTTTTAATTGATTGCTCACCTAAAATCAATAAGAAATAGTAATAAATGAATTATTTTTTTTAATTCAAAAAAATAAATTTGTTTACACAGTTTTTTTTATACTGGAAGTATTTTCTAGAAAGAAAAATAAAATAATTGAATTAGTCTATTACCTCAAATTCAATTGATTTAAATTAATTTTTTTACTTTAGCTTTGATAAATAAGTGAATTAATAACTGTAATATTAATTTTTTTTTTAATACCATTAATTTACTACTGAAGCTTTTTTTATGATTTTAAAAGTATATTAAAAGATGATTTTTTTGAAAAGTAAAAAATTATTTAATTCATTTAATGTATTTTAAATAAAATATTTAATCTAATATTTTTCTTAGTTTTTGAATCTCAAGTAATTATAATTTTTTTGTTTAACTTTGAGGGAGTTTTAAATTTAAATTAAATAATAAAGAGCTTAATTTAAAAAATTAAAAATTTAATAAAAATAAAAACTCTATTTTAATTTTATTTAATTAAAATGAAATCATTACAAAAATATTTGCTTACATAGTTTTTTACAAATAATTGAAGTATTTTTCTACAAAAAAATATTAAATTAGTCTATTACTTCAATCTCAATAGAATTTAATTTATTTTTTTGTTTAATTTTGATAGATAAATGGCATTTAAAAATGTAATATAATTTGAAAAAATTTTTGTGATTTTTTAAGGTATTTTAAAAATGATTTATTAATCTCACATATTACTAAAATTGAATTCTTTTTATTTTTGAATTGTTGGGGTTGGGGTTGGGGTTGGGGTTGGGGTTGGGGTTGGGGTTGGGGTTGGGGGTTGGGGTTGGGGTTGGGGTTGGGGTTGGGGTTGGGGTTGGGGTTGGGGTTGGGGGTTGGGGTTGGGGTTGGGGTTGGGGTTGGGGTTGGGGTTGGGGTTGGGGTTGGGGTTGGGGGTTGGGGTTGGGGTTGGGGTTGGGGTTGGGGTTGGGGTTGGGGTTGGGGTTGGGGTTGGGGTTGGGGTTGGGGTTGGGGTTGGGGTTGGGGTTGGGGTTGGGGTTGGGGGTGGG